TCCCCCTCCACCCCAACCACACACCTCTCCCCACTACTCCCCCCACAACTACTCCCACTTCCCCCCTCCTCCTCCTCCTTCATCACCTCAGCTTCATCCTCACACTCCCCCGTATACTTCGCCACACTAATCCCATTACACCTCGCCCCGGGCATATGCAACACATCATGCAACACGAGGACATTCGTGCGCGGATCGTCCGGCGCCCGCTGTACCCGGAGTTGCACCGTCCCGATGCCCAGGACTCGCTGGTTGGCGATTTTGCATGGTGCGCGGCGGTAGGCGCTGAATGAGGAGCGGTTTTTGGCGATGTGTGTGTTGCTGTTGGTTGGGAGGAGGAGCCAGTCGAAGCAGCGGGAGGATTTGGGGGGTTGGGATTTGGGGATGGGTTTGGGGGGGTTGGTGGTGGAGCGTGGACGTGAACGGGATGGTGGTTTCGAGTGGGGATGTGCGTGTGATGTGGTATTGTAGGGATGGTAATGTTGTTGATGATGGTGTGGATAGTGATGAACTAACGTCGCAGGCATTTCGATCTGCTGTGTGCGATGCTGTACTCTCTTGTGCTGGTGGGTGTAGATCTCAGCTTAATATATATCGAGGTAAGATCAATAGATCCAATCGACGTGATCCTCAACCAAGTATACAATAAGATCGAAACCAGATATCGATATCAATATCAATATCAGTATGAAGAATATGAAGAAAATATGAATCCAAGATGTGTAACGCTGAATATGAATCTGGTACGAACAACAGAAACTCAACCCCCATTAAATATACTCGAACACGTAGTATCCCGAGTCCATCCCGGTCTAGAACTTCCCCCGTGGCAAGTTTCAGGTTTCCGCTTTGGGAAGGTCGTTACTGATCCATCACCTCCCTCCATCTCTCGATTCTCCTTTCACTCTGTTATTGATTGGTAGTGTGCTGAGAATAGAAACGTGATGTGATAGGTCATTTAGAGATCGACCTACCTACCGATCTATCTATTTACTTAATCCCTACTTAGCTGTTCATTTCAGGTTCAGTGGGATGATGATATAGTGGATAGTTATGGTGGGAGGCGTTAGTCAGGCATGAGTCTTGACGTAGCCGATGGAGAAGCTTATTCAGATGTGGAGATCTATGGATGAGCTGATGCGTTCTGGGCGTTGCTTGGTTTGGGAGTGCCGTGGTTCGGGTGTCGATTTGGTTTCAGCTTTCAGTGTCGTTTGTCGGGTGAGGTGAGGTTGTATGCTCAGTACTTACTATCTAGTCTCGGACCAGTCGAGGCTATGCTCTCTATATACAACAAACAGTATGCAATATGTTTAATATAGAATATCCCTCACCATCTCCCCAATCGCCAAACTACTCGTCAACCCCGGACTCTCAATGCCCAACAGATTCACAAAGCCCGGAAATCCATCCTCCTCCTGGATTACGAAGTCCTGGAACCCCTTGCCTGTATTCACCGCACCGCCCTTCCCTAACTTGGGTCGAATGCCGCAATAATCCAACTCGATCGCCTCCACGTCCACATTCGGCAAATAGGCCCTGATCTCCGGTAAGGCCTGTTGTAAGCGCGCCGGACTCGGCCGCAAATCATTCGCATCCTCGACCCATTCCACGTCTGGCCCGAATCGGATCCGACCTGCCATATCTAACGTTAAATGTGTCCCTAATCCCCCCAACCCCGGTAACGTCGCCGGATAGACCAACACCGAGGTCGTAGGCTTCGATGCCGAGTACGAGAAATACGTTCCCTTCGCGAAATACGCCTTCCGGTGCCGACTCTCCGGTAAGAGCAGATTACTGATCTCGCACGCCGCATTCCCCGCACTATTCACGACCGTCTCCGCCGTGATAGTCGTCTCCGTCCCATCCGCAGAGACCGCACGAATCCGATACCCCTTCTCCCCCTCGAGGGGCTCAATTCCCGTAACTCGTGTCAAGAACGCACAGTCCCCGCCCCGATCCTCAAAGTCTCCCTGCAGATACGTCATCAGGGAATGACTATCCACGATGCCTGTCGTCGGACTCTCCACCACCCCGGCCAGGGCTTGGACTTCCGGTTCGCGACGACGGGCTTCCTCCGGTCCGAGGATGCGGGTGGGGACGCCGATGCGTTGTGCGTGTTCGTGCACGCGCAGACACGCGGCCCATTGCTCGGGGGTCTGCGCGACGATCCATTTCTTGGTGTTGCGGTGCGGGATGTTGTGTTGGTGGCAGAGCGCGTAGAGGAGTTCTTTGCCTTTGATGCAGAGGTGCGTTTTAAGTGTGTCCGCGCCGTAGTAGAGGCCTGCGTGGATGACCTTTTCATTCATGGAATGATTAGTTAGTTGAATGTGCTTTGGTAATGGTGGAGGGGGTTAGTGTAGGTACCTCTGAATTCCGACTACTCGTCTCCGTCCCCGGCGCGGCATGTCTCTCGAGGAGGATCGTCGACGTCCCCTCTTTCATCGCGAGTTGGCGGGCAACGGCCAGTCCGACGACCCCGGCGCCAATGACCTTCATATATAGCGAAGCGTTAGGGTTTGGGTTGGTTGCGACGGAGATGGTAGGTGGTCGGGCGAGGGATTACCGCATGTGTGACGTCGGCCCTGGAGGCGCGGGTGCTGCAGAAGCTGCGGCGCGAGACGAGGCCATTGGGGATGGAGCGGAGGATGCGAGTTGCCATTCTGTTGGGTATGTCCGGGTTCATGGGAACGATGAGGAATGCATTGTATGGGATGTTGGGTGGTGAGGAGAAACTAAGGTGTGTTCCCCACTGACTGGCGGAGTCGGCGTCGCGCCGATCCCGATAAGCTTTCTACTTATCTACGTTATCGAGGTACCTTGCGGGTGTTCGCTGCTTCTAAAGGTGGGGATTGATTCATTGATGAGTATAGTGAGAGCGCGGTTCTATTGTTCACATCAACATAGTGATGGCGTTGGTCATAGACAATGTACAGCATCTACCAAGCCGCGGTCTATCTAACTAGCCACGCTTTCCTACATTCTTAAGCATGTCTTCCAAATGCTGCAAAAAGTTAGTCAGTTCTCTCACGATGCACAGCAACCTACCTGTTTCTGTTCGGTGGCTAATTTGCCTTGGGTATCCTGCATCTGTCAGCACCGTACCGTCCGCGGATCGAACGACATACACTAATAATAGCCAGAACAAGCGAGTAATTGTTGTAAAGAAACCGCTCCCTCCGTTTGGCGTCCCCGCCAATCCGACTGAGCTTCGCGAGGAGATTGTCGAACTCTGCCGTTAGCCGTGCCAGACTATTCGCCACCGGCTCGTCGTCCCCGGCCTCGCTGCTGAGCACCATAATACCATGCAGGAGTTGTCCAAACCGTTGAGTAAGGAAGTGAGGAGCGGATGACTTGTTCAAGTCATCTCCTCCGGCAATTGACAACGCAGAGACCGCACTACGGCCAGTGTTTGCAGCCACCCGCTTCAAGGACTCGCACTGCGTGTCCATGATGACCTGGAACCGAGGCCACAGCTGCATGTTGATTCCGTTAATGTACGAGTCGGCGACGGGCACCTTTCGGCGCTGCAATTCGAAAGCAGCTTGCTGATTCAATCGGACGCAAATCAACACCCCAAGCGCATCGGTCGTCTGCTCAATCAGGTGCTTTGTCATGTTCTGCCCGAGTGCAAATACTGGTTCGAATATCTCAACGGCCTTGCGAGAGATCTGCTTAAAGCCCAACGGGGAGAACATCTCGGTCATAAACGAGTATTCGGCGGAGATATTGTCGAGAAGAGCAAGGTTGAAGTTGCGGAACGGAACTTCCAGCCCATGGAAGGATGTGTCCTCCTCCGCTAGGTAGGAAGATATCGCCATATGGTTGCCGGTTCGAAGAATATCGACCCTCCTTCCGAGCGAAAACGGGTCGTGCGCTGCTGAACCAGCTCGGCCGCCGGGAACGATATTACCTGCGGCTGTCAGTTCATTACACGATGGAGTGACCAACGCAGCACACCTGTCTTATGGGAGGACGGATCTCCTCCTAACACCTCGTTGCGATCGCTCGGAAAGACCTTGATCTTCTCGAGAGCCTGATGATACCGCGTAAAATGAGACAGGTAATACCAACGCATCGTATTAATATACGCTTGCGTAATCTCCCCCGTGAGCGTCGGATGAGCCCTTGAAATGTAACCGTATAGGTCCTTGAACTTGACCAATCGCTGCTGCTGAATAATTTGAGCGTTGATATTTGGAGATCGGAGGGCTCGAATCTGAGAGACCAGGTAGTCCCGGATTCTCTCCACTGCCTGCATATTTGTCAGTCGGTCCAAAAAGAAAACCTGCGTCAGGAACACAACCTTCTTCTTGATGTCGCCCAGAAGCGGACGCACATCTTCGATGGACTTGCTGCTGTTGGACCCCGAGACCTTCGCTTCAATGCTGGCTGTTCGGGTTTCAATCTCGTTCAGAGCCTTGACCCAGTTGTCATCGATAGGCCCCTCCGCAACCAACCGAACAGTTTTGGGAGAGAGACTGATCTCCTCCACAGCCGGACCAAGCAGCTGCTCGACGTTTCGTCGGTTTTCGAGCATGGCATTGAGTTGTATAGAGCGAGACTGGAGACTCTCAATCTCGGCCGAGACCGCCCCGAGTTCATTCTGAAAGTCATTCAGGTACATCTCAACTGACTTGGAGACATCATCGCAGCCCGTGATTGCCGAATGCAAGTCCTGGAATTTGTCCCTTTCCTTTTCGAATTGCTGAATGGTCTGCGCACCAACGTCGCTTTTCAGGGACCTTCTCGGTTCATCATTCTCGGCCACAAAGTCCTCGAGGCTCAGACCGCGGAAATCAATGTCCTCGACCAGCTCCGAGGGTTTCGTTTCCAAGAGGGATGCGGGAGAGCCGTCTCCTCCCTTGCTCTGTTTCCCAATGATCCCATTCAACACTTCAAACGGATCAGCCACATCTGAGGGGCGAGGCCTGGCAGCACCTGGCTTTGGGGTCGAGCTTTCACCACGGGCAGTCGCAGGGAGGGAAGTGGTGGAGTCATTCGGAGTCGACAAGAGAGACAACGATGAGCCGGGGCGAGTGGATCCGGGGCGGGTGGTTGGGGGATTTGGAGCTAGACGGGACGACGTCCGTCGAGGCAGAGGGGAGTTGCTGCGACTATCGAACTGGGGACCGGAGGGCGTGGAATGGCCGGAAATGCGGTCTAGCCACATCTTTGGAGGCCGGCACGGAGAAGCGTGCGGATACCGGATAGCTCCCCGGCCTCATGGAGGGGCAGATTGGGTCAGGGGCAGTCTCCCAGGAGACGGCTAGGAACGAGGTGCATTCACAGCACCAATCCTCCAAAATCTCCAGAGGAATGGGGCAATGGCCGAGCTGCGAGTCGGAAAGGGAGAGCTACCTAGGCATGAGGAGTATGAGGAGTATACGTATGGCAGGTCGAGATGCTACGGCGGCGCACAGCGACCGCGGGCGTGGTCTGTCCGAGGCTAGGCCGGAATGGGGCTAGCGACCACAAAACCCCGCCACAACCAGTGCCTTTTTTTCGCAGTCCATTTGTCGATTTCTTTTCGCCTGTTTCCCCCTCTTCGTCCTTCCTTCGATTTTTCTCTTCCTTTCCTCTATCTCCTCCTCAATTCTCACTCCGCCCTCCCTCTCCTTTAGGTCTTTTTTTCAATCACCACAAAATCTATCACCATGGCTGACGAGGTATGTTTATACTCGCTCTCTGCGGCTCTCTGCACTTCCCCGTTTCGACCCATCTTACCCCTACCGGCGGTGCTGGGCTGGGTTTCTTGGGGCCTCGCATCTCGATCGTCTCACCCCACCCTCCTTGTTCCTGCAGTCAATGCATATTCGCTTTGCTCTCAACCCTCCCTGGCCATGGACGAGTTGCTAACGGTCGCTACTTAATAGCACCACGAGACCTTCGAGTCCGCCGACGCCGGCGCCTCGTCCACCTACCCCATGCAGTGCTCTGCTCTGCGCAAGAACGGTCACGTTGTCATCAAGAACCGCCCTTGCAAGATCGTCGACATGTCGACCTCCAAGACTGGCAAGCACGGTCACGCCAAGGTCCACATCGTCGCCATCGACATCTTCACCGGCAAGAAGCTTGAGGATCTGTCCCCCTCCACCCACAACATGGACGTCCCCAACGTCTACCGCAAGGAATACCAGCTCGTAAGTAGCCAATTGTGGGTCCGTCTGGTATGCCCTTGTCTTGCTAACACGACCTAGCTTGACGTTACCGACGATGACTTCCTTTCCCTGATGGATGAGTCCGGTGCCACCAAGGACGACGTCAAGCTCCCTGATGGTGAGGTTGGCGAGCGTATCGTCCGCATGTTCCGTGAGGAGGAGAAGGACTGCAGTGAGTAGCCACCGATGCAGATGGATCCGGGAATGATCACTGACAAATTAACCCGCAGACGTCACTATCCTTTCCTCCATGGGCGAGCAGTGCTGCATGGAAGTCAAGGAGGCTCCCAAATAATGAATTACCGTCTCGATGGACCCTGTACTGCTCTGTCAGCCCTGGTGTATTCGAAGAGCCCTGCTCAGTTTTGCCCTTGCTTAGGTGGATGATACGACCTTTTGGGCAGATACGGCGTAATTTAATCTTATATCCGTCGGTGTAGCATTGGGTATGCGCTGAGCTGGCCGTGAAGGTCACGTTGGCAGCATACAGCCTGCTTTGTCAGAGAACAGTTCTTGAGTTCAGCACTCTCACGATAGTTTGACGAATAAAAAACTAGCTTGCTCCATATTGTTCAGCAAAATGTAGAGATAATGTAGAAAATGTATATGAACAGGCATGCACCGAGTTTACAGGTGAGAAAGAACGTTATCGCATTGATCACAGGCTAGTATGTACAATGTCGCCGGCGATAAGAGCATGCGGTCATTGCTGGGGCTGCATGAACGGTAGAAAAATCTGACCGGTAACAACCTCTGGTCACTGACCCGCTCCTGAGACCCAGGTCTCGATCCTCCACTTCCTTACCAACAAGCATGACGAGCGTTGCCCGGGATGGAGTACATCACCCGAGGGGTCTGCGGGCAGGAAGGGTGCCGTGAACGACGGTATTATCTCGAGAATGGCCTCTGGTTCTGCAGGCGGGGTCATCAGCAAGAGGTCTGACCTTCCCTCCCCCACCCCGCCTCCCCTCTGCGCGCACGCGACAGATCAGCCCATCGCGTACGCGAATCATGTTCGCTTATTCATTCTACCATGTAGGGTCAACAAGTCGAGGAAGATCCCGACGACTTTGGCACGCAAGGGAAAACCAGTCGCGTGAAGAAGGCCGCAGCGGAGAAGACCCAAAAGAGTATGAGCTCATTCTACCATCCCATCTGGACACCGGCTAACATCGGGCAGCATACCGCGGTCGCCAAGCGTATAGTCTCTTTTTACAGGTCTACCAATTAGTTCTCTGGAAACAGTGTCATGCGCTGGTGCAGAACCGCGGCTTTCCGTCGCAGTTCGAGGTATGCATGCTATTCCCGGGTTGGGAACCACTCAGGAGCTGACTGACGGACGCACGCATAGGCCGTAGTTCGCGATCTCTGGGCTCTCCGATTGGAGACCTTCGCCGACAAGATTAATGACCCTGCAGATCAGGATCAGGATGAGGAGCCTGAGTTCTTCAGCTCCCAAGCAGCCACGAGCCTTGATGACGCCGAGGGCTATAGATCGAAAGGCTGGCGGGCGACTTGGCCTCGCCTCATTGACAGTATTGCTCTGTGCTACCTCGGAGCTCTGTTGATGAGACTGCCAGTGAGCGTTGGAGATCTCCACCGGTGAGTTATCATCAACCAATACGAATTGATTTTGGCTAAGTTAGATCTCTAGCATGGTAATGCGCGGCGATGTTCCTTTTATTAGAATCGTAAAGGACATTCCTCGGGAAATGAGGGATAAGCTACCTTCGGAGTTCATCTCGATACTCGAGACTACGGTATGTGCGCTATCACAGCCAGAATAGATGCTGGAGACTGACTATATAACAGAGACTGCTTCAAGCAGAGCATCTCCATGGGGCTGTCTCAGACCTTCTGCTGCTGTATCATGATAAATTCAGCATGCAATTTCCATCATTGAATTGGCCAGTCCTGCTGTATAGATATATCAAAAGGCTTGCGCTTCCTAGTATGCAGTGCCATTCCATTGCCTTTCACCTACTAACATACCTTAGTCGATATCTACCCTGCCGTGAAGAGGTTGCAACATCTCCTGGGATTCACCTTTGAGTTTCCTACTAGCAACGTAGGCAAGAGAAGGGCTCTTCATTTGCCGGAGCTGCAGCTGGTCGCGCTAGTCGTCATCTCCACCAAACTTCTATTCCCGTTTGACGATCTTGAACGATATCCCACTTCTTCAAAAGAGCCTACGGTGCAGGTGATTGATTGGAACCTCTGGGCACAGATTCAGAGACATTTTGACAGTCGAGAGACTTCTGCAGGCCAGCTCGGCAAGGGGAGAGAGGTCTTGGTGAATGAAAAGGACGTATTCAGCATGACGCCGTCCCAATTGGACGAGTACATGGACTGGTACGAGAATAATTGGCTCGACGCCAGTAAGAGTAAGGATATGCAACGCTTCCCTGTGTCCATACTGAACATCTTAACAGCATCGAATCCACTGGCCGATTTCTTTCCGACTGGCCCAACGAATGGCGAAAGCCAGTCTGCTGCTCTTGCACCAAAGTTGACTGAAGAGGAAGCTCTAGACTCTATGATCAAGGCATCCACCAGCCAATTGAAGTCAAGAAAAGTCGTTCCAGAGGATGATCTGGATACACCCCGGCCAGGAACCTCCTACGCGCGGTATCGAACAGAGACTGATCTTCCAGATACGGCGAGGTCGTTCTACGAGACAGCTGCAAAGGTAACTGGGGTGTCTCTGTCTACACTCATTAGGGCCGTATCACAAGCCGAGAATAAGATCACTCATTGGCTTGAGGAGCAGCGACGGATCGAGTACTTCGGAGATGCCTTAGATATGGAGTACATTCGAGACTCTAGTCTGGAAATAGACGATGAAGAGAGCATGTCCGAACTGGACGATAGCGATTGAGTGGGGTTGGCGACCATGTACCAAATCAATCCAATAGCTGACGTTACATCGAAGTATATGGCTTAGATCGTTGAGTTACTCCGCACGACGCACCGTAATCCTTTTGGGGTGGCGTAGAAACGTGAACGTAGCCTGGATGTTGTACACAGCACTAGCCACGGGTCAAGCATCGACGGGATGGAATTCCCGATCGCGGTCCGCAGCCTACACGTAAGGATGATGCTGAATGGATGATGTAGCAGTAGGCTCCGGGCTATGGAGACTGCGGAGAGGCCCCGACGCGGCCGGACTGCCCTAAACCCTGATCACGTGCGGACCGTTCCACCTTTGCTAAGCGAGAAATCGTGAAATTGACATCGCCTCTTCCGACCGACCTTTCAGCGATCGTCAGCCAGCAACAACGAAAACCGCAGCCAGTACGTATACCATAAACCGTTGTCGAGACGAGATGCGTGGCCCGTGAATCGCAAGCTAACATGGCGTTTTTTCCGCGTCTCTGCAGTGCAGATGTAGGTCCCTCCCAAGTCCCTGGCACCCACCCCCCGAACCATCCGTCGAATACGGTCCAGCAGCAACGAACATGATCGAAAGCAGAAAGGAATGAAAACACTGACCAGGTTCGAATCACAGTTTCGTCAAGACCCTGACGGGTAAGACCATTACCCTCGACGTCGAGTCGAGCGACACCATCGACAACGTCAAGACCAAGATCCAGGACAAGGAGGGTATCCCCCCGGATCAGCAGCGTCTTATCTTCGCTGGTAAGCAGCTTGAGGATGGCCGCACCCTGAGCGACTACAACATCCAGAAGGTATGAACCGGTTCCGCCAATACTCCATATATCGAATCTTGTGTGCAACGGATGATCGGATACGACATGATGCGATACGGTCGGTTGGGGCGCCCGCCAACAACACAACAATTCCTGTTTTCGGATCCATCGGCACGGTCGCAATCATGGACGTTTCACGATTATCGGTTGCATGCGCATGTGTTCGGGAATTGGGAAAGATCGTTTTGACTGACGGGTTGTTCTTTTGTTTGATCTATAGGAGTCCACTCTCCACCTGGTCCTCCGTCTCCGTGGTGGTATCATCGAGCCCTCCCTCAAGGCTCTCGCCTCCAAGTACAACTGCGAGAAGTCCATCTGCCGCAAGTGCTACGTACGTCATCCTCACCTCTATCATTCGACTTCGATCCTACCCATTCCGCCCCGCGAACTACCCCCGCTAACATGATCCCGATTAGGCCCGCCTTCCCCCCCGTGCCACCAACTGCCGCAAGAAGAAGTGTGGTCACACCAACCAGCTCCGCCCCAAGAAGAAGCTCAAATAGACGATCATCTTATTACGGTTTTTCTGCGTTGCTGGGAAAAAGAGCTGCTGGGGTTACGATACGATTGCAACGTGGGAGGTTTTCTACACGGCGTTGGAATGATGAATCATTATAGCCGAAGTCAAATGTTCATAGTTGACTCCTCGGAAGAAGTTGCAATCAAGGCACAACTGTAAAATTCAAATCCTTCGTCGCATTCTTAGGAGTAGATACACATACGCAGCACGCGCTTGGGAACGTCAGACCAGGAAACGATCTCGGAAATAACACTCAAGAACTAAATCAGCACGGGCGAGAATGACATGATGCTGCCGGAGCAATGTCATGATCTCTTTTTTTTTTTTTTGGGAACAGCACAAGCATGAAGCATCAGTACAATACTCCTGGAACAAAGCCACCCCACACCTTCTACCATCCGACCATCCGTCGCTTATCATCGTGGTGATCGTCATCGTGATCCTTATTCTTCTTCGAAACGGGGCTTCCATGCCTGCACAAAGAATATTAGCCACAACCCCTCTAAAACACACCACCCCTCATGCGGTTAAAAACAAAGGAAAAGGACAACCACTTACGCAAAGAACAAAATCTTAATCGCCAACGCAAAACCCGCATGCAGCACAATCACCAAAACCAAGAGAATCTTACTCGCCTTGGCATCAGTAGCACTCAATACGGGATACAAATTGCGGAGGAGGAAAAAGACGGTCCAGCCGAAGCCAACGCCCACGAGCGCCCAATTTAACGCGGTCAACGGACTCCAGCTGACCAAGGCCACGCCAATCCAGACCAAATTGGAGTATCCGTAGAGCGCCCACTCCTCGACCAAGTCAGCGCTGGAGCTGCCGAACCAGCGAAGCGCGCCCCACAGAGCAATGGGGATGATGCCCGTGTAGCCGTAGACTAGGCCCGCGGCGCCGGAGAGCAGCGTGAAATCGTATTCGAAGTGTTCGTCGTCGTTGTTGGAGAGCCATTGCGAGATGGTGCCGGTGAGGAAGAGGATCACCACGACGGTGGTTGCGATCCAGAATGGGCCGTACAGGTCGGGGTTGCCTTCGAGGACGTCGAGGAAGTTGCTGCGTGGGTAGAGGGTGGCGACGCAGCGGCGGAGGACTTCGTTGGTGTCCACGTCGAAGAATTGTGAGTAGTAGTGGATGGACCACCAGGCGTGCTTGGTTGGGGTGCCGCCGGGGGATCGGTCACGACGGCGGGAGGAACTTCCGCCGAGGAAGGGCGTGGTGTCGGGTTGGGATTTGGCGTTGCGTTGGTCGTTATCGAAGTCTAGGTGGGTGGGAGAGGTGAGTAGGCTGTGGGTTTGAGGGTGATGGTGGTGGTGGTGGTGGTGGTGGTGAAGGCCAGCTTACTGGAACGGTGGAATTCGAGGTCTTCCTGGAGGTCGGTATGGCCGAGGTCGCCCTGGGATTCTGGGGTTAGTTTTTGTGCGGCTGAGAGGTAGTGGGGATAGGTACCTCGGTGTCCACATCGACTACCACATCGTAGCCCTGGTTTGCCATCTTGAGCTGGTCACGTCGGTTCTCAAGGATGGTGGTTGAGCTTGGTTGGTACCTGGGAGAGGCGGGAATGCAAGAGTACACCTCAGCGGATGCGGAAAGCCACGCACTAGCCACCAGGTGGAGTCTCCATCTATCCAACACGGCCTGACACGGGCGGTGTTCCGCATTTTGCCGTCTGCCTTGGAATTGAAGCTGATGAGGTTTGTACATGTAGAGGCCTTTCATTCTCAAAATTATTCAAGTCTATATTTTTCATACATTCCCTGATGTTCCCTCAGACCGTGCTGTTTTCTTTTGCGAGGACACTAGGAGATTAAAGATAGCCGCGAGCTTGCAAAGCCCCATGGAATTTACTGACGTACGACCATATCGTGTTGTCAAATCCCTTCTTTTTTATCCAGACCGACATGGCACCAACCAATATGGTAACGGCCACAGAGCCAATCGCCCTTCTGTGACTCCATAAGAAAGCAATGGTCTTCTCCTTCCGCTCCTCGTAGCGTAGCTGTCGTACTTGTTTCTCGAAAAGCCCGACCGTGTCCTTCGTGGTTTGGATCTTAACGAGGTCCCGTGAAGACTTGAGCACACTGCAATCGGGAATCTGCTTCCAGGCCCCAAACGCCAAGGACTCAGGCGGATAGTCGTCGAAAAGCTGCATCGAGCGCGATATCAGACCGTCAAGATCTAGGGGGTTCGGCAGCTTGGACAAAGTGAAATGCAACATTTCCGGTTCATCCACCGAGATTTCTAGTAGTTCTTTCTTGCGAGACAGTATAATGGCTGCAAAGAGATAGATCGAGACCACCGGCTCTTGCGCCAACAAGAAGTCGAACAGCCGCGCAATGTCGCTATATTCCTGTATATCATGCGAGTATAGGGTAAGAGTGGCAGCGAGTGCGAAGAATGGTTTGATTTCTGCAAGATGACGTCGTAGCGCAGGATCGGCCTTCTCGATAATGGCAGGAATTAGCTGTAGATGTTTAAGCGCCGGTGAAAGCGACGGCAGCATATAATCTCTAATCCTGAGGAGGGAAATCTGCGCAACCGCAGCGGCAGCATCTTGGCCACCAAGTACTAGTAACAGAACCTGAACGATATCATGGTATCCTTGAAAGTAGCAGAGCATTGGGAAGCACCGTAGAACTTGCTTAATCAGCTTGGACAGCTCGCCCTTTTTGGTAGACAGCTCCTCATCAGAACCTGGTCAAAAGTTAGAAAGTTCGACTCCACAAAGGCTGCAGGCCACAGGTAACCTACATTCAGGATAGTAGACGAATGATCTGTTCACGTCAAGCTGAACCTGCTCTTCGTCTACATGTGGTGGCAGTTCATCCCACCCTGTGAAATCCAGGTCTTGGCCACGACGATCACATTGGAGAAGAATGGGCCCTGAAATAATGTCAGTAATTGGGAAATGCGTCGTATAGGAGAGCTCTTACAAGCTAATCGTCGGACATCATCGTTCAGGAAGCCACCTTCGGAGGTGGCATAGGAGATTAAGGCGTCATAATCCCGCAAGTCACATGCTTGACGAATGGCATTTTCCTTCTCGGCTACGTGTCTAGCAACCTCGTCGTTCTGGGGCTCGTCTTCAAGGGCAATTTTCTCTTCCGTTTCAGCACCAGTCTCCGTGAGGTGGTCTGATTCGTTGTTTTCGGCTTGACTCTCCATTATAGTCGAAGATAGACTGTGGATTCCAGTTGGACTGGCAGTATGGCTGCCCTGTATTTTCGAAGATACTGTCCAGGGAAGATGCAAATTTGACGCTATCTTATTACTATGTTTCCCGATGCAGAAGCGAACACGATGGGTGGTCTATACTTGATGCAACCGATGAACAGGCCTTATGCCAAGTCAGTCCTGGGAAAATCCCACATTCAGTAATGGGGTTCGGTCCGGTGCCAGCCCATCCAGCGTCCTCGACAGGGTCGCAATCCAGGCCGCGCAGGATCTATGGGACAGCAACGGTGATATGAAAGCCGGAGGTGACGGCGGCCCATGGCCAAACCCAAAACGGACGGGCGCCCGCCTCAGGCCACCACGCGCTCAGGTCCCGTGATCTGCACCGCCGCCGACCGCCCGAACAAGCAGGCGAGGCATCGATCGATCCACTGCCCCTCCAGAAAATCTACATGGCCTGCTGGGTTCCCACAAGTCCCATAGACACTTCCGGCTTTGCTCGCTAGCAGCAAACCTTGTCATGCCCTGAGTCGTTCTTGTTGGTTCGCAAAGACGACCGCGGACATTGCTGCATTTTGGAAGCGGGCCGATGGCATCATAACTAAACCAAACATACTCGCTACTAATTATTGACCCTCCCGCGAACCGCTGGGGTTCCACTGCTGGCCATCGTGTCCAATCCAACAACTACTACTACTCGACTCTTTGTTGTCTGTGCCTTAAGAGCATATATTGTATGGTATAGTCTCAATCTTTCGGGTCCCTGAGTTCTGAGAGAAGCGAGACAAACTACCTCGGTACATATCACCAGCACCGCAGCAAATCTTCAAATGAGGATACCATTGGATTGTAAGTACTATAGTCCTAATTTGTGCCAGCCTTTTAAAAGAAACTTCTAATGGCTCCGATAGATATCTATTCTGCATAAGAGTATATTTTTTTTTGCAGATTGCTCACTCTTTTGCCTGTGCTCACATTGTAACATTTCATTCTGTGGTCACAACGCCTGGTACTTCCTCATCAACTCTTTGAAATGAAACTGCATTCTCATATTATTCTAAGCATGAAGGTCCATGAGCCATAGCTTTGAAGCAATTCCCCCCACTCTTTCTTGACTTTGTTGTTCTGCTAGAAGATCTCGAGATTCTGGAGGAGCAGCTTCTGACATCAATCGTGGATTCTACGCAATCGCTTCCTCTCTTTTCCTTACAGAGCAGCCATTGCTCTTTTTGATCTTCTGTTTGCTGCAAGAGCATTCTCTCCAATTTTCTCAACCCTTGATTTCTCTCTCGCGGGTTACTGGAATAGCTACCATGGCTGCGTCAAGGAGCAATTCAGGCTTAACGGCAAGTACTTCGGCGGCCTCTTCAAATGAAGAGCCAATGGATATCGAGACCGAAAGTACCCTTCTCACAACACAGGCTAAAATCGGGCTTCTGTCGCATACATTGGTATCAAGCCCGATAATTCAGTGGATTCTCCCCGCGCATCTCAGGGGAAAGGACCAAAACGATGTTGTTTTCGTTGGCGAACGGCATTTGCAAATCAAAGAAGCGGTATCTGGAGTCCATCTGAAGGAGGTCACTACCAAAAGTGACTTTGACTCGAATATTATGGCAGCCAAGGTCATTAATGTGAGCACGGAGTTGCCTTGGGAGGAGGAAATGAAGCTTGGGTCTAGCAATCCAACATTGCGTACGAACTCGGGTTTGCACCAGGGTCTTCCTCCTCAAATATTGGTGCTCAGTCTTGCTTCAAAAGAGCTAGTGTTCCTATACTACTCGAATGCGAGTGGCCAGTTTGTTTACCATCATCGGCCGCTACCAAACGATGTCAGTGCCTTTGAACGATTTGGCCGCAATATTGCGGTGGAACCAAGGTATATCTCTTTTCAATCAGCCTGAAGATCTTGTACTGAGGATCTGCAGATCTCGCGCCGTCGCAGTTAGTGCCTCGTGTGATTATTTTGGGGTCTTCGTCCTGAAGAAGCCGCCAAGCATTCAGTCCCAGATGGCTCAGAGCAAGCTAGACCCGATAGCAGAGGTATGTATAGCAAAACCTACATACGTCGAGCCTACTAATCTGGGAGTATTCCTTGTAGGAGCGCTTTTTCCGTGTCGAAGGCGATATCATAGCGATGGAATTCCTATATCCCAAGTCTGAGGATGGGGACAAGATCATTTTACTTTTGTTGGTTGCTCAAGACCACCTAACGCATGCTGTTTGTTATGAATGGGATGCGAACGAGTCTTTACGCCAGGCTACTCCACGCGTAAACAAAAAAGTATTACCGTTGGAGGATAGGCTACCGACGATGCTGATTCCGTTGACAAAGACGTCTTCCTTCTTGCTCGTCACGACGACTTCAATGGCTGTGTATCAAAATAAGCTTGATCCGCAGAGGCCACCTAGCAGGTATCCGCTTCCTGTCTATGAGCGGGAATCTCAGAAATCGCCCCTTTGGACCAGGTGGGCAAGACCGTTGCGCAATTGGCTGTACAACCAAAAGCATGATGACATCTACCTTTGCCGTGAGGATGGAGAAATCATCTATCTAGGCATTGGCAGCGAAGGCGAACTTGAAAACCAGACTCATCTAGGACAACTGTGCTGTGACGTTGACGCCGCATTTGATATTTTGGATATCGGCTACGAAGGTGGTGACCTGCTCCTTGCGGCGGGCACGACAGGCGATGGTGGCTTATTTGTTCAGAAGGCTAGAGATCATCCACGATGTGTTCAAAAGTTTATGAATTGGACTCCGGTCACCGACTCCGTCATTGTGAAAAATGAGAGTGCCGTATCTTCGGACATTGCAAGCGATCGACTATTTGTTTGCTCTGCGTCTTCATTCTCGCGAGGAGCAGTAGTGGAGCTTCGGCATGGCATCGAAGCACAAATCGGGTTAATTGTTGCATTGGAGGAGTTGTCTGGCACAAGAGACATATGGACCATGCCAGACAACGCGAGCGGTGGCGTTTTTGTCCTAACCTCGGATCCTGTGTCCTCAATCTTGCTATACCTACCTGCCGACTTTGGAGAGGAACTGTGTGCTATCGATGAGGAAGAGTCTGGACTCGACTTTGGCACACAGACCTTGGCGGCCGGCTGCACTGAATCGGGAGCTATCATCCAAGTGACGGACAGGTCAGTATGTGTGGGAGCAACTCCAGAAATACCGGGCTACCGGCTTGATGTCGACTCGGGTCAAACGGTTGTGGTGGCTGCGGTTGATGGACCGACTTCACTTATTGCTACTGCTGTTAGGACCCAGCATGAAGTACGCCTACACGTGAAGAATCTCAACACCAGTGCAAGCCAGCATCAGCTCCTTGATTTTAATCCGCCTTTACTGATCCAAGATGAGCCCATATGCATGACCATTGAGGATCTCGACTCTTCTCTGTTTCTTTTCATAGGAACGGGCAGCGGGAAAGTCTTGGTGTATAGCATAGCAGAGACCGTCTCTTTCTTGAAGGAAACCACTGCCATGATTGGGAATGAGGACGACATATCCAAAGCTATTGACAGCATTGCTGTCATCAGCAAGGCCGGTAGAGAATCACCAAGGATGTACACCGTTCTATGCGGTTTGCGAAGCGGCATCCTGGTTCCCTTCGGATTATCACTGGGAAAGGGCAACACCCCTCCTATTAGTGAGTACTAGGTTGCGTCTCAAATTGATTGCTTTTGCTAACCCAGATCGATATCAGCGTTGGAGCAGACAACACCACAACAGTTAGGGCACACATCAGTAAAAGTACAGGGCAAGGGAGAAATTGCCTTGTTGACTTGTGGACAAGGATTCTGGCAAGCATCCTGCACCGGCGAATTCGCTGATCACACTGTTCAAAGAATATGGGTCACCGATCAGAATAACGTGAGCTTCAATCGTCCTTTGAGAATCGCCCCAAGTTCTAACCTTCTTAGCCTGCATACCAACCGAAAAGCATACATAGCTTTTCCATTTCTAGTACGGCGGCTCAAGACATGGATGGTCTTTCTGGCACACTGTTCTGTGTCGCAGATGGGCAGCTTATGATTTGTACCTTGGATCAGGGGGCAAAGACCGTTCCAAGGAGGATCGATCTGCCAGGCAGTGCCAGCAAACTTGCTTATTCGCGCCATCTCAAGAGCTTGATAGTGGTGTACTCTCAGACCACATACGACACTGATACAGATCCTGTCAAACGCTACACCCGGCCCTTTATTGAGTTTGTGGATCCCGACCTACAACATTCGCTCGTTGATCCCATTGAGAATCCGCTGGATGACGAACCCCGGCCTTGGAGACCGCAAGGAGCAGCAGGAGAGAGGATCAGCTGCATACTAGAGTGGACTCCCCGAAAAGGCGATGAGGAATATCACTTCATCGTCATTGGCACGTCTCGCAAGAATCAGCAGGATCGGGGCCGAGTCATATTCTTGCAGGCATACCGCGATCCGTCGAAACCGTCGCGGATCGAATGCTCTATGAAATACATCCACAAGTTCGAGGGACCGGTTTTCTCTATTGCCACATACGGTGCATTCACCTTGATGGTTTCAACGGGCCATGAAATCGTGCCCCTGGAACCGAAGTTCTCGCAAACACGATGGGTTCGAGCGGCAAGGTACTCGGTCTTGTCTCCCGCGGTCCTCATGACGGCCCGAGAGCCATACCTCTACATGACCACATCCAGAGAGTCCCTTATGGTGCTCAAAGCCACAGAAGACAAACTGACTCTTCATGCCTACGATCGGCAGAAGCACGACGGGCTCGCTCACGTCCATATTGGCGGAAAGAGGAACCTTATTCTCTGCTCTAGCCGAGGTGGGCGAGTCAGCCTTCTCACCGAGAACGGGGTGACCGAGAACAACAAGATGCTACCTACAGCCCTGTGTGACGCACACCTTCCTACTTCCGTGATGAGACTCAACGCCGGCTCTAACAAGTCACCTATTTCCTCCACCTCTCAGGTATTCTACGGCAATGCCCTGAATGGTACGGTCTATCGGTTCTTGACGATCAGTGAAAAAGAGTGGCGCCTCCTACGCCTGCTGCAAAACCTATGCATTCGGGACCCGGTCATTTGTCCGTTTACGCCGAAACGGAGAAGGCAGCGTAACCCTCTGGGACTGATGGACCCTCAACCATCTCAGATGCATATCGATGGCGACATCCTCAGTCGCTTGCTATTGCGTGGACCCGGGCATTTGATGCATATGCTCAGCGGTTCATCTATTCCCGTAACTGGCTCGTCACAGCCAGTCCTCGAGCAATTCGCAGAAGTGGCCAGGGATGTCCTTGGAGAGATGACGGATCCAGTAGAAAGTGTGATGCGATGGCTGCAAAGAATACTCCAGGTGGAATTCTAGGGCTGGGGATCAGAGCGTACAGTTTCAGCTATGGAGGACCAATCTCGGTAACATTCTATATATAGATCTGTATTGTGTACATACCTGCCATTTCCCATGCAAATAACTACCCTCCGAAGTGTAGGCTGTGATCGCGTGTCGTTAGGGTTGAGTCTCTGAAGGTGCGCCACCAACTGGCGGCGGGGCGGCGGATTCGCATCGCATAATAATCCGGCGTCGTCCCCACCCACGCCGGCCCAAAATTCTTATTACCCCAAAGGACCGTCCTTCCCGCCCACCGAGTCTCCAGCCTTGGACCTTATCGACCACAGGGGGGAAAAGGTGCTCGTTTTCACTCTTTCGTTTTCTGTTCTACGAGATCGTTTGTGAAGGATTCTCGGGCTTATTTTTGCCACTCTTTGCCTCCCGACTACCGCAGATCGCGGCCCGGAGAAGCTGATACTTCCTTGTTCGTGCGCACCATCATCACTGCTGCCAACACCGCTGGGCCCCCATGCATCTTTTCACTAACCTTACCCCGACGACAGATTCTATATAGACGAAGGCATCTAACGAGTTTCGATCTCCCAAAATGGCGCCCAAGAAGAAGGGAAACAAGAGACAAGAGGAAGACTGGGAAGCTGAGCTGGGCGAGTCCGCTCCCGCTGCCGGTGGCGAGGCCGAAGCTCCCGCCGACGCTGCTCCTGCCGAGGAGGAGGGTGGCGGCATGGGCGGTGGCGGCTTGCTCGCTGCTCTGAGAAAGAACAAGAACAAGAAGGCGAAGAAGGGAAAGCCGGCCAATGACTTCGTCGAGGGCGAGGATGCCGGTCAGGATGCCAATGGTGGTGCCGATTTCGCCAGCAAGCAGCCTGAGGAGGGTACCTTTGATGAGGATGATGTGTTTGCTGGAAAGGCCAAGCCCAAGAAGGCTGCTGCGCCTGAGCCCAAGCAAGAAGAAGAGGAGGAAGGTGGCTTCCGTGTGAAGTCCAAGAAGGAGAAGGAGAGGGAGAAGAAGGAGCGCGAGAAGCAGCGTAAGAAGGAACAGGTACGTTCTACTGCTTGTTTGTGGTGCAATGATTGTGTTAAGCTTACGGCTTTTGTTGTATAGGCTGCCAAGAAGAAGACCACTGCTCCCGCTGAGAAGGAGAAGCCCGCCAAGGCCGAGCCTGTGAAGAAGGTCGAGGAAGCTGCTGCCCCCGCCCCTGCTGCGGTGGAAACTGGTGGCAAGAAGAAGAAGATCCCCGCGCACCTGCTTGCTATTCAGAAGCAACAGGAGGCTCTCCGGAAACAGCGCGAAGAGGAGGAGCGCCTGGCAGCCGAGGAGGCGGCTGCGGAGGAGGAGAAGCGTCTTCGTGAAGAGGAAGAAGAGAAGAAGAGGGAAGAGGCTCGCCAACGGAAGAAGGAGAAGGAGAAGGAGAAGAAGGAGCAGCTCCGCAGGGAAGGCAAGCTGCTCACTAAGGCCCAGAAGGAAGCCAAGGAGCGTAACGAGCGTCGCATGCAGCAGATGCTTGCCGCTGGTGGTGCCAAGGTTGCTGGTCTGGAAGAGGGCCAGGCTGAGAAGAAGCGCCCTGTCTACGACAACCGGAAGAAGAAGGGACCCAAGAAGCAGGAAGAGGACTTGGAAGCCGCTGCTGCCCGCGCCAAGGCCCAGCGCGAGGCCGAGGAGGAGCGCAGAAGAAAGGAGGAAGCGGAGAAGAAGGCTAAGGCTGAGGCTGAGGCTGCTGCTGCCGCCGCCGCCGCTGCCGGCGAAGAGAGTGAGCTCGAAGACTGGGAGAAGGCTGCTGATGCCGAGGACGTGAAGGACAGCTGGGATGCCCCTAGCGACGAGGAAGAGGAAGAGAAGCCGGCCACGAACGGCAAGGTTGCCGAGAAGACGGAAGAGGGCGAGGAGAGCGAGGAGGATTCTGACGAGTCTTCCTCCGAGGAGGACTCTGAGGATGAGGAGCAGTCTGCGGCACAGAAGGCGATTGCTCAAAGGAAGGCCGAGGCCGCCGAGCGCAGAAAGAAGCAGCACGAGGAGGCTCTGGCAGCCCGCTCGAAGGACAACCTGCGTTCTCCTATTTGCTGTATTCTGGGTCACGTCGATACCGGTAAGACCAAGTTGCTGGACAAGATTCGTCAGACCAACGTCCAGGAGGGTGAAGCTGGTGGTATCACCCAGCAAATCGGTGCTACTTACTTCCCTGTCGACGCGCTGCGCCAGAAGACGGCCGTGGTGAACAAGGATGGCTCTTTCGACTTCAAGATCCCCGGTCTGCTGGTCATCGATACCCCTGGTCACGAGTCCTTCTCCAACCTGCGTTCGAGAGGTTCGTCCCTTTGTAACATCGCCATCCTGGTTGTCGATATCATGCACGGTCTCGAGCCCCAGACGCTTGAGTCCATGAGGTTGCTCCGTGACCGCCGCACGCCTTTCATCGTTGCCCTTAACAAGATCGATCGTCTCTACGGCTGGAAGAAGATCGACAACAACGGCTTCCAGGAGAGTTTGGCTATGCAGAGCAAGGGCGTCCAGAACGAGTTCCGCACCCGTCTGGAGCGCACCAAGCTCCTGTTCGCTGAACAGGGTTTCAACTCGGAGCTGTTCTACGAGAACAAGTCCATGGCCCGCAATGTCTCCCTGGTGCCCACCTCGGCCCACACCGGTGAAGGTATCCCTGATATGCTGAAGCTGTTGACGACTCTGACCCAGGAGCGTATGACCAACTCCCTGATGTATCTGTCGGAGGTTGAGTGTACCGTTCTTGAGGTGAAGGTCATTGAGGGTCTCGGTACGACCATTGACGTTGTCCTGTCGAACGGTATCCTGCGCGAGGGTGATCGAATCGTGCTCTGTGGTCTGAACGGGCCTATAGCAACCAACATTCGAGCCCTGCTCACGCCGGCTCCTCTCAAGGAACTGCGTCTGAAGTCGCAGTATGTGCACAACAAGGAAGTCAAGGCTGCTCTTGGTGTCAAGATTGCCGCCAACGACCTTGAACAGGCCATTGCCGGTTCCCGTCTGATGGTTGTCGGACCCGATGACGATGAGGAGGACATTGAGGAGGAGGTCATGTCCGATCTGGAGAACCTGCTCAGCAAGGTCTCCCGTGATCAGCGTGGTGTCAGCGTGCAGGCGTCCACTCTTGGTTCCCTGGAGGCGCTGCTAGAGTTCCTCCGCGTCTCCAAGATTCCCGTCGCCAACATTTCCATTGGTCCTGTGTACAAGCGTGATGTCATGATGGCAGGTACCATGTTGGAGAAGGCCAAGGAGTACGCCGTTATGTTGTGTTTCGATGTCAAGGTGGACAAGGAAGCTGCTGCCTACGCCGAAGAAGTCGGCGTCAAGATCTTCACTGCCGACATCATCTACCACCTGTTTGATGACTTCACCAAGCACATGGCTGAGCTGGCGGAGCGCAGAAAGGAAGAGAGCAAGATGCTTGCCGTCTTCCCCTGTGTGCTGAAGACCGTGGCTGTGTTCAACAAGAAGGACCCGATCGTCATTGGTGTCGATGTCGCTGAGGGTAGTCTGCGGCTGCACACTCCTATCGCTGCTGTCAAGGCCAACCCGGAGACCGGCGCTAAGGAAATCATCGACCTTGGCAGAGTGTAAGTTTTTGCTCTCTCTTTTCCTTTTTATTTTGAACCATAACTAATCGTCTGCCCAGTGTCTCGATCGAACGTGATCACAAGCCCATCAACGTCTGCAAGAGAGGACAGCCTTCCGTTGCCGTCAAGATCGAGGGAAGCAACCAGCCCATGTACGGTCGCCAGCTGGAAGACAAGGACACGCTGTACTCCCACATCTCCCGTGCCAGTATCGATACGCTGAAGGAATTCTACCGCTCGGATGTCACGATGGAGGAATGGGGTCTCGTCAAGAAGCTCAAGCCTGTCTTTGACATCCCGTGATCGCCTGAACGATTACGTCTGTCACCCGGATGCCGACCATCCTGCTTGTCAGTTCTACGCCGCGGGCACTCACGTGAGTGCAGCTTGGCATGATGTTGGGTTTGGATAGGGGCACAGCCAATATGGCTGCAATCGTGGGATCGGATAGCGAGTGATGCGACATGGAGGAGGGAGGACACGCTTGGTGCACTCTCGAGACGAAAAGCAAAGAGAGCCTGCATGAGGAATGACTACGACTTTCTATCAAAAGCAAGATGCCTGTACATGACACGAGGGGTGGAAAAGTAAGCCGTGGTCGATACCTAGGTTTGTTTGTTAATGATAATTATGGATCTCGTTGAATTTTCAGTCTGAGTATAAGCATTTATACATCGCAGTATCATGCAAGTAAATATGCAATCTCCCCATCCCACATATTTACACCCACCCCTAATCCATACCCATACCTCCGTAAATAGAATAAACAGAAAGATCAATTATCATCCCCCTCCCACCTCTCCACCCGTCCCCCCTTCTTCGCCCAATCCAACCAACTCCCATCATAAACCCCAATCCTCTCCGCCTCATACCCCGCCTGCACCGCCAACTGCGCCGCCGCCCTGGCCCTCACCCCCGCCTTACAATAAAACACAATCTCGCCATCCCCCTTGACGCCCGGCTTAGGAAACCCAAACCGTGTCTCGAACTCCTCCTCCGTCAGGAACAGCGCGTCGGGCTGCGACGCCAGCGGCACGCTCACGGCGGAGGGGATGATCCCCGTGGAGGTTAATTCGGCGGGTTCGCGGACGTCGATCAGGATGAGGGATTTTTGGGGCATCGAGGGCGGGGAGGCTGGGGAGGTGGTGGGGAGGGAGGCAGTTATCTGGGCAGCAGGGAGCATGTTAGTTTGGGAGGTGGGTGGGTGTTCGGGACAGGGGATGGACGCACGTCTTCAAAGCCCCATTGGCGGAAAGAGGGTTCGTTGTCTCCAGTGGAGGATTGTTGGCGGATGGAGAGGGGGTGGAGGGGCTGGGGCACGGTGGTTCGAGGGAGGGTTCGGAGGGGAGTGCTGGTGGTGGTACTTTGGGGGAGGGAGGAGGATCGGGAGTTGAAGGATCGGGGGGCGATGGTTATGGAGCGGGTGAAGAGGGGGGTTTTGGTGGTGGTGAGGAGGGTTGAGGGGGTGCGGCGGAGAGGGAGGAGGGAGGCCATTGTTGATTGACTCTGCGAGGGTTGGTGATTTCGAATGGGAAGAGGCGGATAGTCTGGGGAAGTTAGCTGATGGCTTGTTGTTTGTGCTTTGGTGACCTCTGTCTGTGTTAAGGGAGTAGTCGGTGATTCGGGAGGAGGCAGTGTACTTACGCCCGTGCAGATGAGTTGATATTCCTGAGCTGCTGGAAGGCCAGTAGAATAGAATCGCGATGGAGAACAAAGAGTCGAGAAGAGAGGCCGGTTTCGGGTGATGTCAGTTGCGGAGCTGACCGCCTTCCGCTGGGGGCGTCCTGCATCGGCCGCTTTTGATGCAATGCTTCATTTGACTGCTTATCTACATGGGACGGTTGCAGGGATTATGCAGATTCTGCTACGAAAACTGATGCATCTTAGAGAAACTAAAGACTGTCTAATCTTTGAAAGTTCGCTCGCCCAAAAGCAGTGCAGCTGCTTGCTTCTAGTTTCAGCATACAAGCAAGAGGAGGGATTTGAATGGTTTGGCTTATATGGGTTGATTTAAGACCACATATATATATATATATATATATTCATTCATGTGTTCCATCTTGGACAATGAAGCACTTTGAAATGGTGTTCAGTAGCATGGTCCGAGACTGTCATGGTAACCTTCTTGGAATCTAGAAATCCAAGCAGATCATGCTCGTTATTCCGGACAGCCACTGGCTCATCAGGTCATGTCTTAGTGTTCCGGATTAGCGTACAGTTCACAATCTGCAGTTGTGCGCAGTCGCATCGAAATGCGGTAAGTTGCTAGATCCTGACGGAAGGTTCGCTGTGCTAGGCCATGCTGTAAATTGCCTATCATTACCTCCTATATTGGTTCGTGTGTCTATAGACAACGTAATCTGGTTCTGCGATTCCGAACAGAGCAAGCTCCTCAAGTTTACTTCGTTCCATAAATGCGCGTACAACCCTCAGGATCTCTATGCCGACATGTTTCTATCATTAACAGTTTCATGCACTCATAATGCACAGTGTGAAACAAGTGATCCATCTCGTGCATTGAACCATCTGAGGAAAAGCAATCTCCTGGTTGACAGGACTGGACTTGGCAAAGGGGCATCAAGCTCAGACGTCTTATTTGATTGATTCGAGTTTGTATGTCTGGAGGAAAGCTTGTCATGCTTCGCGGGAGTTAAATGCTCCAACGTTTGCTGTACGGTACTGAGATGCGATGACCGATGATTGACATCTATAATTAGCGTCAATAATCGCTTAGGAATCGGCATTGTATGGCTTTGGGGGTTTGATATGGTATAGGGGACCGCTGGTATCCGTACTAGAAATGAGATCTTGTAAACCGAAAATGTAGCATGGCACCTGGCTGTAGGGGGGTCATGAGATGTGGGTTCAAAAAGTCCATCCTAGAGGGGATAGGTGATCTTATATGTCAGTGTGGCTTGGTGAAGACGGCGTCTGTTGTGTGAATACTCCGTAGTTACTGACGAATCGAAGAGAGCTTGGGCATGATGTTTATTCAACAACTCCTGTGTGAAGGAAGGATATTGATACAATGGCATGGATTAAGTAAAACGCCGACAATTTAAATAGCTCAAATGTCACATTATTATGATTAATCTAGGTACCGTGGTCTAAAAATGACATGTCCCTTCAATGCGTCGCTCATCGTGGAAGCTGACGTGGGTCGTTTCGATATCATATACTCCAGACACCCTGACCTCGGTGTCGGTGCCTCCGGACGGAGAGGCCAGTAGCCGCACCTCAAAAGGTCGACGGTCCGCATCTTCCACCCAACGTCCAAGACTGGAAGTCTGGGGAAAGAAAAACAATACTACAAGTAGATACATTTTCGAGAAGGGAAGGAAAAAGGAAAAATGCCTGCAACCATTCTATCACCAGGATAGAAAAGGCACCCGTAGTCACGAAGCAGGCGCTTGTCTGTGTTCAGCAGGCCAGGTATCCGGCATGTCGTGACGTTATAGCGCCTGGTGTCTTCAGCAAGACAGCAGAAACGCCTAAGGGCGGGGACGGAATGAAAGCAGGCAATCATCCTGGATTTTGTCAGCTTCAGACCTAGGGCTAAATGACGCAAGGAACATATACATACCTGAGGGAAGATTGTAGCAAAGACCTTGATATCTTCCGACTCGGGAGTGGGAGTGTGCTCCCAGTCCATTTCCATACTGGCCTTGCCGATCATCGCCATCAGGTTCAGCTGGGCGTAGGTCTGACCCAGGCAGTAGTGGGGTCCAGTACCGAAGACGAGCCAGTTCTTGGTCTGCTGCTCGGCGGTACCAGTAATCCAGCGGTCAGGGTCGAAAGAGTCAGCGTTGGGGTAGGCCTCCTCATCGTGGCAGGCGGGCCACACCGAGGGGATGATCATGGAACCCTTGGTCACAGTGACCTTGTCGGTGATAGGGAAATCCTTCTTGACCAAGTAGGGAACCATGATGACGGGAGGGCGGTAGCGCAGAGTCTCCTTGACCACGGCACGAGTGTAGGTCATGTTGTCAAGCAACTCCATGGTCAGAGGGGCCTTGACATCACCGTTGCGAACGCGCAGGTTCTCCTCGCGGACCTTGTCAAGAACATCGGGGCGATCAGCCATGAGCTGGAACAGCCAGGTCGAGGCAGCACTGGTGGCATCCTGGGAAGCAAACAAGAAGGTGAAAACGGTCTGGGCGATTTCGTAATCGGTGAAGTCACGCAGGAGCTGGGGAGGCTTCTCATTGGTGTCAACGGGGACGCCCTGGGCAAGCTTCTCACGGTACTTGGCAGAATCCTGCTGAGCCTTGACCCACGCATCCATGATACACGAGATGTCTCCGCCGGCAGCCATACGGGCCTTGCTCTTAGCGGCACACTTGGAGAACTCGGCCAAAACCATGTCGGCGGCCTTCTTGCCGTACCAGGCCTTGGTGTAAGGCAAGATGAAGGGGAAGTTGACCAGCTCCAGGGCGGCAGTGATCATGTAGTAGTCATCGGCGATCTTCTGAATGGCTTCTTCGGTGATGTAGTGGCCGACAAAGGTACGGCAGGACACGGCACACATGAGCTCACGGAATTCGGGCATCCAGGGAGTGGGCTTGCAGTTGTTCTCCTTGGAGATTCGCAGGAAGCGGGCGTAATAATCGTTGTAGACCTCCTCCATGCGAGGAAGGTAGAAAGAGAGGGCCTGGCGCGTGAAGAGACCGTTGAGACCCTTACGGAATTCAACGTGGTCTTTGCCATCCAGGAAGACCCAGTTGTCCGCACCAAGAAGCTTGTGCGCAACATCGACAACGCAAGGCTTGACGTAGGTAGGCGAGTTGAAGATCTTGCGCGACATGTCGCGAGTGGATGCGATAACAACGAATCTATGGTCAAATACGTTAGAAATCAGATCTCGTGCGGCCATAGGCCTAGCCATATGACCCGAGACATGTCGCGAAAACCGATGACTTACTTGTGGAAGACGGAAACGCAGCTCAGGTCTCCGCTGTCCCATTTGGCCTTGTACTCGTGGAACTTGGGGTTGACCGACTGGAGGAAAGGTCCCATGAAAGGCAGCTTCCATGCCGGGCCGACAATGGAGCCCTTCTGCCAGAGGTACCGGACTGTGCAATGGGTTAGATCTATACTTGACTTTGGCTTTCTCAGGCCAATGTTGGGTCGAAAAACCTACATTGATCGTAGATAACGGCGCCGATAAACAAAGTCAACAAGGCCTTCCACACCGTGAAGCCCTCGAGGACGGAGGCGAGGAGACCGGTGGGCTCGAAGAGCCTGGGAGAGACGACAGCATCAGCCGAGGGGGAGACAAAGCTCCCATTGATGGTGGCCATGTCGGGCGATCAATTGAGCCGGAAAAGTGTCTCCAACGGGGGTAGGGAAGGAGAGGGAGGAGGAGGACCAGAGGGCGGCGGCGGAGGAAAAGAAGAGGAAACGAATCCAGGGGAGACGCAACTCTAATTTCGGGGCAGAATTATTGGCGAGGAAAAACGAAGTGGTCACTCTGGATTGGGGCGGAGGGCCGGCTGGGCGGTCCAGCAGGCAGTCCGGCAGCGTCGGTGGCCCCAGGCACGCCGGATCGGCAGTAAATCAGTAGACGAGGGCGTACAGCTTACGGAGTAGTACGGAGTACAGTTTACACAATGACAGTAGGGCCAGTGTTTACGATGAGGTTGACTCGTAACTCGTATAGACTCTGAAGAACCAGGATACGACCAGGGTACGAAGTAAAGCCAGTAAGTAGATCGTGTGATGATGCGCGGCAGGATTAATTAAGTGCACAAAGAACAACGACACTGTGCAGCCTGTGGCTTACGTGAGAACCTAACGATCCCTGCTCTTCTGTCTGCGCACGAGAGATGTGGGGGAAATTGAGCCTGCCCCTGGATGCTGGATCGTTCGTATCCGTGTCCGTATTGACCGCCTGCATGATTACTTCCGGGTTCCGACTCCTTCGAGATTCGTTGCAACTTTGGCAAGATCGTTCTGCTCAAGCGCAATGAGGTCCAGCCCCCACAGCCAATTAGATGTCCCGCAGCTCGGTTGGCAGGCGACCCTTGCTGCTTCGAGAAGTTCACTAGGCTGAAGCTGGCTAGTCTGCGTTACTAGCCCAGGCACCTATTGAACAAGGGACGACATTTCCATCCAATCGCATGTCCCAGTGGTTCTGTATGCCCGACGGGACGGAGCATCTCAGGTTCGCATGATTACACGACCTAGTAATGTGCACATGTCTCCTTACGGACCCCTTTAGGCCTTAGATGTCATCTGTGCGACATGAAGCAATTAAAATAATGTAGGTTGGATGGTCCTACACCTATCTCCACGTCATTTTAGTGCAGTAATGCACAAGCCCATCTGGTCCCAAAGCACAGGGTAGTATAGTCCTCGAGATATATATCCCTGCCCATATAGTCTTTCACCGAACCTGGCATTTAGCATCAATGCCTGCAGCGAAGACATTTCTTACGCAGTAGAGTGCCAATAAGCCACAAAATTACAGACAGAGCACGACAGAACCCATCCACAGTTCGTTGTATAGCCAGCCCCCGGAGGCTGAAGCCCAAACGCCTTCGCATCGTGTGGCTGGCTCACAGATCGCATATTACTAATGCCACAATAACGCTTCCTCGGGCCTTGGTCTAATAAGAGCAATGTTACCGGCCACAACGGACCTTGGCCCAGCAACGCAAATTGCCATCACACCATTTGTTAAACCTGAACAGGTGATCCGGCTGTCAAAGTTCCGAGTGGATGCTGCTCGGCTTATCCGTATGGCCCGTGCTTTTCCACGGGGAACTGTGGCTTGTCCCTTTACAGGTTACAGCTTACCAACATTCGGAGACCCCGATCTAGGTCACGTTCCGTGTATTGCCAGGAGGTGAGACGAAAGGGAGGCCGCTGCTTATCTGGCATAGTGGTATTATTAGGGTTTGCTGAGGTGGAAACTTGTGGTGCAAGCCCGACTCCGTCGTATACAGGGGAATGCAATATACCCCGGGAGACGATTGTGTTTCACTATCATGTGAATGGTATCCTTCCTGTGATATTCTATTTCTCTTGAAATCTTATCCCTACGATACCCAAGCAGAGGGGGGATGGTTGGGTATGCCCCGAATCAGAGAACCAAGGAGAATAGGTCGTCTTATCCCAGAGCCAAAGATATGCTCAGCATAGCTATTCGACTGATCGCAGTATCGTCATCGTCAGATTTACTATGTACTTTAGTTATAGCCCGGCAAATACCGAGCTGCAACAGCAAATTAAAGGTTTCATGGCAATAGTAGCCAAGGAGATCGGATGACCCATCCGGCAGCCCTAATCATTGGCAGGTTACCGACCAAAGCCAAACCAGCCGCGTCGTCCACCCTTCTTTTCCTCTGCCCCTGTCTCGGGCTGAACTGGAGCTCTATCCTGAGTGGGCATGTCTTGACGAGGGTAGTCGATATAGTTCCAAGCCACGTCAAGGAACAAAGGCTTCACGGGAACGGGTTGCATCTGAGGAGGATACGGGACGATGTTGGTCAAGTCTAGAGCGTCACCAGCATATTCGTGTAGACGCTCAACCGCCGGGCGCTGGGTAGTAGACGTTGCTTGCGCTTCGGCGGACAACTTCTCCAGAGTAACCAAGCCACGGTATTGCGCGACCAAACCCTTCAGGGTCGATTCGAGGTTCTGGATCTGGCTACGTGAGATATCAAGCCTCGGTGGCCCTTCCGTTTCAGCTGAGGACTGCGAGGACCGTGCGGCTTCTGTGACAAGGGCCAAAGCCTGCGCGAACAGGGCAAGGGCGTTCGTGGACTTGCCAAGGATTCCGTGCGACCGTCCAATGGTCAGGCATCTGAGATAACACCTGTTAGCACACGAGGCTGCGGATAGAGGGCAATGTACTGTACCTTAAAGCACGGAAATACCGCCGTTTTGCATCTAGCTCGCGAACAAAGGCCGTGTCAGCGGCAACTCCGGGAAGCTCAAGGATGAACTCGATACTCTGGAGAGTGGAGTCATACAGGACGACTCGCTCACGCAGCCGTGCCAGCTTTCTACCAGTAGCCTCATCTTGTTTAGCAGAAGCCTTGGCACCCTTGGGCAGTTTGGCCGGGACCGACTCGAAAGAGGTGCCGTCATTTTCTCCGCAGAGGACACGGTTTCGTCCGATTCTCCACCCGACCAGATCATAATTCACAGCAGTCCGTGTTATTTGCAGCGCCTGCATTCTCTTATCACTAGGGTCAACTCCCTCTCCAATGAGATCATCAATGGCGGTCTTGGTAGCATCGACGGCATCTTGACTGGCAATGATCACATTATCGTAGGCAGCGGCCTTGTCTTTTGAAGACGCAGATTTCCCCGCGCTCTCCGCAAGCCACGTACCCAGGCGAGTCTCGGCTGCAGCGGCGGCCGCGAGAGCTTGCGAGATCGCGGCATCCTCCAAGCCAACTGTATGCGACCTCCATGTGATACTCTCAGGAAGTTGCTGCACTTCCCCGTCCGCAGTCCTCCGTGTGCCCGCTGCCTCCTCCTTCAGACAGTTGGGATCCAGTTTCTCAACCTCTGACCTGATGGTCACATCCGCTGGGAAATAGCTAAGAGCCAGAGACGGGATGGGCTTTGACCGCGGGAGCTTCAGCTGATAGGCTGCGTATCTTATGCTGGGGTCGACCGTGCCGGAGAGGAGGTCTCGGAAAGCGTCCTTCTTGACCTGCTGACCCAGGGTCGCGTATATGACTCTGGAGATGGAGTAGTGCTGAAGGCATTGCTCCCAGTTTCGCTTCTCCAAGTAAAGGGCGCCCAAGAGCGACGCTAGGTATGCGCGAGCTTCGAGGATATCAGTGTCCGCAGCCCCAGAGGTCGCCTGCTCCTCGAGAATGAGCACCAATTGCCTTGCATAGGTGGCCGCCTTCTGAAGCTTCGAGATAATATGGCGTCTGGTTGCACCACTGATTCCCTTCGCCGACGGATCTGCCGAGTGAGTGGACTTCATAAGCATGGCATGCGCCCATGCTCGTTCAGCGCTGATGAGGAGGACGTGAGCATATCTAGAAAAGTCACGAAATTAGTCCTGGAAGTGTAGATGACCGAAAGCTTTTTCATGTGGTATCAGAGGACATACTCCACGCTGCTGCTCACATCTTCGGCCGTCACAGGTCGTTTCGCAGTGTACTTGCGGCCTTTGGGCGTCGTCTGGCCGAGTCGTTGGCGGACCTTGTGCAATTTGCGGGTGGTGTGGGTTCGGTAGGCATTGTAGTTGCCAGTCAGGAGACTGTCCTCTCGCTGGGAGAAAATAAAATCGGTGATGTCCATGGTACCCGCAAGAATCGTGAGCTGCTGGGCGAGAATGGGTGGTGTTCCCACCTGACAGAGTGCGGGCTGAGGTGGCCAGGTCTCGGCCAAACAAATCCCCGGCTGATTTCGCGGGATTCTCTTTTCCAGCATCGGCCAAGCTTGCTGCTCGACCTTCTCGAAAATTATTCCGCGTCACCATCCCGGCCATCGAACCACCCACTTGGCTTTTCTGCTTGGAGCTTTTGGTTTTCCTCCCTCTCGAGCAGATCTCTGCACTCAATCTTCCTAGGCGGAGCAGCCAGTTAGCGGCAGGCTGTGAGCTTCGTGCACAAGATTGCTTTGCTTGGTACGGCCTGCCTCCCTTTGGCACCCTGCACATTGCTGCATGACCAATTATCTGACTTCAACTCGCCTCGAATACAGCTTCGGTCCCGATATGTTATGCATCACAATCAGTCTTCGGTGAATTTAGGGTTTGGCACCGCAATCTCTCGAGGTAATGCTGGAACGGGCTGCCGGATGCCTTGAGAACGCAGGACGGCGTTTCTTCCGGGATCCTAATGGCGCAATTCGAGGTCGGGGCTCGATATATTCAGCTCTCGGGCAGTACACTAGCGCGGGGACGGATCTTTTGGTCTTACTACAGCCACCGCAACGATCCGCGTCCAATAATTCAAACGCCTCATCAACAACGGGAAGGACAGCCACGGATCCACGGCCCCCCGTCCTCGAGTTCCTCTATCCACCACGCACACAGGAGTTTATAGCGTCATGCCTGCTACGCTCCCCGAGAAGGCTCGTCCCGCGACGCAGGAAGAAGGCCATTCCTGGCCTTTCCCGAAACTACTCTACGGAAGCTGCCGGTCTAGATCGGAGTGTCGAGACCGAGAGCCAATTATTCGACGACTCTGTTGAGATTATTGCCGACGAGGACCGCGCTTTGGCCAAAGATGAGCTACGAGAGATGCTAGATGACGATGAATTTCAGGACTACGACGAAGCATGGGCTCTTTATTCGAAAGCCGGCCACCCTCTCGACCTGGCTTCGGCATTACTTGCAAGTCTTAGCCGCTCGGATCGAGAGCTCGATAGCAAAAGAGCTAAGCGACTGCTCAGTTCAATACCTGCCGAGGCGCGGTCCTCTGAGGATTTCATGCACCTGGCTAAATCTTATTTGACCGTGGGAAATTTTCTGGATGCGAATGAAACATGCCGGGAAGCGATTTCTCATGGCCGCGGCCTGTCATGCTGGTCATTTTCTTTTGCACACATTATCAACAATGAGCAGTGGGACTGGGTGCAAGATATCTGGGATTCAAGGCCTTCGTGCGAGGAGACTGATCTCTGGCGTTCTGTTGCCTCTTGGCTAATCTCATCTTCCATACAAAAGCCCTTGCTTTCATTGGCAGATTACTTACAAGATCAGAGTGATGATAGCCCAGTACGCAATATTGCTCGTTTCTTACTGGATTATGTCTTCGCCAGCGCAGACTTTGCTGAAGCCACCCCGACAGAAACCCTTCTAATACTCCTGCAAAAACTCAACAATTTGGATCTAGTCAGTGTCCAGAACTATCTTAGCCTCATCAGGACCCTCCAGGCATCCGAGCACCGCCCGACGTTTGTTCGATCCATCGTGGTTTACCGGAACTTTCGTTGGCAGATGGAAGAGGAAATTCCGCCCGCAAAGCTTCTTGGTCAGCTCTTGAGACGTCTGGCTTCATTTGAGATTACCACTGGTATCTTGTATTTTCTGGATGAGCTTGCTTGGTTTCATCGCAAGCCATCGGTGGACGCTTATAAGCAGGCACTTATAGCCTTTTCGAGGGCCGGTGATGTGACTAACGTCCACCATGTATTCGAGAGACTCGTTTCAGACCACGGAAACCCACGAAGCCGTAGACTCTTGTCGCCACTTCTTTACGTTTACGCTAGAATTGGCGATGTCCAAGAGACCACGCGCCAGTTCCGAAGGATCTCCGAAGAGTTCGGCCTCGAGCCAGATACTGTGTGTTGGAATATTCTGCTCACAGCTTATTCCAAAGCGGGCAATCTCACAGGGACCTTTACCACGTTCAAGCAAATGCTTGACAAGGGTATTGAACCCAACCCGCATACTTTTGGTACAATGATGGGTCTTTGTGCCAATCGGGGTGATGTCGACCATGTCCGGGATCTGTTGGACTTGGCCCAACAATACAAGGTACAGATAACGGCGCCGTTGATCGATACAGTCGTGGAGGCCTACTGCAACAATCAAGAATGGGACATGGCTGAGAACGTTGCGGAGACTTGCCTCGGGTTGGATGTCAAGGGCTCTCGAGTGAGAATGTGGAACATCTTACTCTGGAACTACGCGTTTAGGATGGACCTGGAAGGCATTTCCAGAGTTCGCGCGCGCATGGATGCAGCAGGGCTGCAGCCTGACGATATGACTTATGCCGCTCTCATGCTCAGTCTGGTGCTCATTGGTCAGACGGATTCTGCCCGTCGCATCCTTCGTACGCTTCACCGAGGCCGTCGAGTGTATGCTACCGAGTTCCATTACGCAGTCATCCTGTATGGTTATCTAAGGGATCGGAATCGGGACATGGTTCATATTGTCTTCCGTGAAATCAAGGAGCGATTCAACCAGCCAGGACTTGGCTCAAGGCTGCTTGTCCTCCGGAGTCAGATCCAGCGAGATTTGCAGCTCGTGGCACACGGTGGTAAGGCCGGGATTAATGCAAGTCTTCGCCTCGAAAACTCGGAGAAGTTCCTTGCAGAGGTTCTCGCAGATTACCACACTACCAAACTGGCGACAAAGTATCCCTTGCTGGGTTCTGGCAGGATGTCTGCCAGGAAGGCTTTCCCTGCTGTGTACTACGAATACATCATCTCTGCCTATGGCATGAAGGGGGCCTATAAATCGGCTCGGAAGCTGTTCGATGAATATATTGCCAGTCAACCGATCAGAGACCCGGAAAATGACCATGACATCGCGCCACTCCGCCTGCTGTCTGCGTTGATGCGCGCACACTTGAAGGCTGAACAATATGACAAGGTCGAAGAATGCTGGAACTTGGTCTTCCCTCGCGCTTTGAAGATCGCCAGCCCCAGTTCCCCTGAGATTGACGAGTGGCTTTCTGCTCAGCTTAATCCAGCCACCCCACCCCTTCCCTCTCATGCGGAGCTCGTGGTAAATGTCGACAGTGAGGCCAAATTTGCCGAGAAGGAGAAGCCCTCGATCTTACCGGCGTACCGCTTCATGCTATCTCGCCCCCTCTCGTTGTATATGCGTTCTTTGGCTTATGGGAACGAGGTCTGGAAGATCTCCGATGTTATCGCAAATTACGTCGAGGCAGGCTTCTCAATGACAACCTTCAATTGGTCCACCTTCGTGCAGATGCTCGCATCTTCAGACAGATTGTCCGATCAAGTCGAAGCCTTCTCTGTTTTCGAGGAAAAGTTTATGCCAAACTTTCCTGGATGGAATAATCTTCGTCGAGGATATGGTCGAAGGCCTCCTGAGGTGCCTGCTACCATCGATGCGATGGAGGATCCGAGACGCGCCAAGCCTCCTAATGTGCTAGGAAAAGAGAGCCGGCGATACTGGAGCAAAATGCAGCCAGATTTCATGCAGCCCACTTACGTGTCCATGGTATATCTGGCTGCTGCCTTGCAGCGGCTGCGTGAAAGAAGTATTTACTATGGGGGAACGGATCTCCAAGCTATCTATGATGCTGCACCAATGACTGTCGCAGCAGTTGCCGAGATGCCTTACCTTCGTGAAAAGTTCCAAGGTGTGCTGCTTCGACGTCGGCAGGAGCAAGGTGATAACCTGGACGATGCCCTTGGACGCGATCACTTCGTATGGACAGGCGGTATTCTTGGAGTGGGCGGTCAGGCCAGATCTGACTCGCAAGTTGAGCCGGTCCCTGAATCCACTGAGGAAGATAGAGGTGCGACTGAAGAAGAGAGCACCGCCTCTAAGGAAACCGACGAGCCTTCCCCCATCGCGGTCCGTTCTGATGAGGCCGCTGCCCAATATTCCGAGGCTGAACCATCTCCCTTCAAAAAGACCATCGACTACCCAGACGAATATGACATTGAGGCCGAGACTCTCCTAGAAGAGAGGGACAAGGAAATGGGAACGAAGGAGGAACTGATGGATGATGAGAGTCTCGTGGAATACGATGACGAAGATGAAGACGACGACCTGGAGGAGTCGGAGTTTGAAGAGGAAGAAGAGGGAGAATACGAAGAAGAAGAGGAAGATTACCTTGATGCCGACGACCAGGACGATATGTACGACCCTGAAGGCGAGGAGGAGACCAGATAGACGTGTATTTTTAGGATGTGCTCCATGTAGGGGTCGGGTGTTCTGGTTTGACGTGTATATATATCTGTGTATAAAGACTTGAATGTACAGTACTACCAAAGCCTATTGAGAGCTCCTCCCTATCCAAACAATCCTGCTGTGAACAGAGTGACCATTAGTGTCCAGTTTGTCGTTAACTACTATTAGGACCTGTGTACACTTGCGCTTAGTTATGCGTGGCTTGTGCGGACATTGACTCAGCAGATAGTAGCGACACGGGTCAACGCGTCTGACCGCACACGCGTTCTAATATTACCCTATTGGGTGGTCGCGTATGGCAACCAAGCTGAAAGATCCTCCGGCAACCCACCCTTCCCCATCAAGGAGGATCAAAAATCACCACTGGAATTCTGCGCGCTTGCTTTTCACCACCAGACCCCACCATTTCAATCATTTGTTTCAGCCTTCTCATTGCCAATTTTCACTAGATACCCCCTTTTGTTAGCAGTCCGTGGGAAAGTTCGGCGCCATGGAGGGACAGTTTGACGACGCCGCACAAGATCGAGTGCGTGCCGCCGTCGAGTTTCTTGACCCGAGTAAGCACTGGAGACTTGCCTCACGCAATGTATCAATCTAACTGACTTTCTTTCTAGGCGATGCTAGGGCGCGCAGGTCTGTCCTCGATCAATCGCCCTTACATGGGAAGACTACGCCATGACAGGCGCTAACCGGAAATTAGTTATCGAGCTGACATCCTGTTGATGTTAAACCGAGGACTGCGTCGTTTGATAGTATGCATACAGCCTCGTTCATCGGAAACCGCATGTCTGTTCCCAAAGCTAACATCTACGCGCTGCGCAGGTTAGCATCGATGAAATCCGAGCGCATAACCGTGAGATGGCCGATGGGTAGGATACGCTAGCTCTTGCATACACACACCGAGGCTAATCGCATACAGCCTTCTCACGTCACCTTATGAATACGCCGAAGCCTTCGAAAAGGCCCTCAAAGAGATTATCAAGACTTTGCCGAATCGGCCGTCCAGGGAAACGGCAGACGACGTGGTATGGGATTTGAGGTTTCTGGAATATTTCTACGGATTCTAACAGAGTCCAGAACTACCACTGCGGTTTTGTCGGCGCATTCGGAGAATTTTCCTGCAACCCCAGGACATTGGGGTCTTCTCATTTGAACCGGATGATCTCCCTCGAGGGTATTGTCACAAAGTGCTCCTTGGTCCGCCCCAAGGTCATACAGAGTGTGCATTGGAGTGAGCGCGGCCAAAAGTTCCTCACGAGAAAATACGTCGATGCGACGATGACCGCTAGTGGAGCGACGAGCATGAGCATCTATCCTCAAGAAGACGACGAGAAGAACCCGGTATGTTTTTGCAGTTGAATGTTGGTGCCTGGGACTAATAGTATTGCCAACTTAGCTCGTCACAGAGTACGGTTTCTCGACGTATATGGATCACCAGACGATCTCGATTCAAGAAATGCCCGAAAGAGCTCCGGCTGGCCAACTGCCTCGAAGCGTGGATGTGATCGTTGACGATGACTTGGTTGATCGCGCTAAACCAGGAGACAGAATTCAGTTGGTGGGAATCTACCGCTCACTGGGTAACCGGAACGCCTCCTCTACTTCTGCGACGTTCCGCACCCTTGTACTCGCCAACAACATCATCCAGCTGTCCTCGAAGTCCGGCGGTGGAATTGCGCAGGCCACCATCACCGACACTGACATCCGCAATATCAACAAGGTTTCCAAGAAGAAGGGCGTCTTCGAACTGTTGTCACACTCTCTGGCTCCTAGTATATACGGACACGACTACATTAAGAAGGCGATCTTGCTCATGCTGTTGGGTGGTATGGAGAAGAACTTGGACAACGGCACACACTTGCGTGGTGATATCAACATTCTCATGGTTGGTGACCCGTCCACCGCCAAGTCCCAGCTGCTTCGTTTCGTCTTGAACACTGCGCCGCTTGCGATTGCAACTACAGGTCGAGGATCTTCCGGTGTCGGTCTTACGGCTGCCGTCACATCCGACAAGGAGACTGGCGAGCGGAGACTTGAGGCCGGTGCGATGGTTCTTGGTGATCGTGGTGTGGTTTGTATTGATGAGTTCGATAAGATGAGTGATGTCGATCGTGTGGCTATCCATGAAGTTATGGAACAACAAACAGTCACAATCGCGAAGGCCGGTATCCACACGAGCTTGAACGCCCGGTGTAGTGTCCTGGCGGCCGCTAACCCCATCTATGGACAATATGACCCCCACAAGGATCCTCACAAGAACATCGCACTGCCAGACTCTCTGCTGTCGCGTTTCGATTTGCTCTTCGTTGTGACGGATGATATCGAGGATTCTCGAGACAGGATGGTGTCAGAGCATGTTCTGCGTATGCACCGCTACCGCCAGCCCGGCATGGAGGAAGGCGCTCCTGTTCGCGAACAACTTCACCAAACGCTCGGCGTCGGCCTTGAGGACACCCAAGACTCCAACCAACCGACTGATGTATACGAGAAGTTCAATGTCATGCTGCACGCTGGTATGGCCAACATGAGCCGGAGCAAGGGAAAGAACATCGAGATTCTCAGCATCCCCTTCATCAAGAAATACATCCAATATGCCAAATCCCGGGTTAAGCCTGTTTTGACCAAGGGAGCCGCTGACCACATTGTCTCAACCTATTCTGCCCTGAGAAACGACGAGCTGTCAGGTAACCAGCGCAGAACATCACCTATCACCGCTCGTACCCTGGAAACCCTGATTCGTCTGTCCACCGCTCACGCCAAATCACGCCTCTCCAACAGAGTCGAGGAACGGGATGCCAAGGTTGCAGAGTCTATCCTTCGGTTCGCCATGTTCAAGGAAATCCTCGAAGATGAGCGCCGGAAGAGGAGAAAGGTCGCTTCCTTCGACGAGGATTCCGAAGATAACGAATCCGATTCCGATGACGACAATAGCACCCCGGCACAAACATCCAGCGCCACCCCTCGGAGGTCGGGTCTCCGAACCCGTGGAGCCAATGCTCGTTCTGGTACCAACGAGGACACGGAAATGGACGCGGACGGGGATGCTGTCTCCGAGGATGGTGATGGCTTGTACAATGCCAGCCCCCGCGGTGAACGGCTCCGTTCTAGTCAAACATCCCGCACGCAGACACAAACCCAGAGCCAATCGCGGATGTCTGTGGCTTCATCTCAGCCCGAATCACAGCTCGTCCAGTCACAGACGGACAACTCGCAGTCACAGACGGCTAGTGCTTTATCTCAGATCCAGCCCGCTCGCTTGGCGACGTTCCGCCAGACTCTGGGCCGGCTGGTGGGCACTCGACTGTTCACTCACGGTGATGAGACCGACGTCGAAACACTCATCGGAGCCGTGAACACCGCGCTGCGCAGCACACCCTCGCTCGGCGAGGGACATGTCTTCCAGCGAGCGGAAGCAATCCAGGCCCTGAAGGCTATGAACGAGAAAAACGAATTGATGTAAGCCCCCGTCCTAACAAACAAGTTCTCCCCCCGGCTCAGCTTGACCCAATACTAACAAAATTCTTTCAAAACAGGTACATTGAAGATGACGAAACCGTCTACAGAATCTAATCAACCCCCCGGGGGGCTCATTCAACAAGATCACACGACTTAGAAATGAAAATGGATAACTTGACGGCGGAATCGGGACAGCGCATGCACATGATTCTTCATTCCTCTTATTTCTCTTCGGGACCGCTTCCATAAATCTCTCTTATTAATGCACGAATAGTTAGGCGTCACGGATAATTTGTTTACTTTTCATTATGATTTCTTTTCTTCGAGCTTTATCTAGGTAGATATTTGTTCCGTACGGAGTACTACTACTAGTTTACAAGTAGTTTCCCGTGTCGTCGAATCAATGTATGACCCCTGACATTAGACCCGGAATTGAGTTTCTGCTTGAAACTTAGACCGTCGTTCCTTTTCTTTCTTAGGTTCAGTTTTACCCCGTACTCCGCTCTCCGTCCGTACTTAACTTGCGCTTTCTCCCGCGGCCCCTTACATCCCGCAGCGCAGGATGCAAGTATCAGTTCCCGGGAACTTAATTAACCGGTTAGTGCGGAGTAGTTGCGGTTGTATATGTAGTTACTGAACGATTACTCCACAAGGGTAAAAGAAATGAAACAGGAGAGAGAAGAGCGAAGTCATATATGCGCGTGTATACTATCCAGGGTGATCTAATGCTTCCTGTCTTGTTTTTCTAGTCGGGTTGAATCACAGATTGATGATGTCGCTCACTTTTCTTGATGCCAGTGGGAAGGGGGATTTGAATGTAAGAGTATAGGTATTAAAAAGGATACAAGATGGGATCTCGGAGGAGGGATACCGAAACAAAGCATGGGGGAAAAAGGGGAGAGAAGAACTAGATAGGCAGGCGAAACAAGAGAGGACTGTTCATTTCGACCTAAGTACGGAGACATAAGTACATCGAGACAGTGATGTGGCTGGTGGTGATGATCAATCAGACCAGGGTATATTATTGACAACGCACAGGGGTTGGACTAGACCAGAATGGGTAGGAGTATGATGATGGTGATGATGATATGCTATTCAACGCCGTCTTCCTTGGGTTTCTCCTTCTCGCTGGGGGTGCCCATGAAGGAGGAATCGTCGGAGGAGAACGATGGGGTGCGTACGCCCTCTCGGATCTGTGCTTGCGTCAAGGGAGACAGGCCGCGAGTGGCTGTCTTGGATCCCCTCTTCTTTCGCGCTTGCTGGATATGCTGCTCTGTGCCTGGACTCGTGCTTCCGCGCCGGGGACGGCCACTCACGGAGGACCTGGACGGGGGTCGGTCGTCGGTGTCCACGGGGGTGGTGCTGCGGGAGGGAGTCCGGGAGTGCGACTCGGAGCGTGTGCCGCGACGGGAGGGAGATTTGGGCTCGTGGATGTGCTTGGAGATACTGGAATGGTGGTGGTGAGAGCGATGTTGAACCTTGTCGGCGTCTGCGGGTCGGCTGACCGTCGCGGCCGCGACTCGCCGGCGTTGCGACGCCTTCCAACCAAGTCCGAACCACCAGAACCAGCCCCCAAATTGCTGAGCTAGCTGGCGCTCTTTTTGGCGCAGTTTCTGGCGCAGTTGGGCCCGACGATCATTCTCCTTCTCCCAGAATTCGCTGCGGTATTCATCCCAGTTCTCCCGGAACTCCGGCGAAAATGACTTGGGTAGTAGAAGAAGCCGAATGTAGTCGCCCCCCGGGCTGAGATCCTCCTGGACGAGACCCGATTCCGTGTCGTGGTTGTAGTACTGCTGGTAGTGCTGCCGACTACCGCGTTTCTCGGCCACGGGACGCTCCACGTAGTGAAAATCTCCTACTGGTGACGGGAAAAAGGGTGCGGAGAAGGGAAATAAGAAGGAGAGGTAGGAGAAAAGCTCCTGCCACCAGGGACCTCGGATGACCACGATCTTGGTGTTCATGGTGCGGAGGCCGCGGTTGGCCACGGCGAGCCAGCGCCGCGGCCAACGGACTCCACGTTCCCATTGCCCTGTTCCCCAGACCAGTAGCGCAGTGACCACGCCACCCATCAGAGCGACCTTTTCTCCCATCTCAACCACCCAGTAAACCGATCCACCGACGCCGCGGCCATCTTCGCGCGGGCGGAGAAAGAGCGCGTAGGCAAAGTAGGTGATCCAGGCGGCAAGCAAGAGAAGGAAAAAAGTATTTTGTCGACGACGTTCTCGTAGAGCCAGATACTGCGCTCGTAGCGAGCTCTCCAGGATGAGGAGATTCAGGTAGATTTGGGGTGGGGAAGAGGGGAGAGTCGACAGTGGATCGGGCGTCGACGAACGAGGCGGGGAAGACCGATCGGACGAGGGAGTATAGCTTTGAGAGGCGGGCGCCAACGATTCGGACGACGAGGTTGTAGACGAGGCGAGACGATTGGTGGGAGCTGGAGAGCCCTTGACCAGCTGGTCGAGGCTTGCTGAAGCCATGGTGCCTCGAAAGAAAGCGAGAGGAGATGGAGAAAGGCAAGGGAGAGAGCAAAGATAAGCTCGGATGCCCCGATGGTAGATGGTAGATGGCAGGGCGAGATTCAAAACACGAGCGAGGGTTGGCCTTTGCGGCCCAGCGCTATCTCATCGCATGGGAAAGGGAGAAAGCGAGCGAGAATGGGCAGGTGAAGATGAGGAGGAGAGAAGAAGAAGAAGAATGAAGCATCGTCATGGATGGTCGGCCAACACTGGTTGAGGCTCCACTTCCGCCGACATTCAATTGTTGATTTCAACATCTCCTCGCCTCGTCTCGCCTCGCCTCGCCTCGCCTCGCCTCCAGCCTGCGTCGTCTTCGACCCCGGCTCGACCCTGTCCCTCTGTGACTGTCAGTGCCTGCACCCTGCAGATCCAGCCCGACCCTTATCTATCGATCGCTCTGTCTTGACTCAGGCCCGCCAGCTCGTGTCTATCCGTGTCATCCACTGGTGCCTGTTGCTTAACTCCATCGGAAACGGGGTTAACGGTCTTTCGGTCTTGTCTGGTCTCAACCCTTTTTCTCGTCTGTTCCACTCGCCTTCACTGCCCCTTTAAATTCCCTTCCCTCCCCTTGGTGGCGTCTGAGAGTGACAGATCTTCCTCTGTCACTCTATTTCACCGTGCGACAAGGTGTCTGCCGCGCGACTCCCTTCGCTTTCTCTTCAGGTCCCAGCCTCACGTTCCTGGACCTCGTTCGAAAGCGCTCGATACATTTCCTCCTCCCGACCGACGGCTACCAGACGATCGTCGTCGACATCTACGATGGCATCTGAGTCGCTCAGCTCGTCCAGCAGCGAGTTCCAGGACCGTCGACCGGAGCCAGTGGCTTCCCGACGGGACAGCACGCCACATGCAGCTCGCGGAGCCAGCGCAACCCCTGCACCCTCAGCCTGGTTTCCTCTGGGTTATAGGGAAGGGTTCAGTCAATGGGTACGTTTCTGAACTGAGGAACAAAGCCAAGTGTCGCATGTGTCACTGAGACTGGTTTTTCTTCCAGTGGGCGTCTTTACCCGCCGCCACAGCCGAACACCGAGTTCTCTCCTACCTCCCTTACCTTCAGCATCAACCCCCAACCCATCTCCAGACCGGAAAGAAATGCGGTTCTTCCAGCGGGTCTGGGAGTCTACAGTCTGCCGATCAAACTCAACAGGGCGAGGTCTCGGCCGATTCTACGAATGACCCGTACGGCCCTCGAAAATGGCGCTCTAGCATGGTGGAGCTGAGCGGGAAGAACCGCGCTCTGAATGAATTCTCCGTCGAGAGAATTGGTGAGGAAGCAGACCAGCATCTTGTCATGCTCCACGGGTATGGTGCTGGTCTTGGATTTTTCTACAAAAATTTTGAGCCGCTCAGTCGGCTTAAAGGGTGGCAACTCCATGCGCTGGACCTCCTGGGCATGGGCCGCAGCACGCGACCAGCATTCCGCATCAAAGCGAAGGAGCGAGAGGAGGCCATTAAAGAGGCCGAGGCTTGGTTTGTAGACGCTCTGGAGGAGTGGCGAGTCAAGCGCAATATCGACCGTTTCACCCTACTCGGTCATAGTTTGGGAGGCTATATGGCAGTGGCATATGCCCTGAAATACCCGGGACGCCTTAACAAGCTGATCCTAGCTTCTCCCGTGGGAATTCCTGAGGACCCCTACGCTGTGCGGGCAGAGATGCCAGAGCCATCCGAGTCGACCATGGCCAATGAGCTCACCCAGAACCAACGCAATATCGCCGAATCGGCATCTTCGGTTCCCCACAGCGAGATCCAGAAAGGCGACAACAATATCCTGCTGAGGGGTGCCCCCACGGATACTGCCGCTGGTCAAGACCAGCCGCCCCGACGCATGGTCCCCAAGTGGTTCGCATATCTTTGGGACGCCAACATCTCCCCCTTCACTCTGGTGCGATGGGCGGGACCCTTGGGACCGCGCCTGGTTTCTGGCTGGACGTCTCGGCGCTTCTCCCATCTGCCGGCTGATGAGGCCAAGGCTTTGCACGACTACTCGTACTCGATCTTCAGTATGCGGGGCAGCGGCGAGTATGCTCTGTCATATATTCTCGCTCCGGGCGCATTTGCCCGCAGTCCTCTAATCCAGCGCATTGAGGGCATCGGCCGCCAGTTTATTCACCAGAACCCATCGCCTGCCCTTGAGTCTGCGAAGGCCCCCACAGCAGCCTCCCCCCAACCCACTCCTGAATCCTCTGCCAGCCAATCTTCCCTGACCGCAGCTAAACGCGAGAACGGCCTTCCGATCATTTTCATGTACGGTGACCACGACTGGATGGACGTCAAGGGCGGATTGGCAGCGAAGACCAAGCTGGACCAAGAGAAGGAGCGCATTCTGCAGAATGCGACGGTCGAGGAACGCGCGGCCGACAACGGCTCCGCCAAGGTAGTCATCATCAAGCGATCCGGCCATCATATCTACCTGGACGGATGGGAGGAATTTAACCGAATCGTTTTGGCCGAAATGGAGGAGACGGCCCAGAAGGAGAGAGCCCGGAGCACGCAATAGAGCGTTTGTCTCTGCCTTCTGCTAATTGTCAAAATTTCTTATTTCGTCTTCCCTTATCCATGAGTTCCCGAAGAGGTGTTTGATGCGTTGGGTTCTAAACAGCGGGTTTGTCTTGCCGGAGTATGATTGTTGTTATTTTCAGGTCAAAATCATCATGGAATATGCGAAATGTACATACCTACAGTAGAACACCACGGCAAGCAGGTATAGACATGTTCAAAATCTTTATCTTGGCTACATTAGTTTGCAGCGAGGTAGTAGTCCAAACCAAAATTGATCAATAGATTCAATTGTATACATGGCCACATATCTCATTTCTCATTTCTCATATCACATGTACCAAAACGCTAGTATCCAAAAAGTACAAACTACAACGTCCGATCCGTTCCCGCCGAAGACTTGGTCAACCGGGCCCCCGTATTTTCGGCCCGGACATACTCCTGCGACGATATCGCACGCCAGTGGGGTAATGCACCAAGAACCGGCCGGAGGGTCTAGGTGATCGTCGTTCCTCGACCGGCGTCGTTGACCCACTCGTACTGCCCGTGCTATCGGGTCGAAAAGCGAAGTATCCGGCCCCTGCGTCGGGAGGGCTGGATCCCTGAGGCATTATTGGCGGTGCACTGGGAAATTTCTCAACGGGGGAGGGCGTACAAGGTAGTGTGTTTTGCTGGGGTTGGTGTTGTTGCTGTTGCTGTGATGGTGATGTAGTCCTACGGAGTGGATCCAGGCCGTGAGAGTCCGGGAGCGGGGATTTAGGAGATAAGCTAGTAGAGACCAGAGAGGTGGTTGCGGAGCGATGATGATGGCGAGTACAAGGATTATGATTACCATTGCCACCGTTACCGGGGGGACTGGTTGAGGAGGAGGCCATTTGTCGGTGTCTCCAGGGGAGGGTTTCTAGGGGTTCGATGTTGGAGTTGCTTCGGAGGGAGAGAGGTTGAAAGGGAAGCTCTAGGCGTCGGTTGATGGAGAGCCATGCTCGTTCGTCGCCTTCGTCGGTGGTGTTGTTGGGAGAGGGGGAGGCGGTTCCTGAGAGATGGCCTTGGTATCTTGTTGGGGCGCAGCGCCAGCCGCCTAGACCTTCGAAGTCGCGGCCTTCGTCGCCACTGATGAGGGTTAGGAGGGCGGAGGGGGCGGGGTGGCGCGGGGGTGTGTTTCTGCGGTGAGGGGTGTGGTGGTGGTTGTTGTTCTCTTGGGAGGTCGAGGAGGAAGAGGTTGAGCTGCTTGTTCGGCGAGGGAGCGGTTGAGGTTGTGTACGGGGAAAAGGGAAACCTTGACGGTTGTTTGCAAGGGCTGGGAGGAGGCCCGGGATGCCGTGGTCGATGGAGCGGCGTTTGGGAGTCGTGGAGGCTGCTGGGGTAGTTGGCTCAGATGCGGAGAAGTTGAGGAGGGAGGTGTTGGCAGCAGTCGGGATGACAAAGTAGTTGGCGATGATGGCGAGGCATAGTTCGACGTATATGAGGGAAAAGCGAAGGGCGAGGGCTAGAATGGAGAAGCAGATGGTGATGCATGCCGATAGTGCGAGCGGGATGGAGATGAGAGCGAGGAGGGGGAGAGTCAACAATGTGGAGACGAGAGTCGGCATGGAGACGAGGGGTGGTTGGGCCTATAGGGAGAGAAAGGAGTGTGTTGGAGGCATGGGGACAGCTCTCTTCTCATGGGATATTTAATATGAGGAATGGTATGATCGAAGGATGAAGGGGACTGTCAATGGAGATCGTTCGATGAGGCTCGAATCCATCCAAAATGCGGAGAAAGGCATGTGATGCCGGCCCCAGGCATCGTTACACGGCGTATCATGGTGTATCGGTGGGCGTTTCTTACGTCACAGCGCGGCGCCGATGCCTTTCATCTCCCAATCCGAGGTGCTTTATAAGACTCTCTCAGACACGCTGTCTCTCTTTTCCCTCAGGTTATCATCTTGACTCATCACATGCACCATGTCTCGGGATGATCAGACCAACGACTTCCCATGGCACCTGGGGGTGTTTGACGCCCATTGTCACCCTACCGATACCATGTCATCAATCGCGGAAATCCCCCACATGAAAGCATCAACATTGACAGTCATGTCTACTCGCGGGGAGGATCAGGACTTGGTGCTTGAGACTGCGAAATCACTGACCCAGGGCCAAGAGCCTTTCCAAGGTTCGGCCACAGGGCCTGTGCTACCGTGCTTTGGCTGGCACCCGTGGTTCTCACATCAAACTATTGACGATGCTACCGGATCGGCAGAGACAGAGCAAGACATCTCGTTCATTGAGCGGAAGAAACTACACTATAAGAAGGTCCTTACACCAGAGCCAGACGATGACTTCATTCTTTCGTTACCGGATCCAAAGCCGCTTTCACAGTTACTTTCGGAAACTCGAGCACGGTTGACGGCGTACCCTCACTCTCCCGTGGGTGAGGTCGGCCTGGACCGTGCTTTCAGACTCCCAAAGCCCTGGACCACTAAAGAAAAGGAGGCAAGGGATGAGCAAGTGACCCCTGGATCACGCGAAGGCAGACAACTCTCGCCCTATCGGGTTCAGCTGGCACACCAGAAAGCCGTCCTGGAAGCTCAGTTGCGTCTCGCCGGAGAACTCCAACGTCCGGTCTCTGTGCATAGTGTTCAAGCACATGGAGCAGTGTTTGACCTCTTCAAGGGCTTGTGGTCAGGTCATGAACGGAAGAATGCCTCTCGGCGGGAGAGACGCCGTCGGTATAGTGTTACAGATGCCCATACGGAGAGCGATGCAGAGGATGAACAACATAAACAAGAAGTTGCAAAACCCGAAGAAAAGTCTCTCCCGTTTCCACCACGGATCTGCATGCACTCATACTCGGGGCCTGTAGACCCGCTGAAGCAATTTTTGCATCCGTCCAATCCGTCAGACGTCTACTTTTCTTTCTCTTCCGTGATCAACTTCAGCGGGCCTTCATCACAGAAGGTCATTGATGTTATCAAAGCTTTGCCTGATGACAGGGTGCTTATTGAGAGTGATCTGCATACGGCTGGACAGCAGATGGATGACCTGCTGGAGGAAGTTGCTCGACAGATTTGCGAACTCCGCGGGTGGACGTTACACGATGGTGTTCAGCGGCTGGCTGATAATTGGAGGAAATTCATCTTCGGGTAAACAGCCATGGGGAGCTGAGAGTTTATAAGCTATTGGCCTACGAATTAGCCTACGGATTCGCTACTGATTGAAGTGGTTTGCACTCGAGGCAAAAGAGACATGATCACTTCGACGATTCAAGCCTGATGGTGCCCGACAGTCGAGCCAGACCTTGAGTCAAAGAGCATCAGACCTCAGGCCCTATGGAATCACAGTACTCATACAGAGCTACAGCCTATCAATCGAAATTATCGACCTCCCACAAAGATTAACGAATAAGACATGAAAATAGAACAGGTAGTTTCACGCTAAACAAGTCAGTGTAGACTCCTCTTTCACATAGACATTGATCAGACTGCAGCGTCACGCTTTGTCTCTCCCATGTCCGGATCCTTTCTAAGCCAGTCTTCAGTCTCGGACTTCCAGCTGACTGCTGAATGTGTAACAACTCGGTATGGTCATCAAGTCACGCGGCAGCTTGCTAGGACTCAATGGCTCTTATGCTTGTAGTCATGGCACTTGGTACAAAAAAGCGCGCAGATCACTCCCTGAAATAGCTGTCGAAGACAGTCTTGTATCTTATTGCCGTCTCAAGATCCTGAGTCCAGCTGTTATGGTTTCGGCCAGAACCTTACTTGAATCTGCCCCATGTTACTGTAATTAGTGCAATCGGTTGTTCCAATACCTATTAGGATCTGACTGCATTTAGGACTATTGTCTAGATACCTAGATGGTGATTGCGGCAGCTCTCTGGTCGATTAGTCCTTCGGTGGCCATGAGTGGTCAGAACAACGATCGTCTCGATCTACGCTTTCTAGGACCCATGCACCACCTCCGTTCAATCACGATTCATCTCTTTCGCGGACAATTTGTTACCCCACAAGCATCATCTGTATACTGGTGTTTCTTTCTCCAATTGTCGAGCGAAGGATCCAAGTTGTGAATATATCAAAGCAATAGCGCAAAATCAGACCAGCCCCCAATAGTGATGAACTGCGAACATAATGAGAAACCATACCATACAAGACTATCAGTAGAGCCTACCTCTACTCAATCGACTAATCAGGAAGAGTGAGCCCGCTTCACGTCCCATATTCTCCGCTAATCAATCCGACAGACTCTCCATCTCCGCGCGCATAGAAGCAGTCCCACCCCCACATAGTTGACCGTTCTCAAAATCAATCACACAAACCGCATCATCCCAAACAACATAATTATATCTATTGACATCACCATACAGGATCCCAAAATCATGCAGATGTCCCAGCACATACTGACACAGCGCTAGATCTGGACATTCGCTTTACGCCCTTCTAGCTTCTCGAATATGAAACCAATTACGCGGCTATGCTCATGGACATGAGTGAGGAACCGGGGATGTTTTCGCCAGGCGGATGCTCAAGGGTAAATGAGATCATGGCGATGGCGGTGATAATGCCTGTATTGATGTAGGTCATATCTCAAGGAAGTCTGGCTGCTATGTAAGGTTTACCGATATTGCTAATATTGAAACGAGGGCTTGCCCATTCGATAGATGAGGTGCACCAGCCCATCTGAGTCAGCTTTGATGGGCAAGTAGGAAGAGTAGGTAGCATTGCGTTGCCTTCAACAGGGATTGCTGCTCAGTGGATTAACATGTCAGTCAGCCGTGGCTGGCATAATTGTAGTCTCGCTCTCTGTATTGAACAGATAATAGAATCGCATTTTAGGTCCTAACTATAGCTTGTAACACTATCATACAAATAAACCCCGCTGGTAGTCGGCCGAGCTTAAACTCCCCCGAGAGAGAACTCCATACAACGACTACGAGCTATCCTGAGCCACCGCCGCAATCCGTCCAGAACCAATCTCATTGTCATCAAGCCATCGATCTTGCTGCATGGAATGCTATCGTCCAGTTAGTGACCAAGGCGCCCTAGGACTGGGGTTGCCGGCGAGAGAGAGACCTACTAACGATCATTCCATTTTCTTAGATATGCTGCTTGACCAGGTGCTCCGCATTCTGGTTGGCCGTGGTTGCTTCTAGCTTGGTTTCGACTTCGGCGCTCCGGACGGTCAGGATATCGGTGAGTTCGTGAACACTGGCGGAAATCTTGTTCTCCGACCAAGTGCCGATGTCCTTGAGGATCGTATCGCGCTGTTCGTCGGTGATTCGGCCGGCGTTTTTGGTCTCATCGCCTCCTTTCCGATCGACACCGCCGCTGCTGTATTTGGTTTTATACACAATTCGTCCAGCAAATGCCTGGCTGGAGAGCAGCAGGACGGCGACAGCGAAGACCTTCAGGTTGAGCATCTTGCACAGTTTTGACTGTAAGGAAGGTTGGGAGAGAAGTGAAAGAATGGAAGTGAGTGATGAGTGAGTGAGTGAGTGAGTGGATGGATGCTCTGTGAAGCCGACTTGTGCAGGTTTTTATATGTTTTCCAGGCCATCTTCATCTTCTTTGATGTATCTTTCGCCATCGGTTCTCTTGGGGGCCACGGATGGTGAAGCCAAGGCCAGCCTATGATCTGCCTTGAATGCTGTTGGCCTTGAGGAGAGTGGGAAGCAAGCCAGGGCATGGATTGGACGAGCTCGCACTGCAATTTCCACGATGTCTTTCACGTTCCTTCAGTCGGTGATCCCGTGAGCTCTGTTTCGTTGCTTCGGTTCTCGATGAGACACTTTCAGCCCTGTGGCTGTTTTCGGCCCCCGGCCCCCACGAGCAGACCATAGGGCGAATATCGCTGCCTTGAATGGCATCCTTGTTCTGCTAGCGCTGAGGCTTGGCATGCTTAGCCCTCCTTCTCTGCTCCTCCTTTGCTTCTCTGATCCTGCATCTCTCTGCCGTTGCTGCTCCCCGCCTCTCCTCCTCTCCCAGCAATCATGACCGAATCAACCAACCCCCAGCCCCCCCAATTCCTCCAATTTTCTCTTCTCCCCACCGAGATTCGCCTCCAAATCTGGAAGGCTGCCCTCCCCAATCCAGTCCGCCAGGCCCTATACCTCTACAAGAAAGGATGCTGGAAGACCCGCCCAGACGCCGAGGGACACTTCATGGTCGAGTTTCACCCTGACTGCCTCGACGCAATGCACGTGTCGGTTCCGCTCTTCCTGGTGAACCACGAGGCCCACGCCATCGCCCGCCGCTGGGTTCACGAGCAAGGTCTGACTATCTGCTTCCACCGGCCCACCAACACGTTCTTGTTCCTGCGCCGCTGTCATCCCGCCACTGATACGCTCTATGTCCCCCACGCCCAATACCGCGAGTTCATCTGCGAGCCGGCATATCTCCCCTTTGAACCTGAATCCGAAGCCCTGGGGCTGGAGTACGGAACAGTCGCGCCGCAATTCTCACGAATTGCCTTCCCTAAGAGCCTCTTGCTCGAGGACAGTCACCACCACCGGATTACATGGCTGCTCGAGGACACCAGTTACGAGAATACCCAAGAGGTGTTGGTCGTTATGAATGATGCTCCAGCAGATCCCAATCTCCAGCCCGACAAGGAGGCAGTGTCCCAAGTACAGTGGGAGTGGGAGGTGGTCCCCGGGGCGGAGCGGCTAGAGTGGGATCATGATCGGCGCGCTTATCGGAGAGAACTTGGTCGGGAAGGGCAGGACCCTGAGGCAGATGCGTTCTTTCGGTTGGTTGAAAGGGCCAGTGTGGGCATTGATGAGACGGATGGGTGGCAGAGGAATCGGCCGTTTGAAGTAAAGCCTGTGTTCGCAGTTCGTGTTCATTAAGACACATACTGTGCATAATCCAATGTATGGTAGTGAAATGGTCAACCTGCATGGCTAGAAACTCAGTGAGGCAAAGAACAAGTGAATAAGCCATTTGGGGGAACTCAATGCCTGGTCATGCGGGCATGCTGCTAGCTATAATGACAGACATATAACATTACTTACCATTGACGCTGCAATCATGCAGCCACGCTTTAGTATTCGACTGTGATCTTATCAGTGCGACGAATGTGCCCCATGCAATGGTTCTCAACCCCGTGGTCGTCCACGGTCTGCAAGATGCTTTCCTGACTCCCAATATCCGTGATCATCTGCTCCAGTTTGTCTCTTCGGGCTCCAGACCGCTTGCTACTCCACTTTTTCGATGTGGGCACTTGAGTGCTACTCTCTTTATAGTGATATGCGCCGGTGCTTCTCAGGCTGCGTTTTCCCAGGATGATTTCAAGGAGAGGTTGTAGGGTAGGAATGCAGGAGGCGGTGATCACGACGTTCGATTCGATACTATTGGACCAGTCGTCAGTCTTGGATATGTGAGTAATGGCTTGGTGTTACCGGCTTACCAGGTCCAGATCACAAGGTCGGCCGTGGCATCTGTCCCAGCGTCAGCCTCAGGCCCGGGTCATCTTCCCTCCTTCTTTCCGGAATACCCACACGTTGTGTCACTGGTATCGGCAAGACCGGGGAGCTGCATGCACTTGACGATTGCCATTGCACAGGCGCTACATGGCTTCAAATGAGCATCATATGACTGTGAACTCCAAGAGAATGCCACTTACACCGCACTCAGTCCCAAGGCTCCGCACAGAGCCAGTCGTTTTCGCAGCGACATTTGCAGTTTAAGCAGGATGATGGTCGGGTAGATCGCCAGATACAGATCTGTAAAAGCAGATACCGCTACACCGATTAGAGTCTGCTTTGCAATGAGACGATGACGGCTGCACCTACCTCCGGTGAAGATGGCATAGTCAACAAGTATCCACGAGCTCCGGCAAGTTGCACCCTCCGACAAGAGGGACGTGTCCCAGAGGGCCCTTGGCGGATCACACATTGTGAAGAGCACTATAATGCAGATGAAGGACACCAATGCCACCAACCCCGTCAACCCCCATAAGATCGCACGTTGTGTGGGTGTCGGATTCAAGAGTCGGCTCAGCAGAGCTGCTACCGCCAGTTTGGGTAGGGCGAAAGAAATGATCCCCAAGGCGAAGTTGATATAGTTGACTAACAGCACGAGCTCTAGTCTATCCGTTATAGCCGCCGAGTGTTGACCGTATCCCAAAGCAACATCGACAGTGGTTACCACCGAATATGAGATGCTGAACATCTGCAGAGCAGTCAACAAACATTACACAAGAACAAGGCAGATTGTCATATAGCAAAGCCTGAACATTCCGACTTACCATTGATGCTGCAATCAACCAGTCATCTGCACCGGGACTGCGCAAGATCTTGATGCGGATAAAGAGCCTGGCTGCAACGAGCAAAATGGCCAGGCTGGTCATGATCCAGAAAACAGCCAAGATCCGTGGGCCCTTGGTCTGGTGGGCATACTCTGGGGACACAGCGGCCATGGCTTTCACTCTAATGCCAAATTGAAAGCATTCATCAAGATGTCCGATATCTGGAACTTTGAGAGACCTGGAGTAAATAAGTCCAGCAGATGCAGTACTATTGGATTTGCTACCTAAGCTCCTTAAAGGTTTCGTCAGGGGCAAGGTACGAATTATTTTATCTCCTAGTGCTAATTGCTGTACAGCAGAATCCCTGCTATTTTCAGCTGTGTGAGAACCATTGCGTGCCTTCAAAGAAATTTCAAATGCTACGAAAATCATCCTTTGGGTTGAGTCATATTGTCGATCCCTAGATCAAGGATTTCCGATCTGTGTTAATGCACATGGTAAACCAACTTGCCGACAGGCAAACAGGCATTGGTCCTAGACTCTCCGCCAAGTTATCCCCTTAATCGTCCAATAGGTGGATCCTGGAACATTAAGGGTCACAGAGAGGAAGAATCGCCCTCGATATTGATGGAAAATTGCCCACAGCCAAATCGAATGATCGCAAGTTTTATGTAATCTCGAATGGGACTTACTATATCCTCGGCCGGGGATCGGGACTGGACCCGGATGGGGCAAAGTACTATACACAACCCATCTACTATGTATGCTGGGGAGGCGCTACGGAGTAACCCGTATTCCGTACTTTGTACGGAATGATCAATTTGCAATCCCTGCTAAAGTTCGAGCTATCCTGGAGGATTTCTGCCTGGAGTAGAGACCCGCCGAGAATGGCCACGGCACGGCATCACGCAACAGTCATGTTCAGCGCATAAAGAAATACACGGTGAATCATCCTCTTTACTGTCTGGTCATGAGCCTTTCCAGGTTGATTGGGAAATGGAACTTGGCAAACCGTACGAGCGAGTATCCAGCCGCCGGAATAATGAAGTGAAATACAGCCAAAAGACAGACAAGCCGGAGAAATAGTAGCTGACTAGGCTACCAGGATCATTGCGCTATTTTACGCAGGTGGCACGAGTACCACTGGTAACTGAGCCAATATGACAGCCATCGAGGCCCTCCTTAGCCCTTCCACACTGTCTCCACCTTTCAGATGGCGGACTTGACAAGGCTGGCCCTATGACTAAATGAGATATTATTACTCCGTACGAATACGGAGGGCTCTTAGCAAGACGGTATGCCCGACCCAAGGACGGTCGGAACAGAAACTAGAAGACACCATGCATAGGCGGACCTTGGAGATAATGCACGGTGTGCTGGTGCTCCGTAACTAACAGTCACTAGGCAGATAACCCTGCAAAGACCCCTGTTTGCGCGGCACCTGACGGAAACAATGGAAGCAGATATCACACAACTAAGGGGTAGCTCCACCGTTGATCTTGCGAATAGAGCCTTCTGTGACGATACTATGGAACACATCGGCCCAGGTTTACATGGCAGGCACAGATACATTTATCTGGCAAGCAATATCTAGTCCGTGGAACAAGGATACTCCACATCTGGGTCCTCAAAATAAAGGGAGCTGTGCATCCTATGCACCCACCGCTTTTAAAGTCCGAGAAGTTTTACGCTTGTGCCACTGTCGCTATGGCCAACCGGTCGAGCCACGCTAGCTGCCCTTGTGCGAAGCCGTCGATGTCTTACTCTAATTTCCATTGTTACAAGCGGAAACCCGTCCCCGAGTTCCGTCGACACCAGGCTCAGAACTAATAATTGTATTTGATTGCCTTGGGTTGGCTACATTATTAGTGCTTGAGCCGGACTGTCTAGCTGCCTCCTTTAGTCTTGCCGCTAACGTTATATCAGAAGCGGAGTCACGGCTGAGTGCGAATAACCCCTCAGCAAGATGTGTCCCTTCAATTATATCTAGAAAATAACCAGCCCTGGCCTACCACAATGACCCTCCATCACGACAAGGAAAAGAGCTGAGCCCCGCCTGTCTATTTCCACGGACTCTACGAAGTATGGATCACACAATGTTCAACGTAACACACTTTGACGGACCCTACTCTTATTGGTATTTCGTGGATGCTTAACGTCCTCGGGGCAATGCATCCGGGAGACCAGGTACTTTGGACCTAGTACTTACTTGTTAGCCCCATATATAGCCCATTGATGAGTGGGGTTTATCTAAGAGCCGTTAAGTTCTGAACAGCCTTGGTGGAACTGTAAGTGGCCAAAGCAGGCATCTATCAGCCGTCCGCCTGTCAGGGAGATTATCATCCAATGGACCTTGAGTGCTGGCAGATATGTTGCCTTGCATTAGCTGCTTGCCAGTGTGGGCATTGGAGGTATGTCAGTTATATCCCTCTGGATATTATAGTACTAGTGACGTTAATGCATGTTTCACTACCACAGTCGCATGGACGTCTAGTAACTAAGTACTCCATGCTAGACGGATCATTTCATCCGGTAGCGGACCGAAAGGTATTTAATTCGAGGGATCTTCCATGGTGTTTTTCGCTCTTAATCATTTGTCTCCTGCGAAAACCCCTCGATTCACAGGCGAGACTTCCCCAAAATGAGATATACGAATGGTGCAACGACGAACGGTCACCATGTCAATGGGGATCATACAAATGGGCACATCACGAATGGTTCCTCTAACGGCCAGGGGCCTTCCAAGCCGAACGTGGATGTGTATGTGGACGTGGACAAAATTGCCCTCTCACCCAGCGCGCCGGATGCTGTCCCGGCTCTCATCAACTACATCGCCACCAGCAAGTCTATCTCTCTGGAGGATTCTCAGGAAAGACTAAAGTTGCGGGATGCTGCTATATCCTTAGCTAACGCGCTGGAAACTCCGCGAGAGGCGATTGTTAGACATGGCTGGACGACAGTAAGTATCATCCGACTGTAAGGGAAGGTATCATGATGGTTGCGATACGGACTATAACCGCTTGGGACTGACATAATTTCTGTCATAGGCGACCCGGCATGCTGCTATCGAAACGGCTCTGGCCCTGGGGGTGTTCTCTCATTTAGCACGGGACAAGCCCAGGTCAGTCGCAGAGCTTGCGGCGACTACGAAGAGTGATCCAATCCTGCTGTGTAAGCGGACTGACATTCTTCTGCATATGAATTGGGTGGACTGACGGCTCTCAGCGCGCATCATGAAGCACTTGGCTGCCATGGAAGTGATTACTGAAGCGGGTCCGGACGAGTACACTGCTACAAATTTCTCCACTACTTTGAGCGTGGAGCGATACGGAGATGCTTTTCCTATGCTGTAGGTAACACCATGATGCCGACAGAAGATAGCTAACGTGGGATTCCAGCTCCTCTTCCATGTATCTAGGTGTATACGCCCTCCCTGCCTTCCTGAAAGAAAACGGATATCGCAATCCGAACGATCCCACCAGGTCCCCATTCCAGCTAGGACGCCGTAGTGACGAACATTTCTTCGAATGTGTGCAAAAGAACCCCACACTGAATAGGCAATTCAACAACCACATGTCGATTTACCATCAAGGACGACCCAGCTGGATGGACAAAGGCTTTTACCCGGTCCGGGAGCGGTTGATTGAAGGGGCCGATTTGGGCGAGAAGGATGTCTTTATGGTTGATGTGGGTGGTAGCATCGGGCATGATGTATCAGAATTTCGCCGCAAGTGGCCAGATGCGCCGGGGCGGCTTGTGGTGCAGGATCTCCCTGAGGTTATCGAAACCGTAAAAGATCTGCATGCCTCGATTGACCCAATGGCGCACGATTTCTTCACGGAACAGCCGGTCAAAGGTATGGCTTGCACTCATCCGGAGGCATTGCCTGCTACTGAATCGGGAATATGGGCTAACCTGTGCAGGAGCCCGTGTATACTATATGCATTCGGTTTTGCATGACTGGCCCGACGATATGTGCCAAACAATCCTTTCGAATCTTGCTTCCGCCATGAAACGGGGGTACAGCAAGCTGTTGATCAACGAGAATGTTGTTCCCAGTGTCGGTGCTCATTTTGAGACAACCAGTCTCGACATCATCATGATGTCGATTGCATCGGGGGAGCGCACCGAGAGGCACTGGACTAAGGTGATTGAATCTTCGGGGCTGAAGATCGTCAAGATTTGGACAGTACAGAAGGGGGTGGAGAGCTTGATTGAGTGTGAATTAGCTTGAAGGAGGGAGCCGAAAGGGCGTGTTCCCTATATGCTAGTCCATTTATTTGTCAACTACATTATCTCGTGGGTTGTTGATAAGAGATCCTGCAGCCATCCAGTGAGAAACGTGCAATGGCCGATTAGGCGGGCTGATAACGGAATTGACGCACGGGTGGATCCCGGTGGATAAGCGCACGGAGGATGCGCCGGCTGTCATACCGGCGACAGGCCGCAGCTGGATGAGGTGCTGTGTAGTGAGGATACCTTCTGCTAGTCTACCGTGGGCACCTCAAGCATCAACCGAGAATCGACGGCCTTCCAGAAGCCGACGAGAAGGCGTCGAAACCGGGCTGGAAGGCCTCTCCGCATCCACGTGACTCCCCCAGACCCGCCCTGGCTGTGCCCCACCTGATTGCCTGGTATCGCGCCAATCAGCGCGCGGCCGACCCAAAGCAATTCCGCCTTTTCTCCTCGTCTCGTCCACCGTCCGGCCATCCTTCTCCTCCCTCTTCTTCCCTCTTCTCCTTCTCCTCTCCAATCGTCTTCATTGGGTGCAGATCATGTCTTGATCGAGCGCTGCCATCTGTCACAGGCTCACCCAGATCAGGAGTGACGGCTTAGCGAGTCTCCGGACCCTGGACCTGTGTCGATGCTTCTGCTATGTCCTCCGCAGCGCATCACAGTCATCCGCCCACCGGGAATGGGGTGACTAAGCGCAAGTCAGGTAACTACGTCCCCCAGTGTTTTAACAACTTGGTACCTCTCTTGATTGCCATGGTTCTAATCAAGCTCGCCCATAGGCGCCGCGGCCTGCGTTCACTGCCATCGACGCAAAGTCCGATGTGATGCCCGCATCGTTGGCCTTCCGTGCTCCAATTGCCGGTCCGCGGGAAACTCGGATTGCCGAATCCACGAGAAAAAGAAACGTTTGACTGTGCGATCCATCCTCGATCCCGTTCCTATCCGCTGTCGACCTCCTGTTTCGGAGCCTACACACAAACCGTTGCCTGCCACGGCGACAACCCCACCTAGCGCTTTCACCACCGCCTTCCGCACCATTCAACCGGAAGGGACGCCTTCAGTTGCGCATCCGACCTCCAGCCTCCATACCCTTCACCATACCCTTAATCATAATGTTAATCACCACCCTCCGCATCATGGCACCCGGCCAACCGCGGAATCCCCCGTATATAGCCGTCCCGCAGGCCCTGATGCGTCGACCGAGCAAGACTCGCATGCGGAGTTGGAGAAACGACTCGTAAAGCTTATCGATGAGGAGGAATCGGGCAGTCGGGAAATCCAGAGGGGTGTCCGAGCGATTTATGTGGGCCATGAACTGTCCAATATGTCCTTCTTGATCCGTCAGCAGCGCGACAAGGATGACGACGTGTATCACTTTGCGGGCAATGAGATTCCACGACGGCAGCTGAGGACAGGACACGATCAGCTCCTCATGGATGCTCTTACGTTGCCGGAACCGGTTTTAGCCGATGAGCTGGTGCAAGCTTACTTTGACCATGTCAACCCGGGGTATCCCATCGTCGACGAGGACCTGTTCATGGCCCAGTATCGGAATCGGGACCCCGCGGATCCACCACCGATATTGCTGCTACAGACAATCCTTCTAGTTGGAGCTCATGTCACTCGTCCGAAGGCGGAGCGCGATGCTCTAAAGGACATTTTCTTTCGTCGTGCCAAATGGCTATTTGATTGCCGCATCGAACGAAACCGCGATATCCTAGTGCAGGCTGCCCTGCTCATGACTTGGCATTCAGACGGTGCTGACGATGACGTTGCAGCTAACGCGCATTATTGGGTTGGGGTAGCTGCGAGGATCGCCACGGGCCTTGGAATGCACCGCAATCCTGTCTCCAGCCGATTTGTATCCCGCGACCGCCGAATGTGGAGGAGACTGTGGCACATCCTAGTCCAGTTTGATGTTATGGTGTCTCTCTCATACGGTCGCCCGCAGGCTATGTAAGCAGACCAATCTTCCCCCGAAATCCAAAGGTGGGTTCTGACTGTATTTTCATTTAGCAACCTGGAAGATTGTGATGTATCTGCATTGACGGTTTCCGACTTTGAAGGCTGCGGGCCTCGTGCCCAATCCGACTACGTGATCCATTTCTCCGAACTTTCTGTTATGATTTCGTACATTATTCGAAACCGCTTCGGGTTGCGAGTGAGCGCGGAGCGTCGCAAGGCCGTCCTGCAAGAAGCCGACGAAGCGCTGGCCAATTGGTCTTTGAAGCTGCCTGATAAGCTGCGTCTCCGAGCATCCGACATGGACCCGTGGTCCGCCATGCTCCATCTGACCTATAACAACTTCCTCATCCTCCTCCACCGTCCGCATCCGAGGGCATCTGCCTACTCGGATGACTATGGGCCCCACGACGCAGAGATTTGCAGCGCAGCAGCCGGAGTCATCACCTCCATCTTCGAAGAACTCCGTTTAAACGATCGCCTCAAGTTCCTCTGGTACTCTGGCGTCCACACTCTCTTTACCGCCATGATCCAAGTACGAGTAGAACTTCGCTTCTCCAACCCCGTTCTTGCAATCAACGCCCTTCGTCGCTTCGACTCGGCCTCATACTCTCTCCGCGAATTAGCCGGCTACTGGTTCCACGCCAGCACCATCCTCCGGCTGTTCGAAGACTCCAAGCGTCTCCAAGAAGATCTTCGAATGGCCACAAGCGAACGTCCCCGCCGCTTCAGCAACCCTCAGGACCAGGTCAAAAACACCCACAACTCGACATCCACCTCCACCACCACTACTACTACCATGCAGACCCCCCAACCAACAGACCGCCCCCTCCCATATGAAGTTCCTACCCCCGACTCCACGCACCTTACCACCACATCGACAAGCCCACATCACCCTCAACCCCATCAACTAGATACCTGGATTCCACCACCATTCACCACCATGACCCCAGTCGTCGAAGCCATCGACGCACCCCGAGAATCCCTCGACTGGCGACAACTCTTCTCCTTCACCGATCTAGAACAGCCCGTCCTCCCCATGGCCATGGAGGGACTCCCCGAACTCGAGGACGAGTGGCGTCAAATCTACTGGCAAGAGACCCCAATGGCAGACCTTCTCCAGGACGGAGGCTGGATGCACAGTTAGGCTGAGAAGAAAAGTATGCAACATGTATCGGGGAACGATTCTGTTATCTACGTTTGTTTGTTTGTTCATTCATTTCTCTGCCGAATTAGCGATTTCGCCAATCTTCATCTTCTGGCTGGTTAGATTGGCACTCACGACAACGATTACGATCATGACATTTTGTTTCTGCTGTCTATACTCCTCCGTACTTTTGGTTCAATCGACTCTAGTGGATGTTACGTGACTGTTTTTGACTTCTTTCCTAATGAGATCACGTCCCGCAGCGTAAATCATAAATGAATAAATACCCTATCTATTACAGATGTACATACATACATACTATGATATGACATGATCTGGCATTGCTTGGACCCGGGGTTTCCTTTTATATGCTAGATAGTTAGTGCTCGCCAAGAAACAAGAAATGGACTCACTTGACAGACTCCTATACCCCCTAGACAACTGAATAGACAGGTTGATCGAGAGATATCTGGCTAGCTAGCTAGCTGACAAATATTGTCATATGAATCTATAACAGTAGGAAAAATGTATAGAAAAAATATTAGAAGGAAAAGAAAAAGGAAAGGAAGAATAGAGATTGACAAAATAATAAGAGACTGAATAGAATAATGCGGAGGAGAAATCTATACAAGAGAGACGGAGCTTAACAAGAACGCTGTCTATAGTTGTAGTAGATATCTACGAGAAGATTACTGCAATAAATTCCATTATGGGCATGTGCATACGGACTACACGTTCATTTTGAGTACATTCGAGGATGTAAGGGGATGAGCTACAGGTCTAGATTCTGCGTTTCGGATTATGTGATACGACAGGGTAAGGATAAGGGTAGGGGTAGGGTCTGCGACCCCTGAAAATTCTGCTGTACCACCGCAATGCGACCACGTACTTGTCATGACAGTGAAGTCCATTTCTTATTCTATCTGTCAGTCCGATTTCCCTCCTTCTGGACAGCCTTCCAAACTCTGCAAAGACAAGAAACGACAATAGGTACTCGACGCAGACGATAATTACATGTAACAGGCCCAGACAAGGGGCCAACCTCTCTCACCACTATGATGCACAGATAAACAGTGTATCATGAACATGGAGGGTATGGAAGAGACCACCCTGAATTGACTTGATGGGGGTCTCACTAGCTGGAGGTGAGCCACCAGGTGGGCCTGGTTGGTTGGCTGGTGCTCCAACCGATATAGAAAAGAAGCGTCAAAGAAAAACAACCCAATGAAAAAGTGTGCCCCGGTTCCGTGATTCCTGTGGTATTGCTCAATCGTATACGTTCCGTTAATATCCCGTAAGTAACCCATCGTATCGTACCGCGTAATTAGGATTGCTGTACAGGGAGTAACATCCGGAAACGTTGGTAGCTTGAGGCTGTGTTCCCAGCCGCGTTGATTCTGGAAACGAGGTGCATCCAGCCTCTGGAGATATGAGGTGGAAGTTCGAGTCTGTTGGATTCCGAAGACTCTAGCGAAGGATGGTTGTCGAGTCTAGCGGATGGTTCTCCCGCACATGAGCATGCTAATACGATTCACCGGCGGTGCCGTTGTGTGCCTGGCCGACCATGGGCGGGTAACCATAGGCGGAGGTATCCTGCTCCGAGGGGTCCAAGTTGGGATTCATGATACTGTTACTGTCGGCAGCATCAGGAAAGGCGCCAGCGGCACCGGGTGGAACTGGTCGCCCACCTGGACCACCAGCCCCGGGGGCCCCTACGGGTCCACCAGCCCCGTATCCACTGCTCGTCGGACGATTTTGATGCTCGCCCCTGGCGGATTGGGTCTAGAAGACTAGTCAGCATCTAGAACCTGGACGAACAGGTCGTCTCCTGTAATGGCAAGGGAAAGATGCTTTAGGGGGCGTTGCACAAGTCTCACCTCGCGGTATTTCGACAGGTAAATTTTCAGGGCCTCCGCATAATTTTCAAAGCCCAGAGAGGTCATGGCAAACAGGATGTCCTCCCCGTTGACGGTCTTGCGCTTTTCCTGCTGACATTTCTCGGACGCTACGGGGAAATGTGTCAGAATCCATCAGTCGAAAGGGCGGAGAGGGAGAGGCGTGGTCGCACTAACCTTCACTGGTGATGAATGAGATAAATTCGCTCACACATTCCTGCATACACTCCTTGGCCTCCTTTGCGATCTTTGCATTCTCGGGCAAAGCTAGTTTCATAATGCGAGCCACTTCATTTGCAACATTAGTATGTGATCTGATTACCAACAGGGAAAGTGCGAAAGGGAGGAGTCGCAGGCATCGCAGCGAAGAGTGCAAGACGCGTCCAATGTTCCGAGATATTGAACGCGTTGGGAGGCATGACGCAATGGAGAGTTTGCAAATGAACAGTAGACGAATGGGAAAAGGTCAGGCCGGGCTATACCCACGGCCTGGGAAACCAAACGCGAAAATCACAAAAAGAAAAGGTGGATATTATCAGATGAAGTATTTGGGGCGGTCGAGGGGGCGTAAACGGTCATAGTAGGGCAGAGGCGGTTGACCAGCAGATGAACGTAAGGTACGCACAAATCAGGAAAAAGCGATGAGCTGCAAGGGAACGCAACTAACCATTGGCAATTGGTAGCCATCTGTCCTGCTCCTTCACCTCGAACTCTCCCTGACCCTGCGCCTGAGTGTCGTGCTGTTCCTTGTCCATTTGTTCCTGGTCTTCACCCGATTGAACTTCGGGTTCCACCTCGGGTTCCTTCGAGGGAGAGGTCGACGACATGTTTTTTAGGGGTCGGCGAACGTGCAGAGATACTGGATTTAGAACGGGGGGCTTGTCTCTAACTGCTCTGTTGGCAAACCACGTCAGAGCTGGCTTGCAGCACGCGGTGGATTCTCGATCTCGGGCGCTATGATACAGCCGCGCCAAGGACAACGAGGGTGCGTCTGGCTGGGCAGCGATTCGCTTCACGACAGCCTGAACGGGGAAGGACGAGCGTGGCTGCGCGTGTGGGGGATTGGCAATGCTTCTGCGATAGTCCTGCCTTAGCGTTGTGAGCCAGGACCGACGGGATCTATCATTCGACGGCGATGGTGGAGGGCGCGCGGCAGGGAATTCTGTTTGTTATTGTTCTAAGGTACTTAATTTGTCTTGTTCTTTCGATTTGTTGGGGGTTCCCTTTCTTTATTTTCCTTTTGGGATTTTTTTTTTCTGAATTTTCTGCCAATGAGTCGATGTGATTTGATCAATAACCAGTAAATGAGGAGACTGCGCCCAATAAACTGGAAACTCTTTTGGCCGGTGTGGCTCAAGTGTGGAGGGAGTTTAGAGAACGCGCGACTGCAGGAGTTGGTAACGTCAGCAAGTCCCAAGCGCAGTTTTGACCAGATGTGACGCGGGTAAATGGGAAATGCAACACGGACTCTCGGCAGTAACCGTGGGTCAGACTGACAGTGGCACGTTGTGTAGCTGGGAAATAGGAAACCAACAGTTAAAGAGGGATGGACCGACCAGGCGATTGGACTAAATTCCGGAGGCCCACGACGCTGGGGATGGATGGGGCGTGTCGAGGTATTTGGCTTACCGTCCAGTAGAGAGCAGACAAAAGTCGTAGGGCAGGTATTACTGGGGACGGCCGCGATGCGCGCAGCAGTCAATTGGCGAACCAGAAGTCCCTGGCAAGGCAAGCAACGATCACTGGTTGTCGCGAGAAAGTCCCCCGACGCCAATGAGATTGGACGGAGATCTAGATAACAGGGTGCTCCAACAGAGGGACACGGCGGCGGAGCCGGATGGCGATGTGGGATTCAATGGAAAAGCGATCGATGATCGATGAATGCTTGCTCACTGTTTGCGACTGCACGAGAGAGAAGTGAGAAAGAGGAAGAGGAAGAGGAGGACGCCGCCTGGAGGTTGATTGCCAACGCCCGGCACCGTGGATGGCCTCAGGACTCCCATTACACCCTTTGAACGTCGTATCGGTCGATGACTGCCTGCTTTGGGGAAGGTGCCGGCCCCAACGGCGGGCACCGGAGATGAGGGGTGTCACCGTATCGTATTACACGTGATGCTGCCCGGCATCGTCATCATCTCCCATCACGATATCTCCGATCTACACCTCAACCGCGGGGGTGTATCTTCCCAGTGATTTTCTTAAACATGTACTACGAGTGTAAATGTTGTTGGATTGATTTCAAACGTCGCTACATCTGAGCTCATCCGTCTTAGACAACGCTCCCTATGGACCCTCGAGATCATGACCCTACTGATCCGTATACATCGATCTGGTCAGATCGGATATCCCATTAGCTTGGTCCACGCGCACTCTGGACCGGACTACGTCGGTGGTGGACGGAGGTCACAGATGTTGATGACCTAACTGACTCTGCATGACATATGTGCCAAGCTCATCCCTGCTTTTTGGTGTATGGATCGAGGGTGGAACAGCATGTGTCATTTCAGGCATCAATAGGATTTGGATCCTGACCCGAATAGTCAAACAAAGCAGCCATGACGAGCTGAGGGTCTGGAAGCGAATATAGAGTACTGTGCACACCACTCTAGTGTGACTGCCTGCTTCATGGCTGTCATCAGGCAATGCTGCTATGTGGGACCTCTGCAGCCCAACGCTCGTAGGGGGTGTGGGCAAAGGCATCCACCAAGTGTGTTATCAATGACTGGTCGATTTGTACCCAACAGTCGGGGTTTGCTGAATCTGCTATAAAGTACGACACAGATTCATGCCCTGGGAATCAGGCCGGAACCAGGTATCCATCACAGTCACATCACTATCACTATCACTATCACTTATCTACTGAGGCCTGGGGCTAACATGAAGCAGCCAGTCAGAAGGCCGCCGAGGGGCCTCGTGCCTGGACAAGGTGACCAATATCAGATCAAACCTGAACCAGCCTCGATCCGGTCGGCTGCAGGCCAGTACAACCTCGCTGCAGTTTAGACGCCTTGTCCCACGGGCCAACTCACCCGAGCCACACCCTTCTCTTGGTGCGTAAGCGCTTCAAGGGAATTGGTCAATATACGCGCTGTGAACCGGAGCCAGACGTAGCGGAATAAAACTAGAAGATTGGGGGCAGGCGCTCAACACCGAGCAAGGAAGAAGGTGGTTATCATATACATTAACTTTCCATCAATGTGGACTGAAGTTCAAGATCTACGCCTCACATCCTGACTGATGGCCTGATGGAAATCTCCCAACCCAGAACTGGCATTAGGCATGAGTGCATCCGAGGCCGCAGCAGTTTGCGGTAGAACGCCTGTCCCTGTCGACTTGCCTCATTCCCATATCGATGACGTGTGAAACTTCTAGTCCTTGTCCCACGGCATGCCCAGCTTCGACAGCCATAGCCAGTGTTGGTGACCTTGAATGCATAGCGTCGCCGAAGGGCAAACAAAGCCCGTATTCAGTCCCAGACTCCCGTTAACGCCGCTCTTGCATTCCCTATCGCCGAACTTTTCCTATGTGACACTGCATCAAGATGGGCAGAGAACTGCTATTGCGATTAGGAGATAGGTACGGTTGCTTAAGGCTGTACAACCTGGATGTTGTTCTTCTTCTGTAGACCGGAGAAAAGCATTAGCATCCATATCTCACGTATATGCGGTAGCTTTGGAGAACAACGAGCTTACCTTCCAGTTATCCAGGTCCGCCTGCTTGGTCTTGTACTGCTTCAGGAGCTCCTCCAAAACCTGCTTCAACCCATCCGAGTTGGTCTTGAGGGACGGGAGGACATCCTCGACTGTCCGCTCAACCAGGACACCGTTCACCATCCGAAAGCATTTCCGGTCACTGGGGAGGGGATCGAGGGTCTCGATAACAAGCCTAGCATGCGCGTTAGCAAACACCCATATGCAGGACTTGACAGCAGGCTAGAAAAATAATGTCAAGTATGAGACTTACTTATGCTCCTCAGCCTCCTGCTCGATGTCACCGATCTTCTGAGCCAGTTGTTGTAGGGTGTTTTTGTAATTTGTGTACTGGAGCTGCAGCTCTGCTTGAAATCAGCTTGGGTCCATTCAAACTGGTGTCAATAGGTAAAAGGTCAGGTTCATACCCTGCTGTCTCTTAGGGTTGACTTGCGCTTGGCTGGCCATGGTGTCGGAATGTGCTTGATGCAGTTGCAAAGCCGGAGTGCGATGCGGGGCGCTGCTCGATATCGGCGGTGGTTGCGGCGTCGCTCACTAATTCCGTCCGGATCATGGTTGGACAGCTACGTAGACCTGCACGCGCAGCAGAACGGCTTACATCTACTGTACCTCATGACAATCTATCTCTAATTTTCTCTTAGAGAGATATCCCCGCGAGTATCTGAATCTACCCCATCCTCTGCCTCAGCGCTGAGGGGATGCGCACGTGATTGAGCGGCGATGTTTGTCTCGTTTGCTGCTCCGATAGACGATTCCGCCTCTCGCGGCCGATTGCATCTTCTCCAACTATCGTCGGGGGGCTCATGCAGACAGCTGTAGCCCTTCTGCGACTTCAACAAACTTGTTATTTACTGCTCCAGCTACGGTCTGCCTAGCAGTCTTATATACGCCAATCATGGCTTCCAACGAAATGCCTCCAGCCAAAAGGCTGAAGAGCTCCAATCTCCCGGCGCCGCTGCGCGAGGCGAAGCGCAAGGACATCGACAACTGGGAAACCAACCGAATGCTTACGTCCGGTGTCGCCCAGAGACGCGATTTCGATGGCGACTTTATGCCCGAGGATGAAGAAGGCACCCGAGTCCATTTGCTCGTCCATGACCTCCGTCCACCTTTCCTCGATGGCCGCACGATTTTCACCAAGCAGCTTGAGCCCATCTCGGCTGTACGAGACCCGCAGAGTGATATGGCAGTGTTTAGTCGGAAGGGGAGCAAGGTCGTCCGGGAGCGACGTCAGCAGCGAGAGCGCCAAAAGCAAGCGCAGGAGGCGACAACGATGGCGGGGACGGCATTGGGCAACCTGATGGGCGTGAAGGAGGACGAGGGGGACAGTGCGGTCGCTATGCCCGTGGAGGACACCTACAAGAGCGGAAACAAGTTCGCTAAGCATCTGAAAAAGGATGAAGGCGGCCAGAGTTCTTTTAGTAAGAGCAAGACGCTGCGCGAACAGAGGGAGTACCTCCCAGCGTTCGCTGTGCGGGAGGATCTGTTACGAGTCATACGGGATAACCAAGTTGTGGTTGTGGTCGGTGAGACAGGCTCCGGGAAAACAACACAGCTCACGCAGTTTTTGCACGAGGACGGCTATTCGAAGTTTGGCATGATCGGATGTACGCAGCCTCGTCGAGTGGCGGCAATGAGTGTCGCCAAGCGTGTGAGTGAGGAGATGGAGGTCGACCTGGGTGATGAGGTCGGATATGCGATTCGATTTGAAGATTGCACGGGCCCGAAGACAGTTATCAAGTATATGACCGACGGTGTCCTTTTACGAGAGTCACTTGCCCAGCAGGACCTCGACAAATACTCTTGTATCATCATGGACGAGGCGCACGAGAGAGCGCTGAACACCGACGTGCTCATGGGACTACTCAAAAAGGTATTGGCTCGGCGCAGGGATCTGAAACTCATTGTCACATCGGCCACCATGAATGCGGAGCGCTTTTCCCGGTTCTACGGCGGTGCACCGGAGTTTATCATCCCCGGAAGGACGTTCCCTGTGGATGTCCACTTTTCGCGCACGCCCTGCGAGGACTACGTCGACAGTGCGGTCAAGCAGGTCTTGGCCATCCATGTGTCGCAGGGTCCGGGCGATATTCTTGTGTTTATGACTGGACAGGAAGATATCGAGGCGACCTGCGAGCTCGTTGATGAACGGTTGAAGTTACTCAACGACCCACCGAAGCTGAGCATTCTGCCCATTTACAGTCAGATGCCTGCAGAACAACAGGCGAAGATTTTCGAACGGGCGGAGTCGGGGGTGCGAAAGGTGATTGTGGCCACGAACATTGCTGAGACCAGTTTGACGGTCGACGGAATCATGTTCGTCGTGGACTCCGGATATTCCAAGTTGAAGGTGTACAACCCCCGGATGGGTATGGACACGCTACAGATTACGCCGATCTCACAAGCCAATGCCAACCAGCGTTCCGGACGAGCAGGGCGGACAGGTCCTGGCAAAGCGTACCGTCTCTTCACAGAAGTGGCGTACAAGAACGAGCTATACCTGCAAACAATTCCGGAAATCCAGCGGACCAGTCTCTCCAACACCGTCCTTCTACTCAAGTCCCTTGGGGTCAAAGATCTGTTGGACTTTGACTTTATGGATCCCCCGCCCCAGGAGACAATCACAACATCGCTCTTCGAGCTCTGGTCGCTGGGTGCCCTTGACAACCTTGGCGACCTGACCCCATTGGGACGTCGGATGACTCCCTTCCCAATGGACCCCCCGCTCGCGAAGCTGATCATCACCGCGGCAGAGACATACGGCTGCAGCGAGGAGATGCTCACCATCGTGTCTATGTTGTCCGTTCCCAGCGTCTTCTACCGCCCGAAGGAGCGTCAGGAGGAATCCGATGCCGCCCGCGAGAAGTTTTTCGTTCCCGAATCCGACCACTTGACTCTACTCCACGTCTACACGCAGTGGAAATCTAACGGATACTCCGACGGCTGGTGTACGCGACACTTTCTTCACGCCAAGGCCCTGCGACGGGCGCGTGAAGTCCGGGACCAGCTCCACGATATCATGACGGTGCAGAAGATGCCGCTCGTCAGCTGCGGCACAGACTGGGATGTGATTCGCAAGTGCATCTGCTCTGGGTTCTACCACCAGGCCGCGCGCGTCAAGGGTATCGGTGAGTTCATCAACCTGCGCACCAGCGTCAGCATGCAACTCCACCCGACCAGTGCTCTATACGGTCTTGGCTATGTACCCGAGTATGTGGTATACCACGAATTGATCCTCACCAGCAAGGAGTACATGTCTACAGTGACTGCCGTAGACCCGCATGTAAGTTCCACACCCAAATACCCGCATACCAAGATGCTAATTGGCATACCAGTGGCTGGCCGAACTCGGTGGCGTATTCTACTCCGTCAAAGAGAAGGGCTACTCTCAGCGCGAGCGCCGCATCACCGAACAAGAGTTCAACCGACGCGTGGAGATCGAGACCCAGATGGCCGCCGACCGTGAGCGCGCAGCAGCCGAGAAGCAGCGCGAAGCGGAACGCAACGATCCTACTCGACGGAGAAAGGAAATCGAAGTCGGCTCGGTAGTGCGCCGACCCGCTGCAACAGCAAGACGCGTCGGAGGTGTGACAGCCTCCAGTTCACGCAATGGCGGCGGCGGCGGGAGCGTTGTTAAAAAGCCGGCGATCAAACGGAAGCCGGGACGAGCATTCTGATGTATAATGGATAGATATACCCAGTCAATAGACACATACATTCCGTCAGTTCTACGTCCCATCCCCATATAGCAGAATCCATAGTAAACACTGTAATATCAATACATAAAACAACGAGGTATAGTATAAGCTAACAGAATAATAATCAACACTGATATTTTACCCACCATCCACAATCCACCGACAGAATATGCCAGACCAGACAGAACTATACAGGACAGAACCCACTCCACCAGGGAACAGCCATCTATCCATGCCATCCGCCAGCCCAGCAATCCAGTCCAGTATAGCATACTTCCCCCAACACAACCATCCCACAACCCATCTTATCCCATAACCCACGTCTCCCACCCGAAAAGATAAACCAACCTAATTGATAAAGTTAATACAAAAGAAATGCAAAATCAGACTTCCGAAGACGTAATCCGCGAATGCCCTAGCAGCAGTTAGCACCACCCATTACACCAACCCGCCACATCACACCACACCCAATCCTAAGGGGAAAGAAACGAACCTCTCATGCGAAACCACCCCCTTCTCACCCTCCCCATCAGCAACCGCACCCGTTGTACCCTTCTTCCCCTTCCCCTTGGCCCCAGACACCGTCGAAGAAGTCGAATAAGAAGAAGTAGACCCACTAGTCTGCATCCTCAAACTCGCCGTAAGAACAAATTGTCCCACCGCGGCACAGAAACCACTTAGGAAGGCGTTGAAGGGCTATCATCATTCATCATCCGTATGTTAGCCATATTCATACCATACCCCCCATCCTCACCCCTTTCCCACCCAAACAAGATAAACAGGAGAAGGAGGAGGAGGGTATACTCACATAATTCCCCGCCAACACACAATACACAAACTGAACACCCCCCACAAGCACCAAAAACGCCATGAAGGCGTCCAACAACAACGTCCGCTGCGGCGTGGTCCCCACGTACTGTTGCCAGACGGTCTGGGCGATATCGTAGACGGAGGAGTTGGTGGTGAGGGTTTTGGGGCCGGAGGAGAGGGATGCACTATTAGAGCTGCTGCTGGCAGAAGGCATGGTGGGTGCGGAGGGAGCGGGGATGGGGCCGGTGCTGGTACTGGTGTTGCTGGGTGAGGTTGAGGCGGTGGCGGGGGTGCGTTTTGGGGCCATTGTTGATTTATATGGGAGTGTAGAGGTGGTGGGAGGAGGTATCAGAGGAGATGGTGTGGGTGGTGGTTCGGAGTATGTAGTTACGCAAGCTGGCCTGTCGGATGGTTACGCGGTGTCACGTGATTTATAGATCGGGGGTATGCCTTGGGAGGGATGCTTTGAGATGGAGTGGGTGGGTTATCGGTTTGGTTTAGTAGATGTGGAGGGTTTGTTTGTTTAGAGGCAGGCTCGCATTCTATCTTAGGTAGGTGAACATAGCTGTTACAGTCCGGAGTATCATCATCATCATCATCATTACTATCATAGAATGGAGAGCTTCTTGGTCAGAGAGGAGAATTCAAGGCACCTCGGCCACCAGGGCCAACTTGGTATCACAAAAAAAAGAGTACATCCATCCCCTAGGCCAGCCAGTCCAGCACGTTGCCATACGGATTCTGCGTATTCGCCGCATGCAAATCCGTCTGGAAATCCGTCATCACCTGATCCCATTCCTCCCAATTGAGATTCCCGTTCGGCATCCCCGGCTGCGTCTCCGGCTCCATCGGTCTCACGAGTACGTCCATCGACGTGTCTGTGCCCGTGTTCGTCGGCTGCTGGAGACTGGCAGCCGTGGCAGGGTTCAGCCAATCTGTATCAGGGAATAACTCTTCAATTACCCCCATGGGCCCTTTGCGAAGATCAAAGTCCACGCCGCCGGTATCAGCCAGCGTGCCGGAATCATTCAGACTGGTGGGTGAAGGCTGAAACGCCAGCGCTCGGGGTACAACCGGCCCACAGTGACCGGTGAATGCGATATCCTGCACCGCTCCCATGCTGGAGCTCATTTGCGCTTGCATCTCCTCCTGCTTGGCCCGGAACGCAGTGGCTCGCTTCATCAGTCGGGACAGAGGACGCCAGAGCATTCCCTTCCGTTGCTTGCTGTTCTTAATCCACTCGGTATACAGTGTGCTCACGGCTTTCCACGCTCGATCGGTCAACGGGCTTAACGGGCGCACACATAACTCCGACAGCACAAAGGCAATGGCATGCCACTGCATGTTCGTGGCAAATAACCAGCTCCATTTGTACGTCTTCACATCCCCATCCAAGAGTCGCTGGAACTCGACGACCTCGACTGACGTGGCAAACAGACTCTCGCGGTTCGCATGGCTCAGCTTGAGTCCACGCTCAGGCCGGGTCATCGGATGATGGATAACCAGCCACAGCTTGGTCAGGATGAGACGACCAATGGTCGCGCAAACCCATTGAATGGGAATGTTCATGTCACAATGCTTGATATAACGATCTTCGATGCGGTCATTAATGGACCGGATCAACCGAGCACAGTTATCTGGATCGATGTGCCGAGCGGCCGCAGCGAATCGGCCGTTCGGACAGGCGTAGCTCACTCGGCGCACCGCAACCGCGATGTCACACCGGATCAAGCAAAAGGTCATCTCCGTCCAGCCCACGTGTTCCTGAGGAGGCTCCTGCATGTCCGGCGTAATATCTTCATCGTTGATGTTCAACGGAAGGCGAGTATCGTACAATCGTTCATGAATCTGCGCATCGGATCCGTGATCCTCTGCCGACCGAATATCCAGCAAACAGATATGCCACCACAGTCGTCGGCGCATCTCCGTTTCAAAAGGTTTCAGCCCAAAGTTGGTGCCATCCCGGTGGAGACCGAGTCCCTGCGCCAGGCGAAGGACCAGTGCCGTCATCGACCACACAAACTTGGTATCATCTTCTCGACGGATTCCAAGCAGAAAGATCACGAGTGCTTGCAAAAGTGTAAAGTTCTGGGTATTTAGGAGGTCCGCCTTGGCTAGCGCTTGCTCCACCGCGAAACGGTACCGCTTGACCGCCGCATCCCGTTCTTCTCCTAGCCGTAGAGAGCACTGCTCAGGCGACAAGCTGACGATAGAGACCAAACACATCGCAAGGAACAGTGCCTCATAGTTCTTATCCAGGCTGCTCGCATCTCGCGCAGCGGTGCTAAATAATTGCTGGGCCGACGCTTTGTGCACAATGGGTATTAGCGGCGCCACATTATCCATCCAAATACTCCATAGCGTCGGAATCTGGGACTTGGAGGGGAGAAACTCGTGTAATGAGTGCGAAACGGAATAGAAACCAAACAAAAAACCGTCGTGGTTCGTTGAGTGGCTGGACGATGTCTCGGGAGATGGATAATCTTCCTCATCAGAGGACGATGGATCTAGGATATCTTGGAGCTCCTCAATCTAAGAACGAGTCAGCAAAGTCCAGTAGGAGGAGTAAGAAGGACGCACTTCATCTCCAAGACTAGCCCAGAATCGATTGCTAACATAACGACTTCGACCTTCCTCGATCACCAACCGACCAAACTCGTGCTCCACATTTCGCTGTGCGATGGGTACGGCGGGATCCAATTTGGAAGCATCCAGCAGCAGTGGGCAGCCATCGGCATCGCCGGTATGCTGAGGCGCTTGGGGCAGCACTGCGGGTGCGGGCGGATTTTCGGTCTGCTGCTGGACCCGTGGGGAGGGCGTTTCGGACGACGGAGCGACACTATTTGTTTTCTTCTCACTGAGATGTTCAATGACGCCCTCGAGACGCCTTAACCGAGACAGAAGTTCCGCATCTTGCGGCCGTTTAATCTTGCGGGGCGCCCGTCCGGGAGGGGGAAAAATACACTGGATGCCGGCCTTGACGCAGTTGGAGCAAGGGGTTTTCTTGTTGCAGCGAACTTTCCTCCGACGGCAGGTGATGCAGCTGCGCAAGCTGTCCTGCGAAGAATGTGAGACGGCATGGGAGTTGAGGGTGGTGTGCGGGCCAGGAACAACGTCAGACCCGTTCCTGGGAGAGAGGGACGATGGGGCTGAGGCTGCGTTCACAGGCGAAGTGGACTCGATCGATGGGAACGACATGGCGAGGAGGAGTTGCTGAGCTGAACCGATACCCCACCAAACCACATCCTCACATGCAGAGATTTGTCAACAGAAGTCAAATAGCCAGGAGAAAATTTTCTCGCGAGTTCTGTGAGAGACCATAAAGGATCAACTAAAACCAGGGTAGATTATCAAGCCTCCAGCTCGCGCCTGACCTTCGCTCTTCAGTCATCGACTCATAGCGGAACCCGGAGCGGTGTCGGGCTTTCCCATTGGCTGCACGGCAACCCTTCTGGCCCCGGCCGCGGGCCACTGACTAATCATGTCTGACAATCACGTGGGCCGCCAAGCTGCAGCATCCACGCCAAAAATAACATTGGCGACAGCTGGGGCTCGGTGTTTGTTGGCGGAGGAAATTGGCGATCATGCACCGCCAGTGTCAGGACCCGACGTCATTGTCGGGCGGTTGACTGTTGGATTCTTGGTCAGTCAGTCGGCCAACTTCGCTGGAGTACGGAGTAATCCCGCATCCTCAGGCATCCCGCCCTTATCTGATCGTCATCAGCGACCAACAAAGCCACGCTGACCGCTGACTCACCTCGTGTTCGCACGGCTGCTATTTTGGGCGCCCCAAGCTTTACCCGCCGGGCTCCATCGTGGACGCATTCTAAACGGCACCATCATCCCAACGGTCCTAAACAAGCATTTGGCCCCGGATGCAGTCGATTATAGTAGGCCCGCTTGACCCATCCAGCACTTTACAACCAGACCCTTATCTATAAGATCCATTCAAAAGGTTAAATTTGTTGACGTTTGACATGGTTGGGTGCAGAGTCAATCCGGTCATCATCAGCAGAATGTCCCAGGATGGCGAACCAGCAAGGGAAAAAAGAATGATTTTGGCAACAGATCTATATCTAGCGAGGAATCTCATCTTATTCAGACCCGGGTGTCACTGTAATGAAATGTATTATAGTATGTTCACAAAAGCCTCGGTGGCTTTCCTCGGCAGCATATCTCAGTAGCCGCCTGCAGAATCTCAATATATTCAGAAAGTCCCAATAATCAGACAAAACCCAGAATATATACTGAATAACCCAACGCCAAATGTAGCCATGATGCGGAATGTAGCGCACCCAGCAAACGCCGTATATGCAAGTCGAAAGTCACTATCTACGTGCTGGGCCAGTTCAGATCGTTACTGTCATACACAAGCTCCGATGTGATAGGAGAACATCAAAGGAGCTCCGGGAGGCGATATCGTAGTCGCACGATCACCGGAATAGGGGCCCGAGGGGCGTGGTTCGGACGGGATAGTCGGACTCTTTCCGACGCCAGAATCTCTTCTTCCTACAAAGAATGCATTAGCGATATATCGCGAATGATTCGACGCAAGACTTACTTCATTCTATCCCACACTTGAGTGACCTGGTTGAAATGATAACTACAGCAAACATTAGTCGGGTACAGAACGAAGCGGAACAAAGCATACCCTTGGAACACAGACGCCGTCATCGACTTGGAGCCGTACTCCTTCTTGAGCAGCCGAACATATTCGAACGGGATCTTGACCGGGACATCCTCGAAATAGCTGTTGCGCAGCGGGAAGATCTCGGTTTCCTAACACCAGTCAGCCAGCGGTTGTGTCACCGGTTCGCGCGCCACCCACATCAAATCGGTGGCCATCCTTGCACATCAGCGAGCCAGGGTCCCCATGGGCCCTCCGCTCGTCGTCTTTGCGAACCGCCGTGATATCGATGAAGAGCCCGGAAGAAGTGTCGATCCACCGGGCATCAATCACGTTCAATTTGTCATCGGTCGACCGGACAACATAGTTCGGGTTGATTTCGAGGAGATACGTTCGGCCACCCTCCACTCCGGGAATATCAAAGTGGTGCTCGGTCATGTTGTAGTAATCGGCGAGAAAATGGATGGTCGGCTCGGAGATCTGAACGTCGAGATCGTTGTCCCATGGAAAGATCTGCCCTTGTCAGCGGGCGGTACATTGTGAACAACCGTGGTTTCGCATCACACCTTCTGGTTCCACCACCATGCCAACAGAGTTCCGTGCATTATCCATGTTTCGACCCCAAGGTCTCCCATTGTCGAAAGATAAGTCCGGATGAGTTCTGACAGATGTGGAACAGTCTTGTCCTCAGGAAGAGGTCCGTCTGCGAAGCTGCCAATAGAGTTAGTCGGCGCAGAGTTCCATCAGGTGGAGCCAAACGTACCGTCCATCATAATGGTAATGAAAGCTAGTGTAGATTAACGTTAGCCAGAACCAACAGAGACACCGCCCACGATCAGCGTGATTGCATACCTTGATTCCTCTGCGAGAAGTTAGACACTGGTTCATAGTAACTGGGTTGGTTCAAGCCAAACTTACTGAAGTATTTCTCTCCTGGTTCCCCTCCTGTTCCCGTATATTCCTTGACCATACTAGGCCTCACACTCATGAAATCAACATCGGCGCGAGCCGATCCCACGGCCGATAACAGCCCATAGAGACCGAGAAGAAGACGGGGAGCCGAAGACCACATGGCGAAACAAAAGACGGTTTATCTCTTTCAATCAATGACTCGGAGAGCGCATGCTCTTATCCGAGGTTGCACGATGGCGCAGATAAGGCGAGGGTGTTCGCGCTGCTAAGAAATAAGGCGGAATGGGCGGGATCCGAAGGGCCGAAAGGTTCAAAGGGGGCGGGCGAAGAGAGGTGCAGGGACCGGGGCAAATCGAAGGCGTAGGAGGAAAAACTTCGAATAGAAATACAAGAAAGAAGAAGGGAAAGAAAAGAGAGAGAAGATTATTATTAGTAGTATTTTATTCAAATGGGAGCGACGTAATCAGTGCGGCGTAGAATAATAAGACAGATGGGGAACCAAGGAAAACCACGAATCGCCATGGAGATCGGCAGGGAAGACGTATAAAAAGAACCGCCGCCATACAGCATACGGGGGGCCCGGTCGCGTGCTCAGTTACCGTCCGCCGCCGCCGCGAGTGGCAATACTGTACTGTTAATGGCCGGGAGATTTGGAACTGACCAGCCTTGCCAGCCTTGGCGATGGCCTTACCGTGCCGATCCGGGTACAAGGCCTGGGAGATTCGGTCAGCGTCGCAGTGATCGTGCCTGTTTCCTTGGGTGTTCGACCTCCAGAGTCCTATCATCATGTCTTGGTGATGCACTGGCGATGTGTATCGAGTGTACCGAGAACCACGGACACTAGAAAACCACTAGACGCCCGTCTTAACAGAGTAGTACCTTGCGTACGCGGTCTGAGGCCAATCGCATGACGAAGATAGCACGGCCTGTTCCGACAGAGTTAGCCCGATGGCTTTACCTTTGTCGTGGGTTCGCACCTGAGATGCGTGCAAAGTGGTCCGCAGCATTGGGGCCGCGTCATAGCCTGGTAGCGGCATTTCCACTCTACCCATGGACCCAATGCCCTCCTCAGATTACCCGCTCACCATCCAATCCGTCCCCAGTTTCAGGTGACAGTTGGCCTTCTGCTGCTGTCACCACACCCGGGGTGGATGACGAGGCTGGGTCTCAGACTCCTTCTGGTCAAATCCTCTTGACCACCCTGAATCGGGCGGCTAGACGGTTCCGCGCTGGACAGCAACAGCAAGGGCAGTACTACTCCGTAATGCTCCACGCGGCCGATAGCCAAGTCAGACCTTGATAAAAGTGGGGCCTCCACTGCATCAAGTATCAATAAACACGTTGGAATCAACATCCTGTGCTTTGTTGCTCCTCCCAGTCTTCCAGTTTCCTGGTTCATACGATCACCAGTGAGAGACACTGGTATGCACCGCTCTTGGAGGCTAACAAGCCTACCGGTTCATACTTAGTACTATGTACTGTGTATTGTAATCTCTTTTGAACTTGGAACAGACGTCACCGTGTCTCAGCATCATCCAACCCGATGGATAGGCGAGCGAATCATAGTCCACCCTCGGGCTTGTAGGCAAATCGTCGAACAATGTGAGATGTGGCTCCTCTATCGCTATTAAAGTATATTCACATTCCCTGTTTTAGATGCTAGGCATGAATGCGACATGCATAATTACTGCGCACTAATTATACCTCAGCACAGCACGACAAGGAATGTCGCATCGCCGAGACATGCTGCTGAACCTTGCAACTTATGTGCAGTCGGTCTGAGGACGTTGCTAGAGGCCAAACCTAAGAATATGAATATCTGCATTGGTACTCTTCAATCGATCAATGACAGGCCTGCAGGCAATGTCAGCCTCGTGTATGGACAACACAGACCAGCTGTAAGGCATTCCACCATGCCTACACACTCTGAACAGGCCAATAGTACTATCACTAGGGTTTCGCATCTTACACCCACCTCTTCCAACACTGAAGATTGAGTCTATTGCTTTCTTACCTTTCATCAGACCGTCATCATGGACTCGCGACCCTATCGATATCATCGTTCAAGTGGTGGCCAAAACTATAGCGAGGACGCCATGCGGTGCTACCGGTATTACCGGAAATGATTCGAAATGCCTTGCCAATATGGGTGGAAGACTCACAGTGTAGGAAACTACGCAGGACGATCTCAGCGTCGAAATCACCCCGTGGGAGGCCCTTAGAGATTACCAAATCGGGCAAGTGATGCCGGGGTCGCGATGTCGCGAGGAGGGCCTGCGTGATTGGTCGGCGGATCAGATCTTCCGGGCGCGTCGGGGAAATCGGTTCCGATGATTCGCCAGGTTTGGGGTGTTATCGTTGCTAATTTGGTTGTTTCCCAGTCTGGCACTAACTGGCTAGGCCTTCTTCCCTTCCCCTTTTCACCATGCCTTGAATCTTCGGCTGGAGGGAGTCAAAGTGCGGAGCAGCGGGATGCCAGTCTGCTCTGACCCCTGCCTTATCTTCCCGGTGGGATTATTGTAGAGAAGACAATGTAGCTGGCCTAGCTGCAGGTACGCTCGTCGACTCCCACTAACCGCTGTATCTTGGATCTTCCCGCCCCCCGTTCAAAGTTGATCTAATCTCTCCACTTCTGCCTGCCGTTCGCCAAAGAGAACGGCGGACTAAACATGCACTAACCTTAGGCCTCTCTCCTCGAACCAACCCCCTCCCAGCAATGGCACCATCCTGGTCTTGGAACCGCAAAGAAAGCCTCTTTGGAATTTAGTCGTTGGGCCTCCCCCTGTGGCTGGTCTCTCACATGACTGCGGCTTGTATGTGTCCCACTGCTTCAGCTGGATTCTGCTGCTGCACAACTCCGCCTACTTGCGGCTCCGGGTACATGGCGACTTCTGCAGAGTTCCCTGCCAGCGGGCATCCAATTGGATGTCTTCCAGGATTGTGCCTTGAATATAGTTGTTGATTCCAATCGGATCACATTATTCTCTTCGCCGTGGCTTTTGGATCTCTTTCGAACCCAGATCGACAGACGTGAAATGGCGAAGTTGAAATCCATCCTACACGCCCGCTTCTGACCCCATTTTGTCCGGCTTCAAATGACTCTTGAGGACAAGTAACTTTGTCGGATTCATTTCCACAACCGCAGGGACTCTCCTCCCTCCAGCCCCAGTTATTCCCCAACCCTGGTCTCTACCGTCGATCGCCAGTGGCCTAGTTGCTACACCTTGTAACGAGGTGTGGGGGCCAAAATGTCGAATATACCCACAATGCTTCCTGACGACCCAAACGTCATATCACAGGCGGCGACCGCGCAGCAATTAAACCGATCGTGCGAATCATGTCGAGGACTAAAAGTCCGTTGTTTACCCGATCCCTTGACTCCAACCCAGTGCCAACGATGTGCGAAAGCCAACAGGCCCTGTATCTTCGTGGCGCCTCAAAGACGGCGACCGCGCAAGCGGACTGATTCTCGGGTAGCTCAGCTGGAAAAAGAAATGCGACAGATGCGCTCTCTACTGAAAGACAGGTTACGGGTGGATGAAAGCAGTGCAGAAAGCGTAGGCAGCGAACGAGAGGACTCGGGAGAACCCGACTTGGGACCAGGTTTCAATGATCCGATGCCCGCCAATACAGATCCGCCAAGCAGCGCATCGGGATCGGCCAGGCCCATGGACCTGTCTCCCGGATTCCCATCATCCTCTCCATACCAGAATACCACCTTTGACTATTATATCGCTCCGGCTCCGGCTCCGGCTCCCAACCCTGTCTCGACAAGCTACTCGCTTGAAACAATACCGGAAAGAGATGTCGTGGATCGCGGGCTGATCTCGCTGGAGTATGCCAACGATCTAGTCGCCTTTTTCGTCACCGAACTCACGGCCTTTGCTCCAATCGTCGTATTGCCGCCGGATACAACTGCCGCCCAACTGCGTTGTTCGAAGCCAGTACTCTTCCTCTCTGTTATTGCCGCCGCCGCGGTCTCCCTGGATGCCAACCTAGCCGCCGTACTCAACCGCGAGATGATCCGTGTCTATGCAGAACGCTTCTTCATCAACGGGGACAAGTCCTTGGAGTTGGTCCAAGCACTGTTGCTCATGATTGTCTTCTACTTCCCGCCCGATTCGCCTCTGAAACTGCAATTCTATCAATACACCCATATAGCTGCCACCATGGCTTTGGAGATCGGCTTGGCTTCCAAGCGCCGGGTATCCCCAAACTCCAGCCGCAGGACGAACAAGAAAGCCGTGTATGACGAGTCAATGGCGGAACAAGCGAGGGCAATCTTGTCTTGCTATCATCTGACCTCAATGTAAGATGCGATCGCGCATGCCGTTCAGGCCAACACGCTAATGCAGGACAGTGTTGCCATGAAAACTCGCCGGCCCAATTTGCTTCTTTATAACGATTGGATGAGCGAATGTGTGAAACATCTGGAACGCTCGCCAAATGCAGTCGACAGACACATGGCCACCTGGTTCGAAATCCAAAGAATAGTGGACGAGGCGATGACTTCGTTTGGGCTCGATGACACAAGCTCGACCGCCCCGCTCACAGAGTCACGACTGCAAGCCATCCTGAGGTGGTTTGACAACCGGATGCAGTCATGGAAGAAGGACCTTTCCAGGGACATGCACACAGGTATTATTTGGCCCGGCGCAATAAATCGCAAACGTGCAGGAGCTAACAGGTTGTCAGTTCCTATGAACTTCGAGTACCATTACACCAACCTTGCTATTTATGAGCTTGCCATCGGCGAAGGCTACCGAGATCCTGATGCAATTAAGCAACAGTACTATACGCTCCCATCCCCGGATAGCAGTGACACAGCCCCCAGTACGCCGGTGAGTGCGGTTCGCGTAGACTTCACGATTAAGTGGATGAACGCCGCCCATGAGATGCTCGACTTTTTCCTTGGGTGCGACACGGAGATGCTGCGAAAGATCCCCAACCTGATCTACACCCGGGTAGGAGTGGCAATGATGTCCCTGCTTAAAATTTACTTCTCCGTTCGAACCGGTGCGCTGGGGGAGTTTGTGACTGCTGAAACTGTAAATGTCGATAAATATTTGGATGCGATGAGCAGACGGCTGGCGGAGGCAAGCGGTGGCCAGAAGTACAAGATCCCGAGCCGGTGGTATTTGGTCGTTGCGATTAAAGCTCGGAATTGGTATGACCGCTTCCAACGGCAACAGATGCAGAGAAGCACCAGGCTGGTTCCGCAAATGAGCGCGGGCACATCGGTATCTCCCAGTCATATTCCCGCCCATAATCAGAACCCGCTGCCATTTGACCCATCACAGCAAGCAGCACCGCTTGGAATGAAGACCGAGTTTTCTCCCATGGCCCCTTTCCATGCCATGGGCTCAGGTTATGGTGTACCGCCAGCGACGGATGGGATGTGGCCATCCGACCAGGGTGGTTTCCACAACATGATCAACGTGAACCAATTCGCCGGCTATCAGCCTACCATGATGCCCCCTCCGCCTCAGTATGGCTATGACGTGCAGCAGCAGAGGACGCCGCCTGAGAGCAGCCCGCAGAGTAATCCATCACTGGCGAAAACGAGCATGGAGCTCGATGAATGGATTCCGGATGGCAGTATTTTTGCGGTGCCCAGCTTGCCTGGGTTTTAGAACCTGGTCGCTGGTAGACGCTGGGCACCAGAATAGAGGATGAAAATTTGCAAGCAGACCCTTGCTTGCACACATAGGCTTAGCCAGGCCTGAGAGCCATCTGAATAGAAATCATCCGCCTGGCAGATCACTCGACATGCCTGGGTGTCGGAGTTGCAGAGCAATGTTAGCTGGCCCTCTGGAGAATGATCCCGAACAGAAACACGCAGTAGAAAGAAGAAAAGACGAACTGTTAGCGACGCGCACGTTCAAGACCCCTCGTCGCGTCGAGGTTTCACCGTCGGAGGTTCGGCAGACATGAAACCTCCGACATCCGGATGGGGTAGATGAATGTCACCCAACATCGGCGGTGCACCGTTGAGGACCGTCGGGGTTGTCCGAAAGTGGGATTGTGGAGCCTGTCCTGACTCCTGGGGCTCGCTTCCATGATATAGTTCGCTGGTCATTCAGGAAGTAGATCCAGTCGCCATGTGGGTTGTCAGCGCTGGAGCCTGGGAGTTGGAGATGCTGCTGGCCATGTGGAGTAAGTCATTGGCCCACGAGTGACTGAAAGGGCAATCAGTGACGGTGGATTGTCAGATGATCGCGAATGGGTCAAGCATTGGTTCTTACATAGTAAGGGCTTGTCGGACCTCCGTCAAGTTCAACAGGATGTCGACGCCACTACGGAAGATGGGCCGACAGCCCTGAATCGGCCCGATGCCGACGGAAGACTCAACGTCCTCCGCACTGTTCACCAACAGATGCAGTATCACAGGCTATGGGTACATTTCTATGTGCTTGCTACTACGTACTTTAGATCTAAGTACTTTGATTGTCTGCTAAGGCCAATTTCGGTCTTCTGCCTCGGTACTGACTTGATGGCTACAATAATGACGGCTCGTATCGAGTCACATCTCAGCCACATACCCACTATGTCATACATCATTCAGGCATCCTCGTCTAAAATCCCTACTTGAACTGAATTGATGCTCGTCACGGCTACTAGAGCTACCTTGTCTGTTACTCCCTAAATATGTGCCATCGTTCTGGTTCAAGTGAGGTACCGTGCTTCAGCCACAGCCTTAAACTTTGTGGCATGCAGATTAGAAGCTGCCTCGAATCTCGATAGCCGGTGACTAAATTGACATCTCCTACCTAGCACGTGGTGATCACAGAGTGTCTAAATTCTGCAGCCTGAACACCTCTGGCGGGCCCCAATACTCCCTATGTCGTAGATTTATCTAACCACCCCTCTTTCGAGTTTCGACCAGGTCAGCAGCACCAGCTGAATCTCTTCGACCCGAATAACGGGGCCGTTGGGGCTATCGGAGGATGAGACAGGCACAGTACAATTCCACGCTAAATCCTGCCTGTGACAAGGGTCAGGATGCAGCGCTCCGTAGCGATATTATCTCCAACCAAGGCCAGGATTGAGAGGTGGCTGGTCCCAGATCCAAGGATGCAAAATGATGCCTGTGGCTTCTGGTTTATGTAATCCCCGGTCCTCTAACTAACGTTAGGATGTAAATTACGGTATGGGAGCTTTTCTGGGATAATGACAAGGGACGGCGACAGAAGGTTCAGCAATGGCCCCTGCACGTATGCAAGATGGTGCGAGGGTTCGGGTTCATTTCCCAGCCGACCGGTTCAAAACCTGACGAGGTGAAGGCTTGCCAGTTGCCAGGAGAAGAGTCCGGGGACCCGCGATGGAGGAGAGGACGAGGGGAGTAGAGGACCGCTTTCGACCACCGGCTTGCGTAGTGCCTCCCCCATGCGGCACCACGTCTCCCGGTCGCAGGCTGCTTTGCAAATCGGCCCCGAATTCACCTGGGCTGACAATCAACCAGCTGGAAAGGTGTTGGCCTTCCAAATCTGTCCTTTCGTCTATCCTGCCTCAATCAACAGACCACCAGTCCCCATTTCCGTCCATGTTCAATTATTCCTGCTCCTGCGCCGTTACTTCATCTCCGTCCCCGCCATCCGCCGTACCTTGACCTCCGTCGCTACCCCATTACTTGTCGTCCCAATCGCCAGCTGCCCCCTGACCTCTCACCAAGCTTTTCTTGGCCAGGCACAAAGGATACGACCTCCTCCGGGGAGCTCTAGCGCAAACCCAACCTCGATCCCCTGTGCCTTTCGCACGAATGGGTCATCCTGGGCCCCATTCATGTCGGAACTTGCACGGTGGTATTAGGGAACCGAGAATCGACACGAGCCAACCCGCACGCACTTGATTTGACACGTCGATGAAGAATGAGCTCAGTCTCTAGCCCTGCTGCCGACCATTCTGTCGACCTTCCTGCCGATCAGCCACATATCTCACAGGCGTCCGGTACTTCGCCCCCCTTGGCTCCGGCTGCTAGTGCGGAAAGCAGCGCTCCCTCCGATCATGACATGATACAGAAAGAGAACGTCAGGCCGGTCCAGGGGAAGGACGTAGATAACCAGACTGCTTGTTCGGGGCCGAATGCGGGATCGATACAGGAGGAATTAGATGACTTTGGGCTGCCGATTCACGTGCGGCCCAAGAGAGTGTCTTCGGATAGCGAGGAGGTATACCAGGACGTCGCTGAATCTGCTGGGAGCGCTACTGATGATGGCGATTTGGGCACACGTGGAGGTCAAGAAACTACACCAGAGGAGGTGGCTCCGAGTGATCGGGTAGAGGATAAACCCCAGGTGGCAGGAAAGGACGTGGATGGGGGTTCGCCATTGCAGTCTACGACATCCACGCCGCATGATCATCAATCTGCCATGGAAGAGCCCGCAGAGGCTTCTACGGCCAGCGAAAAGCGTGCTCTCCCCGACCACTCGTCCCATCCTGAAGATGAACCGCCGCCGCCGTACACGGAGAACCCGGCTCAGGAACAGCCCGAGACTGGTGCCGAGCGTCCCTCTATGCAGAAGAAACGTGCATCCGTGAAGCCATCCGAGTGGTCACATCAACAGCTGTATGGGGCTGGACACCCGGAGGATGAAAGCGAAGAAGAAGAGGACGATGGGGGCTGGAAAGATATGCCTGCTGTGGACGAATTCGACGTGTATGACGACTACGGCCGGCTCGTTGCCCGTGGCGCGAAGCCGGAGGATAGCGAAGCCGTCTACAGCGGGTTGGGAGGTGCAGGAAAGGGATACACTCGAGTGCAGCTTGACGAAGATGCTCAATCAGCAACTAGCTTGGATGAAGATACAAGCTATCTGTTCAAAGAATCCGCCGCCAACGCCGCTGGAATGGAGGAGGAGCTGCGTGACCCCGTTAGCCAACTGCAAGCCACGAAGGACCTTCTTACTGAGAGCCAGAGGATAGCATATGTCGGGGTGACCAGGTTGACTATACATCAAATGACATTGGACATCGAGAAGATTCCACCCATCAAGGGCACGCGCAAGGCAAGGCAAGCTGGCGTCGACTCCATGCGGAAGTGGGGTCAAGCAATGATGGCCAGGCTCTATTCCCACATGGACATTGACACTGCAGAGCAGGTGATGATCGAGCAATTGGCAGGACATGGCGTGCAGCCGGCAGATCTTGTCCGACCGCTCATGAGCAACGCTCGGGTCACGAATCCTCTGGCAGAGGAGCCGGAAACACCAAAGAAATCCATGTCCTTACCCACCTCCCCCAGGCTGAGGGAGGACTACCGGAGCAGTATATCGACCGAGGTCGACAGATCCTCCAGATCAACATCCCCGCCACCCTATGAAACCCACGAGGGAGAAGACCTGCCAGAAGTCCGAACCCCATCTCAGTTGCCCACATCGGCGAAGATCGACATCGATCTCCGATGGACAGTGCTCTGCGATCTGTTCCTCGTTCTCATTGCGGACTCCGCCTATGATGCGCGATCGCGGACATTGCTCGAAAGGGTTGGTGCGTCGATGGAAGTGTCCTGGCTGCAGATTGCCCGCTTCGAAAAGCGCGTCATTGATGCCCTGGAGATGCAGGAGGCCGCCGAAAAGGAGACGTGGGATGAGTCGGAGCATATGGAGAAGCGACGAAAGATGGCCCTTAAACGGAAGTACATGGTCATGGGCCTCGCCACAGTGGGAGGTGGTCTAGTGATTGGCCTCTCGGCTGGGTTGTTGGCCCCAGTCATCGGCGCTGGCATCGCAGCCGGATTTACGACAGTCGGGATTACGGGGACGAGCGCATTCCTGGGCGGTGCTGGAGGTACCGCGCTGATTGCCTCCGGTGCTACCTTGACTGGAGGCACCATTGGACTGCGGGCGTCCCAGAAGCGTACGGGTCCGGTTCAAACCTTTGAATACCGTCCCTTGCACAACAACAAGCGGGTCAATCTGATCATCACGGTGGCGGGTTGGATGACGGGTAAGGTGGATGATGTCCGATTGCCATTCAGTACGGTCGATCCCATCATGGGTGATCTGTACTCGGTCTTGTGGGAACCTGAGATGCTCCGGAGTATGGGTGACACCATTAATATTCTCGCTACAGAGGTAGGCAGGTCGTTCTCTTTTGGTACGCTCGGATGCTAATCATGAACAGGCCTTGACTCAAGGACTGCAACAGGTTCTGGGGCAAACCGTTCTGGTTGCTTTGATGGCATCTCTACAACTCCCGCTGGTTCTGACCAAGCTATCCTATCTGATCGACAATCCGTGGAACGTGTCGCTTACCCGCGCCAACGCGGCTGGACTCATTCTGGCCGACTCGCTGCGAGACCGCAATCTCGGAAAGAGACCTGTAACCCTTCTCGGATACTCGCTGGGCTCGCGGGTCATCTTCTCGTGCCTCAAAGAGCTTGCCGACAGAGGTGCTCAAGGGCTGGTGCAGAACGTGTATATGTTTGGGTCCCCGATCGTGGCCAATCGGGACGAATACCTGAAGGCCCGCAGTGTGGTGTCGGGTCGATTTGTGAATGGATACGCCTCGAACGACTGGATCCTCGGATATCTGTTCCGTGCCACAAGTGGTGGTATCATGCGGGTAGCGGGTCTCGCTCCAGTGGATCGGGTTCCAGGCCTGGAGAACTTTGATGTCACCAAAATCGTGAATGGCCATATGGACTACCGTGCCGCCATTCCTCGGCTGTTGAAGGAGGTGGGCTGGGAAGTGCTGAGCGAGGAATTCGCCGAAATCGAGGATCCGGATCCTGAGAACCATGCCGAGCGGCAGAGAGAATTAATCCGGGAGATTGACGAGGCGCGACGGGAGGCGGAGCTCAAGCCAGAGAAGAAGCGATTTGGGCTGTTCAAACGCGGGAAACTGGCGCAGAAGAAAGGCTGGGAAACATACGATGTGGAACGCAACAATGCCACGTCCCGGGGCTCGAATGACAACAACGCCGCCGGGTCGGTCCTGTTTGATATCGATGCGATCCGAGCCGAGTTGGCCTCGGAGAAGATCGAAGTGAAGCAGCTTGAATCCACGCTGCCCCCAATGAAATTGGATTTGAGTTCTCCGGCGAGCCCATCTCCGTCTGCACCATCCTCCACCGCCAGAGAACTGAAAAGTCCTGAGATGCCAGCGCCTCCGGCTCGAACGCCGCCCGCCTACAGTCCCTCTCGGGATGTCTATTCGCCTCCGCACCATGAGGAGGAACTAGAGATGACCTTTGACACGTCCTTTCACGATACCCCACCACGCTCTCGTTCTTCTTTCGAGCCCGCCTCTTACGAAGGCCCGCCATCGAGGCCGGAGCTTCGGTCTGCTGTTACAATGCCGGCCCTCGGGGCTAGCACGCTTGGAGCGATCGCTCTGGAGCCGAATGCCTGGGCTGAGCATGACGAGGAGGAGATCCAGATGACGTTTGAGTGATGATGTATGAACCAGACGATGGATAAGAGCTTCTGTTGGTGTAATTGTTGATTGTTGATAAGACGGGCACGGGGTTACTTTAATAGAGTCGCTTTCTTCGGTGTCATTCTACTTTTCTTCTGCATGCTGCCGTGAGGCACTGGTTCCAGCCATGCGATGGCAATTTGGAGGTTTTTTTTTTTTTGCGGACACTTCTGGTCGAGACAGTTGGATGCATGGGTTTTGTGCCTTGGGGCTGTCTGGATCTGCTGGGTTGGAGTCTGGCTCAGCCTTAGCATAGCATTGTCTATTTTCAAACCGATGCCTTACGAATATATAGCATTACTATCAATATACCGACAGAAGAATCATTCCTTGCGAATTGGTATCAGAAGTTATCCAGATTTCCACCGGGGCCATTCCATCAGGGCTATTCCATCAGGATCGGCTTAATATAGCAGCGGGTGCGGAGAACCGCCCGAATAGCGTGTCACCACACGCGTCCCTCCTCATCTCCGAGCTCAATCCCAACCGGTTGGTTTCTCGATTGTCGCTCTCTCACCCTCGTTGTTTGCACATTTTCCAACTCCTCCCAGCCACATACTCCCACACAGTCCGGTCAAGGTCCCGCCAGGCGCCCATGCGCACCTCGTTCCACGGTTAATTCATTGCTGAGAGGGGATCGGCTCGCGATACCGGGTCCGGTGCTTCGCTCTGCCTCAGTGCCTACCTACCCACCTTGACGTGACTATTTATCATTGAGAATTCCAGTCTTTCTACGTTATACTCGTTGGGGTTTGATCTGGATTATTATCGCTAAACGATATTCTACGCATTCCTTCTCTCTGTGCAATTCCCCAGACGCTGCAGCCCGCAGCTCCTCACCATGGTCTACCAAACCAACCCCAAGCCGAACTCGAGCTACAATCGAAACTACCTCACCCGGAACATCAAAGGCCACCTCTTATCCAATTTCAACAAGAACAACAACAACAACAACAACAACAACAACAACAACAACAACAACAACAACAACAACAACAACAACAACAACAACAACAACAACAACAACAACAAAGATGATCGTCCCAAATCCTCCCTGAAACCCGAGCCCGCGACGGACGACGAACCCATCAGTTCCAGCGAGGACGATACCCTAAGCCATATCGCGGAATCAGAAGAGGAGAAGGAGGAGGAGGAGGAGATGAAGACACGGACACGAGTGTCGCGGCCCACCTTGGAGGAGAAACTCGCCAAGAGCTCACCGGACGGAGAACAAACGCCACGCGCCAGTCGACAAAGGAGTGATACAAAGAACTCGAGAACGAGTACCCCGGCTCCGGCTCCGGCGACGAGTCGTAAACGGGCGTCGCAGGAGATGGGCGAGGATCCGCTCTTCTCGGCGTATCGGGAGCTGGATTCGGGGAATAAACGACGCAGGCAGGTCATTGCTTATCCGTCGAGGAAGTCGCTCACGGGGTTGGGTTTGACGTCGCCGCAGGCGGAGTCGCCGGGGAGTAGTAGGGGGAAGAAGCAGAGAGATTCGAAGGAGGGGGGGAAGAAGCAGAAAGAGACGAAGGAGGGGGGCAAGAAGAAGAAGAAGGGATTGAAGGAGTTCAAAGTCCCTAAGGATATCGAGGATGATACGAGTCCGAAGCCGCAGTTCAAACAGCCCCCTCCGATGCCTAATGACATGATCTCGAGCTCGTCGCTCGCTACCTCCTCGGCTCTGGATGCGCTGATTTTCGACGATGATGACTCCTCGATTGGGACGCCGCTCAGCACGGCGTCCTCGACCATGATGAAAGAGCTGTCAGAAGCGATGCTGGACGAGCCGGTGCTCAACGAGCCGTCAGTGTGTCCCTGGTGCAACGCGCCCGTGGACCCGGGGATGCTGCTGCGATTCCGCGCGCAGCCTAAGCAGCGCATGCGCGAGCAGCAACAGTTCTGCGAGTCGCACAAGCAGTCCACTGCGGAGCAGGAGTGGAAGGAGAAGGGGTATCCGACAATCGACTGGGACGCATTCGAGGATCGGATCCAGCGGCATTTCGCCGACCTCGAGACGATCATGGTGCCGGAGAGCACCTCCTTCTACCGCAACATCTTGGACACGACCTTGAAGACCGGACAGGCTAAGAACTTCCGTCTCACGCTGGCCGGAGACGGGCTGGAGACGATGTCGTGTGGGTATTACGGGACGCGGGGAGCTGGTAAAATGTAGGTCTTCAACTACTCCGTACTTTCCGATCCGATCCCGGCTAATTGGACTAACTAGGCTACAAGCGATCACGACGCGATACGGACGGAAACTCCGACGACTGGCGGCCAGCGACCACATTGTCAAGGCGGCCGGGGTGGTGACCTACGCGCAGGCAGTGCTGGTGCCCGAGCTGGCGGTCCGACTCGTCAAGGAGGACATGGATGTCACGGACGAGACGGCGCGCCAGATCCTTCGCGAGACGGTGGACATTGGCCAGAAGCTGAACTTTGCCTTGAACGATAAGGTGCCGGTGCCGGAGGACCTGCAGTAGGTGTATTATTCTTCACTAGTTCCACATTCGGGGGTTTCTTTTCCTTCTTCCTCCATTGTTATGCGGGATCAGGTTGTTTACTCTGGATACCCCTTGCTTGACCGGCTACTGTGTATATATTGCGTGGTTCCGGTGTATGGAATTTATGCCTCTGTTGAGGTGAATATGAATGGCGCGTGCTGGGGACAAGCTGACACCATCTCTGACACCATCGGACTCCACTCTGTACTCGGTATACATTTGTAAGATTCGGTACGAAGCGTGGAAAAGCCCAGTTAGGCCGGCCGAGGTGGAGTCCCGATAAGATAGCGGGGCCCTGATAGGCTGGGCGTGATAGGCGTTTGTTACATAGTACGGAGTACGTCGTGCGGAGCTGCCCGAGATAGCCGTCAGTCAGCCAGCCAGAGCTTCTCTCCTCTCCTCGCCTCGACCTCCTCCTTCCATCTCTCTCCTTTCATCCTCCATACGATGGATAGACTGTTCTATCCATCACCCCCATTGACAACCTGAACATGCCTCCCGAAATGCGGGAAAAGGTAGACGCCTACACCATGTCGCCCTCGGAATCGACTCCCCTCCTCACCACGGTCGGCATCCGGCCCCAGCGATACCGCTATCCGCACCATCGACTCCGCCGGATCAGCACTGTCGTCCTCAGCTCCATCCTCACCCTCGCCGCTCTGCTCTTCCTCGCTCCGTCTGCCATCCTCCCCCGCTCCCACGGCTCCATCTGGTCCTACGCCCCATGGGCCCATCCCTTCCCGCATGAGTCCTGGCCCCACGGCCACGGCCTCAGCTACGCCGAGCTCCAGGCCCTCCTGCAGGAGACCCCATCCGCGGAGAAGGCCCGCGAATGGAGCAGCTACTACACCGCGGGACCGCATCTGGCGGGCAAGAACCTGAGCCAGGCCGTGTGGACCCAGGAACGGTGGCAGGAGTTTGGCGTGCAGGATACTAGTATCGTGGCGTATGATATCTTCCTCAATTACCCGTTGGATCACCGCTTGGCGTTGCTGGAGAAGGACGAGGTGGTGTTCGAGGCCACCCTGGAGGAGGATGTCTTGGAGGAGGACAGCACGAGTGGACTAGAGGATCGCGTCCCGGTGTTTCATGGATACTCGGCCAGCGGCAATGTCACGGCGCCGTTTGTGTTTGTAAACTTTGGCACGGTGGCGGATTACCAGGACCTCGTGGATAGAAATATCAGTCTGGCGGGGAAGATTGCCATTGCTAAATATGGTCGGATCTTCCGGGGGTTGAAGGTGAAGCGCGCGCAGGAGCTGGGCATGGTGGGTGTGATTCTGTATGATGATCCCGAGTCGGACGGGGAGATTACCGAGGAGAATGGTTATCTGGCCTATCCGGAGGGACCGGCCAGGAACCCGAGTGCGGTTCAACGGGGAAGTACCCAGTTCTTGAGTAAGTGGTGTCACCATGTCTGGTTGGGATTGAAATCTGGGCTGACCGATGGCAGGCATAGCGCCTGGTGATCCCACCACTCCTGGTTATCCGTCCCTACCGGGCTGTGAGCGTCAAGATCCGTACAACTCCATCCCTGCGATTCCCTCGCTGCCGATTTCGTACCAGGAGGTGATTCCCCTGCTGAAGGCGTTGAATGGACACGGGCCTAAGGCGTCCGATTTCAATGAATGGTGGCAGGGGGGTAAGCTTGGGAGCAAGGGTGTCGAGTACTACATTGGCCCCACGCCGGATGATGTCGTGATCAATCTGTATAATGACCAGGAGTACGTGACGACGCCCTTGTGGAACGTCATTGGGGTGATCAAGGGCGCCATCCCCGACGAGGTGGTGATTATGGGCAACCACCGCGATGCGTGGGTCGCCGGTGGCGCCGGAGACCCCAACAGCGGGTCGGCGGCCTTGAATGAGGTTGTGCGCAGCTTTGGCGAGGCGCTCAAGGCCGGCTGGAAGCCACTCCGGACCATTGTGTTTGCCAGCTGGGACGGCGAGGAGTACGGCTTGCTCGGATCGACGGAGTGGGTGGAGGAGCACCTCCCCTGGCTATCCAAGGCGAACATTGCCTACCTCAACGTGGATGTCGCTGCCTCTGGCACGAACCTGCACCCCACGGCCAGTCCGCTGCTGAACAAGCTGATCTACGAGGTCACCGGGCTGGTGCAGTCCCCCAACCAGACGGTGCCTGGACAGACGGTCCGGGACGTGTGGGATGGCCATATCGGCACGATGGGCAGTGGCAGTGACTTTACGGCCTTCCAGGACTTTGCCGGCGTGGCGAGCTACGACCTCGGGTTCAGCCGTGGGCCCAAGGACCCGGTGTACCACTACCACTCGAACTACGACAGCTTCGACTGGATGGACCGGTTCGGCGACCCGGGGTGGAAGTACCATGAGGCGTGCACCAAGATCTGGGCGCTGGCGGCGGCCAAGCTGGTGGAGACGCCGGTGCTGGCCTTCAACGCCACGGACTACGCGCTGGGGCTGGAGGGCTACCTCGACAAGATCAAGCCGGCGGCGAAGCAGCTGCCTGCCGGGTCGTCGTTCGACTTTGGCCCGCTGGACGCAGCGATCAGCGAGTTCCAGGCAGTGGCAGCACGGTTCGACGCCCACGCAGCAGACCTGAGTGCGCAACTAGGCGAGGACGTGCCGTGGTACCACTGGTGGAAGAAGGTGAAGTTGTACTTCCAGATCCGGGTCGTAAACGACAAATACAAGGGCATTGAGCGACAATTCCTGTACCAGCCGGGTCTGGACGGGCGCAGCTGGTTCAAGCACGTGGTGTTTGCGCCGGGGATCTGGACGGGGTACGCGGGAGCGACATACCCGGGCTTGGTGGAGAGCTTGGAGGCGGGCGATTTGCTTAACTCGCAGGTGAGTCTTCTGTCTCCTCGGAGATTACGCTGGATGTGGAGCTAACGGGGGATTAGAAATGGCGCGCGATTATTTTGGAGCGGATTGAGGCGGCTACCAAGTTGCTGCAGTAGGTCAGATGCAATCCAGAGGCGTCGTGATTGGCGGCAGAGCTGATCCGAGTGGGAGCAGGTGACTGATGCAAGGAGTATCAAAGAGAATCATTGGGGATATTCCTGTTGGTAGTTGGAGACCAGGTCGAGATGGTGTACTCCGTACTCCAAGTATTAGATAGTACTCGGTAGATCCACGAGACCAGCTAGGTAGTGACGGAAATGAATCCGGCCAGTGCTGCGGCCGGCTACTTGCTTATCTTCAGGCTTCACCACCTTCAGGGCTTCCCCGCCGACGATCGACCCACCGCGGCTGTAGTGTACTGTTAGTGACTGCGTTGCTGCCGAGTGCCGACTAGTGTGGTCTGTGTCAGTAGTCACCGACTGCCGTCCCTTACTTTTCTGACTGCCATTCTTCTTCTCTCTCTTTTTCTCTCTCTTTTTCTCTCTCTTTTTCTCTCTCTTTTTCTCTCTCTTTTTCTGACATTGTGTCAACTCACTCAGTCGTCGCCATGTTGGAGAAAACCCCCCGGCTGCCGGTCCGGCAGCTGCTTATTCTCTGTAGGTTGCTTGCTTTGTCACCCATAATCAGTGAGATAGAGATTGTATACTGATTACTGACCGACACAGCAATATGTCGTTTCGCCGAGCCTGGTAGGTCTGATTCATCCCTCCCTAATATCCTCATTCTCATGCCGTATAGTGGTGTTGACTTCCGTCCTGCCCTACCTTGTACGTCCCCCTCCCCTTCCTCCTCAATTTACATCGAGACTAAAGAAGCGAAAAGCCCGAAATGATCGAATACGTGGGCGTCCCCAAACCCGAAGTCGCCAAATGGGTGGGCATCACCTCCGCCGTAACTTCCATCAGCCAAGCCGCGATGGCCGTATCCTGGGGCACCGCGTCCGACACCGTCGGCCGCAAACCCATCATCCTAATCGGACTCACCTGCACCATGTTCTTCTCGTTGTTGTTCGGCTTCTCGCAAACGCTCAGCATGCTAGTCATTTCGCGCGCCTTTCTGGGCCTTATGAACGGGAATGTAGGGATTATTCGTACCATGGTGGCGGAGATGGTGCCCGAGAAGGAACTCCAGCCGAGAGCGTTTAGTATTATGCCGTTGGTGTGGACGATTGGGAGTATCTTTGGCCCGGCGTTTGGGGGGGCGTTGGCGAGGCCGGCGGAGAAGCATCCGGAGTGGTTTGGGGAGTCCCTGTTTTTGAGAAGGTTTCCGTTTGTGTTGCCGAATATTGCGGCCGCGGGGTTGTTTGTTGTCGGGATTGCGACGGGGGTGTTGTTTTTGCAGGTGAGTTTGATGACTGGGGTGGAGGTGGGTTGGGGGGGTGATACTGATGTGGGTAGGAAACGTTGGCGGCGAAGAAACATCATCGGGATTATGGTTTGGTATTGGGGGAGGCGTTGACGAGGTCGTGTACTTGGCGAAGAAAGTCGCACGCGCCGGATGGCGAGCGGGCTGCGCTGCTGCCTCGGAAGCAGAAGCCGGTCAAGCGGCCCAGCTGGAGTGAGGTGTTTTCACCGCAGTCGCGTCGGGTGTTGCTGGCGTATGCGCTCATGTCGATGCACACGATGGCGTTTGATTCGCTGCTGCCGGTGTTTCTGCATAACCCGGTGCAGGAGCTGGAGGGGAATCCGGATGTACGATTGCCGTTCAAATTCGTGGGAGGGTTTGGTGTGGGTAAGTAATCCTGATGAGAATTGAGAATAGTGGCTGACGAGATAGATTCTCAAACCATCGGCATCTTCTACACCCTGATTGGCATCATCGGCATGTTCGTCCAGTTTTCGGTGTTTCCGTGGGCGGCCAAACGCTTCGGGGTCCTCAATTGCCTCAAGGTGGTTGCGACCGTCTTTCCAATTCTGTACCTTCTGACGCCCTTCACGGCCCTTGTGCCAGAGCCGCTGCGCAACGTGACAGTCTTCTTCCTCATGTTGGGCAAACTGTCCGCATCGATCTTTGGATTTCCCTGCACGACCATTCTGCTCACCAACTCAGCCACGAGCCTCGGTGTACTGGGTACATTGAACGGGGTCGGCACGAGCGTGAGTGCCATCGGTCGTGCCGTGGGACCGGCTGTGACGGGACAAGCGTTCACGTATGGCGTCAAGCAGGGATACATTTTGATTCCGTGGTGGTTGTTGGCGGTATTTGGGGGGTTGAGTGCGATTCCGGTGTTTTATACGGAGGAGTCGGATGGATTTCATGCTGATGATACCGACGAGGAGGCTGAAGAGGATGCTGAAGAGGAGGAAGAGAGAGGACAAGGGTATGGAAGTACCCGGTAGGAGGTTGATAAAAAGTGTTTGCGTAATGTTTTGCGGTGGCGTGATGACTAGCATGTTTGTATGATTGATGTGATGAAAGAAATCATGAATAGAGTGTTTGTCTTAATTGTTTACTATGTAAATAGTAGATAGTAGATAGTAGTAGGTAGTAGATCCGCACTGCATACCCCACCAATCAGCACCCCGATAATCCATCCACCCGTGGATCATGCCATCATGCGTACCTGACTACTTCTTACTTCTCCTCTACACTACACTACACGTCTTCACCTCATCCTCTATCTGTCCACTACATACACACCCATATTAACAACCATCACAAATCAAAATGGTATGTACCCACAACCATCCCCCCCCCACCCCAAAATCAACACTAACCCACGAACCCCTACTACAAAACAGACCCTCCAAACAACCACCCTCCTCCTCTCCCTCTTAACCTCCCTCGGCGGCACCATCGGCTACATCCGCACCAAATCCCTCCCCTCCATCATCACCGGTCTCTCCATCGGATTCCTCTACTTGCTTAGTTACCTCCGACTACGGAACAATCAGCCCTATGGGGTGGAGATTGCGTTTTTTGCGAGTTTGGTGTTGGCCGGGAGCTCGATTCCGAGGGCGGTGAAGACGGGGAAGGTGGTTCCTGCGGTTTTGGGGGGGGTTGGGGGTATTGGGGTTGTGGTTTTTGGGTGGAGTTTGGGGAGTCGTTGAGGTGGATTGGTTTGGGGGGGTTGTAGGGGGGATGGGTTTAGGTTTAGGTGGGGTGGAATGAGGGTGGTGGGTTGACTTTTGGTGGTCTGCTTAGATTGGTGATACTAGTATAATGATAGGGTATGGGCTACGGAGTCATAGTTATGTATGGCATACAGAATGCGTATTGCAACGTAAAATACAGGTGGCCTACCTGCTTGACTTACATTCATTCTCCAGTCAAGGTCGTTCACTTACAGATTCTCATCTCCGCTCGCTTCGACCCTACACCCAGTCAAGGACAACCCAATCAGCGGAGCGACGAACTTAGCTGCATGTTGTGATGCCTCCCGGGCAGACCGGGAATCCAAATCAAGCATCCGCCGGATCCCCTAAACTATCCATCCGATTCGTCCCCACCACCGTCGACGCCGGTACCTCCTCCACCGCCACCACGTCTGTGTCTTCGGGAACATATGCGTACCTTGCCAACCGTGCCATCTTCTCCTCCGGACTGATCTCGTTGTCTGAATAGACTAGCCGTGCCTTGGACTTGTCCTTTTTCGGCTTCTCCTCCGTCTTCTTCTCCGCTGCCGCGGTTGCTGTCGCTGCCGCGGCCGCGTCCGCCTGCTTCGCCGTGCCGTTGATCAGTTCGTCGACGGATGTGGAAAGGGTCGGCTCCGCATGCGGTTTGTCGCCGTTCAGCGCCGCGGCGTGTCCCATGTGCATCTGTTGCATTTGATAGGCATTGACGGGAGGTGCCGCCACCGCCGGTCGCTGTGGCAGATTCGGCGGGGTGGGCAGACTGCCGGACCGTGGCGGGAATGTCCCTGTCGTCTGCGGAGGGGTATTGCTCTGACCCGGAGGTACCTGGAAGGCACTTGGCGTCGCACTATATGTCTGAGGCGTGCCGGTCGGGAACGGCTGCGGCGAGTATCCCGCGGGCGGGAACTGTGCGCTCGGGGGGAATGGTTGCTGGCCAGGTGAAAAGGTCGGATACACGGGGCTCGCGGTTTGTGGGTATGGGGAAGCCGTGCCGTAGGGCTGGGGGTAATTAGCCGTCTGCATCAGTTTAGTACATCAATGGCAACAGTATAAGAAGAGACTCACAAATCCACCCACATTCGGTGTCTGTCCGCCCACTGGTATCACGGGCATCTGTCCCGCCATCTGTCCAGCACCCACCGGCGTCGCCTCACCACTGCTCCCCCCCGTCCGAGACTCCGCCTTCTTCGCCTTGTGCTCTGCCAATCGCTTCTTCAAATCCGACACGCTCTCCAGCTTAGGCTTCTTCGCGGGTTGACCGCCGACCCCGGTGCCCGGAGGCGGGTTCCCTGTCACGGCCTGGCGCTCGGCCTCGGCCTGCTGGAACTGGGTGACGACGCGCTGATGATGCGCCTGGATAATATCCTCGGGGACACCCTCCATGCCGAAGATCTCGACATCAAGGCTGGATCGATTCGGAAGGGCATTGTCGACGGCCGATAGCTGTTCCTTGTGGACTTGGCTCATGTGGACAGACAAACCTGCGCGATCAGTAACATTCAGGCCCACAGGCAAGGAGCACCCACCTCCGGCGGTGTTGAGTCGGCGCCCGCAGCGCTCGCACTTGAAGTGCTTCGCCTTCTGATGCGAGATGAGAATCTTCAGGTCGTCAAAGTCGCGCTCGCAGTAGTAGCACCAGGGACGAGCCATCAGCTCGTCCAGCGTGGGACCGCGTCTCTTCTTACCCATGGTGGTGTCGCGGGCGGTGTATTGATGGATGGTTGATGAATCGCCGTCGCCGTCGGAGTCGATGAGGCGCGGATGAGTGCCCCGTCACGTGCCGTCAGGTGACTTATGATGTATGTGCACTTCGCATCGATCTAGTTCAACTTCTATTTGCAGTAGATAGTACTCTGTAGCTAGATCTCATATGATACACCCATCCACTACCGCAATGTACACGGCCAATCACCCGCCCAATCACCCAAAATCACATCCGGCGCCGTCGCTAAATCACGCTAACTAAATAACAAACCAATGATGATACAATATGAACAACCCTTAGATATACACCCGTATTAGATCTCACGCGGCCGCGCATGCGGCGGTGGTAGTCCGGTAGGCGCCCCGTAGGGACTGTAGTATTCCGGATACGGTGTGCGGTATGGCTGAAGCGGTGCTTGCTGTAGCAGTCCATGCGGTCCGGGAAACGGTGCCACCGTGCGAGGATCGATCGGGGCATATGGCGTCAGGGAAGGCCGGGGAGCCGCAATCGGGGCCAGCTGGTGATGCGCCGGACCCGGGGCCAGCGGCGTCGCCGGCATGGGCGCCGGGGCGATCCCCGCGTTGGGTCTGCCCGGCTCATACACCCCGCCCTCCGGCTTCTTCTTGATCTTGCCCGGCTTGGGAGGCTCCGTCGCTTTCCTGGCCGCCTCTGCCGCGCGGTCAGCTTCAATCTGCGCCTTGGACCGCTTGGGATTGCGCACCCGACCCTCCCGGTTGAACCGCGCCCAGTGGTTGAGCATGGCCTCCGTGCGCTTCGGGTTCTTGGAGTTGGCAATCTTCTGGCGGCGAGCCTGCTCCGCCGGGTCCAGCCCCTCACTCGGTGCGCCGGCCGGAGAGTCGGCGGGAGGTACACTCGCGGGGGGCGCCGGCTCGATTGGTGGCAGCTGGCTGGCAGGCCGGGCCTGCAGGCTGGGGGCGTTTTCAACCCGTCCGGAGGATGGCCGGGCGGCCGAAGTCACCGCAGCCAACGGCTGGGACGGCTCGGTCGACGAGAGGATAGCCCCAACGCGTGCACCGCCGCGCCCGCGGCCCCGGCCACTCCCACGACCGCGCAGCCCGCCCCGGGTGGGAATTGGCCCCAAGCCGTCGTCGTCGGTGCCTGGGCGACGGCCGCGCGTGCGCCGACGGGCGCCATACTCTTCGACATCGGTCTGCGTCGGGGTATCGAGGGTAGCTTCATCCGAACCCGAGGCGGCCATCTCCCGGTTGGCGGCCTCCAGCTCCGCGGCCTTGCGCTTGCGCGTCGCCTTGCCGACAAACTCTTCGCGCGGCGGGTTCTGGAACTTGGGCACGTGTTCGACCCCGAACCGCACGATCATCCGCCAGCCATCCGGGTTGGGGTGGTTGGCCCCGATCTTGGCCGTCATCTTTCGAAATTGGGCCGGCGTCGGTTTGAACCCGCCCTGCGTGAACGGGTTCTGGTTGCCCACCTTGTCCTCCTTGGCCTCGTACTTGTACCCATACAACATGGCCTCCTTTTTGTCCTCGAACACTTGCGGGCGGAGCAGCTTCCGGGGGTCACTGGTGGGTTTGGCGTTGTGCCGAGTCGCCACCTTGTGCAGCTTTTCAATCGCAAGGTACTCATCCTGCCAGGCTTTCAAGGCATAGGCGACGTTTTCCGTAATGGCATACAATTCTTCCGTCGACCGATGCTCCGGGTCCCGCAGCTGGACCAGAAAGTCCTCCAGGGCCGTGATTTCGAGAAACTCCCCTTTGGCCGCTTTGGGCTTCCGATACGGCTCGGGGCGTTCCGCAAATTCAGCGGTCTCGCGCTTCTTCGCGCGCTTCGGGTCCTGGAGGACCGTGGCCCAGGAGTGATCCAGGCTGGTCGCCTTCTCGTCATAGTCGCTCGAGAAGTTGCGAATGTCATGCACGTTCCACAGATTGTGGAGACGTTGATCCAACGAGATGGGATCCTGGTCGCGCGAGAATTCATGCAACTGATTCGAAAGCGCGTCGGCTTCGGGCCCGTCCGCCTCCAGGTCATCGCCATCGAGGCTTGGGTCTTTGTCGTGATACGAATCCGTTGCGACGCCATTTTCGGTCACTTCAGCATCATGCTCGTCGTCTTCGGCCTCGCTCTCAGCCGCTGCACCGAGACTGTCCTCGGCCGGTTCATCGTCCTGCAGCTGAGACTCGTCCTCCTCATACAGGGAGAACTTGGCAATGTGCGGGTGCACGGAAGCGATATGAGTCTTCAAAGCCTCGCTAGACTCGGTGCCATTAGCAGATTCAAAGTACTTGCCACACCAGGAGCATTTGCAACGGTGTGTCATGGGAGATGGCGATGGTGATGCCTGAGTCGAGGTTGAGCGCGCATGTATGGGCTCGGAGAATTGTCGGCGCAGTGGAGAGTCCTGGCTGGCCAAGTCCGAAGTATGGCTGTCCACCTCAGCCTCATTCGGAGGGAGCGGAGCCATCATGAACGCAAAGAAAGAAAGAAAAAGAAAGAAAGAAAGAATTAGATAGAGTGAAGTAGTTGAAGTAGGAATAAGGTACCGAAGGACGATCCTCCGCGAGGCCCAAGGTGGGATCTGGCTATAGTGTTAGTCGACTAAGTTCCGGCTGAAAAGTTCGCTTGCGGCGCCAAGACGCCAGAAGTAACTGCAGCGCAATCTTCTACTCCAGACGTCCCGAGGCGTAAGGAGGAATAAAAACAAACACGAGCGAGGAATTAGACGAGCGAGGGGGAAGCATTGGGCCGCGTGCCATGGCACGATGGAGTAAATAGGGACAGAAACGTGGCAGACATGGCTCTGGCAGCAGTAGACGTAGTATGAATCAGGCAGATGATATGTAACATACCTTTGGGCGAGAGAAAGCCGACCAGTCGGTGCAGGAAGTAGAGAGAAGAGCAACAACGTGCAAGGAGTCCCTCTCCAGAGCACGAGAAAAAAAAACAGTGCAAGAGTGGTTTGTTTAGAGTGTCCACCGTGATGCCGCGAACGGTTGGCAGGGATAGTAGTAGTGGCCGTGGTGGTTCTGGAACAGGAAAAGTAGAAGCCGAGCGGGTAAGCAGAAAAAGTATGCGGCCACCACGACTCGCGACAGCCACCGAATGAAACAGAACAGATCTAGATGAGGAAAAAAGTATAATTTGCCCGCCGTGGGATTGGAGGATAGCAGGCTGGGCGTGCAGTGAGGCGAGTGCAAGAACCGGGGGGGGGGGGGAGGGAGCGCGAAGCTCTCTGGTAGTGGATCTATGAAGTCTTGACGGAATGGGGGAGACGGGCGCAGGCAAAAGAGGGAGTGCAAAGAAGAATGAAAGGGAGACAGCCCGAAGGAATTACCAGGAGGAACACCGCCAGCAGCACAACACCGGCACTGAAACGGGAGTGAGGAGCAGCAGAGGCCGGTTGTGGGAGGATTGGGAGAGTGAATTGCTGGGGGGAAGAAGAAAAAGACGTGAGTTTGTAGAGCCAGCAGGTCGCCTTCACCATGATCTAGTAGTAGTCAGTCCGTAGTCAGTACGCCGTAGTCGAGGGTAAAGTCCCGACTGTCGCCCATTCGGGGCCTCTGGGCCTGCTGGTACGCGCCATACGCCCATTACCTTATTTTACTGTATGGATCCACTGCTACAGCCAATGGGGGAGCTGCTACTGCCCGGAAAAAGACCATCTCCGGATAGATCCCCGTCACGCCGGCGCCGTAGTCTTGATAAGGCCAATCAGATCGGCCGCTGTTGGCTACTCGTCTGTTACCGGACAATACCCCCAGACAATTCAGGTAGGTCCTCCTACTCCGTATACTCGAGTCCGTCAAGGAGTCGAAGTCTGTCGACTGCTATCGAGTGATGGATGTTGCCCCTGGACAGCCCGGGAGAGGCATCCCTGGTCAAGAGATCAGTAATAGCCGGAAACCCCTCGTGGGACCTAAGGTAGACAGCCCGCCTGGTGTCAACCTCTTCTCATCAAGGTTGCCAAACACACACAAAACGATGGACATCCACGGGGTCCCTGCCTGAATCATGGGGCTGTATTGTTACCCAGCATACGTGACATCATACTCCTGATACGGTCGAGACACTTGGTCGGTGCCTACCATCTACTACAGTACAGTGTCTCCTGAGTCCCTGTGGCGAAGTATCCAGGGTCCATTCCAGTTTCAAACAAAGGGCAACAGAGTAATGGGCTGATGGGACTTGAGAGCGACCAGTTAAATTGCAGTGGTTAAAGACCATCACGGAATGTCTCGGTAACCAACCATGCTGAAAGCATGCTTGGAGTAAGACGAGCGGGGGAACAAGGCCCGGCAGGTTCTGACATGATTATTAGGTAGCTGAAACGGAGTATGGGTACTGGGGGTGGGCCCAGGCTGGCAGTGTGCCATCACTCTTCCTCCTAGACTCTATGTCTTCCTAGTACATAGTACGTAGTATTTGTGTTATCTGCTTATCATCGCGGCTCTATCGATACGTCTTACACCATCCCACCGGCTGTTGATACTGCATTGCATGCATTCCACTCGGAGTAATCTACTATAAATCTAGTCATGATTCATCTCACCAACATCCAACGCCACCAAAAACCGACTCACACAATTGTAGGCAGCAGCTGTGCTCGTTATCTCCACCACTTCCCGGTCGTTGAAGTATGTTTTGACCTCCTGGAAGATTTCCTCCGGTACCGTCACCGTCTTGGTCATGGCGTCCGTATACTTCAACACAGCACCCTCCTCCCGACTCAACACATTGTACTGCACATTCTGAGAGATATCCAGGTTTACATCACGGATGGCCTGCATTGCTTCCTCACTCAACCCGGCTTCTTTGAGCAACGGTGCATGCTGTTCCCATTCAAATTCCGCCCCATTGAGAACTGCCACGCGACAGATAATCAGTTCACGGATCACGGTCGAAAGGCTGGTCCGGGACCGGATGGCGCCCAGGAACGTATTCCATCCTTCGGCGATGGGGAATGAGTGCAGGAGAGCCAGGTCCAGGGGTAGAAGGTCTCCTGGGGCTCGTCGGGCCTGCATGCGAGCGAAGATATTGGCTTCCTCCGGGGTGCTCGTAGGCGGGGGGTTGGAAACATATGGGAGACGCATGATCGGCTTGTGCGTACAGTAGGTATTCTATACAGCATTAGCCAGGCCATTCGGTTTGTAGAGGGCTGCGCGTAATAACGGGAGCAGCAGTACCTATATCCTAGTAGTAACCGATTTTACGGATGTGGTACAACAATTCGGTAAGGTGGTCTGCGAAGCTAAGACTGGATCTCGACTCTATTTATGCAGGACGATAGTGGGGAGCCTTTGCTTCTTCCTTCTACTAGTAAATACCATCGGTGTGCTGGTCTTTCTCTTTCCTGGTTGGGCAGCAGAGGTTGCATTCAAAGGCATCCCAACTATACTAGTTTTTTTTGCCAGGTATTTGTTAAAGTTACGCCTACACTACTCGGAATCTTCCCTGATGTCGAATGTATATTTGACTCGGCAAAGCACCGACCATTAGATAGTAGTCTATTTATAGTGCCCTCTCAACATCACATACTTGCATTTCTATACATCATGCAGGATACTGCACCAATACCTACCCGACTTTATATAGTATATCTATCGCTAGGATAATTCACCCCTCTGGTGTTGACAATTGGCATGGTGGAAGACACTCCAGCCACACGCTAACGCCTCTTGGCGCAGGTCATCACGCTCCACCGCCCAACATCGTTCCCCAGAGCTCCAGCCTCCAGCTGCCTCCGATTCCCCTCCATCTCCATCCCACCACATCATTTACCCCATAGACGACAGAAGCTTCACAATGCGTCCCAAGTCTTCAAAACCCACCAGCGATGAGCTCCTCGCTCAATTTGACGACCTGGGTGTCGACTCCGCCCCTGACGAGCAGTCCAAGACCACCCCCAAGCCCACCACAGCCCAATCCGAACAAGACATTCTCGCCGAACTGGACAATCTAGCCTCACAGCGCCCCAGCAGTGGTCCAAACACCCCGCGCGTGTCTACCAACGAACCCAGACCTATTATCAAGTCCCCGAAGCCGGCCGCCACCACTGCGACGCCCCCCACCGGCCGTTCTAGTGAAGAGAAACAGGCGCCTCGCAAATCAGGGGAAAGCGCCCGGGTGTCTTTTACCGAGAAGAGGGCTGCCGATGTACAAAAGCCGGAGCCCGAGAAGCCGGTCGTTCAGGAGAAAGCTGCCTCGAGCGGTGGTGGCGGAGGATGGTGGGGTGGCATCTTCGCAACCGCCAGTGCGACTGCCAGCGCTGCCATGAAGCAGGCTGAGGCGGCCGTCAAGGAGATTCAGCAAAACGAGGAGGCTCAGAAATGGGCTCAGCAGATGAAGGGGAATGTAGGAGCTCTGAAAGACTTCGGTAAGTATCTACGTGTAACCCGCCTTACATGGTTGCTAACAAGGACCTCCAGGTGGGGAGCTGCGCAACATGGCTCTTCCTACATTTACCTCTCTTATCCACACGCTCGCTCCTCCGATCTCGTCCCACGAACGTCTTCAAATCCATGTCACACATGATCTGTCTGGGTACCCCAGCATCGACCCTCTGGTATATGCGGTTTTCTCGCGGGTGATGGCCCAGGTCGAAGGCGGGGACCTCCTCGTCATCCAGCGGGGTCAGGAGTCAGCCCCGAAGCGCGGACTGGATATCGGCGGCGCCCAGTTCTCTGGCCCGGGCTGGCATGATGGCCCGTGGTGGCGCACCGTGACCCCCGGTAACCCTCGCACTCTGGCGGCCATCCGCGGCACCGTCGAGGCCACCAAGTTGGCGCGGGCCAGCGCCGAAGCGTATGCTACCGAGTATTTCTCCGCCAAGGGCGGCGTAGAGGCGGCTGCAAAGCAGGCTACACAGGATCTGAGCGAAACCAACCCGGTTCGCAGCAGTGACATCTTCCTGGCGATCCAGGCCATCAGCCAGACCACCTCGACCGAACTCTTCCAGGCGGGTCCCACGACGGACCAGGCCACCCCCGGCGTGGTCGATGTCCCTGAGGCAGCCGAGGAAGAGGTGGTGTTCGCGCTGTATCTCCACGATCCCATCCACGGCATCGCTTTCCACACGCTCTCCCAGGCCATCCCTCAGAAATGGATCGACTGGCTCGAAACCCCGGCCGTTCCAGTGGAGGACCCCGAGGCCGAAGACGCCAGCGTCCCTCGTACCACGATCCCGGACGAAATCGCCAACATCATCGAAAGCGGCGGCGTCGATCCCCGGGAATGGGCATCCGAGTGGATTGAAGAATGCCTGTCGCTGGCGGCAGGGGTGGTCGCACAGCGCTACGTGGCGCGGAGAATGGGGGTGGGCGAGGGCGGCCCGGCCAAGGGTAAGATGCGTGCTGAGCAGGCATCCGTGGTGGACAGTGGCGCGGGCGAGGCTGCGCGGGCGCTTTAGAGTTGGTGATGTCGATCAACTGACTGTCTTTATCGGATTTGCGTCTTTCTTATGACCACATGATATGCCCCCATTCCATATTCCCATTATCTTTATTCTGGTTTGATTCTGGTTTGAGCCATGACCCTAATCATCCCACCAAACCAGCATTCATAATACAATTAGCTAGTTAGTTACTTACCCAATACCAGTACGAATGTACATACACACCCTCCACCCCGCAGCCTCTAGATCTCCACCATCCGTCCCTCCCTTCCTCCCTCCCTACCCCACCCACTTGCCATACACAATCCAAAGGAAAATCAAGTCAAATCATAAATCCAAATTCAAGCCACCTAAGGCAGCAAAACAGAACCTTTGCGGGTATCTAGGTAGTAGTAGTAGGACAGATCCTGATCACATATACGAATCATCCAACCATCAAGCCAATTCCATGCATCCAATCAGTTAGGTATCTAGTCGGTCATCATGCATCATGTTCATGCATCATCCAAGTGCAATTGGCCTTCGAGGCCAGGGACGTGCCAGAAGTTGGCGCGGAGGGCGGTTACACTATATTAGTATTAGTATGATTGTGTTTTAGGTATTGTGGGGGGAGGGGAGATATGATGGTATGGTATGGTATGATATGATGTGATAAAGAAGGAAGGGAAGAGGGGATGAACGAACCTAGTATTTCCACTCAACACGGTATGCGCATCCGTTCCCTCCGGACTCTCCTGCAATGCCTTCTTCATATCGGATAATTCGGCGGCCCAGGCGAAGTCCCGCTGTTTGAGGCCGGTGCGTTTACTCGATGTCTTGGACCGGGTGGTACCGTTGATTTCACCATTGGTTTCTTCACCAGTAGTCGAAGTTGTAGTACCATTCGTCAAAACCGGGGCCTTATCCCCCGACACCTCCGAGTACAAGTACCCCCTGGCCCAATAATACGGATACGTACGGGTCCAAAGCACCGGTCTCGACTCGACATCGGCGCGCATCGGCACATTCACATTATAGAGTTCGACCTGATCATCCCAGTTGCGGATGAGATGGTTGACGACGCGGACGGCGAGACGAGCCGCCGCGTGGATGATATCGAGGGGTTGTTCGTCTTTGCTGCCGAAGGAGATGGCGATTCCGCGTTTACCGCACGTGGCGGCCTCCAGGGCGCCGCCGACGGTTCCGGACGAGAGATTGTAGATGGTGGAGGCGTTGCGGCCATGGTTGGGGCCCGAGATCACCAGGTCGATGGGACCGCGGTCGGTGAAGAGGTTGTGGAGGCCGAGTTGGACGCAGCTGGCGGGGGTGCCGTTGGTGATGACCACCCAGTCGCGGGAGGTGGAGGGGTCATTGTGGTTGTCGGGGTAGGACTCGTCCCAGGTGCCGTCGCCGCGAAAGGCGGGTAAAGGCACGTAGGTGGCTTTCAGAGAGGCTTCGATCAAATGTGCCTTGCCGATCCAGGAGCGGGAGGCGGCGGGAATGGCCACGGAGATGCGGTGGCCGGCGGACTCGAGCGCCGTCACTAGTGGCTCGATGTATGGCGACAGTCGGCGGGACGGCGGTCCGTCGTCGTTGACCAGCTGATGGGTGCGATGCGGTTAGTTAGGCTACCCATGGGATTATGACATTCTGGGATTGGAATGCTGGATAGTGAGGTGGAAGAGAGACAGAAAAAAGCAAATCATACCAATATATGCATGTTGGAGGGAAGTCTATAGGATGATTTGCTTGGCGGAGAGGAAGAAATAAGGAAGGATTGATTGATTCTTTTCTCGGACTCGGACTTGGGACTTGAACTGGACTGGACTGGGTTGAATTTGGAACCGGATTTTCCCCAGCAGGACTATTCCCACACTCGCTCTACTCGATGGGTCCGCTCTTAGTTCGGAAATCTGGAGGAGAATTGCTTCTGCTCTGAGGGCATCCGAATGTCCTCCCCGGCGTATTTATAGGGACGATCAGGCTGGGTAATCGTTGAGCCCGACTCCCATTTTCGATCACCGTTTACCCCGACCTCGAAGAGAAACCGGGGAGAAACTGGCCTCCATCTCCAAATCGGTCACGGTGAAGCTGTTGCGCTGCGGGGGGCGTTGCACTGGTTCTCGTCAACACTGGTCGCGAGCCGCCGTTCTGACGGAAACCAGACGGGTATGATACGGATAATACCCGCCCAGTAGGTGTATGACGGTGGTAAAATTACCGTCCGGGACGGGACGGGACGGAGGGTGACCGAGGCCCGCCGAAAAGAGGCTGCGGTGAAGAAGCCCTGAAGACGAGTTGGACTCGTGGGGAAGAATCGGACCATCCACAAATGGAGGATTTCAAGGGAAATCTCCGGTCAGCTGAGCGAGTCGGGCTGGCCGGGTAATTGTTTAGATAATAGATTGAAGTCGTCCGAAGATCTGAAGAACATGTGCAGAAGACATGAAGTCACTAGCACGGAGCACACATACCATGTTCACTGGGATACGGAGTATCTAGTCATAGCCTGGTAGGAAAGGATGGAGAGTGATGAAATCTACCCCGTAGCATCAGAACCCGCCGGCCCGCACAAAAGAATCAGAATCAGCGGCACGTTCGGTGCAACGATCTCCTCAGATATCCCAGATTAGGTACATTAAGGTCCAGGCAAATCCGATAGGGAGAATGCAGGCGCCAATCAGTTGACCAAGGGATGCGATGCACTCTGCACGACTGAAGCGCTGAAGACCCCTAGTGTGTCTGCATACTTCCCAGGTAGGGGATTTAAGACACCTTGGTCCGAGCCAGCTTATCTACAAAGGACAGGCGTGAGGATAGTATCATCTGCTCGGGCCAAATGGTCCTGGCGTGCGCGGCCAACCGTCAGATTCCCTCTGAGCATCCTCCAACAGAAAGTGTTCAGACGGGTGTGTGCGGCTACTGTAGGCTCCCAAGGTCCCGTGCCCTATTATTGTCAATTTTGAATTTTCTTTTTCAGACCCTGATGGGGCCACTATGAATTTTATATGCGAGGCCTCGACCATCCACGATGCCTTCTAGAATAAGAATCCAGACTATGAGTGCTTGGCCGCCCACCGTACACGCTGATTGCCCAGCAGCGCCTTGTTCCAAGCAGAAAAGCAACCACGGTCCAATCCCACCGGCGCCAAGTTGCCAATCATTCCTCCCGGCGGGTCTGCGACATCCACGCTGCGTGATAGCGTTGTGGTTACTCCGTGGAAGCCGCGACCACCGGCACCGTGATCCATCGCGGAGGACTGCCCCCCGTAGTCGGTGTCAATGAGATGATTTTCTCGCGTAATCCGCGACTGTCATGTTGGCAGAAGACGCTATCGCTCACAACTAGGCTGGGGCGGTTTGCAAGTGGTGATGGTTGTAGTGGCAGTCGTCGTCGTCGTCAACCTCCTCCTGGCTCCTATCTAGGGCTTCTTGTAGCCTTGTAGGTGCAGTAGTTTCAAGCGCCAGGGACGATCCACAGGTGACCCCTCTTTGGACGGCTGCTGGTGAAGGGGACCCCTGAGGATCAACCCGGTTTGATACCACCGATAGAGCAAGACGGCGCTGGATGCTGCATGTTCCCCTCACCTCTGGCCGGGCCAGCTGCACGATAGATTAAGATTAATATGCGACGAGCGAGTCATCCGGGCACCTGCTATCAGAGGTGGACGGGATGATGCCAGCTCGTGCGTGATGGAAGGGCCTGGTCTGTGCAGAAGTGATCAAGGTTAATAATAATGCAAGAATGCAAGAGTGCCTCGGAGGCCGATCGTCGCCAAATGGGAGGTGGGGAACCCAAACAGAACCAACCCAGTCGGTCCAAGTCAGTCAGCCACGGCCGCCGATTTTCTGCTCGCTTCACCATCTCCGATCAGCCTTCTTCTCTCTCTTTCCCTTCGATCGCTCGCTCATCGCCTTGTCAGCATCATCACCATTATCATCACCCTCGACTGGCCCTATATCTAGCGACCTTCCTCCCCCGCGAGTTGTCCCCTCCCCCCCCACACCACTCCGACTCTCCCCGAACCCAACCCACCCACCGCTCCTCCGGTTCCCAACAGAATCAGGAACGCGCTAAAGACCTTGCCAGCTTCTCGAGGTCTTACATCACCACCCCCTCTCTCGCTCCCCTGTATGGACTGCGGGAGTACTGGTACGGCTGCGGGCATTGACCCCAAAATTCTCGATAATTGGCAATCAGATCCGTTCCCCATATCTTCGTGGGAACACCATACGGGCTACGAACAACCGCTAGAGTGGGATGCGAGCCAGGACTCGAGCCAGGGCGATGCGGCGGATATCGTGGATCTGAATACCCTCAACGGGCCTCTGTCGCGGGACCCCTCCGCCGTCCCTGTGGTCGGACAACCGGGCGACTATCGAGGTAGTGACAGCAGGTGCGGACTTTTCCCCTCCCTTAACCCTGGAGCTGCCTGCTGACAGCTGCCCCTCCGTGTAGCAAACAAGCCGCCACTTCGCCCGGAAAGTTCAGCATCAACGATGGCCCCATCGAAGGCACCGTGAGTGGCACCATCAGCCCGAGGACCTTGCCTTCTTCCGCCGACGATAACTTCCACCTGGATGAGTCATGGCCGCCCTTTCAACTGTTCAACGCCATGACGGCGGGCCTTCCTATGGATGCTCCCCTCCTTTACCCTTACGCCAAGGAGCCGGCCGCCACCAACACTGTGATCGTTGAGGATGCTGGAGACCTGTCGCAGGGTCCGGGTCTGCCCGATGTTCCCTCGGACCAGTTCCTCTCCTTCCAGAATCTTCCTCAGGCCTTTCCATTCTCGCCCGCGGAATCCTGGACGGCACCGGCTGCCAGCGCGACCGCCGAACACCTGTCGAATCCCACCCCCGTATCGCTTTCCATGGGCCCACAATCGACGGGCAAACGTGTCGGCCATATCCGAGACTACCAGGGGTCGATTCGGTCCCTGGATTCTCGCTGGCTCGAGGGCCTGGAGTCTCAACTACCCTCTAATATGACCTCTCCCGGGTCCTTGTCTATTCCCCCAGATGCAGCGTTCTTCAAAGAGGAGAGACAAAACCTAGACGGCTCGCAGTACAAATCCGAGAGTTCGTCCGTTTCTGGGGACTTCCCCGGGGTCTACGACTCGTACCCCGCGACCACCGACGAGATTCCCGCATTTGCCGAACGCCAACTCGAAGACGATGGACTGTGGAGGAATACCCAGAAAGACAGCTCTCCTTCCGAAACGTCGCAGCCCCTCCAGAATGCCACCGCCTTCATGGTCAGCGAGGATCCGTCAGAAGCTTACTTTGTTCCGGTCTCTACGCGGCCCAGAGCCTCATCATCCGCGCAGAGGGCACCGGCTCGACCACAGGCCCTTGCGCTGCAGTCCGTGGCTACGGTCAGGAAGCGCAAACAGCGCAATTCCAGTGTCCATCTGGACCAGAACCTGCCCAAGCCTCTGCAGATTGTGCAGGAGGACGGCCAAGGAGGATCTATCGCTTCTGCTGATTTCATCTCTCCACCCCGTGGAGCACGCCGCAAGGGGCCCTTGACCATGGTCGGTAGGGCGAACGCCGGATTACGAAGGAAGAACAAGGACACCTGTGTTCAGTGTCGTTTGAACAAGAGAAAGGTTTGTACCAGGCGTCTAGAATCTGTGTTCTGGGCTAACAGGTCGCCAGTGTGATGGCAACGCCCCGTGCGATGCTTGCCGTCCGACACTCCATGAACAGCCTTGCGCACGCGCCTGCTTTGCGAACATTGTCGAATACGGGACGTGCAATTATGTTTGTATGTTGATCTGCCACTGCTGCTGCGGCTCGCGTTGCTAACCTGTCCAGCTCAACGAGCCATCAACCATCCTACCCTCGATGGATCCAGGCGTGTCCGGATGGACATTCCTTTCGAGTTTGAACTCAATGATCTGATCTCGTTCCTCGGTGAGCGGCAAGGACGATTCAACATCCGTGCCAAGCAGTCCTGGGGGTCGCTCTATGTCTTGGACCTTGGGGAAACCTACAAGTTCCTGCGGGGCCTGAGCGAGTACAATGGCAACTCCAAGTCCAACTTCCTCGAGTTCATTGACCGGCGCATCGTCGAGTCGAAGGACAAGTCGAAGAACTGGCTTACCTGCGTGAAAGACTGCGATCCGATGAACAACGTCTATGTAAGTGACGTGCTTGCGCTCATCGAATCAATCACTAACCTGTCCAGTCTCTGCTTTCGCGATGGAACAACATGCCTAGCCGTGCAAGCTACAGCTTTGTGCCTCTACAGTCCGGAGGCCAGGAAAAGCCTATGGACATCAACAACCCCGAGGACCGACGCGAGATTCTCCTGGCGGCACAGTTATCCCGTATCATCTGCCGTATGCTCGAGGTGGAAGGATTCCGCAAGCTGGAACGCGACTTCTACAACATCAAGTGGAAGCAGATCTCTCAGGACGCTCACCTGCGTTTCCTGAACGAGCTTGGCAATATCCTGCTGACCCTTCGCTGGCGGGTTTCCTGGTGGCGGCGTCTGGGCGACGGCGGGCGCGAACCCGACCCCAGCAAGCAGCACTACGTTGATCGAGTCGACCTCCTCTGCCGGATCCTTTACGTTTACTACACCTGCGTCCTGGCGAAACTGCCTTCGTGGTGCGCGGCGGATGTCCCGAAAGGCATCTGGTCGACGTATGCCGATGCGGAGAATCCCGTGTGGGACGACTTCCCCGTCGACCCGACCGACGATGGATTCCGGCAATGGATCGATCGCGGCCAGGAGCTGGTCGAGCAATCCGGTGCACCGACGTGTGTGGCGAAGATCTGAACGAAAAGCGAAAACACCAAAAGACGGCGGATTGAATGATACTGAGTTTGAGATACCCTTTGAAGCGACTTTGTCCTATCTTGCGTTTATGAGTGATGATCGTGTTTCTTTTCTTGGATATATAGATTTGTATATGGTTTTCTCGTACATAGTGATTTCGGTTGAGCATCCCTACTTAGTTAACATAGAGGGTATCGTATGTTCATTAATCATATCACTGTATATACCTGAGCGAGATGAGAATAGTCAAAATCAACCTAACCGAACCCAACCCCGAACCCCAATTAACGACAACATCAAACCCCTATTTTGCTGCCTTGGCCTTATTACTCGCCGCCTTCTTATCCTTCTTTCCTCCCGCCAACAATTCCAAATGTCCCGCCTTTTCCGCAAGATTCTTCTCCGTCCTAGCCGTCAAACCCGCCGTGAGTTTCTATTCCAGATGTTAGCCTCTACACCCCCCAGGTATAAACCCCTCCCCACAGAACCCACCACCTAATATAACGAAAGAAAGAGAGAGATATATACCTTAGTCAACTTCTGCTGCTTAATCAACTTGGCCTTCTTGGGCGCAATTTGTCTCGGACCGGGCTTGGGACCGAGGGCCGTGGGCCTATACCACCACATAACATAATAGATGAGTTAGCTTGTGTTTCATGTCTTCCCTTTTGTCTCGTTTAGGGATCCTTGTTCTCATTCTCTCCTCATCCTCCTTCGCATCCCCTTTCCCCAACATAAATAATGAAGGGATAGGGTAGTAGGTGGAACGTACCTCTTCGGCCCAGCACTCGCGGACTTCTTCTTCAGGGATCCTTGGACCATTTTCCCCCAGTTTAGTTATCCTTCTTTTCCTTTTCTTTTCTTGGAGTGGATGGTGGGTAGTGAAGGAATAGAATGCTGCCTGCAGCGATGCGAAATGCGTAGCTGTTGTGATCTGCTCTGGGGTGGAGTTGCGGTCGGTCGGAGAAAAGAAAATTGCTTATCGCGGCGCGGCGTTGCGCTGTTGCCGGGGGAGGGGATTAGGCTTATCAGTCACGTGATTTTCTTACATACAGAGTACGGAGTATGGAGTACTGTGGTAGGACTTGGGGATGCGGGTGTAGAAGATTGAGTTTCTGTTTAATACGGAGTATACTGTAGGGATGTATGTAGTATGGAAAAGTGATTTGGATTTTCTAGCGATGATCACTAGTACTCCTTGGAAATTTTTGGAGATGTTGGAAGGAGGGGAATTACTGGTGTGTGGTAGGCTGTGTTTGGGGTCCGGGTACGGAGTACTCCGTACTTCGTATGGTGGATGAGATCCTAGTTTTTGGCACAGTGTACACCGTTGGTAACCACTAGGCATCATGTGTAATGTGACGGAGGGTGGTGGGGGAAGAATGTTGGTTGATGTTGGAAAATATTCGGGATATCATTGACTGATATGATATGATCGGCCCCATTTAGGTGAAACGTTAGTGGAAGATCGGATCAGATCATCGCAGGGCTGGTATGTTGGTGGAACTTTAGTATGTACTGAATACTACGGGGTGTGCACTATGTAGGATGGAATAGGTTGGGCTGAATGAGCCTATCATTAATTATGGGTATACTGGTACTATCATGAATCAAATCGCTGCAAACATCCGCATTCTTGTACATACAAACAACGGTTCAGCTAGATACAACCTCCTTCACGATGCGCCCGATGGCTGCGCGTTTAGAAAGCAAGAACGGCAACGACACCGGCGGCGACGGCACCGAAGCTGATGGCGTTGCGGTCAGCAGCACCGGTGTACAGAGGGGCAATGGAGGAGCTGCTGGCAGCGGGGGTGCCAGAGGCAACAGCAGAGCTGGGGATGACGCTGGCAGATGAGGGAGCAACAACGAGGCTGGTAGGCTTGCCGCCACCGATCACGGGGACGGAGGTGACAGTGGTCTTGACGCTGGCGGTCACAGTCTCGGGGGCGATGCTGGTGGTGGTGGCCTCGGTGACCACAACCTGGGTGGCAGCAGAAGCGGTGCTCACGGCAGCAGTGGTGGTAGTAGCAGCGGCAACAGAGGAAGAAGAGGAGTAGTAAGGGTTCGAGATGCCGAACTGAGTGGAGTACTGGTACTGGCCAGTGCCCTCAACAACGAGAAGGATACCGTAGCGGCTGGTGTCGGGCTCAAGAGAGGTGCTGGGGGTCCAGGAGTATTTTCCAGTGTTGTCAATGTCCTCGACAATGGTCTGGATGGGTACGCAGTTGGTGCTGGGACCACGCAGAAGGACCAGAGACACCTGACCAGTGGTGGTGGGGTCCCAGGTGATTTCGAAGGGAGAGCCAGCAGTAACCAGCTCGTCCAGGCTGGGGGTGTAGATGGCATTGCCAGAGGGGTCCTCGGAGTAGTCCGGAGTAGTGTAGGCAGTAGCCAAAGCCGCAAGGGCGGAGACGATAGCAGTGGTGAAGAAACGCATTTTGAACTGGTTTTTCGTGTCTTGGGTAAAATAAAGAGCGACAGTAGGGTATTGGAAGGTTTGAATCAAGGAGTGACTATGTAGTGCAAAGGAGTGACTACCGTGGGAAAGGAACGAAGGCGAAAACGTCAGATCGTGAGAGGAAAGGAAGGAAGAGAAGAAGAGGGGGGAGAGACATTCAAGTAGGTATAAGATGAATGCGACAGGCGTGGGACAAGGTCATTCACAGCCCCCAATTTCCCCCTATGGAGGGGGATGACTGTCACCACACACCATATCGCCGAATCTGCGGCTCATTTCCGGTGGGTCAAAGGAAATTATGCCCTGGATTCTTTTAATTGCTGATTGGGAAAGGCCTCCCAACCAGCGTTCACGATTGCTACTAGCGACCTACTATCGCATGGTTAGTCCAAGGGTGCCTGGTAAACTTTGCGAACGGTGGAATGTATGGGGCCTATCTTGCCACGACCTGCCTCGAAAGAAGAATCGACGATGTTACCTCAAGCCAGCCTTAGCCAGCTGACTGGCTTACTCGGGCATTTAGTCCGTTGCTAGTCCGCTTGGATCGCTCCTCCATCGGGGATACGTTCGAGAGACCCTCGGGACGTGGGCCACTCAGCACTTGAGCCCGCAGATACGAGGGATGAGGGGGGTCGGCGCTAACAGCCTAGAAGTAATTTTAGGAGAGACATTTGGGCTCTGGACTCTGGGCGTGGGAGCCTGGAGGGGCATAGAAGCCTGCGAGGAGTGTATATCTACCCTATGGACGTGGAGAGTGCACTACTAGGCTCATTAGCTGATCGACTAAATTCAACGGTACCAAAAGCAACTAGCCACGAAATCGGGGAAATCAGAAATGGTACCTGAGTCAGAAGGGGGTCGCAGCTCTAGTCCGGCGCAGCCGTGGGACATGTGAAACAATCATAACCTTATGTCAGACAGGGTCAGGAACGGAAAAAAGCCGAGTGAAGGGGATGAAGGAAGCTGTTGGTAGGGAGTAGTTGTGACTTGTGACTTGTTCGCTGTTGGTCGTCGCCGCAAGGAGTCGCAAAACAAACAAACACTCTGCCTCCTCCCAAGTCTTCATTCTCCCTCTCCTCTTTGCTTTAGGCTACCGTTTTGCGCCAGATTACGTCTTCGGCGAATAATATTATCCTCAACGGCATCGGCGCAGTCTAATTACCTGGGAAATTAACTCATGTAAATTTTCCAACGGATGGATCATTGCCCCTCCAGTCGGGGCGTGATTGGCTTGGCCTTCCAGCGCACCCGGTGAGTCCAGGTTTGACACAAATGAGACATACGTTCGCCATGAGGCCGAAGCGTTAATGACCGGAGTGGCTAGGCGCCGAGTTTAATTACCACTCCGAATATTGGGATTTCGGATGTGGGAATCCTCTCGTGTCCTCCAAGGCTACAACTCCAGGCCCGAGGCCCACCCCCGTGCCATCGGATGGTCGCCTAATTGCGATGGAGCAGCCCAACAGGCACATACCCACGTCCTCCTTTTCCATGACTGCTGATCTAGAAATGGTCAAGGGGTAGAAGGTTGGAACAACAGACAACCATGGTGCCCGGAGAACTCCCGCGAAGATCGTCTGGATGAAGTCATCCATGCCCATCCTTGGTGAAGATTCTCCGGTTCCTGTCGCTCATTCCTCGTTCCTGACTTGGCTAGTGGATCCTCTTCCGACTGCCAATGCCACTAACAAGGCATGAGAACATGCTTTCGTCTCGTACTCCGTACCAGGGAAAGTGATCCGTCATATGCCACCTCCAAGGAACAAGTACAACGGAGTATGTGGCCTATCCCAACACAGACAACGGAAGGACTTGTGTACTCTGCCTGCGACGCTCCTCCCGGCCAGGCATTTGGCCTACAGGCCGTGTTCTGTCATTCTCGTCGTAATTCATTCGCTTACCACGTGTAAGCGAATGCAGGACCTTTTTTCAGTGGCGTCGGAGACTAGTTCAAATGTCTCGGACTTCGATCCCTGGCTTGCATCCGTGTGGATATTTCTAGCGATGAAAGCCTATGATACACGATTGCTCAAGACTGTCGGTGAAATTGTGGCCAATTGTGACCAGTTATGATCCCGATTGGACTTATCCAATGATGTGCACATCGCCGGCTTACTTTCGCCGGCGCTGGATAAGCCTCTGAGACGCGCATCTATTTACGGTAACAGCGGATGGTGTGCCAGTGGAGGACCAATGGATATTCAAATCACATCAAGGACTGTCCCAGGTCCTTCTACTGGTTCAAATTGCGACAAAGGCTCGAGCGACAAATCTCGCTCTTCGAAGTATAACTGAATCGGGAAAAGCAGATAAATTAATGTGCTCGTATTGCTGGGCGGTTAAACCCTGCAGCGAGTGGGTATTCCGATCAAGGGTCCAGTCCCTTCGCAGTTCGCCGTAATCACTAATCCAGCCACAACCCCCCAACCTCGAACTATTGACATCCATCTATTCTAAATGACCTCTCATTCGTGTCCATGGCGGACAGCTCCGTTCCGAGGCTTTGAAAACACACCACCGACCATGGGTCGTTGCACTCTGATCATATAGTCCAGGCTGGCCTCTCATTCAACCCAAGTAATTGCCTTGGTTTGCAGCCACTCGTCGTAACCGGAGGTTCCTCCGAAGCGACCGTGTCCGCTATTCTTCCAACCACCGTGGGGGAGAACCGGCTCGTCGTGCACGGTCTTGGAATTAATATGTACAGCTCTAGCCATGTCGCAAAGGGGTCAGCACGTCGCACTTGTGAATAGAAGGCAACACAACTTACCCGGCCTCGATCCGTTTGGCCACCTTCAGTCCACGGAAGAGATTGCCCGTGAACACCGTTGAAGTAAGACCGTACTCCGTATCATTGGCCAGCGCCACTGCGTCATCGTCACTGTCGACGACAATGAGGGATACGGTGGGGCCAAACGACTCCATGGAGTACATATCCATGTTCTTGGCGACATCGCCGACGACGAAAGGTCGCATGCTACTGTTGTTGAGGTCGACGGCTGTGAGGTCGCCATAGACAAGGTTGGCGCCTTTGGCCAGCGCATCCTCCACCAGCTCTTTGTTCTTCTTGGCTGCAGCCGGGGCCACGAGACCGAATGCCGGGCCATGTTTGCCATACAGTTTCTCCACCGCGTCCGCCAGCAGCGGCTTAAATTTGTCCGCAATAGATCGTTGTACTACAATCCGCTCCGTCGACATGCAAATTTGACCAGACTAAATTCAAATTAGCAGGCCACCCTCATCAAATGGACCGTCTAAACACGGGTGCACCCACATGCATAAAGGCTCCTTGTGCACAATTCAACGCGGCCCTTTCCAGATTCGAATCGTCCAGGACAATGGCCGATGCTTTGCCTCCCAGCTCGAGGAGCACTGGCTTCACATACTTGCCGGCAGTAGAAGCAATGATAGAGCCCACGGTGGTACTGCCGGTGAAATTGATCTTGCGCACGGCCGGGTGAGCAATGAGGGCGTTGGTGACCGCCGCGGCGTCGGACGTTCGGTGGTAGAGGACATTCAGACATCCCGCAGGAAGACCGGCTTCGCGATAGATATCTCCAATGGCCCAGAAACACTTCGGGGCCAGTTCCGAACCCTTGAGAATGGTCGTATTGCCTGCGGCGAGGGGTAGAGCGACTGCGCGCGTTCCGAGGATGTAAGGAGCGTTCCTAACAGGTAGGGGGTGTTAGCGAGACCACTTATGGGGCTGATACTACAGAGGCAGGCTATAAATACCAAGGAGCGATTCCCAATACGACACCATATGGCTGTTTAATAATCATCGCAGTCTCCCCATCCTCAGACACAGACGGCACCGCACCCTCGATCGATGGGATTCTGGCTGCAAAATCTTTCAAGAAGGTGACTCCCATCATGAATGTCTTTTCCACAAACGGACGCCCCGCATTCGTCTCTTCCATCTGAAATCGGATCAATTCCTCCTTTCGGGAAAGCATAATGTCCGCGGCCTTGATCAGAATATCTCTGCGATCGTAAGGCTTCATGCTGCTCCATCCGGGGAAGGCCGCCTTTGCGGCTGCGACAGCACGGTTGGCATCGTCGACTGTCGCTCCGGCGCAACGGTCAAGCACCTCCCCCGTCGCAGGGCTCGTGACGTCGAAGATGGTATCTGCCACGACGGACTCATTGTTGATGAGTAGCGGAATGACCGCGTGATTAGCATTGGGATGTTTAGCAATCATGTTTCTTTATGAGATATCTGAATTATCTGGTCTGTATGGCATTCGAGAAGGAGAAAGGAGAGGAGATCAGAGGGGGCGGAGCGAGAAGGATAGGCGAGAGGGGCCTATGTTAAGCCACCCGTTCAAGAAAGGTGGAGGAAAAGGGTGAAACTGAGGGGGTCAAGAGGGGGTGGATGGGGGGGAAATGGCCACAATAATGAGAAGCGCGAGGACCCCAATCTGCGTGCATCTGGCAAATCTGCAGCCACCGAAGTGAGGGGGACACCTTCGGGAACTTCCCCGGCATAATGGAGCCGACGATTGTCAGTGATATTGCCGTCCCGCCGCATGCTGTGACAGGACTCATCAGAACTACGGAAGCTTCTGTTGAGCGGCGTTGCCAGAAATGTCATCATGACTCGGGTGTTGAGTGGGGGACACATCCCGATGGTACACAACCAGCGGGAAATTCCCCTGGATTTGGAACTCCTCCCACGGTTGGGGGGGCCACGGTTCAAACTTCAACCGCATTGTATTGTTCAGCACTCATAATGGCGGGTGGACGGGTGGTTGGCCCATGACCATGCGGTACGGACATCCTTTTCGCCTGCAGCGCCTCCCCCACCGGGAGATAAGGTTTGACGGTTGAAACGGTCAGGTCTCCTCCTGCCGCCTGGATAGTCGTCGCCAACATGCCGCGACAACGACTCGTATGCTTTTCACGTCCGGCACATAATCAGGAAGCTCGAGTAAGTTCTGGTCGGGATCCAGAGGATCGCGATGCGGGCGGGTATCGCCAGAATCAGTGACCATCACTTTCCCTTGCGGCAAACATTGGAGACACCAGTTTGTTTGTCCCAAAGGAGCATGTGGGGCATAGTAATGACTGGGTCCAATGATCGTCGGTTTTTGGCCCCCTAGCGTGGGTGCGGCAACGGCCATCCCACCAGTCATTGGATAGACGCGGCTCGTGGCGCCTCCACTCGGCAGATGCCTCAACTCGGGGTTGGCTGGAAGCGAAAAAGGTGACGCGACCCGATTACTGATGCTGACAAAAAGGCGTGTGACAGTGCGCATGCAGAGCACGTACGGCAGTACAGTCGAGATCGCTACACTGATTGGCATACGGTAGTTCCCCAATGCCGAGAGGTTCAGGGGAAACATACATACATACACTTGATAGTACATATCTAGATCGGTCCGAAGACTGCAGGAGAAGTGATGTCACAATATCTAAATCCGGATATCTTAATGTTCGCCCTATGTTGAACCCCAACACCATCCATGCGTGCTCCGAGATGAACGACTTCTGGAAAAATAAACGACAAACCCAGCAAGGAAGAAGATACCCCGGAACATATTTCCTTGACGCCCGCTATGCTCCTTATACCTGTATGACCGTCCGTGATGTTTTATGACCATCCAATTAGAGTGGTCGAGCTGCGACAGCCGACTGGTCTAGTTGGACCCGGCCCAGATCTTGGTTTCTGATGCGGGTTTCGCCAAATCTGCGAAGGGACATGCCGAGGTGGAACTCGGGACCGTGCCGCTATGGACACTGGACCGGTCGTCCTCACTCGAGCTGGCAGAGGCACTGCTGTCACCCAGGATCTTCTTCTCACCCAGATAGCCTTCTTTTTCATCCACGATGATCTCCGACATCTCGTCCGCGTACTCCTCGCCGTCTCGGATTCTCCACTTGGCGAAGAGGTCGTTCTGGATCCAGATAATCTTGCTGATGGCGCGGACCAGGGCCGTCTTGCGAGGGAGAGAGAGGTGGGGGTGTGACATGAGGGCTTCGGTGAAGATATCTTGGATGAAACCGAGGCAAGCGCCGATATGGATGTATTCGATGTTGAGGGAGTACAGACGTTCCTGGGCAGTGTGCATCATTCTGCGGCTGTCAGTATCACATGCCTTGCATATGCGAATCGCAAGAGGAGAAAGGAGATACCTACCCGACTTTGTTCAAGTACCGCCAGAATTCCATCTGAGAAGGATCGGAACACAGCTTGATCAAATACCACCGCAGAAACATCTTCCGACGTTGAATCTGGGGGCTGTCTTCTGTGAAGAACTCCTCCACCGGAGTTTCATCCGCAGTGTCCCGTGTGTGGAACGCACGAGCGGTGATGTCGGATTCGAGGAGTTTCTTATAGACGATGTTGACGACGGCGGGGATCAGGGCTTTAATGTACTTGGAGCCGGCCACCAAAGCTTCGACGTCACCTGTATACAACCGGTTGGTCAGTAACGGAAGCCAAAAAGGGATGCATATGGACGTACCGGAATTGAAGTCCAAGAAGTCTCGCAGGTACGTGATGCGCGCCTCCAGGCGGGTGTACAGGGCCTTCCGGTCGACGTGCTTCATCGGTCGATTGGGTTCAAAAGTAAATTCCATTTTGGGGATGTGTGGCCTCGAAAGGGCGTGTGGGTGGATACTCGAGGAATAGGTGAGATAGAAGTGGCTTGATTAGCTCGAGAGGGGCAGCTGGTTATTCACGAACCCCTGGGGTTGAATCGAAGAGTGGGAGGTCGAGGAAGGAGGATCGATGGAAAACTGGGAAGACTGGGGACTTTTGGGGAGGGATGGAGACATCATGCGATTATATAGGGTTGGCGGAGATGCACAACACTGGGATGAATATCAGATCCGACGCCCAATGCATGCCTGCTAGTCGAAGAAACCCCGACTTCCGACCCTCCTCCAGACCTCCACGCGGGAAGGGAAGCGGATCCATCATGACGCTGGACAAAAGGGAGGCAAAGCACGACGGGGTTTCAGGCTAAGAAAGGCAAGACCCCCCATCACCATTCAACAACATCAGCCCAGACTGCGCAACGACCACGGAGGATCCCGATCCTTGGCGGGATGATTGTTCTCTGCCGTCACTATCAAGTGGTCTGATGCAGCGTCTAACCCGGCTTAGGCCGTCGTCATTGTGCCTCCAGGCTTACCTACAGGTCAACTACTTCGTATGTCCTAGCCGCCATCTGGCTCCCTATCTCTCAATCGGCTGGCCGGAGAGAAAGTCAAATCCCCTGACTGATGAGAAGGCGTTGGGCCAGACTCTTCATGAAACATCGGATGCCGTGGGGCGATTTGCCCAGGAGGGTTGACAGCCGAGCGATTGCTTCAAGAATACGACCAAAAAAAATTATGATGGGATGGTCGTCTAATTCCACGCTCCAGAATATTAACTTTCCAGAGGAGACTATGCTAGTGCAAGGGAGCTGCCGAATGACACGCCCAGCGAAAAGGTCGATGGCACAACTCAGAGAGGGTCCGCTAGTCAACGAACGACTAATCGGAAGGGCTGCAAATAATCTCGAGATCCCCTGTAAGGATTCTGCGGCGCGAGAAAAAAAAAAAAGGCCTCAGAAGTCACGACTCCATCAGTCGTCATACGGAGTCCAGTGTCTCCGCTGGACTCGAACGAGTCGGAGCCGATGCGCGACCGAGCCTAACGATGGTCGATCCCACTCGGGTGTGCTTCGTATTGTCTCGCGTTGCCCTTTTCCTTCTGAAGGGAGCAAGCACTATCTACTGCTGTGGCCGGCCGATGCATCATTTTGATTGACCACTCCGACAGGTCTCCTTGCGACCAAAGTCTATATTATTGTATATTGGCCCTTCGTCAATTTTAATATCACGAATGTGAGGTGTCGGCCTGGGGCACATGATTCCGATGTGATCTATCGTGGTGGCTGACTAAGAGCATCGCCGATTGGTCGCGCTCCAAGGAGACATCTTGAACCGGTTTCTTCCTAACATCAGGCCATAGAGGCATACCGTGGAAAAAAGCCAACCTCAAATGATTTCATCCGTGGTTCCATGGATCACGCGACTCCCGGACTGCCCGTCCGTGACATTTACTCACTTGAGTCACTACCATACAACCGCTGCTTCAAGCCGCACATCATATGGAGACTCGCTTGGTTAGAGGTCATCTGGAAAGATCGTACGGGGTAGATAGAGGTCGAACCGTCGAACAACCCCTGTCTTACTCCGTACTCTTACCTCGCTGGCTGGCCTTGAATCGCTCGACTCGCCATAGTATCAACCTGGCCAATCACCCGGACCCTCTCCAGTCCCGTTCACTAACCATTGTAGTGTCTGCCAGTACTCCGTACTCCGTACAGGGAGAAAAAATCTCTTCTTCCATGAAGTAATCATACTAGTGGATTATTGCGCGCCATCCGGGACTAGTGGTGGCCGTCCACTTTGGAAAACAACTTGGCCATATCATTAGCTCCGCAGGACTCGTGCTTCTGTGTGGTCTTCACGTCGGAGTCCGTGGGTAAGTAATAATAATAATAGCCATCATTAAAGTTAATATTACGGCGGAGACGATTTCTTGTTCGTTCGAGCCTTGGAGGCCTGCCCAACTGACTCCCGGTCCGCTGCGGTCCAGTGCCGTTCGATAACTTGATATGGGCCAATCCACTCAAGAATGGATACCCGGTGTTTGATGGGTGCACCTGGCAAACAAACAATTCTCATTGATGGGTATCATTCCCCTGGGGGGTTGGGGAGTGGGCACCTCCAAATTGGATTAGATTCGGCCCGTTTGCCTCTGACCGACTCGGCCGACCAGGAAATTTAGGCATTTTGCATGCACCTGCGGACTGCGGAGGGCTTGATGTCCGGATATGGTTATCGGACCGCTAACCACATTGGACTTCGATATCTTCCGAGATGCAGGTCAAGACGAAGTTCGACAATGGGGGCGGTGGCAGCCCCTACCGTTAACTGCCCATCTTAAGCCAAGATCCCTGAATACTATTTGCTGACCAGCAACTGTCGATCTCAACTGGAACGTCACCTGTCATTGTTTGGCTCCATCCAATGACCGCTTGTGCCGTCAGCCCAGTCAGTCCCGTCCAGGTAAAACACTTGAGGCGAGATCACGGATCCGATCTACAGAGTACGAGCATCCGAGCATAAATTGCAGGAGCATCGGTCTCGAAGCGAATTCCCTTTTGCTCGCATGCGCACTGACAACTACGGTGACCGCTCCTTTATTATTGATTCCCAGAACAACGGATGAAAGCGCCGCTGTCGTACAGGATCTGCACGTCTGAAACAGTCATCAGGCAATAATAATTTGCCGCTGACTTGGTCTTTCTATCCCACACCGGTTGGCAGTAGGCACGCAGGAGGTTTGGCGCTCCGGGGCTCAATCGCGAGATTCCGAGTTCCGAGATGTTAAGACTGTAGATCTTGATATAGAGTCTGCCGTACGGAGTGGAAGTGAAGCAACAAGTGTAGCGCATCGAAAGCGAGAGCGGGAGAGAAGATGAAAAGGGGAAATGGGCCCTGCACCCCCAAGCTGAGCAATATGGTCCTTGTGCTTGCCCTCAGCTTGTGCAAGCGGAACTTCAGCTATACTCCGGTTGCGGAGTCCAACTGAATACAGAGATATAGAAACCAGCTGCCGGCGACGAGATTTCCCAAAGAAGGTTACTAGACGGGATGCCGTACGGATCTCTGGGCCGATCTAGCGTCGGCATTTGGGTGGTTCATCGCCACCAAGCGCCTCAGGGGCAGGGTGATTAGTGTTGATGTTTAGTACTCCGTTCTCTTCCGTAGTTATAGCAGGACCTTCCCCATAGTGGTACGACCTGGCCCCAGCCGCATACGTCAACCGGGCAATTCTCCGCAACAGGATCGGCGTCCTAGTCTCGAGAACGCTTTTAGTTCTTCCTCCGAACAAGTGAAGTTGACTCCAGGCTGTGATTCGTCACAGGGGGGTGTTGTCCAGCTCGGTTGGGCTTCTAGATGGATTCTGGACTCGCTAGTTCGGGCACTGGATCGTGGAGACCTGTTCCCCTGAAATCAAGGACAGATTTCAGATGGATTCGATTGGCCGTAGCGTATGAGGGGGGATATACCCCTGGTGACCTGGTCATTCAGGTGTTCGTCCACTTGGTGGCACTATCGACCGTTGGAATCCACTGCGGCTGAGGTCGGAGGAGGGAAGAAGAAGCTGTTAGTCATTCTTTGCGGTTGCCTGACGCGAACTCCTGGGGCGTGCCTGGGACGTGCCTGGGACCTGGGCAGAAGAAAGTAAAGTTTCTTGGCAGACCTGGGCGACGATCAGGAATCTCTCTCTCCTCCAGTCATCCCGCGTCCCGTGGATGATTGGGGGAAATGCACTTCTTAGGTTGAGATGCAGTCAGGAAGTCAGTGACGCCCTCGGCGACTCCGCGAAGAGGTTGTTGCTCGGCGGCCCCCGCCCCCCACGTGACGCGGTCACCGGATCCGGTGAGCCTTGGGCTTCTGTTCTATACGACTCCCTCATTCCTCCTTCTTCGGCCTCACTCTGTGCTCGTCGCGGCCAGCACCATCCGGTTCGGAACCATTCCCATTGGTGCTCGCCGGATTCAGGATCGAACAATGATCTCCGCATGGTTGTTGCCCGGGATGCTACCCCCCAGAATCCTTGACAATTGACAGCCACACTCAGTGCGGGGATAATATCCATGAGGGATGTGAATGACCATGATGTCTCGGGTCATGCGCCCTGCATGGGAGTTGCATTGACCCCTGCCTGGATGTAAGGCTGCTTTGGCTATGGCGAGTTATTGGTGAAAAGGTTCCACCACTGCAGAGTTTCCCGGGCAGTCCTCCAAGGCCCTCAACCAATGCAGAGAGGCAGGGAGGCACCGATGCAGCAGGACGGACGACTACTTACTACGAGTACTAACCTCGGCCAGAACGCTCTTTCCCCAGATGGACGGTAGATCCTTCCGAGCAAACCATAGTTGGGCGAGGATCTAGCAAATCTTGACTTTCAGGGTCCGTCTGTCCGCCTCAGTCTTGAATCATCTGGTCCCAGTGTTTATATCCCCAATCTACCCCCGTCAGAGTGACTTCACATTTCCTAAGCCCACGTATCCTGTATTCCCATGCGGCCGGCCGGAATCGATATACTGCTCTATCCATAATCCTCCTCAGGCCCTGCTCTAGACGTATCCTGTCACTGCGGCGCTGGTGCATTCTCAACGACACAGGAACGAACAAAGACATCTGTCTGCCACTTTTTCTATAGTGGATCATTCCCTTCAACTTGAACTGCTATCCTTACTAGTGCTCTTTGTCTTCCTTCTGCTTCCGGTGGGTCTCAGCTCGCCATCAAGGGTGGAGGCTGTAGCTGACTTTTGAGGTTGGCATCTGAAAACAGACCAGTCCGTATTGCAATATCTGCAGGTCATTTTAGTATCCAGATCTGGATACGGCCTCTCGTTTGCTTGCGGTTGTTTGACACCCTGCGTTCTCTGCGATCGTTTACTTAAACCAGGCGACTTCCATTCCATCCAGTGCAGGTTTGTCCCAGACGGCATTCTTCCATCCCCGCTTTACAATCATCTGAGATCCATTTACGAACCCGTGGCTTCACAATGTTTGTGAAACATGCAAAGAAGGCGCTCGTGGCGCTGTCTCTGTTGGCCGCTAGTACGCAAGCTGCACGAGTGTGAGTTGTGCTGGATATTTTAAGCCCTCCCCTGTTGCTCATGATCGCTGGCTCACTGTGCAAATAGTCGCTTGGCGAACCGTGCTCCCTCCTTCGACTATAAGAACCAGATAGTTCGCGGTGTCAATCTGGGTGGCTGGCTTGTGACCGAGCCCTGGATCACTCCCTCAATCTATGACAATGCAGGGGGTGGTGTTGTGGACGAGTGGACGTTGACTCAAACACTGGGCAAGGATGAAGCCAAATCCCGGCTGTCTTCTCATTGGAGTTCATTCATCTCGCAGAGTGACTTCGATCGTATAGCCCAGGCGGGCCTAAACCACGTCCGGATTCCCATTGGATACTGGGCTGTAGCTTCCATTGAGGGCGAGCCGTACGTCGACGGTCAGCTAGAGTATCTCGACAAGGCAATCACCTGGGCTCGAAGCTCTAACCTTAAGGTTATAATCGATCTTCACGGGGGTAAGTGAGGGCATGCATCGTACGCGTCATTATAGTGGAACTGACGAATATAGCCCCTGGCTCCCAAAACGGGTTCGACAACAGTGGGCGCCGCGGCCCCATCCAGTGGCAACAAGGGAACACGGTCAATCAGACCGTAGCTGCAATTGATGCCCTTGCTCGGCGGTACCTCCAGTCAGACGTCGTGGCGGCGATCGAGGCACTCAACGAGCCCAATATCCCCGGTGGAGTAAATGAGGGTGGTTTGAAGAATTACTATTACAGCGTCTTGGCCGATGTCCAGCGCATCAATCCATCCACTTACGTGTTCCTTTCGGACGGCTTTCAGCCCGTGGAGTCCTGGAATGGTTTCATGCAAGGCAGCAATGTTGTCATGGACACACACCATTATCAAGTCTTTGATAACGGCTTGCTTGCGATGAGTATCGATGACCATGTCAAGACCGCATGCTCTCTCGCCACGCAGCATCTGATCCCCTCAGACAAGCCCGTTGTCGTAGGCGAATGGACCGGTGCTTTGACTGACTGCGCCAAATATCTCAACGGGGTTGGTAATGCGGCTCGCTACGATGGCACCTACCAGTCCACCACCAAGATTGGGGACTGTACAGGCAAATCTACTGGTTCTGCCGCCGATCTGTCAGCCGATGAGAAGGCGAACACTCGTCGCTACATTGAGGCTCAGTTGGAGGCCTACGAGATGAAGAGTGGTTGGATTTTCTGGACCTGGAAGACCGAAGGAGCCCCTGGATGGGACTTGCAGGATCTTCTTGCCCAGCAGCTCTTTCCTACCTCGCCTACGGATAGACAATACCCCCACCAGTGCTCTTGATTGGTCGGTTTAGCGATTGGGCGTTTGGAATTCTGTTGCAGTGACTGCTCTAATGCTCGACATTCTTTTACCGTTGTTATGGTTTACAGCCAGGGCTTATCCCCTCTCGTCTTACTGTTGCTGTGTCTTTCATTCCCTTCACTTTTTATCTTTCTATTGGCGGTAATTGGAAACGATTTAAATTGCTCGGGTTATAATTCATTGCTCAGCACGGTGACCAGAGCTGCAATCTATGTATGGGGTATTCAACTATGTAGTGTATACTACTCCGTAGAGCCGAAGGTAGGCGTCGGGTAAAATAAAGATGCATCCGCGCAGATGAGATGTAAGGGAGCACATATATATAAATCAACCACAGTCCACCGACAGCGTCAGAACCGAAAGACCAACTCACTCTTAAAACAGTCCCAATGCCCCAAAGGCAGCCACCACCTCCCGATCGACATTGAGCAACCATTCCTCCTGGAACCGCTGCTCTCCTCCACATCCGACAATCAATGAGTGCAGCCGCTCTCGGATAAAGTCTCTCAGATTGACCTTATGCAGCACATCCGAGTTATCCCAGTTCCGCCGACGCTCGTTCTCCGGCGGCTCATGCTCTTCGTAAGAGCCGGTTTGCGCATTGTTCCAGTAGATCAGGTAATCTCCGCCCCGCGGATCGTCGGGGTTACCTTCTGCACCGTCGGCGAGCTCGGTGACGATGTCGGTCCACATAGTCAGGTAGGATTGGAGGTTGCTGAGCAGGTAGGCCGGCGGTTGGGAGTCCGGGCCGTTGAGGGTCAGGAGTTGGGTGAGGGCTAGCGCGTGAAGTTTCTTCTGGGTGGTGCTGCCGATGTTGTCGTAGTGGAGGAACCATTCAGTCAAGAGCCAGGATAGGACCTGCTCTTCGGGGGTGTTGGTTGCTGCGGAGACGGCAGAGGTGAAGATCTTGGGGTACGCGAGTGCTAGACGGGCCAGGACAGAGAAGTAATCGGTCTCGACGACGCCGTAGACCGAGCTTTGCTTGCGGTTGGGGCCGGTGGTTTGGCTGGCTTCGTGAGCGGAGTGGAGGCCTTCCAGGAGGGCGGAGAGGAAGGAACTGTCGAGGAGAGAGCGGGTGATGACGTTGTAGGTGTTCTCACTGCCGCCGTCGACGGATTCGGCGCCGCGGAGCATGAGCTCGACGAGCCGGGGGACGACGCCGAGGCGTTGTTTGGTGGTGAGTTTGAGGAGGGTTTCGAAGGAGACGAGGAGCTGGAAGCGGATGCGGTCGCTGAGGATCTCCTGTGGGGCGAGCAGGATGTAGGATTCCGCGATTTGAAGGGCCTGGGGGACGCTGTCGGTTGCGGCTTCGAAGATGGGGAAGAGAGCGGGAATGAGGGAGAGGATTTCGGGCGAGGCTGGTGCAGGTGTTTGCATGAGGATCGCCGACCAGAGATCGAGGGCTTCGTCGAGGAGGTAGATAAGTGTTTCCTGGTAACGTGTTAGGACGGATAGTGGGAATGAAATGGGGTTCGGATGCGTACAGAGCCTGGCTCGACAGAGTTCTGGATGAGAGGCAGAATCAAAGAGTGGTATCTGATGGATTCCTGCTTGAGGGAGTGGATCAGGGATGAAAGCAGCGTGAGGATGGCTTGCTTCATGAGATGCTCCTCGCCAGAGCTCTCCCACAAGGGTGGCAGCAATGAAAGGATTTGGTCTGAGAAAGGCGCAATCTAATGTGCTGTTAGAGGCAGAGAGCCGAAGCGGTAGGGTAGGGTACTTACGTGGTCTTCCATCTTCACCACTGCCATGCGGACCGTATCAAGAAGCCCCATCTTGGTCTCGGAAAGCTCGACCTCTTGGACAAGGGCCATCAGGTCTTGCAGGATGGCCGGGGCGTACGGCAGGAACTCAGTCGGGGAGAACTCGAAGGGGTCAAGCACATTCTTGAGTTGTCTTCCAGCAGTGATGCGGACCACCAGATCGTTCAACGGATCTTGCTTGCTAAGAAGATGCTGGAAGATCTGGTAGATGGCGTTCTTGTTGAGCTCGCTGGACTTCACCGGGACCCACTGGCCCAGAACGATGGCTATTCTTCTCCTGAGGAGATTGTACCCCTGCTCCTGAATCTGGACTTCAGGCACAAGTGTTGTCTCGAGGAACTTGTTGAAATCGAGGTGCTGCTCCAGACTGGCTGCAGACAACCCGATGGCTGAGTACAAGGAATCCTTCAACAGGACGTCGTGATTATCGGGGGCTATTGGTCCCGTTAGCGGAGCGTTTCCGAGTGATCTCGGCGTCGAATACTTACTTGCGAAGTTGTAGAACACGGTCAAAAGGCGCGGAATAAGCAACTCCTTGAAGTGAATGACGAGATCAAGGAAGAGCTTCTCGGAGCACGACCGGATGGAGAACTCCCAAGCCTCGGCAATATCTTCTTCCTTCCTCTCCCACTCCTCAGGATCCTCTTCCCATTCCTGGAAATCATTCTTCCTGAAGCGGAAGAACTGGGTGACGAGCAACTCCATGACATTGACAACAAAGTCATGGGTGAACAGCTGCGACTTGATGAGTTCAACCGACTGTTTCTTCTCCTCCTTGTCCTGTGGAGTCTGATATTTGAATGTCTGCGCTGGGTTAAAAGCCATCTTGGAACAGGCCCTGATCAGAAGGAGGGCTCTAAGGCCGGTCTTCTCCATCAAGGACTTGCCCTCTGGCTCACCGTCAGCACCCAGCTGGCCGTAGTTCTCTCCCAATTTGACTACTAGACTCCAGTAGGATTGAACCAGGGGTATACTGTCCGGCAGTAACGCAAAAGATGCCGGGCGATCCTTGGCCATTTCCACGTGAAGCTTGGAAAGCTGCAACAAGTGCTTCTCAACCGCCCTATGGATCTGCTCTGACATTGCGACGGAGCCATGGATCAGACCCAAAAATCTACTGAAGTGGGAATGGGTCAAGACCCAGAATTCACAGACATCCTTATCGCGATTGGGATGTTCAAATCCGGCGATAACAAGACGCCGGATGACTTTGAGAGAGACTAGACTTTGCTCGATCACCTCCAGCAATGTTGCCTCGTCGGCACCCCCTTGCTCCAGGAAAGAAGCCCATTTGTTCACCTTGTCCACGTATATGCTCCCTAACAGATGGAAAATCTCTGGCGAAACGGACTGTAGATTCGCACGGGTTCTCTGCAGGCGAGCTGTCGACAACTCTTTGATAATCTGTAGGAGAATGACGAGGGTCCGGGGTAATTGCAGCGGGTTCGCGCCAGGCTGGGTAGAAGAGCGAAGGAGGGCAATGAGCGAAGATATTCCATCCGGCCTAGACACTGTCAGAACACATGGTGCAGGCTACATCTATACGACCAGGTACATACCATTCTTGGGGAAATTCATAACGCATGATCTTAGCAATCATCAACGCATTGTGAAGAGCGAGAAGAGGAGCAGGCTCGACGACCCCCGCCTGCAAGGCCCTGGACTTTATCTGTTCCTTCTCCTCCTTCTTGATAGCGCTTCAAAGGGTCAGTCCATTGTTATATTTCGAGCTGATCAGGAGTGTTAAGGCGCGCCTACTTTGTCGCAGTTTTCCGCCAATACTTGTCAATGCCATTCTTCAGCTGGATAACTGCGAGGTATCGAACTTCAGGCGGAACCGAGTGATCTAGGAATACATCCTGTCAGGTATTAGTATGAGTGATCAAAGGATATGGTCGCAGGTAGGGAGTCGAGGGGCAAGTACCTGGAGCAAGGTATAGTAATTCTCCTGCTTCTCCCAGTTCTGAAGTTGCTGAGTGCCCGATTGCACCTGTTGCTGTGTTGAGCTAGCTGCGAGAACCAAAGCATTGAGAACGTTCTGCGGGGCCAACGGGTTGGCCTCCCCAGCCAACTCGACGATCGGGGCCATAGTATCGAATGGGGGGGGGGGGGGGGGGGGGGGGGGGGGGGGGGGGGGGGGGGGGGGGGGTTGGTCGGCAGCCAGGAGCCGTGGACGGGGTACCTACTACTACCAAGTAGTAGTTCGACAGGTGATTGGATCCAAAACGAATGACGGTCAAGACAGCACCGTTGGATCAGTCAAAGAAGCCAAGGGCAGGTGAAGAAGATCAAGCCCTCAAGTCCTGCCTCGTCGGGGTGAAAGCGTATTCTTTGATGTGGAAGGGGCAGGCCAACAATGAAGGCAAGGCAAGCAAGCTTCGCCGCCAGTCATCGGGCTTCACGGATTCAATCTTTCGGGTCTCCCCGCCGAGGCGGGACACCCGGATCAGCGGTTGTTCCTTCCCGAAAAACCCTAGGGCCGGACCCTGACGGCTAAGCCCGATCGGAGGGACTGCTTAGGGCTTAAAGACATCTTTGATGTAACGGGGGTGGTGATATCATACTTAGCCTGGCCACATCTTCCATGCTTCCAGATTCCATAGGAGACGATGGAGTTAGACTGGGAGCATGCGACACTGTTGGTTACATACCTATGATGTATCATGATGCAATGCTCCCAATGTCCCTGATGGGGCAGTCAATGCCAGGGACACATATATAGTAGACTGAATCGTTCCATTGCTGATACATCTTAATCGAAGTCATCTCAGTTCTACTATTTACCCGACCAGACACAACACGCAAATACCAAATACCTACATCATGAACGACTACGACAAGGTTCGCGTGGCTTACGATGCCGAAAAGGACCTCAACTCCTACCAGGCCAAGCAGGGCCTTGGTCCTAAGAGTGATTCCAGTGCGTCCCATCTAAGCTCAATACATCTACGAGATGCTGATTAATCGACAGCTCTCGAGTCGGGTGTGAACGAAATGGTCGACAGGAAGTTCGAAACAGGCATTCGTACCGGCAGAGAAGCAGGCGCTTCGGGCAGCAACCGCAAGCCCATCCCTGAGGACGAGGGAGGCAGTCGTGATGATCGCGGCAGGTGAGAGAACATCCTCGTGCTTATTTAAGTATACTAGGTGTACTAACTTGATTTTTCTCATAGACTGGCTCCAGCTGGAGAGTTCGAAGGCCCTGGAGGCCCTGAGGATAAGGTGAAGATTCAGTCTGAGCGTCGTCCTGGTGATCAAGACACTCTGAACCTTCAAGACCTGAAGCGTGAGGGAGTCGCGCAATAAAGATTATGTATATCATAATGAAGCTTTACTGAATGATAAAAGCAACCTAGATTGCCTTGATTGACCTTGTTTTCTGCTTTTCTTACTAGTAATATGAACTGGTATCCGAGGAAGCGACCATGGCAAAGTGTTCCAAGAACCACAAACGCCATCCAGGAGACTTGTATGCTAGTCCTGGCAAACTGCGCATCTAGATGTGTCTGATGGTCTGCTTCATGACCGGGTGTGACATGTTCTCCATATACTGCTGCTGGTGAGAATAGATGCGTTGATACTGATCAGTATCAAAGAATGGTTACTTTATCAAGCCGACTGCGATTGGAAACAATGACAGTGAATTCGGCTAGTGTGCATCGGTCTTCACGGACATTGATCGGGCTGTGTCGGTGTCGAAGTTTCTTGGGCTGGAATTGTCGATGTCAGTTCACGAGTCCGGGTATGCCGGAAGGTATGCCATTTGGTGGATTCAAGGCGAGTGGGATTGGCCGGGGAGTCATCCACGTAACATAGGAAGCTATCTCGAGACTAAGGCTGATCCAGTCGGGCTCTTCATGGCTGAGCAGTGGGGAGATTGTATTGGTTGCATCGAACCTACTTGAGCCGGAATGATTTGACTACCTCATTTAATGCATTGGATATGAAGTGTCATCTCGTGTAAATTATTTCTGCGATTAGTTGCTTTTAGCCTAAGCAGACACGTCATAAGGACTGTCGTTCAGCATTGGGAGACCCTTGCCATCTCATCTCCCCTCGATTGTCATTACCGTTCATAAGATATATTAAGTCAAGTCTCTCCCTGGATTTGTTCTGATCCATAACATCCATATTCCGTCTCCTCTTTCGATGCTACCCGGCGCTTGCTAGATATGCTGCCAAGTTTAAAAGAAAGCAGGTCATCTTCACAACAAGCTTAGAACCAGTCCCATGAAAAGACCAGCAAGCCCAGTGCTGGGCGACACGAGAGAGATACCAGCGTTAGCGCTAGCACTCGCCGATGAGGAAGAAGAGGTAGAGGTGGAGTTGGAGGTGGTAGACTTTCTAGTCGCCGTGACATTGACATTGTAGTTGGCCTTCGTGTCATAAGGGAAGGGGCTCGTGTAGTTGTACGTGGGCTCAGTGTTGGCGTAGGTCTTCTTGACAATGTCCAGGATACCGTGACCGGCCGAGCAGGTGGCATTGGTCAAGGGGATGGGCCACACGGGAGAGTAATTCGAGTATTCGCTGTCAGACAACGGGCCAGGGTAGGTCTCGTTGAGATGCAGGTTCGTGGTGTCAACATCGTAGTTGACATAGCCAGTCTTGTTTGCAACGATCTCCAAGAGATTGGCACCGCAATCCCAGCGTCCAAGAGATGGCAGGCCCCAGTTAGCGGAGACAGAGGCGATGACGGAGTAGTGGGTGTAGAAAGTGTCATCCTTGGTGCCCTTCAGGTCCTCAGGGACAGCTCCACCCAAGAGGATGCTGAAAATCTTGTTGCCCTTGGCATAGGTGCTATCCTCATCAAAGGTGAGAAGGAGTAGGGTGTCATTCATGAAGTAGGAGTTGTTGAGCAGGGGCGTGACCCAGCTGCGCTCCCACTTGGCACCGAACGTGATGTTGGTGTCGTGAGCATCATTGGTCATGTTGGGGGTAATGAATGCCCACTGGGGAAGCTTCTGGTTGGCCAGATCGTCCTCGAAGCTGGTGAAGTTCTTGATCTGGCGCAGGCGAGTGCTGTTCTCGGCAATCGAGTTGAACAAGACCAGAGGGTTGTGCTTACGCACATAGTCGTTGTCGTAAGTCACTTGGTTTGAGTAGTTGTATCCCTGGAAACCGGGGTAGGGAATGTGCTCCTGGTACTCTCCCCAGGAGATGTTCTTGGTGTCCAGCAGATCAGCAATGGTCGACACATTGGCGGGGATCTGGTGGAAGTCATCGTTATCCATGCCGAAAGTGTCACCTGAGGCCGCGGCGCAGTAATTCGGCTCGGAAGGATGGGTGGTCGCATAGAAGTTTGTCCTATGGGACAGTCAGCATCAGATTTTGATCTGGTCTGTTTTTCCCGGCCTAGATACTCACAGTGTAATTCCTTGGGAGGCGAGCCACTCCACATTCTTGTCGGCAGCCGCATCATCGTAGTCCTAGTTAAAGAGGCAGGTTAGAGACGGGCACATGGTCGACGGCCAAAGACTGGTACATACGATGTTCTCAAGCCAGATCTGGTAGAAGCGGTTGAAGGCCAGACCCTGAACGTTCGAAACGGGAGAGTAGGGCTTAATGGTGGCCGCATTCTCCTTGATTGTAGCGAGGGAGGGCTCCGACACGTTGGCAATCTGGGCATATGCCACAGAGGCTGCTGCCAGCAGAGAACCGACAGAGGACTTCATCGTGGATTGATATCTTCCTGCGGCGTGATGTTGGCTTTTGGCAGGGGAGGAGAGATGGATGGGAGAATGATCAGCGGTCGAGTAGAGGAACACAGAGTGCGACGTGAGCGAGCCACTTCTTTATAGACCGCCAGGGAGGTGAGCACGCATGTCGAGGTACTTGGGCAAGTAGGCAGTGACACGCGAGGCCATGTGCCCTTGCCACGGGTTGACAGCACAAACGAGCTGGGCTCTGGTAAGCTTGGAAAGAGTCCGGCCCAGCTGTATCCACCAGGAACAAGATAACGCCTTCCTTGGCGATTACACATTGACGGGCGAGAGAACCACGCGGCCAAGAGGGTTGATCCTATTCGATAGCAGTCCACTTTTCTTGGCTTCACTTGGCAACAGCACTAAGTGACTGTCGACAGAAGGATTGTTCCTAGACCATAGTGCCATCCTCCGATACCTATGGTTGGAGTGGTACCCCAAACTTTAAGGCGGGGTGAATGCGATGGAGAGGAGTCCCGCCCGGACGCTGCGACTGCATACCACATCCATCATGCACGGAGATGTCAAGTGAGTAAGTAGGTGAGGCATCTGCAGTAAGAGACTGCCAACAAGGTTCCTTGTACCTGGGTACTTAGTACGGAGAACTTACATCTTAGTTCCTACGCCAGGGACCTCCGCAAGACCCAAACCCGAAGTGGGGCGGGGTGGCAGTCCTTGCCGCACGTGCGCGCGTGGCTGGCTCTCTTTAATCCGGGGCATGCACTCGACCTGCACTGACCTGCAGCGTGAAAGGAACTGGCCAGGAATTCACTCGGACCTAGATCCAGTGGTAGCCAATTAGCTTGGGGGGAATGTCAGTATGCTCGACCCTCGTGCAATTGATGGACCTTCTACGGAGTACATCGGAGGATTTACGAGTGCTAGTAGCACGAGTGGCATGGTTGTCACTGTCGGATAACGCCGACAAACCTCAGATCGGATCGCTCGGGGTGTCGCATGCCACATTTGCTCATCCTGGGCAGGTATGACTGAGTAGCTAATATTTGCTCATGGTCGCAAAGAACCCCCTTGCCTACGGTGTCAACTGCATTGCATCATGTTGTTTCAAGCGTATCATGTGCCCTTCTAGTCAACAGTACTACAAAACTGGAGATGAGCTTTCGTGTCGTGTTGAATGCATTTTCAAATTATTTGGTTAGCACGCGACCTCAGATTTCTAGGTGGGGATGGTAGTCACTTATTCAAAGTAGCTAACTTGACAAGGTAACTACACAGTAGCCTAGCTAGGTGGTAGGATACGGAGGGGCATCATATCAATCTTAGGAACAATTGCCATGGGACCACTGCGATCTTATGCAAAGACCTTGCTGGATCTGGAATAAAATGCATATTCAGGCATCCTAGAAGGTACGGGGAAATTTGGAGACATATCGAAGGCTGACAATGACTTCCTCAAATCCCCGGTCTTGTACGGAGTAGAGTCTCCATGACGGTATCGTTATCGGATGCTTATCAGCTACGGTCACGTGCTAACTTTCAACCTCGGCAGTTCCCATTCCGAACGGGGAACCGAGCGAGCTGGAACGATCAACGTTCCTACTATGATTGTCGACGGTGCGACCCTGGGCTGTCGCCTTCACCTTCAACAACTTGTCCACCCTTTTAGTCCGCCACTCTAATGATGATGCAACGATGAGTTCGACAAACTTTGCCGCTGCTCAGGAGAGGGTTCTGGAGCGTCGCCGTCTCCGCGAAGCCGAAGCTCGCGCCAGGCTTGCGGAGCAGCAACGGACCTCGCCGCTCAATCATCCCACTTTCCAAAGACTTCCATACCCTCTAAACAAATTACCCCAGTCAGGCTTTTCGCTATGGAACACTATAAGGGGCCGTGAAGGTATCAGGCCCGCTTATCGCGTGGGTCAGGTTGATGCCGAATTGCTGGATGAAGAACTACTGGGGCTGCTGAAAGGACAGGTTGGGGATGCATTGAAATATTTTGGGGTTAGCTGTGCTGATAACCTGGATGCTCCGATTTAGAAAGAACTAACTTCTGGTTCTGATAGCCTCAACTGCGCGAAGACTGGTCCCATGAGATTCAGTTCACCCTCCGTGCGATCCTATTCAAGCTCTCAATATGGGACCACAATGCCTCTTATGGTGCGGCATTACAGAACCTGAAATACATCGATAGCCGCAGCAAAGGGCTTGTTCATTCGGCTCCGACAAAGTGGCAAAAATCTTTGTATGGGTTGCTTACTGTCGGTGGCCGCTACGCTTGGGGCAAGTGGGAAAGCTGGCTGATCAATCAAGAGAGTGGCTACGAAGAAGTAAGTGCATACGCCTGTTTGATCATTGAACGTGTACTCATATCAGAAGCCCTCCCAAGAAGTGCGAATGTTGGCACGCATGACAGATCTTGTCTCCGCAACTCATTCGATCGCCGCCTTCGTCTCCTTCCTTGTGTTCTTAGTGAACGGCCGATACCGGACCTTAGCCGACCGTCTCCTTCGCATGCGTCTTCTTCCACCTTCTGCCCAGGCGAGTCGTGAAGTGTCATTTGAGTATCTGAATCGTCAATTGGTATGGCACGCGATGACAGAATTTCTCCTCTTCCTGCTACCGCTCGTTGGGATTAGCCGGTGGCGTCGATGGCTCTCCAGACTGTGGCGGAAGACATTGTCCACTCTCAAAGCCGGCAGCGAGGATGACGAACAGACTGGAAAGCAGGGGGAGCTGGCATTCCTTCCAGAGAGGACCTGCGCTATATGTTATAAAGAAAACAATCCCACATCCACGACAGAGGGCGAGGCAATAGCCGCGTCAGCTTCGTCGGGCGGAATTGTCGGGTCAGCCCAGACCGATATAACGAATCCCTATGAAACGATACCTTGCGGTTGTATATACTGCTTTGTCTGTATTGTGCAGAAGCTGGAAGGGGAAGAAGGGGAGGGCTGGGTCTGTCTACGCTGCGGCGAGATTGTGAAGAAATGCAAACCCTGGAATGGCGATGTACTCGAAGAGACGCGCCCGCAGTCAAGCTCGGGGAAGATGGTGGGATTCGCTGTAGATGGGGTGGCCAGCCCCGCTGAAAGCACCGTGGAGGGACAGGAGCCTGAAGGTCACGCTGGGAAGACAAGCCCATTGCAGGAGTCAATATCGGATGGGATGCTGCACCACTCAAGTCAATGGTCTACCATTGAGAAGGACTCGGTTGAAGAAGTGTCTGATAGAGAGGCAGAGGCGGCTGGGTCAGCACAGTAGAGACCCGATGCCCTATCAGGTGCTGCAAGGTATAAAGGCATTGGCGTATAGCCAGTTGCATCTGTTGATGTTCCTTTGTATTATGCTCCTTGATGCATATGTGATGACGGCATGTATTGTTTGTGGTCGGTTCCGATGGAAGATACCCAGCATTTTACGCTCCTCTTGCCTGTGGCTATGAAACAATGCAATATTATATCTAGTCTACATACGGCCGGTTGGGCGGCGACAACGCTCCATACGAGTATGTAGTACATAATCGTATGGATAATCTGGGTGATGGCGACCCACCCCAACCGGAACCCCACTCAAGCTTCTGGACTGCTCGAATCACAGCAGCCAGTTCCTCACCAGAGAGTCGAATGCAACTAATCAGATCGATTCTGATTATGCCGCGGATCTCATCTTCCCCGCAACGGACTTCTCGCCGACTGCCCGCACGCCGTACCTCCGAGTTTCCAGGCGAATGAGGGGCATTGGGCTGCCGACCGCACACATACAGCACGGAGCTCGGTATAGCCTCCTAGGCCCCTCATCCTCGCAATCCTTATATTGTCCCTGGGCAGTGCAATTTCAGAGGAACTTCTCGACTACTTCTGCCAATTTCATTGATCTTACTTTTTTGTTGCCCAAGATTTACCCAATGGATCCCTCCAAGCCTGCAGTGTCATCCACCTTGGGGGAGGCCAAGTACATTGAGTTCCCCTGTGTGCCAGAGGGGACGAAGCATGAAGATGGCACCCCGGTGTTGAATCGATACTCTGCCACTATCACTAGGGGCCATGACTTCCCTGGTGCGAAGGTTAGTCGATCCGTTCTTGCACAATGGCTTTCTCGGCAACTTGGTGCTGACATTGAGGTATTGAAAGGCAATGCTCTACGCAGCAGGCGTCCCCGACCACAATGCCATGACGAAGAGTCCCCAGGTTGGTGTTGCGTCTGTGTGGTGGGAAGGCAACCCATGTAATATGCACTTGTTGGATCTGGCCAAGACTGTGAAGAAGGCGATCACGGAGCAAGGCATGATCGGATGGCAGTACAACACCATTGGAGTGTCGGATGCGATTGGCATGGGTAGTGAAGGTGAGTGCTGAATACCGTCATTACCGGAGTATCTCCTGACAGGATGTTAGGCATGCGTTTCTCCCTTCAGACTCGTGAGATCATCGCAGATAGTGTTGAATCTGTGACCTGCGCTCAATACCACGATGCTTGCATCGCGATTCCTGGCTGCGACAAGAACATGCCGGGTGTAGTGATGGGTATGGCGAGACACAATCGGCCCTCGATCATGATCTACGGCGGTACCATCCAGGTTGGATATTCCAATCTTCTTCGAAAGCGTGTCAGCGTCTCAACGTGCTTTGAGGCTGCGGGTGCTTATACATATGATACCCTTCGTCAGCCAAATGACGGCGGTGATACCAGCAAGAACAAGGATGAGATTATGGATGATCTGGAGAGACATGCCTGCCCCAGTGCGGGTGCATGTGGTGGCATGTTCACTGCCAACACCATGGCGACGGCAATTGAGTCCATGGGACTTTCTCTGCCCGGCTCGTCTTCTACGCCCGCGTCTTCCCCAACAAAGATGCGTGAGTGTGTCAAAGCAGCTGAAGCCATTAAGATTTGCATGGAGAAGAATATCCGCCCTCGGGACTTGTTGACCAAGCGGTCGTTCGAGAATGCCCTTATCATTACTATGGCCCTCGGCGGCAGCACCAATGGCGTGCTTCACTTCCTTGCTATGGCCCGTACTGCCGGCGTGGACCTTACCCTGGATGATGTGCAGCGGGTCAGCAATAAGATTCCTTTCATCGCTGACCTTTCCCCCAGTGGAAAGTACTTCATGGCTGACCTCTACGAAATTGGCGGCATCCCATCGGTGCAAAAGCTGTTGATCGCAGCTGGTCTGCTCGACGGCGATATCCTCACTGTGACCGGCAAGACTCTAGCCGAGAACGTTGCATCTCACCCGTCACTGCCTGCTGACCAGGTCATCATCCGTCCCCTGAACAACCCGATCAAGGCGAGTGGTCACCTTCAGATCCTCCGAGGTAACCTTGCCCCCGGTGGTGCGGTAGCCAAGATCACCGGCAAGGAAGGACTTCGGTTCACAGGCAAGGCGCGCGTGTTTGACAAGGAGCACCAGCTCAACGAGGCATTGAACCAGGGTAAGATCCCTCACGGCGAGAACCTGGTCCTCATTGTTCGTTACGAGGGTCCCAAGGGAGGACCGGGAATGCCGGAACAGCTGAAAGCCAGTGCTGCCCTCATGGGAGCCAAGCTCACCAATGTGGCGCTGATTACGGACGGGCGATACTCAGGGGCTAGTCACGGATTCATTGTGGGGCATATTGTCCCTGAAGCTGCAGTAGGTGGACCCATTGCTGTTGTCCGCGACGGAGATGTGATCACCATTGATGCCGAATCCAACACGATCACCATGGACGTTTCGGACGAGGAGATCCAGCAGCGCCTGCGGGAGTGGAAGCCCCCGGCACCCCATGTCACACGGGGTGTGTTGGCCAAATATGCCCGGTTGGTGGGCGATGCCTCGAACGGGGCCATGACAGATCTATTTTAGGCTCTGGATAGGTGAACAATCAACAAAATGCTATATAACTTGGCTATGGAGTAATGTCTAATGACGCAGCTGCCTTGTCATACTACGGGAAGTGGACCAATGAATCTAAACTGGTTCAGTGGGTGTTAGTAGGTGCCCAACCATCATTCCTTTTGAAGATGTACACGACTCCGTGGAATGGAGTCAGGCGATACTCACGGAGTGCTCTGTACTGGTGTCCCGATCAATAGTGAAGCATCGGGCCATCGTCAATAAACACGAGATCGGGACGGCGAGCGTTCCGGCCAGGAGGGCCCGGCTGCATTAGGCCTAGCGCGGGCTGAGTCAGCGCCGCCGGGCTGCAGCGTGACGCCATGAGTGGATGTGAATCACCGCCGGCAAATTTGCGACGAAAAGAAACCATCGCAGATCCTCCACGGTCTTGCCCCCGAGCCTCTGACAGGCCTGTTGCAGTTGCCGCTCCCTGTCGCTATCCGCCACAGTTATCCTGCCCATTCTTGTGCCTACCAAAGCCAAAGTACCAACTTCCCAACTTCCGCCCCGCGATCCAGCCCGCCTGCAGTTACTCCGGTTAAAGTTTGGGTTCCTCAAGTCGCCATTGTTGCGGCACCAGGCATGTATGTGTTGCCCACCGCTCTCCGTCCTCTCGCCGACCCTCTGTACGCTCGCGACTTCGCTGTGCGACAGTCCAGTAGGTGACCTCTCGATCACTGCTGACCATCTTCACAGCTCTTTGCGACATCGACCGCATCATCGTCCTGCCCGCGAAACCGCGCAACGCTCCATGTGACCCGGATTCTTGCTCGGGTCAACCAAGAATTGAGATATCGTCGTCATTGGAACCATCCTGAAAACAAATTAGGTCGTCCACCTTGCCTACTTCGATTCGAGACTGGTGGATCTGTCAGATTCTCCGGAACCCCTAAGTCCAGCCAGGAGACCAACGTGTCGCATTCCCGGCATTCATTGGTCCACGCCGCTCCGGGGCGCACTTAAAGTAGTGCCTAAAAACAGCTCTCCTTACCGCAGAGAGCCGACTCCAGAGTCGTTGCCTCATAGTGCGGAATCTGTTGGTTTCCCCGGCTGTTGGTGGTCTCGATCGACCCGCTTCGTTGCCTCACTATCGATCCGGAGGCACTCCTTACCCGCCAAAGAGGTGCCGTTCTCTCGGCTCGTGTAAAGTTCGACTCGCATTCCAGAACGGACCCTCCTCGCTCCCGATCGTTGGTTCCAGACTAAGGGATCCCTGACACGGGGGGTTAAGGCTTGGGCGATCGGTGAGCGGATGAAGGAGCTCCTTTAGGGGTGACGAAGCTTCGCGCCTGGACCATATCGGTAACCTTATAAATATCAGAAACCTCACCTTCGCGGCCGCTGGGGATGGGGTCTACCAATGTGCCTCTGACCTCTCCCACCACGTCCCGGTCCGGTCTTGTGGATATTGGTGGCTATTTGCGCCTCTGGGATTCGGTCTACGCTGCCTTTACCAATTCCGGGGCCTTTGTCTCCCTTACTCGTCTTTTTCAGGCCTATAGCTATGATGGCACTGTGAATTGGGGCAAAGTCGTGTTCCTGACCACTTGCTTCGTTACCATGGTGGGTTGCGGAGTCATTTCTTCGATCTTGCGGCGCAAGAGCTGGGGACCGGCCTCTGGCAAAGCGCGTTTCCGCCGGGCTGCGCGCAAGGGTTATTCCAAGCGTTCGGCCGGGACGGTCACCTCCTCGGATGAGGACGAATACGATAGCACTGGGTCTTTGCGGCATGGCACCGACGGCTCCATCTCCGAGAAGAAGGAAGTGCCTCAACATGGGCAGACAGAAAATGGTTGGTGCACTCACACGTTTTATTGTCACGTACTGACCTGTCAAAGCCCATGATACCGACCCAGGTCTCTTGAAGAAGCATTCATCATACCTTTCTTACTCAACCTCCACTGCGACGTATCCTTCTGTCCGAACGTTCTTCCGTCCGCATCCGCAAAAGGACAAGCTACCCACCAAGCCCTCGGCGATTCCGCTGCTGGTTTTCGTCCATGGCTTGGGTGGATCTCTTGCACAATTCAACCACCTGCTCACCAGTCTGTCCAATGTTGGACCCTGCTTTGGAATCGATCTTCCCGGATGTGGGTTATCGTCTTTTGCGCCGACGTCCTGGGATGCTTACTCGGTGGACGCGCTCGCGGAGTTGCTTGCCATCGCCATTGAGCAGCACCGGGATAAGGAGGCCGGTCAAGGAGTGGTGTTGATCTCCCATAGTCTGGGCTGTTCACTATCCGCGTTGCTGGCATCCTCCACCTCCTCCTTGGGCGGCAATCTGAAAGAGCATATTCTTGGCCTCATTGCCGTCTGCCCCCGTGCAGGCCCCCCGCCTCCCCACGAAGTCGCTAAATTTCGCCGGCTTTTGCATGTTCCCCGCCCGATCTTTGATCTCTGGCGCTGTTGGGATCGGCGAGGCGGTCTGCATAGCACCAGTGTCAACCGACTGGTCGGTGCCGCAGCCGATCCCGATACTCGAGGGCTTCAAGTCCGCTACAACAAGCAGAGCAAGACGGATGTATGGAGGCGGATGGCGTGGGGCACGCTGCCGTCCTACGATCGCAATGGCAAGGCTATCGGGGGGATCCCTGGCGAGGAGGTCTGGGCGGGAGTCTACATCCCTGTCCTGCTGGTGGCCGGCGAAGCGGACGCGGTGGCAAAGCCTGCGGAACTGAAGAAGATCCTGCAGTTCTTTGGCCGAGCTGGACGTAGCGTGGATGATGGCGCGGATACAGTATCTACTATTCCTGATGCGAGCAAAGTCCACGACAAAGCGCCGGGCTCTTATAACCGTCGGGCACATGAAGAAGCATTTGGTGTTGAGCCACAGGTCGAGGAGCAGGAGGTAGCGGAGGAGTCTGATCAGTCGGGGCCTCGGCGGTCTGTCAAGTCTGTTATCTTGCCTGCTCCGGCGTCCCATGCGCTCATCTACGATCGCGCGACGTATCGCACTCTGGCCGGGATTATCCAAGATTTCCTCCACCAACACGTTGATAACCGCCTGAGCATGGGCTGGCAATTGCAGTACCTGAACACGTCAGGCAAGTGGGACGTCAAAAACCTGGCGAAGTGGAAGAAGGTCGCCCCGGTGTCGGAGAGAATTGCCGACACCTTTGCGGCGCTCAAGATGCTCCGGGAGGTGGACGAAGAACACAACCCCGTTCTGTTCTCGCAGAAATACCGCGACCAGATCTACGCCGTGATTGATATCAGCTATGAGAATCCGGTGTATAACCCGGCATCGATGGAAAAGGGTGGTATCCATTACCACAAACATCCGACGGTGTCGAAGATTCCCCCGACGCCGGATGAGGTCCGAGACTTTATCGCGCTCGTAGACCGACTACACAATGAGATTACAGAGAAGATGGAGAAGTCGGACAACCCGGAGGGTCCGCGCCCGGTGGTTGGCGTCCATTGCCATTACGGGTTCAACCGGACTGGATTTCTGATCGTGTCGTACTTGATCGAACGGCGGGGCTTCACTGTATCCGAAGCGATTGAAGAGTTTGAGCGGCGACGTCCGCCGGGCATTCGCCACGAACACTTTATTGATACCCTGTTTGTGCGACACTGCGTTGGGCTGAAGAGGGCGCCTACGCTAGGAGATTGAGCTGGATGCTTCTTTCATAATGGGGGTGTTTGATGATTCATGATAATTATACCATAGACTGTACATTAGAATGAGAGAAATCTCTTGACGATGATACCATGTAGGATGTAGAATGGGTAGATTGGCAGTACTAGTAGTGGTAGTATTGTTAGTAGTTAGTGGTAGTGGCATCAGTGGAGGTCATAAGAGCCACCCGGTCATGTGATTTACTTCCCGCCTCAGGCACCACGCCTTAGGGTACGGCTAACCAAAAGAGGCTAAGCGAAGCGCCCACAGCCAACCGAGAAGCACTACGAGCGCAAAGTTGTGTGCGAATCCGAAAAATTCGAGGCTTGACCTGACCGACTCCTTCAACGACGACAACGACGACCCATCCTCTCACCTCGTCCCCCTCTTCAGCTTCCTTCCCTTCGATTCCCCGTTCGAGGTCCACAAGTCGCAAAAATGGGTGGTGTCACCGTTCGCGATGTCGACGTAAGTCGCTTTTTCTGAGATTGGTTGCGGTGTGGCTGGCTGGTTGGCTGGCAGGTATGGCATGGCATGGCATGGCACGGTACGGTACGGCATACGGCGAGGAATTATCAGCGATCGAAAGGATTCAGTGAAGATGAGAAAAGGTGCATACGACAATGAGCGATGACCGGGATTGCGAGAAGCGCAGGGATATCAATATATCAATCTCGATTAGGAGATGGGTTGGAAGGAGGGGGTGGCTACGCGATCGACTGGCATATTCTCCAGGATAGGGACGGATTATGAAGGGTGAATGGAAGATTGGATTCGAAACGACTGCCGCGAATATCATATACAGCATTTTTACATCTTGTCGATGCCATGCCATACCATACCGTGCCATGTTGTCATGCCAGACGCATTAGGCCATACGCAAATTATCTGAGGATGGAGGCTGACGAAATTCATGGTATAGGCGCAGAAGTTCATCGCTGCTTACTCTGCGTTCCTGAAGCGTCAGGGAAAGCTCCCCATTCCTGGTTGGTGATACCGATTCGAGAGGAACGACAATCAGGACTAATGTATCGATAGGATGGGTTGACACTGTCAAGACCTCCTGCTCTAACGAGCTCCCTCCCCAGGACGCCGACTGGTACGACTGAATCGCCATGATTGATAATCTCTCTCGAGAATCTGACGGAAATAGGTACTACGTCCGCGCCGCCGCCGTCGCTCGCCACATCTACATGCGCAAGACCGTCGGTGTTGGTCGTCTCCGCAAGGTCCACGGCTCCGTCAAGAACCGTGGTTCCCGCCCCAACCACCACGTCGATGCCTCCGGCTCCGTTGACCGTAAGGTCATCCAGTCCCTCGAGAAGATCGGTGTCCTTGAGCACGATGAGGACAAGGGTGGTCGTCGTATCACCCAGAGCGGCCAGCGTGATCTGGACCGTATCGCCAAGACCACCGTTGACGAGGAGGAGGACGACGAGTAAATATCTTAGTCCTTTGGATGTGGTTGCATCTCAAATAATGAAAAAGTCCTGATGTTACTTTTTTTCTCCTCCCAACCTCCTATGACCACTTCCGCCTCCTTGTGTCTGATATACCCGCTGGTTTGTTGAGGAATTAGGGGGCCGAGGTGCCGTTGGGTGGATGGATTGGATGAGTGGCTATGACAGGGGAGAGGATGAAGTCATGTTTTCAGTTATTGTTCATGCCGGGCATATGGGCAATCAATTGGCATCTGGCAAGATGGAACTTTTATGATTAGTAGATGCCTTGTATGAGTACGGTACGGTACGGAGTGATTCTGCACTCATTGTAGTCAACGGCGATAAACCATCCCATTAGAGATGCATTCCATCAAGGGATATACAGCATGCGGATATTGCATCTAGACAGCAACCATACACAACCAAGTATACCCAGCTACTACCCTATACAATGCCTTCCACCATCTATATAGTATATACAACCATTCCCAACCCAACCCTAAGCACCTACCTAATACCCCCATCACCTATCACCCCAGATCCAGATCCCCACACCCAACCCCAGCACATCATACCGTCCTCCCCAAACAACAAATATAGCATTTATTTTCTCCCCGACTGCGCCGACGGATCCTACCACCAACACACATTAGCCCAATCCAACCCTCCCCCCCCCACCACCCACCCATCACCCATCAAAGGAAAAAGGGGGAAAACATACCAAATAAACCTGATAAAACCTCATCTTATCCACCTTTTCATCAAACACGACCCTCCCCGCCCAAGGCACCTGAATCTCACTCCCCGGATCCGATCTCAGAATATACTTGACCGTCCCGTAAAGCATGAGTTCTCGATCCCCCCCGAAGTAGATTCGCTCGGGGGAGTGGGTGCGGCGTAAGACGTGCGTCCAGAGGGAGTGCCGAAGAGAAAGTATCTCTAGTCATGTTTCATTGTATATTGTTAGTAGGTTTGGTTTATAGGATAGGATAGGATAGAATAAGTATATGAAGCATACCATCTGCTCCCTTGGCAACTCTAGAGCCCATAATCAGCGTCGCGTCATCCGTGAAACTCGCCACGTATTGCTCATGTTGGGATTCGTCGTCGCTGAGGCGGTAGAAATTCTCCATGACGGAGATTAGGGCCGCGCTGGTGGGGGGGGAGAGGGGGGGGGGAGAGGTGATTTGGTAGGTCATTCTGCTTTTTCTTATCTCTTTCTTTCTTTCTTGCGTTTGGGTATTTGGTGTGGTGGAGGGCAGGGGGTGGGTGTTTATTTTGTGTGTAGATTTAATTGAGTATTGATGATGAAGGGGGGAGGAGGAGGAGTGAGGGGTAGTATACTCCGTAGAATTGGAGAAGTTGTGGTGATGTAAGAGAGTGAGAGTGGTGTCGGGCCGATGGAATCTATCCGATGGATGATGGATGGAAGTGGAACGCATCCGATCGGGGTGGAGGGATGAGTATCCGGCTTGGCTGGTGGGTTTTCATTCGTAAGATTAAAGTAATTGATTACATTTGGACATTGTATTTGGCATCAGATGTGCTGGCTTTTGTAGATATTAGTCAGGTGATGTGTAGTGCGACAGCTGCAGGATGATGAAATGTACAGTATGTATCTAGTCATATCAAATTAATCCTCGATCCGTCTCGAAATCCTCCCAGCTCGCTCGGTCCGTTCCATTCGGTCGACTGGCCCGCTCAAACTTGTTCTCGACCCCATCAATCTCCGCGATGGGTCGGACAACCTCAATCTCCGCATTGTAGGCCTCGGAATACCACTTCTCTGTCAGTGCCTCCGCTCCCGCTTCTTCCGGGGCTTGGTATAGGTGAGGGAACCGACGCTGCATAATCTTCAACACGGTGGAGGAGATGCGGTCCACGCTGTCGCAATGGCGCAGCTGGAAGAACTCCGGCGGCTGCGCAGCGCGCATCTTCTCCTGCACGGCCTCTGAGTACTGTCCGACGGCGAACAGGAGCAGATCGTAGTGCATCAAGGATGCCTTGCCGTGGTACGAGCCACCGGATTTGGCCCGGTGGTAGAGTCCCGTCAGCGCGGCGATGGCTCCCATGCATCCCGTACCGTAGTCGGAGATGGGAAATGGGGGAACCATGGGTGTCGAGAGACCCATAAACTGTCCCTGGGCCCATGCAACTCCGGTCACCTGTATGCCAGTCAGCGATTACTCAGGATCGTATCGCATCAGTCTTACGCAGTCGGCAATCTGCTGCCAGCCCGGACGGCCGGCCCATTCACCCTCGTATCCAAAGCAGTTCTCATTCACGTACACGATACCCTTTCCGCGCTTCTCGGCCAGAGAAGCAAGGGTATTGGCGCCATAGCCCAGCTTCTCCAAAGCGCCGGGCCGGTATCCATCCACGAGCACATCTGCGTTAGCCAGGAGCTCTTCGAACCGACGCCGACCCTCTTCAGTCTTGAGATCCAAGTCTGCTGCGTGCTTGCCCATGTTCCCGTCCACTTGGAAGAAAGGGACATCAGACAGATTCGGGCTGGTAATCTTCAGAACATCCGCGCCGTACTCGGTCAAGATGCGGGCAACAGTAGGACCGGCAATGATACGGCAGAGCTCCAGGACCTTGACTCCTTCGAGGATTTTCTTGCTTCCGCTACGACTGGCAGGGAAGGGGGTCGGGGGCAGATCACCGGCCAAATGAGTAACCTTCCATGGGGGCTCCTGGATGTTCAATTTGCCCTAATACCATGTCAGCATTGCTCACGACCATTGCGCAACCGAAACATACATGTGGAGTGTTCTTAAAGTCCTCATACTTGAATGCCGTCACACCTGCCTGTCTTCTTTCCTTGTTCATTTCCTCCAACTCCGCAGCGCTATACTTCTGTACGTGGCTCTCGATAACTTTGATGATCTCCTCGTAGTCCGTCAGATCCGGACGCTGTCCTTCCAAGCCGATCATATTCAGCGTCGTCGTGGCCTCCAAGGAGCCGTGGATATGAAAGTACTCGTCCTGGTTCTTGGTCTTGTAGAGGTTTGCGGACATTCGGCGATAGCCATTGGACTGAGCTGCAAGCAAATCCGTATCTACATCCATTAGCTTATGATTACGGCCTAAGCACAAGACTCACCTTTCAGCTTCTTCTTGACCTCGGGGTCCAACTTGGATAGCCCGGCCACCTTGGCCATGTATGCCTGGGAACCAAACGCAGTAGCCCGCTCCAGACTAATCTTGACATTGCGCTTCTGAGGGCAGTACCGCAAATCCGCAATTGCGCCTGCCACGGATCCCTCAACACCCTTCAAAGCAGCCAAAGTCTCCGTCTCCTTGAAGGGGATCGGGTAATAGATCTCATCGTGTGTGGAGGTGAACGACACGGCATCTCGTCTCTCAACTACCTCTGTCGGCAAGCTGAGGCGCTCCGCTTGGTCGCACAGAAAAGAGAAAATGCGACCTGTCTCGCGAACAGGCGAATAGTCGGTCCCCGCAGCCGAAGTAGCCGCCATGATGTCAGTGGATGATAGGTGAACGTTCCGTGAGTATGTGAACACACTTCTGCTTCAAGCTGCAGAACTAAAAATCTCCAAAGTACCCCCTCCGCAGTTTGGGTAGTCCGAATAATATATGCAATGCAGTCCTTATCGGACGAATTTCGGCAACGTTGGACTCCTCAAGGTGGATATTGCGCCGGGTCTATTCCGAGAATGTGTCCGTCGGGTGGATGCACTTCTGTCGACCGATCGGCAGACGACATGAGTAGGAAGACATTGCGCTACTTAGGAGGCGAATGATGTCCAGGATAAGGCGCAAGGCAACCCCGCAGAGATGATTCCGAAAGGTGGAACGGGATGGGGAAGCGCTTTTCGGATGCCGGCCGACAAGATCGGAAGCGGAACACGGCTGTGACGTCGGCTGCGATAAGCTATCATTCATCGAGAAGACTGCCTCAGATCAACCTTTGCCTTTGGTGGGAAACAATTCATTGGTATAATTGAATGCACCTTTTTTTTTTCAGACTGCGAGCCATCAAGCTGGATGCCATCGTAGACCATACTCGCAGACATAGGTTGTTCGTATAGGGAGACCTGAAGGGGAAGAAACCAGGCACGGGCTTGATTTTAGGAACTTCTTCATCACCAATACCATTGCCTCGAACCATGAGAGCATTGGGAGCTCAGTCACATATCGTATACTAGTAGGGACTCCCAGCCAATTTTGGGCCAACATATCTGCTTGTGCACGTAGCTTACATGCTCTGACCTGGGGGCTGAGTTAATAGTTGCACAAGTGCGGGTGAACAAGGCACGGACATATTTGGTCTGCAAGATAAGGAGACCTATAGTTCTCTGCGCAATGTATGGCTTCTTTGTCTCTGTCAAATGCTCATGACTGTATACCACGTGGAGTGAAGTTTAGTCTTGAGTAAGGAATAGGAACGAGGCACAAGCCAACAGGGCCTCAAAGCTATGCATGAAATTGATTGTGCCAGGCTGTGCATATAGCAGCTGTTCTGAAAAGGCTTATATGCTGCTTAGCATTTTAATCGCACCTAACAGTATCTTGCATTGCATGAGCCGGTATCTGCAACCATAATTTAGATGAAAGGCATGCTGTAGCCTTTTCTTCTGGCAGAATTCACAGTTCAGTAGTGGTAGCCAGCAGTTGTGTTACTACTTTCTAGTAGCCGCCAGTCAGCTGCATCTCTCGATCATGCAACGTTTGGGACTTCCGTCTAGCCCGCTGAAGCATCTCAGACCAACGACAGCAGATAGTAAGTACTAAGTGAGGATACTATTTATCAGATACCCCGTCCGAATAAACTTGGTGCGAGAGGCGATGGTGCCCGGTGGCTCATTCCCAGTGTCCAATATATAAGTTGCAGGGGCTGGAAAAGAATACGTTGGAAGTATCCAATCGATTAAAACACGGATCCCAGCTTGGATCATCTGCTGTCTATATTTGAGGCGACAATCGCAAGATGATGGGGCATTTGTCCCTTTCAGTCATCATGACTCCAGAGCTGTGGGAGTAAGAAGGATCCACCATCTCCTAGATTTATAAGAGGATTGTTAACTGATCCTGATGCTGGGTAAGTCATGGTGCATCACTCCACAAGTCATAAGTGGCCTGGTAGCAGATATTGAACTGCGATGCTGACCCCGTCCCCAGGAAATCATCCTCCAGTATCATTGTCACTTCGGAGTGAGCATCATACTCAAGCTGTTTGATTTGCTCTGGCAATTTATAGGTATCCTAGATCATGAACACCTGATATGTCAGCAAAGTCAACGGCTTTGGCTTTCACCACGACGTAAACCTTCTTTTCAAGCTTTAATAAAGAGTATCCGTGCGGACGACTTTGGACTGCGAGTGGCAGATAGAGACCTAAGCGGTGTCCACAACAGCAATCGTCTGTCCGATAGTCATGCAGATCGGCTGTAGAATTGACCAGTAGCAGAAGATATCCGAGTGCGCCGGATAGCAGGGAAAGTAGTAATAGGCCTGTAGGACAGCACAGTATCCGTAGCCATATGCATGAAGATGAAGCCAAAGCTACGCCAGATCAGATCAATTTGTTGTGTCGATGTGGTTTGCAGTCTCATCAAACATCATGACAAGACAGGATACGCTGTTCTAGAAATACTCCGTGGTGCCTACTAGGATACGCCGTACGGAGTACCACCTTGAAAACATTGGTTGCCATACAGCTACCCGTTTTGGATTGCAAATATGCGCGGTATGATGGTATTAAGAAAAGACGAGGCAAACCTTGCTAGTTAGATAACTACACAGCCACATCACAGAATGTAACTAGTAAGTACTATAGTAGCTAGTTATTTAATGACCTAAGTTGTGGTCTGTGCCTGCTGCATATCTAGTTGCCACCAGTCAACATATTTATTAATCGAGCGAGTCCCACATACTACCTTTCAAACATGAAGATCTCATTCAAGACAGCCCTAGATTGGATTCCTATTACTATATACTCCATCTGATTGATGCAATCCAATTTAAGTGGGCGTGACAAGTCAGATCGATCCGTTGATCGGTGCTAAGAACAAGAATAGAAGCTCTCACCGTTTACTCTGTATGTACTCTGTAGTACTGGACAGCATCTCTAGTTCGGTCGTGCCCGAATAGTCTTCCATTAGTCCCCAATTATTGAACCCACTCAGATATTATTAACAACAATCGTGCTACTTACTCTAATTTAATCGATCGGTATCTCGATGCGCTATTTAATTTCATGTCAACCATGTCAATAATCCGTCCATGCGCTGAGACTCAAATACCCCCATCTCTAGTCATTCTTTAGTGGAGGGGCAATGTTGATCGCATGCGGTATGAGGGAAAGTAAAACCGAACGAGAAAAGGAAAAAAGGTCCGGGCGTCTGTCCAGACATCACGAGCAAACCCTAGCCACTTAGCGACTGACGCAACCCCAACCGACATCCCAACCAACCTGACGGACTGTACGACTATCTACGTAACCTTTCTTTCGTCCTGCAAGACCAAAGCCGACATCGATAGTCGAGCACCGTACATGATGCAATGACCGGGACACTGAAACGGGAAGCAGGTCGTTGACCCAATCAAGGAGGGTCCAACCGATCCTACAATTGATATTCGCTAGTCAAATAAAAGGCCCCTCTAGCATCACGTTGCTTTGGCAATTGGCATCCGAAAATTGGGAGGAGGACCCGGTTTAACCTAAACGGCCAACCCACCCATGAATCCCGCACACAAGGAACATTCCACTTTACGCTTCTGCAAAACTCTCCATGGAGGGGGGGGGTGTGTGGGATGTGCAGCCACTCACCACCCGACCACCTGCGCATGTGCAGTGCCCGACATCCCACGTGCCGTCATTAAGGGTGGCTATCGCGTACCACGAATCGACGAGAGGTGTAAGTAGGGCTGTTACCCTGGCCCAGTCTGCAACCAACCCTCCTGGACGCGGGGGCGCACGGGCACGAGGCACCGGACTTGATATGCTCGATGGCTCGTCGATCGATGGAAACGGGTGGAAAGGTCGATTCCTCTGACCAAGGAAGTGGATAGCTGCTGCTGTATAGGTCCCATCTAAATTACCTCATTTGGGGTTTGGGATTCAACGGGTTCTGTTGGGTTTGGACGGTATCACAGGCTCCGTCATAGGGCTCCATGGAGTCGGTCGGAATTGAAGGTGATGACGAAAGCATCTCGAATGTGGGGGCAACTGAATCGTATGGATTGTGATTTATGATCGCAGTGGCTTCTATATTGTACTACGACTTGTGGTTTCTTTAGTAGGGCGACGCCATTCAGCACCGGACAGTGTGAGCGATAAGCCGGTGTGGAAACCCACGAACCGACGACAATACCACCGCTCGGCCAGACGGTAAGATAACCAGCGATTGTAACCAGGGCCGATTGCCCCGGAACCTCCCGGCGCTGTCTACAGCGGGCCTGAGGCGCCGCAGCCAATCAGCGGGGCCACGGGCCGGCTGGGACTGGTTGCGTTCGTAAGAGGGCGGTATGGGGCGGTAAGAAAGTCTGACAGGACCTGGACTCGGGATTGAGTTGGATAAGGGGCAGCGGCGACTTGGAGAGATAAGAGGGTCACACTGGACGACGATGTACCTTACTACCTGCTAGTAAAGCCTTAAAGGAGCAGGTCATCCCACACCCCCCCGGTTGATACTCAGTATCTCACCGGCAGGCAAACAAAATACCGTATTGCAATAATACCTCAGGCTCCTTTGGGGTTTTGGCGTTCTGACCGTCCATCTGGCACCGAACGGCGGCGCCGGCTGACAGACATTCCATTATTGCTATTCTTACTACTATTGACGGCCTGCAACTCCCACTCCTTGCTTTCCCCCTCCTTCTCCTCTCCGTCTCATCTCTCCTTCTACTTACCGACTCCTTCCTCCTCTCGACCTACTTGTCCAGAACTTCCAACGCTCATCCCCCCGTTCTTGTGGCTCGATCCTCCTCCCCTGGTTCTCGTCGTCCCAACTGTCGCGTCTCCCTTATCAATCCTCCTGCTAGTACGCTGAGTTAGCGCGTCGCATCGCATCTACCCTGCATACTACGCTTCAGCGTTGCGTCTGCACAGCTGTTCCGTCTGCGATCTGCCTCTGACAGTGCGCCGTGAGTGAAATCTTAATTCCTTGGTCCCTTTTTTTGGTTTGGTTCTTTTGGGTCCCTTTTTGCCTCCGAGGCGTGAATCTTATACTTCCAGTCGTCTCTTTATTGTGGGACTTAGTCATCTCTTCCATTGTTCGGAGACCGGCAGTGATTGGTGGATTGCCTTCTGACTCATGTATTTACAGATTAGCCACCCAAAGTCCAAACAACAATCAGATCCTCTCGCTGATCTCTACGCTCAACATGGCTTTCATGAATACCACTTCCAGCATTGCCATGGCCCTTGCTGGCAAGACGGCCTCTGTTGATATTCCCAAGCCGCGTTCCGGCTTCCCCATGGGGGGCCGCGACTCCGCTCGCCCTGGACATCCTGCGATGTTGCCTACTCCGCCCAACTCCATATCCCCCACTTTGCCTCCGCAGGGCTTCAGACGACAGGACGCTAATCCTGGCTACTCCCCGCTTGCCTCTTCGCATGTGGAGTCCGATGTCGACCTCGAAGATCCCGCCGATCATGCGAACAGTCCTAACGGCGCCCACGGCGCTGCTCATAACCTAGATAGCACCGGGGCCATCACCCCTGGAATGTTGGCCAAGTGCCACCTTCCAGAGATCATGCTTCAGCATGGCCCCTTGGCGATTCGCCACCTGATGGGCTACCTGACGACTTGCGTCCCAGGTTTCTCAAGAATCCCCCCTGCCAAAGCGCGCAGGCTGGTGGTGGCTGCGCTGGAGGGTCGCGGCAGCGATGATAAGACTGGCGGTCGTGACGGCGATGTGATATTCGAGAAAGTTGGCTGGGGTCGCTGGGACGCTCGCCGTCGTGGTGAGCAGTCTCGGGATGCGCAACACCTCAACGTGTCGCCACCCTCTAGCGTCTCCAACTCTTTCCCGCAGCGCGGTATGCAAATCCCTACCAAGCGGGAGAGCATGCAGCCCTATGGCAGTAGCATCACGGGCGATTCGGCTGTCTTCTCATATTCCGAAATGGATTATGGTGGACATGACATTAGCATGCTGGAACATGAGGCAGATAAGATGTCTCTCGATGGGAATGAACGCGAGTACTGCTCGTCGTCTGAGGCTCCAGATGACGAGATGCAGGATGATGACTGGGGTGAAGAAGATGTTACTGACGAGGAAGATTGGGCCCAGATAGGTGCTGCAGCGCTCCGCGCGCGATCTTTGAATGCCACGGGTGGCTTCATGCACGGGGCGCTTCCATCGCCGCAGCTCCGCGGCGGGGGACCCGCTGCATCCTCACTGGCAAAGTCCGCACCGCGCAGAATACCTGTGCAACAGCTTGGCTTTACTCTCCCAGAAGGCGTCATGGACGACCGGGAAGAGCGTGCAGCTGTTGAAGCACTCTTACGACTTGGGTCGATGTAATGTTATATATCACCGAAGCGTTGCGAGACATTCATACCCGCAACGCCTGCATTCCTTGATGGTTGAGGCTGGACCTATCGATACATACCTTTACGTTCTACGAATGATTCTTTGAAAGAATTCCCAGCAAGCTGGACGACGTTACGATTCGACTGGATCGATCCGACGATGCATTGGGTGGGTTGGGATTGGCCCGGCGTTTATCTTACATTATCTTGATAATGACATCGACCTTGATCGATGGGTTCTACTGATTTGGCGTTTGGGGCGTTTCAACACATATGCTCCCTACCACTCTCCATTCTTGCACTTATTGGGCATTTGCATGACGATTCGACAATGGACTACTTTATCCATGCCGTTATTTGGTTCTTGACACGCTGAGAATGCGTCTGGACCGCCTGCAGTGATGCGAGGCTTGTGAATACATACATACATAGATTAATACATTTATGCTATGAGTCATAGCATAGTATACATATAACACTTTCTACTCTTCATGATTGTCTCATCATAACAAAGTATATAGCATACATAGGTCACCTTGTGATTCATGATACTGTTCTATACCCAAGTGCTGTTCTATCCATCATTACTGTCAACCCTAGTCAATCATTTATTCATTCATCATTCCTTACTTTCCTAGTTAGATTACCTAAATACACCCAGCCCATACTCCAAACCAACCAAAATACAATACAAATAACCCATACCAAACAACCCAGCCCAGCCCAGCTCAGCCCAATAGAAATACCCCAACCCAACTCGACCCAACCCGACCCAACCCAGCCAAACCAAACCACAACCCAAACACCAATCCACCACCCCTCTTCCCCCCCCCCCCCTACACCAAACCCCACTCAAGATAATGAAAGATGAAACAAATTCACCGATCATGAACCTCATTAATCCTCCTCCACACCTCAGCCTCCACCTCCCCTAACTTCCTCCCCGCCGATCTCAACCACCCCTTCGCCCCAGCGACCCATCCCTCCCCTTCATCCTCATCTACCGCCACTTGTCCTGAGGAACCGGGTTCATAGTATGGTAGTTGTCCGTGGCCTGCGATGCCAGGATTAGGACTGATACCAGTGGTGGCGGCGGTGGTGGTAGGGGGCTGGTAGAGGGTTGAGTAGGGGGTTGTTGTGGAGTTTGGGGTTGGGTCATAACTGCCATAGGTGCCGTAGCTGCCGTAGGTGCCGTAGGTGGGGGTTGGGTTGGGGGGGTTTTCCGGGGAGGTGGGTTGAGGGACAGGGGGATGAGTGATTGTAGGATGTGGTGCGGGTATGTCGCCTGCTTTCGGGGGTGGAGGGATAGAGGATGTGGTGGATGTTGGAGCTGGGTTTGTGGTGGAGGTAGAGGTAGGAGGAGGGACTGGGTGGGCGCCGGGTTGGGGTGGTGGAGGGGAGGTGGTAGATGGGGGATTGGTGGTGATGGTGGTGGTTGTTGGAGCGGGGAGGGTGGATGGAGATGTAGATGTAGCTAATGGTGAGGATGATGAGGAGCCGGTTTGTGGTGGGAGATCGCTGGCTTGCGCGGCGGCGTAGATGGGTGAGTATGCTGGGGCCGTTGCGGTTGCTGAGGTGGTTGCGGGTTCGGATGGGAGGGAGTTGTCGTGATCTGGGCCTGGGCTCGAGGTGCGGGGAGGAATCCCGTCTGGGGATGAAGCGGTTGTCATGTTGGAATTGGGAGATGTGGTGGACGTTGATCAGGATACAGAATAGTTGAAGCAAGCTATTGCATGCTCGCGGAGCTCAAGCTGACAGACGTCATGAGCTACGCCACACGTGATATATTACAATGGTCATGTGACTAGACGGTGAAAATTTCACGTCAAGCTTACGGACACAGGCAGACTGAGCCAACACATACAGACTGATTTTGATATCAAGGTCAAGTACAGGCAAGTACAGTTGGAGAAAAAAAAAAAGAATAAGCTTGCAGGCAGTAAAATACAACTGGTACAAGAGGATATATCACAAGATTCTATGCTCAAGATTATCGATACCACTCTTGACGCATATTTCTATCCTCCTCCGCACCGCCCAGTACCTGGTAGTCACACCAGCTACTGGCAACCCCTTCCCCGAATTCATATTGGAAACGGCTTGAACTGAATCAAGCGTTTAACCGGAACCACCCTTGTACTTCTTGCCGAAGAGGATGAGCTGGACCTGGTCGTAGATAGACAGGACACCAGCACCGGCAACACCACGGAGGATGTTAGCACCGGCACCCTTGAAGAGAGACTTGACACCCTCCTTGGCGACGATCTGGCGGCAGGCATCCATGGAGGACTTGTACTTGACGGCCTCACCGGAGGTCATCATCATACGACGACGGATGGTGTCCAGAGGGTAAGAAGCAATACCAGCACCAGTGGTGACAGTCCAGCCGAGCAGGAAAGAAGCAAGGAAGTTACCCTCAAGGGCACCAACCAGGACAACGGGCTTGATGGAGTCGTACATGCCGAAGTACAGACCACGGTAGACAACAATACCAGCAACAGAGGGACCGAAACCACGGTAGAGACCGGCAATACCGTCGGAGGCGAGAGTCTTCTTGTAAACGTCAACGAGACCGTTGAACTGACGGTCACCACCGCCCTTGGCGGACTTGGCGTCGTTGGCAAGACGGGTACGGGCGTAGTCGAGGGAGTAGACGAAGAGGAGGGAAGTGGCACCAGCAGCCTGATACATGTTAGCTCTTGCTCCTAAGGGAGAGAATCGAGGGTACATACACCACCGGAGGCAAGGTTACCCATCATCCACTTGGTGTATCCATCACGCTCCTTCTTGTAGGAGAACATGGACTTGTAGGTATCACGGAAGGCGAAGTTGAGAGCCTGGGTGGGGAAGTAACGGATGACGTTGGCAGTGTTACCTCTCCACAGGGAGACAACACCCTCGGAGGCGGCGGTACGACGGAAGCAGTCAACGATACCGTTGTACTTGCGGTCGAGACGGCCAGCGCGAAGCATCTCATCCTGAAAGGAATGTATTAGCACGTGTCCTAGCCAATCGCGTGCCGGACTGTTCGGCCCGAAAATCTTTGCGACGAGGTAATTGGTGATCTTCAACCCGGAGAGAAGCCTTGTCGAAGATGCAATTGCCGATACAAGATGTTTCGGTCGGCCAGTCCGGATGTGGTATGAGGCTTAACCAACCTGGTTCTGGATGAGGAGCTTGATACGCTCGATGGGGGCAGCAGCAGTCTTGGAGACGGCAGCGGAAACACCACCCACTGCATACCCAGTTAGTAACAATTCATTATAGTGAAAAATTGTGTGTTGTCGATGGGAATTGATTGATTGTGATGAAAACCGATCAGTCAAGGCGACTCGGGATGCACATACTCAGGAAGTCGACAACGAATCCCTGTGAAAATTTTTATCAGCAAGCTATTCCAGCAACAATGGCCATCAACCGGCCCAAACCATCGACCTATCGTGTCTCCAAGGAACACCGAACTCGATCTTCAACCTCGAAGACCATTTTGAGCTCATTCCATCGAGAGCGCGACATCCGACGACCTGGTCAAGCTGTCAAGGGAGAATGGCAACTTACGGGCATGCCGAAGACGGTCTTCTCGGCCTGGTTAACGTCACCTCCAGCCATTTTGACGGTGATGAACGGAAACTAAGGAAAAAAAGAGAGGAGATGATAGTGCCAAACAAACAGACACTTCAAGGGGATGAGAGAAGAAAGGAAGAGAAAGGGAAGGGGAGGAAGAAAAAATAGCGAGCGAAGGGCTCTTGTAAGCGGGAAGAAGCGAGCGGAGACGCTAGGACGGTCTTGGGTTTTTCGCTGGCCTGAATTCGCAGTGGCAGCGGCGGCGATGGGCGGCCGGATTGGTTGGCCCGGTCCGGAGTAGGGAGGTCCTCCCATTGTAGGGGGGGAAACCGAAAAAAAAAAAAATAAAAAACTAAAAAAAACTGGACCCGGCGCTAATGCTGGCCCAGGCAACGAGCGCCGATATCTCCCGATTGCGCCAGTAACCATCCCGACCGCTGGCATTATTGGGAAGTACTCTAGAGACTATGAGTGATTTCTGGATGAACGGCACTTCTTGGATTCTTCATGGAGCTATCTACTCTGTATGTTCATGGCCAGTTGGACTCGCTGAAGACAAGTCCTACATGTTTGAACTACCGCCAGCTCAAAACACCCAGTTATCCCTTCGGTAAAATCATAATCACCGCTCGGTCCTTTGATGTACCTCCAGCATTAATACATGTTTGGACCTCCTCCGTATTTCGGCTTCGTAAGATATCCATTCTTCCCATTTCCCCGTCCTGACCGAACCAAGCGTTTGGAGTCCACTCGCGCTCCATTCATGGGGAACCGCCCTTTCTTTCATCTGGTCCCGGATATCCGATGGCAAACGCCCTCTCTGGTTCTCTGCAAAATCGAATTTGCCTTCCAAGATCAAGGCAATTGCAAGAAAAATTAAATGAAGGAAAAAAATTTTTCTACTCCTGCAGACAGGTTCGGAACACTTCCTTACGGTACTCATCACCTGCAGCATCCATCGATACGGCGGTTACGGTTGCTGGGAGCTGGGCCTTTTTCCGCGCCACCGGGACTGATCAGGTGCGTGCGTGCGCCGTCCTTCGGCTGACATGCCGCGATTTCCCCGTTTCCTGCTCCGGACGGAAAGTCCTGGGTACGGATAGAAGGGGGGGACAGGGCCGGAATCAAGGGCCAGAAAGTCGGTAATATCCAGTATTTCATAGGTTATTTGGTTCAACGGTCCAATGTCAGTTTCTAGACTTATCGTCCAAGCTTGGATATGCAATGTGGGTGGTACGCAAGGTGAGGGTTGCTGAAGATTATATATCTCATACTGTAGTCCGACCGACGGAGTACTACTACATAGGATTTCCAAATACTCGAACACTTAATAGTAGCATCACTGCTTAGGTCCTCGATGAGCTATCGACCTACATAGGTAACATATCAGATCAATACCTGCTGTCTACTGTAGTCCTCTTCATTCTGTGTTATTCCCGTCCGTCCAGGAAGACACGAGACCAGGTTGACATTACCCAAACAGGCATTGTTCCAGCCGGCCCCACTGGCTACTGGATAGGTACTAGTCTCAATTCCGGCTGGCCCTTTCTTTGCCTCTCGCGCCTCCTTTTGTCGACGGGGCAGGCAAAACTGACAAACTGTTCTTTCCTCGGGACCCACTCACTAAAACACGGGGATGTGTCGTCCATGGGATGGTCGTTATTTTTACCCTGTTGCTGCCACCATGTCCATTTATGGTTCAGGTACGGAGTCCTCTAGATTCGATCTCAGAGTTTGAAAGCTTCTGGCTAGACTGAGAGAGATTGGAAGTGTCATTGGCTGTTTTGCCATATGCAGTGCCGAGGCTGGTCTTTGAGTAAATCTGTACTCCGTACACAAGGAAAACGTAGATTGGTATGCACCTGATAGAACCAACAAGAATTGCCAGAAGAATCAAATATGATAATCGAGGCTCCATGTAAATAGTAACTGATCGATAGTTAATTTCTCATCATGGAGAAACAAGTCTATACTATGCAGGTTGGGGAATATAATCAAACTTTTCAACCGGTTATTAACAAAGCCAACAGCATGATATTGATACGCCTTCATATAGACAATAGACCCTGACCATCCCAGATGCATCTGCTGTAAGCCATTGAACGAGAAGAGCACCTCAGTGCTTCTTGGACCTCTTTCTCCTCTTCTTCTTGGGTTCACCCTCGCGGATATCAACATCACCGGCGTCCTCCTTCGGCGTAGGCGCACTTGGGCCTTCCTCAGGAATTTTAGGGCCTTCTTCATCACCAAACGTATCCTTGCGCCATTGCCTTAGGCGAGCCTTCTTGCCCAGCTTCTTTTGATCCCGGTGCTTCTTTTCAGGGTCACGGAACGAGGCAAGCTTTTTCAGGCCCGCAAACTGATTGAGGTGGGTATCGTCGGCCATGAGGATATCTCGTGCAGTCAATCCGAAGCTCTGGGGCGAAGTTTCGCGGTAGCGGAATCCAGTAGCATTCTTCCTGGTTGCACCCGGGAGAAGGCTGATGTCGAGATCCAAGTTACGGTCCACGGCCTCCTCGATACGAAGTCGGTCTTTGCGGGATTCACGCTTCTGGTCTCGTCTCTCCTGCGCCTTGCTCTTCTTGTTGCTTCCAGACGCCTCCTCATCATCCTCCATCTCAATATCAGAACCACCCAAGGCAGGCTTCTCCTCCTCGTCATCAAAGTCCGGAATGAGATCCTTGATATCGATATCGTCGTCCCATGTGGGCTTCTTCGGATGTTTCTTCTTGTGTCCATCTCCCCTTTCTTCCCGGTCATCCTCCGCATAGTAGTCTTCACCGAAACGCCTCTGCATTTCCTTCTCCCAATCCTTGTCATCCCAGGCGGCGTCCAGGAAGCCAGCCCAATCCTCGTCGGTCATCTCAGATGCACGAATACCCGCAACCTCTTTGATCTGGTTGACCCGTTCTTGAAGTTCTTCCATCTTGAGCTTCCGAAGGCGGTTCTTCTCGGTCTCACGCTGTTTCTTCTCCTCGTCCCTCTGCTGTTGCTCGGCATCTCTGCGCTTCTTCCGGCTACTCTTATCTTCTCTGCGGACCGACTGTTTGTTGGTCGTGTCACGGGAATGAGTGATCAGGGTGGCATTGATTTTGCTGGGATCTTCAAAGCGGAAGTTGTATGCCTCCTCGAAAGCATCTGCCCGTTGCTCTTCCTCTTCATCGTCAGACTCAAAAGGTTGAAGTTCGGATCTGCCAGCAGGTATCCATGCTCTTGCCGACAAGAAGTTCGAAAGGAAAGTCTCCGGGTCCTTGTCCGCATTTTCAACATCAAGATTGACCTCCGTCTTGGGCACCGCGATAGGTTCGGGCTTCGACTTGGCGACAAGGAAGTCATCTTCGTCATCTGATGCATCTTTACCAGCGGCGTGCATTTCCCGGACAACTGCGTTTTTCAATTCCTCCTGCTCCTGAGCGTAGGTCTTGGGCGCCTCCTCCTCATCGGCCAGGTTGGCGCCACTCAAGAGGTTCTCACGATGGTAATCACGAAGGGTCATAGGCTTTTCTTTCTTTGCAGAGCTTTCTGCGGTCGTCTCCTCGTCGAGCGGGGTATAGAAGGTGGTGTTGCTGTCATACACTCGGGGGTCTTTCGATCTGATCGCTTTCAGGGTGGCCATGATCTCGGCATCCAGAGCGGTGGTGGCCAATTCTCCATCCTCGTCTTCCTCCTCGTCAGAAGATTCATCTTCCGAGTTGGACTCATCTTCACCATCGCGGTCACGACGTTTTCCGAGCACAGAGGATTTGCCGAATTTGGACTCCACTGCAGCAACCGGCCGTTAGATTGTCTGCCATGTAAACCAGAGACCGAGGACACTTACGTTGCTGCTTCTCTTCTCTCTTTTTGTTGTATTCAAAGCGACGCGCATAGTCTTCGTTGATCTTGAACGTAATGTCCTCGTTGGTGATGGGGACTCCGCCCGACTCATCTCCTGAGTCGCTGGAGCTGTCATCATCGAGCAGCTTGCGCGAACGCTTGGATGGAGGCTCCATTTTGGTAAAAGACACAGACAATGCCACTGCAGGTGTAGTACCGCCGACCAATGCGCCTCCAAAAAGAAAAATAGCGGTTGCCGGCAGAAAAAAAATGTCGCCGGGACTCACCGCCGGCAGGGCGCTTGGTTGCCTGGGTTCCCAGGCATGAAAGCGAACCACTGACGTAGCCAATTAGATCATGCGCGGGCCTGTATCCGCCGATGGCTCGAGCAAGAGGCGCTCAGTCTCCTAAGCTTCCTCCACTGCACCATGCTATTTTCTCACCCTGTCCTGTATCCCTGAGCCCTTCGGATGCTCGGTTTTTGTTGTTCGTCTTTGTGCTGACTAGGGGCTTTCTTGTCGCCTTTGCTCGCCGCTACTATCGCTCGCATCAAGTGTATGGCTGGAGACATACACTAGATGTCGACCCAGCCGCAGATCCCATTACCCCAGGTCGGGAAGCTCGTCAGCGTGGTGTAAGTCCCTGAAGCAGCCAGCTCCTCCGAAGAATTGTAGGGAGCCTACTCTAACGGTTCCGAATTAGTCCAGTTGGTCTCAAGGAGGCTGCTCTCGACTCGCCTACGTTCCGTGCTACCACCTTTCACTTCTCCGACCAGATCGAATTCCTGGAAAGATGGCTCGACGGCTATGCGAGGGCCGCTTCGAAGCTCGCTACAGAGCTTGCGGCCATGGAGAGCGCGGTGAACATCTTTCTGTCTTACTCCACGAACCCTCTTCTCGTCTCGGAAGCGGTTCTTGATCATGATTACACCCTACAGTCGATGAAGCGGAGTGGGGATAGCTCGAGAGATATGTGGAATGGACTGATATCTACTGTCAAAAAGATGGAAGCTCTCATTTCTGAGCCCATCCGGGCTTTCATCCAGGACGATTTGCGAAATTTCAAGGTACCAGCTGGTTGCCCCTTAAACTCTTGCGGATCTGACTCTTACCCCGCTATAGGAGTCCCGCCGCACCCTCGACCAGACCCAGAAACAGTACGACTATTTGTTGGCTAGATACTCATCGCAATCCAAGACCAAAGAACCGTCGTCCCTAAGGGAAGATGCGTTCCAACTTCATGAAGCTCGCAAAGCTTACCTCAAAGCGTCGATGGACTACTCCATCCAGGCCCCTCAATTACGAAATGCGCTCGACCGACTATTGGTTCGAGTCTCTTACGACCAGTGGCGGGAGCTTAAGATCTTTCATAATAGCAATGGCACGGCGTTCTCGAAATGGAGTCAAGAGATGGATCGCATCAAAGGCTGGGTTCACGAGATGGAAGGGAGTGAGAGGTCTTCCAAGCGAGAGCTCCTGTCTTCCCGGAAACAGATTGAAGAAGCAGCGGAGACTGCTGCGAGGCCATCCCGAGAACTCGAAGACTACTCTGTGTCCACTGTCCCCTACCTCGGCTCTCGTCCGCTGTCAACGGCCAGCATGACCAAAGAGACTAGACCGGAAAAGCAAGGATGGGTGTTTCTCCGAACCCTTTCCGGCAAGCCCACTCGCACTGTCTGGGTGAGACGGTGGGCTTTCCTGAAGCATGGCATCTTCGGCTGCCTCGTCCAGGGGTCACGAACTGGTGGTGTTGAGGAGAGCGAGAGAATCGGAGTTCTGCTCTGTAGTGTTCGAGCCGCCTTCCAAGAGGAGCGACGGTTTTGCTTTGAGGTTAAGACGAAAAGCAACACTATCATGCTTCAGGCCGAGACCCAGAAAGAACTTATGGATTGGATTGCTGCTTTTGAGGCCGCCAAGCGAAAGGCGCTGGAGAACCCGGCCAGTACCGATCTTTCAGTGTCCGGCAAAGTGACTGTCCAGGATCCCGCTTTCGCAATCTCACAGCCACCCGCGCCAGAATTCGCTACTGACCCTTCCGAGTCGCTTACACCACGGACGAGCGATGACCAGGGTGCTTCAGACCGCAGCGGCATGCTCGCTCTACCGGAAAGAGACCCTTCGGCCCTTAGGAATAGCAGCGATCTCAGCAGTTACAGAAGGTTGACTACGGTGGATTCCGACAACCCCGCCCGCGAACACGCATCTCGTATCATGCAGAAGCTGGATCTTCACCGCAAATCAAACAATGCAGTGGCGCCGTCTCCTTCATTGCCGGGTATTGGGGGTGGCATCGCGAGCCTGATCTCGGCCAGTCACAGTGCTCTTGGACCGGGGAGTCCTCCTGTGACTCTTGACGCTGATGGCAATAGGACTCGTAGTTCGACGTTGGGTAACGACTCCCCTACCTCTCTTGCCCCAGCGACTCTGGCAAACCCTCCTGCTCCTACAAGCATGAGCAAGGCAGCAGTGGTCGTGAGCAACGAACGGGGTATAGGATTGGGTCAAGCCGACAAAACCGGCGGCATGCCGAGTGGTATGATGGCGAATCTCTGGGGTAGCTCGAACTGGGGTTTCATGAATCGGATCGAGCGTGAACGCATGGGAATGCCTGGTGATCAGGTCTCAGGCTCCGACAAGCCGTCCTCGCCAGCAAATGATCCATCCAAACAATTCTTGACCGCCGAAGCTGCTACGTCTAGTGGGTCTACAGGGACCCGGCCGAAGTCACGCCACAGGCAGACGATGAGCCTGGACGACCCATCCAAAGTGCAGCGGGCGTTGCTGAGCGATGTGCACGACTACCCCAGTTACTACCCGCCGCAGCTTAAGATACAAGATGCGCAGTTTCGGCTACTATTTCCTGACATCAAGAGGGAAGAGCCTTTGGTCATGGTGTTCCGAGCTACATGGAACCCCAACGATCAGCAAGACTTCCCTGGAAGAGCATATGTTACCACTCAGAATATTTACTTCTACAGCCACCACTTTGGGCTGGTCCTCACGACCAGCATCTCATTGGAGAGTATAAAGGAAGTCACTGCCGCCCCGGGAAGGGACTGCGACTTTCTGTTCCTTCATATGATCCCGCCTCCTGGCGACGATACCCCGGGCCGCGGAACTGTCAAGACGTTCCTCGAGCCCCTGAGGCTCCTCCAGCGGCGACTCAATTTCTTGATCCATAATTGCACTGCTGCCGAGCCATTGGGCCTGGAAGCGACGTTTAAGACTTTGAACCGGATGGAGACCGAAGCATTAACGCGGACTCCCAGCCTGGATAGCTGGGAGGATGTGGCCGCTGGGGATGACAAGTTCGACGGGGCAGAAAGTGCCGTGGAAGTCCCAAAGAAAGATATTGGAGTCTATATTGACAACGACTTGGACATGCATAAGAAGAATGGCACTGGCAAGGACACTCCCAAGTTCCGGTTGCCAACACAGCCCGTTCAGTATGTTCCTCAAGGCGATCTGCATTTGGCAGCGGAGAAGGTACTCGACATAAGTGCAAAGGCGGTCTTCCATATCCTCTTTGGCGACAAGAGTGCGGTCTGGCAGCTCCTCCTACACCAACGACGAGCGAAGGGTAGGTCCCCGAACTGGAAGCTGGGATTTTGCTAATGATACAAGGCATCAAACAAGGGCCGTGGGTCAGACAGGAGTCGAACCATCTAAGACGGGATTTGCATTACCAGATTGAGACGGCTGATGCACTTGGTATGTACTAGGTCGCATTTCGTTTCTATGATCTCTTATTGACTTGGTTAGGACGCACCCATAGCAAAGAAATCTCGGACTACCAGATGATCGACGTCCTGAATGATCATCTCTGCTATGTTATCACGGACAAGCGGACGCCTTGGCATCTTCCTTTCAAGCGGTCATTCAGGCTGGTCAGCAAGGTCGTGATCACCTTTGTCGCCAAGGGAAAGAGCAAGCTCTCGATCTATACTAAAGTGGAATGGCTATGGTCCCCGTATGGCCTTCAACGTGAGTTTCCATCTCCAGAAACAGATAAGTGATCTAAGACATTCTAGATATCATCGACAAAAGCGCGAGCCATGACCTGGAGCAAGACGCGTTGGATCTGGTCGATCTGGTTAACGATCAGGTTCGTCGACTCGGCGCGCATAGCCGGACTAAGAAGGCCATCACGATTTTCGGACACATCGGACGGCAGAGCTTTGCATCTCAATTCTCGCCCCAAGGAGACTTGCAACTCGAGCCGCGCAACCCCCGGGTCCAGAGGACCCTGGCTCAGCTCTTGTTTGAGACGCTTGTCTCCGGCCTTGAGACCATTGTTTCCGACCTGATGATGTGGACGTTCGCTTTTCTACGTTGGGTGTGGAAGACCACCAATGCCAATAAGGTCATCCTCATCTTGTTACTATCGAGCATGTTGATTAACGGGTTCTATTCCTCGCGTGATGCCTATGAATGGTGGCATGACAGGACGGTCGGGAACTTTATGGCCCGCATCGGGGTCGGTCCAGACAATGTGATGACCAAAGCTATCTACATGAGAGATATCGACGACGCCATTGCCAATACGACCGTCGGACATGGGAGTGACAATGTGAGCGACTGCTTTGCCACCTTCCACCAGCAGACAGTCCGCAACCCTGGCAACACGATCTCCCTAGGCACATCCGGATTCAGAGACTCCATGACCAGGAGCGCGGCCCGCAGGATTCAGCAGACGCGCGAGCGTCTGGGTTCGTACCGACACGACCTCCTGGTCGCACTGCGGGTGGTCAACAGCATCGAAAGGGAAGTCGTTCAAAGCGAGTGGGAACGCTGGCTGAAGCAGGAGCTGCGACGATGCCGCCAAGTCCAGATTCTTCTTGGTAAACGCGAAGGAGATGAAGATGTAGACCTCGAGGTGGACCGTACCGGTCAGCGTGTCTTTGCTGAACTCACGGACGATGTCCAGCAATGGTACGAAACATACTGCACGAGTTGTCAGGCGGAGCACGCGCAGATTGAAGACGAGGGATCTTTTGGTGTTGCATAGACATTTGTCACATGGCGGAGGAAGCATGGTGTTTTGTCTGTCCGTTACTTGCTTGTTCACGATACCCGGCTGCAGTTGATCCCTGTGATTTGTCGATGCTGAAGGTGCCCGGCTTGTTGCGTCTCTGTGTATATATTCGATTTGACTGCAGATAAATTGTCTTGCTGTTGCTGCTCTTCCCACCTTCATCACCATCCTCAACAACAGCCTTAATTCTGCCTCGGCTTCACCGCACCATCATGCACAACATAGTACACGATCGTCCCATCACCCCCCATCTGCCTATCCAGCATAGCCAGCAAGATCCTCTTCCCCCCCCACTCCCTCGTCGCCCTCGCCTTCTCCCGATACGCATAATACTCCCTCAACTTGTCCGCTTTCTCCCCTTCCACCTCCACCTCTACCTCCCTACCCGCCTCCTCCCCATCCTCACCCCCCTCCGGCAACGAATCAAACACCCCCGCCATCCTGCGCAAACTCCACGACTGACCCTCCACAGTAGGCAACACGAACATGCGCTCGAGCTCGACGTCCTCGTCGCGGAGCCCGCGCTCGAGCATGTATAGTTGCTCGTCGGGATGGGTGTAGATGTGGTGTGGGGGAATGCCGGAGATGAGGTAGAGGGGGTCGTTAGTGGTGGTGGTTGCGTCGGGGCTGGGGAGGTGGAGGTCGTGTACGCGCAGGGAGGTCCAGAGGTGTTGGTGTTGGAGGTTATGTAGGATTTGGATTGTGCTGGCGGAGAGGGGGGTCGAGGGGGTGGTGGTGGTGCTTAGGAGGGTTGTGAGGGCGGAGGGTTCGAGGGGTGTGCTTTTGGGAGCGTTGGATTGTGATTGTGCTGGTGGTGGTGGTGGTGGCATTGTGGTGGTCATGGTTGGGGTGCTTGGGTCGTGATGGATGGGTTGTGATGAGTTCGACTGTAGATCTAGTCCTAAAGATAGGCTGAATCAAATGATCTAATTGGGTTAGTTGTGACTGCGCCAGGGTTCAATTCAGTTCGAAGGCCTGGACTTAGGTGAAAACCGCAAGGCAGGGCGATGACTGAAGAATGGGAATCGGGCGGGGCGGAAAAAAAGGGCGATCGCGCCGAGATTCCGCGCAGGGTTGAGACGCCGCAGAAGAACACATGGCATCATCCTCTCCTGCACAATTTAAAGCGCCGGCTCCCTCGAGCTTCCGTTTCGGAGTTTACTGTCCTTTCTACTTTGATTTGTGTGCCTGACTTTGGTCATCGTGACTTGATCGTTTTGTCCTTCCTTTCTTACCTATTGGCACCCTCTATACGCTCAGCGCCCTTCTGTGATCATGGCGCGCCAGAAACAAGCCGCGCCTTTGCAACGGGCCACATCCTCGGAGCTGATGCATGTGCCGCCGGAGTCGCAGTCGCCAGACAAAAAGAAAGCTTCGGTCGCGAATGGAAGTGCGTCTGGAAAGAATGCGGCGCATGATGCTGCGCAGGAGGCTCCGGGCTTGATGCAGCTTGCCATTTGTGTCTTGGGCATTTATGCCGCGTTGTATGTCTGGAGCAGTCGGGATATATAATCATTGCCATTGCAGGTGCTGACTGAATTCAGCCTTTCCTGGGGCGTTCTTCAAGAAGCCATCACGACGGTGTCGTATCCTGTCCACCTCCCTACTGCCGAAGGCCCCGAACCCCCGACGGAGCGCTTCACCTACTCGATCGTCCTGAACACCATCCAGTCCACCTTCGCTGCCATCACCGGCTTCCTGTACCTGTTTTTCTCGACTCCGTCCGGCCAGAAAATCCCCTCCATCTTCCCTACACGCCGGATCCTCTTCCCTCTGCTCTTGGTCAGCATCTCCTCGTCGCTCGCGTCGCCTTTCGGATATGCCAGTCTGGCGCATATTGATTACCTCACCTTCATCCTTGCCAAGTCGTGCAAGCTGTTGCCCGTGATGTTCCTGCACCTGACCATCTTCCGGAAGAGATATCCCTTGTACAAGTACGGAGTCGTCCTCCTGGTCACACTCGGAGTCGCCACTTTTACCCTGCACCACCCCGGAACCAGCAAGAAGGTCGCCGCATCAGCGGCAAAGGGTTCGGGCTCGAGCACCTGGGGCATCTTCCTCCTTTCCATCAATCTGCTCCTCGACGGCCTCACCAACACCACCCAGGACCACGTCTTCAGCTCTCCGCAGCTGTACACTCGCTTCACCGGGCCGCAGATGATGGTGGCCCAGAATGTTCTCTCAACGTTCCTGACGAGCAGCTATCTGTTGATCATGCCCCATCTGTCGTCCACCGGCATTCTGCACAACCTCCTCCCCTTCCCTATTCCTCCTTCCACCGAGACCGAGCTGAACTCCGCCATCAGCTTCCTGTCCCGCCACCCCGAGGCCCTGAAGAACGTGCTCGGATTCGCCGCGTGCGGTGCCATCGGCCAGCTCTTCATCTTCTACACGCTGTCTCGCTTCTCGTCCTTGCTCCTGGTGACTGTGACGGTGACCCGCAAGATGTTGACCATGCTTCTGAGTGTGTTCTGGTTCGGCCACGCGCTCTCCGCCGGACAGTGGCTAGGCGTGGGTCTCGTTTTCGGAGGCATTGGCGCCGAGGCCATCGTGCAACGACAGGAGAAGAAGGCCAAGGAGCGAGCCAAGGCTGCACAAAAGCAGGAATAGAGCTACCCCTTAACCTGATTGTATTACTTCTGAATATGTACATACTTTATTAGACTTGATCATAGATTACTCTCATTCATCGATTTATCATCTGATCCATACGAAATCCACCCAACCCAACCCAACCCTAACTCTCATCCCCAGCAAAACTTACAAAAAGAGGATTACTTCCTCCCCTCGACCATAATAATATGATACCCAAATCCCGTCTTCACATCCACATACTTGGGACTCCCCGTCGTACTCGGTTCCAACTCATACGCCGCCTTTTCAAACGTCGCATCCAGACTACCCCGAGTCTTCCAGCCCAGAGATCCACCTACGCCATTAGCCACGACCCCATCCCAAACCAAACCAATCAATTAGATGAAAGAACAGGAGGGATAGATACATACCCTGTCTCGCCTTATCCTCGGAAAACTCCCGCGCCACTTCATCGAACTTGGCCCCGTTGCGTAGTTTCTCGAGGGCTTCTTCTTTTTTGGAGAATTTTTCGCACTGGATGTTTATTAGCTCCCGTCATCAATCCCCTCTTGGTTTCATAGGTGAGGGTGTGGTCGTGGATGTAAATCCATAGACGTAGATCGTATGTATACATCCATCCACTAACATGAAAAAAAAATACAACCACCCCCACTGAACCCCTACCCAGATACACAGCCAATACACCAATACAAAGAGAACAGGAACAGGGCAACGGTATACATACAAGAATATGCCTCACGTTAATAGCATTCGCAGGCTTCAGACCCTTTCCGCCTTTCTCCCCGCCCTCCTTGGCTTTTTTGTCGCCGCCTTTGTTCTTGGGGGCCATGTTGTAGACTTGTTATGTGATAGTAAAATTAAGGTAGAGGGTGAGCTTTGTCTTTAGACCAGACGTAACTGGAAGTGTGGAGGAAGCTAGATGGAGGGGATAACGTGGGTGGATGGAGATGATGTTTGCATTTGAAGCAAAAGAATGGATGGATGGATGGAATGGTGGAGGTGTTTGTAGCCTGAGGCAGGGAGTTGGTGCCTGAGTACGATGCATTCACCCCTGGAGTACGGAGTATGTATGGAGTTCTCACGTGTGTGGTCTTCAAAGCAGCAAAACATGTCTGTTATACACCACTGGGTCAAGATTTATCAGCAGCTTGCCCATAAGATGGGTCTATATTCGACGCCCTTTGTCCGAGCCTACAACAAGGCTGGCAAGACACCAGGACGGAGTATGAGCTCTTGGAGCAGCAGTCGCGATTTGTTCGAGTATACCTCCGGGCGATTCTTGTCAGTCGCGCTGTGCCTTATTAGGCGGTTGCTGCTCAGTTACTCACGCTCTCGATAATCTAGATTCAATGAGGAACTTCGACTGGCTGAGCGCCGTATCCAATTTGATGTTGACGCGCTTGTGAATGTGGTATGTCGGTCAACCAACCGACCTGTCCGTGACCTGTCTTCAGTCTCCAAACTCGCAGAAGGAGGCTTCAATCGTGTCCTTCAGGCGACTTTCAAGGACGGATATACAGTACTTGTCAGGATACCGTATAAGGTTACTGTTCCGAAACGGCTTGCAGTGGCCAGCGAAGTGGCCACCCTCGATGTGCTCCGTCGTAATGGTGTGCCGGTCCCTAAAGTCGTTGGCTATTCTGTTGACCAGACGAACTCTGTCGGCGCTGAATACATCCTGCTGGAGAAATTAGAAGGACAGCCCTTGAGCCAAGTCTGGTTTACTATGGACAATAAAGCGCGAGTCAAGATCATGAAGCAGATCGTCGCTGCGGAAAACAAATTCATGCACATCCCCATTCCCGCAAGTGGAAGTCTCTACTATCGCAGAGATCTGGAGCAGACGCAGTTCGGTATTACACTCCCGGGTCAATCGGATGTATCTGCACCAGACCAAATCGTTGTTGGACCCACTGCGCAACACGCATGGTGGTATGAAGAACGGAAAGCCCTGGAGGTGGATCGCGGCCCATGTATTTCTTCCTTCTCTTGATCGCGTATTTATGCTAAGAGCGAGATAGGGGACAGCTACCTGGCGTGTTTTGAAGCGCCGGCTAGACGTGAGATGGAATACTGCAGGCGTTTTGGCAAGCCTCGCCTTCACGTTGAGAGATGTCTCCGAGAGCTGTATGACTTCCAAGAGATGTCGCCCACTCTTCATGTTGACCTACTCTCTGACTATCTGAAATTGGCGCCTTACCTCAACATTCCGTCAGAGCATCCCCTTGCTCGTCCCACCCTTCGCCATCCAGACTTTTCGCCAAACAACATTATGGTTGACTCGTCAAACAACATGACGGGGATAATCGACTGGCAACATGCCGTGGCGCTACCCCTTTGTCTCTGCGCTGGAATACCTCGTTACTTTCAGAATTGGGGAGACCCCGTGTCAGAGGTTTTGGCAAAGCCAGAAACCAAACTACCGGACAACTTTAGGGAGCTCAATCAAGATGAACAGACAATCATGCAGGAGACAATGAGAAGACGCCTTGTCCATTTCTATTATGCGGCGTTGACAATGAATCAGATACCGCACCATTTCGACGCTCTGAGAGACGAGAATTCGATGCTTCGAGCGAAGTTGTTCAACCGTGCTGGAACACCGTGGGAGGGAGACTCTCAGTCTCTCATGTATTGGATGATCCAGGCTTGCAATAAATGGCCCATGTCTATTGATAAGGGGGGCCCTCCGGGCTCAACTAAATGCCCAGTCGAGTATTCCGAACAAGAGGTCTTGCATTGCACAGGACTCCATGATCAAGAGCAGGAAAAACTCCAAATTCTCACAGAAATGAGAGATGTCATTGGTATAGACTCCCTAGGTTGGGTGCCTGATGATGAGCATCTAGAACAGTCGAGAGCCATGGCGCAGAACATTAAAGCGGGCTTGCTGGAGCAATCGGAGAGCGACACTGAGCGAACTGCACTGTTGGAACACTTTTCTTTTGATGATCATGATGAGGCATGAGCTAGACAAATCTCAACCCAGTCGAATCTCTAGTCCTCATAAGTCAATGACCGCAAGCAATCTATGTCTTCAGTGTCTCACCTTTGTTCTGGGCTCCTACAGCTCAGCTAGATAATGAGCGACATGTCCTGAGGACTGGGACGATGATCTTCATGTATTCCTAGAACGATACATAAAGATCCTTGTTCATCCAACAATGCACAGCGATGCAGATACTAGCTAGACCACATCTTTTAGGAACCTAGGCTTAAAACACCCTTGTCGGTATCAAACGATCCAAACCACCCCAAAGAAGAATTCATCCACCATTTCAAACAACCCTTCAACCTAGAAATGATCAACCCAACCCCTCCAAACACAATTACAACACATCCCTCCCTCTCATCCATGTAAATCCAATTCACACCCACTCATTCAACTTCTGGTTATCAACCTCAGCCAACATACTATGTATCAAGAAGATCCCCATACGGGGACGGCTCTGTTCATACCACACACCCTTACCCACTCACCCAGCCAACATAACGAAACAGAACAGAACCACACCAACCACCTCTCCCCCTTTGCCTTATGAAATACCCCGATAGGCACGTAGAGGCGTAATCTGGCCATGCTACCCTTCATATCTGCTGACCATCGATGAGGGATGATGGTAAGTAAACACATCAGTCAGTCTCACTCTCAGTCTCAATCAATACTCGTCCGTTAGTCACCTAGAGACATATCGCATACCCAACCCAACGCCAGGAATAGAATATGAGATATATAGACATCCCATCCATCGTACTCGTCATGAAACCAACCCCCCCCCCCACCTCCCCCTCTCTGCCCTGAAGCATATCATCCAGAGCAACGAACAGTGTTCCAGGTGCTTGGTATATACCTACCCACCCCCGACGGGAACAATTCCCTTCCATCGTGTTCGTGTTCGGGGAAGGGTAGGGTTAGTCCACCGTGATATATTTTTCAAAGCCAGGTAGGATCTGCTGATGAGTATGGTTGCCATCATCACAGACGCAGTCATAGTTATAGTTATATTCCTAAGTATCGTCGTTTTGGTGGGGTGTGGGATGAGTAGAGCGGCGAGCGGCGAGCGTTGGTGGAGCATTTACTATACCAAGCTGTATAACTCATGTGGTATACCCATACCTGTAGCCGGAACTGGGGGGTATAGTAACTTTTTCATGTCATCGGGGTCGATGGGTTGCTTGGGTTGTTTGTTTAGATAGTGGATTGGCTTGAGTTGACATGTTAGTCAAGATATCGAGGTTTGATGTCCGAGTGTATGGATATCCTGGATGTCCTGGATACCCTCGATGCCCTAGGGGAATTGTTGGCTTGTAAGTTTGGGCTTCTTATAGACGCAGATGGGGTCTCGGCTTCGTGGAATTTGGGGGTGGTCCCTGTGTATGTGGTGTTTATATCGGTATCTTCCATATCTATTTCGGATTTAGACGGTATAGAGGTCTTTAATGGGAGAGTCCTGAATATTTCTACAAAGTGGGTGGTTGTCTCACTCTACATAGTATATGTTGACATATAGGGCTACTATCTATCTGGTTCAAGTTGGCAGTTTATTAAAGTGAGATATACTACTTACTATCAAGAACAGATCTGGAGACACTGATTGATTGATCTAGCTATTCTAGGGGAAATTAATCATCAGATCTGGCCTGGCATCGTATTCGTATTGATTCAAACTGGACCGGTCGGGATAGCTGTACCCCCGTCATGGTATGACCTGGTATTCTCTCCCTAGTCAGGAGCTGAAGATCTGGATGTCCTCCAATGAGTTGAGGTGCTAGAGTGACACGGACGAGATGTTTACTCAGGGGGTGTTGAGGATTGGAGAGCTGGGTGCTGCAGTACCTGGTAGGTGCACATTGGAGACTTACTCCAGGAAAATCTCTAATCGAGCTTAGCATAATGTGGACCGAGGTATATTGTGCCAAGTGCTGTCCCATCAAGCAGTATCAAGTAATACACGGTACGAGTTTCGCATTTGGACCGAGGAATCCATGTATTAAGCAGCTGCGCTTGGCTGGCGCCAAGGCAGCAAAAGCGGGGAAATGAATGGAAGAATGGCTCTCAACCCTGAGCAGCAATGCTGCATAACCTTTACGACCTATCTGAACAGCAATGGCATAGTCATGATGCATTACGTAGCACGGCCATCGCAGCTCATTGTGACGACATGACTTGCATCGTCATCATCGCGCATCATCCGCCCGATTCCTTAGGTTTCACCATCCTATCCGGCCCCCGCTGTCCCATCGCCAGGCTTCCTCCGTACCGTGTAACCAGCTCACTGGTGGCTCCGTCGGATAGATCAACTGCGGCCACATTGGATCCCTCTCATGCACCGACCGCGTTATTCATTGGCTCTCCATCAGGGGTAATTGCTCCGTGTGTGCCCTCCGGTCGACTCAGCAAATGATCGCGCATCTTGAGGCTGCCCGCATCAAGCCATTGCCGGCCGATGGTTTCTACATTGCGGACTTCATCTCAGAGGACGAAGAGGAGTGTCTGCTCCAGAAGGTGAGAATCCGCGTCGTGCCACGGTGGCTTATACTGACGAGGTAGATTACGACGGCGCCTGTCCCCCGCTGGACTCATCTAGCTCACCGTCGGCTTCAAACCTGGCCCTCTACCCTAAGCAAATCTAATGCCCTCATCGAATCCCCGCTCCCCTCCTGGCTCAGCTCCCCCATCATCCCTCGCTTCGACTCCCTGGGTATCTTTGCCAATGCCCCGCACGGCGCCCCCAACCATGTCCTGGTCAACGAATACCGGCCCGGACAGGGCATCATGCCCCATGAAGATGGGGCCGCCTATTACCCTCTTGTAGCTACGGTGAGCCTAGGGGCTCCTATCGTCCTGGATCTGTACGAGAAAAGCGACGACGGCGAGGGAACCGGACCCGGTCGACGACCAACATATAGGATCTTGCAGGAGAGACGCAGTTTGCTCGTTACCACCAAGTCTATCTACACCGATTTCTTGCATGGCATTGCAGAGACCGCCAAGGATGACGGGCTTGGCGCGGAATCCATCTGCAACTGGGACTTGTTGAGGGCGCCAGATAGATATGAGTGCGGCTGGCTGGAGAGGGAGACTAGGATAAGCCTGACTTATCGCGACGTGCTCAAAGTCGCCAAACTGGGGAATACCATGAGGTTTCTGGGCGGTCGGCGCACCCTACATAATCAGTAAACCCAAGGGATCATGTTCCATCTCTCCCGCACAGACTCCGCGCCGAATTTGCGCAGATACCATTGCTTCGTGTTGGCAGCGGTGGTGCCCAGGTTGATCACGACAAAGGCGAGAGCGGACAACAGGGTCTTGTTTACGATCTCACCCTTGGGAGCGGCCAGCAGGGCAAGTGAGAGATACACCACACACTCGGCCGTATAATGCGGACACACGATCCGGCGAAACGCCGGGTGAGTGGGAAGCGTATACTTCTTCAAGGAGAAGAGGAAATGGTGGCAATCATGCTGGATGCCTGATGCCAGCAGGAAGATAGGAATGCAGACAAAGGTGCGGAGGGAGGGAGCTATCGTAACCTTGATGTCGTCGAGGTCCAGTTTATGAGACCGCAGCACGCCTAGATGTGATCAGTGAGGTTCGCATCTCAACCTGTCCGTCAGAGTGGTACCTGCTCCTTCGATCCACACGGCAATGGACACTGTCAGGTAGAATGCAAGGCCTACGAGCCAGTGAACGAACCACATCTTGGATGATGAAGGCTTGGAAAATGCGTTGCACTCATACAACCGCCGCGCCCCCTGAATGAGCAAAAGAACCCAGCACAGAAACACCTGTTGTATCGACATAGACTTCTCCAGATGCTCCGGACTTATCCTCGATGAGAAGGCCTGGAATACAGCTCCCTGACAGAGAAGCTGCGCAGCCCAGAAGAGGGACGCTGACACGGAGACCACGTAGAACTGCGTGAAGTAGCTGTGAGGGACTGTCAAGGAGGCCACATAGTCCAGAATGCGCGCTGCCGGGGAGCTGTTCGAGGACGCCGGGGGCGAGGACGCCGACGAGGTTGCACGAGCGCCATAAGGAACGAAGCGTGAGTGAAGAGAGTCTGGTAGGATGCTGGCGGAGAGGATCTAGATAATCTGCCTTTAGTTGTTGCCCAGGATATCATGCTGAGCGTCGTCCGCGTTAATTTTGGAATCTCAATCTGTTCATACCGTACACGACGCCAAAAGAAAAAAAGCTCGAAGGGCGTCAATGGCGTCCATGTGCGTGGAGGAAAGCGTCGTATCCACCAGGCTGACAAGGGACTCCATTGCGACCAGATCCCGCCACCAATGCGGAGTAGGGTCTGCAGCTGAGGGAGTGAGAACAGCTAATGGACAACCAGATCCGCCAGTCCTAGATTCGTTGTCCGGAATCTAGACACGGGAGGCAGGCAGATGCGCCAGATGCCCAGATCCCAGATGGCGGGCGATAAACCCCCGGGCCGGGGGACGCACCTTCCGGCCGTGGAAGATGGCGATGGACTCAGATGGAGGCTCTGGTAATATTACGGTTACGCGGGTTCCTGTCATGATGATGCGACACGTTCAAAATGCTCGGGTGTGGAGAACAAAACCACCGACCACTCCACCTCCAAGGGGAGGAGCGAGATGAGCAGTCATAAATCATAAACAAGGCGCCCCCGTCCGAGTAGGAATCGGCGTTTGTTTGATCCACCAGGGTCTCGTGAGAAGTGGCCAAGCAGGAGCACTAGAGCAGCCTCCCACCTCATGCAATAATCCAAATATTCGGCGGTCCGGAGGGAGCGAGCCTGAGAGGACTGACGAGTTACCCCAGCATACTCGGTATCTAAATTAGGGATGTTTTGGATCGGTTCTCATACCGACTTCTCCAACCAGATGTCAATCCAACATTCCGGACCACCCGATTTTCCAATCATTCGCAATGATGCTTCTTTCTCTTTCTCCCCCTTTTCTTCAAAGTACGGAGTACAGCTAGTCGATCCATGGACGGGGAGTCCGGTGGTAACCCATGCAACCCGACGCCAACCAGAACCACCCACTCATCACCACCACCTCCTCCTTCATCGCCGCCGCCGCAGCATCAGCAACAGCAACAGGAAGGGGGGCAAAAGCGGGGCGATAAGCTGGAAGCATCCTTCGCGATGACTGGTCTCAGCCGAGGAGGAGATCGCTGCTTCCCGGTGGGTCGCGCATTTTTGCAGAAACCCTCTAGGCCGGAAACGGCAACGGGCGGGTTGCTCGGCTGTCAATAATTGGCCAACCCAAGGGACGAGCTGATGCCTAGCCTGATAGCCTACGCAGCTTCCAAGGGAATGCCCAATTGCGTCGAGGGAGGGGGACTGGCATCGTCCGTCACTCTCCCACCCTCCGTTCCAGAGCCCGAGTTTCAGACCGCAGCAAGCCCAGCACCCCCAGCGAAAAGTGAAAAATGAGACGGCAAAAAAAGAGGGAAATTCAGAGAGGGTTTAGCCACCACCACTGTCCTTGACCGCCCCGCCCGCTTTTGGGCCTTCGCGCAGGTTGTTTGGGTCTGGGTCGCAGTCGACGGATTCGACCCTCAGGCAGGTTGCTGCCTTCCCCCGGTCGGTCGCTTCTGCAGCTGGACTTGTCCGTCGGCCTTGTCGGTCTTGTCTTGTCCTGTCCTGTCCTGTCTTGGCCTTGGTTTTGGCCTTGGTCTTGGTCCTGTCGTGGTTGGATTGGATGAATGGCAATGGGTCTTCCGCGGTGCGTAAGGATAAGGAAGGTACTGTCAGTCGGACCGTCAGGTAAGCAGCAGGTATCCATTCATTCATCAGCCCAGTCCCTTTGCAAGGTGTCATAGTTGCAACTAGTACCTGGTTATAGGGTAGATTACATCCCGTCCGCGACCGTATCGAGCAGCCAGGCAGTGCCGTAATCACGCTGCCAGTTCTGCCACCTGCCCATCACTTGCCGTTCGGACGTTCGGACGGCCGTACTACGGGTCGACGATTGTCACCTTCCCAGCTATTTATCGATTATTTCACACCCACAGTAGCAGCAGGCCACCCACCCATTCATCATCCATATCCATTATTACCTTGATTTCTATACCGTACTTGGCCTTACTGGGGTCGCCTATCCATGACTAACCAACTAGCGAAGGGGATTGCTCCGCCGGTGGCCAAATGGCAATTCCCGGGGCGATACTATGACCACGACGACTTATCGCTGCTCTAGCAATCATTCATCCTGCGGTGCCCTCAACTTGCGTGATTAGATCCGGATTCTTGTTGTGATGACCCTTATTATTTATTTTTATTTTTAATTATTCGGATGATTATTATTTGATGATGATGATGATGATGATTCTCCCCTTCTGCTAGTTCATGGTCACTAACCACCCACTAAGAACCAACTAACTTCACGGACGGCGAACTACTTCCTACCGCCCTGGGCTGCGACCCCATTACCTGGTAATTTCGCCCATCCCAGTGACCGTCGGCCGTTTCAACCTTCTCTCATCTTCTTTCATCTTTTCTTTCTTCCATTACTTCTTCCTCTGCTGCCACCCCTTCATCCCCCCATCCAAACCCTCGGCTCGTCCTCTCGACTTTTGTCTCTTCCCCCCTTACACCCTTCTTCGCACTCGATCCGATTAATTACTCCTACTATTCGTCTCCCGAGTCCCCGACCGAGTCAATACCTGCCGTCGTTTCGCTCTCTTGGATCCCACCACCTCGTCGTCTACCTTTCCTGCCCTTTTTGTGCTCTCTTCATTCCGACTATCCACCCCCCTCCCGCTCTCGCTTGCGCTCTCTGTCGACCTGGAGCCATCTTTCGTCCGGTGAACGTAATCAAGGAGTCATCTCTCTACGTCCAGCGTGGTCGAGCACCAGCTTCCGCGCGCAACTGCTGGTGTATCTGACCACGGGTCCTCTTGTCCGCCACGGCCCCCGAAAATGACGAGCAGAACCCCCAGAAATCGAGTGCTACCGCTATGAGTGATGTCGAGGCTGTCTCCTCCCTGCCAGCTTCCCTGGATCCCGGACAAAGCGCTTTTGCTGTCAAGGTGAATCACCAGTCTACCTTGGGTCACCCACCTTCCAAGAGAGCCACCCCCCCGGTTGCTCAGGAAGAGGATGTTCCCGCCAAAGAGGTAGATCCTGCTGTCGGGGACGGCGATGGGCCACCGAGCCCCAAGGCTGACTCGGAGGCAGAAACCATAATCCAATCGGGCCGTGAATCTTTGTCGCCTGAGAAGAGACGGAAGTTTATAAAGCATGAGCCGAAACGACGTGATGATGCAAATGACCATGTTGATGCCGCAGAGAGCGAACTTCCACCTAATGATTTGCATGTGAGAAAGATAAAGTCGGTGGATGGGGATGTGCCCAGCGACCGCGACCGTCCGGTGCGCCCGGCAAGCCCTCTGCGGAGGGTGGGGTCGCCCGCCATCGTCAAGATTGAGAAGACCGAGGAACCTCAGGCGGTCCCGAGTAAAGTCGAACCATCACAGCCGATAACTTCCGCACCCAGAACATCAAGAAAGCGCAGCTTCAGCGAGAGCGTCGACGGGGAGGCGGATGCTCGCCGGAATGCCCGCCAACATCATTCGGCAGCCCCTCGCGATCGTGAGCGACGGGATTTGAACGGGATCTCTCTCCCTCGTCCGACACCGAATGATCGATCGGTCTCACCGGTTCGTGCTCACAAGCGGACAGCATCTGGTCCTCAACTCGGCAGCGATCTGCACAGGAAGAGGAAGGCTCCTACCCCACTCATCTCAGGGGTGCAGCGGCAAAGCTCGGAAGACCGACAGTCCGTGTCATCTTCGACGAGTGGATCTCCATTACCCAGTGCCTATGTACGGAAGGTTGCATCCGTCGATGGTGCGTCCGCGTCTCCTGCAAGGCCAACCGGCCACAAGAAGCAGCGGGATCAGAATGGCCGAACCCGTCTGGCACGTGCCTGTGCTGCCCAGGAGTTGGATGTCGCGATTGCACGACATGCTGAACGCCCAGAGGATCTCAATGTGGCCGACAATGCAGGCAATACGCCGCTCCAGATTGCCTCCCTCGAAGGCTGTGCATCTATTGTCAAGTTTTTGTTGGAGGCTGGCTGTGAGGTAGAAACCAGGAACATTGACCGGGACACCCCGTTAATCGATGCTGTTGAAAACGGGCACCTGGACGTTGTCAAGCTCTTGCTTCAGGCCGGTGCCAATCCTCGCGCAGTCAATGCCGAAGGCGACGAGCCAAGTGATTTGATTCCTTCAGACTCAGAGGACTTTGACGAGATCCGACGAGTCCTCGAAGAAGCCAAGGCTAACCCCCGCCCGAGTCGTCGCTCGGAGGAACAAACCAGCTCTGGAAATAGGGAATTGCCTTCACGCCGGGTCACGGTTAACAGCCCGCGTGAATCACCACCAGTTAGTGGACAGCGGAGTCCGCCCTTTTCCGGTCTCACGAGCAAACGAAAAAGTGTACGGAGTGAGGCTACTCGGAACGACCTGTTGTGGACCAAGGCTACTCCTGAGAACTTACAAGCATTCGCCGCGAAGGGTGACATGGCCGGAGTGGCGAACATCCTCAATGTCGGGCAAAGGGCTGACGCTGAATCTATGATCGCTGCCGCCAAGGGTGGTCACGATGAAGTGCTATCTCTCTTACTCGGCATGGGCGATGCGGATCCTGATCCCGATCCGGTTCAGAGCGGCACCCAGAAGCCAGGATACAATACGCCCATGTTGGCTGCGATCGGCCGAGGCAACCTTCCCGTCATCAAACTCCTACTTGCTCAGCCTAGTTTTGATCCGACCCGTCGTCTTTACAAGGACCGTACCTACTTCGAGCTGTCTCGGGATCGCAGAGCCGATAACTGGGAAGAGGAATACGACTGTCTGCGTGAGGCATACGACGAATACCGAAGCAAGAAGCAACGAAAAGGCGAGTTTTCATCCCCGCGACGAGTCCGTGAGAAGGAGAAGGAACGCAAACGAGCCGGTCGCCGAGAATCACCGTCTCCTGTCGGTCGGCCTCGGAAAGCAGTTGGGAGCCCCGTCCGGCGGGATTCTTCCAAGGACGCGCTGTCCAAGGAGCGCAGGAGGGAAGCTATGGCACACGCCAAGGAAAAGCCTAGTGTGGCTCGGCCAAAGGTTGTCCATGTTGCCCCGGATCATGACACGCCGCGGTTCGACCCAGCCCGATCAAAGGGGGCTCCTACGAGGGAAGGTGATTCTACTCGAGGCGATGAGGCCCCTAAAAGGAGACGATTAATTGCTGGACGACCACCGGATCGTGACAGGAGGGTACCCAGCGTGCCTCCAACTGACTCTATGCCGGGGAGAGATGACAATGCCAGAGCGCGCACCGATCATCCCGATTCTGCCACCTCAAAGCCTGGGCCACCGCCTCTGAAACGCGGACGCAGCAGTGTGAGTCCGGACCGGCCTCGGTCTCGAGATACCGAGGCTGAGCGGCATCCTCGCGACATGCAAAAGAAGAAGCGGCGCGTATTGTCAGAGGACGGCACGCCAAACATCACCAACGGAGGCGTGAAGAAAAGTCAGACAACCTCGGAGGACCTCAAGGTTGTGTCCCGCCACAAAGACGACCACCATGTCATCGAAACCAAACGAGACCATTCGCGGGAACCTGACGCTCCGTCAAAGGCGACCGAGCGGAATCCTGTCAAGGAGGAGCAGGAGAAGCACGAGACCCATGATCTTGAAGATATTCCTATGGAGGATTCGACAAGCGCCGCGGAGGCTGAAGCTGAAGCGCGTCGGCAGAAGGAAGCCCAGAAAGCTGCAGAAGAGCGACAGGCCGAGGAAGCACGGATCGCTGCAGAGTCAGAAAGAGCGCGTGTGGAAGAGGAGGAGCGGACTGTCCGAGAAGCTCGGCTTGCCCAGGAGAAGGCTGCAGAAGAGGAGCGGAAGCGGCAAGAGGCGGAGCAACGGCGGATCAAGCAAGCCGAGGACGAGCGCCAGAGGCGTCTCGAACAGGAAAGGCAGCGCCTCGCGAAACTGCGCAGGGAGCAGGAAGAGCAGGAACAACGCCGACGCGATGCTCTCCCCAGCCGACTCCGAGCTGCAGCCAATCTAGTGGGCTCGAACGATCCCCAGGCGAAGAGCCATGTCTGGCTCAAGAAGTTCATGCCCGTGGTCACTGCTGAAACCCAGCAACTTGACCCGTCTTGTGGAGCGGCCGTGGCTGACGACAAATGGATTCCGAACTACCTCGTCGCACCCTTACTGGCGACGAATGATCTTCAGCTGTCTCAGTATGCCAGCTGGGAGAAGCGCCAGGCGACGCCCACGCAGCGGATGAACCTGTGGCGCGTCACGCGAAGGATGCTGGTTCAAGCGGAGGAGACGGAGTTTCTCAGTTCTTCCTTTGAACAGATCATGCAGAAGGATAGTGAAGCACGGCCCAAATACTTTGAGATGGAGCATGTATTCTGGGTGAAGGTATGTACTTGATGATATTTTTTTTTTTGGATTACCGACTGACTGTTTTAGCTATCCGATTTCATGGATCTTGTTCCACATATACCGCACCTTCATGGGTTGGACATACAGTTGCTGAAGATGCATATTGACCAGGAACCCAAGCCGCAGCCGGTGCTTGAGTTGCCGCCGGCGAATGGGCATATCTCTGGCGGGCATATCGAGGAGGCGCCAGGGCTTTTGGGAGGAACCGGGTTGACTAACGGCTATGGACACAGCCGGGCTAGTACATACGTCTAATTCTGCATAAGCATTGTAGCTTGACGCTGCCTGTACAGGTGAACTTGATGTATGACTATGATGATGCTTTGTACTCCGTATACCGCATACGTATGAGTAGTCACGTGATATGCCAATTTGCTTCGTATAGCAACATCACGTGACGCTTAGTCAGGTCTATAGGGCACACATTTAGCGAGAGGAAGCCAAAAATCGGCGCACCACCACCACCACTAGTCTATACAAGTACACCTCGACTCTTTGAGGATAATCCGACATCTCGTCATATCAAAACACCAACAAAATGGTGAGCATACCCCTTGCGCAGATGCATCTATAACCGCACGAGGAATCAACACTAACGACTGGGTTTAATAATAGTCGGACGGAGAAGAGACCCAATCCAACCCCCCCGTTGCCGCCGATGAGGTCGAGGTTTCGGCCGACGCTGGCGCCGGTGGCCAGATGTCCGTCCTGGATGCCCTGAAGGGTGTTCTCCGCATCTCCCTGATCCACGACGGTCTTGCCCGTGGTCTGCGTGAGGCCGCCAAGGCCCTCGACCGTCGTCAGGCTCACATGTGTGTCCTGAACGAGGGCTGCGAGGAGGAGGCTTACAAGAAGCTCGTTGTTGCTCTGTGCTCTGAGCACAAGATCCCCCTCATCAAGGTTCCCGATGGAAAGATGCTTGGCGAGTGGGTTGGTCTTTGTATGTTTATCCCTACCCGTACCCTTTTTCTTTGTATTGTGTGGTTTTGGGTAGAGATGGAAGATGGCTAATGGTTTGGATAGGCCAGCTCGACCGCGAAGGCAACGCCCGCAAGGTCGTCAACTGCTCTTGCGTCGTCGTCAAGGACTGGGGTGAGGAGTCCCAGGAGCGTTCCGTCCTCCTCAACTACTTCCAGACTGAGCAGTAAATTGCTCTCTTTGGCGTAGTTCCTCTTCGGGGTCAGGGTGATCTGTGATTGGAATCTACATGGGTGTGTTCATGTGCAAGGGAATAAGAATATGGTTGATGGATTGAGGATTGTGAATTTGGTTTTACGGTGCTTGGGTTTGTCGGTCTTCACTTTTGTTTGTCACTCTGGTTTGAGTGCGGATGGGAGTGGTTCTTGTTCTCGGTGTGTGTGTGGATGCGTGCGCCCTGCGCCTCTGCTTATTGTGGTGGGGGTGGTTGCTGGGCTGGGCTGGCTGGTTTGTTGTATATGATAAATGGCTGGTTTGGTCTGGTGGTGTGGAATCCAATTGAGATTATGGGCTCTGGACTTTTTCTTTCTATGTTTTTTTGTCTTTGGGACGTAGGATGATGTGTAGGTTGATCGTGGTCGGTAAGTGGTAACTATTGATAGCTGCAATTTGCTATATCTGGTATGAACACCCGCTATGCAAACCCGAACGCCAGCCAGAATAGTACATGACCCTAGCGGAACCCATATGACGGTCGCACCATTTTCCTCGTCTCCGGCTTCAATGACAGCTGCTGGTAGGGCGAGCTCCCCGGATCGTAATATAACCCTTCAATATGTCCACTCTGCCGGTTCAACGATATATAGTAGAACCCCGAGATCGTCAGTCCTTGGCGCGAATCAGTCGGTGTGATGAAACACCGTTCTAATACGGTTAGCAGACCGTCATAGCGCCGTCGGTAGCAACTCACCCTTCCATCGCATCAAGATCCACCGCCGCGATAACTGCTCCGTCACCCATTTCCGACTCACAAGATTTCGCGTCATTTCCTCGTCCGTCAGGTCCTTGAACGGCTGTAACTCCCGCCAATATGTACTGTCGATCTCGGCATCCGCCTTGAAGTTCTTCGTCTCCAGTGTGTGCGTGTTGAAATCGATAATTTCTCCCTCCAGATATGTGACGATATGCGCGTCATGAGCCGGGGTGGTCTTGTCCGGAATATTATATGCCTCCATGGTCCCTGACAGCGTCATGTCGTCTGGATTGATGCTATGTATAGTGACCTTCACGGGCCAGTTCTCATCCTTTCCACTCCCCAGGTTGTAAATGTTGTTGGCAAGGTATCGTCGCCCTGTCGTTGTATATACACTAATGCGGCTATTATCGCTCCCGTTGACGATCATCGGATCCTGGGACCCCGATGGACTGGGTACCCGTGCGAAGATCGAGTTGGCGCTGCTGGCGGCCCGTTGCGAGCCCGAAAAGACCACGCCAGGTCGTAGCCATGAGCACTCAGGCGGCGGCGCTATCGACGTGGTGTCGAGTATAAAATCATCTTCGTTGCCGCCAAGAAATTCGGTATTGACAAACCCCCCAGCAGCCGCCGAGGTAAGGCTTTCCTCAAACGACGTCGAATACCGCAGGCGGTCGAGATACCGAATCGTCTCTTTCAATCGCGGGTTCGGGGGGTTCTCCATGTGTAGCTGTCGATGGGCGCTGATCCGCGCCCGTAGGTCACTGTGTGTCAGAAACCGATGCGTTTCGCCGCGGGCGCCGGGCATGAACCGATACGCCCGCGACGCCGATGTGGGACCGAGTCGTTCTCGACTCTCATCGGAATCCTGGAGGGTCCGTTCCCTGTCTAAGAGATAGTCGTGGAGCGTCCGCGTCCGCGAGCTCCGCGGCTGGCGTCGGACTGACTGTAGAAACGCCTCTGTGGTCGATGCTGGAGGTTCGTTCTGGCGATGGGAGCCACTATCGGACGGTTCATCCGGTAAGGCCGGGCTTCGGCCGGCGGCATCCCGGCGCGCGTGGCGGCGAGCGGCCGCATAGCGATCGGAAAATCGGCCGAACCAGGAGATGGTGTTGCTGTCGTGCAGGGGCTCGTAGCTCACATCCTCCTCATCGTCATCAGAGGCAGGAGCCCAACCGTAAACCGAGCGTGGGTTCGACATCCGGCCCTCGTAGTTGGGAAGGTTACTGGGGTTGGGGTGGAATCCGTCGCGTTGACGGCGCACGATAGGAATGCGACGGTTAATTTCGATGCGCAAGCTGGAAGGGTCCTCCAAATCCATAGGTTCGCGGTCGAGATCGGAAAGCGTCTGGTGTCGACGACGGCGCTGGCGACTGAGCGAAGAAGACGAGTCGGGTGGAGAGCGCACACGAGATCGTAGAAAGCTCACGTTATCATCATGGGCGTCATCGGACACCGCCGCGGGGAGAGAAGGAACGGGGATGGAGAGCGCCGTCAACGGTCGCAGAGAAGAGGCAGAAGACGACGACGACGACGATTGAGCGGGGGGATCCTGCGATAATAAAGGAAAGTTTAGCGGAAACTTATTTGTTGTCATCCATCCACCCAGCATCAGATGATGAAATCGAGCTGTGCCGGCAATTATGCTTTGAATCCATCCGACGGACTCGGCACAAATCGTCGGCCCAGCAGCGTGCCACGCGTTCCGAAGCACCGGCAACCATCAAGACAAACAGGAAACAGAGACGTACAGAAGGCGAGTTGACCGGGGGCATGTTCTGGGTGAGCGCAGTGATGGCGGGTTGGGTGGCGGAGAGGCAGTCCGCCAGGAGGAGGGAGCGTGATCGGGGGCGAGAGCGAGGGCATGCACCAGGCAGTAACCCAGAAGAGAGTCGGCGACGACAAGACAGTAGTGTGATTCACGTAGGGGGTGGACACTCGACGGTTGGAGGCGACCGGGGGGGGGGGACAACGAGGACGATGCCGAAGAGAAGATGAAGATGAAGATGAAGACGAGGCCTGAGGAGAGCAGAAAGTCAGCGAGCGAATGGCAGCCCGCATGGCCCTGCGTTGCCTCATCGGGCGCCGTCGCCCACTTCAATCCTCCCCCGTTTCGGGGCCTTTCTTCTTCTCCCTCTGCTTTTACCTTTGCTTCATCCTCTTGCTTCATTCTTTGCTTCATCCTCCTCTCTACCTGGTCCTTGACATCATTCGATCCTCCGATCCCATCCCATTTCCCCGCTTGATCCTGGATTGCTACTGGATTACCCCGGATCTACCCCCCAAACTAACTTCATACCATCCAACAGTCCAGCCAGGGGATTATATCATCTGGACTAATGCACGATGCGGCGAGTCCACTATGGCTTTAAGTCTTAAAACAGACACTCTAAACTGGAGCCAATCCCTTTTCATCCACGATGATCCTGCATGAAGCCAGAGCCGCCAAGATGCCCCATCGAAAGCCCCTCTATTCTCTGCGATGCTCCAACTCGTCGGTAATTCGGCTGGCAGACGGAGCAACTCCGAGTCTCCTCACGATCTGACGACTATGTATTCCACCACTGGCCTGCCCCTGTTGATCCGTTCGTCACTTTTCGCATAGACGTTCGCCCACCATGGTCAAGATCAAGTCCATTGAGTACTTCCGTGTCCCTCCCCGATGGCTCTTCGTCAAGATCGTCGATGAGGAGGGCCAATGCGGCTGGGGCGAAAGTACTCTCGAAGGTCATACCGAGGCGGTCGAAGGCACCCTGAATGCTCTCTGCAAGCGGTTCCAAGGCTACGAGGCCGAGTGCGTATTCACATACACCACTCTCTTGACTAGTCCTGTAACTGACATCAAGTCATAGTGACATTGAGCACATCTGGCAAATGGCCTGGCGCCTTGGGTTCTATCGCGGGGGCCCCGTCTTCATGTCCGCCATCTCAGGCATTGATATTGCCCTCTGGGACCTGAAGGGTCGCCGACTCGGAGTCCCCATCTACCAGCTCCTCGGAGGCAAGGTCCGGAACAAACTGTCCGTCTATGCGTGGATCGGCGGAGACAGACCCTCCGATGTCGAGGCAGCCGGAAAAGCGCGTCTCGCCCAGGGATTCAAAGCCATAAAAATGAACGCCACCGAGGACGTAAACTGGCTTGATTCTCCTCGTGCATTGGACTCTTCTGTCGAACGTCTCAAAACCGTCAAAGCTCTCGGTCTAGACGCTGCTCTCGACTTCCACGGCCGTCTTCACAAGCCAATGGCCAAACAGCTCGCCAAGGCCCTCGAACCGCACCGTCCATTATTTCTCGAAGAACCACTCCTCTCCGAGCATCCAGAAGCCATCAAACAACTCTCAGACCAGGTCTCCTGTCCCATCGCCCTGGGCGAACGTCTCTATAGTCGCTGGGATGTGAAGCGGTTCCTGGAAGATGCAAGCGTCGACATCCTCCAGCCCGATATTGCTCACTGCGGAGGCATCTCCGAACTACGGCGGATCGCCTCCATGGCCGAAACCTACGATGTTGCGATCGCTCCGCACTGTCCCCTGGGATCAATCGCCTTGGCTGCCTGTATGCAGGTGGATCTGGCAACGCCGAACTTTGTCATCCAGGAAATGAGCCTGGGGATGCATTACAATACCGAAGCCGGCGAGTATGATATTACCAGCTACGTGAAGGATGCAAGTGTATTTGCAGTCAAGGATGGATACGTGGATGCCCTGACAGCTCCTGGGTTGGGTATTGAAGTGAACGAGGACTTGGTCAGACAGTTGGCAGCGAGTTCCGAGCCCTGGCCGCCAAAGGAGTTCTATGGGCCTGATGGAGGGATCCGAGAGTGGTAATTGTGACTCAGGGAGCATGTTCATCTATTTCATAGCATAGCGTGGATGCTTGATGTTGATCATAGATCTTTACAACTCTTGCAAATTTATATTGACTACCTACCGATTTTATATATTCATGAACGAAATACTTGCAAAAGTCTATTTAATTATGTGGTCTAGTGAAAAACATAGCCAAAAGGGTCAGGCGTCAAGACTCACGCCTTACGCGCGGCATTACATTCATCGGCGCGTCTGATGCAGTCATTGGTCATGCTCCAGAACGCATCCAGGTCCACACCACGAGGAATACAGACCGCATTCGGGTTGGCCTCCACCACGGTGCGACCCAGAGAGCCCACCACTGCCACGTCCGTTCCATGGAGTCCATCGGTGATGACGTTGACGGAGAAGCGCTCCCCGTTCCGGTCGTCGAACTTCAGGACCTGATCGGGATGGCTCTTCGCGTACTGTGGGTTCAGGTTCGACAGGATCACCGCCACGGCCAGAGGGTCGTGTAGGGGTGGGCCGGTGGCGAGACCGAAGACCTCCTCGTAAGTGGATGCAAAGAAGATAAGGAGCTCATACAGCATTTGGCGAAGGGTGGTCGGCTCGACGGAGGCATCGTCCACGCCGTGCCGGACGAGGTTGCGCACGCTCTCCGTGGCAAGCACTTGGTGGGTGAGGTCGAGCGCGATCAGAGTCGTCTTGGATGCGACCACAGGGTCGCTGAAGATGGCTTGGGAGGCCTCGGGATCACACTGCAGTGGACATCGTCAGGATCGACACAGGATCTGAAATAGTGACGGGTAACAAAAAGTAAAAAGGTGACTACGTACGTAAATGTTGAACTCCGCCAGGGGTGTCACATTGCCAATCCGGTTTTCCTCACCCACAAGACGGCTCATAGGAGCAGTGGTGAAACCATTACCGACACCTCCACCCATGATAGTCAGGCCCTGGATGTGCTCTCCGACTTCGGGGAAAGTCGCAAAGAGCAGGGCAACGTTGGTCAGGGTTCCGGTTGCGACAACCCAGGCGGTACCCTTGGGCTGTGCCATGAGAGCATCCCGCATGGCCAGGATGGGGTTCTGGTCCGTGATCGGGGCTCTCGAGGCCTTGGGCAAGAGCTCAGTGCCATCGAGACCGGAGTCGCCTGCATTCCACACAGGGTTACTGAAGGTCCTGCTGTGAGCAGAGAGCGACGCATACCGTGAATGTTAGGCGCATGAAGAGCGGGTCTGCAGAAAGGCTTTTTGCTTCCTGGATAGACGGGGATCTCTGGCCGGCCAATCGCCTCTAGGACGCGGGTGGCATTGATGGTGGTGTTCTGCAACGAGGCATTGCCGTGGATGGTGGTAATGCCGAGAAGGTTCAATGAGGGGTGGTGGGCCGCAAGAAGCATGGCAAAGGCATCCTAGATCAGTGTGCCAAAGGACTCAAGTGGTTAATCTTCGACATCAATTGCGTACGAGGCATCGGCTACACTCACATCGTGGCCTAGAGACTGTTAGTAAAAGGCGCGCTTGGATCCAAAGGGCATCCGGGAGGGAACGGGAGAGGAGGTCTACCTGGATCGCAGTCCAGCCACAGGGGAATTGGCGCGTCCACTGCAGAAGCCATTGTTCAAAGTCTCCGGGGGGATGGCGGGGAAAATGGTGATGACTCGAAAAACGATGCGGGGAGTTCTGCCAGATAAGAAAACCGACGCCGATAAGCCTTATCGGCGGGCACGGGCCCCGCGCAGCCCTAAGCCCTACTTTCCTAATGAGGAAGGGACAGGAGCGTCATGGGCCGGAGTCCGTCGCAGTTGCCGCAGCTGGACGTGCTTCCCAGCTCGCTCGATGCCCCCTGCCTGATGGGAATCTCGTCCTGAGATTCTTTCGATCCCTTGGTTTCTTTTCTTAGCTCTCTTCTGTACATAGCTCTCATATCTCTCGACTCTTATTGTCCCCGTCCTGCTTGATTCCTGCGATGAGATGACCAGCGACCCTCTCCGCCCGGGCCTCCATCCGCTTTCGCATCTCAAAGCTGGCCCAACGACCTCCAGCTCCAAGTCAACGGCTCTGCCCTCGTCTCCAACTTCGCAGTCTTTTGCTCAAGCTTCGACGCGCCCACAGCCGCTCCGAAATGCTAGCCGAGAGGATCCGGTCAATGCGACGAGCGACAAGGCAACTGTTGCTCTGATTCGACGCGTCCTCTGTCCCCAGACAGGAAATCATGGAGGTGTCGCTACTCCTCAGCCTCTGGAAGACCTGCTACCGCCCCTGACGAGCTCCAACGAGGTGGATCGCCAGCTCTATGCGCTTATCGCAATTGTGATCAAGGAGTTTGTGTTCACGTGGTATTCAAAGATCACGTCCGATCAGGTGCTCGTCAGCGAGGTCCTTCAGGTCATTGCGCACTGTACCCGTGCCCTTGAGCAGAGGTTGCGCGAAGTCGATGTTGCGCAGCTGTTTCTCGACGAGATTCCTGCTCTAGTTGAGACACATATTACGTGTAAGTACTTGCATCGTTTATTGAACCCCGTTTCTTTTTCCGGTCACTGAGGGGCATGAGCTGACTGGATCCTTGGTCATGCATAGCATATAGACTAGCGAAGCAGCAGTCTGAATCGTCTCAGATCTCTCCCTCACTCCGTGAGCTTTACCATGCTCTGAATCCGCACCCAGGTCTTTCGCCCGTTCCTGATCAATCCGACAGTCAAGCGATCGCACAGCAACGAGAAAACGAATCGACATATCGACAGCTATTGGTGCACGGGGCACTCTCAGTACTACTGCCGACAGAGGACTTGGAGAATGTCTGTCTGCGGACCCTGCTCGGCGATATCCTGGCAGATCTCGTTCTTGGTAATGCAGTGGCCGGCAAAGTCAGCGAAGGATGGTTCTTGTGGGAAAGTATCACGAAGGTGGTTGACATGACAGGACGCAAGGATTCTGAGGACAGTGCTGCAACAGCAACAGCAACGCAGCGTCAACGATCGCGACTGCACAAGTATGGTCTCCTCGCGAAAGAAGAGCTAAAGGGCCATCCGTCGTCCCAGGTCCAAGTGCGAATTCCCGACTGGGTTTGGCAGATGCTACAATATGTCTACATGATCTACGTGACTTTACGTTTCATCGTGACCGGCCTGTTTCGCGTTGCATCTACACCTCCGGTTACCTCGTCCCTGGCATCTTGTACTCCAACCAGCGATGCAGACGACACCCCCTCCTTGTGCACCACCCCTGGGAAGCGCCCTGTGCTCAACTACCGATTGTATGGCATGGTGTCGCAACTGATGGATGTACCTCGGCGGATGCCATGGTTGGGGGGAATGCTCGCACTGATCCAGTATCTGATCCTGGCCGGTCCAGGTAGATTGGGAGCGACCGATAGTGTTCTTGATAGGTGAGTCGCACCTCCATTTTGAGTTCCCGAAACCCCCCCCCCCCTCCATCATCAGTCACTTCCACAGGCCATGAATGGCCGTTGGAGTTGGATCGCTGTTTCGAAGAGCGAGACGGCGCGACCCTAAAGGGCATGTGGTCTTCCAGCTGTGGAGAAGCGGTACGGTTGGATCTCCGAACATGATCTACGCTGGCGCAGGCCAGAGTGTGGTTTGGTCCTATGGCCGGGAGTTGGGAAGGAAGACGGACTGGCGGGCAGCAGGAGCAGGAGCAGGAGCATGCAGGTGGGATGCGCATTGCGCGCATGCTGCAACGATCACTTGATCTGGTGGTGGAGGGCAGCCCCGCCCTGCCTGGGGACTGAGTCCCAGCCCGGCTGCCGCCTCTGATTGGCCCAGCCCCTGGCCGTCTGGTCATGACGGGGCGTGACGGGCGCGTACAGTTATGATACCGGGACCGTACGAGACGTTACCCTGCGCCATTCTGCTTCCGCTTCTGGCTTCTGCAAGACGGGCCTCGCACGGCCAGTGCGGCCTCGCTCCATCAATTTCCGTTGATTAACTGATTAACCTCCCCCCGGTCCCCCCGTGGCGGCGCGAGTGCTTTTTTGGCTGGCTGGGCCGGAGCTTTGACATGTCTTGGTCATGCCATCCTTCAACCGCCGTGGTATCGGACATACCGAACTGGGGGGACGATTCTTTTTCGATCTGGCCTGCGCAACTGGCAATGGGTCACATTGGGCCGTGGGCTGGCCCGGCCCTTCCGTCCCGTCCAACTCCAGCTTTGCCGTGCACAACCTGGCCCGATGGGCAGTCAAACAATGCTTGTCGCATCGATCGAACAAAGAATCAGAGGAAAAAAAAAAAAAAAAAAAAAAAAAGCAACGGTCGCACTACCACCTGGTCGACACCTCCCTCGAAGTCTAATGGAGGGGGCGATTGCCTATGCCTGTCCCTGGCCATGGGCGTAGTCGAGGTCCTGGCCCACAGACCAACGCTAATGGGTCTCCAAAATGAATCGTGACGATCATGCACCCATTGGTTGAGCGAACGGTTTTACGACTTGGGGGATTTGCATGGATAGGGCGAATGCTCCTTCTGTTCGCCATTTTCGACCCAATCAGGGATCAGACTCGCCCTGAATTTTTCAAAGTTTGGAACCCGGTCATGGCTCGCCGGGGGTCCTATGGTGCGTTCAGACACGCTACCGGAGTAGCCCAGGATGGGCTTCCCCCGAACAACGCCTGAGTCGTCATCTTTCTCTTGGTCCTGCGCAGGATAGATGAACGAATTTTGAGCTTTTGTCCCCCCTGTCGTCATCTTCACCACGGGCAATGGTTGGCCCAAGCCCCTGGACTGCCTGGCCAAGCAGATCCCTCTGCTAGTACGCCTTCACTTGCTCACTCTATCTGACGGTGACTGTCATTATCCTTTGGACGGGATAAACCGCTTCTCCACAGTCTGGAATGCTGTCATCTGTTGCCTCGGAGCTATCGCGGACCTCGCCCGTGTGATTTGACTGCCGACTCCTTCTGTTTCCCCTTCGAGATGACTGCCTTACCTTGAACCTAATAATCCGTTTTTATTTTTCATTTTTCTTACGTTTTCTCCACTAGGTTCCTTCACGAGACCATCCAGGACCATGTTCTTACCCTCGCTCTTTTGCCAAACCTGCTTCTTGCGACCCGGGCGGCGCTTTTCCCTTCGAACGCCCGTCCAGCGTCCACGGCGGCAGATGGTCGCACCGCGGCTTCGGCGCCGCATCTGTCCGTGCAACCTCCAACGCCGCCTATAGCCAAAGGCCCTGTTAGCGACACCGCTGGCGCAAGTGACGCTTGCAGTAGCGTCTTCTCGCCTGGTCTGTCGGCGACAGCGCCCTTATCGCCGGACCCGCGGCCTTCCACACCCGACGTCGCTTCTATCAAGCGACGCTGTGCGGCCAGCATTCTGTCCCGGGTTCCTCGCCCAATCGCCCGCCGTTTTTTTGGTGTCCCGGCTGCTCCTATCGAGCAACGCCCAGAGCGATTGGACAGCTCCAGCGAATCTGAATCGCCATGGCAGGACTCTTCCCGAGCACCATCGACTGTCCCCCCCGCAGATGGCGGCCTAGAAGAGTCGCTCCTACTCGCTGCCATCGAGGAGGTTCTCGACCTCTTTGCGGACGACTATTGCAACAAGCATTTAATATATTCCATCATAGAAGCCATCCTCGCGAAGCTCCTTCCGGAATTGTCTGAGCGCAGTATCGCGGAGCTAATGGAGGACAGGGGGGTACCCCTGGCCGCGAAGTGACTCTGCCATGCGGGCTCATAGACGGCGTATGGTGTACGGTGCAATGCGCTACATCGAGATATTCCCACCTAGGATAGTAATGTTAATGATACCAATATCGCATAGATTTCATCTCGTTTCCCAGGTGCGCCTTCCATAAGGAAGTCAAAGTCAAGCCACGCCCGTAACCGAGCACTAACCGTCTCCACGGACCACTGCCCGGTGGCTTCTGCTCATGAGGCGTGGCGACACCAAAAACTCAGACCAAAAGTCGAAGTAAGCATTTCCCAAAGTCGAACACGCCTGCATTCCCCAGAGTCTTCGCTCTGCCCGTCCCCACCAATGACAAAAAGCCAGACATCAGATAATACACCACGAGCCAATAGGCATCAAGCCGACATAGGAGTCGGGAAGATCCAGGATTCACCAAGCAAGTAGACAGCATGATACGTAATAGTTACAAGCATATTAAGTACAGGAAGGCCGGGTCGTTCAAGTACCTAGGCGGTACCAAACTGCCAGCCTACCTGGGGCGACGTCAAAAGAGAGGAAACGAGGCAAACCTGCAGAACGGTTAACGAATGGCGATGGGGTCCCGAAGCAGGCGTGCCAGCGGGATCCCGGTTGTGAACGACACTGGACACTGACAGGGTCCATGGGTACCTTATCTGTCGAATCAGGGTCGCTCGCTGCTCGCCTGCCCAGGGACAGCGCATAAAGGACCGGGGGGGATATTAAGTGGTGGGAAACGGCGCAGAATGCGGTGAGGAAAGATAAACTAAAGCAAGGGCAGGGAAAAAAAGGAAAAATGTAACAGGCTAGAAACCGTATGATCACGGGTCCTTCATGTTGTTTGCCAGTGACTGGACCCCGGCTCGAAGCCCTAACAATGAACATGGGGTCAATGCACAAGGAAAATTCAGTAGTCTCAAGGGACAGGGAATAAATCATGGCAGACAAGAAAAAAATATGCAGAGAATCCGCGCGAGCGGGTATGTTCTGGATCTGCTCGTTCGAGAACAGTTTATGAAAAAGGCAAATAATGAAACATCCCAAAACCCCAGTCATTTTCAAGGAAACACTCCAATCAACACCACATGTCCTTGCTAACGGGACCAAGCACCTGAGTTCCCTTCCCTGTAAGACCGGATATTTGAGGTTGCCCTCGCGCGGTGTATCGTCAATGAAATTTTTCAGAGCCTCAACAGTATTTGCAAAGCCGCAGATAGATGAATATTGTTGCATTCGGCATGAAAGATGCAATGTCAAAGCAGAAGGCCGCCCATCAATAGAAAAATGAAGCCATGTGTGGTATAATGAAAAGGAACAGCAAAAAACCCCAAAAAGAAAAGGATTAGGACAAGACACTATGTTTTGGGCAATGTCAGACTCATGTATGCATGACAGGTCTCCCACGAGAATATCATAGATGGTCGCACTATGTGTATCAATGTGACGCCGTAGAAGATTGGCTCTTAACCGAGGCTGTGAATGCTCCTCTTCTTGTGCAAGTGTGGTGAATCATCATGTTCGTCGATTCGAGTGAGGCCTCCTGGAAGCGTGGCCTGCTGCGCCTTGGCGAGCTCAAGCCTTTCCATCAACTTCCCAATGGTCATAAAATCGTCTGCCCCAAGTCCAGTGGGCTGCTGTTTGAAGTAGCTCATCACTAGTTCTAGCGCTTTTCTGGCTTCATCCTGGGTTGGCGATCCCGGGGAGCTAACGGGGGACACGGTGTTAGATTTCGAGAAAAGCGGGGGATATATGGACTTGGCTTTGAAGTCAGGGTTGCTACGGTTGCGTTTAATTGTACTTCCAGAAGTATCAAGTGCCGGAAGGATCTTCTGATCCCGGTAGTCTTCAACAGACTCAGGTGCCGTGCCTGATAATGATTGTCGTAGTGCGGCTTTTGTCAACTGCTCGGAATCATCGGTAGACATTAAACTCGGATCTGATGAACTGAGTGGGAAAGTCTGGCTGCGGGGTCTGGTAGAGTTGCCATCCGCAGACGAGTGAAGCGATTGGCTCGTGGGAGTAAAAGGACTTTCCGTCAGCAACGGTGATGTTGGACTGGTGAGCCCGACAGAAAAAGAGCAGGTTGTGTCGAGCGAAATCGAACTCTTGGTATGCATATGTTGATAGTCACTTGCAATTTCAGCTAGGCTCTGAGCAAACTCGCCCCTGATGTTCTCGTTGCTCTGGACAGGTGATAATGGCAGTGGTGACATGAAGCCAGTCGGGGAAGTAGGCGAAAGTAGGGTAGGAGACTGGACAGCGGATGCCAATGCTGAATCGATGCTCAGACAAGTTGGGCTCGCCGATTCACTCTTCACACTAAAGGAACTCTTTCGGTTCCTCGCGCCCATCAGGTTATATTTGCGTTTGAATTTTTCCAGCCAGCTGGTACTTAGTACCTTTTCCTTACCATCCGAGCTTCCGCAAGTGCTAGCAAAGAACAGGGCTTTCTCCCTAATCATTTCGTCGTTTAGCGGATAGCCCTGTTTTTGATAATTTCTTGCCCAGTTAGACAGGGCCTTTTCGATATCGGGAACCCTTCCTTTGGCCCGCTTAATAGGAGACCGGCTTCCATCTTCGGGATTGAGATACTTGTCCTTCTGACGCAGAACTTTCGAAACCGTACTTCAACCAGCAAGTCATGCAAGTTAGATGATAGTTCCCAGGAAGGATGTCTTGGACGTCGAATAACTTTACCTTCTTTCAACTCCAAATAATGCTATGAACGCTTCTTGTCAGTGCGATGAATCTTCGTTTGATGGGATCTGGGGTGAAGCTTACCTCCAATATCTGTCTGCTTGGCTGTTTTATTCTCCTCATGGTAGAGACACATTTGTCGACGGTCTTCGTCGGTGAGGGTTCTCCGTGGCGTTGAGTTGCCATTTGGCTTGCCGGTGGACGGCTTGCCCGAGGATGACTTGCCAGTGGATGACTTGTTCGTAGAAGGCTTGCTGGTAGACGACTTGCGAGGTGGTGCCGGGATGATCGGGGCCGGCGCAATGACAGGTGGTGCCTGCAAGATGGGCATGGGCGGCACAACTGGGTCCGGGAAGGGCCCGTGATGTGAAATCATACTCGGCCAGGAACTTGGAGGTGGAGGCATGGCTATCGGCAGCGTCGCATAAGGCGGTGGTAAATCCACGCCATAGGTGGAAGGGTCTAGTGGTATGACGCTGTATCCGAAGGCCTGATAGTCCATGGTGGGAGATTGCTCCGAGGGGCTGAACCCGCCCATATCCAGCCAGGACGTCGGGGCGATATCATGGTCTTGCGCATGATGGCTCTCAGTATCCATGTCTGAAGGAGCCAGAAGGAGGCGTGGAGGGAGGATGTAGAGTAGGTAAGACTAGGAGGGGCAGTGATATCACGATGGCAGCGGTGGTCGTGGTTGCACCGATGTCAGTGCCCGACGAGAAGCGTCTATCGGAGCACTATCGCAATTATAAAGAGCAACTGTGCGTGAAAAGGGAATCGATGGGCAGATGGAAAAAGCAAAGAAGGAAGACGTCCAGTAGCGACGGACAGCTTAAGGCCAAGACGAGGAAGGCAGATGCATGTTCGAGCTTGAATGATAGATGATTACCATGCATTAACTCCAGCGGACCAGAGTTATTCACACACCGGGACGTTGGCGAGGTTCCCAACACGGCGCATACCAGAGCCACCGGCAGCAGGCGTGGGTTCTTTTGTACAAGAGAGAACTAGAGAAGACGAAGAATCCACGGAGGAGCGGGTCGTGCTAAGGGGGGGGGGGAGGTTGCAGCGAGTGGGTAAAGGCTGGAGTTTAAAAAAGGGACAGGCCGGGGCGCAGGCACAGGGACGATCAGGGAAGTGGGAGTGGAAGTGGAAATGGAAGTGGAAATGAAATTGAACGATGGAGGAAATCCCGATCAATTGGAGGAGACGACGACGACGACGACGACGACGAGGAAGGTACTTGTAGGTACCTGCCCAAGATGGTAGGTAGGCAGGCCGGCCGGCGGGGAGGACGAGATATAGTCCTGACCCAGTCGGTGCATGGCAGCTGTGTCAATGTACCTATAGGTAGCCAGTGTATAGATCGGTCGGTCGGTCGGTACGCCAGGTTGGACATGGGTCAGCGCCATCCCTGGTTGGCAGGATTCCTTCTGCACCGGCCGATGCGGATTCTGATTGATACCCTCTTTTATTTCCCTACAGATAGATAGTATAGATCGTACTTTGCTACTTGCTCTGGCTCGTGACAAGGGCCGGACTCGACCGATCTGAGGGGGTTATATTAATATCTGCTCTGCCCAGGAGAATTACAGACAGCCAGACACGAGGTCGGCAGCGTCGATGCGATACATCCAGATCATTCAAAAAACGAATAAAATAAAATTATCAAATAAAAAGGACGCAGGTTTTGCACGACGATTGGGCCGCGAGGTCGAAAGTAGTTGAGCAGAAAGGCAGGCACGCTAACCCCAAGGGGCTGCTGGGTGGGGGAGCTGCCGCTGATTGGCAGGGATCTAGATTGTCGAACAGGGATCTGCCTCGGGTCCAAATACCGCTAGAGGTACACGGTAAGGCCTCGTACCACGTCGTGTCAGCATCCCGTATCGTCCGTGACGGACGGTATCCTCGCTCTTCTCCAGATGCCTAACGCACTTGGGAATGGTAGCAATCAGGCTCCCTGAGCTTGACAGGATGATATGATGGATGTCTTTCCCTCCACAGAGCTTGCCCTCCATCCTGGTGTTACACTGGCGGTCTTCTACGCCAATGGCCGTTGGCGGACCATGGGATATACTGGGCTAGTCGAGAACCGGAGAAGGGATTGGGTAGAGACCTTCTCCGTACCCGATTCCGAGTGGAGCAGGACGCTACTAGACACTGGAATCATGTCGTTGATAATTCAAGGCGGGCAATGGACCTGGGGGACGAAAGGTATAGGTCAATCTGGCGGATGGATCACTTTCTGTCTTTCTTTTTTCGGTCCATTCCATTTTTTATTCCTTCTTATTCCTATCCTGATGTTGATTTTTATTTGATTTTTTTCTGTCTTTCCCCATTGTGGCTTGTCGTGCTTCTGGGCGGTCCCTGCGATTCGATGCTCTAGCTTCTTTTTGTTCTGTCGGACAGACCTTCTCGAAGCATTATCCGCATCTTGATAGCAGACGCCGTGAGTGGACGACGAGCAATCAATAAATGAGGGGATCGACCTCGGACAAAAGTTATGGACGGCTGAGCGACTTCCTAACTACCTCGAGGGTCAACCACGGTTCAATTGACGGAACGGGGAACGGATCGATAAACCGCTGAACCTAAAAGCCCGCATGACATACTTTGCGGACAAAGAGACAGTTTCGAACTATACGGGAATGTTGCCAATGACCAGGCGACGGAATCCCAACGGTTTTCCTCCCCGACCTTCCCCAGGGACGACAAGTAAAATTTCCAATTTTCAGGGTGGACCAGTTGCGGTCGCCTCTGTGGCGCTGACAGAATGTCAGATCTGACTGAAGAAGGTGGACCAGGGGGGGGGTCGCATGAGAGATGAGGGGAAGGTCACTAGGCGGTGGAAGTCCAGGTCATCAGGAGATAGCCGGGCGACGACTGCGAATTGAAAACTGCAAAGAGCGGTCGATCTTTCAGGGAGGCTAAGACGACGAGGCCTCAGTGGTGGTTTGACTGGCCTGCCACAAGGGGAAGTCGCCTCTCTTACTAGATAGATAGTAGGGGCTGTCAGAATCTGCATCCGTCGCCGGCCTTCCGTCCAGGACGCTATGCCCAATTGCCCATCCCGTGCGGAATTTTTTTGTCTTACTCGCTCGCTCCTCTCTTCCGTGGTAAGTAGTGCCTAGCGTAAGGTGATTGAATAATAGTGATGAGCCCGCCTATCGCTATCGATAATACTACCAGGTATGTTCTAGTAATATGTAGATGGTAGATTCGGGCCTGCCTACCAGTAATAGTGGTCTATGCCTCCAGCCAGTCATCGACGAGCAAGCACGATCTGCACCGTACTTTGTCACGAGAAAAAACCGTCAGGAGACACGATAGACGAATGAGAGGTCGTGGATCGATTCCAATTTATTTTCTTCCAGGTTACATGAAGGGGGGGGAGGGGGAAAGACCAGGGATGGAAAGCAGGTTCACCCTATCAGACGGTGCACAGACGGGACTCATGGTTCTGGTCCAGGAGTTAGCAGCAGTGACTACTTACTAGCATGAGGTCCCAGAGCTAGGACCCCACGGTCCACCAGACCCGCTGCGGTCCACTCCGGCCCGGCACCCTAAGTAAGCAATGCAAATCGTCGAACAGATTGTAGCCATCTCGGAGGACGTAGGAGGAAAATGGGTCGGAGGGATGGCGGAAGGATTGGAAGAGTACAAAGAGCAGGAACAGAAAATTGGCGGCGAGAGACAACGGGCGCTCCATAGTGCATGGGTGAGGAACAAAGGGGTTGGATTGGCTGGATGCGAATGGGGACGCATTGGGCCATGCTTACCTAGTACTACCCGCTTGGAACGTGAAGATAATGATCGGCCATTGATCATTCGAGGGTAAAAGTTTTCCTAGGCCCGGTGTAAGTTTTTGCCCACTGCGAATCATGGCCAACATTTAGCCTTACTACTACTTACTACCTGACCCCCTCGGGGCTGAGGTCGGTTTGGAACTTACTTCCAGTCCAAGGTCCAAGTGCTGCACCGCCTCGACAGGTCCATCTGGACTTACCTTGATGCATCGTACATGGCCAGGCGTAATGCATCGTACTTCGATGCTCTGGCCGTGCGACTTCGGAACGCGACAGGACTTAATGCAAGAGCAGCCTTACTGGGGCTTCAATAGTGCCCAAATAGTACTAGGGGCTAAGCGGCCTTGGGAATCTGTCCTGGGCATCCCCCAAGTCCCAACGTTATGTAAGTTCACAGTGCGTCTGCCTATGCCGTCTTAGTCGGGCGGCCGGGATGGTTCTTGATTCATTCTTCCAGGTTGTATTCATCCGTCGTCCCCCCGCCCCGCTTGTTCGGATGACCACGAGGCGGTGGTTGCGAGTCAGGTACTAGTCATGTATGCTAGGTTATTATCGTATGTAATACATCTCATGGCTAGTTGAGCCCTACTCATGCGATGTATACCGAGGTATGCCATGAGGGGACCGAATGGACTAACTGCACAGCCGTGATGAGATCGCTATTTGTCAATACCATTGATGCAGTAGCAGAAACGAACAAGACAATGAGACAATGAGAACATAACATGAAAAAAGCTAGTGGGTTGGCAACCCGCATTCGTGGAGTAAACTTCATTGTTCCCATGAAACAACCTACTTTGGACGCCGTTACCACTCTCCTTGGTGCGCGCAGCAGCAGCAGCAGCAGCAGAAGGCCCGGTTGGATCTGCGAATGAGAACGATGCGATATTTGGAATTCGGGGCTGAGACCGCCTGACGCTTCATTCTAGATGTCAAGCAGTATGGATATAGGAAAGGTCACACATGCGCTCATTTGCTCCGGTTCCCCTGGTGGCGATTGTGCTCTACCTGGTCGGTCCAGTTCTCAACAGGTGCGTTTCGCCTCAGGAACGCGAGCAGTGATGGAATGGAACGGTAGGAGAAAATTTCGCACCGGAAGCATGGAGGTCATATGTAGAGGCGAGGAGCTGCTGGGGAGGGCGCTTAGAGCTCGACGTCTACTGGCTGAAGGTGAGGATCCGCCGAGAGTCAGGGCTTCGCATGGACCAGGGTATGTAGTATGTCGGAAAGGGGAGGGAGTGGCCGGGGACGGGCCGGGGGGGGGGGGGGGAAAGGGAACACGACGGCCGACACCGAATGAGATGGTAGCCTTACCGGTCGACCAGGCCAATAATAGATATCTGTCAGGTACACAAGCCATTGCAGCTGGCGAGAGGCTTCTGCCGGATTCGACCTTCCACTGTGGCATGTACCAGGTACATGCAGTGTGCGCCTTGGTGCCACCGTTCTATCTTGCCTATTACCACCGTAGCCGCCCATGGTGGGATCTGGGGAGGAGGGGGGCCCTTGAACGGAACAATTCCGAGTCCGAGGAATGTCCAAGACTACCGGAGATGATGACATCACAGAGAGGGCAGGTTGGACAATGGGTAGGGTGTATCTAGGTAGCGGACAGTGGACTGTGTAGCGGTGGAAAAATGGCCGAGGAGAAGATCTGAGGCCTACAGTGCATCACTGCATACATACTTCCATCGGAGTGGAGATTGGTGGGTTCACTTGCCTGCCTGACCAGATTCCCCCCGACCGAAACCGGTAAAATACCACGTCCCAGGTGGAGGGTTCCTTGGCCTTTGTATTTTGCAAGCACCTCTCCGCTTCAAGCGCCATTCCCACCATCACTGATCAAACAATTCTTAACCTCACCGGGGCGTTCGATGGGGATTGACCAGCGTAAGCCACCCCCGGCGGCCGGATGGTGATATCGAGGGAACCGCGATATCCAGGGCTAAATCCCTCCCTGGGACGAAGAGGAGCCTGAAACTGGACGGTCGACAAGACAAATGGCGTAGCGAGGAAGCTCATTTGTGCGAGGATGGTTTCGCATAGTACGGCCACCGGCAAATAAGGTGAGACGGGCGGAAAGGGAAAAGCCCTCAGATGCAATGCAGCCTCCACTCTCCAGTGGGAATCAACGTCCGTCGGTGCATCTTCAGTCATCTGATGAGCAGAAATCGGTTTTTCACCCTGGAGTACGGCGAGTGGGATATCACGGGGCCCAGGGGAACCCCAGCCATGATGCTTGGCGAGGCCTTCTTCAGACATCTATTTGGCATGGCCATCGAGGCTGTGCCGCCGTCGAGCAGATCGCAGCATCCAGAGGCGATGTATCCGAGACAGATACCATTTGCGACTTCCCCCTATCGGATTTTGGATGCACCATCTGTCCGGGGAGATGCTCGGGGCTGAGAACGACACTCGCTCCGTTGCAGGAGGTTATCTGTTGAGATGATCACCAGCAACCATGCTCGCGTCTCCACTTTTGGGCCATGGCTGACAGTCGGTCTTCCCTGTCAGCTTGGTTTCCTGCCTGTACAGTGTCCACATCTCGGGTTCCTCCTCCCTGTTCTTCCTTTGCGCCTTTTTCTTTGCTTTTTCTTGGACTTTTCCGGACTGCCCCTCCTTCCAGTTCCATCGGGGCCAACTGCTGTAAGGCGTATCTTGTTTAGTGTGTAGTATCTATGGAGTAGTCCCCCCCGCAGTAAGATACCTAGAAGCAGTCGTGCATCTCTCGCACTAACCAGGAGTTAAATGCAGCTACATCTGGTCAGCAACGGTGAGTCGTCCATCATATGCAGAGGAACGCAAGTGTTGCTTCCTGCCCCTGGGATGATTAGTAATGGCTGCCAGTGTCATGACAGCTGCTTCCTTCCATCCCGCTCACCCGCGCAGACCGCTTCTTATGACACTGTCCGTGGCCATGCACAGGGTACTCTATACTCCGAGAAAACCCTCTATCCTGCATTATCACGGGTGCATTCAGTTATCAATATCTACGGCCGGGCGTCGGCCATTGGTCCAAAGGGGGGGGAGAATGATTTTATCAGGCCACTGATGGGAGGAATGGGGAAAGAGAGGACGACGAGCAATTAAAACAGTGAGATAAATTGGGGGAAATTCAGATTCAAAGGAGGGATGAAGAAAATAGATTGAGAGGGAGGCTTATCACCGGAAAGAATGAAGAACCCCATCTGCCATCCCCATCCGAACACGAACAAGTCCCCTGTATAGAGAAAGAGCAGTCAGTACTTCGTACTAGTAGTAAAGTAGGAACTGCCGAAATAAACCCAGGGTCGGTTTAGAATTACGCGGGAGCCCGTCAGAGGGAAAGAGGAAGTAGCTTTCCCCTGGGCTGTTCCAATGAGGTACCTGGCCGTCTGCCCGAGAAAGGAGCAGACGATTACGCCGCCATGCCTGACTAGGGCCGAATAACCCCTCCCCGGCAATCTTACCGTAAATACCCGTAACCCACCCTAGCAGTATCAGATGCGAAATCGCGAGCAAATGAGAGGCCGCGAGGTTGGAAAATGACCAACGAGACGAGGGGATCCGAACGAACAGACCGCAAATTGCCCAGACGATGCCTTGATGATGCCCTTGACCGGCCTGCTGCCACCTCTCTAGGTTGTTCGCAAGTACCCCGGACCCTGTCCGCACCTGCAGGCGCAGAATTAGCTGCAGAAGGTCAGGTACTACTTACTACTTCCTTTCCTGTCGGGCCTTCGAGGAGGCGTGCCTCGAATGGACCTGGCGTTCGGGATTAGCATTCTTTAGCATTCCCTATGACCCAAGGCGACCAGCCAGTAGGATGGCGGCACCGATCTATTTATTACCCGGAGGCGTTGATGGGGCGACTCCCTCGTTCGTATAGTATGGAGCATAGGATCAAAAAACACCGTCCCCATCCTTGATTGGGCCTGGCCCAAATTGGTCGCGAACGGTAGGTCCGATGCCTCAATTCTGGGTAGACCGCGTACGCCATTTGGACTAAGGTAACTACTAACTCTGGAGTGCGCATGGCTTTGCCTCGCATAAGATCGAGTCCGATCTCAGCAGAACGAGGCTTAAATGTGTTCAGTCCGTCGGACTTGGGGGCCAACAGCCACCGTCCACCGCACCGGTTCGAGCATCGGTTCGGGTCCAGTGCGTAGAGCACCTACGTAACTGGGCGTATCGATCGATGGACTGATCCGGGAATGGCAACCTGAGCTGCTCTCATAGCGCCTGCGCGTTCCCCACAGATGACACCATTGACCAGGTGGAAAGTGGACGTGCGCCAGCAGGCTGCTTGCTAGCTCTGTCTTGGTCCGGCTGGCCCAAGCGATGGCCGACGTCGACCCCAATGTAGAACAGGTCTCAGGGCCAGATGTCAGAAGCGGTCAATCATCTAAGAAAGAAAGTAAGCGAATCCTCCGCACTAGCTATGGATGTGTGCATGTATGTATGTCTACTGACTTGGATAGCCTGGCCCGCGATCTAGAACACCGATCTTCTCGGATCGGGACCCCCGGAATCGACCGCCATGGTCGAATGAATGCTCCAAAGATGAAACCAAAACAAAAGAAATATCAAAACGGCAGGTCTAAGTACTGCTGATCCAAGAAACCCTATTCCAGCCTTCCAGCCTCGAACTCCTGCCTCTAAAGCGCTTCTTTCTCGCCTTCCTAAAAGAGGATTGCGCATCCTAGATCGAGTAGGAGAGAGCAATCCATCCTGACTCATGGTCTAGGCTTCTCCCAGACGAGTGATCGTGCTAATCCAGAGCGGCGTTTGCCAGCTTGCTGCCCGTGCGCACATCGTCTCCCCCAATCACAATCCTTATGGCATCTCACGGAAAATCTGTCACAAGGGCCGGGCCTCCTGGACTTGATACTTGGCGGAGCAGCCCCTAACACTACCGATTTATCCTCTCGAGTACGATTCGCCATAGCTCGCCCCGGTCATAAGCGGATCCTTCAAGGATTGCGCTCCAGTAAACTTATTTACCGCTTCACAATCGACACTGCAGTTCCGTGTTAGCTTGAAGATCCTAATGATGACGCGGAAAGAAGGACGAACCGATATCTTCGTCCGCCAGCTCGTGTGACAGACCGACACGCTGAGGCTGGTGCTTCACGGAGCGGCCGTAGACAATAGCGTGCTTGAACTGGTCCTTGATCGTCCGGTGGATAGCATTACACTGATTGCGCGTCAGCAGATCCCGTCTAGCCGAGGTTAGGGGGGCCTTACGAAATCCTCGACCGTGCAAGCGTGCGATCTCAGCACAACGGGGGCCGTGTAATCGGGGGCCTTTCCTTTAGGCTTGGTGTAGATGCGACGAAGGTTGAGCTTATCCCACATCATCTCCAACAGTTCGTCGATGTTCCACCCGTGCTCGGAACTGATCGGGCAGGCGTTGGGAATCCGGTACAGCAAGTCCAACTCCTCAATCGTAATGGCATCGATCTTGTTGAGGGCATAGACGACGGGGATATAAGCGCGACTCTTGGCTTCAAGGACATCGATCAGATCATCAATGGTCGCGTCGCACCGGATCGAGATATCGGCCGAAGAGATCTTGTACTCGCTCATGACGGCTTTGATTTCCTGCCAATGCGGGTCAGCGAAGGTACACTAACATACCAGGACACAGACTCACGTCGTGATCAATATGCGTCAAGGGGACGGTGCTTGTGATGGCAATACCACCCTTATCCTTCTTCTTGAAGGTAATGTTAGGAGGCTGCTTGTTGATTCTAATACCGAAGCCCTCCAGTTCGTTCTCAATGACCTTCTTGTCGACTAGCGGCTTGTTGACATCGAGGACGATGAAGATGAGATGGCAGGTCTTGGCCACAGCAATGACCTGTCGACCACGACCCTTACCATCCTTGGCTCCCTGAATAATACCGGGGAGATCGAGAATCTGAATCTTAGCACCGTTGTACATCACTTGACCAGGGACCGTCGTCAAAGTTGTGAACTCGTAAGCAGCAGCTGTATAGAGCACCATTAGCACTACTCTCGTCGACTGCGAGTATTCACGACAAACCTTCGGAATGCTGGCCCGTCAATCTGCTCATCAAGGTACTCTTTCCGACAGAGGGGAAACCAATGAAACCACTGTCCCAGGTCAGTATAAGTTCCAGATTCCTCCAAAGCATTTTGCGACATACACACTAGCAACACCGGTACGGGCGACATCGAAACCAGCTGATTCCACAATGTCAATGACTGACACAATCATTCAACACATCCAGTATTCACTTACCACCACCGCCGCCACCACCACCGCCAGACGGAGTCAAAAGCTCTCGCTTTAGCTTAGCAAGCTTAGCCTTCAACTGTCCTGCACATTCCGTCAGCCTCGCCCTCGAACCGACCCAACATTTTCTTCATTCCATACCCAAGTGATAGGCCGTCGCCTTGTTCTTCTGAGTCCGAGCCATCTGAATAACCGATCAGTATACGAATTCTGGCGCATGAAATTTAACGGGTAGTCGGCGCGAACCTCGTCCTCGACTTGCTTGATCTACATTTGTACACACAGAAACAGTCAGCATATCTGTCTGCTATTGTGACTTTCAATATGAACAAAAACCAGGAAACAGTGACGGGCCATCCAACCTTCTCCACGGTTGTCGACATTTTGGCGGTATATATGGAGGTTCACCCCTCGCACAAGGTACAAAATCTATAAAAACAAAAAGGAATAAAACGGGAGAAGCAATTCTGCAGGATTTCCGCCCCTAGCGATCGAAACCCTTTCCAGCAGTGTTGTGGTGAGAACCAGAACGAACAATCGGTACGTCAGTCGCAATGGTGGTGGAGATACAATCTTTGAAATTGTGGCCGCCACTTCATTTGTCCGTTTGGTTCGTCACATGGCGGGGAGGCGGCCTCAGGCCATAAGGCAACCACGGTTATCGCCGGTGGCGAGTTCTTCTCCGTGACCATCCAGCAGTTGTTCCTTCATTCACAGAGCAACTCAATTGGTCGAGGGATCTTATTCATAGAGTAAGGCTAATTGCCATCCGATACAATATCACTTCTTCGCTTACTATACCTTTATTGCCTGTTGAAAGACTCGTTCAATCCCTGGGCCACATCTATACTTCTGCCGGACTCCGATAACCCAATCTACTATTAATTAGTATTAGATACACCTCGAAAAAGAAACAAAACGAGTCTTCCGTGAGCAGGAGAGACAAAGGAACAGCATGCCATACATCCAACCGGACTCTCCCCCAGTCTCCCTCAAACCTGAAGCTTCAGCTGCAGCTTCCCCGGGCAATGGCTTCGAGAACCTCGTCCAAGCTCTCAGCGACGCTCTGGGTCCGAGCTCGGGTCTCGATTCCGATGATATCGACCCTATGGACATCCTCCGCCTAATGGAACAATACGATTCCAATCCAGATGAATGGCTTCCTTTCGCACTGGGCGATCCCAAAAAGAACTATACCAGGAACCTCATCGACGAGGGAAATGGCAAAAGTAACCTGGTGAGTTTATACTTATACTACAATTGCCCACTATACACGTTCACGTTAGTAATAAACCACTGCAAAAGCAACATATACTAATCCCAATACCCACAGTTAATCCTAGTCTGGACCCCCGGAAAAGGAAGCGCCATTCACGACCACGCCAACGCACACTGCGTTATGAAGGTACCTCGACCTCTACCCCTCCACCTCCCCTCCAAGAGTATGAAGATTAACCTCAACCAGATCCTAAAAGGCTCTCTCCAAGAAACTCTCTACGCATGGCCAGACCAAGACAAACTTCAACACGGAGAATCCTCTCCCCCGGCGATCAAAAAGGAGACCGTGTACACTGAGAACCAGGTGACTTATATGTCTGATAAGGTTCGTTCGTCGTCACATCCCACCAAGACACGCTATTCTGGTTGAATCTAATGAATATGGGTGGTGATGTAGTTGGGTCTACATCGGATATCGAATCCGGATGAGAATGAAGTTGCGGTGTCGTTGCATTGTAGGTTCCTTGCCTTTCATTCTCTTTGTTTCCTGAGCTATTGGCAGGCTTATAAGTATGATTATATGCTGATGCTAAGTGTCTGGGATAGTATATACACCCCCCAACGCAGCAACACGCGGCTTCTCCATCTTCGATGACAAGACCGGCAAGGCGAGTCATATTAAATCGTCACATCTGTATTCGGTGAGAGGGAGGCGGTGTTGAGGTCTTTGTTTTGTCTGGGGATGTGGTGTTGCGTATAACAGCGTGTCTTTCCTACTTCTTGTTTCTTTCGCCATTATCCTCGTTCTTCCTTGCAGATATACCATTCTTATTCTTAGACTGCCGGTTGGCCTTGATTGACCATCACCATTGAGCTGGCTAGATTGTTACGTTGGCGTTTACTATTACTACACTCAACTAGGCATGTGTTCTTAGAAGAGGAAGGGGGTGCTAATTCTATAAATTCATCACGCTTCATTGCAAAGGCAAAACTACATTATTAATAATAAACACAAAGCGATATTTGTCGACTCAGTCTCGAACAAACAAGACAACAGAACGATAACGCGCTCCTAATGTATGGCATAGTGACAGTTTGTATCCGCAAACGAAACAACAACACTGCAAATGGATGCATATGCATATGGTTAATAAGAAGATACTGTACACTGCCAGACAGAGATGAAGGAAGGAAGGGAGGAAACAAAGAAATAGGGGATAGGAAGAAATGAGAATAAAACTGAGTAAGAGAGGACGTAAGAATAGTGCAACACCCAGCTCGGCTGAACACGAACACTGCGAGAAATAACAAGATGGCTCAATAAGAACATGCACACGTATCATAACCTAGGAATCCCTGCGTCGATGACTCGCCAAGATCCGCTCAAGAAGCGAATCTGGATTGTCTAATGCTTCGGACTGACGTCGACGAAGTTCTTCGAGGCTGGCTAAAGGGTTCTGTAGATTTCCAATATAAGTACGTCGCTCGAAGGAGGTGCAAAAAGATATCAACCGTGATACCCACCCAGTCCTCCTGGTTTGGCACACCCTGTGCGGGCGGGAGTAGGTCTTGGTCCGAGTAGTCTTCACCTGGACCAGGTGGCTGCCTTCGGATGGGAGCTGGGGTTACAGGGAGGCTGGGACGCTCTTCTTCGCTAGGGAAGTCGGTCACCCGCATATTGGTCCAGCCGAAGTTGAACCCTCCTTGGCCGGGTATGGTCTGTCCTGTGCTTGACGGGCCGCCAGTGAGCACTTGCACTCTGCCTCTGCGAGCTTGTTGCAGGGATTGGATGTATCTTTGGATCTCTGGCACCTCGTCCCATACATTAGACCGCGAATACGTGTCCCAGGATTCGGTCGGCTCCTCGGAGGCCCAGGATGTCAGTCGAGACGCAAGTGATGGGCCTGCCTCGTATTCTGTGGATTCCAGGAAGGATCTTGGGATGGAAAATGTCGCCGAGCTTTGATCATCTTCTGGAAACACGCGGGTTGGTCTGGGCGCATGAGTTTCCCAGGGAAACAGCTGGGCGAGCTTTTCAGGCTCTGGTGGTGTGTTAGGTACTTCATAATACATGTTCTTAGGTGCTTCCGGATAGGATTCTGGAGGCTGGAAAAGCTGCTCATCTTGCGACATGGTGTAAGTTTTCTTTGCCAAGGCAAACCCTTCTGGCTTCGTGTTCAATGGTGGAGGTTCCCTAGAAGCGTAAGCAGTTATTTCAAGGTAGACTGAGTTTTCTTCTGCTCACTTGGACGCATCCCATTCTGCCTTGGGTGGCTCAAACGAAGTCTGAACTTCGGGTTTTGGTGACGCCGGTGCAGGTGGCTGCTCAGTTGCATGGACTGTCTCTGCATGATGTTGATGGAACTGGGGGTGGGTATATGAAGTCTCTGAGGTAGTTGTTGGTACAAATGATGATACACTAGCTTCATGTGCGTGCAGTGGTGCCTCGACCTGCGCTACAAAGGATGTCTGGCCTGAGTGAGGGTGTATATATGCAGTAACATGCTCTTCCCCACGAACGTACCGTGGAACGGCACTTATAATCGGTGCTGGTACACTTTCAGTCGCATGCTGTTCCTGTCGCACGTCTTCAGTGAATTGTCCTGGTCCTGAGACTGTGTGCTCTTGAACTGGAACTGGGCCCGTTACACTTTGCTGAGGAAGTACCTGATGGACTTCATGGGCTTGATGCACTTGGTGGATTTGATGTACTTGAGGAACCTCGTGTGCAATGTGGCTATGATAACTTGGCGTTGATGCTGCTTCCTGAGTTGGCTGGAATGACTGAGGTGGCTGAGTGGGTGCCTCCAGCTGAGGTTGCTGTGAGGGATGCGGTTGTGCTTGTGCTTGTGCTTGTGCTTGTGCTTGTGCCTGCGACAGTGGCTGAGAGTGCATTCCAACAGGTTGACCATGGAAAACGTGCTCCTGGTATTCCCTGTGTGGCAGCTCTTGCACACCCCCCCGGGAATCCCAAGACTCCTGTTGGGTAGCCATCTCCACCTGAATTGTAGGCACAGTCTGCGTGGGTTGGATTGGCTGGGTTGGCTGAGTCGGCAGCTGCGAACATCATTAGCTCGAAGGTCCCATGCAGAAGACTGAATGCCAATGAGTGGACAAGTGCTGATACTCACAGTTACGGTAGGACGATAGTGCCTATCATAGACAGCCCACCATCTCCCCAGCAACTGGTTATATGGTGAATGGATCGGATCCACCTGTCTTGCCATGTTCCATGGTTTCTGCGCTCCAATGAAGTGAATCATGCTGATAGTACTCTGAAAATGCTTGTAGGCTGGGATGTACTGATAATTTGCGCTGGGCGTGCAATTGTATGCAAAACTCAGTCTGTGCCAATCGCGGAAGTGCATATTCAGCAGCCCCTGGTCGGCACCGTCGAAGCTGATGCCTCGCTCTGCCAATGCTCTGAGAGCATGATAGTCTTGTAAGTTGGGACGCAGCACCATCACGCCGCTATTGAAACAGTCCGGCCAGCCCACGTCCGGAGCTGCCGCGAAGTCCACCTCCAATTCCAAGAGCTCATCGGGAGCTCTGAGAGCCACCACATCACAATCAATGTAGACAATGCGCTTGTATTGTATTTGGCGCCAGAGCTCGATCTTCGTGAAGGTTGCGATCAAGTCCGGCCGGTCCATGAGCCAGAGATTCGCTGGGGTGATGTTTGTTAAAGGATGCACAGGTATTAATTCATCATAAACGGCCTAATGAGCGCATGTCAGTGATGGCACTGTGAAGTGAATTTTGTTTGGTGTGAATTGAGCATGCGCGCACCTGAAGCTCCTGGATGGTCGCTGGCTGGAGGCTATCCGGAGTGAATAGAGCCACCAGCTTCGCTTTGGCGCCATTGTCACGCAAGGAATGGGCCAGAACTGTGGCGCCTATAGACCAGGTGATTGAGAGATTAGAGGCGAAGCTCTTGAAGTTGGCCAGAAGTCAAGGAACATACCTGGGAGATAATGATCACTTAAGAGAAGCTGTGAACCAATTAGTAGCTGGCAACGTGACCTCGGGTTGGAAGGCGGAAACATACCGTGCAATAGACTGCACCTTCTTGAACCATTGTCGTGCTTGTCACGCCGCGCGAACCGCGAGACCACCAGCTTCTTGAAGGGAACGAGGTGAGGGACACCAAAACGAGTGTGGAGTGCACGAGAACTGGAAAGAAAGCAGGAGGAGAGCGAAGGCCGAGAACGAGGTACTGAGCTAGTACCCCCGACAAACTACGATCCCCCTCACTCGCAGGTGACGTTTGGAGCCAACCCCGCCCGCCAGCATAATAAGCAGCCGCACCAGCAGCTGCTGTCCTTGGGAGGAGGGTGTCGAGAGTGTGGACGAACCAAACTTGGTTCCTGGTCGGATTTACAGGCACTCTAGGGCAATTGATCGCGCTGGGTGAATGATGGGCAATGGGCTATTTGGTGGTTTGAAGCTTTGGGGAAGGCCCGAGGGGAAAAGGAGGCCAGACCGCGGATTGGTGAGAAGCGGCCGAGCTCAACTGCATGAGGCCGCGTCCCCGTGCCACCAACGCTTGGATCCCTCGGATCGTTATTCAACGGATGTCGGAGCAGCGGCGCGTTGGGTTGTATGACCGCCGTTTATCCAAGGAGGTGAAAGGATCTGAGATTCCGATTGCAGACCAGCCTAGAAGCCGGGCGCAAACTCAACCCCCAATGCCCCTTGCATGCCCACCCTTTCTATACCCCTGTTAAAGTCCACCGATGGCGGACACGACGCAGGGACAGAAAAAATGTGCACAACGCTGTGCGTACCCTGCTCTAGTGGAACAAAAGTCGCAGGACAGTCGCGACGACCAAGCCAGGGGATACGAAAATAGCAATTGAAGCAAACACAATCTGAATCACGAACGCTGAAGACAAAGTCCACCCATACATCATCCTGGTCAGATTAGCTTAAGACCTGCTTACTTCCGGAGCGTTACCACAGCCTTCGGGTAGCAAGCCTTGATAACAGCCCCAATGTCCTCCTTCTCGCCCTTGACAGCCCACTCAACCGCCTTTTCCAACGCAACCTGGCTTTCGCGCTCCAACGGAGTGAAGTGTCCCGACAGAGGCAGCTCGACAAGGTGACTGTTCGTGACGAGATAATCCGAGATCCCATCCAAGCAAATCTGCGGCTCCAAGGCAATGTCGGCCTTGCCCCAAAGGATGGTTGCACTGGCCTTCAAGGCGCCCTTGGGTCCGTCGTCAAACAGTCCAGTCCCGTTGCTGCCACTGCCATTGGATGCGATGCTGTGCAGGTCGGTAATCGTCTCAACAGTCTTGTTCCAGAGCGCGATAGAAGTCCCATCCCTGTAGTAGCAGGCCATATGCTGAAAGCTGGACGGTGCGCGCTCATTCTTCAGCGAAGCCGGGTATTCCTCGCCATCAGCAGTCTGGGTGTCGGATTCCGCAATTGACGGGCCCATCGTGCTTGCCAAACACTCTGCAGCATCTTCTGAAGTAAATTCCCGCTTTCCGTAGGAAGACCTGTGAATGATTTTCAAGAAGGAATAGTACCCTCCCCTACCCAAATACCGAACGAGAAACATGGGAAGCTGGAAAGCGAAGATATACTTAGACCTCCACAGTTGCCGATAAACGGGACTCAGAGTCGAAAACGCCTTAGAGAACATGGAGCGAGAACTAATCGGATCGCGCGAAGCAGTCTTGACCATCTTGACCGATGTGGAAACCAGACGACGAACGTTGGCAACAGAAAGTCGAGGCTAGTCCTATTAGCACAACAAGAACACGAAAACGAAGCTTTGAGGTAGCATACCAACGGCCCATTAGTCAAGATAAACCGGTCCGCCAACTGAGGAGCTTCAGCAGCAAGTCGCATGGAGACAACACAACCCCAGTCGTGCGCGACAATAGTCAGTTTCTTCTGACGGGGGCCAGCTTCAGTATCCACGCCATATTTGGCCCTGATCGCAATTATGAATTCCGTCAAGCTCTCGAGCACATTGGTGGCGGTGTATTCGTCAAAGCTATCACTGCCTCCATAGCCGGGCATGTCCACTGCAATCAAGGTCGCGGACTCTTGAAGGGAAGATGAGCTTAGGATATGGCGCCAGATGGCCCAGCTGTCCGGGAAGCCGTGGATGAAGACAACCACTGGCTTATCCTGGTCCGTGGCTCCCTGATCATTGCAAACATAATGGAATTTGAAGCCATTTCGCAGAGTGAGTATGTGATGGGCGAAACCCGACCAATCTTTCGACAGATTCCAGAGCTTATCGCGTGCTGAATTCGTCAAATGCAATCAATCAGCTTAAACTCATACTCCAGGTGAATACACCCAACACAACACACTAAACTGAAATAGCACATGTACTTACCAATCTGCAACTCCAGCTCCTCCTTCTCAGTGGGCTCCTTGAAGAAATACCCCAATTTCACAGCTACAAGCCCATAGTAAAGAAGACCAGTAAACCCATACGCCAGCACCACAAAAGATTTAAACTTATTAAGCAGCCAAACCGCCATGATGCGAAACAGTCTCGAGCAACTATACCAGCGCTCGGTTTCAACGGGTATCCTAGGACGACGAAAAGAAGAGGGGCCAGAAGAAAATCAGAAGGAGCATTGGCGGATCCTTCGAATTTATATCAGGTCAGAACAATGATAACCCACCTGCCGGACTAAGCCGAATCTGGTCTTAAAGGGGGTGGAATCGTGGTTCTTGGCCTTGGGCATGGTGGTGTGGGCGTGCACTGAAACTAGTCCGATGGTCGTCCGTCTGGAAGTGGTCTCCGCCACCACTGCGGAGAGCAACGCCGGTGACCTAATTTTCCCGCTCTGCTGGACCCGCAGCATGTGAAGAGGACCACAATTGATTAGGCGTCGTCTCAGGGCTAATTTTTATTCATAAGAGTCGGCACCCCGTCCCAGGGTGTACATCGCATGCTTGCATAAAGTTTGGTACATAACCGTTATTCCGCCACCATATACATACAACGGCTAAAATGCAATACTGAGCAAAGATAATTCGTGTCGTCATAGCAAAAAGCGCCCGGACTCCGTAGATATCATACGATCGTTAAACATCAGGGATATAAAATAGACATGAAGAAAACGCTGGCAGCCATTATACGTGCTAAGGCGAAAACCCCAGGTTTGGCCTATTGTCGTCTACTAGACGTCCGTACCTGTCAAGTTTAGCGTCAGAAATCACAGTGAGGTATGTGAAGAGTTCACTTACTCGAGTAGTAACCTGAAAAACCAAACCTCCATGTCTTCGTTGCGAAGAGCTTTCTGCGCCCATTCCCGGCTTTGTCGGGCGAGTCTGGGTGCGATCACCTTGCCCTCATCTTCTAACTCGAAGTACCGGACGGCCTCGAGATAGTCATCTCCGGTCAGGCTCAGAGGTACGTAATGGGCCCAGGGTTTGAGCCACTCATCATGCCATTCGTGGAAGATGGATATCTTATAAACCAGGCTTTTGCTATGCAGGAAAGCATAGAAACGACCGCTGAAGGCATTCCCGTCCATGTCTAGCAAGTGCTTGTAAGCCCAAGCATCTTGCTGATCGACTGGTTCCGCAACGTCAAAGTACTCCCTCTGGGCGGCACAATCAACCTCGTCACATTGGCCAATGTAGGTAAAATGAACGTCAAAAAAGTCGGCAAAAGAGTTTCGGCCAACGCCCCTGGCCTTCCATTGGCCTTTTTCAGATTTGGAGAGCACTTTGGCCGTATTCAAAGCATTGACGTTGCCGACAAATAGCTGCCGATGCTGCCGCCGCCAGCCTCCAGCTCTTGAGTACCCTCCGGTCGTTGATCCCCTCCAGTACATCTTGTCCATCTTCTCTTCCCACTCGAAATCCTTGTCTCCCTCGTAAGGTACCTGGTCATCGTAGTACCAGGGGCTAGGGTAGAGGATGTCCTGGTAACTAGAGATTTTGCTTTGCGAGAAGACTGGAAACAAGTCATGTACAGCCTCAAACTTGTTCGGTCGGTCGAAGAAGCCGTATTTGTAACGAAAAGAAGGCGAATTGCAGATGTCTGAATAGGCGGTCGTGTTGTAGATGAACCCTAGTTCACCATATGCATACGAGTTGGTATTGTCCGCTGCTTGCTCATCAAGAGACCGAACTGGGCTGTCGACTGGGCAGGAAGACCGAGAATAACTCCAGGTGGACTGATGAGTGAACCGGTTGAAGCGGGTGGTGCGCACCTCGTCAATGCGATCACCTTTGTTCAGATCGGCCGGTCGATCAGACCATACATTCGTTGGCATGGTATTCGTAAAAGTGTCTCGGGAAATCCGATCTTTAGCAATAGCTACCAGCCTCTGAAGATCCTCGCTAGGTACGATGACTCGGGGCTCGTCGAGGGCATTGAACACAAGATCCATATCGGGTAGATACTCGACAAATTTCTTGATCATCTTGGCAGTGGCACTGCGCTGCCAGCTCTGCTCATAAGCCCCTCCTTCGACCAAAGACACTGTACCATTCCTGATGAGTACCCCGATCATGGAATTGTCGAAGCCCAAGGTCTCCCGGGCCCGCTCACGAATAGTCTTCGGTTCGAGGGCCCAGAAGGGCAAGAGTGCATGATAGATCGTATCATATTCATCGATTAGCTGCACCCCCCTATCCTTGGCGAATTGGAACCACTTGTCAAAATGCGGGGGAGGGTGCATGTTGTAGCGAGAGCGATATTCGGTGACCGCCTGGGCCAGAGTCTTCGATTGGCGTGACAGGAGCCGATCGGAATGCTGCTCAGCATTCTCGACAAGCGATGCAATCGGATGAATGCCGTCTGGTTGAGCAACCTTGCGGTTAGTGGACTGCTCGATAAGCTGCGCATCGGGCGGGATTGAGGGCCTCTGAAAGATGGCTGAAGGACGAGGATCCGGGGAAGGAAAGACATTTGCTGTAGGATAGGAATTGGAGCCTCTGAAGTAAATGAGAAACAAGGAGACCAGAACAAAGGTCCCAAGCCAGACCACAAAACGTTGGGTTCTCATCCTGCCATCAGGTAGCTCTATACATGAGAAGGACGACTGTTGTTTGTAAACAACGGGAACTATCTAGTAGTCTCCGGCGGTACCTGATGGATGCAGGAGCCTACTTTCCTGACGGAGGCTGAAGCCACGAAAGTCTGGTAGAGAATTGGAGAATGGTCAATGATCAGAAGGTTCCACAAATCGGTGCCTGAAAATCAGAGGGATCAATCTTCTGGGCCAAGCTTGCAGACCTCATGGAAGAGGAACGATGACGCTACCGGCCTGAAACCCAATCGGCCGTCCCTCTGGCAATCCCGCGCACTAACCCCTTTGGGGAACCTGTTGTTGCCGTGTCTCCAAGCCAAAATATATTATGCGGCAGAGATCTGCCTCACGGCTTACAGTATTATTCAGAAGAGGGACTGAGTTTGTTGTAGATTAGATTAAATTAAGATTACTTTGTAAGGTCTAACTAAAAATGATTTTTGGATCCCGCCTGCACCAAGCTCGTCGATGTTCTTCACAGGCTTCGCCAAAGCAACGCCGAAGCAATGCCTAAGGCTTCATAGTCTTTGCCGGAGGCGCAGCATGCTCTCGCAAGGCAAGGTTCGACTCGCTTCCCAGATCAATGCCTCCTTTAATTTCCTCCAGGCTTGACCGGCGTCGACGATGCATACGAACCCCGAGGAGCAGGAACCCGCCAAGGGCAACGAGCCCAGTAACAACAAGGGTCACGATGGCTCCAATAGCCCCTGCAACAGCAGGGCTCATGGCTTTGCTTTTGGAGTTTGTTTTTGAAGCAGATGCACCAGGTTCGTTGCTCAGAACGCCAGGGCAGAACACGGACGACGAATCACAGGTGAGACACCATTCTTCTGTCGAATTGATTGAGAACGCTTCCATTGCAGCCTTGAACTCGCTGTAAGGGATTTCGATATTGCTGGGACTGTGGCCGAAAAGCGGGTATGATCGGAATCCTGGAGAGGTTGTCCCATTGCGCAAGAGGAATCGCACATAGAGCTGAGACGGATCAGGGTACGTCGGGAATGAAGCATTCTCCAGGCTGAAAAGTTCAAAGGTCATCGAGGCTCCGAGCGCAGGGCGGCCATAGAAATTCTCATTTTCTGATGTTAGTTGCGTGAGGGATGCAAGAGCGACGGCAGGTTCAAAACCTCCGAAGAGGAGTGTCATCTTTCCACTGCTACCCCGGTAGAGGACATTGGTGTCAAATGCATCCAAGATGTGACCAGCCAATGTCTGTCCTGCAATCGTACGGATAGCGCCACTGTCAATTGCGCTCGATGACTCCGTGTTGCCATTGGTTGCGAAGGTATACTGGTCAGCATACCAGTGCGCGCGCACTATGTCCTCTTGACTAACGGTGTGCAACAGGGTTTCGTTGTGTAAGAGCTGATACTCCAGGTATTCGGAGACAGAGATGGCATTCGCATAATTGACCGAAGAACGATCAAAATCGCCGGACAAGGCCTGGTCGTAAAGACGATTGTAGAACGCTGCCGACTCCTGCATTATCTGCTGAGTTCCAGAGTCGAGCTGGTAGCCCGCATCGGCGATTTGATGCAGGAGACAATTATCTTGACCCGCCAGTACGACCGACTGGGGGTCGTCCGAGCTCACGGTGATAATTCGTGGGTATTGATACCCACCCATAGGAGCAGTCGCATAGGTTCCGTTGGCCATGAGGTATGATGGGTCGGGATATTGCACATCGTAGGTTTCGTTGAGAGGGGGGTATAGACCCTGCATAAAAGCCTGAGCGGATGCAATGACCGATGGATCGGTAGTGGAGAGGATATCCAGATCTTCATCTTCTAGCGCATACGAAGAGATGCTCTCGATTCTCGTACTCGGGCTGACGTCGGTCGAATGAATTGCGACATATCGATCTCGGAAAGCAGACCCGGCTGCATAGAGTCCGTTGGCTCCATATGGGGTCAGGATATTCGGACGAGGCAGGGCTGTTGGGACACGGTCCCCATATAGAGTGTAGGCGAACACAGCCCAGACCTGCTCCTTCAGGTCTTGGGCCGAAACTCCCGTAGTTGCATGCAAGATTGTCGCAAAAGCGACCAACTGGCGCGAAGAGAGCATTGCTTAGGTATTGAAATCAATCTTTCATGAAGGCAGAGAACTTCATTCGACAGCTATGAGTAAACGAAATCTACTAGAATCACACCAACGAACGCAAAACTAGTAGTCAACGGTGGGGGAGGCCCATATAAGAAGACCGCACCGAAGGTTGCATCGTTCCAAGTCAGGTCAAAGTGAAAGCGATGAACCTGCGGGGGGGAGGACATGGAATATAGGGCGAGGTGGGTTCTGGAGGTGTCAAAATCCAGGGCCCGGTCCGTGTCTGGACTCTTGCAATGGAAGTTTAACTTCTGGTAGACAGAAGGACGTAACGGCGCAAGTATCTTGCACCGATACGGGAACCACGGATATGGCTTCCTCCATCAGGGAACTCAAGAGTTATGAGGAGGCCACCAGAATGTGATCGTACCCATTACACACCTACACTTTCGAGACACACAGACAATGAACTATTGCACAAGGGAGTCCTCTCGATGTTGCCACAGAGATAGGTAGACATCTATTAGTATCATTTATGGCACTCTGCGAAGATGGTTCCCGACCTGTAATCGCGCAAGTATCATCTCAGTTATTTGAACAAGCAACCTAGAGCACGTCAGTCTGTTGCAATGGTTAGCACATAAAGCCTGGGAGAAGTTGGGAGTCTATGACGCGTGGACGAAGTAGTATTGGATGGAAGTAACCCTGGCTGGAGGCTACCACTGGGCGCGTAGAGGTGAATGATACACCACGGAGCAGTCGCAAGGTGTGTGTAGGTTGTAGATAGGTACTATACGAGTACCTGGGAGAGGGAAGGATGAAAGATCCTGAAAGATCTAGGAGTGTTTCGAAAGAAGATGGGTTGGTCCCGTGCCCAGGCAGCCAGGCAGAGATGCCATTGGTGTGGTCGGAAGACGGTCGGAAGAAGATACGGCATGCCAGACCAGAACACAATCTCTCGCTCGCTCTCACTCTCTATGTAAAAGCTCCAAGTAACACCGGAATTGGGATAGATTCCGAGCAACCCTCCGTAACCTAGAGCGAAGAATGCATGGACCAGACCTAGTCTGAATGGTCGTCCACCCGGATGGAGCTGGAACCCACAGCCGAGCCAGCAACCGGCCGGGCGGCGGGATGGAAAAATCTGAGGGGGCCATCGTCAACCTAACACTTCCCAAAGCCCTACGCCTGCGCCCTACCCCTAAGCCCTCATTTCTGCTCTTGGAAGTCAACGCCTATCCCTTCCATCAGAATTGCCCGTAACATGGTCGACACAAGAGGTACAGACCCGTCTCTCGACGAGGCGGCCTCTTCGGAGTTGCCTGTTCCCTCTGTGACCGAAACCGCTGCTGATGGTGAGTCGCCTGCGCGCCCTCGCAAAGCCTCTCTTTCTCCCGGCCTCCGGCCTCTCCTGCCAGCACCAGGACCCCAGAACCCCCCTGGGCGAACTCCCAGCCTTTTATAGAGACCATTTTGCATCACCTGTTTGCTTGCTCATTCAATGCTAACGCGTTACCATGGTAGTACCCCCTAAAATGTCTCATCCTCTCGAGGAGGATGACGGCTCCCTTTCACCGCGGGCCTCCAAGAAACGCCGTTTGGAAGCCGACCCAGGCGACCTTTCACTCCCACCACCCCCGCCCGCATTAACGCCAGACCAAGCCCCAGGCAATCAGATTGAAGAAGAGCTGGCCTCCGCGCTGGGTTCTGGTGTGGTTGATCCCGTGGAGCGGCCGGTGGACACGCCCGTTCCGATTGAAGGGACCGCGGAAGGCGCCGTGCCACCACCGGAGAGCAGTGCCGACATCGATTCGGACATGGCCACGGTGATCTCGAGCATCATGAATCACGCAGAACGGGTAGAAGAACAGGTTGTGATCGACCAGCAGCAATTGGTGGATACTGCCAGTGCATCGCCTCCAAAGGGCATGGTGTTTGTCAAAGCCAACTCGCACCTGAAGATCCAGAGTTTGCCTATCCTTGACAACTTGGTAGGTTAGGTGTTTTTTTTGCAGATGCCAATTTTGGTTTCTGAATTCTGACGCGCTGTTCTGGTTAGTCCACTCAAATCCTCTCGCTGTTGGCCAAGTCCTCGTACCAGGAGATCACCTCCTTCGTTTCCGAGCCTGAGACCGAAAGTGGCCAGGCCTACGCGACTATGCGATCGCTCTTCGACCATACGAAAAAGGTCTACTCCAGCAAAAAGTCTTTTCTTTCGCCTACGGAGCTGGAGCTCACCGAAACCTCACAAATCGATATTATTCGCAAAGCCAATCTGGCCTCGTTCGTTTCTAGTATCTTCGGCACTCAGGAGATTGGGTTTTCGGAGTTGAATGATAATTTTCTCGATGTGTTTGTCCCAGAGGGTGGTCGTCTACTCAAGGTGCAGGGCGCATTGTTCCTGGAACTCAAGACTCAGGCGTTCATCGCATCGATGAACAACTCCGAGCGAACGAGAACCGAGCTGCTTTACGACCTGTTTCCTGATGAGCTGGAGCAGCACCTGCTTGATCGGCGACCTGGAACTCGCCAGCTAGCTCCCAGTGAAGCCGACTTTGTCAAACGGGCTGGTTCGCGCCGGGACATTCTTCTGAGCGATGTCAACAACGAAGACGCCATGAAGGCCTTGCCGGATAAGTACCACTGGGAGGACTTTCTTCGGGACCTGAGCTCCTACATCACAAAGAACTTTGATACCATCAGCAACCAACAGGTTTGGATCCCTATCATTCAATCACGCCTTGCATGACTGTCACTAATGAAGAGCCAGGCGAAAAAGACCGCCAAGGGTCGACAACCATCCTCGTCCGATGGAGACTCACAGCCGCCCAACGCCCCCCTACAAGGCCAATTCCCGGTCTCCACACAGCCGCCTGATGTCCCGGTTGATAGAAACATGCACGGTGACCTCGTTGCTCGTGCGGCTCGTGCGGCGCAAATCGCGCTGCAAGGCCACGGCCTGCGGCGATCCCAACAACAGGCGCAACAGAACCAACAACAACCACCGCAGCAACCACCGCAGCATCACCAGCAGCACGCGATGCACCAACCCCAACAACTGCAGCAACAACCGCCTCAACATACGCAACAGCCGGGGGGTCAGATCCTGCACGGTTATTCTGCGGCCCAGCCAACCGGTCAGATGCAACATCAGCAGGCCCACCAGCAGTCATACCATCACAGTCCCGCGCCGTCTGGTTATCAGCAGCCGCCCGGGCAACTGACATTCCAGCCAAGTCCTCTGCAGGCGAACTTCCAGCAATACAATCACGTTACGCCTGCTTCGATCCCGAGACCCAACTCGGCAGCCGCCAACCATGGCTACATGCCTGGCATCCCCCACTATTCACAGTCCCAGCCGACTCAGGTGCTGTATGAGCGCGCGCGCATGGCAGCCTCCGCGAAGTCCTCTCCCAGCAGCCGCAAGTCTGGCTTGCCAAGCCAGCGTCGACCGTGGACGACTGAAGAAGAGAACGCTTTGATGGCGGGTCTGGACCGGGTTAAGGGCCCTCACTGGAGTCAGATCCTCGCCATGTTCGGGCCTGGTGGCACCATCAGCGAAGCGCTGAAGGACCGCAATCAGGTCCAGCTCAAGGACAAGGCGCGTAACCTCAAACTGTTCTTCCTCAAGAGCGGCATTGAAGTTCCGTATTACCTGAAGTTTGTCACGGGCGAGCTGAAGACGCGCGCGCCCGCCCAGGCCGCCAAACGCGAAGCCCGCGAACGGCAGAAGAAGCAGGGTGAGGAGGACAAGGCACATGTCGAAGGCATCAAGGGGATGATGGCGCTTGCCGGGGCACATGCTCAGCCGGTTGGACTCGGCCACGGCCACGACATGTCGGCGTCGCCCCTGCCGCCCGATGCTGGGGCCCATGCGGCGTTTGATCAAACAGCCGAGCAGAACCTGATGCAGACTCTCGGCCAGGAGGTGCATGGCGAGGCATTCGGACAGCATCACCACCACCATCACCACCATCATCAGCATCATGCTCACCACCAGGACCACGTGGACCCGAATATGCATCTCGGACAATGAACGGTCGTCATTGCTCCTTTGTTTTTTCCTTCTGCTTTATCTTTCTTGCCACTGCTCACGTGTATCAAAATGTGCCTCTATGCGTGTTGGTCTTTTATTCTAGCGATTGGAGTGATTTCCAGGGACATGGGGACCTGAGGTGTAGGTCGTTGATGTTGGTTGTTGGGGAGACGACCGTGTCGGAGTCTGGGCTGTGTAACAATATATAGTAATTTCCGTGACAGCGAGGATGTGCAGCAGACTGTATTCTACGAATGTATGCTTGTCTCCTACGAAGCTCTGCAAGTCCGATGGAAGTCTCCTCGTACCATTGTAGAAGAGGGCAGTTGTCGGGCCGAGCGCGGGCGAGACGAAAGACTGTCCGCTCCGGCAGCTGGAGCCGGGCCAGGCGTCGTTCCTCCACGGTCCATGATTCTTCTTCCACCACTGCACGTCTCGGTTCATCCACGCAGCAGGGCAACACGCAACCCCCCGGCCCATTGTCTGACCGCCGCCGCCCTTTCATTCACCATTGGGCTGTTTTGGCCACCCTCCCTTGCTCACCAGCCACCACCACCACTACCACAGTACCACCATGGCCGAATCATCGTCATCGCAACCACCCCCTCCAGCTGCAGCGTCAGCTCCTTCAGCTTCGCAAGAGCCCTCCTCCACCACTCCCGGCCCAACCACTGCTTCCTCTTCCGCGACCGTGATCCCCAAACAAGAACCAGACACCGCTGATACCTCCCTGGATGTACCGATCGACCAGGACATGGATCTAAACGCCGGAAGCAACACCACCATGACCAACGCCAACCCCTCGGAAGACGCCGCTGCGTCAGGCAATGCCGTCCCCGCGCCGACCTCTGTGGATGCTCTGGCAGCGGCCGCCGCGCCATCGAAGAAAGAAACCAGCTTGCGGGAATTCATGGGCAAGATGGACGAGTATGCGCCTATTGTAAGTTCCTGCTGATGTCCCTTTCGCTCGCCTACACTCACTCCTATTCACCTCGTAACACCCTGATCGGTACTACCTCATGCTTTTATCTAACGAATTTCTCTCTCAGATCCCCGATGCCGTCACAGCCCACTACCTCACTCTCGCCGGTCTCCCACCACCAGGCAACGGCCCCAATCAAACCCCGCCACACCTCGCCCGTCTCCTCGCCCTAGCGACCCAGAAATTCATCGCCGATATCGCTGCCGATTCGTACCAGTATGCGCGCATCCGCGCCTCCAACAGCTCCTCCGCCAGCAACCCCATGGGCAGTCTGAATGCCGCGTCGGGGCTGAACATGCCCGCCGGTGCTGCAGGTGTGGGTTCTGCGGGCGCTGCGGCCGGCGTGGGAGGTGGCGATGCAGGCAAGGGTAAAGCGGGCACGCATCTGGGAATTCAGCGACCGGGTTTCGGCGGCGGTGGCTCGGGCGGTTCGGGGCAGGGGCGGACGGTACTTACGATGGAGGATCTGGGAATGGCCGTGTCGGAGTATGGTGTCAGTGTCAAGAGAGGGGAGTTTTACCGGTGATACCTTGATGTGGACTGCTGACATCCGTATGACACGGTATTCTGGCTGATGAACCCGACCCCAGTTTGGGATGGGATGGATGGTTAGCATCGGTTCTGTTTTATATTTGCTGGCGTAAATCCTGGGCGCGGCCGAACGATATCCTGCATTGGGCCGAATATGAAATACAACGGAGTTAGGGCGTTGGACCGGTTGCTAGTGATGATCAAAGGGGGAAAAAGAAGTGATAGAAGTGAATTTTGAGTTTGTTAGTCCATTTGACTCCGTGTCTAGTTTACATGCATGTTACTTATGGAGTGAAGTTCCATGAGTATGAAGTGAAAACGCCAATACAAGAAATAACCATAGCAATGCAGGTACCTCATCACCTGGCTGTCCGAGCTGGCTACCTACCTCACATATACCCAGCAACCACTGAGCAATGCAGAGCAGTAGAATACCAGGTTCGAACAGACAGCATAACCCACCGCTCCAAAGCAGCCCAACCCCATCTATTTGTTCTTCGACTGCTTATACGTAAACCTCTTCCGAGTCCTATCCAGAAACCAGTTAGCCTTCATCATCACACCACTTCCCTTTCCTTTCCCTCCCTCTCTCCCACACACTCCCCAAAACAAAGAAAAAGAAAGAAAGCAAGGCAGGGAAAATCTCACGCCACAAACTCCCCCAACTTCCTCCCGACCATCTCCTCGGTAATCAACACATCCTGGTAAATCTTCCCATTATGGATGGAGAACCGCAAGCCCACGAAATTCGGCAAGATCGTGGCGCCGCGCTTCTGCGTCTTGATCGGGGGCGTTCCTGGGGGGGCGGGGAGTTTGCGGGGGAGGGGGAGACTATATTTATTCTGTTAGTATTTGAGTTTGGTTATTTGGTGGGGGAGGGAGGTGGGAGATAGGGTTGGGTGGCATGGATTGGATTGGGTCGTAGGAAGGGAGGGAGGTAGGATTTGTTGGTATTGCGGAGATTGGGTAGGAGGAATTGGATGGATGCGAAACGTACGGGACGATGTTCGGGCCTGAATGTTTTTCATTAATCTTAGCTTAATCTCGTGGATGATGGATGGATGAGATGTACCTTTCCAGACGGACCGGCCCAGAAGGGCACGCGTGGGAAACATTTTCGCGGTGGACGGTGGTGAGCGTAGACTGGCTGGCTGGCTGCGCTGCTGGAATGCGGTTTGCGATGGATGGGTTTGAGGCGGTAGCGGCGAGCGTCGGAGGTGTGATTATGTAATATACATTTTATGCTTTATGTGTATAATGGAGGAGGGAGTATAGAGGGTGGATGGAGTGGAGATGGGGGTATGTATTACTCTGGATTGTATTATGATGCGATGTATGTGTTTGAAGAGTCTAATGGATGTTATAAGGAGTAGGGTTTGGGGGTTGCAGGATCATTCGTGTGCTTAGATCTGTTCAGGCTCTGAAGTATGACACTACGGAGTATGGAAGATAGCTCGAGATTAACAAGATTTAAGATTGCACAGTACATATTGTGAGCCTTCCTAGCTGCTTTTCTTAGTACTGCTTGCTACTCAACGAGTTGATATCGAACTATAGGATTGATGTACATATCTCCACACTCCTTAGGTTCCTAGGTAACACCATATTGTCATAGCATAGCCGCCAGCGACTGTATGCTGTACATATCGTACACTACTCGCGAGCGAGTTCGTCCAGGATATCAATCAAGTTCCGGACCCCTTTGAGTACATTCTCGTCCGGGCCCTGGCCCGGTGTCCAACTGGCGTGCGCAAAATCAATCAGACGAAGGTCATGCACCTTCGGGGGATCCTCTTCGTCGTCTTCGTCGAGATCCCCCAGGTCTTCCAGTTCCGCCATTTCGGGGTCGATGTTGATATTGATGGCCTGGTGGGACTTGGTCCCCTGGCCAACCGGTATATCAACCACCTGGAATGACCCGTCCTGCTGGATCTGGAATTCCACCTCCTCGTCCTCGTCCTCCGACTCGGATTCCCCCCGTTCAGGCCGGGGCTTCTGTTCTTCCTCGAGCGCATGTTCCATCGCTTCCGGATCCCCCTCGTAGACGATCAAGACACTCGACGAATACATTCGGCTTTCCTCCGACTCCAGCACGTGCTGTACCTTCCGGAGTTCGTCGGCTAATCTCTGGGCAACCATCTGGGAGCGATCAACGGTCCCGGCTTTGGCCCCCGCGAGGAAGGTTTTGAAACCCTCCCGGACGTTGTTCTCGTTGAGAGCCCGTCCGTACCACTTGTCGTAGCGCTTGTAGCCATCCTTCTCGATGACCTCACCCCGCGCCCCCTCGGACCCCTCGTATTTCGTGGCATACGGGTCAGTCTTGCTCCCTTCGTCGCTCTCCCCGCTCACGCCCGTCCAGACCTTCATCCCGGCAATACGAAATCCCAGCTTCGAGCTGGTCGTCTCTTTAGAGACGATGTCCAGTTTCGCCCGCTTCGCGGGAGGCGCATCGTCCGCCCAAAGTCTTGCGCCCAGCTTCACGTCCAAGACGTTCGGCCGCTTGAACCCGGACGCCACATTCTCGAGCACAATAGAAATTCCCGTTTCCAGCTTTTTCCCGCCCGAGGGAACCCACGACAAGTCTTGCGCGGCACTCGCCGGGCCCGCGTCGGCCGCGCTGGGCTGTGCCGGTCCGGTCGGGGTGCCTGTTGCAGACGAGTAATCAGAGCCGGGGAGGATAATCGCGCCGGTCTGTTCAGCGGCTTGGAGCGCGAAGGATTGCTGCTGGTCCGCCGAGGTTAACGTCCCGATGTAGGTGGGAATAAACTCCCTGAAGGCCGGGTGGAGGGCGCTGGACTCGTAGAACGCAACTTCTTCGGGGGTGCAGGGCTTTGCGATGAAGGAGCCGGACAGAGTGCACTGGACACCGTCACTGTAATAAACACGGCGTCAGTCAGATGCGATGTCGCGGACGCAGAGCAAACGAACATTGGGTGTAGGCGGCGGCGGGATGCTGGCCATGAAGCATGTTTTCTTGCGGCAAGGGCGGGGACGCAGAACTTACTGGCCGGCGGCGGCGTGGTCAAAGGCGACAAAGCTGTCGGTGTCCAGTTTTTGAGTTTTGAGACTGTCCGACCGCGAGGATGACATGTTGGGCGTCGGGAGAGAGGGGATTATTCACTGTCCAACAGAGACCGCTGGATTCTAGGCGGCATTCCGCATGAGTTGAGTCACAGGCGATGAGGATGGAGAGCGATGCGGGAGGGCGCAGGAGAAGCCGGTTAAAAAGGGACAGGTCAAGAAAAATCAGGAAGAAAAGGAGATAATCAGACAAAGGAGAGGCGTCGACAGGCAAACAAAGGGTGGGCGTAGTTGGCAGGGAAAGGAGGGACAAGCCACAGGTGGTGGTGGGAGGGTGCGAGTGGTGGTTTTGTTCCGAGCTGAAGTGACGTGCAACCCGGAGGCCATCCTTCATGCGAGCATCCGGCTGGCCCTGGCAACCCTCGGCGGCCCGGGCAAGGTCGCACAGGCAAGGATCGCAGAAGAGATGGGAGATGAATGGCTGGCCGAGACTTGTAATCATCCGACAAGGCCGGAGGGCACCATCCAGAGCGGGCATTGTGGCCCAGAGGATGACGAGGGGCGTTCGCCGCGGCTGGTCCTCCGTATAGTACTTCGTGGTTCAATCAGCCGTTGTTTGCTTTGCTCAACCACCAATGGGCCTCTCAGCACCTCCCCCGATGTCCCACCCGATCCCAGTACAACAGTTTACTACCAGCATTACTACTATGAGGAAGTACCAGTGGCCTCGGGCTGTACCTACCTACAATGAAACCCTCCCCTTCCTCCCCCAGAGGAAACCGGCGTAACAGGAACCTCCCTCCATGGTAGTATTCACTGCCTCCATTCTTTCATTCGCACGGGTGAATCCGTGCTTTCACTGCTCATATCTCGACTGGTTCCTGTCCTTTTGTTCACTCAGGTCTCATCTTCTCTTCCATCTTTCCCCTCTCACTCTCCCTCCTTTACCAACATGTCCAACACACCGTCTCCCCAGTAGCCTACTAAGACAGCATTACAAGCACGATGCAGGACTCCACGGACACCATCAACACTATCAATGACCTCCCCCTTCGTCCTGCCAAGCCTGAAGATGCTACTGACGCTCAGCAGTCGGAGCAGGGGAAACCAGGCTCTGCTACACCTCAGTCACCCGAGGAGCAACAAGCCCAGGACCCAGTTATGCCGGTGGAATTAGGTGAGCCCAAAAAGAAGAAACGAAGCAAGCCTCGCCCCAAGAGTAAGCGTGGAAAGGTGAGCATCTCAAGAATCAGACACGACGAAGCCACTGACTGGCGCAGAACAAGCCCACCGGTTTCGAAGAGTACTACGTCGACGCCCCCATAACCCCCCAGGAGTTCGAGAACGAGAGGCAGATTTACGATGTGTAGGTACCCCTTCACTGTTCAATTAGTCAACGCTGACTGACATGTACATAGCTCCCGACCTCTACTCTTGTAAGTGACACCGGCATGTGGATGCGTGGTCCATACTGACTCGCTCAGTCGACTAGAGGATGCTCTCCTACGCTACCAGAAGAACCGTCGTCTTGAGTCGGACAGAAGAGTGGTCTTTCTGAAGTATCTGGCATATGGGGGTGTGGATATTGGTCAGAAGATGTTCGGGGGCGTGGACGGTCGTGACCTCCAGGCAATGGACAGCGAGCAGATCCTCCAAGCTAGAGCGCTAGCCAGCATCAAAAAGGACAAGTCGAACCTTGCCGTCGATTTCGATGCCGTTGTGCGCGGCTTTCTGTAAGGATCCAACCACCGGTGAGATGGAGTCAACTGACAACTGCAGGACGTCCTTCTTCCCATACTACTTCAATCCCGAAACTGAAGACATGGTCAAGCTGGCAACAGTCACCATCCGAAATTTCCTGTCCTACCTGCTCTATCATGACGTGTGTCCGGAGTACAATGAGAACATTGACCAGGCCAGGACATCGTGCGACATAGCTGCAAAGGAGTTATGGAAGAACCAGCAGTTCATGGCCAAAGGCCCCGGCGATTTTAATACAGCCTGTTCCATGCTTTTTGGCGGCGACCTCTACAATGCATGCGCGTTTGGCCATGACTGGAAACCTTCGAAGGATGATTCGCCCGGCATGACGAACGAGGCGGCCCGCAAAATCGTAAAGTTCGCCCTTGCGTGTGCAGGTGAAGACGCACAAACCCTCAGATATTTGGAAGTGGACAAGCAAAATCAGCTGGGCGCAAGGCGCATTGAGGACATAGACGGATTTGAGATCACTGCCGTGCACCCTCCCGATCAAGTCGTCTGCAGCTTGTACGATGCGCAAGCCCCTGATCTTAATGCCGTGGGAAAGCTGTTGGCCAAGGCTTACCGGGATCCCGGGCAGCCGCCTTATGACCGAAGTCCGGAGGAGGATATGATAGGATTTCCGGAGCTAGAGTTCGAATTTTTCCTGGAGGGGAGTCTGCTCCAGTACTGCTACCCGGGGATGAAAGTGATTACTCCGGTGTGGGAAATGAGCTGCGGTTTCTATTACTTCGAGGATGTGAACCGGGCGTATTGTTCTACCTATACCGTCCTGGACAACGACCTGATGCTTGGATGGAAGAAGCCAAGTGATTTGACTGGATCGCAGGATGATACGAATGATGATGGCGACGACTCCTCGGTCACCTTGTGAGCGCTTCCAGAACACTACTGGGTAGGTTTAGAAGCTCTTCGTAGGTGACCCTCAGTCTGGCTGTTACATTTACGAAAACATGGCCCTAGCGTATTTGATTTTACAGATAGTCCACACAATGTTATTCTATTCAGACATGTATTCGTTACGCATCACTACCGCTCAGGGTTTCAGAAGCGACTTGCCGGTGGTCTTTCTACCCTCTAGATCCGTGTGAGCCTGGGCCACCTCCTCTAAGGGGTAGACCTTGTGAATCTTAGCCTTGAGCTTGTTCGACAGGAGAAGCGAGAACAGCTCGTTGACGTAGTACTCAAACTCCTCGCGCGTCTCAATGTAGCCAAAGAGCTGAGGCCGGGCCACCTTGACACACTTGGGGGAGAGCTTCCTATAGAAGAAAATGGATCAGCCCGGTTTTCATCCCACCATCAATCTTGAACTTACTGCAGAGGCAAAGGAGGCACCGGGCCACTGGCATTGCCAAACCAAACGATGGTACCCTTGCGCTTAACGCACTCCAAGCTTCCCTCCCAGGTATCCTTGCCGACCGAGTCAAAGACCACATCTACACCCTGACCACCAGTGATCTCCTTGACCTTCTTCATCCAGTCCTTGCCTTCCTCACTGCGGTAATCAATCACCACATCAGCCCCTAGACTCCTGGCCAGCTCGCACTTCTCCGGCCCACCAGCCGTACCGATGACCTTTGCGCCGATGGACTTGAGCACCTGCGTCATGAGGGTACCAGCCCCGCCAGCCGCAGCATGCAACAGCACCCATTCATCCTTCTGCACGGCGTACGTCTCCTTGGCCAGAGTGATGACCGTCAACCCACTCAGGAACGAAGCCATCAGGTCCTCATCCGTGATTCCCTCGGGGATCTTGACCGTCTTGGCCATGGGAACAGCCGTGTACTCGGCGTAACCGCCGGTGCTGAGCCAGGCGACACGATCGCCGACCTGGAAGTTGTAGGGGTTGTGGCCAGAACCCAGCGCAACAACAGTACCGGCGCCTTCGCGGCCCAAGATTTCGGGCTTCGCAGAAGCGTAGAGACCGGTACGGAAGTAGGTGTCGATGTAGTTGATGCCGGAGATGTTGTTCTTTACGAGCACTTGGCCCTCCTTAGGGGTGGGGACCGGGTGGTCGGACTTGAACTCGAGGACCTCGGGGCCGCCGAGCTGCTCGACCTGGACGGCCTTCATGGTCTGGGGGATGGACATGGTGGTGAGAGTGCGGATGGGAGATGGGTTGGGACGGAGATGGGAGGTGATCGCGGCGAGACGAATTGCCGGGGACGACAGTGTTGAAGTAATGGTAGCAGAGGATCGGACCAGACGAGGGAAGACGCGATGGAGGGGCATTGATGGGGAAATGAGGGGTGGGCAGCCGGTGGGTTAAGTATATCCTCGGGCGGGGTGAAGTTCACAACGGCTATGAATTACAAAGCTCGACGGCTTTTCGCTCTGGATTTGCCGAAAGTGGACCGCAACTGAGGCAATTTGTACCGGTTCTGGAGCTTGATCCCAGCTCTTCCAGCTCCCGCAGTTTTGCATTCTTCTTCAATTGTTCTTGCGGTTGCGGATGTCGGGGTGCGGGTAGCGGATACGCTCTGACACTGGCACTACAGATGATACTGTACCTTTTTTGCTTGCTTCGAGCAAATCATCCTGATCTCGTCCATCTTCTCTGCTCGTTATCTCCATGCTCTCATCCATGGAGATGGCCCCGTCTTTATCCGACGGAGTGACGCCATCGGCAGGGCGTCCGAACCGTCGGAAGGCTGACTAAAGCCGTGGTTCCGCCGCCGACGGACCGATCCGTGCACAGCTGAGTCATGGGCACAACTGCTGCATAGATCATGAATGCATAACTCCCGATCGGGCAATGCGTTCAGGTCGCTCGCTGCCTTCATCCTCTCTTCATCCCCTCATTCACACCACCCATGGAGTCACTGCGAACAACATCACAATGCATGTCCAATTCAGCCAGACAACTCAAGGGTGCTGGTCACCGCCTCACGCTGCATATTGCCACCCATTGCTCTCCTCACCGTCTTTCCCACTGATGTCATCGCAGCTTCAAGTCCAACAATGAATCCCATCATTGGAAGCCACTTCCCAGCAACCCAGCGTCATCGGGCCAGGGAGATGCATCTCATCCCAAAGGTGGCACCAGTAGTCGACGACGCCCAATGCCGGGGTGGCCCGGGTGCTCCTCGACGGAGGCTGTGTGGCTTTGCCAGAGCCTTGTCAGCTCTCTGACTGTCGTGCCTGTCGTGTTTAGGCCAACCGCTATCAACGCCAATGCCTCGAAGTGGCGCCTTTCCCGCAGACTAATTCTCTTTTGCTCTCCCGGGCGTGCCATTGGCACTTAGTCGGTCGACGGAGGCGGGGATAGCGAATTGAGTGCCAGCAAGCCCAGCACAAGTTGTCCCACCGCTGACAGCGGCACTTGACCTCACCTGCATAGAGTCCAAGTGGGTTTCATCTTTGTCGTCTCCTGTTGACATGGCCTCAGCAGAACCATTCGTTCCCAACGCTTGACGTCTGGCCACGATCGTCGCGTTTCAGGGCTGAAGGATTGATTCGTTGCCGGTTAACGCCCAATGGTCTGAGCCCAGGCCCTGATAGGGCCCCCATCCCCAGAAAGGCGCTGCCCGACCAGGTTCCCATTGGGATGTGTTTACTTTATATAGCCTCTCGAGAAATCTCTTCGTTCTGCCCCGTTCTTAGGGTGTGTACATCAGAAACTAACCTTACTGTCGCTTAATACTTAAATCTAGCCGCTCCCAAAGGATTCCCGGACCGTCTGACGCTTCCATCTGCAAGTTGATTGACTGTTTTTTGTTCCATCTGGACCATTCCCGTGCCAATTGCTGTTTGCCGGCGCTTTTGCTATTTTTGCTCCTTTCGAGACCGTTCTCGAGTGAGTCCGACGCGACGGATATATGATGCCAACTGCCAGGAAAGTGTTTCTGATCCACCGTGCCACCGCAGGATAGCCCTCAGGACCGATACTTCCACAGGAGCTTTGCTTTTCATTGCTAAAAGTTCTTTTTCTCTGTTTCTATTACCATGTATCTTACCTCCAAGATGAGCTTGCGCTGGCGCAAGCAGACCCACTGGCCCCCTTCGCCATGTGTGGAAGACGAAGTTGTGTCGCTCTCCCGCGAACTACACGGATTGTCCCAGCTGGGGGATATGCCCGGACTCGAAGGGGTTTGCTCCCGAGGAACCGTCGACCAATACCCACTGCTTGTGGATGTGCTTTCTTACTCATTTTCCGAGACGACCGTCGTCTATGAGGACGTCCACCGTGACAGCAGCCCGGATGACAACGTAGGGCCGCCAACCCCGGTGGATGAGAAACAGGACCCGATGCTCTACATCGTCGAGGATGACCAAGCAGTCCCGTTGTCTGCTCCCCTTACGATTCGAGGGAAGTCCCATGACCCATCTAGCAAGCCAGCTGTGAAGTCGAACCCTACCACCCGAGGCCGGCCCAGAGCAGATACCAGTGCCCAGAGAGACAGCCCCAAGAAGGACACGGCCCAGAGTTCCCGGAATGCCTCGAGATCCTCTAACCTACGTACCCCTGCCGTCACCCAAAGCAAGCCGACTCCATCCTTGCCCAAGCGATCGGGGAGCGTGAAGCATGGCCGCTCCGCTGACGCCCTTGCCTCCAAATCCGGCTACCAGTCCGACTCGGCGGCAGTCAAGAGCAAGCGTGAAACGCCGGACAAACCTGCCCTGCCTTCAACAGAGAAGAAAGCTTCCACCGGACTTAGCGTGGCAGAAAGACTGGAAGAGAAGATCCGTCAGAGACAACTTCGTGCATCCAAGGAGGGCTCCGATGCCCAGAAGACCGCTGGCTCGTCTGCTACCCAATCCAGTGCCCCGGTTGAGCGTCCCGCGGAGCCACCCGTGGCACCTACAGATACTGCAGCCCAGCGAACTGCTCCAGAAACCCGTCCCAGTTCCACATCGACGCCAAAGGAACCTCCTAAGGAGCCGGCTACTGACCACCAGGCGGACGCACATGAGCCACCCTCATCCACTGCAGCTCCGGCACCGCAACTCCCACCACGCCCGCTCTTGGCCAGGTCGGCCGCCCGATCGATCTCGAGCGACCAGGGACAATCATCCGCCCAGCTGCCAGCTCGACGGGCCGTATCTTTCCTAGATGACGTGCCAAAGAGATCCTCGTCGCTCCCAAGGACTCCCGAAGATATTCCCGAGCCACCATTGCTGCCACGTCGACGGAGCTCATCCCAGGATGCTGTCCGTCAACCATCGCCCAAGCCGCAGTTCTTCCTTGCCCCCTGCCCCAGGTCGATTCCCGTCGCCGGGTACCAGGACTGGCACACAGTCAAGGGACTACCCCACTTGGCCATCTGTCCGTCATGCCTGAAGCAGATGCGCAAGTCGGAGTTCCGTGACCTGTTCATCCTGGCCAATCCCCGGCCTCGCGGAGAAATGGTCCGCTGCTCAATGAGCGAGCCCTGGACACGGCTGGCATGGATGCAAACGCTCAAGAAGCAGCTGGACAGCCTCGAATTGCTGCATCAAATCACACGGCCCGCCCTCAGCAGCAAGCCGTGCCCAGGCCGCACCATCACCGACCAGCACTGGTACCGGATCGTGGACCCAGAGACAAACTTGTACCTCCCGCAGTTCAACGTGTGCTCGGCCTGCGTGCGGAACCTACGGGTCCTGATGCCACAACACCGGGAAACATTCAAACGGTGCTCGATTAAGCAGGAACGAGCCTGCGACTTTGTGACGGACAGCCCGCGGTTCGTCCGGTACATCGACTGTCTGGACATGGCAGCGAACCGCGCCGACCAGGAACACGCCCTCCGGCCGGACGTGACCGAGTTCCTCTCCTACGCACGGCGCAAGGTAGTGCTGCGGGATTGTCGGCGGGACCGACCCATCCTCAGCACATGGCACTACATGCCGCAGCTGCCAGAGCTCACGGTGTGCGAGGACTGCTACGACGACGTGATCTGGCCGCTGGTCAAGCGCAGACAGCCCATCGCGCGCAAGTTCTCGACCACGATGCGGCTGCTCCCAGGCGACGGGCCATCCCAGTGCCGGGAGGCGAGCTGCCAGCTCTACTCGCCGCGCATGCGGGCCAAGCTCCTGGAGGCGGTGCAGCAGAACGACCTGACGTACCTGAAACAGGTCGCGCTGCGTCGTCGCGACGCGGAGCAGCGGTACCGGGATCGGGAGGAGGAGCTCCTGGTTGACGCGAGCCGGGGATACGATGTGGCGGCGGAGATGCGACGCAACGTGGAGGAGTGGAAGCGCAGCGAGTAGGACCGGGATATTGGTGTATTTGTCCGTTTGATTTGTATCTATTATGTACATGGTCAGGAACCCGCCTGTATGCTATTAGTGTTATATCATGTACATCATCCACATCATCCACATCATCCACATACTCAACCCACCACCTCCCCTATCCTACCTCCTTCACCCCCTGCCGCAGCAGCAGCAGCAGCAGCAGCCTTAGCAGCCTCCATGGCCTCCCCCACCGAAACAACCCTATACCCCCGTCCCCTTAAAACCCGCAACACCCGATCCAACACCTCCACCGTCCATCCCCTCCGATCATGCAAAACCACAATACTCCCCTCCCTACTCAACCCCCCCACATGCCAAACATTCAACCCGACCCACCCAATCTGCGCATCATGCGGATACACACTCCCCAATACAATCCGATACCCCAATTCCTGCACCATCTCCCTCATCCACCCCGTAAACACGCCCGAGCCTGGCCGAAACCATTTCCCTTTCCTTTCCACATTCGCGGACTTGTATATCTCCTTGATGGTATTATCGATGGCGGTGATCTCGGTGCGTAAGGTGGTGGGGGAGAGTTTGAAAGAGGGCTCGTCGTGCATGGCGTGGTTGCCGAGTTCCATGCCGTTTTGGACGAGGGTGGTGAGGAGGGGAGTGGTTTGGGGGGTGATTTGGTTGCCGATGAGGAAGAAGGTGGCTGTGCTGGTGTGGGTGAGGAGGGTTTGGAGGAGGAGGGGCGTGTAGGGTGAGGGGGCGTCGTCGAGGGTTAGGGCTATTAGTTTGGGGTTGTGCGGAGAGGGATTGGGGGGGAAGGGGAGCGTCCAGAGGGTGTCGGGGTAACGGGTTGCGAGGTAGTTGATTAGGGAGATTGGGGGGCGGTAGATTAGGTAGCAGGGGGTGAGGATTAGGAGGAGGAGAAGGAGCAGGGTGAGGAGGAGCATGGTTAGGCGACGGCGGCGGCGGAGGTGGTGGGAGCGGGGGTTGTTGGTGTTGGTGTTGGTGTGGCTGCGGAGGAGAGTTGTGAGGAGGGTGATGGGTGTCGCGAGGAGGCGGAGTGGGAGGAGGAGGAGCGTGGTTGGGTGGAGGCGTGGCATTGCCTAGTTTTCTTTGGTGTGGTTGTGAAGCTGAGGTGTTGGTGTTGGTGTCCCGGTTCGGAGGTGGTGGTTGTGTGATGTCTTTCGTGTGGTGTAGTCGTTGTGGTAGATGAAGTAAAGATAGGTGGCGCTAGCGAGCAGCTGTCTTTGCTCAGTCCATGATGAGCTGTGTCTGCATGGAGAGAGGAGGATGGGAGTAGTAGAGGTGAATTGTTGAAAGGAGGTGGAACTTGGATGTGGAGCGGAGCGGAGGTATGCATGGCTGGCCATGTTCCTAAGGTGTCACGGCCAACATGCTCGGCTTCAATATCAGCCAACCTATTTTACAATATTTTGCAGTTCTAGACTGATGTAAGGAGCCTGCTTGGCCATCATCTGGCCAGATATACTGTCTCGTAGTAACTTATATTTGAGTACCAAGTATCGCATCGGAATCTGAACCATCACTCCAAACTCCATTGCAAGTATACATCACCCCACTAATCCCACCACCTCTCCTGGCCATTTCTTCCCCCATACAATCGCCCGGCCTGGAACTCGTCCTCCAACTGGAGCCAGCACCCGGATCTTGCCCTTCTCGCCGTCCACGTCCGCCACATACAGGAATCCCATGATGCTGGCGTCGCGCACATCCGCTGGGCTGGCCGTCGGCCCCGCATGCGTGATGGCTAACAAGGAATTGGCCAGCCCAGCCGGTGCCGGCGCTGTGAGCTTCTTCAATGGCACGGTTGACGCCCCCGCCGGCGACACTGTCTCCTTCACCGCGCCAGCAATGCCAGGCAGCGTCGGAGCAGCCGGGCTCTCCTCCTTCTGTGGAGTCTGGTCCACATCGTTGCTGCCACCAGGAAGGAATGCATCACCAGCACCAAGTTGCGACGGGTCGTACTCGTCTTCGTCATCATCCAGAGACGCAATCGTATAGTTGTAGATCGACAAAGCCGCGAAGTCCAGCTGTTGCGCATGCGGCGACAGCGTGACGTTCGTCGTCGATGACGCCGACAGCGAAAGCGCCGCCGATGCTGTCGAAGGGATCGGGTTACCGAAGAAGTAGGTCCGGATCTGCGACTCGTTCACAGCCTTCATAAACGCCGCATCGCGGTCCACACATCCCCCAGACTTTGACAGCTTGATCACCGAAATGCGCTCATCTGATGCTGCCGCCGACGCACTCGCCGTAGGCTTGTTATCAAAGTTCTTCATCATGATGCTATACAGCCGCTCCGAGCCAATCACCAGGATCGTCGTAACTGTGCCATCGTCAGCAAATCCTCAAGCACAACCCCATCCCAAATGTAAACCTACTCGCAAATTCCGTCACAATATGTTTGATCAACTCCACATTCCCAGCCTTACTCTGACTCAAGATTCCCGGCGTATCAACAATAATTCCCGTCTCCCGGGCATCCTCATCCTCCGCCATCCTCCCGGTCACCGACAGCGCCAACCTCGACACAATCGACTTATACACCGACCCATCCGCCTCGAGCGGGTTCTGCATCGGATAGAAATACACCAACGGCAACTTGACCGGCACGGCACTCGGCCCCGACATAGGACTGCTTCCCCAGCCCTCCTCCACATCAATCATCGTACGAAACGCCGTCGCCGTCAATGTACCCGGCACACTGAGCATCCCCTCCGTCGGATCCAAATTGACCACCAACGGCTGCCGTCCAATCTTCGTCGCATAGGCGGTCAAAATCTTCGTCAAGCTGGTCTTCCCCGCATCCTCCGGTCCCAGGATCAACACCCGCGGACCATCCTTCCCCGTCGCCTTAGCTTCCTGTCGTAGAGTCTCCAGCGCAAAATGCACGTTCGCGTATTCAATCATCGGCGTTTCTTCGGCCACGTATTCGCTCTGACACCCGCCCGCACCGAGTCCGCGGGCTGTCGCCCCATTCGCACCCCCCGGGGCGAGGCCGTCCAGCGTCAGGATAGTCTCCCCGGCGCTGACTTCCAGTGTGCATCCATGCCAGGTGTAGATGGCGGCTTTGGTACCAGAGAAGGTGTAGGTTTGCGAGGGGGCTAGTTCGGTGCCGAAGAGTTCTGCGGTTCCGGCTAGAAGCTAGTTCTCCAGGTGGGAGGAATGTAAGTCGTTCTGGTCTTTGTAGTCGTAGAAAGGGAGGTGAGGGCTTCGCTCACCTTTACACGGACGGTCGTGCCAAAGGCGACTTCGAACCGCCACTCGGAGCCCTTGGAGAGACTGATCTGGGATGGCGGGGCAGGGGCGAACTCGCGGTCCCCGGAGGGTTGGGTGAGGTCTAGACCAGGGAGAGACATGGCATCGCCGATTGAGAAGAATGCGACGGGGTTAAGGGAAGAAGAGAATTAAAGGTGTCGCTGATGGAGTTCTGGTGAAGCTCCGGGCGAGAGGCGGAGAAATGACGATGTTTAGCCTGTTTGCAGGGCGGAACGGCCCCGACTCCAAACAAAGAACTACAACACCACTACGGAGTACAAGGAAATCAAAGGATTCTGCGTGTGCCATCATCTGCAATTCTACCTAACAATAATAACTCCGAGCAGTCCAGTCAAACCATCCGATTGCATCACGACTCCAGGGTACACCCCGGACCAAATGGTGTAGAAACGGAAAAAAAACCACATTATAGAGGCGTATATCAGGTATCCAGGAGCAAATAAGAAACTGTAGATAATGAATGAAAAGAACCCAAGGCTTCTCTCGATCGCCAGGACCTCACCGGCCAATCCCCCGTGCGAGGCACATCACTTGCAACCAAATGGCATCATTAGTAAAGGAATATGCGGGCCAATACGATACATCAAGAATCACTTGGTTAGGACTTTGGGGTCGCGATGCGCACGGGTGGATTGGCCAAAGCTTGGACTCGGAAGTTTTCCAGGGTAGGGAGCAGATTGTGAACGGAGAACAGCTTCAGCTGCCTCTTCGTAGAGTTCGTTCAAGACCATGATGTTCAAGATACGGGAATTTCTGAAGGGTGACATGGCGGAATCGTCCATTGGTTGATGGACGGAAGGGGGCCAATATGGCAAACAATCACAGCAATCTGCCCTCGAGTAGTGATCAAAGCGTTTAGAAGAAATAAGGAATCGACGCACTGGAAGGGAGTTAGCAATGTCGACGGAGGATCTGGCATGCAAGACTTACGCAAGTGCAAAGGCAGCTGTGACGCCAACCAGAGCACGGTTCCGCACTCGTTCCTGTTTCAGCTTCTCTTCCAAAACCTTGGCTCTCTTCACACGGAGGGTCTTCGTCTCCTCGTCCTCCTCCTCATCTTCGTCGTCGCTGAGCACCTCCGTCTTGCGCTTCTTGGCCGCCTTCGCCGACGACGGCTCTTCCGTTTCAGTCTGGAGCTTGACAGCCTCCTGGACCATCTCCTTCGCTTTGGCGATCATCTGTTCAGTCTCGGCGGCAGAGGGTGCCTCGGGAAGGGTGATCGGCATCTCAACAGACACAGTGGTCTGAGTAGTCTTCAGGTCGTCAACGGATTCGGCATTGGTCTCGACGTCGACCTTGACCTTCTCTTCTTCCTCGCCCTCCTCCTTTTCTTCTTTCTCGGGCTCCTCCGACGGCTGCACACGGGCGGCTATCTTCCTCGACTTGGATGCGGACGCCGATTTCTTCGGGCTAGGAGCCGGCTTCTCGTCGCCATCAACTTCGACGCTCTGGTGAACGGTTTCGGTGACCGATTCTGTTTCCGCTGTGGAAGCCGTCAGGTCTAGGGAAGACTGAAGGCTGGCGTTGGCTGCACTGGTCGCCGCAGCGTTAGCCTCCTTCATGGCCCGGGTTTGGCGGGGCTTGCGCGGAGAGCTAAGCTTCTTGCTCGGAGAGGCGGACCGTCCCCTTCTCAGACGCGTCGAGGATGCGGTGAGTATGGCGGGAGCTTCAATGGGCGGCAAGTCGAATCGAGGAGGTGGGGTGATCTGCTTCTTCGCAGATGATGGACTTTGGACGATGTCAGTGGGGTCGAGCAAGGCCCTGACCCAGTCGTACATCTGGTACTCCTTTGCTAGCTCAAGGGCTAAGGCGCGCGTCAGAACAACAATTAACTGTCAATGATTGAATTCATTGCGCTTACCGAGCAGAGGCGAAATCCAAACATTGCCAGCGATCTCGTCTTCACTGGTCTCAGTCCGGGACTTCAAATATTCCCGCTCGGACCGTTCTTCATCGAGCTTGGCCCAGGGAAAGGCAATCTTAAACATTCCAGTCGCACTGACAAATCCATCCTTGCTGCGTCTCTAATAAACAGTGAAAGAGCTCGGGTCAACGAACTATTCTACCCATCCCTTGGTTTCGAGACGCTTGGGGACGCGACTTACCATCAAAAAGTATGTTTCGGGATGTTGCTGAGGCGAGTGTGATGGGAATATCTCAGATCCCTTGAGATCCCTGGGCAGCGGCGCGCGCAAGTGGGCATACTCGAAAGGACCGAGGTTCTCCGGCTTGGTCGCATTCGAAGTGCCAACCTGGGTGGGTTTCACAGCGAGGTTTGTCTTTCCCAGACGACGGCGCGACAGAAGTTCATCATCTGAGATCGCAACGAAGGTGAAGCCATGTTAGCCTGGCGCAGGCCTTGGTGGAGGTCGAAACCGGCACGTCACGATCGAGCCTGAGCTCGGGCGCTAGCTGGAATCACAACTTACAAGCTGGAGCCACATCCGTCAGGATGAGGGGATTGTTTTTCTTCGGCAGAGAGCGCACCATGATGGCTAAGCAGCGTCGCCGGAAACGTCAATTCAAGATTCGAGGGGAATAGGTCGAAAGTGGTGATGGAGAAAAGATGCGTCGCCAAAACGGCGGCCACGTTGCAGGCGCGTCGGTCGGCGCTCTTTAAAGGTCGCGAAGTCAAAACGGCACCACTTCTGGGCGCGCTGGTATAAAGACACCGCGGTTGAATCAGGCGGACGATGTACAGGGACGGTCAGACAAAGCCGCGACGACCCAGATGATAATGGAATGGAATCAAGTCGCCGTTCGATAAGCGGACAAGGCAAGTAGGGGAGGAAAATAGTCAAGGAATGGAAGCAAATTGGGGCGGGCGATTGCTCCCACCGTGACCGGCTGTGACCGTCTGATTCCCCCCACGGTACCGCGCTACTGTGGCACCACCATGACTTCAAACCAATCATCGTGTTTGTTTTGGGTGGGGTCAAGCCAAAGTAGCAAGTATCTGCGCAGCCGGTCTATCCCCCGGTATCCATTGTGACGTGTTTGGTCCATCAGAGTATCGCTGCCTTGGGGCCTAAACAGCCGGTTGTCCCCGTGACGACTCCATCCCAACTCGGTATTTATTATGATTTTCTGTCTGGCGCTGCATGTGCCTCAGCGCCATCTACACAGTTCCGGGCCGGTTAAGTCTCAGAGGGTCTCTCTCGCAGTATCTAGTCAATATAAGGCCCCCAACATTCAGCTCTACGACCCTGTTTTGGGTACCTGCAGGTCCGTATGTACATGCGTCGGATGCTTCCAGTCGGACGCTTCGGGTACTGTTGTGGTGCATCGGTCCCTCTCACACTCGATCGAAACATCCAATGCACTGCAAAGAATGGGATGAAACAATCCCTACGCAGTATGCTAGTCCTCTTGCCTGTATCTTCAGCGCGTGCAATTGGTGCAGCCCACATCAATTTCCTGCCACCGTAGACAAGTCAGACGCGATCTTGACCGACTCGTCTGCTCCATTTTATGGCACCCCCAGTATAACCATGGTTCGCTCTCCTCTCGAGCACACTAATCAAGGACAGGAACTGAGAGGAAGGCTGGAAGATGTCTCTCGCTGTACCAGGCATACCAAGGAGTCGCAATTGATGGGACAACCATCAACCAGAAAGTGACTGCGAAGTGCTCGATGGCCACCGGATGGAGAGGAATTCGGTTTAGTGATTTACCAAGCACTCGATAGGGTACTCGATAGATCCGAACTAGTACTATGGACATGATCTAATGCCCCAATACCAAGTGGGATTCCACGGAGTCTGCCGGAAACTCACCTCGGTCAGTCGAGTTGAGTAGTAGACACTCCATAGTCCATAGGGCGCGGTGGACCTCCGGCTTCATATATCTCCCTACCTAGCGTGGCCACCACTCGTCTTATCGCGCAGTCCAGAAGCCCAAGAAGCCCACCCCAAGTCGGACTGTAATTGTATGGACTCTTCTCCATTCTAAATATACCCATTGCGTGGCCTGTTCCATGGACGCCCTGGATCCCCTTAATCTTCGGCGGGCAAGGCGATGGTCTGGCCCATTTGGCCCTCCACCGCCTTTCCCCCCACTTGTACTTTAGTCGACTACTTCCACTCCAAAAACATCCCAAAACAATTCTCTCCTCAGCAAGTCTCCAGGATTTCTACCCTCTGGTGTGTGCTGCTTCAGGTTCCCCCTCTCTTTCCGACCAAATCTAATCCCTCCACTAGCCCGTACCCCCCGGTTCGCGAGCCACAGCATCAGCATCTCCTCTCCCTCCCCCCTGTCTCCAAATCCCCCCACTACCAACATGCCCGAGCACGAAGACGACCTCGTTGCCTCCCAGACCGAGGGTTTCAAGGTCGGAGAGAAGAAGACCATCGAAGAGTACACAAACCTCGGTATGTGGTATCTCCGCTGCCCGCCCACCCGCTGGGATTCCCACGGTAGTAGCCTCGTGGCAGCCGGCAAGCAAGCAGCGGCCCCGCCCCTTGCTTGCTGCCCGGTCCCGTTAAGCATATCTACATCGCAGGCATTCTGGCTACTGCAGGATTGACTGGACTGCTCCGTACCTTTAAAGCGATAACCCTTCTACATACCCCCTAATTCTAACTCTCCACCGCCCCACAGATAAGAACGATGAGTCCCTTAACCGCTGGAAGGCCAGCCTGGGTATCAGCACCGGAGCTCCCATTGGCGACCCCAACGATCCCAGAAAGTGCATCATCAAGTCCCTTGCCCTGGAGGTGGAGGGACGGTCTGATGTTGTGATTGACCTGTCTGCTCCTGGCGCGGTCGACACCCTCAAGGACAAGCCCTTTACGATCAAGGAGGGCGCCACCTTCCACATCAAGGTTGTCTTCCAGGTCAACCATGAGGTTCTGAGCGGCCTCAAGTACCTGCAGGTTGTCAAGCGTAAGGGTATCAGAGTTGGCAAGGATGAGGAGATGCTGGTAAGTTTGGTTCTTTTCGATACTACCCACCACGTGGTCAGTCGCTTACTTGCCTATAGGGAAGTTACGCCCCCAACACCACCGACAAGCCCGTCTACGAGAAGAAGTGTAAGTTCTATGCACCTTTTATTCCAATTGAATAAAACCAGATAAATTATTCTAACACACATTCAGTCAATGCCGAGGAAGCCCCCTCGGGCATGATCGCTCGTGGCCACTACAACGCCGTGTCCAAGTTCGTCGACGACGACAACCACACTCACCTTCAGTTCGAGTGGTCCTTCGACATTGCCAAGGACTGGTAGATCTAGATAGTCGGACTGGCTCTGCTTTCTGGCTTCCCGCCACCTCCCAATCTCGCGCGCTCTCTCTTTCTCATATATGAAACTATGAACTACTCACCTATATCATTTCGCATGAGCAGCATATTACTACTTCTACTTCCACTTTCTTCGCAGTTATACTAGCGTTGGACCCGCGTGTTGTTCGTTCTCGAATTCTAATTGTTTGATTCGCACACCTTTCCCTGCGTTCATTGTCTGCTAGGATTCTTGATAAATGGATTTATCTGGGTTGCAGCCATTGCTTTCCATTGACCATACATAGATCTGTCCTACCCCAAATCCTACCTCAATAACGATTTATATAACCCCGTATATACAAAACACTATCTGTTCCTCAGGCACTCCCCAAAATCAAAGAAAACGAACTACCAACCGGAAGATTAACCGGGCCCGAACCCAGGAAACCGGTGACCTCGCGCATTTTTATCCCAAGGTGAGAACCATACCTTTCTTGTGAGCTATCTAGCATCAGATCGTAAAGAATCTATCTTGGTACGGCATGCTTACTACTGTACCATCCGGGCATTTGTTGCCATTATGAACTGTTTATGTGCTTGGGGGTTCGGTATTTATTGTTATTCATTGACTGAATTGAGTATCCGGGCAAACACGGTCTTGTTGTTTTAATAACTATACGTCCCGGTTTCATGACTTGCGATTTCTCTTAGAATTGAGGACTAGTGTCAGTTTGTATGATGGTCCTTGCTTTGGGTCTCTTCTTCAAGGGACTTTGAGGAACTTCCCTCTCTACCTTTGTAGCCCAAGATGAGTGATGATGTGATTACTGTGCACGGAGTATATAAAGACCTAATCGCACTGTGTCTTGGTTCCTTGGTTCTATCTATCCCAGACATCGCTCCTGGATGTTGTCTATAAATGCCGTGACATTACCAAACTCCCAAAAGCAACTCCGTAAATGATATAGGGAAGGAGTAACAAGACAAGTAGGAAAGAAGCAAGGAGAAGCAAGAAGAAAAGACAAAAAGCAAGGGTATCACAGAAAGTAGTCAATCACAGGGCTTTGGCCGTCCTTGTTCTGCTGCGCCTGTTGTTCGCCGCGATGGATGTCATTCTCCGGCGCCGCGTCGAAGATGTTGAAATACCGCTCGCCCGTGTCGCTCACCTCCAGCACACTAGCTAGGTTCCCGCACCGGTAGCAGTAGTTTGGCGCACTCCAGACTGTACTGAGCCGGTCATCATAGAGTACCTGGTATCCTTCTTGGCACAGCTGGTGGGCCCGGAGGATATGCGACATGCTGTTGACCTCGAGGAACTTGCGAACGACCTGAGCACCGAAGGTATAGCCCGCTCCGCGGGGCGACAGGGAGAATTCATCCCGCTCAGTATCGGGATCCGACCAAACGAGATCGGCCATGGGGCCCTCGTGCGGGATTTCGCGGAACCGATCGATAATTTTAATTTGATCAATAGAATGAATGGACGGGGAAAGACCGCCGTGCACACAGAAGATCTGGTCATTAATGACCACACTTAGGGTCAAGAAATCGAACATATCGGTGAAATAATGCCATACATTGGCATTGCCGTATTTTCGCGCGCACTCGGTATAGAATCCATACGACTGCGTCACGCCGCGCGACTCGTGATTGCCTCGGATGAGATGAACGCGCTGGGGGTATCGAAGTTTCAAGCACACGAGAAGGGAGATTGTCTCCACGCTGAACAATCCACGATCCACGTAGTCGCCTGTTGAATTGAGAGACAACGCCGTCAGCATTAGCCACACAACCGGAGTCCGGGGATCGGCGTTTCTTTTCTTCTTCCCCATCACCATCATTATGATATCATGCGAGCTACTAACCCAGAAACAAGTAATTTGTGTTCGGACAGAAGCCGCCGATTTTAAATATCTCGATCATATCGAAGAATTGTCCGTGGATATCGCCGACCACAGTGACCGGAGCCGCAATATGGACTACATTGCTCTCCTTCATCAACAATTCCTTCGCTTTGGCGCATATTGCTTCGATCACCGAGTCTGCCAACAACTCTTTCCGGTAGAGTCTCTCAATGCACTCGTCGAGGTCGATACTAGCTGCCCTAATTGTCAGAGCCCGCACAGGATGAGAAGAATTGGGTCCGGATGCATACCTGGTAACCCAGGCATTTCGGACCAATATAATGTTTCTATTCAGGGTTAAGATCTCTCGTATAGTCGCGCAGCGTGGAGGATATGGTTTCCAATGACAAAGAACAGGGTGCAAAGGTTCACCCTGAAGTAGTGCACACGTGCCCAAAATATATTAATTAATGACTGGCACACGGCCCTTGCGAGCGGAAATTAAACAGTAGTCGGTCTGATTCGAGAAGGGGTATGTTTGTCTGAGAGGTTCCTGCAGTAGCTCGCATCATGGCCAACGGACAGTTCGCTAGAGCAGGGTGGGTAAGTCTCGCTGGAGGACCTGTACGGGAAGAACGAGGTCTAGACGCGGAGACGGCGGGTTGGGGTCGGTGAATCAGGGATTTTGCACTGATATTAGTCCATCCTTACGACAAAATCTGGACTTGAGCTGGGTGAGATGGAGCAAACCAGAGAAATTGACCAGACCCCGAGTCATCCAGCCCGCCGAGGTGCCCGTTCTGCCAAAGGGCACCGCCTGCTCTTTCATCCGCATCCACAAAAAGGAGGTTGGTAGATAGTGCAATTCAATCCATGACTGGTGGGTAATTCACCCTCAGCCGGCTGAAACCTGTGCTCTAATTGGAGTGGCTTCTTCAATGAAACTTCCAAGTCAGTCCGTGAGCTCCGCTCAATGTTGTTGTATCTTACTAGTAGAATACGGATATTCGGGTAACTAGTATGTCCATGTCTAGATTTGAAGATATATAGTAATCTTCGATTTATGCAGCTAGTCTATACACATCTCATCCCTGATTTGGGTATCACTGCCTCAAGAGTCCCGTACTCTGCGCCTGCTCTTCCGAGTCGGTTTCATACTCCTCATCCGTCTCCTCCTCTTCGTCTGTTTCCTCGTCGTCCGTCACTTCCTCATATTCAGAGTCAGTCTCCTCTTCCTCTGTCTCTGTCTCCTCTTCAGATTCGGTCTCGGGCTCTTCCAGCCATTCGTCGAGTGACTTTCCTTTTGACGAGGAACCACCCACTCCCACGCGGCCATTCTGGTGCCTGCTTGAAGTCGCAACGCTACTCTCATGTTCCTTGAGGGCTCGGTCAAGCCGCTCGCCTGCAGTCATGGAAGACTTCTCTGCAAATTCGGGTCTGATCTCATTCTCCCGGAGGCGAGGATCGGGCTCTTGTCCCGACTCAGCCCAGTCTGGAAGATTCTGATAGCCTTTTAGGCCAAGCATGCCGGCATCAGGACCAACGACAAGGGTCGAGGAGCCAACCAGTAGATCCTTGCGCGTCTCCGACGGGCTCGGGGCGTGGGGAACGGGTTTCGGTGCAAGTAGTAGCAGGTTAGCCAGTTGTGTAGAAGAGGGAGAAGCCAGCAAGGCCTTGTATAGACGGGCCCGGTCACGGAGATCGTAAGAGGAGTCATATCTAGCCAGAAGTAGGAGGTACCGCCAGAGCAAAGTCATCCTATCTTCTTCGGGCTCGTCACTTTGTTTCTCTTCGTCGCCGGCTTCCTCCTTGCGTTCCTCCTCATTTTCCGTCCACTCGTTGACAATCCTCTCAGGCTTGGGCTCCGGTGGAGGCGCCTCCTTTGGAGGGTTTCGCAACAGGTGATGCAGATAAACCTTTGCACCCAGAAGGATGATTTGCTGTTTCACAGCCTCTGATTCATTGGCAAAGTCTTGTACCAGAATGCGGAGTATATCGGCTGCAATATTTCTCTCTGGCTCGACACCCGCAAATTCTCCGACCAGCCAAACAATTGTTGCTCTAGCATCCGCATTCTTCGTTAGTCCTAGATGCTTCACAAGCTGAATGACTGTCTTCTCGTGAGAAGGAGGGTCCTGCTGAATGAGATGTCTGACGACAGTCAGCGACTCTGAGACAAGATTATCGTCAAGACTTGTAATCTGGCCCAAAAGCACGCTGAGGCAGTGATCGGCTGTGCTGGGATCACTCTGTGCGCAGCGTCCTATAGCACGTACACTTTCCCGCACCAGATCTGGATCTGTGCTCTGTGAGAAATGCTCAAGTTCGCTGAGGATCACACCCTTCAAGTGCAGGCCACAGTGGGGGAAGATTAACGTGAGCACTTCCAGCTTGAGACGCCAGATATGAGGCGGGTCAACCGCGTGGACTAAGAAGTGGTTTGCATATCTCGTAAATGGCTTGGGGTGTTTTAGTGCAACAGCAACAATATTATAAAGCGCAACATGTTGCGTGTCTTGTGGACTCCGGAGCAATGCAACCAGAGGACCAATGGCGGCATCTAGGTACTCTGGAGTACCAAGGTAAAGGAAGCATCGGACAACACTGACGATGACAGCAGAATTGCGATTCTGCAACAACAGCTTGCAGGTACGTAGGAGAAACTCAAGGTCAGGATCCAGCACAAGCACTTCATCGCCATTACCATCACTGTTGCTCTCCGGCACCTTCTCGTCCTCGTAGAAGCCTTCAGACACGGCCTGTTTACCTTTTTGAGTCTTGCGTGGGAAGCACTGCCGGGCGTAGAATGTCAGAAGGCGCAGTGTTGAGATCTGGCTCCATTCGTCCATGTCGACCAGCTTCTTGACGAGGCTCCGGTAATGCTTATGAATGAGGTCGATCCTGTCCGGACAAACATCCAGGAAGGCGGCAACCGCGGGCCCGAGAACAAAATACTGGGTGTCGCCGAGTAAAGTAGTGAGATACCCAATAAGCTGAGGGAGGGTATTCGGGTCCAGCCGATAACACTTTGGAATGGCCAACGCTGCCGCTTTGCGGACATGCGGGCTCATATCGCCGCAGCCTCTCTTGATTGCAAGCGACACAATCTGACTGATAACAGGCACCCTAATCCCGGACATTGTGCGAAGCGCCATAGCCCGCGCGTGGGGGTTCTGGTCGGTAAGCGACTTCTGGATTGCATTGATAGATAGGAGCGCAAGGTCCGGTTCCGCCTCCGCATGATGGACCAAGTAGATATAGACCAACTTCTTCACCTCGAGGTTCGCACTGGCCACGTTTTTGACAACGGCAGAGAAGAAAGGAAGGGACGGTTCGGATCGGTACATCAACTATATTGCGCCACAAGTAAAGCGGGTTAGTCAATGCATCAGTGTCTAGGCAGGTCGGGCCCATACCGTAATCACCCGGCGCATGCCGTCCAAAACCTCTCGGTCATTGCGACTGTCCAGAAGCTTTTTGATGTGAGATGTAGTCAGGTTCCGGTTCATTAAGCCCGTGCTAGACCCCCTACTCATGGCTGCAGACTGGGCTGCTTCAAGGGTGAGCTCTCGAGCTGCTCGCACGATCAGCCAATTAATCTACCCAAGCACGGAGGGGACAATTGGCATGCAACTGCCCGCGACGACGTTACCTGTTTCCAGCATCGAGGATATCCGGGAGATGGTCTCCATCTTGACCCCGCGGCCCTTTGCACGCACACGATAACGAACTGGACCTGGGGAGGGGTTCCCTAGCAGAGCAGAACAGGAGGAAGTTGGGAGTTCCGCGGCAGCGGGCGGGCAGGTGACATGACGATTGGGTAACGTGCTCGTCGCCGGACTCTCCTCCAACACCCGCTAATTCCACTCGCTATCTACCTCATTTGCAATATGCCCCGGTCACCCGATAAAGCACCCTGAATCTACCAGCCTGTGGGGAGGACCGACCATGTCTATATTTCACTAGCCACTGAAACCCCAACAAACCGATCGCATCATGAGCAGGGACCCCGTCCGGCGCATATACTTTGGTGACTGGGTAACGGACTTCCTACAACATATCCTCAACCAGGATGCGCCTTCAACTTTGCTACTTGTATGTTCGACTAGGGAGCTATTTCTAGAACAATTATACGCTGCTTCGCATAGACAACCAGGAGTGGCTGCCGAACGCCATCAAATATTTACAAAAACCATTGGATTGCTTTCTCAGTCAAGAAGAATAAAATTAGCCTTCTGTCCAACCTTGGAGCATCTTCGAGCTTACTTGTCAGTGATACAGTCGCCGAAGAGCCTCCAGAATGTGTCAGATGAACGAAGGCAGACAAGACGGCCTTTGATGGCGATTCTTGACCCTCTAGCTTTACATATTCCTACCTCGGAATTTTCCGCCCAAGGTCTGTCCAGAACGTTTGCCATTGCGGTGGAGGTAGCCTCTCGAGCGGAAATGGATCTCGTGCTTTGCGAATGTGGAAATGTTGCAGATCCTGCGGACAGTGGACGGGGCGAGGTGTTATGGTACACACAAGTGCCCCTCTTGAACAGCTCCATACGAATTGGCGAGGAAAGCACCTCCTTTCGGAGAGGTGTGCCTGTGAAAAGGGTTATGCAACGATGGTTCGACTTCAACGCAAATGACCATCCGGTCACAGACACCAGGGATGTCTGACTGGTCCTCGGTGATCAATAGGCCTTGACTGAACTAAAACCAGCCGAGCATATATGTACTGTAACTATCCACAATGTAAACCCCATAATCAACCGGGTATCCTTGAACAAGCCCCCCAAACTCCCGAATTGAAACAGTAATAAACCCCAAAACTATAGGCATTTCTCCATGTCAGTGATGTAAAGTTTGATGTGCGACTCCAACTTCAGGTACTCATCGTGAGCACTTTGGATCTCGCTCTCAATGTTCTCCTTGAGGTCGGCCATCTAGTTAGACGTCAGCGAAGTACGCAAGGACAAGGAGACAAAAGCGATTTACCTTCTTCTCAGTTTGTTCGATCCTAATTCTCCTCCTCTCCATATCGCGCTGCTTCTCAGCACGCTCCTCACGGAGCTGTTTTTGAACCTCCCGAAGTTCCTCCATACGCCCCTGTGCTGTCTCTGCCTTCTCTTGGGCATTCTTTCGCAGAGCTTCAATCCGCTCGTGCCACCGTGCCAGCTGCCGCTGCAGCAGCTTCTCGGTCTGCTCCACCTCCCTAACGTTGTTTCCTCGCTCGGAAATTGCTTCTCTGTTCCTGGAGGCCCTTGATTCCTCGTCCTCTTCCTTTTGCAACTCGACAGCTATGTCTTCAAGAAGTCGCACACAGGCTTGCACATCATTGCTAACAACAGTAAACGTATCTGATGACGTTTGCAAAGCTCTCGCTCGTTTCTCCATCGCATCGATCTGAGCCTTCTCACGTAAAAGATTCTCCGAGAGTTCAGTCAGAGAGGATTGGAGAGAGATCGGACTCTCCATTACATAGGGACGCAGCTTTTCGACTTCTTGCCGCGTACGGACGACCCTTTCCGTTTTCTCCTCGAGCTGGGCTTGCCGTCTCGCCTTATCCGCCTTGGCTCGTTCCAGTGTCTCGGCCACTCGCTCCTGATTTCGTCTCAGTTCGAGCAGCCGCGCCTTCAACTCATCGTTCCGTCTGACCTTCTCTTTGACCTGTGCTTCGTTGGCCTTCAGAGTCCGGCGCATCTCCTCGAGACGTTGTTCCATCTCCTGATTCTCCGCAAACAGGGTATCGATGCGCGATTTCGTCTTCTCCGCCTTGTTGAAATGCTCATCAATGACGGGAGTTTGAGATTCGCGGAATCTGACGAAGTTGATGAGGTACGAGAATATCTTGACGAGTCGATCATGTGTAGGTTTCGTGAGATCCGTAAATGTGAAATCGTTGACACCGCACTATATCCACGCATGCACATTAGATGTCGCTAGTCCCACCAAAATCAGATAAGCGTCGGGCCAGACGTACCTCCATCATCAACCGCCGTAGACTGGTAAAGAACCCCATAAGATTGCGCGTGTCCGTGGGAACAATGTCGGGGTAGTCACCGCAGATATCGTCCGCTGCTGCGCGCATCGCCGGCTCTACTGTTTCGCGTGTCATATTCATAAGGAGTTCCGCAAACCATTCGAAGACCATCTGGATCTGCTGCGGGTTTGGCTTGATCAAGTCGGCGGCGGTGAAAGGGATGCCGATATCGTTGATGCATCCTGCGATTTCTTTGTCGGGCTACTAACAGCATTAGACTCATACACACATGTTGCAGGCAAAAGCTCCTATTCCGCTGTGCACTAACCAGACGCATCAGAGCATCATTCTCATCTTCCTTCTTGCGACCTCTATTATGGTGTTGCTGAGAGCCATGGAATTGCTGGCTCATTCGGTGGCTGTACGCCATAATTTTGAACAATCCAGTCTATAAAACAAAGCTTTAGAAGCCTCCTGGATAGGGTGAAAGCAATGTGGTGGCGAGTTGGGTGCCCGCTTGATGAATGTTATGATGATTGTTTACTGCGAAGGACTCGCATGGCAACCGGAAGCGGACTAGCGCCGCCGGGGAGGGGCAATGTGAGCAAACAGTGCAAATTTACTCCACGCTTCCCTTTTTCGATGACTCTTTGCGGCGGCCGCGGCGGAATTACTGCTGAGCGAGAGAAACACAGAGACAGCTTTCGCTGTGATCAAGAGCTCCTCTGCTAGCATCATCCAGCTGCGCAGTCATCCCAGACATCATGGCAGCTCCCACATCAGGCTCACCGGACGCCAAGCCGTTCGAGTAAGCTGCCTCTTCCAAGGACTTGCTGCCTTTGCAATCACTAATATTCATCCTTCGCCAGTATTGTCGCAACTTACAATGACTTGCTCCGCTCCGATCCGGATTTGACCATGCCAATTGCCGCCATTGAAGCTTTGGTTCTCCTCCTTACACACTCCCCCTCGTCGACGATATCAGAGACCCTCGATCTGCTCGAGAAATCCACCGCACACCTGAAACAGTCGATTCCGAACCCTATTGGTCTTTCTGCTGGAACCGATCTCTTCCAGCGATACCTGATCACTACCTTACAGAGACCCGGTCAGCTCGGACCCGCGGGGGATTTCAACGCGATCAGGGCACACCTTCTGTCAAATGGCCGGTTGTTTATCAGACGTGCGAAAGAGAGCCGAGACAAGATCGCGGCATTTGGAAGAGGATTCGTGCGGGATGGAAGCACCGTTTTGACAAACGGTGGGTCTCGAGTGGTTGCTTCCTTGCTGCAGAAGGCCGCCGATGAGAAGGGCGGCCCGTCGGCAGTGCGGTTCAAGGTGATCTATGTCCTGTCGTCTGCAAAGAAGAACTCCGACGAGCCGGAGGGTATGGAAACGGTGCGTGCCCTCCGGGCGAAGGGCGTTCCTGTATCTACGATCCCAGAGTCCGCTGTTGCATACGCCATGGGAAAGGCCGATATTGTCATCGTGGGTGCCGAGGGAGTGGTTGAGAACGGAGGAATTGTGTCGCGTATGGGAACTTACCAGATCGGTCTTCTCGCTAAGGCCATGGGCAAGCCTTTCTATGTGGTGGCGGAAAGCCACAAATTCGTCCGTATCTACCCGCTCGGACAGTATGATCTGCCTATTGAGCAGCGTGTGATCGATTTCAAGACCGAGGAAGATGTTGCCGATGAGGCAAAGCAACAGAAAGCTGTATCTACGGAAACATCAGATGCTAAGGCCGTCAACACGGCGGATAGCGCTGACGTGGTTGACTTCACCCCGCCCCATCTCATTTCCGCGCTGATTACGGACAGCGGCGTTTTGACGCCAAGTGCGGTCAGTGAGGAGTTGATTAAGATCTGGTTCTAGTTTTTTTCCCGTTCCATGCTCCTTCGAGCAGGTTTGGAGCGTAGGGCTTGTGCTGTCTTTAAAATCGAATGAAGCGGATCGGCGTTAAGGTCATGATATATCCGGACGCTCAAGGCGTTTGTCGGCTGGAAATACTATAGTGTGTCGGCGAATCTACAAGAAAAAAGCTCAAGAAAATCATAACTCTAAACTTCCGAGTCTCCCGAGGGCTTCTGTGACCTGGTTTAAATAGGAGACAGCCTGTACGGAGTAGTTGTAGCACGATTTGCTGTCATACTATGAGCTCCCCACCTGGTACCTAAATTAGTAGATGCTACAGATATATATTAGTCGCGATGCCGAGACCTGGGGGCGCCACAAGCCGGATCTTATACAGTTTGGGAAAGAAACAACAATCCTCAGACATCTTAACAGTAGCGACTACAGGTAGATCTGCTCAAGTAGCAACTAGCAAGAGCGGTATCCTTGTACAACATGCGACACGATAACGGGTGGATGGGCAAACAGAGCGGGGTCTACCGGTTCCAAGCTTACAGCCACATGTACCAGATGCATTACCGCCTGCTTATCTAAGAAATGTGTATTTGTTTAATTGAACCTGCAGAATCCTCCCCCGCTTTAGAATGAGAACCTGCCTGAGGCCCACATAAGTAGGCTCTACATACCCTTAGTGGCTAGCGTTCCAGTACTGTGTAAAGATGCTGAAGAAGACTTGCGTCATAGTACAAGGGGTCTGCCAGATGCTTTTCCGAGAACAGCAGGCGGTACAGAGCTCGGCATGTGACTTCTCTGGTGGGACAAGCCAACGCGGAGTGGCTGGAGCGGCTCCCTTAAGAAGTATGATTTCATTGAATCACATCCATGAGCGACTTGCTCCTGCAATCGCCATTGGCTTTATTGCCCTCCTTGTTTGTTAGGTGTCATCCGGCTTATTTCATGCATTTCCTCGTACAGCTGATGCCGTCGACCCCATAAGATCTCCGACCTGCGCCTCCATGCCTGACTGTGTTGTACCTGAGCGAAGTTTCGTATTCGTTTTGTTGGTTGGCCTCTGCACGAGCCAGGCTTAACAGACCACGGTCATAGTGTCTATAGGATCCACATCAACCCCCAGCATATCCCCCCTTCTTGTCGGTGTCAGCCTTCTGCATGCGTCAGCTTTCATCTATCTATAAAACGATTGGAGTGCCCCCTGTCCGGTTCCCTGGATCCATGCGAACCGGCAAATACCCCTATAGTTTTTGTTCCTGTCTGCAGCATGTCTTCGGCCGTTCAAGAAGCCAATGGCTCCCCTTTACTGCGTCCCCGTGCTGTCCCGGGGACGAAGAAGTTGGAAGATCTGACAGCGATTCCTCCCTTGGATAAATTCGATTCGAGGCAAGTACTTTCTTCGCTAGGGAAGAAGATTACAGGCGTCAGAACTAATTGCAGTTACTAGCGGCCGCTCGACTCCGGTCCCTGAAGATGCGCCTCCTTCCGTACATTCAATCTCCACGGCGAGAAAACAAGCTCGAGCCCGGACTCGAATCTTCTATACAATCGATTATGTTCCTCGAGTGTCTCACTTTGACCCCAGAAGCGAATACCGCAACTTCCGTGGCTTCTATACCCTGTTTTGGATTGCATTGTTTATAATGGTCGTTACGACGATGCTTCGGAATATAAAGGATACTGGCTATCCGTTGAGGATCAGAGTATGGAGCCTTTTGTCGGAAAATGTCTGGTCAATGGGCTTCAGCGACGTGGCCATGGTGGTCAGCAGCGCAATGGTCCTGCCTCTCCATCGCCTCATACGGAGAAGCAGTGGCTTGATGCGCTGGGCAAAGGGTGGCATAGTTGTGCAGAGTACCCTTGAGGCCGGCTGGGCGATTCTATGGATCAAGTAAGTTCGAACATCTAGCTGTCGGCGGGCATCTAGAAGCTGACCAAATCACAGTTGGCCATTCATGCTTCGCTGGACCTGGACGGCCCAGGTCTTCTTCACTCTCCATACGTTGACAATCCTGATGAAAATCCACTCCTACGCATTCTATAACGGTCATCTTAGCGAGACAGAGCGTCGACTAGCTTCGCTCGACAAACCAGGGAAGGTGTCAATGGAAGCGCCAGTCCCGTACCCAGACGCATCTCCCCGTCGACGCTCGGTAGCCCGGCGTTCGAGCCTCCATGCGCGCTCCGAGTCGATCTCTGAACTGCGCGAGGACCTGGCCACAGAACTCACCTCTCCATTAGGCAACGTTACGTACCCTCAAAACCTGACGGTAGTCAACTACATCGACTTCGTCTGCTGTCCCACCCTGTGCTACGAGCTGGAATATCCTCGAAGCAAGGACAGACAATGGATCGAAATTGGCCTGAAGACTCTGGCTATCTTTGGGTGCATCTTCTTGTTGACATTAACAAGCGAAGAGTTTATCCTCCCGGTACTGACGGAAGCCAACATCCAATTGCACAGGGTGTCCAGTGTGACCGAAAAGGCCTTGATCCTTGCAGAAACCATCAGCATGCTCCTGTTCCCCTTCATGGTCACTTTCCTGCTTGTTTTCCTTGTGATTTTTGAGTACGTTCTGGGCGCTTTTGCAGAGCTCACCTGCTTTGCGGATCGGCATTTCTACTCGGACTGGTGGAATTCCTGCGATTGGTTAGTGATGCATGCCTGCAAATACCCCTTGTCAATACTGACTAACATGACCTCAGGCTCGAATTCTCCCGCGAATGGAACATCCCCGTCCACCACTTCCTGCGCCGCCACGTATACTTTCCCTCCCTATCGAATTTCTCCAAACCAGTCGCCATGTTCATCACATTCCTGGTCAGCGCCATCGCTCACGAACTAGTCATGAGCTGCATCACCAAGAAGCTCCGCGGCTACGGATTCCTAGCGATGATGCTCCAGCTGCCTATCGTCGCGGTGCAGAAGTCCAAATATGTCCGAGGAAAGACCACTCTCAATGTACGTCCCAAACTCTACAAGCCCAAGCAAAGCCCCACAAGTCTGTGCTGACTTGCATGACCTTACAGAATTTATTCTTCTGGTTATCTATGATTTTCGGGTTATCACTGGTAAGTCAGCTCCACTATCATCAAATATGATTCACGCTAACTGAAACAGATGTGTGCCCTTTACGTCCTCGTCTGAAAATGGCGCGGAATTACCGGAAGAGCAGCTCTGGCTACTCTGCATTCTCTTGCTCCGGTTTGTAGCATACCATTTTGAAAGTACACTGTTGTACCTGTTGTCCACCACTCCATACTAACATACCTTATACCCTGCTTGTTTTGGCATTGTATATCCGCCGGTGTCTTTTGCATCTTCTCTCTTTGGGTTGTGTTCTTGTTCTTATTTTGTGGGGAATTTGCATTAGAGGGTTATCATATCACTTACATCTATTTTTGTATACACATATTCATGTACAGGGTTTGTTAGACTGAAACCTAGAATGGATATAAAGAAAGGGGGGCATATTTAGGTAGAGAGTTGCATGCGCTCGGCAGCGACTGAATAGTACTAGCTCTAGGAAGCTATAGATACTATCTATAGATACGGAGTAGATATCTCGGGAATCTTCTATCTTATCGCTGATAGAATAGGAATAGAACAAATCCCCCTTCACCCCCGCCCCCCCGGGCAGCGTCTCTAGCAAACGGTAATAACCCAGAGGTTCCAAGAAATGCAAGAAAAATAAGTCATTGTTTGTTTCACAGAAACAACCGCACGCAGTCTCTATAGTTCCAATTTGTGTCCAAGAGCAACAGCAAAACTCCAAAAACGCCATGGATGAGATACCCCAAATACTATCCTCAAAACATGTATATTGCGAGTGTGAGAGTAAAGCAAGAAAGTTAGAGGAGTAGGTCGTGTATTAAACCCTAGAAGATTGCAATGTGCTGTGTCGAAAACAATCTGATCCGTCAAGGATGAGACGTCATATCACCTGTGCAGGTGTGGCTCTTTATTGATGTGGGTAGGTAAATGAGCCGAACTTACATATGCTCGATTGGCTCTTCGGGGAGGAGAATTTCTCGGTCCCGGTGGGAACTGGGAAGACAGGCCTTGAGCGGTGGTCGAATAATATCGTTGAACAGAAAGGTCCCGTAGACGAGGAGTGCGAAACCGGCCACTTGCAGCCACTTGAAGGTTTCCCAGCCCAGGGCGAGGGAGACAAGCCAGATGAAGAGGGTTCGGCATGTATCGATTGTGCTGCGAGAGGTCGCAGATACGGTGCGGGTGACGGAGAGACCGAAGAAGTTAAAGCCACTGGAATAGGCGGTTAGTATCTTTGGTGTTGATAGAGGTGTAGAGACCTACCCAATGCTGATCATGATTAGGAAGCTGGAAGTGGCAATCGTTCGGTTGTTGAAGACCTGGCTCCATCCTTCCTTTGCATCGAAATAGCCGTAGCGACCAGCCTCGGTGCGTCCTACGACAAGGTACAGAATGATGGAGCCAATGACGGTCACAGAGAACCCGAAGATTCCTTCCCAGCCGACAACCTGGAGGGGGTCCATTTCATAGTTCTCCAAGATCCACTCTTCCAACACGAACTGTGACGCGGTGAAAATCTGAGCTGCAGCTATGAGGAGTACGCCGATAACAGCTTGCACGGCTTGCGGAGACTGCGTCGTGGTTTGAATCTCCCTGATGGCGTGTGCAACGGCGGCGGCAGTACTCTCCTGTGTGACATCGTGACCTTGGTGGTCGCCGAAGAGGGCACCAGCAAGACCGACCAAAGCCACACCAAGAACCACAATAAACAAGGCAAGCCAATGATAGAGATGCAGCTTGCGGTGAAGGAAAAGGACGCTAAAGAGACCGACAAACAGAACCAGGGCGCCACGAGTCATCTGGTAAACACTGGCAGCGACAAAGAGCAGTCCAACGTTCATGAGAGTTGTGCCAGCAATGTCGCAGCATGATGGTGCTGCAAGCATGAAGATCCTGCGTCCTTTAAGGGGGACGCGTCCGTCTGGAGATGTAGAGGGCTTCGTGGCATCGTCTGATCCTTCGGGTCCTCGAATCGTATAATCCTCCTCTTCGTCAAGTCCTTCAGCTGCGTTGACGGGATGATAGCCACCGGCTAAGAGAGGGGAAGAGCTGTTGGATATGCGCGGAGCAATATAACGTTTGTAAAGATAGGTCCCCAGAATTACGAGCCAGCTACCCATTTCTCCGGTGAACATCTGGATCCTGTGAAGAAGGGCCATGAGCAACAGTTTTCATGGTAGAGTTCAAGAGCAGAACACGTACGTTTGAATGACGGGCTGCTCAAAGGTGCGCCGGTATTTGGGGTTTGGCGAATCGCAATTCCACACACATTGCATGTCCTGTTTATCCTGTGAGCCGAAAGGCGCCAGATACGGCAGCAGGGGATCGGACCTGGTACTTGTTGAGGATGGTGTTGCAAACCCCAGTCACGAGCATCATGGTGACCAGGAAGGGAACTGCCGCTTTATTCGCCATGGTGCCTGGTATGTTGGGTCTATGGGGTAGAAGAAGATGGGGGACGCGAGATGGCCGAGATAGAGGCTAGAGAGGCCACTCAGTGGCTCACGAGGGCGACAGATAAGAGACGGATACCGGCAGGAAGCTGGCTAGTAACCACCGGGAGCTGACGGATTCGCAGATTGATATAGACACTAGAGGCGCGAAAGTTATTGAGCACCCATCCTGGAACTGGAGGGGGGAAACACGGAACAAAGAGGAGGAGGATGAAGAGGAGACGGGGATGGAGGAGGGAGCGAGTGATGGATGGGCGAATGACGAGCGGGAGGCGGCGACCTTATCGGCAGCTGATCAGGGATCCGTGACTGATCCCCGTTCCAGTGGGTCGTCCCGGCCCCGTCACGGGCGGTACCATACCGCTGTTTCCATACAGCATACCGACTACAGATGGATGTATCTAGTAGTAGTTGTTCAAGGTGTGCAATTAATTGTAGATCGTTTGCATTAAACCCGACAGGGTTACGTCCGGTTACCCCGAGCCTCATCATGCCCTGCCGGTGTCAACGACCCGGCCGAGCCTGGCTCGCCGGGCTACTTGCATAGAAGACCCCGTTTTTCCCACTCGCTCCGCGCAACGCCTTGCCTGAGAATCCAGCTAGTAAAACTTTGCAAGTCAGAGACAGAAAACACAAACCCTCCGCGGCTTAATGTACAGGAATCATTCGTGGTTTATGCCAAATGAGAATAGTCCGCACGCCGTTCGCCTGCTCAAATCATAAACACTTCTCGTGACACTGTACCCCCTATAAGGCGCAAATCGCAATGCCGCTATCGTCAACATTGATCGCCCCGTCTTTGCGGTCGATCATATCCCAATCGATGTCCTCCCACGAATCATTCAGCAGAACCCCATCATCCAGTCGACCCGGAAAGCTGATCCAATCCGCGGGGAGCCAGCTGTCTTCAACCAAGTCTTTCTTGCTGGCCAAGTCATCTGTCTTGGGAAGCTCACTATCTTTCGGGGTCTGGGTAATGAGGCCCGTCTCGACGGAATCTGGCGTGTCCTTTGCTTGCGTGTTGGTGAACATCTCCGGATTCAAGAATTCGTCCATAGGACCGAATCCCAGGCCGCCGTCGTCGGCAAACTCCATGAATGTGTCCTGTATCGCATCAAGGGAGACCGTACTGCTTGCCCACAGATCCTGGGGCGCCGCATCCACCGCGGGTCCCTGCTCGGCTGGTTTTGTCGGCTCTTTCTTGCCGTCCTTGCTGGCCGTTGGTTTGAGGGGAGACGAGATGGGGCCCTTAGCCGTAGACGTTCGAGGGGTTAATTGCTGGTTCGACGCCGGGGAACCAGGCTTCGGGCCTAATTGGCTGGGAGCCCGCCCCATAGGAGTACCACTAGGGGGCAGTGGAGTGGCCGCCTCAAGTTTGACTTCATTCTTTGACGGAGACGAGATCGGACCGGGTTTACCGGTAACCTGTGGGGTATTCTTCAAGCCCTGCAGTCCACCCTTATCTTCTTCCTTCACGAGGCTGTTCCGGAAACTTTCCAAGGCAAATTCTAACGGGTTCTCAATCAGCTCCTCGGTCCTGTGGGCTTCTTCGGTGTGCTTCTCCAATGCGATCTGAGTCGCGAAGCCTTGCAAGTGATTCTGACATTCCGGGACACTGCATTTGAAAGCACCACCCAAGGCCGCGCCAGTCGACCTTGAGTCGGCCTGCTTGATTGCCTGCGGCTTGGAAGCCGGTGTGCCCGGAGCCGGTGTAGCACCAGCATGAGACTGCTTCCGTTTCTTGGGAGGGGGTAGTTTCAGTTGCTCCGGGGGGATGCTGCCCGGACCATAAGCATGAGGGACACCCTGGGGAGAGGGTGCTCCGAACGGTGCTTGCGGGATGGCAGAAGCGCCCGAAACAGTCTGGCTGGAGGCTCTGCGGGCCCGTTGAAGTGCTTCCTCCTGCTGTTGCAGTTGTTGCAGGTTGCTCGCGTTCAGGGCGGGCATGTTTGATTGGCTGGGCTGTGCGGGTGCTCCTTGGGAGACGCCGGGTCGTTGGCCCGGTACCTGGTTTTGCTGTTGATTGACGCGCGCGATCATATGGTGGAACAGCTTCTTTATATAATTAGTTGTGCCCGAGAGATAATCTGGCGTAAGGGTAATTTGATCATTTAGAGTCCAATTAGGTCCAGCTTTGAATTGCCTCATTAGGTGGATCCGCTGTACTGCAGTCAGTATTGAACCTTTGAACGAGCATCGATGCAGCGAAAAAAAACTCAAAAACTTACCATTCCAAGCAGACTGCGCACATTTTTGTCTTGGCCCGGAATCTTTGCGATGAATTGGACAAGCGCGTCCATTCTACCTAGGTAATCTGTGATATCCCGGAGTTGCTGGGACATGGTTGCCTTCTGCTCTGGCGTAATGGCGACCGGCTCGATTGGAGGCAAGTTTCTCGATATCTCATTGTACATTTGCCGGAACCTTTCGGGCAGATTATTCCATGCTTCTTCCGCGGACGCTCTGCTGATGGAACCGCGGCTCTGGAGCTGCTGCCTGCGCAGGTGCATCTCAAATTGTGCGCGTTGCTGGGGATTCATAGCAGCCAGTTGCTCACGAGTGAAGGGAATACTTGGCCTGGCCTGTGTAGAAGTTGACCCTGTTTGAGGAGCTGCAGGCGGGGCTGGCTTCTGTGCGGGTATTGTCTGAGGTTCGGTGGGCTCGTCATGTTGCACCTTCCTCTTCAGTGCCTGTTTTGCAACGGGTCCTTTCGCGTTCTTCCCAACCGATGCAGGCGGAGCTTGAGTGTTTCCCGTCAAGCTTTGCTGGGCCTGCTGTGCTGTTTGTTGGGAAGGCTGCGACTCCGGTTTAGCTTGGGGGAGAGTAGGTGGCACAGTAACCGGGGGTTGCGGTACCGACTGGCTTTGTTGAGCCTGCTGGGCTAGAGCCTGTGCCGCTCGGTTCTGGGCCGCCTGGATCTGCTTCTGCCTGCTTTTGTGCAATAAGTCTCGGAGCTGATCGTCGCTCAGGCCTTGTACCTGATTGCCAAGTCGTTGGCGGGCTAATTGAATATCCTGCGCACTTATGGGACGTATGACCGGCATGTTCATTGGCATCTGTTGCTGAACAGCTTGAAGCTGTGGATTCATCAAGGGCTGCGGCTGCCCCTGGAACTGCATTGGCATCCAGGGATGCTGTCCAGCCTGCTCGGGGTTGCGAACGTTTTCTTTTGATTGAGCGAGAATCTGTGCGAGATGAAGTTTCTGCAGCCCCATCAGCTTAGAGATATCTACGCCTCCCAGAAGCTGCGGGTTTGTAATCGCCAATTGTTTCAGTTGACCCCAGGTTTTGATGTGCTTTGGTACAGCTGAGGAGATGCTCGGATTATTGTGCAAGATTGCTGGAGGGAAATGCAATCGATCCATTTCTTTCACCTGCTCGGAGGACATTTCCATCCCTCCGCTATGCTGACGAAGAAGCTGAAGTTTGTAGAGTTCCTGCTGGCGCTGTTGTTGCTGCTGTTGCTGGCGCTGTTGAACAGACATCTGTCCGGGCAACATCTGGTTAGGCGGTTGGGCACCGCCCATGTTCGCCAGCTGCTGTTGCAGATTCAGAGAAGCCCGCAGGTTCTGACCATTTCCCATCTGACCGTTCATCATTTGGCCATTGACCATCTGCTGGCCTTGGCTGGACTGGGGCGGATTTTGTTGCATAGGCATTTGTTGTTGCGAGGCATTTGCCCTATTTAAAGCGTTGTTGTTCGCCAACGCACGACGCTGTTGATTCATGAGAAACATGGTCAACTGCTCATTTGTCATTCCGTTGAGCTGCTCCTGGACTGCGGGAGGGAGGTTGGGAGGAATCTGAGGTCTTTGCATAGACGGCTGTCCATTCATGGACTGAACGTTGGAAGGCTGCTGTCCCATGCCTGGCGGTCGGGATGGTGGCCGGACTTGACCCGCCATCTGTGCCGGAGACATCTGCCCTGGGGCCATTGGTCGATTCAACACGGTTATGCCCGGACTTTGCTGGGACATTTGATGCTGCATTCGGGCGCCCGGTTGGTTTTGGTGGGACATGGCGAATTGGACTTTCGCCGCTGCTTGCACCCGTGCTTGGTCTTGGGCCGACTGAGATTGTGCCTGGGGTTGTGCTGGAAATTGAGATGCTTGCTGCGATCTATCCTGCTGCATAGGCTGTGCACTCTGTACATGTTGCTGGGCTATGAACTGAGGGCTTATACCAGAGCCGTTTATATTTGCTTGGGCGCCCTGGCCAAGCTGCTGGCCAACCTGGAACATATTTTGTGGCGTGGTGAAGGGTGGTTGGTTCATTTGCGAGGAACTAGCAGGCACCACAAGCTGCCCTGCTTCCTGAGAGCGCAACCCATCGGCTTGCTGCCCCTGAATGTTCTCAACATTGCCAATAAAGGACGATGGGTCCAGGTTTTGCTGGTTTCCCATCGAAAACGAGTTGCGCTGCAGGTTTATCATATTCTGGAACATTTGTCGTTGTGTGTTCAGCATGGGGTCGCCTAGCATGGCACTGTTAGGGTCAACCCCGGCACTTGGCTGGCGAGGTAGATCGTTCCGGTTCCGCTTGTACCTCTTCAACTGAGTAAGAGCCTGAGAGCGAAAGAAATAGGTGATCGGGTCCATATTCTTTCTCTGCAAGTACCCTCGCTGCTCTGGTGTCATGTTCTGCAAATTCATCTTAATCTTCTCTAGATCCTCTGGAGAGGTTTTCGAGATGATTTGACTCGCTATGCGACAGACTTGATCGTACTCTTGGGGTGAAAGGGTATTCAAGTCGTCCGAAAGCGCTGCTCCGCCACCTGTTCTTTGTTGCGGGCGTTGTTGTTGTTGTTGTTGTTGTTGTTGTTGCTGCTGCTGTTGTTGGAGGATGTTCTGATGCTGCTGTTGCGGTTGTGGGCGTTGTTGCATAGCAGCTTGTTGATTCAGTTCGCCCATGCTTATCGACATTGGTTGCTGTCCGGGCATTGGTGACGCTTGCACGGGGCGATTCATTTGGGGAGGAAATGGCGACTGTCCCACTCCGGGCATTCCCGCTGCCGGCCCTTGGGGCATCATTCCACCTTGCATCACGGCTGCCTGCCTCGCACGAGTATCCCGGATATGAAGGAGCTTATCGTTGCATTCCCTTTCGTAATCGGCCTGAGCGACACCGTAGTTAGACCAGCACAACGCAAAGAGAGCCATCGGCACGTACCTTCTGGCTAGCATCTTTAAACGCCTTCTGTTCAAAAGTCAAAGCAGCATGCGCAGCATTCTGCATGTCGATCCGGGGTTGAATTAGACGGAGGGAGGTGATCCTAGGAGGGGGCATGGGTTAGCGCAAGGATCAAAGTTATTGTAATTTGAATTTCGGTTGGCGGAAGCGAGAGCCGTGCAATAGTGACGTACGGTTAGGGGCTGGAAGGGGTGCGCATAGCGAGAACTTACATTTGATACACCTTGAGGGCTCGCTCCCTGACAGGGACATCCGCTCGCCAACCCGAATACTGACCCTGTGCCTGCAGCGCCTGGGCGACTTGACTGAGGATTATCTGATTGTTTTCCGCCTTTTGCGGGAGCTGCATCTGGCCATGCGGCTTGACTCCGCCATTCATGCCCCCGCCAACATTGGTGAAGTTTGCCGGATTCATGTCAACAACCCCCCTCAATGGGGATCGAGGAGTAGTCCGCGCAAGCTTCGTTGGGTGTCAGCATTCGCCGGCGTCAATGCCAAGCGTCACTGTTTTGCGATAGAAAGTTGTTTGAATTCAAGCAGACGGGCGCTCTCCCAGCAGCGTGGTCGGTGCTAGTGTTATGTGGGATGGCCGGGCGGTGGGGCCTGGGGCAAAAGAAGGAGATAGATAATGATGCAGGGAGTCTCGCAGGTGGATCGCGTTTGAGACTTGAGCTGGCTGGTAGCGGAGTCGGCTTCGCTGTAAATCCAAGTAGGTGTTTGAAACGAAGGAAGACGAGCAATAGGGAACTAGCACGGGACGGCAGTAGAACACGGGGGACCAACGCAGCAGGGAAACAAGGCGTTCGGGCACCAGTGTTCAGTCAAAGCGGTTTCGTTGGCAGATGCCCGGGGAGTGTGGCTTGGGGAGGGTGGGTGGGTGTAAGACTAAGCAGGATTGAGCCGGCGGGTGCTGGATCAGTGACAGGGATGTTGCAGTTGCACTGGGCCAGTAGGTGCAGAGCCGTTCGAATCGACGATAATGGAGCTTCCCGGGCCCCAAGAGTTGGAAGGCGGATGGAGTAGGTGACAGGACGGAGGAAATGACAAGCGACCTCGGGGATCCTAGGGGAGAAAAAAAAGGAACAAGTCAGGAGGATGGTCTGAAGGGAGTAATATTAAATTACGATAGAAAAGCAAGCAGGAGCCAAGCATCCAACAAGCAGTGGTTCCCAGTGATTTGGTTTGGCAGTGAATGCAGAAGTGCGCAAAAAGCCGAACGGTCGGAAGAGGAGGGCGCTAGAGTCGAGAAGGGGATCATCATACCTGAGTTTACAGTAAGACAGGTAACCCGATAACAGCTGCACGGTGGCGTGTTCGACAAGCGTGTCAGCTGGAGGGGGAGGATTGGAAGAAGCAGGTAGGGGAAAGGGAAACGGGCAGCCAAAGAAGAAGAAGAAGAAGAGGAGGAAGAATAAGAAGAATGTGAAATGAGAGCCGGTGGTCAATGGAGAAAGGAAATCGCAAGAGGAATCAGTCAGAGGACCCAAGTCGTAAAGAGAGGGCTCGAAAGGCGGAGGGTCGCGAAACCAGGAATTAGACTAAGCAGGGAGGAAAAGCCGGACTATGAAGAAGAAGGTAAATTGGGTGGTAAAAAAAGAAATGAAAGGAAGGTAATCTAAAAGCAGCAGATAATGGCCGCAACAAATCCCAATATATGGGTAACAAAGGGGAGGGGGGTGGTGAGGAGGGCGATTGAAGGTGGGAGGAGGAGGGCCAGGCAAGAGAAGATGAAGATCCCGCTTGAAGGGGAGCGAGCGAAAGAGAGAGAGGGAGGGAGAGGGAGGGAGACGATGGGAGGTGGAAGTGGTGGCAGTGGTGGTGGTGGTGAGTGGTGGTAACGGTAAGGTAAGAATGGATGGATGCGCTGCTCTGGTGGTGGTCGAGCTGGAGGTGGTGCCGTGGTGGTGGTGGCCTAAGGCGCGAGTTTGGGTTAGTGTGGCCGGTGGGAACAGACTAACAGGTACTAGACTTCACAGGCCCTTCTTGGGGATCTGCCCGTTGGTGGTGGTCGTCAGTCGGGCAAGGTTAGGGAAACTTAATTAGTCCCTCCACTAGCCCCAAGTGGGCAACTACCTACTTGCCGTAGGCCCAGAGTGGGCTGCCTGCTAGGTACACTTGCCGTCGGTAGGTCCCAGGTTAAATCGATGTGGATGGGGATGAAGATTATCATCATCACCATTCATCGCCTTCTCATAGGTTTGAAAAAAATCTCGGGTCGTGGGAATGACGGCTGCCGCTGGAGAGACACTGCAGCCCATCTTGTCCCTCCCCCCTGGGTACCCCGTCAATGCCCTCCATTCATGACTGACTCGGACGGACTGACTGACTGACTGACTGACTACTACAACGACTAACCAACTAGTACCGTAATGACCTGGTCCGGGTGACTGGCTGAAAGGGACGCAAGGTCTGTCAGGCCAAGAACTGTTGGTTTCGCAGACCTTCCGGATCGAATTAATGCTTCGTGCTTTTCTTTCTTTTCTCGTCTTTTCTTTTTCCTCTTCCAATGGTCGCCAGGGTCGATACCCACGGACTACCTACTTCCATCCTACTGGCAGTCCTCGGGTCCCCAGGTCCACCAATATGCGCCGGGAGAGCTCTCTCGTCGCAATGCCTCTGGCTTGGATTGGTATGTCCTCAGAAGTGAGCGAAATACTTACCGAGTCGGAGAAGTAGCACACCAGATGGGCTCCCGTCTCTATAGTGCTACTCCTACGGAAGCGGCTGCCTGGTTCCATCCATCTTTCCTACCGCTACTCAGTCGGACTTTCTAGAGGTGCGTGTACTCCCTGCCCCACTGTCAACCCTCTGGTTCCGCGGGACGATAGCCTACCCAGGGACTAGTAGATAATCCGTCCTAATATTATAGAGGGGTGGGCTGAAGGACTGCGATGGTGTTTCTCAGGCACCAACTAGAAAGTTGCTATGCTGAAGTCCATTTTCGCGGGAGATCAATACAATGACACATGGATAGAGAGACTGCATCGGCCAGAATCGAGTACTTTTTAAAATAGATGAATGTTGGGTGATGAGTGTATTTCTGAGGTATTCCGTACTGGATCTTACGTTCTGATTGTTGCTTTCCGGTCTATCCACTGCTAGCTCAATAATGACGGTCTCCGCCTTGCAGACATCGCACCTAAGTAGATAGTGTCCGTCGGCGGGAGACCAAAGGAACAGTAGTCAGGTCCGATGCGCGAATAGAAGCCATGGCCATCTGCCAGTCGGCCGTACCACCAAGGTCGCGGGTGTCAATGCTGCCTCCCCTTCCGATCCTTTGCATTCAGTTTACGATCCAGCCACCTCCATCCATCTCTGCCATGGTTTGTTCCACCGCACACTCCGTATCCGCGACCCGTTTCCACACATGAGGACCGCTGGATGCTGAAATCACCATCTTCCATAAGCCCGGGCGTGCTTCGATTTTAATTTTGCCTGCGGGTGTACGGAGTCAAGTCCCATGGACAAAGTTCGGGTGGCGGGTATGGAGGTAAGGCGTGCCTTTAAGCTCCAGGCGAGAGGAACAATGTTGGGAAGGAAAACCAGCGGCTGAAACACGCGGTGCCTCAAGCCTCCAAGGGCTCGGTGGATTTTGCGCAGAGAACTTTCAGAGATCATACCTGGGCCCTTGACAAGAAGCAATCCGAAGAAGGACCACAAGAATCATCATAGGTAAGATCAATAAAATCCATCCTCGTAGATCGCAGGCACGGTGATCCGTACCTAGTGTCGAATCCGGGAAAAAGGCAGAGCCAAGTGGAACCTGACTAAAAGGCTACCTAACTCGCCCGCTGTTGCTTCTTTTAGCAGCGGGACACGTCAGGTGATGGCACGTGACACGGGTGCTGTCGTCACCGGATGGATGCGCTTTGATTAGCATCGGCCAACAACGACGAGGTGTGGGAAATGAGATGATCCATAAAACAGGCCTCGTTTCCATAGCCATCCCGATCAAATTCGTCCCGGCTGTCCTGTCCCTTTTTTTGCGTCCTTTCCGAACTCGAACCTTCTTGCATGCTCCTGCGACCCCTCGATCCTTGGGTCGATAGTCCCTCTTTTAGTTGACCTACGATGATTATTGATTGACTGGTCCAATCGATCAAGACCCTGGATTATTTCCCCGTACTGGCCTCGTCCGCCCGCCGTATGTCAAACACGGCCCCCCCATAATCGCCATGATTTCCACGTCGCCTGTGCCCGTCGGGTCCAGCATCTTCTTTACCTTGGCTCTGCTCTCGATCTCTGTCCTGGTGTTGCTGCTTCTGCGACGCTTTCTTACGCTCCGCGCTACTCCGGCTTACCTTGCCATTCCCGTCTTCCTTGCGCTCGCGCTTCCGGCCAGTGTCGTACTTTTGGTCCCTATCGACTTAGCATCCAGCTCGCGTGATGGGGGAGGACCCACGGCCATCTGGCTGCCCGACCGTCTCATTCTGGTCTCCTGGCGCATTGCCTACTGGCTTATCTTTGTGCTAACATGGTAGGTGATGTGTAGCGCTACTGGGCCGGTCGCGGCTGTTAGGTCTACTGGATACTGATTTCCCTCGCATCGCTATAGGGCCATCCTTCCCTTACTTGGAGAATACATTGATTCGGGCTACCGTGACCCGAAGGGTCGCATTCAATACTCCATCCGTTCAAATGCGCGATACCAACTGATTGTTTTATGCTGTGCGACGGTCGGACTAATCTACATTTCGATCCAAAATGGCTTCGAGTTCACCTCCATCAAGACGCTCGTGATGGCTCTTGCATATGTCTGGGGTCTCGTCCTAGCCATCTACCTCATGGGTCACGGATTGGTGTCCATTCCCCGCACTCTCTTCCGTAACGCCAACGTCAGTGGTCGACTGCGGAGGATCCAATCTCATGCCCCGAAGCTGCATGATCGCTTGATGGATGCGATCAATGATCTCGAAAGTTTGGAATCACAAGTCGCCCAACTTCAGCGCCGTAAGACGGGCACCGCTCGTGATTTTCAGGAGTGGATTGAAGAGTTGGCAGAGACGGCGAACCCGCCTGAGTTGCGTTCGGGATTCTTGGAACAGGCGGATGGACCCGGCACGGTCCCTGCCGTTATCACGGAGCGCTACCTCGCGGATTTGACCCGACGCCTTCAGCGCGCTCGACACCAAAAGGCTCGCTTCGTTGACGAGTGGGACCGCTTGGTCCTATCTGCCGCCGACATGCAAGCCATTATTAACTCATCCGCATCGACCAAGCTTGAGTTCATCCATTCGCCCCACCGATCAACTTGGGTCCCGAGTGTGAACCTGCTGAGCCCCTATATGCGATACCATCTCTATGTGCACGTTATTCCGAATGTGCGACTCGGGCTGGGGGCGATTTTCTCGGTGGCATCTGTCTGCATCGTCTGGTCGGAGTTGGTCAAATCCTTGGCGCCTCGGCTGTCCGTGGTGACACTTTCCGTGGTGTCCTACCACAAGGATCCGGCGCCGGTCGGATTTGGGCGACAATTGGTTGCCTCTGCTTGGCTGCTGTACATGTGCTCGGCGGCATTGGTGGGTGTCAACGACGCCAAAGTGTGGGGCAACCGTGCCTTGGTCCGCCGGAACACGTACGGGGAGAGCGCGTGCTGGTACGCGGGGCTAGTGGCCAGACTGACCGTGCCCATCGCATACAATTTTCTGACCTTCCTGCCCGCTAGCGTCCGCCAGAGCACCACCTTCTACAATTTTCTGGGCCGGTTTATTGACCTGACCCCTCTGGGGAAGGGCTTCGATTACTTCTTTCCGGTTTTCATTCTGCTGCCCATCGGCGCCACGCTTTTCAATCTCTACGGTCGAATTCAGAACATCTGCAGCTGGGGGTTGATCGAAGAAGACGACGATGACCTGGAAAATAACCCCGGCGGCTACGGGCTAGGCGGGTGGCGAGAGGGCCGTGATCTTATCGATCGGGAACTCAACGGCCTCGGCTCGCTGGGACTTTCCGCCCGTGGCAGTCGGTCGCCTCGCCCGGCCAGTCGCATCGACGAGGACACGCCTGCCTATTCGTCTTCTCGGACTGCACTGCTGGAAAATACTCGGACCCCTCGGGCCTCCAGGGGGACGGCTGCTACCACCCCTCTGATGGAGGACGAGGATGATGATGATAACTTTTTTCAGTCGTTTGCCCACCGAGTGAGGAACACATTTGAGACTGCCAGCAAGCCCCAGTGGCTGCAGGGCGACTCGTTCCGGCTCCCCCGATGGATGGGAAGCGAGGGGAATGAGGGCAACAGCGGTCTTGCAAGGTGGTTTGGTGGTCGGCCAGCGCCTGGTGGGGTCAGACTGTGAACCGACAGTGGGTAGTGTAACCTATACTTGCTGCATTGCGAAGGCGTTGCTGGTAGATCATCTTGGTTAGTAATATTGTATAGATGTACATAGTAAGCTATCAATGAATTGCTCTTATGGGCTGTAAAGGGTACTCTACGTTGCGTCGTAGCCAGGCCTCTTCTTCTACCTATTCATACTATCATTTACCCAATCAGAGCATCGACTACCACAAACACATTACCGTAGGTACAGCCCCAGTCTATACCTTGGTCTCATAGGAACCCAACCGATGCGGGGAACCCAGAACCCACAACGTACCGTATCTCTACCTACCTACCCACCAGCCCAATGCTACGTCGATCACACTGCAGACGTACATTACCATGTCCAGCATCCAGCAGGTACCACCACCTGCTGATGTATGCATATGCATATCAGATAGGCCAGGGGTTGCTGTCAAGTGTCTTCCGGCCAAGAAGGATAAGCTTGTGACCATCATCATACCCCTCTTCCACCATATCAATAACACATGTTGCTTATCCCATGGAGACGGAGACTGGTGATTAGATCATGTCTACTATATAAGGTTGAAATCCACCGGGGCTTGAAGTTCCTCTGTATGTATGACAGAGGCTTGATGCCACGCGACTGAGAGGGAGGTTAGTGTAGGTGGCTATTCGTTCCTACCAGGTTGCAAGGCAGCGATCGATCCGGGGGGGCGATTTTATCCGTGTACTATGTTATTGGTAGAGCTCATGTGGTTTGCTCGGCGTGGCTCCTTGGCTCCTCGTGTTCGTCGGTGCTGGGATTGTAAGCACGCTTGTGTTGTCGATCTATTTTACTTTCGGTATCGCTTGGGAGTATACTGCTAGACTGCTAGATGTCTTTCTTTATCAGAGGGAGGGGAACAAACAGGACTCCACTTATCTATGGTCAGGCGTCAGGATTCGTCGAGAAAAAGAAACCCAAGCTGACGTGCACACGGCACTGTACCCTGTGCATGCCACGTGTGGTCGATCAGATGGGATGCTTTGCTTGGGATTGTGCGACAACCTATGGAAGAGCATACTGTAGGGTTTGTAAGCAGATGAGTATGTCTTGCCTGCGGTGTTTGGGTTGGTGGATTTCTTTCATCAGTTCGGAAGTAATATACTATTGGGTATGGAACTGGGTTCCTGTGAAATCCAATGACTTCCTTTCTGCTTTAGGCCTAACTTGGCGCCGCTATACACTCGCTCAGCAGTTTGGAGTGGGATTAGAAAGAAATATTAAATAAAGTGACGGAAGATGCAACTTTCAAGCAATTGAATAATGAGGTCATCTGACAGGGAGGTGAATTTATGTCTTGCTACTGGTTCATCTTTTGATCAAGTTCACCGCCTAAGATTGGGTTCACCGCCTCATGGATGACTTCTCCCTAAGGCGGTAAACTTGAGGCTCACCGCTCAATAACATCTCTGACATGGAAAGCAGTATATTCCTCTGTCATTTCGATACCTTCACTAACAGCCACATATGCGTTCCAGGTGATGAGATCATTGATGCAATTACCCACCTAAATACTTTGTATCAGATATAGAGTAAGGAAAGTAGTGACGTCACGCACAAGTTCAATTGTGTCTCTGCGCATGCATGCTTCAAAGGGACACTCCCATGATAAAGACCAACACCCCCCAGACCCCTCCGGAGAAGGGGATAAGAAGCCCCAGTCAGCTTCAATCACATATATCGGTGCATTTTAGTGCACGATTACTTCTGCTTTGGAGGCAAGCAGCACGATGCTGAATAGACGGTCCTGTGCAACCTCATCGGGCAGAAACTCTTACAACTGCGAAGCGGTGTTTCCAGTAATCCACTGGCGATCGCAGTCATTGGATAACGAGGTGCGGAACCAGGCCACAATCTTTCAGTACTAACAAAACTTTGACCATTTTTATATGTGTCAATCATATATGGAAGAATCTCTCTCCAGCCATGGTGCGGCATATTCTCGACATAGCTGTACGGAGCTCGACCCGTTGAGAAGGCGCCGTAGGAGCTATTGTCGAGTGGACCAATATCATGAGACTCATCATAGTCATTCCAGCTAATGATCTCAACGACATCGATAGTGTGTAAGGTCCTAAAACTGACTTTACTCGACAGCATCCTACTGGTTTTCAGCATCATCTCATTCCTACCCCAGCTGCAACTCCTCTGGTGAGGAAGAATAGCTCGGGCCTTTCACTTTACTATCTATCCTTCAATTTGATCTGTGCGACCGAGCAGTTTTTCTGTTTTCCTGTATAACAACACCCCGGATGGAGATCCCCACGAACGACAGGATGTTCGCCTTGCTGAGTGGTGTCCATTTCATGTAACTAAATCCGTCCACGACACTCCTTGGACTTGGCTCAGTGTTCTGTCAGGCAGCAAAGCTCCGGAAAGGTCAGCCGCCCCAGCGAGCATTGAGTCTATTAGGACTCGCGGCACAAGCGGGAGTGTTTTCAGCTCTGGCAATCACTTGGCCCTTGCGGGTGACATATCTCGGATCTAGCTGGAATATCTATGCATCATGGTTTACGCTCTACAACTGGTACGTCTTTGTCGGTTGGCCGGCTGATGACAATGGGTCTTTGCTTTAGTCCAGGCAGCTCTGCTGTAGCTGGCATGGAAAAACCAGCATCGCCAGTCGACTATAGTCGATGAGAACGAGCCGCTACTTACGGGAGTGATAACATCTAAGTGCGCCTGAATAATTTTCTTTAAGTACACCCTGTCAAGGATCAATCAGGATGACCTCCAAACTTCCCAGCCTCGGTCCACAACTGTAAATTCCACCAGGTTCGAAGGTGGTATCACAACCTCAGGCCGTCCGTCGTTGTTGGGCGGATGAATTATCGCCCCCCCCAGACCAGTTACTGTTATGCTTGTGTCCTTATAATCCTCCTTTGTTCCCCAATTCCACCAGGTCAGCTTACATCCCGTAAACCGGTATCGAATAACCTCTCCTTCAAGGGCATCATCGGGTAGATACTTCTCACAGGCGAGCCCCCACACTTCAGACCATGTCTGATAGGGCCTCAGAGTTATAAACGCGGCGCTCGTCCCCACCTTGCACTGGATCTCGTCTTCTGGAAACGCAGGATACCCAAGCGCAGCGGTGCTGAGCCAGGAATCCCATTCCCCAGTATTATGGTCACGCCGGTAGGCGGAAAATACCCCCCAGGCATCCAAATCGCTTATTGAGAACGTGATCGATCGCGGGGATTCCCCTCCCGACACTCCATAATATGTAAGCTTCAAGGTCAAGGGCAAGTCTTCCAGCACCTTCCATGTTGCTGGCACATCCAGCTCGAGGCGGAGAATCGGAGTGCCTGGAGTACCGTAACGCTCCTGCATCAGTTGTGGTCAGCATTTTCCCATTAGTAGCTAGATAAGCGGCGGGTTTGGTGTTAAAAAGGTGAACAAGAAAAGACTCACACACTACTGGCACCTGAATCAAAGATCGGGGGACTCCAGGGTCGAGGTAGCGGCAGCGACGGTATATGGCCTTCCACCAAGCTGAAAACACACCGGGCACCCCCTGGAAGAACAATTGGGGTGGATTTAGGGATCAGCTCCGGGAGGGCAGACCCCTCCTTTCCTCCTTTGCTCGTGCCCCAGTCCCAGAAATGCACCTCGCCTCCCGACTAAAACAGCACATACGTGCCCCTTTCACCTTATTCCAGCTCGCGGGACAAGTTCTTACCCAGACTGATGTCCCACGACACTGAATCATTTTCCGCACTCAGGGACCATAGGTGAAGTTGATCCGAACGCTAACATGGCTTGTACCGGTCCTTGAAAGGTTCTCGCTCCCAAAGTCGCTTGGCAGTTACGGTGAAGAAATTCCACGTTAAGTTCTGGGTATAGATGTTTCGCGGCCCACTGAGAGTTACCTCCAAAGCCGGAGTGTTTGGGCTATATTTGTAGCCGCCATGTCAGCATCTATCTGCAGTCCGCCATATCCACCGTGGGGATTCTCGTACTGTCGGTTTTCATCAGAGAACCTCAAATTAGGTACAAAGGAACTATCCTTTTTTTCTTCTACCTTGTTTTTCCCCTTCTTTGGTGTAGGCTAGTAAACGTGAAGGGGAATCTAAACCGATTTTTTGAAGGGGAATTGAAGGTGGAGTTTACAATGATATCAAGACAATTTGTACATTCAGGCTAGAGAAAATAGACCGACCCCTGATTGTTCTACCCCCCTCCTTTTGTTCCTTACGCGGAAATATAATTACACGAACAAGGGCAGATTCATTTTAGGGGGCAGTCAGTGAGCCTCACTTCTGTCCCGTTCCGTCCCATTCCGCCCGGTAACTCCTCCGGGCTATCTATCTACTGTTGCTTGATGGATTTACCCCTCTTGGCGCTTGCTCAGGCCACAATCCCAAGCGAGTCAACAGCCCCACCAAGTGAAGAAACTTGTGCTTAGCATTCGAACACCAGGGTCAGGCCTCGCCCAACCCATTTCTCAGCGGGTTTTGGGTCGATGGCCTAAACCCGCGGGTTGGGTATATGTAAGGACGGAGGATGATCTGACAGATTTCTAGTCTATAGATATAGTTATGTAGGGCTCGCCATTGGCGGGTGGATGTGGGGTGGTCGGAAGTCCGATCAAGATGTCCGATGTCTACGTACCCACCATGCATATACGAACCAATACCACCTCCGGATGTTTGATAGACACACATACGGATATCAATACTCCCCCAAAACATAACTATGACTTCATTTCATCTTTCCCCAGATGGCATTCCCCATGACTGGCCCAAATCCAGCTAGTATTAGTATAAAGGGATTCCCACCCAAAAATAATAACAAGGTCTTCTGCAAGACTCGGAAACGCATTGGCTAAGGGTTGGGTTGGCACACGTCCGGAATCCCCGTGGCCAGAACAACAGCCTCTTAACAAAGTATACAGGCACTGGTACCGTCCCTAGCAGCACAGGTCGATGAACAGAGCCAAAATAAAATATCATGGGTATCCCAGCCAACGTTTGATATCATTCCACAGCCCTCCCTCCCTCGGAAGCTGTGAGCCCTGAGCACAGAGTTCCGTCCGCTCCCAGAACCTCTGCTCATCAAGCACGGCCTCACCCCATGCCATGGTCCACTCTTCACGGGGTAGGTAAGGTGACGAATCAAAGACCAGTCTCCAGGCGTACGGATGAGCCCAGCCGGGAATTCCAGTCCGCTGCGTTTCCCATTGCGTGAAGAATCGACCATGCTCGAGTCGAATCTTGGAAGTCTTTGCCCGGAATGCATGTTCCGTCAGAGCAACCTCGTTTAGTTTGATCAACTTGGAATCGGATTCATAAAAATCGGAGGGCCGTCGCGTGGTGTACGTGATTTCGATTTCAAATTCGATGCATTGCATGCATCGGCCCGCAAGAAAGGAAATCAGACAGAGAACTGATGGTAAGAAAACGATATTAGTCCATACACACAACACGTATTGATTGTCTTTCTAAGATCATCACAATACAGCTAATATGTAACTGTAAGATGACATCCGCTCCATAGTAGTGGTTTATGGCTGTGCAAGCTTATGTATCAGCAGAAGGAGAACATGGATTGTGACACATGCTCGTTTTCCTGCCGGCAGAATATCTGGCGTATGCATGGCCTAGTATTCTGCCGGCACAATCCGGTATTCGAGAAGCAGCCCTTACAGCCTCCTAGTGAGTGTTACATGATGACCATTGGCGCTGGCGACGAGTAAGTACTAGATTCCTATTCTTGATCGAGTCAACGCCGTGAAGACGGTTGTATAAGCGACTGCGTTTTCGAAGCGAACTGTCGATCGGTTAGGGAACGCTTTGAAAGGCTGGTGTCAAAAGCAACCAACCCTTTCAAAAGCAAATTGAGTAGCTCATTTCCTTCCCGACTGTAGGGCGAAAGCTTTGCGACTCAAGTTATGTTGTTTTGTAGATTTCTGACGGAATTTAGCCGCTTACTCGTGAGCTTTCGCTCTGGTCATAGGCCCGATTAGTTCCAATTTCTCCACCAGTTTGACGGAGAAACTTATAGTCGGGTGTCTTGGCCGACCATGCTTTTCCTTGTAAGCCTCGCAGTCCACATGGTGCTCGTATTCTGTTCGTCCCGTGAGGGGAAGAAAAAGCAAGGCACAGGCACAAGCAGCCTTGTCTGGAGAAGAGGGTGTCTGCCTTGACCAATATCGGTAGCAGTGCAGACGAGCAGTAGTATTCCGTAGGCTGTATCTAGGCTGTAGGCTGTAGGCTGAAGTCGCGCAACTCGGATCCTTCACCGCGACGGCAAAAAACCCACTCCGCCTTATCTGCCTGTTCGAGCTAAAGTGGCCAGCTTCCATGACCTCAACAACCCTCGTCATTCCCCTCATTGCCTCGTGCTTGGCCATCAATCCATGAGCCAGCTGCTCTCCCACGTTTCTCTGTCCTCCCTGGGCGAGACGTGCGCTTCCTACTTAGACCACGTCGCTACCAATCTTCCCCCGTCCCTGCACACCTTCCATCACCAACTCGTCACCACTCTTTCGTCCACCAAAGCCTCGTCTGCCCTGCGCCTGCTCCCTTGGCCCGAGTTGGTCGCGGACCACGCCGAAAGCGCTTACATCACCCCGGTCGCTTACACCCTTGTCGCCTGCACAGTTGTGCTTCTCGCCATGTCGTGGCGCACCCCGTTCGCCAACTTCTGGCGCCGCGGCTCCCCCAGTTATACCAACGTTGACAATCCTCCTCAAGTCAGCGATAGTGACTTCAGTTATATTACGCACGATGATATTGTCGATGCGCCCGCTCCCGGGTACCGGAACCAGTACGCCGGGGAGGATAGCGAGCCCGACACCCTTATATTGAAGCACCGCAAGGAAAAGTACGAGCTGCACTTTCCTGCCTACGCTATCAATGACGGAGCCCTTAGTGTGGGTCAGCTGAGACAGCAGGCCGCGAAAGCGACGCGCACGCCTGACCCGAACCGGGTGAAACTGCTCTACAAGGGGAAGCTGCTGGACAACGACGCGCTGCCGTGTCGGTCGGAGGGGCTGAAACAGCAATCGGAGGTGCTCTGCGTGGTGTCGGGCGTCGAGCCCGGTGAGAGCTCGCCCAGCGAAACTTCCGAGGCTGAGGCGGAGAGAAACGCCGAGTCAGCCCGTCAGGAGGAGTCGCGTCGCAAGCGGTCGGGCAAGGCCAAGAAGCGCCACGGCAAGAATAAGAAGAAGGGGAAACAGGCCGATGGTGCTGGCACTCTTGCACCGCCAGCCGAACCTTCGCGGCCGTCCTCCGCTGCCGGTGGATCCGGCATGCCCTCTCCTGCGCCCAGTCTCAATGCTTTCCGCACGCCGCTTGAGCAGGTGGATGGCCTACTGTCGTATCTGCGTCGGGAGTTGCTGCCGCTATGCGAAGAGTATATCGCGAACACCCCGACGGATGAAAAGTCGCGCACTTTTGAGTACAAGAAGTTGAGCGAGACGATCCTGGCGCAGGTCATTCTGAAGGCGGACGGCATTGAGGTGTCGGCCCAGGAAGGTGCTCGTGAGGCGCGCAAGGCTCTCATCAGAGAGGCGCAGAATGCACTCGACAGCCTGGACAAGGTGAATAAGAATTGAGGCTGCACCTTGTCTATGTACATGATTTCGAAAGATATATGGAAAGATTATGATAATAATATAAGACGAAATAGAGAATCAATTACTTCGTTGCTTTGCTTAGTCCGATAATTTTCTGTCTCGAAACGTACTGTATCTAAGGTTTGTGACTCAGGGATTACATGGTGACGGCGTCGGGCGAGATTGAGGACACTGGATAGGGTCCTTGCAGATTAATGTTGAGGTGGTGCATGCAATCCATGTCTCCCATAAGCACTCCACGTGCTGTAGTTCATTGCGGTGAGAGAGGATACTCTCCGAGCCAATGCCAGTGCCAGCGCTTCAACCAAGGATGACCCGGTTCAGGGACCATCAAGGTTGCGGATGACCTTGGAAGGACGAACCTTGGCGATACGAGCCTGTCCGCACCGGTTTGTTCTGCTTGCTGTCGTCATGACCGGTCAATTGAAGTTGTTTGTCTGTATTAGAGATACCGGTATCGTCCGGTCATGACGAGGCAAGGGTTGTATAGACCGAGCCATGGAAATAATGACCTTCACAACCGCTATGTAATTATCTCCACGCCTGCATGGGTATGGTCATGGTTCCTTCTTTCAACTATAAATGGTAGGGTCGGCAGATCCTCCGGTAATGCATCGCCCAACGATATACAAATTAAGGTAGTCCCAACTACTTAATACCTAGTGGGACATATGCTGTTGAGATCTACCGGTGTCTAAGCTAGGCGAATTGCGACTAGCTGCCTCGCTTACAGGCAAAGGAAGGATACGTATCACAGTCGAATCTAGATGAGATGTGACTCGAGTCCCTAGGTCACCCCTTAGCCTCGGTTGGCCGTTACGCCGTCACCGCGGACGCGATGTCATATCGGACCGATCGACTGAGGCGGCAAGTCGAGGGTCCAGGCAAACAGGCAGACTAAATTCCAATCCAGGGGCAACGCGTCGAGAGGCTTAATGGAAATGAAATCAAATCAAATGAGATGAAATGAATGTGAGGGTTCAGCTGCAAGCCTGGAAGACCAGAATTGGGCCGCACATGGGCGTTGACGACAGGCAGTTAGAACGACCGATCGACAACCGACATCTTTTTTTTTCCTTCTGGTCCCCTTCCTTGTCGGCGTTGGGGGGGCTGATTGGCCCGACGAGTTCTAGGCTGTCTGATAGTCGGCGGCGGACTAAGCCGCTCGGGGCGTAGCTTGAATGCCCCCGTGTCTCTCTCACTTGGGCTCTCTTTCAGTTGTCTCGCCGTCTTGTCCTTGTCCTTCTCCCTCTTCCCTCCTCTTCCTCCTGCTCCATCTTTTCTAGACCGCTCGTATTCTTCCATTCCCCTCTTCTTCTTCCTCTGCTTCTCGTTGGATCGGACCCTTGACGGTGGACTCGACCTCTCCTCTTCCTCTATTGAGACTCTAATTTGTCCCCTCCTCCCAAGTGTCAGTCAGTCCTGGCGCCACGGTCCAGCCACATCTTTGCACCACTCCTTTTCCTTGGTCTTCCCCTCTTCTCTCCTCCTCCGCCTCCTCTCCAGTGGTTCAACTTCACCGTCTACCCCTCGTCGGGTTCCTCCCCTCCCTACTCGATCGATTCATATTAACTCCCCTAATAATCCCCCTCCCATCCTATTCCATTTTCTTCCCCTCCCCGACGGTTCTTATTCCCGGACCCCGACAATTCTCGCCCGGCTGCCAGGCACCATCCGCCTATAATATTGCCTGGCCCGGAGATACGTCCACGGTACCGATCCCGCCGGTCCCTGACTTCCACCTCGTCCACCCCGGCTACATCACGCTGCAATTTTAAGGCTCCGGAATCTCCACTCGCTTGCTGTTTACGATTTCCTTCTTTCGGATCGCCTCTCGTGTTCCGCCCCCTTTCTTGCCGACTCGTGAACTCCGAGGCATATTCCCCAACCACCCGCCCCTCACATCGTACATACAGTTGTTGGCTTAGGGGTATCTACTCGAGCGTCGAGACGACGGCCCAGCGCGGTTGGTGATTCTGGTCTGTGCGCTACTGGGATGGCCTGATCGGGGAAGAAGACGGGAAAAATTCACCTAGTGACAGACTCTCTTTAATTATCCTGCCACCACGACCGCCACACCCACGGGTTCCAGCTGGCCTGGCCTTGTCTGATTCTTAATATTGCTGTTGGAATGGCGGGGACCGCTACCGCGACTTATACTACAGATGTTTGGACGTCACCCAGTGTAGACGGGAGTCAGTGGGAGTATGCTGTCCCGCTCCGACAGGATGTAAGTACCTGCATTTGGCCTTGCACTGCATCAGGCAGTTTCGCTGATTTTGGCTGGTAGAGTACCGTCCGTCGCTCCAAGTCACGATCGTCCCGCGAATCTCACGCCAGGTCCAAGGAGCGTAACTCCAAAGGCGGCTCTCGCAGTTCATCCTTGTCGCGGCACGCCTATGCTCACGAGCATTACTCCCGAGGCCGTCGAGAGGTTAGCCACAGTCGACGGGGAAGTGAAGCGGAAAGCTCGCGGTCGATCTACGGACACGATATCGGCAGTCCCAGGGCCAATGTGAAAGACTCGGCGGATGCACTTTATCGGATGGGATCAGTGCGACAGGGTGAGCGGAACGATGGCATTGGGTTGTACCTGAACGAGTTCGACCAAGACAATTGGATTCACCGCGACAAGCTGGCCAAGATTGAGAGTGAGGAGCTGCAACAGGCTGCCATTCTCCTACAACGTCGGGCGGGAGCCGAAGGCAACAAGACGAATCGCGCCAAGACTCACGACTCGTATGGGACTCCCGTGGGCAGCCCGCCGACCGAACTGGAACCCTGGCCTAGTTTGCGTGACGAGTCCCGTTCCCCGACATTTTCGGAGGGCGAACGCGACCAATGGGATCCTCGACGACCGGAAGAAATTGCGGCGGATAAGACGGACGACGGAGCGTCAGGCTTCTACCACAACCCGGGACTGCGCAAGAGCTCCTCACGGATCCCCATCCCCACCACCAGCCCGGCGCCGGTTGCAGCCGGACATGCCGGGCGGGATGTTTCAAAGCAGCGCACACGGGCCATGACGAACGGCGAAGACGAGATTCTGTCCTTTGGAATGCCCCGTCGGGCGAGTGAGCCAATGTCGGTGGACTCTGCCAGCAATATCACCCCGGCGGGAAGCCGACCTGGCAGCCGCGGGAACGCCCTGCAGAATGCGGCGGGCAAGAAGACTACGGCCAAGGGCGCCACAAATCGCAAGACGTCGGCTCCGCCGGCGACACGGAAGGCAACTCCCAGAAGCCGGGTGCCGTCGAGCACGCAGCGGGCTGGCAAAAGCGACAGCCGTCCGATCAACCGGCCGGAAGGTGACCCGCCGTGGCTGGCGACGATGTATAAGCCGGATCCTCGTCTCCCGCCGGACCAGCAGATTCTGCCTACTCATGCACGACGGATGCAGCAGGAGCAGTGGGTCAAGGAGGGCAAGACGCCTACCACGTATGATCGCGAGTTTGCGCCTCTAGCCATCGGACATGACGGACCGATTCCGATGGAGAAGCTGGCGCCGAAAGAAGAGCTGGAGCCCGCGCAGACGGAGACGGAGAAGGAGAAGGAGAAGGAGAAGGAGAAGGAGAAGGAGAAGGAGAAAGAGGAGCCGACATCACAGAAGAGCCCCAGCTTGAAGAAGAGTCCGAGCCTGCAGGCGCCCAAGGGAACGGAGCCGGGGCGACCGAATTCGAGCACGGGGTACAGCACGATGCCGCGGGTGCAAGAGCCCCCGATGGCGGCGTTGCAGCCCAAATGGAGCCCGCCAGTGGTGACGGCGCAGGAGCCGCCGCCGAAGGAAAAGGGGTGCGGGTGTTGCATAGTGATGTGAGGTTAGTATTGGCACCGTCGTTAAGATACCTATTTCCTGCATTGTGTTTGTTTTTGAGCGTTGGGTGGGTGGTGTTGATCTGTCTAGGATTTTAATAGCCATTTCACCGTTCATTCATTACCTTTTGATCTGTCTGCTGTTAATCCTGATATTGATCTGATCTGATCTGATTCTGATTTGATTCTGATTCCTTGATATTCTTGATTCTGTTCAGAGCCTGCATTGAGCGGTCATTACGACATCACGCGTCTTTCCTTGCATCAGCTTTTCTTTGTGGTAGTAATAGACATTGATTGACTACATTTCAATATACACGAAAGATGTAAAGATTTAGTAATAAGTACCCTTCTAGAACCACCCATCCGCAGTATCCAGCGGAGTCTAGTCCAACATGGACAGGTATGATGCCATCTGACTAATCACCCACTAGCGGCACTTGCGTAATTCCAACCCTCCATTCACCATCCACCCCATCCCTCCTCATCCCATCATCTCCAGCAAATCAGCAATATACCGACCGAACGCGTCTTATAAACCCCTCTACCCCGCCCCCTCACCCTCCTCTCTTTTCAATTCCACGAGCGACTCCGGTCCCAACCGCCCACCATTTCCTCCATCTTCGCCCGTCTATTCGGCTCTTTTGCCGCCCCGTCCACTGCCACCATGTCCGCCGCAAAGACTAAGGCCCAGACTTTGATTAATGAGAATGGCGTTGGTAGGTCCATCCCCTTCTTCTGAGGAGTCGCTTTCATGTGCTGGTATGTATAATAAGATATGTGCTAATGTGATGTGAATTATGAATAGTCGTCTTCTCCAAATCCTACTGCCCCTACTGCACCGCTAGCAAGGAGCTCCTGAATAGCCTCGGCGCGAAGTATGTCACGCTTGAGTTGGATCAGATTTGTACGTCTTCCCCTCCCCATACCCTACCCTTCACACCCGTCCCGTACCCTCCTATCCTATCTTCATACCCTATCCATCTACATATCCCACACTAGTATGATAAACCCATACTAATATTTACTGTACAGCCGACGGCAGCGCCATCCAATCCGCCCTCGAGGAAATCTCCAACCAGCGCACCGTTCCCAACATCTTCATTAAGCAGCAGCACATTGGTGGAAACTCGGACCTGCAGAGCCGCAAGGGCGAGTTGAAGGGTTTGTTGACTGAGGCGGGGGCTTTGTAGATGCTTCCCTGTTTTGTTAGAGTTGGTAGGAGGTAATGAATGCATAGATTATGAGTGATATGGAGTACTTTGTAGGCTTGTAGGGGTTGGGATGAGTGGGATGATGGTATATTCGTATCGTACACTGATTATACATGGACTACACGAGTCAATCTAGAGGATGAGGAAGAGAAGAGGAGAGGGGGCTATACAGTCCCAACCGGCCGTTCCACAACCCCCATGATCCCATCCACCACACTCCGTCTCGCCCCCTCACTCGAGACATTCTTCCCCGCCAGGTAATTCATCCACACCAACCGACTGATCCTCTCATCCGTCACTCGGCCCATATACCTGCCCGGTCCCTTCTCTCCCCACACCAACACATCCAATTGACCCTTCCTCCCCCTCGCCAACACCAACGTCTGTCCCTTGGGCACATTCTTCTGTCCCGCCCCACTAAACAACCCCTTAAACTCCCCCATAGCCTTCCCAAACCCCTCACCCTCAAACTCCCCTCCAGAAGTCGGGTTATACTTCTTCGCCCGTCCCGTAATCCCCCTCACCCACCCATCCCTCAAATGCAAGAAATCCGTATTCCGTGTCGGCACGATCCGAAACGCCGTCCGCAGTCCTCCCTCCTTCAAAATCCCCTCCCACGCCTCATCCCCCCGCTCCGCCTGATCCAGCAATAACTCCCGCAACCGGTCCCGCTCCATCGACACCAGCGATGTCGCGGCCGCAGCCCCAACTTCGTTCGCGATCACTTTCTCCCCGCCGTCTTCCACATGAGGCGGATGCACCGCCGTCCGCACCAGTCGCGATTGCAGTTCCGCCAGATCGGATTTCGCGACATACATGCCTACCACGTAGACTTGGAAATTGAGGAAGGAGACGGTGCGGATGCCGAGGCCGAGGAGTTGGTATTCTTCTCCTTCTTCCTCTGCAGCATCCTTCTTGACAAGAGGGATTTCTTCTCCCGATTGCACAGGGGTATCATCACTCTCAATCCACCGCGGAAGTCTCATCACCGTCGGAAAATACGGAACTGAACTCGTCCCTGTCTCCACCTTCTCCCCTTCCCCATCTTCGCCATGGATGATCGTTAATGTAGGATTCCCTGGGAATCCCACCGGGCCGTCGAGTTTCATTGCCCCATTCCCTTCTCCATCCTGCTTATTCTCATTTCCGGTCTCCGTGGTGGTGGTGGTAGTGGTCTGCTCCAATCCAAACACATCCGCTTTAATCACGGCGTACATGCCCACCGCGCAGAGGATGATTCCGCTGGTCGAGATGTAGATGGAGCGTTTTGTGCGCGCGAGGTCTTGGTCTCGGCTGCGGGGGGAGGGGGTGGTGCGGAGGGGGTTTTTGGGGTTGGTGGTTGTGCTGGTGTTGCGGATGGTTCGGGGAGTGCTGGGGATGCGGGATTGGCGGAGACATTGTGTGCGGGCGCGGGCGGCGGCGCGGAGTTGGAGTTGGAGGGGGGGTATTGGGGGCATTTTGATTCAATTGGTGGGTGGTGGTGATGGTTCGGGTGGGTTGGATGGAGGTAGGTTGTAGGTAGGAGGTAGAGGTGATGGATGTGTGGAGATGGAGATGGGGATGGAGTGATGATGACGGCACGTGATTATGAGTGCCCTGATTGGGTGGTTTCGTGTGTATCATTCCCCGGGTACGGAGTATACATTTTCACAAGGTTGGGTAGAGGGGAAATAAATCAATATGTACTATGTATGCTAATGCACCACTACTTTGTAAGTCCCTCCCCCACTGACTCCCACCGTGGCCATCTGGTTGGCATACTGTACTCCATGGGTAATCTCCGTCCCGTCGATCTGGATAGTCGGTTTCGCGGCGCTGATGTACGGCAGAGTGAGATTCCCCTTGGTTCCCTGTGGGACGGTAAAGTCGAGAGTATATCCATTAGATGTCCGTGACCACCCCGCCTGGAACGTCCCGAGCGACGTCGTGAATCCACCCTCGGCCGACTCTAGATCGACAAACTGCGGGGCGATGCGCCAGGTCGCTCCCAGTGGAGAGGTGACGGTGATCCCGACGATGTAGTTCGTCAATGCGGACGTCGGCCCGGACGACCATCCGTGCGAGTGCGATACGTACGCTGTATCATCGTAGTACCCTCTATCCCAGCGGTACCCGAACGTGCCGTTTTGCAGGTATCCCTCGATGACGGTGCTCTGTGTGCCGTTCGGGTTGTGGTAGTACCAGCCCCAGCTACGTCGGATTAATTCCAGAGCGCGCGCGGGCTGGCCTACCGTGAGGTGACCCTGGATTTCGAATGAGGAGATGAACGGGGAGATGTTCTCCGGTAGTTCCGGGGCTACAGCTCCAATTGGGGTCCAGTTGTCGGTCAACCGCTCGGAAATGCTAGCGGCCCGGTCGTCGTCCACTACTCCGAATAGCAGGGCCATGCTGTTGGCGTCCTGGGGGTGGAGCGTCGTGTCGGTGGCGTTGTCTTTGAAGGCACCGTATGCTTCATCCCAGCAGTATTCGTTGATGGCTTCACGCAGCTTCGCGGCCCGGCTGGTCCATGTGTCGGATAGGCCGCTTGTATCTCCGACCCAGGTGGCGAGATCGGCGCCAGTATTGAGAGTGTGATACAGGCTGGCAGGGTTAGTCAATTCCACTAGTTACGTGACGGGTGGTGACTTACATCATCTGTGCCTCGGAATTGTTGTATCCCTGCTGCCACCGGGCCCAGTCGCGCGTGCCCGTGACGTCCAGCAGGCCGCTAGGATAGGTCACCTTGCCGTAGATGTAGTCCATGGCCCGCTGGTATCCGTCCCAATTTCTCTCGAGGAAGTCGCTGTCGTTGGTGAAGAGCATGTAGTTGTATGTCCCGACCATGGTCCACATGTGGTATGTGTCCGAGTCCTTCTGGCTCAGCGGGGGGCCAGACTCGTCAAAGGCACCGGTGGAATTGTTCTAGTGACATTAGTGTCTGGGTCAAGAGCGGGGTCGGGCTGCATACCTGTGTATCGTACATGATCTGCAACGCATTCTTCACACTCTCCAAGTTCCCCAGACTCACAAATGCCGAGGGAACGGCAATTCCCATGTCGCCTGGCCACACCGCGCGGTCACGCTTGGCACCGTCGACAATGATCGTATCGCCGTATCCCAGCGTGGCATTGTTCGCCCAGCCTTCAGCAAGCGCTGGGATCTGACGTCCCGTGTTTGTCGGAACCTCGTTCGTCTGCAGCGTATAGGCGCCGGTGTACCAGATCTTGTTCAGCAGGTCGTCATTCGAGTGAAAGTACCCTTGGTAGGCCTTCAAATTGGACCAGGTAGGCTGGAAGCCAATCTCCAGGCTCACGTCTTCAATGTGAGCGGAGACGTTGCCGCTGGTGATCAGGAAAAGAGTCAAGTAGCGGAAGCCACCACGCAGATACTTGTCCGGCATGACATAGTAATGGCTTCCGGCCTCAGTGAAGTTGCCGTAGAGAGCGCCATCAGGGCCTTTGAAGCCACCGTTGGACGAGTCCGACCACTCGCCAATCCAGTTCTTCGCCTCGGTGAAAGCCACCCCCAGTGCACCGCTACCCGTGGAGGTGTAATTCACGGAGACGATGCCGCCAACCTCTCTTCCAAAGTCATAGACCACCAAAGAACCATTTCCACGCAGCGTAAACGGGGCATAGTCTGCCGTGTGGCTTGGCTGCGTGATGAGGAAGAGGTTCTCCGGATTCACCGTTCGCGATGACGGCGCGAAGATGTTTTTCTCCCACGGTCCAGGAAAGGCAGTGTCGGTCGGGCCGGAACAAGTGGTGTCACGCCAACAGCTCTGTGCCACTGAAAAAGGAAGCAGAGCGAGCACGCCCGACAAAAAGTTGGACCAGCGCATTTTGTCGTCGATAACCTGTCCGCAGGCACCAAAGCCGATGACAAGAATGCAGACCCAAGATCATTCTGGTGCACAGGACCATATAAACGTGCTCGAAAAAATGTTCCTCCGGACAATTACCCCGAAGGTAAAGAGGGGTCGCTAGCTCTCGAGTCATACAATTTCTCGCAATGCTTGTCTGATGGCGTGGATCGATTGGCTCGAAGGTCTGGGGAATTAAGCAGGGCCGCCTCTCGGCTGAATGGCGACACGGTCCATCGGATATAAGCGAAGGCAAGCTTTCTGACTCGTCCAGGGGCACGGCGTTGGTTGGCTGTGCAGTAGCGACGATGGCATGCAGGCGCCATTGGTGGAAATTCCCCCAGGAGAACCCGTCGATCCTGCATCACAGCGTCAGTCAAATGCCTGTGCATCACGGATTCCCCGGTTTTTCTCCGCACCGTTAAGCCGGCGATATTGCTGGGTCGTGGTTCGGTGGAAGTCGTGCCGAGTCTGGTGGATTGCCCATCGATGGCTGCACGGAGTTCATAAATGATGTCGGATGGCTCCCAGGCATTTGCAACGCGGAACCAGCGGCAACCATGCAATTGTTGGCTTCGGTTTCATGCCTGCTGGGGCTGTTGGCCTTCAGCCATGCCGGCCATGTAGAAAACAACAACAACGTCTGCACCGTCAAGGCCAACGGGGGCCAGCAAGACGATGTGCCTAATCTGCTGAAGGCATTCGAGCAGTGTGGCAATGGAGGCACCATCGTCTTCCCTGAGGACCAGTCATACTGGATCGCGACAAGGTTGCATCCGACGTTGAACAACGTGGCGATCGAATGGCGGGGGAAGTGGACGGTAAGAGCCTCGTCGCGACTCAAATGTCAGCTGACTCCTGACTGCTGTAGTTCTCCAACAACCTCACCTACTGGCGCAACAATTCCTACCCCGTGGCCTTTCAGAACCACCACGCCGGCTTCATTATCAGTGGCCACAACATCTCCGTCAATGGCTATGGAACCGGAGGCATCGACGGCAATGGCAATGCCTGGTACTCAGTTGAGAAAAGCGACACCCAGCCCGGGCGCCCCATGCCCTTTGTCTGGTGGAATGTCTCCGATGTCGTCGTCGACAGTTTCTATGTCAAGGACCCGCCCTTGTGGAGTGTCAACATCATGAACGGGACCAACATGCGCTTCAACAACATCTACTGCAACGCCACGGCCGTGGATGCCCCTTGGGGCGATAACTGGGTGCAGAACACCGATGGCTTTGGTAAGGATCCGGATCTCTCTTAGAGCCTAATTAACCATCAATTTTGCCTGCAGACACCATGGATGCCGTCAACATCCAACTCACCAACTTCGTCTACCAAGGCGGGGATGACTGCATCGCCATCAAGCCCCGCTCCTACAACATCGACATCCAGAACGTCACCTGCGTCGGTGGCAACGGCATTGCCATCGGCAGTCTGGGCCAATACTTGGAAGATAGTAGCGTGGCCAACATCCGCGTGGATAAAGTCAAGGTACCCACCCGATCCCGGCATCCCACCGGCAGTGCTGACCCCTCAGATCATCCGCTACAACGAAGACATGCACAATAGCGCTTACCTCAAGACCTGGGTCGGAGCCCTCGTCCCCCAGAGCTCCTACGAAAGCGCCGGTGTCCCTCGCGGCGATGGGTGGGGTAGTATCCGCAACGTCCTCTTTTCCAACTTTAACGTCCAAGGCGCCAGCGCCGGCCCGTCCATCAGCCAGGACAGCGGGGACAACGGCTCCTATGCGGGAACGAGCAAGATGTCTATCTCTAATGTCGCATTTGTCAATTTCACGGGTTGGGTGGATACTGCGAAATCGGTCGTTTCGACGGTTTCGTGCTCGGACGTTCACCCCTGCTATAACATTGACTTTGACAATGTGGTGTTGTATCCAGGGAAGAATGCGACGACACCGGGGACAGGTTCTTGCAAGTATACAGCAGACGGGGGAGTGCATGGCTTGAGCGGGTGTTGATTCTGCTGTGCATTGTTCCTGAACACATATCTGTAAGCCACATGGATGGCTGAATTTCAGTCACACAAATAGATCTGAGGGATGATCCTAAACATAGCATGTACGGCCATGTAGCACTATCACCAGTGAGGAATAGTAATTAAACTGTAACAAGTCATTCATTCACTGCCAGAAAAAGCTGCCTCCGAGCCAGTGAAACATCACTACCTCCTGCAGGGTATGCCATTTGTGAAGAGTAGCTATTTACCAGCCTTTCTTGAGATTGAATCCGGTTTCATGCTGTAAACCAGTGAAGCCAACATATATCAACAATATTCTAGTTCACATTCAACTGTGAAGTCTCAGCTCCTACAAAATGAGAATGCTGTACTTTACCGGAGTTACTCTTTGGCTTCACTACCTATGAATCCATGGGGGAATCTTTCACAAAAATTAAATTACAATTCCTCCCTATGTATGGAGGCAAGCCACTCCATTCGACTACTGGTTTGCTTGCAAGAGGTGTTTCAATAGCATTTAATTGGCCACCATTCCCTCTAAAAAAGTAACTATTCATCCTCCCCTTCTCCACAACCCAAACTAGATCCTCTTCACCCATCTCCTTAGAAAACTACTTATAAGTAACCTCCACTGCTCGTACCATAATGGCCACCCCCCCCTTCTCAAGCCTCAGAATTCCTATATCGAGCCACTTCTATCAAACAACGATATACTCAAACAACAACGACCTAACTAGCTCCTTACGGCTTTCAGACCAAAGCCCCAAGATCAACTGCACGGGATTAAATCATCTATCCGTCTAAACACTTTCCCCATGCTAAGAAAGGATAAATTCCACAATAATTCCACCCTGGTATATATCCTCTCAGAAAGTGGTCACGCAAGCGAGCAACGAGGGGAAGTGAACGCAAAGAGCCATGAGAATCCCTCCACCCCTGGTCCTTTCAAGTCAGTGTGAGTTTATCTAGTCTACTACCAGTATTTCTAGTACTGATCATTGTTCTTATATATTAGGAGTGGTGTTTATCTGGCTCTTGCTGGGCTCACTCCAGATTTATACACCACGACCCTCTTCCACATGATCCGGGTCCGATACCGCGAAACGGATATCATTCTAGCTGAGGCGGGATTCGACATGGGGATTATAAGCTAACATTCAACCTGAATCTTTATACTACGTGGGTATGAGCAACTAGGCAGAGTCTAACTCCTAAGGCGCATACACCCATCGCTATATCCTAGAATCACAACGGCATCTTATCAACTACACGCATCTGGGAAGCCACCTCTCCGGTCGAACGACAGCCCAGTCTACGAGACACACTTCCTCATACACTCCTGCCGAGCCATTTGCGATGAAGCTCACAAAGTCAAGAAAATAGATACCATGGAATATCAGGGACAAAGCTCTGATATCAAGCGTATATCAACAACCGCCGACACTTTATCTGGTTTCCCACCTTCGAAGCGGAAGATATCCAAATAATGAACGAGAAAGCACGCGCAAAAGGCTTTGCGCTAGATAATTCAGGTTCTAGGCCTGAAAATACTGCAACAGCTAGAAGATATTATTTGGGGCACCGGAATGAAAGCACGCGACCAGCCTAGAAGGTCCAAAGCTAAGGCCAAACGGCTCGCTGCCAATAAGAAGCAGCGAAAGGCTTACCATCGGCGAAGGACAAGATGATCTTGGCAAATATCAAGAGAAAGGGAGACTGATGATGCGGGATTGAACCCTTACAAGACTAAGCGGACCCGGAACAGAACGAGGCCCGGCGATCGAAAGAAAGAGAGGCGCAACGGAAATGGTGTACACGGATTATTGAACTGGAGAAAGCCAGGTTCGATGTGCCAGGAAACAGGTCTAGAGTGACCGCAGGGCAGCCAAGAGAGAGAGCAAAGAGCAAGGTGGTATAGGATCCGTTGAACCTAAGAAAATCACTCAAGGGAGTGTCATGGAAGAGACGCGAAGAAGGGACGGCAGATGTTTATTATAAGAAAGACAAACTCCAAGAACCCATACTAGGGCTAAAGGAAGTTAGGGGGTGGATAGCTTGGAGGACCCGATCGCACGAGTCGAACACCAGGAGCTCAACGAACATTTGAGGGTACAGACTTCAGACAAGCCATCGAGGGCGAATGGCAAGCGGTTCAGGCGCACCGTGCGAGGGAAAGCTAGTAGGAAACTAGCAAGGAGTATGCCTACCAGTGAAGCTTTGAATGAGCTTGTTGTATTTGGTAAACAACCAGAACTCCTGCATTGATGCTACGACAGCGAAATCATAAGTCCAACACTCTCATAAGTCATCATGGTCAGCACGCGAAGATGTACATGCAAGCAATCCATGCTTATCTTTAAATATACCTAGTATCCCAGTATCTCGATACAAAAGTAGAAGCTGGAGTAGATAGCAGGAAGATCAGCATCCCACATCTCCAACTCGCCTTGGTAGCCGAACTATCGCCCGGGCGAGCGATGGCGTACCCCTTGTGAGACAAAAGGTACTTGGTACATCGAAAATATTGAAATCATGTAAGTCGGTCTGGTAAATTGGGCTTGCCGTATGAATGATCCAACTTTCCAATAGATCATTGGGGTTCTATCTCGATCATCATGATCAAAGGGCTTGTTGTGATCAGCATACTTCCAAAAGCCGACGGGTAATGGAACAGCTAGAGCACGCACCGGAACAGATGCTGAGTAAGGTGGCACGTCGCTTACTAACTAATGACTTAATCATGTCATGTGGTATTAGTTATATAGAGATCACTCTACAGCTTCATCTTTACAATGGCTACGAGGAACATTTTGAACGAAAGGATTCGTGATTCAAGTCCTGTAGGATCAACTACATAAACTCAAAGTCTAAATTTCCGTAATTCCACGTTTTGTGTGATCATCAAAGGTTCATCATGGCATATTCACCCTGCACCAGCTTATTTCTTACCGGCCTTCTGGGCGGCCTTGGTGACCTTACCAGCGCCAGCATCCTTCTTCTCAACAGCCTTAATGACACCGACAGCAACAGTCTGGCGCATGTCACGAACGGCGAAACGACCGAGAGGGGGGTACTCGGTGAAAGACTCAACGCACATGGGCTTGGAGGGAATCATCTTGACGATGGCAGCATCACCGGACTTGATGAACTTGGGAGAGGACTCGACGGACTTTCCGGTACGGCGGTCAATCTTCTCAAGGAGCTCAGCGAACTTGCAAGCAATGTGAGCGGTGTGGCAGTCCAGGACGGGAGCGTAACCAGCGCCGACCTGACCGGGGTGGTTGAGGACGATGACCTGGGCGGTGAAGCTGTCACAGCCAGCAGGGGGGTCGTTCTTGGAGTCACCGGCAACGTTACCACGGCGAACCTCCTTGACGGAGACGTTCTTGACGTTGAAACCGACGTTGTCACCAGGGAGACCCTCCTTGAGCTGCTGGTGGTGCATCTCAACGGACTTGACTTCAGTGGTGACGTTGGCGGGGGCGAAGGTCACGACCATACCAGGGGTGATGACACCGGTCTCGACACGACCGACGGGAACAGTTCCGATACCAGAGATCTTGTAGACATCCTGGAGGGGAAGACGGAGGGGCTTGTTGGCGGGACGGACCGGGGGCTCGATGGCGTCGATGGCCTCGAGGAGGGTCTTACCGGTGGACTTGCCGGCCTTGGTCTCCTTCTCCCAACCCTTGTACCAGGGGCAGTTGGGGGAGGGCTCGAGCATGTTGTCACCGTTGAAACCGGAGATGGGGACGAAGGGAACGGACTTGGGGTTGTATCCGACCTTCTTGATGAAGTTGGAGGTCTCCTTGACGATCTCGTTGTAACGGTCCTCGGACCACTTGCAGGTGTCCATCTTGTTGAGGGCAACAATGAGCTGGCGGACACCGAGGGTGAAAGCGAGCAGAGCGTGCTCACGGGTCTGGCCATCCTTGGAGATACCAGCCTCGAATTCACCAGTACCGGAGGCAATGATGAGGATAGCGCAGTCAGCCTGGGAGGTACCAGTGATCATGTTCTTGATGAAATCACGGTGACCGGGGGCATCTGTTGAGGTTAGATACCGGTAACATAATCATAGAGGACAGTGGAACCTACCAATGACGGTGACCTCATACTTGCCGGTCTGGAACTTCCAGAGGGCAATGTCGATGGTGATACCACGCTCACGCTCGGACTTGAGCTTGTCAAGAACCCAAGCGTACTTGAAGGAACCCTTACCGAGCTCGGCGGCTTCCTGTAGATGTAGTTAGCACCTTGTCCTTCCAGTATTATATCCAGCATATATCCATACCTTCTCGAACTTCTCGATGGTACGCTGGTCGATACCACCGCACTTGTAGATCAGGTGACCGGTGGTGGTCGACTTGCCGGAATCGACGTGGCCGATAACGACGATGTTGATGTGAGTCTTGTCGTCCTTACTGAAGAAGTTGTTAGTTGATGAACTCGACTGCTTCGTCGTGGTGATTCTGCTTACCCCATGGTGACGGTTGTGAATGAACTGAAAGTTCTTTTTTAAGGAATAGAAAGTGGTCTGTAGAAAATTGCTCAGATACTACGGCCGACTGCGTAGAGGTGCTGAGCAACAAAGTCAGTTAGAGAGAGAATCAAGAACGAAGGAAGAAAACCCAGGAGGGAGGGGAAGATATACGTACTGAAGCGGACGAGGAGGAAAGGGAAAGGAAAAATTTGTGGGAGGGGGAGGAGGGGAAATCCTTATATGGAGGGGCAAGCGAGAAGGCGACTAGCGGGCGGGCTTCAACCCTTGGCGACCAGTCCTTATCATTGGACATGGAGGGGTAATTGCCCCACCTCTCAGGTGCGGGACCAACGCAGAATCTTCACGGCGGAGCCTTTCCAGACTGCACTGGACACGCTTGCAGCCCAGCGACTCAGTGCGATCAGCCTGCCTTTCCTGCCTTTTCCTTGGTTCCTCGTCCTCGGAGCGCCGACCTACGACCCCACCTCGACCACTTTTTCCTCGCAAATTTTTCTCTCCTGCTTGCTCTGGCTCTATCGGTTCACCCCTCCGTGGTGGATTTTGGACTGAAATCCTGGGCATCAACGCAGACGTGGGTAGGGGCTGGTCTGGCTGTTGGACTTGTTTGCAACCGAACCCCGCGGCAGGCGGCTGTTGCGATTTGTCCGCTCCAGGCAGCTGTGGCACGGCCGAGTGGCGCCCGCCCGATCCACTGTGGACTTTCATGTGAGGTCAACGACCACCCTAGGGAAACGGTGTTGGTATCTACTGTGTAGTTGGTACTCGCTATCATGGCCATCGTAGATGCTACGACTAGTGATTGACGCTAATGATGTGGACAATCCTAAACATATCAATTTTGATAGTCAAATGGCTGGAGCGGGAGCCGATCAGAGAAAAGTTTTTTTTTTTCCTTTCCCCCTTCGTTTTGCCATCACTTTGCCTCGTTGCCATCATCATGTTGGGTACTGGTGCCCCTCACTTAGTGTCTTGACCCTACAGTAGTTTTTTTTCCTCCCCCTTCCTCTTTTAGTCCCCGACAGTGGCTGTTCGAGGATAAGGAAAAAATGACTCAGATTTAGTACCGTGCCAGAAACAACACACAAAGGAATTTATCTGACCTTGGATCCGGCCAATCCGAATCGGGGTATTAAACTGCCGTTGCCAGGTTACCACTGTTCTAGGCGGCAAATCGAGCAGTGGGATGGTAAAAAAAATTAAAAAAAAGAAAATCAAAAATAAAATTAAAGAGGAGGCGGGAAGAAAATTTTTTTCTTTTGCGCTTAATCTGACATACTTTTTAGCTCTCTCAATAGGGAGTAGTCCTGTAGCTTAACCATTCCCGTATAGCACTACGAACTGGTGTCATCATCCATTGAGGGGTATCTCTAATTTAGATGCGAATCATCGCAGAAGCATACGCCGTAGCACCGTCCTGTCTACACCAACCCTGCCCCTATGGTTCGAACAACAAATCGTTCCAGGGATATAAAACTCTAACAAGGGAGTAGCATCAGTTCTCTCTCCACCTGGCGCCACATGTGGTACACTGTCAACCGCAGTCAGCAAGGTATGTCAGGCCATATGCATCATGTCCGCATCAGCCGCTGGAGCGCACCCACCTTCAAGAATGTGGTCATCGGCTCGTCTGCACTCCGAATCTGCAGCTGGAAAAAGTATGCACGGTCGCCATTACAGTTTTCTGCGGGGCATTGAGCTGCGGGTAGGAGGAAGAGAAGTACAGAATTAGCCCCGGGATCAAATTCCAACGGTAGAGAGAGTGTCCAAGCCTTGACTTACTGGCCACGCTATCGGCGTTTGCGAATTCCTCTTTTCCGCCAAAGACATCCTCCACCTCCTTTTGCTTCATGGGTGTCTTCTCGAACCAGCTCTGATCCAGGGCGTATTGGTACGGACATGTGCGGCACTCGAAGCGATTGACGCCTAAGGGATGTCTTGGGGTGGGTTCCGCCCGTGAGATTGTGAGCGCATTGCTGCAGTTAGGACAGACTGAGATGTAGTTAGTCGACGGCTTCATGAGTCTCCAAGGAAGACTGACAAGTCAAAGGCATCGTGAAGGCTCCCTGGGTAATCCGTCAATAGACTAGTCAACAATTAATTGGTAGCAAGTCTCAAGGAGCAGCCTTCATCAAGGCGATTACAGGCACCGGTGCGCTGCCACTGTCCGCAGTAAGGGTCGCAGCGATCTCGACGATAATCGCAGGCTAACTACTGAGGCTCTTATCGACCGGCGATTTCGTTGGCGGAGAGATTGACAGCCGCCGATTGGGCGCGGGGCTGCTTAGGCGGGTCGGAGTAACCACGATTCCGAGTGGCCGTCGCGGGAGGCATGCATGCCAGCAGCGGGGAACAATAATAGGGACAGCAGTATACAGCATCCAGAACCAACTGCAAGAATCTCAGTAAGCTGACTCCTGCGTGATATTCACCATCAGGGGTATCTACCGTTCTTTGAAATACGGCGCCAAGTGTTTCAATGACCTTTAGCATTTGCTGATCTCTACGAGTCGTCGTTCCGACACCGCCTCCTTACCACTCGCGGCTAACCCGGTCCATACTGCGGCATTTGTTCGAGCCCCTCCACGCACTACCTTGAGTTCCAAGACAGTCATCGTATCTTGATTTACACCTACTACCTACAATACGCAATCATGGCAGATGAAGTGAGTGTTGTTATGCCTCCCACCGGCAGTGTTGCTCACAGGCATTGGTCATAGGGCGCTTCCCCCCGTGAGCTGGTCGTGGAGGCCTGCCGTCGGGATCAACCTCATTTGATTGAACAAGTCATGGATAGCATGGAGGGAAAGTCGAATGAAGAGGTTGCCGAGTTCTTCAACGGTGTGACGGATTCGATGGGGAACCACGCCCTGCATATATGTGCTACGTACGGCAGCTGTAAGTGGGCTCCTACCGGTTAACAACAGTGGCATCTACTTGAGGATTGTGCTAACACGTTGATATATAGACGACGTCATGGACGCCCTCTTCGATATCCAGTACTTCGAATGCGATCCCCTTACCCGTCTGGACAAAGACACCCCCCTCCACACCGCAGTCCGCTATGCCAACGAGAAAGACGCTGAACTGGGAGAGGCAATGATCAAGATGATGTGCGAGGCTGGCTGTGACCCGCGTGTCAGGAACAAGCACGGTCAGAAGCCGGCGGAGCTCGTCTACAACAATCAGGCGATCAAGTCCACGCTACAGCAGGCCGAGTACATCATGGCAGAGGGGCTACGGGAGGATGCGGACAACGGATCGGTTCACGACAGTGCCAGTGACAGCGACTAATGGCAGCAACTGTGTATAGCGACTTTTTGACTATAGATATACCACGGTGATAATGTTTCCTGTATTTGATGCATAGAGGTTGTCTGGATGCATACGGCGAATCGCGGGTCTAATACATAGTTCGTTCATAATACCACGTCAACCTATTATATACCATGTGAGCAACGCTTCGACAAGATATGAATTCATCACGGGTATCATTCAGACATTTAGCGCAGTTGCAATAGCATAAACAACTAGCACATAAACAAGACAGGATCAGTCATCGCTTTCCTCAGACTCCGGCTCGTGCCTATTGCTACGTCGTTTAGGCTGCCGCCGTCTCTCCCTCTGTCTGTCTTCCTCTTGATTCTCACCATCTTCAGGCTGCTCTTGAGCGCGCGGTTCCGGCTGCTTAAGTCCCAAACTCCGCGCCAGGCGGATCTCAAATTCATCGTCCCTTTCATCTGGATCAGAGCGGCCATAGACCTCGCGAACCATTCTGGCCACCCCATTCGCACCCACTTCAACCTTTCCCCTCGGCCCAAGCATATACTCGATGACTTCCTCCCCACCATCCACCTCCCTATTCCGCACCAAATATCCTTCCTTACAGAGACGCTGCAGAAACCGATCCGTGCGATCAATCGGCGTATACGCGTCGGTATTCGTACGCTTCAGATACCGATCAAGCTTCTGCTCATTGATCGTGCCCCCATTGAGCAAAATCACCGCAATGATAAAGCTATACAACCCCGTGTAGTTACTTTCCAGCGCGGCTTTATTCGGCGGCAGTATCTCCGGCCTCCGATACTTCAACGGCAACGTACTCGAGACGATCCAAGATTTGTTCGTAGACGACGGCTTTTCGACCTTTTGCGCAGCTACACACCGTCAGCAATATGCCAATACCCTATTACCGATCACCTCACCTCTTCGCTGATTAATCGTCACTTTCTCCTTGACCGGTAACTCCGTCAGCTCCATCCCAAACTTCTCCTGCAGAATCCTCTGCGCCTCCTCAAACACAACCTTGAACTGCCGTGACCCTTGCTCTCCCAGCACCTTGGCGCTGATATCTGTTCTTCGGATAGGTTGGCGCGAGAATTCACTCGCCAGCGTCAACCGCACCATCTTCTTGACCATCACATCGGTGCTACTGGGAGCACGGGTATCGTATGCGTCTGCGTCGTCATCGTCACTGGCTGAGGATTCCCGGGTACGGATCCGCTGTCGAGGAGGTGGTTGGGTAGCAAACGCGGGCGATTCATCTTCACTGGAGGGTTCCGCCTCGGGGACCTAGGTGTATCTTAGCTTTGATCGGTCTGATTGCGTGGGTGGTATTGACATACCGCGCGGCGTTTGCGAGGGGCCATTCTTCGTTGGTGTTGATCGAGTGGGTGGTTGGGGTGATTTCTTGCTGCAATTCTGTGTAGCCGGTTGAGTTACCCACCTACATTGCAACTTGGCTTGTCTGGTGTGGGAACTGTAGTCGATATTCTTTGTTCGATGGCGGACGCGCTGGACGCGCCGGTTTCGTGTGGGGCGAGGCGGAATGCGATTTATCCTGATCGGGTAGTCACATGGTAGCGATAAGAATACCCTACGGAGTAGATGCTCGAATAACGAGGAGAGCATTATGATCACTGCAGCCATATACTATATTTGATGGATATTTTCTATGTCCGAACATTCACTCTACTCAGTCAAATGTGTTGACAAGTAGTAAAATATCCTACACCCTCCAAAACAACAAGTCTCTTTATTCCATGAATTCCAATCCAACCAATTACCTCCCATGCTTTGTACATCACCCATGCAGGAACCATGGACGGCTACCTACCGGAAACGGTGTGGGTGGTCTAGCTGAAGGGTAGAATTACGAGGCTTCCGACCAAAACAGCAAAACAAAAAGAATCTCCCCGACTGGGAGTCGAACCCAGGTCTCCCGCGCTTGTTCCCGAGTGGGATTGACAAGCGGAAATCATGACCGTTAGACCATCGAGGATTGATGTTGTAAGCAAGACACTTTTTGGTATTATGACTGGCGGTAAGATATAGGGAATTCTTAAGTTCTTGCAGCGATTCCATGCTGACATGATTGTCTTGAGCTGGGTCTTGATGAGCCTGGTAGTTGTTTGCTGTGTATGCATATGTCCTGACAGAGTGGCATCTCCTATCTGTACCTCCATATGCTTGAATGTTGCTGTTCTCTTTGCACGTGGTTGCTGTGCAGATCCGAACGTACGGCACTCGGTTATATATAGCGCCACGTGGCGGTCTAAGAGCATACATTAGTGTAGCAACCACCACCCCAAGATCACAACCTGATGATTGCCAAGATCTGGTCATCTTACTGTTGTATACTCCGTACCCATAAAATTTAAGCATAGACCGTAAGCATTACTGTGTACACATACTCCATATCCCATCATCGAGTTTTCTGTAGACTTTTTACCAGATTGAATTGAAAAATAAAAGCTGAGAAGAAAACAATCATGAACGAAAAGCAAGAAATAGATAGATCACCAAGAAAAATCCCCACGTGGTTGATAGATTCCGTCACAGCTGCAGCAAGATCACAATCACTGCGATTAGTTCACCGAACAACCGGGTCGATGCAGCCTCATCTTTCCACTACCTTCTATTCCGACTCGCTTAATTCGATTCTCAGTCGAATCCATCTTCTCGACCACCTGGCTTCCACGTGGGATGGTTCAAGCAATGGCCACGGCCAAGCTGCAGCGATCCTGATACTCCGTACTCCGTACCCCGATTCAGTCCATGAAGCGATGCGCAACACCGAACCTACACAGCAAAGCCAGTATCCAGCCGAGAATCTTCACAGAGGAACCCGGCGGAGGGCACCCCAGATTATGCAGCATGTGGGATCCGGACAGCCCGTCTCACGATAGCCCGTCTTACGACCACACTGCCTCTCGGTCCCGGTGGGATGATGGACGATACACGATGCAGTGACGGCATACCTCAATGCTCCAACTACAATAGATGTTCCATCTCATAGATTTCACGTGGCGAAATGGATAAATCACCGGAACTACAGTTCCTACATCCCTACCACTTCACTAGTGTTGAATCTGAACACGCAAATCTCCAGATTGAGTACTATGAAGTGCACCCAAGAGATGCCTGCATCATTGTTTCGGCGCAAGAATGGACAGCAGTCCTCTTGCGAGAATTGTCGTCGATCCAAGTTAGCCTGTGATCATTCGATTCCACATTGTGGTCGTTGTGTGCGATTGAAGCGGACGGATACCTGTGTCTATGTACTATCGCCTCTCGCCAGATTATCCGCTTCCTCCCCCAAGAGTCCGGCCGGCATCAAACGACAGTCTACACCGAAATCACAATCGCGATCCTTGACCGGGGCCAGGTCGACCGCTCGAAAATGCACCACGCCTCGTGTAGAGACGACAATTGTCCCAGCAGACTGGCCACGAGCCGGCCTCGAGGGACCGCTCAGCAGCCGGCTCGAAGACGCCAGCAAAACAACCACCTGGGGCTCCATCTTCAGTGAATTCAACATCGACGTCGAGCCGGAAATGACGGTACCACCCACGGCTGGACTGGCGGTGACGTGGAAAGACCCCGAGCTGCTGCAACATGCCACCACCGCCCTGACACAGATTCCCACGCGAGCCATGTGCGAGGGGGTCCTGGAACATGCGTTCAAATATCCCGACTTTGGGTGCCATGAGCCCTACCTGCGCATGTTGCACGACGGCTGGTGGGGGAATTTTGGAGGGCTTCTAGAGGCGAACAGTCTAGCTCAATTGAATAGCCTGGAGCCGGTGATTGAGCAGCTCTCGGCCAGCACGGCCAACCGAGTGACGCATCTGTCATTCGACTCGACAGAATGGCTACAGAAGCGGACGGGGAGTAATACCGCGTGGGATTCGCTGGCGTATTTGCTGTCTGCATATGGCTCGGCATGTGCCAGTCTGCCTGCTTCACATCGTCTCTTAGCCGACGATGACAAGGGTCGAGTCTGTCGAGCCTTGGGGAAAGGCATCCAGGCGTGCCTGGCCATCTGCGAAGCGCAGGAAATCTTCAGTGTTGATCTCATCAACGCCCACGCCAGCATGGTACTATTGCAGAATTCTTCTGATGGCGATGACTGTAGGTGCCTCGGACCATAGGTTGATTCTCTTACGCCTGGCTAACGGATCACAGCGAAGCAAAACTACACCAACGTTGGTCACCTTGCGCGTCTCGTGACCGACATGGGGCTTCACCTGGGTTCATCCCACGGGTGTTTCGTCCAGGCACAGCTAGAACACAAAGCCTTCCACCGAGCTTTCACCATGGACAAATCCATCTCCACCTCCTGCGGACGTCCACCCCAACTGACACGACGATTCAACCAATGTCCACTCCCACTGGAATTGAGTGACGAGCAACTCCTCCTACCCGGAGATGAACTCGAAGTCGTCATCGGCCTCTTAGACCCCGATGGCTGGAGTACCAGTGACCGCTCCTACCCCGTCAGTTACCTACGGGCACTCTCCCTCCTGGGCCGCCACCGAGAAGAGATCCTTGAACTGGCTATGGGACCCAGCCCCGTAGCCCTAGACCACCTACAACGGTAATTCCCCCCCAAGTTACCCCCAGAAAAAAAAAACCTACTAACCCATCCCACGCAGAGACATCATGGACCGTCTCCAAACGACATACCACCGCCTCCCCCTCCGCCTCCAATTCAACCCCAACCAGCACACCCACCTCGCCCCCTTCGACTTCCTCAACACCATCTTCCTCCACCTCGAATACCACAAAAACATCTTCCTCCTCTCCCGCCTCTCCCGCACCATCCCCCTCAGCCACAACGAACCCCTCCTCGCCTCCTCCAAAGCCATCATCTCCGTCATCACCATGCTCTACATCCACCGCGACCGTCTCGGCCAAATGTTCCTCTTCTTCCCCTGGGCCATCATGTTCTACGGCACCCCGGCCGCCGCTATCCTCGCCATCGAACTCCTCACTCGGCCCCCGTGGCCGGCATACCTCGGGTCACCTAACATTCATCCCCGATCGGAGATCATCCAGGAACTCTCCGTTTTTATTAGCTGTTTGATGAGTATCCCGGCCGCGGAGGGGTATCATGCCCCGTGTCGACGGGTGGCAATTACTTTGCGGAAGATATTGGATCAGATTCTGGAGCCCTCGATGAGTATGCCACCCACTACCACCGGGACCGCGGTGAGCACGATCAGCAGCTGCAGCAGCAATAGCAGCACGCCCCCCGGCACAGACGTCGACTCAGCAATAGGGTTGGACATCGACTGGCAGGTGTTTGTGACCAGTCCGTGTGATCCGGATTACACGCAGTGGTTGGATCCCTCGTCGTGGATGGATTTGGCCCTGCCGTTGGATTTGGGGTTGGAGGAGTATGGACTGGAGGGGGGTGGATGTGGAATTGGGAGTGGGAGTGGGAGTGGAGGATTGGGCGAGGTAGGGTTCGATGAGTTTGTGTATACATAGCCGGTATGGAAATGGCGTGGATTGATGGATGGGATGGGATGGGATTTGTAACGTTATGATGAATTAGATGAGAATGAATATACTATACCTATATCATAGATGGAATATACTCGAGACTGATGTATCTACTTGATTCGATGGAGAATTGATACTATGGATAGAATGTGGTGTGAAGTCAATACTTCATGAAGAATGCATCCCTCATTTCTGCCCCTGGGATGCCATCCGAATTCAGGGCCTAGGTGATAACTGGTGTCGTGGGAACACGTCACTACAAGGATTTAGCCTTTCCATAAAATATAAATAAGAACGTAGACTGTCACTTTTTCCTTTTTTTTATATCACGTCTACAGGTTTAATTCTGGTTATAGGCATAGTATTCTCAAGATATCTACTGCTAGCTACAGAATCAGTACATCTATCATAGAAACGATAGTCTATAGAACCTCAAACCTACGTATAGAAATTATATTAAGTATTGGTTTGAGATCGACTGAGATTATACACAGATCAAGCGGAGTATTATGTATTTTATAAAAACTAAGACATAAGGAGCACGAGGCTGGCTAGGAATGTGATGGAAGAATCATATGTACTCACTTCTATTCAGAGGAGATTGATCCAGCATGGTAAGTGTGTAAGCTAGCTGAATACTACTCCTATAGAGCTAGTATGTATCTATCCTCTTGATAATGTTGATTATCTCTCTCTCTCTCTCTCTCTCTCTCTCTCTCTGTGTGTGTGTGTGTGTGTGTGTGTGTGTGTGTGTGTCTGTTTGCCTGTGCAACAAACAAATACCATAATTGAAACATCTAGTAAGAAAGCATCCCCTCCAGAACAAAAGAGACCATCCATTCATCTACCATTCTAGTACCCGCATGAGCATCAATCATAAACCAGACACAAAGAAAACGGAAACCAACAACCATCACAATCTAACCCTAACCTTGCTCCGGCTCCACTCACTCACTACGCCTTCGCATGCACCTCAAAGCCATAAACCTCCTCACTCCGCGCACTCTCACTCTCCACATCCGAGAACGAACTCGCCTTCTTCTCCCCACCCACACCAGCCCCCGCCCCCAGCACCTGCCCCTCCTCACACGCCAACAACCGCGGCGCCATCGCCCTCAACGCCTTCCCCTTCCACACCAACACGCCCACATTCAACAACGCAAACAGCGAAAAGAACGCCGCCATACCAAACAACCACCCGGGCCCCACGGCATCCATCCAGGGCGTGAAGATGAACCCCGTGGCAATGGCGAAACTCAACCGCCAGGCATTCATCGCGATCGCCGCCTCCGTCGCATCCTCTTTGTAACATTCCACGATGTAGTTGAGACAGATGGGGACGGCGAGCATGGAACTGAAGACGATGAAGAAGAAGCCAACGGCGAGGACCATGTAGTGTAGATGGTATTGGAGGGCCGCGCCGAAGAGGCCCAGCCCGATGGGTCCGACGACGCCCGGGAGGAGGATGTTCCACAGGCGGTATTCGGGGTGCCAGATGCCGTTGCCGAAGCGGCGGGAGGCCCAGAGGGGGATTCGGTCGCCCATCCACCAGCCCGCGAATTGGGTCACGAAGATGGCGAACCAGGCGTCTAGGGTGACTGTGGTGGATTAGATTTTTGGTTTGGAAGGTATGGGGGGGGGCTTACAGAAGGCATTGCGCAAGGGAGTGAATCCGTATCCTCCCTCGGAGACGGGATTCTCCAGGAAAATGGTTAGGAGCACATTGGTCAGAATGACAAAGGCAAAACAGATGAAGATGTACCCGCCCGCAATGACGGTGATGGGTGCGACGAGAATGACAAAAGGCTTCTTCGCGGTTCGGGCCTAGCCGGGAGATCAGTTGAGGGGGAGCTGATGAGGAGGAAGGGGATCGCACGTACGATTTCAGACCAGGGTTCCTGGGGAATGATGCGATGGCCGGGAAAGAAGGTGGCCACGCGGTTGGCCCAGTATGACGAGGGTTGCGCTGGGTAGGCGGGGGCATTAGGGTCGGCCGTGGACGAGTAGCCCCCGGTTTCTTCCAGGAAGAAAAAGATAAGCACGATGGCCACGCCACAGGGAATGAGGGTCCACCAAAAGGCCCACGTCCACGAGGCGTTGTTGACGATGAAACCGCTGATCGTGGGGGACACATTGACTCCGAGGAGGAAGCTGAGTTCGAAGGTGGAGAAGACCCGGCCGCGTTGGTGGAGGAAAAAGATGTCAACCTGTTCGTGTCAGAAGCATGAGAGGAGTCCAATGCAATGCAATCAAACGAGGTGGCGTACCGCGTACGAGGGCCCTAAGACGGTGGGAATGGAGGCGCCCAGCCCCGAGACCAAACGGGACAGCATAAACGAGACATAATCATTCGGGCCGGTCATCAGGGCCGCCCACACCTGACAGCCAAAGCAGAGCACCAGACTCCATAGCATCAGCGAGCAGCGGCCAATCTTCCGGGCCAAGGGCCAGAAGATCAAGGGACCTAAGACCTCGCCGACGACGCAGATGGTGACCGAATACGACAGATCCACGGTGGTGCGACCGGGATAGGCCGCCGCCTGCACGTAATAGGTGAGCTGCTGACTGGAGGGCAGCCCCAAGGCGGCAAACCCGGCATAGCACAGCAGAAACAGTGTCCAGTACTTTTTGGCCGGGCTCCAGTTCTATGCGCGATCAGTCTTTAGTGTCCGACTCGGATGCTCTCCTACAGGAAAGGGAGTGGGGCAGGGAGTAATCGCACCAATGGATCTTTGGGATCGTCCGAGGGCTGGGGAATGAGGACGATGGGATTCTTGCCCCCGGTCGTTTTGAGAGCCGGACTCGGGCTGATCGTGCTGCAGGACTCCATGATTGGATCCGGACGGGATAAAGTGTACCAGGGGGTTCTCGCTAAGGGCTCACTCGAACTCAATCGTCGAACCGATCTATGTATCTGTGTACTGAATGATCAACGACGAGCAAGGATGTCGAGCATTTGTAGATGCCTTTTCTACACAGTCTTCCCTCTCATTCAAACAGTCTGACCCGAAGATAGGACCTGAGTATCGGGGTCGGACTCGACGCAGTTCTGCATCTGAATCCTGATCCTGAATCCTGAAACCCCAACTCCAAACCCGACCCCGATTCCGTACATCGGGCCAAGGGAAAAGGATGACGGACGAGGATATACAAGCCTCCGTATGCCTTGGCTCGCCAGTCATCCCTTTTTCCTTTTTCCCTTTTTCTTGTTTTTGATTCATCCAATCGATTCTTCTCGTCAGTCCACTGGCCCTAGTGCATTTGGCAGATAAGCCAAGTCCGCCCCGAGTGGTCGCAGGGCAGCCACTTACCTATCGGAGGACGGCCGATTTACCTCTCCTTCATGCTTTCATATCCTGGCTCCTCCAGATGGCCTCCACGCGAGCCACTAGACCTCAACGAGCAGGTGCTTGGACAGAAGCTGACGGGGAAGTACATAGTAGCTGGTTCGCATTTACCCGAGGCATCCAATCCAGCCCACTGCATATAGTATCTCCCCCCCAGTCGAACCGCAATTAATCCAGTCGCTTGCCCAGACGGTTCATCCTCCGGACTCTAGACCGGCCAAGTGGATTCCCCACAGGCTGCTGCCATGCGCGCCGGCGATCCTTTCATGGTCCAACCCACCCTTCAGGGACCGTGCCAAGTGCCGATAAGCCACGCGCGACAATGGCACGGAAATTATTCGGCAGCGGTCGGCCAGCGCACGTGCAGACGAGGGGCAGCCAACGTCAGCTTGATCCTGCCGGTGGATTCGGGTCGCTCAGACCATCTGCTGCTGCTGCTGCTGCTGCTGTTGTTGTTGTTTCTGACTGCATGAGACCTCCAACAGGGTAGTGGCTGTGATGGAGACATTCGGCTTCTCCGTCAGGGGATGTTTGGAGGGTTCGAGTGTGAGCCAGGCTTGGCGGTCAAACGGCCGAGGCACTGCATTGCTGACCACCTCACCCTTGGCATTGCTTATCCGACTTTCCGTGTTGGCAACCCGACTTGGCCTGGCCACGCTGGCCAGATGGTCAGATTGTCAGATGTCGAGGAGGAGGAGGAGGAGACGGAAAAGGAACCGCGGACCGGTCCCTTGCCCACTTTGCCAGCCAACGGCCGAGATCAATTTCCATTTTCCCCGAGATCCTTCATGAGGGCCCACGGTAGCTCTCAGCTATCTATCTGATGATGATGATGCTGATGACCTTTGGCTCCACGGCAACCAGTGGGATGCTGATGCTGGCGCGTGAGACATTGGAATCCCCCGCCCGTCAGGATTCAATTCCTACTGGCCCGTAAAAGGCGCGCCACTAGTGACAGCCTCCCTCGCTAGTCCCAGCTAACGCGAGGCTAGACCGAGGGCACCTCGAGGGATCGGAAAATGAGGGGTCGAGGCTCCAGGATCGAAGGCGAGATAGAGCGAGCGTGTTGATGCGGATTGCTGACGGCCTGACAGCCTGAGATAGTGCTGCGGTCAGCCCACCGTCGTCAGCACCAAGTTGGCCAAGGATGGATCCCCACTCCACTTCAGAGCTTCTCCTGGGAACGAGCCCTTGGAAGGGGAGGAATGAATGGACTCGTCGGGAGGAGTGGCGCTTTCTTCACGGAGGAGGATCTTCTCGAGCGCATCAATCTGAAGACGTCGTTGCGCCTTTGCAACCATGCAGCCATGCAGCCATGCAGCAATAGCATCTTATCAGCCGCTCCTCGGACATGGCGCAACCACGCTACCGCTGACCCTTGTCCCTCTAAGCTGCTCTAGCAGGGATCGCGTCCTGCGTGTCCACGGAAATGAGACGTAGCCAAATCCTCGTTTCTCCATCCCAGACCCACCAAATCTCACCTGGCCATGCTCTCAACTGTCCGCCTCGACCATCGTCCGAGCCGCCAGCATCGAGAAGCCTTTTCTTCACACCCCACCTCCCTCCCTTTTCAGCCCCGGACGCTGAAGACAGCTGAATGATTCCCTTCATGGTTGCGGTTTCTCCCCCGGAAGCCCAATCCGACCCGACCAGAATGCATTACACCGCGTCGCGACAACCGCCCTCGTTGCCGTCGGGCCCCTTTGTCTGTACCAACCCGGACTGTGGCAAATCCTTTTTGCGTAAAGAACACCTTAATCGTCATATGGTCATCCATACCAACTCCCGGCCACACAAATGCTTCATCTGTGGGCGCACCTTTGCCCGAAGGTAAGGCCCGATCACCGGGGGCGAGCAGGGAAGGCCACCGGCTAACGTACTGGCAGTGACATCCTGAACCGACATGTGCTCCAGCATAATGTACCGCCCGACGGCGCCAAGCGAACCCCGTTGGCCTGCCAAACCTGCCGGCGACGCAAGACCAAATGTGACTCCAACCACCCGTGTTCCACCTGTGCGGATACGGGCGAGCCCTGCGTGCGGGAGCCGTCCAGTATGCAGGCCTTTATGCCGACGACCCGGACGCGTCGCAAGAGCGTGCTGGGGGATCGGGTCGATGCCCCGGAGCAAGAAGACGACGCGGACGGCGAGGGAACGGAAATGATCTCGAGCGCGGGGGGGACTCCCCCGCTGCAGCCAGATTGGGTGACGCCGATCAGTATGACGGGGAGTAGTGTCCCGAATAAACGTCCCGCCTCGGTGAGTGTGGATCAAGATCCGCTGCTGGATCCGAGTATTGCCATGATGCCGGGGATGCCGGCTGCCAAATCCCCGTCGGTCGATCTAAGCGAAGCCCCTTCGTTGCTCCACTTTACATTTGAGTCGCCTCCTCCCCGTCCGTCGGAAGCGGGGGATCCCTTTCCGCCAGACCCATCCTCGGAGATGCAGATGAGTGAGAGTCCGAGCTTCACCAGTCGAGGCTATTCAGGTACGTGCCGTCCGGATGCTTCGATCCGATCCGGGTGATAACGGATGCAGCAACGTCCGGGAGGATGACGGCGACGTCCATGACCACGCCATCCTCCACCGGTGGCTGGCAATTAACCGAGACGGTCGCCAGTCAAGCTCAGTTCGTCGCCACGCAAATCAAATTGTCCGAGTTTGAGCATTTTCACCAAGCCTGGCCGTTTCTGCACGTGCCCACCTTTACGCCGGAGAAGCAGACGACGCTGTTGACGAGCGCCTTGGCCAACCTGTCCATGTGGATGCAGAATACCTATCGGCACCACCTGATTCCGTATACGATCAATCAAGAGCTGACGCGGGCATTGATGCCGAAAATCGTGAGTACCTTCCGCGTTTGCGTCTGCGCGGGCTGACGGAATAGACGGAGGAGTCGTGGACGGAGAAGCCCGCGGCGGATATTCCCTTGCAAACCCTGCAAGCATTGGTCATTACCTTGATCTATTCCATTCTCGGCGATGTAAGAATTCTCATCCTTGCTGGAAGATGAGAGGCTAATGGCACAGGCCCCCGCATCAACCTTGAACTGGGCGGCGCAGTGGACCGACATGGCCATCTCTACGTTTCGCCAATTAGGGGTCCTACATGATCAGTGGCTCCCGGATGATGGACGACAATCGGCGGAAGAACGGTGGGTTTTATGTGAACAGATGAAACGGTATGCTTGCATCCTTCCCCCCTGATTCCCCCCCGTATTGACCTCGCAGACTGGTGTTTGCGGTCTTACGAATCGATGCCTATCTGTCCATTATTCTCAATCGGCCGCCGACGATGCGATACCAAGAGATCGGGCTGCCCCTGCCAGTGTCCGAGGGTCTCTGGAAAGCCGAGACGCGGGTGGCCCGGACGCAGCTGCACTGGAGTGAGCCGGCTGGCCGCGCCCGCAGTGCGTTCTGCACGATGATGCGCGATGGCCTGGATACCGCTGGGTTCGTGACGGGGTATCTGCAGATGCCCCATCTGTCGCTGGAAGACAACCACTTCAGCATCTGCTCGTTTCTGTCGGAGCTGTGGGGCGTCTGCAAGGAGGCCCACGAGGAGCACCATCGGCACTACCGCTCTCCCGAGCGCAACCATACCGCCGACCAAGTCAAGATCTGGAAAGTCTATCTGCGCGAATGGCGCGAACATCTCGAAAAGACGGACCACTTGGAAGAAGCGTTCTATGCCCAATGTCCCGGCGACAGCAACCACTTCCTGGGCTTGAACCTGACCTTGTACCACCTCGTCTCGCTCAAATTGCACGCCAACCTGCGCCTGCTCGAGCAAAAGAAATGCTGCGCCCACTGCCAGGAAATTGACGTCGAGGATGTCATCAACACATGGGCCCAATCCAGCGACGCCCGCCAAGCGGTCTACCACGCCGCCCAGCTCAAACGCATCTATGAACACGAAAGCATGCTCTTTAACCCGAACGACCGGCGCCTCGGCAACCCCCTCGGTCCCGCCGGGTTACTCGCCAGCGCGGTAGTTCTCTGTCTCTACAGCGCCAAGATCACCGGCGTCAGCGCGGGTCTCCCCGTCGGCGTCAGCACGCCCGAGGGCGATGCCCCGAAAACCCCCACCACCATCGAACTCGCCCCGTCCCATCTCCCGGAGACGCCCGAGTTCGAGGAATGGATCACCCAGGGGGGACTGGTCAGTGTGGATGGCGTCCCGTTGAATGCCTTCTCCCTGCCGCGCTTCTCGCTGTGGTATCGCGAACAATTGACCGCCAGTCCGGTGTATTCGTCCCGGCTGATTGCGTTTCTGCTCACGTTGACGATATGATGTATATGATGGTATAATAGAATAGACTTTTTTGCTGCACGCGATTCTGTGCGTAGATATGTCAGTGGAGGGGTGTCATAATGGCTACTAGAGAACCATCTCGATCCCGTGTGGCAGAACCATACCTCGTTCTTGATCTTGGAAGCTTCACTCGATTCACCAGACGTACATCTAAACATGCACGGATCCGTTAGCAACAGCAGATGATCTAGATACCCACCTCGTCGACAAAGGGACCGTCATACCTGATTCGAATTGTATCCTCCCTCTGCTTTCTCCTCACAGAGATTCATCCCGGCGTTACCCCATCATCATCACCATCACATAGCCATACCCACCACCAGAGAAAAGATACCCCCAATAAACTAACGGAAACTCATCTCCAAGACTTGGCGGTAATGGGACGGTAACCCAACCAGCCCCTCCCAACACCAAACCAAACCGAAAGAAATCAGAGAAAAAGCAAAACCGAACCGAACCGAATAAATCAAATAAGGGATGATCAGTCTCCCTTTTATACTAAAGTACCACGTACCACCAGCCCTCACTTGATCAGGTGTAGTTAGGGTAGGTGTACGGAGGATATCCCACTGTCCGGGTGTATCTTACTCCCGAGGCTGGGAATAGATGGGTGGGTGGGTGGGAGTCCCGGTGGATCATACTCCATAGTTACTATGCCACCATGCTACACATGCTATCATACTATGTATGTCTAGACAACGCCCACGTCTACCCGTCAGTCATTCTATCTATTCACATGTCTAGATGCAATCAATATCAATATTGCAGACTCGGGGAAGAGTCCGCCTCGGGATGGGCAAGTCCATCGAATTTAATAGATTAATTTGAATATACAGTACATAACATCCTAGACTTCCATACCCAAACCAAAGCAACTAAAATAAGATATCTACAGAGTATCAACACCCGGTGGGAGGCATGCCGATGGGATGGCCCGATCGGGTTAGAAGGTGGGATCCGGTCGGAAGATCCCACTTGGATCCGATTGGTTGGATTTAGTTCTACTCCCGAACTAGATATTTTCATCGGTTGGATGGGTGGGAGTGGCTATGGCATGGCTACTGGATAGGGGTTTTTCTTAGGAGTGGTGGTTTTATTGGTTTGGGAGGGGTGTTGGGGAGATTGGGGATAATGGTAGTAGTTTCATTGGGTATCTAGGTACGGACTAGGTAGATTCATGACTCGTTGGTTGAAGGATTCGTCCCGCTCATAGGATTGATTGGATCGGGTGAAGGGTATCAATTATGGAACTGGTCAGATGGTATGTACAGGAACAACATCAACATTACAACAGGTAAATGAACATATCAAGAAATCATTCACCCTGGCAACTACAGACACTCATACCGCCCAAACCCCCCCCCCCCCCCCCCCAACTCCCTCTCAATCGTCTCCCGCCTCCTCTCCGACCGTACCCTCACCGTGGCCCGAAACTCCCGCGGACAATTCAAAAACCCATCCAAATACCCCGTCGCCGGATCCACATCGACGCCTGGGCCCCCGCGCGGATCGACCGGCTCGGAAATCTCAAACGCCCACAACAGCTTGGCAAACCCAATGAACATCCCACGTTCCGCGAGCTGAATCCCGGGACAGATGCGGCGTCCGGCTCCATAGGCGTAGTGATCCCGGTTCTCGTAATCCGGACTGGAAGCGTAAATGGGCGCGAGGAGCGTGCGGTCCGTATAGCGCCAGGGATTGAAGGTCTCCGGCTCGGGGTGACGGGTCGGGTCGTGGTGGAGGCCCCAGACGTTGAGGATGAGGGTTGATCCTTGGGGGATTTTTAGCCCGTGGATTTCGCCGGCTATGGTTTATATTGTCAGTGGTGCGCATTCTCGCGCGGAGGATGGGGGGGGGGGGAGGTATCGGTATCGTACCTTCTTTGGCGGCATGGGGAAACGCAGTCGGCGCGACCGGTCGCCAGCGCAGACATTCCTTGACCACCATCGTCACCAGCGGCAGACGGGCATAGTCGTCCCAGGTTGGGGAACGATCCTCACCCACGACACTGTCGATCTGCGCCTGCACTTCTTTCTGAATGTGCGGGTATTTCATCATCGCTTGGATGAAAATCAAGTGCATGGTGGCGGTGGTATCGGACCCCCCCTCAAGGAGATTCCCCACCATGAGGAGGATATCGCGGTCCGAGAGACCCAGTTTCTCTTGCTCGTCGAGCACGGTATCCAGGAAACATCCCTTGCTGCCGACGTGTTCCCGCCGACGGAGGACGTGGGTGACTAACGGTTCGTAGAGACGGGTCAGGAGGTCGCCGACGGCGCGGGAGCGCGATTTCCAGTGACCGAACCAGGATTCTGGGAGGTATTTGAAAAGGGGGAAGATGTCGACGGGAGGGGTGGCGCCGATTTCGAGAATCTCCGAGAGACCTTCCATGAAGTGGTAGAGTTGTTTCATGTGGGGGGCGTGGCAGGTTGGGGTGCGGATGCCGAGGACTACCGGACAGACGGTTAGCTGGGATATGTCCTGGGAAGCAGGTAGGGGGGACAACCTATGCTCATCATGATACTATTGCTGTAGCGCCGCGGATGGCTCATCAAGTCTTCGGGGTGGCGACAGAAATCGTGCAGCATCTGAATCGCTTCGGCATTCTGCAGGATGACGTGCTCCTGTTCGCACCGTGTCTCGTTGAACTGTTGATGGTAGAGGCGACGCCCTCGACGCCAGATATCCCCCTGATTCAGGAACATGAGATGATCCCCGCGCAGGATCAGTTCTTGGGCAATGTAGATACTCGGCCGATTACTGTATTTGGCGGATTGCTTATCGAGCAGCTGCTTGACGAGATGAGGGGAGTTGATGACGATCGTCGTGGAGGAGCCGATTTTGAGGGAGAAAATGGGCCCGTAGGTTTGGGCCCATTCGGTGAATCTGTGGACCGTTAATCCTGCTGCTGCTGCTGCTACTGAACGTGGTGTTGAATCTCACTTGAGATGGATCCCCGATTTGGGGATCTGTAGGGCATTCCCGATGAGGGGGATGCAGGGAGGTCCAGGGGGTAATCCTCGTCCCCGGATCCCCGGGAGTGTCCCTCGCATCCACGACACGATGGCTGAGAGGATCGTCAGCCCCAGGATGATTAGTGCGAGCATCGTGTAAGCATGCGTGAGAGATCTGGTGGTGGTGTTGTTGTTGTTTAGCAGCGCTGTGGTGATTGCTTCGATGGAGCGATAGCTCACGTATGGCTGTCCTCACGTATGGCTGGGTCTATTCTTGGGGTTGCTTGTATTCATAGAACCCAAGGTGCTTTCTGTTCTAGTCATTAACTCGTTGTTGCCAGAAGTCCGTATCCGTCGGTGATGGCTAAGGGTGACGCTGGAGTTGCCACTCTCAGTAGGCCGAGTCCGACCCCGATGCGGTGAAGACCGTTGGTCCCACTCCTTGTCTTAAGCGACCTACTATGGTCTACGCGTAGGTCAATGGAGAAGGAGCATAAAGAGAGTATAAATCAGATGATTCTCATCACCACGCTCTCGACCATGGTTTAATACAGATAAAGCAATGTGCAGAGATACAACTGTAAGTGTTCAACAAGATGTTTTTGATGTGTTCAACATAATGGAGGAACTCAGATGAAGAAGTACATAAGGAAGAGGAAGAGATTCAATTGATAACAGTAGATTAGATCACCACTCAATTGAATATCTAATAATATCCTCTCAGACACGGAATGCACCTGTTCATTTGGCCGACATTACCATGTTCAAGAAGATCCCCACCTGAATGTGAGCCCCTAATACTACAATCAAGGTGAGTAACATGAAGTGTGGACCTGCATAGCAGCAACTGGCAACACTTATATTACAAGTATGCTACTGACTGAACAGTAGCTGCGATATATCTCGGACGTGCAGTCATCTATGAAAGAAGCGACACAAGCCAGCACAGCATCACTGCACAGCATCACTGCCAATTCCGATCTACTACCTGATGCGACTTCTCAACATGACAAGCTAGGAGAACTCCACACTGTTCATTCTCCTACAGACCTCTCCATGCAGCCCTAACTACACCTAGGGCTACCTTCATACCAGAGATGATTACCAACCCGCCTGCACCTCTTCATCCCGACAACACCTTGCATCCTCAGAACCACCCAGAATACCATTACAAATCCTCATCTCATCGGAATCCCTCACGACAACCCCAAACCATACACCGGTAAACATCACATGCTGAACCCTCATCTCTCCTCCCTCCGGCAGCCCAAGTCTCAATCTCCCGACCGGAGACCACGGAACCCAACACGAGCAACCATTCAATCAAGTTCCCGACCCCATCCCAACCAAGACAAATTAATTGAACCCTAACAATCACATCCTTCCACTATCCAGACAATACGATGAAGTTGTCGGCACGGCCGGAACGGGACCCTGCACTGGCAGTCATCCCATCGGGAAGACCATCCCCCGGAAGCACCGTCCAGGGCATACGAACCCAGCCCTACCTCGTGATCGGTGCTTGCTGAACAATCAAGATACGACCATGCTTTGCAATCAGATCCGCAGGAGGAAGGCCGGAGGATATTTAGGATGCGTGTGCGCGAGCTTCATGGTAGAATTACAGAGCAGAGCAGAGCCGATCAGATCAGATCAGGTTGTATAGCGACGCACTTACTCATACATTCAATATGTCAACGCCACGATATGCTTTAATCACGGGGTATGCATTATCCAATCCGATCTTATGATCGAGGAACATGCTAAAAGGTCTAGCTGCGGTGCCGGTGGTATTGGCCATGCCCTCGCCGTCCAGTTCCAAGAAGAAGGTGGGTTCGCCATGCAGTGGCCAAGCCAGCCAAGGTCATGGCATTGACGGTTCCATTTCACAGGGTACACCGTCTTTGCGACGTTGCTCCCCCACGAAGGTCGTCAACATTTAACCGACCGGGGGATCTATGTCTTCGATGCCAATGTCACCAGTGATAAGGATACGGAGGTGCTCCGTGAAAAGGTGGAATATATCTCCGGGGGGAGGTTGGATGTGTTGGTGAATAATGCGTATGAGTCTCCTCCACTACATCTATCCTTCACGACTGACATGATTGTATAGGGGCATATGTAGGTCTTCACGCAACATAGCGGGAACGGAATCTAACGATATAGGTTATACCATGCCGGCGACCGATACCGAAGTGCGTGAAGTGGAAAAGATGTTCGCGGTGAATGTGTTTGGGCCGGTGCGCATGGTGCATTACTTCCATCGTCTGCTGGTGAAGGCGCAGGGGACGGTGGTGAATATTGGGTCGATTGGGGGGATTGTACCCTACATTTACGGGGGTAAGCCATGTGCACGATGTGAGAGTTCGCCTATACTAATGGTATGAAAGCAACCTACAACGCCAGCAAAGCCGCGCTGCATCATTACGGGAACACCCTCCGTGCAGAATTGAAGCCATTTGGGTAGGCAACCCTACCTGTCTCAATGGTATACTCCGACCAGCTACTCACAAGACACAGCGTCCGAGTCATCAACGTCATCTCCGGTGAAATCGGCACCAACATCCTCCGCCACGATGCGAACCGGTCTCTCCCTGCAGGTACCATTCCCATACCCGGACCCACGATCATACTAAGCTGACCCATAACAGACTCATTATACCTCTCCCTCGCCACTGAATTCCGAAACCACGTCCAACGGAAACCCAGTACGTCTTCCCCAACACCCCCCCCTAACGAATTCAATTAACTAAGGGATAATAGAAACAATCACCCCCGCCAAATACGCCGCTGCAGTAGTCCGCGAAGTACAAAAGTCCCGTCCCGCGGCTTGGTTCTGGTACGGGGCGCGAACGGGCATGTGTCGATGGGGGGATATGTTTTTGCCGCGGACGTATTGGGTGAGTTTGATCCTGCTTACGATAATTTGATGAATGGTATAAAAAGGGTATGGACTGATGCTGGATAGGATGGATTGTTTGCCAAGTGGTTCCAGTTTCATAAATTGGAGCGGGGGGTGGGGGGGAAGATGGTGTGGTAGATTCCGTGGTGCATGGGCAGTGCCGGACAGGGGCAGGGATGCCGGGAGAGGAAAGTAATCGATCCCTACGGTGGAGGCTGGGGCAATTCCAATGGGCATGGATTCGCCTTGTTGGTTGGGGGCAAGCCCCGCCAAGCGACGGGATGCGAGCTAAACCGGGCCGAGGTGGGATGGATAGATGCATGACTGCGATGAGATTTGTATGATACACACGGCTGTTTTATCCCAATTAGATACATAAAGAGCTTTTCCTGATTTCACAATTCTTCTGTGGTCAGCTTTCATCTGTCAATTGCCCCCACCGTTACAGCATGGCCTTGGGAATCACCGGAGTTGCTCTCGTCACTGGAGCTGGTAAGTTCCCCCCTATTTGCTAGAAGCATCTCAATCTAACAGCATCGATTAGGCAGCGGAATCGGTCGGGACGTGGCAATTGGATTTGCCGCTGAAGGCGCCATTGGGGTCGTCTTTGCCGATATCAACCTCGCCGCAGCCCAAGAGAGCGCGGATCGCAGCGCCGAATATGCCACCAACCCGGCATACTATCCCCTCGCCATCGCCGTGGATGTGACCGACCTGGCTAGTGTGGAGCAGATGGTGACGGAAGTAGTGGAGACATTCAAACGGATCGATTATTGTGTCAACAGTGCCGGAGTAGGATGTCCCTTGATGCGTGATGTGTGATGACTTCTTGAAGAACGTTGTTAACTCTTCAGCTCGGAGTGCGCGAGCCCAAACACGTCACCGAAGCCTCGATGGAGGAATTTGACCAGTTCTACCGCGTCAATGTGCTGGGTACCATGCACTGTGTCAAGACCGTAGGCGCCGTGATGCGTCAACAAGCCCCCATCACGGTCTTGGGCCGGAATGGGGAACGCAATGCGGGTCGGGGCGCCATTGTGAATCTGGGATCGGCCAACTCGTACATGGCGACCCGGGATATCGTCCAGTATACCACTTCCAAGCATGCCGTGTTGGGCATAACCCGCAATGCTGGTCCGTATTCTCCCCTTTCTGTGTTCACCTCCTGCCTTAAGCATTGCTGACTGCACCTAGCACTGGATCTGGCCTCGCATGAAGTCCGGGTCAACACCATCTGTCCCTCGTGGGTCGATACGCCGATGGTTTCGGCGGCTCTGAATGGGAATCCCGACTTGGGTCCGCTCATGGAGAATGTCTTGCCCTTTCGACGCATCGCACAAGCGGAGGAGGTGTCCGATGTCATTCTGTTCCTGTGCAGTCCGCGGGCCAGTTATGTGACGGGTAGCGACTGGGTGGTGGATGGAGGAATGACGTTGACCTTGAAGTCATGTTGATGGTCTGCGAGATGTAGCTGCCGAGTGGCAAAGACATGAGGGATGATGAGAAGCCTTCGCCGATAGTAGCAGCTATCGGGCACTCATGGGGTTCATTGGTAGTGATAGATCCTAGGTAGAGGATGCGATACCCGAATAATGAAGAGACGGTCAAATGTACGCACGATAGATGCCACGGAACAGCCGGACTGGTATTCTTATTCACTCGAGATGAAGTACATCATTTGATGGCGAGAGAAGCCAGACTCAACCCCGACCCCGACCCCGACCCCGTATCGAGCAAATACCTCAGAGGTGTGTATAAAGTAAACGGGCTCGAGGCATCGCGGGTCAACCGCGAGAAATCGCTGCGATCAATAAAAATGGCCATCAACCTATTGAAGTGATTATTGATAACTACGAAATGCTGTTCGATCCGTTTCAATACAACTCGCTGGTCCCCCGACAGCAGCTCGACCAATCTCTCTTCCACCTGCTCCTGGGCAAAGAGTCCGTCGACGCAACACTCGCCTCTCGACTGCTGGCACCAGAAATCATACGGGCAGCCTGGTTCTTGTTACTGGCTCGCTATGCACAGGCAGATTCCCTGGAAATCCAGGCGCGGTGCGTCATCAAGTCGCAGGCTAAATCATCCCGCACAATCACCTTGTCCCTCGAGGCAGAGACGCATCTCCAAGAGGTGATACAAGCAACGAAAAACCTGTCCAAAGCCGACATCTATCTCACCGAGAGCGGCATCCATTCATTCCCGCTGGCGAAACGCCATCTAGCCAACGTGGACAGCATCTTTCGAACCGCCATTGTTGCAGTTCCCCAAGGGAAAAACGTCTCGCAAATCCTGTCACGGCTACCCTCGTGTCATATCATCGTGCGTCATGACGCTGCGAAACTGTCGGTTTGGGTTGATCCTCGACTCGCCAAGGCAGGGGGAGATCCCAATCTGCCCCGTCGACTCCTGTCCCAGTTGGAATTCATTGCGCAACAGGTGATGGACCAACCTGCCCGTCCGATATATGACCTGGACTATTTCAGTCCCGCAGATCAACAGGACTGGGCACTACAGGACCGTCCAGCAAAGCCGTCCATATCAGAGCTTCTCCACCAAGTCATTGCCTCGTTTGCCAAATCCCGACCAAATGCCCCCGCCATCTGCGCCTGGGATGCCGATCTCACGTACCGGGAACTCGATCAGTTGGCCACCAAGTTAGCCACTCAGCTGGTATACAGTGGGCTCCGGCCCGGCATGCTGGTTCCCTTGTTGTTCGAAAAGTCCGCCTATACTCACGTGGCCCAGCTCGCGGTTCTCAAGGCGGGAGGTGCATTCACGACCCTCCCAGCGGATCTGTGTCCGGCGCGGATTGAGTTGATTGTGGGACAGTTAGCACCTGAAGGGAGCGCTCATCTGGCTCTCGGACTGTGTTCTCCGTCGTTGACCAAGATATTGGCGCCACTGGTGTCCCGGGTCATTCTGGTGGACGAGGCAACCATGGCAGGAACTCCACAAAGGCCGGATATCGGAGACATTCAGGTGCAACCTCACGATCCCGCCTACGTGATATTCACCTCAGGCACCTCTGGGATCCCCAAAGGGGTGGTGGTGGAGCATCGCAACATCTGCAGCTCCTGCCGCTACTTTGGCAGGGAGGCAATGGCGCTGCACCGACCCGGAGTCCGACACTCTCAATTCCTCTCCTACGCGTTTGACGGTTCTATCCATGAGATCTTCTACACCCTCGCCAATGGGGGCTGTCTGTGTGTCCTCTCGGAAGATGAACGCTTGAACGATATTGCCGGGGCCATGACCCGCATGGGAGTCACCCATGCGAAATTTACCCCATCCATTGCCGCACAACTCGCACCGGAGGACTTTCCAACCCTGCAGCAGCTCTTCCTCGGTGGCGAGCCACTCACCGCGGCCAGTGTCGATCGCTGGCGCCCGCGGGTCGAGGTGTGGAATAACTACGGCCCTGCGGAATGTACCGTGCAGTCGGCCGTCATCAGCTGTGCAGACTCGAAATGGGCTTCGGAAGTGGTTGGCCAGGCGGGAGCCAGTCGCTGTTGGGTCGTCGACCCCAGCAATCCCCATCGCCAGCTACCCCGGGGATGCATCGGCGAGATCGTGGTGGAAGGCCCTAACGTCTGTCGCGGCTACCTGCGGAATCCGACGGACACCCACCACGCCTTTGTCCAAGGACTCTCCTGGGCTCCATCGCGACGCTTCTACCGCACCGGTGACATGGGGTATCTGGATTCCTACGGGCTCTTGACCGGCGCCGGTCGCAATGACGATCAGGTCAAGATCAACGGGCAACGCATTGAATTGGGCGAGGTGGAGACCCGCCTCCAGTCGGTGCTACCGGCCAATTCACGCGGAGTGGTGGACGTGGCGAACCCGCACGGCCGGGGCAAGGTCCTAGTGGCTTTTATCCAGCTATCTGCCCGGAGCGGTCCTGGATCCGTTGAGCAGTTGGAAGGTCGGATTCGAAAGAGCCTGGTCAAGGTGCTCCCGCCAGCGTTTGTTCCCTCGCGGATCTTCCAGGTGGAGGAGATTCCCATGGGCGCGACGGGGAAAACAGACCGCAAGACCTTGCGCCGACTGGCCGACGAGCTGTTGACTGACTTGTCGGACCAGATCCCAGCACCATGCGACATGGCTCTCATTCAATCGGTGGACGTGGGGGAGAAACGGCGCGTGCTCCAGCAGATGTGGGCCGATACCCTACAAGTGCCGGTGGAAACCCTACATTCCCACTCCGACTTCTTCTTCTTGGGGGGAACCTCCTTGTTAGCAATGCGTCTGACTGCCCTGGCCCGCAAGCAATCCTGGGATCTGAGTGTGCAGAAGATCTTTGCCCACCCGATCCTGAGTGAAATGGTGCAAGCCATCTCCTCGCTCCGCTCGCCCAGGGGCCCGGTGCACGTCTCCCAACTCTCATCCCAGCTCAGGCGCCAGATCGCCCAGTCCGAGAGGATTGAGGTGGATGCCATTGAGTCGATTTACCCAGCTACCGCCATCCAGGAGAGTTTTCTGAGTCTATCGAGGACCAACCCGGGGGCCTACATTCTACAGTATACTTTTAGCCTCCCAAATGAAATCGATACCGTACGGTTGCAGGAATCATGGAGGCGCGTGGTGCAGACGCATCCAATCCTGCGCACGCGATTCTACCAGACTGCCACCGGCCTCTCCCAAGTGGTGCTGAAAGAGGATTTCCATTGGGAAAGCCTCTCAGAGGCAGATGCTACCCTCCGCCAGCAGATCAAATCCGAGCTTCTGCAGCCCTCCCAGCCTCTGAGCCAGTTCCACCTGTTATGCGATGAGTCTAGCTCTCACACCCTGATCTGGACCGTCAGCCATGCCTTGACGGACGGGTGGACGAGCTCTCGACTGTTCGCCGAAGTCAAGGCACTGTACAGTGGTGGTGTGGTGCCTCCAGCTGAGCCTTATCATAAGTTGATCAAGGCGTTAACGACGAGGCCGCCGGGCATGGAAGCCTTTTGGCGGGAGGAATTAGATCGCGGCCCTGTCATGGAATATCCCATTCTGCCTTATGCCCAGTTCCGACCCGTCACCAATTCTCGCCGCGCAGCCCGACTATCCATCCCTTCCCATGCTGCCCGATCCCAATATACTATCCCCCTGCTGGTGCGAGCCGCCTGGGCCATCACGGTCAGCGAGATGACCCAACAGGAGGAGGTGATATTCGGCGTCAACCTCAGCGGACGTCACGACTGCCCTGGTGTGGTGGGCCCGGCTGTCACTACCATTCCTCTGCGCACGGCAGTCCGTCGGTCTCTTTCGGTGGGTGCATTCCTCGACCTCCTGAGTGCCCAGTCAGTGCGCATGATGCCTTTTGAGCAGACTGGATTGCGACGGATCGGGGAGCTTGCGGGCGGGCGTCTCTGGCCGTATTGCAGATTCCAAAACACGCTGGTCGTTCATCTGCCTCGAGAGGACATGGCGGGCTTCGTCCTCGACACTGCCTTGGACTGGATGCATCCGATCCAGGTTGATACCGTGTCCGCGCACAGCCTCGTCGTGAACTGTCGGGTCGAGGCTTCGGCACTGGAGGTCTGGATGAACTACGACAACCGGGTCTTGAGCGCGGATGACACGCAGGACGTGATGGCCTGTTTCCTAGGAATCTTCACTCAACTTGTGAGCGGCGAGGCTCGACAGACTCTCGCCGAGGTGTGCGCGACGATGCAAGGCCGGCAGACCCCTCGAGCTCCCACGGCCCGACGGGTGGAATATCTTGGCCAGGTCCTTGATGCGACCCAGATTGAAAGCCAAATGGGGAGAATTCTGGGGATGGATCCGCGGGTGTGCCATGTCGAGCCCATCAGACCCGACGAGGAAGCCACCTACACTATCCTGGCCGCGTTCATTGCTACCGATGTCCATCAGCTTGGTCGTCACGCTGCCAACTTGCAGTCACGATTGGGGGAGTCTCTCCCGAACCATATGATTCCGACGCACTACTTTCCGCTCCCTTCCAGCGGCTCGGTGTCTGATCGACCGAGTCTGGAGAGAATTGCATGGAAGCATCACTCCAAGTCGTATCCCACTCCCGATCACTTATCCACCCTCTCTCCCGTGGAGCAAATCCTCATGGACTGCTGGATGCAGGTGCTGGGCCGCACGGACATCACCATCCATGATAGCTTCCTCCTCCTCGGCGGCGACTCCATCAAAGTGATGCGACTCGTCTCGGCTGCCCGCGCCGCCAATCTCCGGCTGTCGGTCGCATTCGCCCTGCAGAACCCAGTCTTCCGACGCATGGCCGCCGGAGCCGAGATGATCACGGCTCGGGTCTCTGAAGCAGTGCAGCCGTGGTCCCTGGTCGGAGGCAAGGAGCGACTGGCTAGTGTCCGTGCCCTAATCCAGCAGCAAACTGGCTACGACCTCGATGATCTGGAGGACGTCTTTCCCGTCACTGCCTATCAAAAAGCAACCTTTCTAGACTCTCTCCGCACCCCCGGCACCTGTGTCCTGCAGACTCGATATCGCCTTCCGGAAACCCTCAACCTCCAGCAATTCCACCACGCCTGGCAGCAAGTCTGCCAACGATTCCCCTGCCTCCGAACCCGACTCATCCGCCTCGACAACGGGGACATCCTACAAGCCATCATCCCCCAACCCACCCCCCTCCAAACCCTCCACTGCACCACCCTCGACGACCTCCACCCCCACCCCCACCACTCCATCCAAACCATGACCCACCCCGGCGCCCCCTTGAACACCGGCCTCCTCGCCCACATCAACCACGAAACCCACTTCATCTGGACCCTCCACCACGCCATCTTCGACGGCCCAACCCTACACCACATCCGGCGCGCCCTCCTCCAAGCCTACCACAACACCCCCTGGACACACCACCCCGCCCCGTTCCCAGAATACATCCACTTCCTCCACACCATCCCCACCACCCCCGCCACGCACTTCTGGACCCGATACCTCAAGAACTCCCACCCCAGCGTCTTTCCCCCGCACCCCTATCCCCGTTACCTCGTCCGCCCGCACACCACCCACCGCCTCACCCTCCCCTTCCCCCAAACCCTCCCCCAATCCCATCACTCAATCACAACCGCAACCCTCCTCCACGCCACCTGGGCCCTCACCCTCGCCTCCTTCACCCGCACCACCGACATCACCTACCAACACCTGCTCAGCGGCCGCACCGCCCCCACCGACCACATCGATCAGATCGCCGGGCCCACCATCGCGCTCGTCCCCGTACGAATGAACCTCGGGGAGCGCCTGCACGCCACCGTCCGGGGCTTTCTCGCGGAGATCCAAGCCCAGATGGTAGCCATGATGCCATTCGTCGAGTGGGGAATGGAGAAGATCTTCTCTGTGGTGCCTGAGCCGACTGCTCGTCGTCGTCTGCTAGAGGGGATGCATAATATGTTGGTGATTCATAGCGCCCACCAGGACCAGCACCAGCACCAGCCGCAGCAGCAGCAGCAAGGAACCCAACCCGGGAAGGAGAAAGATGAACTCCTTGAGAAAATTGACGAATCCATGAACCTCGACGGCTATCTCGGCTTGATGGTGCAATGCACGATTCGTCCGGAGGATGGGGAAGTGAGGGTGGATTTCCGGTGGGATGAGCGGGTTCTGCCGTGGTGTGTGATGCGGATTTTGTGTGCCCGGATGGAGTTTTTGTTTCGGGTCTTGGGGGAGGGGGGTCGCGGGGGAAGGGAGAAGGTGGGGGAGGTGTTGGGGGCGTGTTGGGGGGTGTAGTACATCCTTGCCCCATTCCCTTTCTTAGGGTTGGGTGGGGTGGGGTTGGCGTTGATGAGGTAGATGGGCTACGAAGGATCTGTCACGGGGTAGGACTTACTGTACAATAATGCATCTCTGTATTTACATAGGACATGTGACCGTGATAGTTATCCATTTATCCATTTATCTATTTATCGATTCATTTGTGTGTTTGTATTGATTGGTCTTGCGTTAACGGATATTGCTACAGGATACGTCTTAGGGTGTAGTTGATATATGCTTGCCCCCCCTCTTTCCTTCTTTATCCATTGAATTAGAATTAACACTACATACTTATCTCTCTAAGTGGTCATTTTTCATCTCGTATGTTTCATTGTGATTCAGGGTACTACACCATTCTGAACACCCTATCCATTTCCTCAACATCTGAGATATAGAGACAACACCACGAAAAACAAAGAAACTAAAAGAAACAAACCACAAACTCATTCCAGATTGATCAGTTTTCACTGAGAAGCAACCACCCCCAACACCCTCTCCGCCAACGACCCCACCGTAACCGACTTACTCAACAGCTCCACAAACGGAATATCCACCTCAAACACTCTAAAAATCCACGTCCGAAACTCCGCCGCAATCATACTATCCATCCCGAACTCCGCTAACGGTTTAGTCACCTGTACTTTCTCCCGAGGTAACAGGACCAGGTTGCCTAGTCGGCGGGCTAGACTCCGTTGAATGGCTTCCGCGAGGGGAATGCCTTCTTCGAGTTCGGTGGCGAGGGGGGAGCCGGTGCTTGATTTCGCCCCGCTGCTATTTGCGGCGTCGTCTTCGTTGTCGAGGACGCGGGCGAGGACGGCGGCGCGGGGATCCCGGAAGGTGAGGTTGGTTACTTCGAAGCCCTTTTTGCGGAGGGCCATGAGGCCGAAGGGTTCGAGGCCGGTGAGGATGTGAGCGTGGGCGTGGTGGTCGATGGGGTGGGGGATGGTGAGCTGGGTGGAGGGGGTGGTGGTGGAGAGGGCGATGTCGATGATTTGGAGGAGTTCGTCTTCGTTGATGGCTTGGATGCCTTTGCGGACGAGAAGGGCCTCGATTTCTGGGTTGTCGTGGAGGTAGCCCACTTCGCTGATCATGCCGAGCCCGACGGCTTGGGCGGGGAGGCCCTGGGCGTGACGGTACCGCGCGAAGGTGTCGAGGAAGAAGTTGCCCGAGCAGTAGTTGGATTCGGTGGCCGTGCCGACGCTGCCGGAGACAGAGCTCGTCATGAGGAAGAACTCCAGCGCTTGGTCTTTGCCTTGGATGGCGTGGTGGAGGTTCCAGGATCCGCGTACTTTGGGGTCAATGCCCGTGTGCCATTGGTGGTTGGTCATGCTGGTGAAGATGGCTTCGCTGAGTCCCATCGCGGCTTGGATCACGCCCCCGATTAAGCCGTCCACGGCGGCAACGGCTGATTCCACATCGGTCGGGTTGCACACGTCGCCGCGGATGACCTGGCACTGGGCGCCATGTTGAATGAGATCGTCGATGAGTCGACGCGCGCTGGGCTTGTCCATGCCCGACCGGCCGAGGAAGACGAATTTTCGCGCTCCCCGCGACATCATCCATTTGGCCATACTGCGGCCTAGGCCTCCCAGGCATCCGATCATGAGATACGTCTTACTGGGAGAAAAGGTGGTGCGGTACTTGGAGATTTGCACGGGAATGAGGGTGGACTCGCTCTCGAGACTCACGACCACCTTGCCGATGCGGTTGCGCGACGAGAAATACCGCAGACTGCTGTTGATTTCCGACACATTGAACACGCGGAGGGGCTCAATCTTGGCAATCCGACAGGACCGGTAGAGATTAATGACCTGGTCGAGTAAGCCGGACCACAGCTCGCGGTAGGTCTCGCTCGGGTGGTGGTAGAGATCGGACAAGTCAAAGGCTGAAAAAGTCGCGTTGTGGAGGAAACGGTTCATCTCCAGTCGGCCGTCGTCGGCCAGATCATGCTTGCCAATCTCGATAAACCGGCCAAAGGCGGCGCAGCAGCGCCAGCTGGCGTGGAGGAGATCGCCCGTCAAGGAATTCAGCACCACATCCACACCCTTGCCGTCCGTTGCGGCGAGGACGCTGCGCGCGAACGAGTCGTCCCGGGAGGTGAAGATGTGGGTGGGGTCAATACCAAAGGTGGTGACCAGAAACTGCTTCTTCTCCTCGGTCGAAACGGTGGTGTAGATCTAAAAGCATTAGCGTATTGAACACAGGATGTAGACACAAAACCTACCTCCGCTCCGATCATCTGCGCAACCTGAATAGCGGCAATGCCCACTCCACCAGCGCCCGAGTGAATCAGCACCGACTCCCCTGGCTGCAGACGAGCCCGCATTGTGAGTGCATAGATGGCGGTAGAGTACACCAATGGAAGTGTACACATCGTTGCATAATCCTCATCATCTCTCAGCTTCTGACACGCCCACTGTGGGACAATCTCCGCGGACTTGAAGTGGCCCGGGGCCATGGCCACCACCCGGTCACCGGGCTGTAGCCCCTCGACATCATCACCCACCCGCTCCACGACACCGCTAAATTCCAGCGTGCAGGCAGCATTACGACTATCAACCTTGCCCGCTAGCACATACAGATCTTTGGCATTCAGCCCCACCGCCTTGACCTGTATCTGCACCTCATGCGGCGCCAGAGCAGGAAGCTCGATCTGCTTGAAATAGATGTTGTCGAATTGCCCCGGTTGGTCCAGCGCCAGTTGCACCGGCCGTGCTTGCTGCAGGGACAATTCAATCTTTTCAGATCCCTGCCGTTGCCGGAACTCGCGATTGAGGTCGTCGTCGGGAAGAAAGCGGCTGATATGCACCACGCCTCCCTTTTCCACATACTCAAAGTCCGCGAGAGGGCCATCGAGTTCTAGCAGGGTCTGCACGAGGTTATGGGCCGACCTGGACGGGTCAGTGGTGGGATCGTCAATGTCGTACGTCAGAAACTGCAACGAGGGCTGTTCCAGCATCAGGGCACGGGACAGTCCGGACACGAGAGCAAAGTCGGGACGTGTTCCACTCATCATGTCGCCGTTGGTGACCCAGACGAGGATCGAGGCATTGTCGGTGATGGCCTTGATGGCGTCCATCTCATCATCGCTGATGGTGGCAAGGAGAGGATTGCTGACTTCGAGCAGCGAGATTACTGTAGCACCGCCCAGAAGTGCCTTGGAGTCTGCAGTGATCTTGTCAAAAGAGAGGCGGCTCGCTCCGGTGCTTGCAACTAAAGCATCGCCGAGAGCACTCGTACACTTTTCAATGATCACGAGTGGTTTATTCTTGGTTACGGCTGACAGCGATGAGGTCGGGAGGGGCCGTGCCAGCAGAATCTCCTCGGTCCCGTTGTTAAGCCTCGAGCGCAGCGCATCAAACTCATTGGAGTAGTCCACATAAGCCCCCACAGTTGGCTTAGCAAGCACCACACCATCGGGAGACAGGAACTCAGCAACACGGCGCAGGTGGTTGCTCACGTACCAGGTGGCGGATGTGGCCGGCAGCAGGATCAAATCCCACTGCTTCTCGCCATCAGCCACCACTGGGAGGTTCTCTGCCACAGTCGGGCTGCTCGCCTTGAGATCCCAGTCAGCCGCATGCAGGTGGCCTTCCTCCAAGTATCCCGTACCGTAGGAGGTTAGACGACGGTAATCGTTGTCAGCAGACAAAAGGTCCAACACGGCAACGGTAAAATCCTGGCGATCAGAGCCCAACTCTAGCACGCGCATGCGAGGGTTTCGATGCGAGAGCAGATTTATCGTTGCCATTAATTTCGTGGAACCCTCGTCAGCCATGGACTGGGCTTCATCCGCAAAGTCGCCCATGTAGCGAGCAAAATCCACAGCGCGCATAAACTCCTGGCCATAAATCTTGGGTTTCCACAGAACCCGCAGCATGGGATGACGGGCGACGGAAGCCGTGTCGGACAGGCGATTCGGTTCATACTGGCGGAGACGACCCCATTCGATCTGGGCGACGACTTTGTTCTGCGAGGTCACTAGGTCGGCCTGGAACCCAGCGGCACCAAAACCGACAGGCGACGCGGTGGCATTGATGAAGCACTTGGTCTCCGCATTGACGGGCCCAGGCACTTGAAGCGTGGCCCAGCGGATGGTGGTTGGGACAAACGCCTTCATCTCGCGTGGACGACCTCCAGCGGTAGCGATAATGCCGGCCTGAACCATGGCATCGAGCAGGATCGGGTGGAAGGGATACTCGGCCTCATAGCCCTCGCTGCCCGGAGACTGCTGGGTGAAGCGGACTTGTGCGCGGCAAGCCTTCTCAGTATGCGAACGAGGAACTGATACGCCCTCGATGGAGGTGAACGCTTTACCGTAGTTCAACCCTTCATCGACAAAGCGTTCGTACCAGGTCCTCGCCGCAGAGGGCTGGAGACCAGCAGGGTTGATGTCACACATTGGGCGGAGGGTCTCTTGGGAATCCAATCGACTGACCGATCCCGTGGCCCGGATGGTGGAAGTTCCTTGTTCGTACGTGGCAATGCTAAAGTCCCACCAGAGGCCGGACGAGGCCGTCTTGGTATGAGGGGTCCGACGTAGGGTGGTGAAGAGCTCGACAGGAGAAGCTTCAGCACGGGGCACAGCCAATGCGGACAAGAAATGGACATTTTGAAATTGAATGGTATGGCCAGCGAGGTGAGGTTGGTTGAGAGCCTGACCCAGTGCCTCCGCAGCCATGGCCATGTATCCAGATCCGGGAAAGACGGCCGTGGACTCCAGAGAGTGATCCAATAGCCACGGGGCATCGTCACCATGCAACATATTGCGCCAGACAAGCTCGACCTCACTGCCCGCAGGAATCTTGGAGCCCAGGATTTCATGTCGACTGTGCTGGCGGTGGCGGAACTCGGAGCTCTCGCGACATTCGTTCCAGAGGAGAGTATCGTAAGTCCAGCGATACGGGGGGAGGTCATGCAGCACCTGGGGTCGCAGGCCACTAGCTTGACCCTTGTAGACGGATTGGTTCACCAACGACATTTGAATCGGATGGTGGTGTAGCCAGAGTTGCCCCGCAAGCGAGAGCACACTTTCGACCGAGCTTCGGTTTCGGATCAGGGCACTGCTGTACGGAAGATGGTCAGGCGAGAGCTTCAGCTGGGTACAGATCTGTCGGATGGGCAACTCGAGAGCGGAATGAGGGCCCAGCTCGATGATCTGGTGGCGCCCGGACTGAGCAAGCTGGCTGACCGCGTCCACGAAGCGCACCGGCTGTTCCAAGTTCTCGCGCCAATAGGCGGCCGTGAAGCCATCGACCTTGGGCTGGCCGGTCACAGAAGAGAAGAATGATGCCCCCTGGGCATACTGGAACGAGGGTAGGCGGTGGTCATTGAAGGAGGCTTCCAACAGTGTTTCATATTGGCCTCCAATGGCCCGCATATGATGGGAGTGATATGCACGTCCGTCCGTCTTGAGCTTTCGCGCGAAGACATTGCGGGTTTGCAGGGTGGCAATAATCGAATCGACTGCCGATTCGTCTCCGGAAAGGGTGACACTCTCCGGGGAGTTGATGCAGGCAACCACAATCTGGCCCTGGCACTGGGCCCGAGTGATCTCTTCGTTTGCCGCGTCGCTGGACAGTCCGACGGCAGCCATGGCACCCACGAGCGGTAATGTCTTGACAGCCAGGCCGCGATAGTATGCGACCAGAATGGCTTGTGCGCGAGACAAGTGACCGGCCGCATACGCCGCCGCGATCTCCCCCGACGAGTGACCCAAGACGGTAGCGGGACGAATATTCCACGACCACAAGAGATCAACCAAACCCACCTGCACGGCAATGCACACGGGCTGAGATCGGCCGGCGTCGTGGATCTGACTCGTCTTGCTAGATTCGAGGATAGAATCGCACAGAGTCCAGGACGGCGGGTTGGGCAAGGATTGCAGAACCGCATCTTGATCCGCCAGGGCAGCACGGAAGACGGGAAATTCAAAGAGAAGGTCGGCCCCCATCTGAGGCCACTGCGCGCCCTGGCCTGTGAAGACAAATGCGTATTGAGACGGGGGCTCCGTGGCCACCTCGGGCAATGTCACAAGCCCTCCGGCAGCCAATTTCTCTGGCAGGGTATCCTGGTTGGCCACCAGGAAGCCACGAGTGCGAAGTTGGGATCGGCGCTCCCCCAGTGTATACGCCAGATCGGTAAGCGACTTGTTGGACAGGTTGTAGCTGGCCAAATCCTGGTACCGGGCCTCCAGGGCCGCCGGTGTGCTGGCGGACATGGGGAACAAGAAGGTGGTGCGTCCCTGGGAAGGGTGAGTTTGTTGTTTCCGGCTGTTGAGGAGTGAGGAGGCCCCCTCGAGAATGAGGTGCGAGTTGGCGCCTCCATATCCAAATGAATTGATGCCCATGCGGCGAACCTGGGCGGATTCCCCGCCGGGCCATTCACGGCCCTTGGTCACCACTTGCACGTTCCACTCGCTCGATTTGATCTTGGGGTTCAGTCGTTGAATGCCAATGGTAGGGGGGATAAAGCCATGCTCGAGAGCCAAGGTCCCCTTGATGACGCTGGAAATTCCACTAGCTGCTTCGCTGTGTCCCAGATTGGACTTGACCGATCCAATCAACATAGGTGCAGACCCTGTAGGACGCTTGAAGGCTAGGGATACAGCCTCTGCTTCAATCGGATCACCCACCGCAGTTCCGGTGCCGTGACATTCAACATAGGCAGTATCATTTAGGGACAGGCCGGCCTTGGCATACGCCTTGCGGATGACCTCTGCTTGCCCGACACTACTGGGCAGCGTGATACCTGCCGTCTTTCCATTTCTATACCATACATAACACGGTCAGTGGGCCCAGCACAAAGCAACACAGGACAAAACAGCGAAAAGAGAGGCTCGAGATGGTCGGGTTGAGAAGACGAGTGAAGGGGCAACATACGCATTGATAGCACTCGCCCGGATAATGGATCGAATCGGATCCCCATCTCGGAGAGCATCTCCCAGCCTCTTGACATAAAGAGCACCCACCCCATCAGCACGACCATACCCGTCGGCAGCGTCCGAGAAGGGGCGACATGTCGAGTTTGGTGACAAGACGCCCGCTTTCATGGTGGCCAAATGTTGCTCGGGGGTTTGAATCAAGTTGGCTCCTGCTACGATGGCCCCGTCACATTCACCGGCTTGCAGGGCCATACAAGCGATGTGCAGGCAGTAGAGGGAGGAGGAACACGCTGTATCAAGAACCAGGCTATTATAAACTCACTTTCATCGGTCATATTCATCAAGGGTACTTGGGCCAGACGGAGGGACGTACCTGGGACCCTTGAGGTTGAACACATGGCTGATGCGGTTCCCCAGAATCGATGTGCCCATGCCTGTCGCGGTGTAGCGATGCATGTATTCGGCATCACGCAGTTGCATGAGCTGAAAGTCAACCGTAAAGTTGCCTACGTAGCAGCCAATGTTGGCGCCTGAGAGATTTTCCAGCAGCAACCCAGCACTCTCAAAACATTCAAAGACCACCTCGAGGAGCTTTCGCTGTTGAGGGTCCATGTACTTGGCCTCCATGTTGTTGATGCCAAAGAATTCGTTGTCAAAGCTGCGGATATCCTCGTCCTGCAAGAAATATCCGCCTCTCATGTGCATACTCCCCGGCCGGTTGGAGCCATTGGGATGGTAAAAGGCGTCCACGTTGAACCGAGAGGAGGGCAGCTCGCCCTGTCCGGATCGCTCGCTGACGAGGAGATCCCACAACTTGGATGGGGAGGAGGCACCCCCGGGGAGACGACATGCTGTGCAAGGCTTTAGCTGGTCTGTCCACGGTTTGGTTTCAGTTGGTGCTCACGGACCCATGCCTACAATGGCAATGTCATCTTCAGAGATGGACCTCGTCCCCGTTTGAGCATTCTCGTTCATGTATGGAGCCATCACCGGAGACAAAAAGGGAGAGTAGGGGAGAATTATCGAAGAGGAGTAAAAGAAGGATGAGAAGAGAGAGGTCTGGATGACATGCCAAGTCGACTGGTCTATCTACAGCTCTGGATGCACCGTCGCACCAGCATGGTTTTATATCCATTGGAACGGTGGTGTCATTCCCACCATGCTCTGTTGGATGTGGGATGTCTCACGCCCGTCCGATGGGCTTCTTTTATCAGCCATCCTTCCGGTGGATTGTTGGAGGTCAGGGCCTCTCCCGCGCCGGGGACCCGGTAAGAGCGAGTGTGTCTGATCCCATTCCTATCTCTAGTGCTGAGTGAGATCTAGGGTCCATGAGGAGGTCTTACATCGAAAACTCGATACTTATGCAACAAAGCCTCTTGAAACCCGAGGCGGCGGGAGCATACGAGACGGGAGAAGCCGGTGGGAGCCGTTGGTACACCGGGACTCTGCAGGGGTCGACTTGATTGTCTTCCAAAGGATGTGCATGTCTCACCAAGTCCATCCCTACTTCATGGATGTATATTGGTCTTCTTGATTGCACACAGCCCACGGAGACTCTGAGTGCTGGAAGCCTTTCTTGAGAATTTATTCAGGTGTCTTCCAAGGAGTATTACTCCGAGTCCGAGTCCTATCTTATATGTATGATGGACTTGTCGATTGCGCACAGCCAACAGAGGCTCTCACTGTCGAGACCCTTTCTCTGCAATTTATTCAACTGTCTTCCAAAGAATCCACTCCGATTCTGGTGTCTGTCTCTTGGATAGATATTGGACTTCTCAATTGCGCACAGTCACGAGAGACTCGGAGTCGGGAGCCTTCCTTTGTGAAGACTACTCGATTGTCTTCCAAAATCTTCCAAGAAATGTTACTCCGAGTCCGAATCCGACCACCTGACCCATGGACGTATACTGGTCTTCTAGACTGTGCACAGCACAGAGAGACTTGCAGTACCGGGAGTCATTCTTTGGGGTTCACTTGATTGTCTTCCAAGAGATGTTACTCCGACTCCGATCCTTATCGCACGGATGGCTTTCTTGATTATGCAGACCCAACAGAGCGCTCAGCGCTAGGATTTTCCTTGGCGTCTACTCAATCACCTGTCAAAGGATGTTACTCCGAATCCGAATTTGGCTCCATGAACGTGTCCTGGACTTCGCGATTGCATACAGCCAGGAGCGTCTCTGGGAGCCTTGGTTTGGAGCTTCTCTCGAGGCCATAAATATGACCTGATGGCCGAGAGACAGGGATGACCACCAAGAGAATAACATCATTCTGATCGACACCATGACTGTGATTGCCACTGCCTCCCCAACGAGTACGATTTCGGCGATTGCCGCCGCCAATCCGACTCTCAGACGACCCATCAACGTTGAGGCGCATCCCAAAAGCCCTTTCCGCCGGCCGCCTGTAGATCTGTACCCGGTGGAAGGAGCAGAGGAGTCTTCGGTTCACTCATTGCCCGAGATCATCGAGTTCAATGCCCAGGCTAATCCGGATCACCTGTTCTGCATCCAAGCGACCAAAGAAGCAGATGGCAGTTCTGGCGCCTGTCGTGTCTCAAACCAACAGCTGCGAGATGCGGTCGCGAATTGTGCGAAATGGCTGCAGGACAGGGTGACTGCTCTCCAAGTCCCCGCTCCGGCAACGGAGGACGGACAAGTGCAGAAAGGCCCGCCGGTGGCGCTGCTGATGGATAGTGGTCTTGGCTTGTTCCTTCACCAGATGGCTCTTATCGGGCTTGGCGTCCCTGTGAGTTAATTCCATGCCGTCTGATGTTGCGCACCGTGTTTGATGCTAATAAGTGTTGCCACGTCCAGGTTCTCCTGCTCTCCGCCCGTCTCAGTGCCACGGCAATTCATCATCTGCTGAACAAGACCAATGCGGTCGCTATCCTGGCAGCTCCTCGGCACCAGGGGACCGCTGCGCAAGCCGTGGACCTGTTGTTGTCCAAGGACGAGCGATCCATCTCATTGTACGAGCCCGTGCCCTACACCACGTTCCTGGAGCCCGCCGCCCCGGTGGCCTCCATCTGCCATCCCCTGCACTACTTTAGCGAAAAGGACCGCGATGTACTGATTCTCCACTCCTCGGGAACCACCGGCCTCCCCAAGCCCATCTATGTCTCTCATCGTCACCTGCTCTGCTTCACCACGTGTCACGATTTCCAGACCGAGGAGGAGGCCCAGGGCATCAACGTGTCGACACTACCCCTGTACCATGGATATGGCCTCATGGCCCCCGCCCTTGCCATGGGGGTCGGCAAGACGGTGTGCTTCCCGGCCCCCGGCACCGTCCCTAGCGCCCACAGCGTCATCCGCCTGATCAAGACCACCCAGGCGGCCTCGCTGATGTCGGTGCCATCCATCCTCGAAGACATGTCGCTGGCCCCACAAGACGACGGGGTCCACACCCTGGCAACCCTAGACTTTGTCACCTTCGGGGGAGGCCTCTTGCCGCCCATCGTGGGTGACCGACTGGCCGCAGCCGGCGTGAAGATCGTGAATCATTATGGGACCACCGAAAGCGGGCCGTTGGCGCCCTTCTTTGTGCCTCCCCGCAGTTACAATTGGCATTATTTCCGGCTGCGGCGCGATATGCGCCTGTCCATCAAGGAGATCGCCCCGGCCGACGGGGAGCGACGCTTCCGACTCACAACATATCCATTTGGGTGGGACCAGCCCTTCGAAATCCAGGATCAGCTGGTGTGCAATCCCGAGCACCCGACCACGGATTTTAACGCCGTGGGACGGACCGATGACCTCCTCGTACTGGCGACCGGTGAGAAGGTTCTGCCGCAGATCCTGGAGTCTCAGCTGGTCGAAAGTGGCTTGGTGAAATCGGCGATTGCCTTTGGAGACCAACAGTTTGAGATTGGAGTCATCATCGAGCCAAAGACGCCTGTCGCTACCTCTGATGGTGCACAGGCGTTGAAAGAGGCGGTCTGGCCGGTCATTCTCCGGGCTGGGGAGAAGATGGATGACCATGCCAAAATCTCGTCGGTGGAGGCGGTGATTGTGGTGCCTGCGGGGACAGTCATTCCCCGGACGGATAAAGGCTCCATTGCACGCAGGGAGGTCTACAAACTGTTTGAGGCGGAAATCAGTCAGGTCTACCACAACCTCGAGAGCCGTGGAACCGATGGTCCAGTGACGCCTCTTGACCCCGGCAATCTGGAAGAAGGCATACTGGAAATCGTCCAGACGCGCCTCCACTGGAGTCTCCCGGTCACAGAGTGGTCGGTGGATGATGATTTCTTTGAGCGAGGCATGGATTCTTTGCAGGCCATCCGGCTCCGGCGATTCGTCCTGGCTGCCGTCTCGACAGCCAACCACGACAGCTCTCTCGTGAGTTGCATCGGTCGCGATTTCGTGTATGCAAATCCATCCGTGCGCCAAATGGCGAACGCGCTCCGCCAGGCACACGCACCCATCACGTCCGCGCACGAGGCGGCCAAGGAGTTGCTTCCACAACTGGTGCAGACGCATGCTCTCCACGAACCCGTACCGCTCAGCGGGTTCGACTCGGGTGCGATCGTCGTTCTGACTGGCTCCACGGGAAGCTTGGGATCCCACTGCCTGGCGGAGTTGGTGCGCTCCCCACATGTGGCTCGAGTGATTTGTCTGAACCGATCCCGAACCGACGTGTCGGCCGCGGGGTCGGTCGATGGCAATGGAAAAGCTCGCCTGGCTCGTGCCTTGGAAGACAAGCACATTAGTTTGGACAAGGAAGGTTGGTCAAAGGTGCAGATCTATGAGACTAACCTTTCTGCAGAGCTCCTCGGCTTATCGCCGTCGGAGTATGCCCTGCTTCGATCTGGGGTCACCCATATCATCCATACTGCATGGGGGATGGACTTTAAGTGGCAGCTCTCGTCATTCCGGCCCCATTTGCAGACGCTTCACAATCTCCTCCGTCTAGCCCAGGACGGGCACCGGGCGCGGCCCACCATCAAGCCCCGTCTACTCTTCGTGTCTTCCATCGCCACGGTCGGACAGTACGCCTCGGTGAGCGGCGAACGGATCATCCCCGAAAGTCCGATGGCGACGCTGGACTGTGCCAACTCCATTGGGTACGCCGAAGCCAAGCTCGCCTGCGAGTGGATCCTGGAGCAGGCCACGCGGGAGCACGCCGAGGAGGTGGAAGCCTGCTATGTCCGTCTGGGACAGATTGCAGGAGCGCGCACCACGGGATTTTGGAATCCGCGGGAGCATTTCCCTGCGCTGGTGAAATCGTCTCAACTCGCCGGTGCCTTGCCTCAGCTACCAGGAGTAAGTCTTCCCCAACCCTTCTTCTCTGTCGTCTGGCAGACCTGTACTGAGCGTATTCACCCATAGACCTTATCCTGGATCCCCGTCGATGACGCGGCTAGCGTTATTATCAACCTGTCGTTCAGTGAGGAGCAGCCGGCAGTAGCCTACCATCTTGAGAACCCCGTTCGACAGTCGTGGACCGACGTCTTGAGGACGATCGGGTCTCAGTTAAATATTGACCAATTCCTTCCGTTCGACGGCTGGTTGGATCGGGTTACCCACTCGTTGCCGAAGGATAAGGCCGATCAGAACCCTGTCCATCAACTGGAAGAGTTCTTCCGGGAGGATTTTGTCCGCATGGCCTGTGGTGCGGTCATCATGGCAACCGATGAGGCGAGGAAAAGATCGGAGGCTTTACGACGCGTGGATGCAGTGCCGGACGAGGTAGTGGCCTCATATGTGCAATCGTGGCGCAAAATGGGTTACTTGATGTGATAGACGCTTGTGCTTCTGTGATTCTAGTTTGGTTTAGCTTTTGGTTTCCCCTTGGCCGCGTTCGCATAGCTGAATAGAATAATACGTCAAATCTCGTGATACTTTGTTCTACCAGTAAGTGTTTCCATGTGGATCACATCGAAATCATCACATGTCGACGACCGCGAGGAATTCTGACGAGGAATCCTGACATGGAGGGAGGTCAATCAAGCCCCCAATATTTTTCGGCGTAGTACTTTGTAATACCTCTGCGTGACATCATGGCACAACCTGCACAAAGCCACTTGCTCGAGGAGTGGGAGAACGACGACAGTTGCCGGGGTCGGAGAGGGGAACTTCCCGCTGGAGGTGAGGGCGCATACTCTGCTTTCATTGGTGAGACCCCGGTTCCGGTGGGATGCTTTAGCGTCCCGGGGACCCGAGTTGGCCTCGAGTCGGCCTCGAGTTGCCTCGCCCACCCATGGCTACCTTAGCAGTGTCAACGCCATATAAAAGGGACTCAAGACCAGGGAAATTCGGTTCATTGTCCATCTAACAGTCATTGCGAGCTCTCGTTCCTTCCTACCTTCATTATATTCTCCGTGGTATTGTTTTTCTCTCCCCTCCTCAAACAGCAGCACTTGTCAACATGGCTACTCTCGCCGGCCAGGTCGTTATCATTACCGGAGGATCCAAAGGCATCGGCAAAGCCACGGCTCTCCGTGTGGCCCGGGACGGCGCCAAGGTAGTCATTCAGTACCACTCGGACGACCAGGGAGCGCAGGAGGTGGTCGACACCATCGGCGAGGAGAATGCCTTAGCCGTCAAAGGCAACGCCGCCAGTGTGACCGACTCCGAGGAGCTCATCCGTCGCACGCTGGAGAAATTCGGCCAGATTGATGTCCTCATTGCCAACGCGGGGACCCTACCATACAAGGATCTTGCGAGTACTTCGGAGGAAGACTTTCAGGCATGCGTGGATCTCAATGTCAAAGGCCCATACTTCCTGGTCCAGGTAGGGATTCCTTCTTGCCTTTCCAGTGGGATGAACGCATGGCTGATGATGGATTCTAGAAAGCGGTGCCACACCTGCGGCCCGGCGCCCGGATCATCCTGGTCTCCACCACGCTCTGTCATGCCTCCACCGTCAACCCGCGCTATCTCCTCTACTTGACCACCAAGGGCGCCGTGGAACAAATGGTCCGCGTGCTGTCCAAGGAGTTGGGCCCGAAGGAGATCTCCATTAATGCGATCGCCCCCGGCCCCACCGATACCGCTCTGTTCAGTAAGGGCATGAATCCCGCGGTGCTGGCGGCTGTGAAGAATCTCATTCCCCGTGGGCGGCTCGGCACTCCAGAAGAAGTGGCCGAGGCGATGGCATTTTTCAGTTCCCCCGCCAGTGGATGGGTGTCAGGTCAGATCTTGCGAGTGAATGGGGGAATGGCCTAGATCCGGACTGGGAATAAGCAGATAGGAGTGTATGTAATCGTGCAATGAATTGACTAATTTTGACTGTATCCTGAGGGAACCTAGTAATTCAGCTTGTCTTGGTGGCATTGTTAGCCGACACGCAGGAAATACCCGGGAATGCCAGGTCGCTAGGCGTGGAATAGGTGCCCATAGAATTGAAGATGTGGGAGTAGAAGATGGTCCAAATCCACGGTCGCCAGCCAGCCGGATGAGACCGGAACAATCAGCGCTCCGCTCCGGCCTGCTGGGTGGGGACCGAGGCCGACGGAGGGTGGGCTTCGCTTTCCATGACTATCTGCCTCTACTGCATGGCGATGGCTTACACACTGCCGCTACGGGGACAAGGTATTCGAAGCCAACATGAGTGCCTTCTGCATTCTTCTAATCTAAGAGAACGTTACCAAATACCAAGAAATCAATTGCCATCGCCTCCTTTGGCCGATCCAATCTCCTCCCGCCTTCTACGCGTCAAACCTGTTCTTCCCTGTACTTGATTCTCACATCCAGCCCTGTTTGATGGACAAACCATCGGTTCTTGACCTCCCATCGATCGCTGTCAGGATGAGCAAAGGAGAACTACAAACATCAGCCAGAGATCGGGAATATCAGAGCAGATGGGGAAGGACCAGCCTCCACCCCCGAGGAGCAACTCACCTCGTATCGCTGGAATAAAGTCGGAATCAACTTGTAGACCTCCAGATAGGATATGTGCTTGCCAAGACACACGCGACGGCCCGCCCCAAACTGCATTCACCGGTGAGTGACCGAATGGATGATTAAGAAGAGATGGTGGTGGAGAGAGAGATGGGTTATGCTTACTGTCATTAGAGCATTGTCCATCTTCCGTCGCGTCTTCTCGTCACAAAGCCATCGTTCCGGCTTCCATTCGTCGCTGTCGGCGCCAAACGTCTCCGGGTCACGATGGATAGCCCAAGCACTAATACCCACCACCGAGCCGCCTGGAATGGCCTGTCCGCAGATGACCGCTCCCTCCGGAGGCACCACGCGTTCAAAGGGCAACCCGAAGGGAGGGTGTAGCCGACCAGACTCCTTGATTACCGCGTCCAGATACCGTAGCTCCCGGGCCTCTCGCCAGGTTACGATGTCAGACAGCTGACCCTGCTGACGGGCTTCCTGGAGTTCTCCGAGGAGCCGAGCCAGGCACTCCGGGTGCTTGAGTAGCTGGTAAATGATGGTTCGAAGCAGGATCGCCGTCGTGTCGCTCCCTGCACCCACGTTGGATGTAGTCCATGCCGTGAGCGCCCTGCTCCTGTATTAGCCATGCGATACTTGTTGGGTCCGGGGCACTTACCATGGCGGTATGCTCGGGTCCTTCTCGATCGCCCCGAGGAACTGGGAAAGAAAGTCTCCGGTACGGGCGTTCCCGTCGGCTTCTTTCTTTTCGTTTTGTCGTTCTGCGGCCCGGGCCAGCGCGAATGCCACGATCGGATTCACACTATGCTTGCGGAAGCGCTGGACAATGGGATTCTTGGCCCAGAGCCAGTCAACCCAGGGAATCTGGGATACGATAGCTGCCGAGTTGAAGTAGTGATCGATGGCGTGGATGATGCCATCCACATCGCCCCCATGTTGTAAGAACCCGAGGCGTTTAGAGAAGGTCAATTCTCCGATCACATCAAACGCAAAATATTGAAGCCACGTCTCAAAATTGCAGATGCGGCCCGGGTGGACAAACTCCTCGTCGAGTCGCTCGAACAGATACTTGATCGTGGAGTCCACATACGGCTCGAATGAGACCACGTTGCTCATCGAGTACATCCCGGCGATGGGTCGTCGCAGAAGGTGATGGATCTGCTCATTCTGCGTGGCGAAAATGGTCTCGACGGGTTTTCCTCGCACGTAAAAGGCGAGAGCCCGGTAGAAGTCGGACTGGTTGTTGTTCAGCGGCCTGTCACTTCAAGGGGGAGTATATTACCTTGCCAAAAGTGCCTGCGAAACTGTAGATGTGAGGAATCTCCTGGGGATCTGTCACCGAGATCATATTGGGTCCAAAACGGACCAGTCGACCATATTTTCGGTGCAAATCAATATGGATATCATGGGATCGGTTGGTCCAGACCCAGTATGAACGAGGCACGTTGGTCAAGGCGGATAGCCAAGGCCCAGGGATGTGTCGAAGTCGCAGATAGCTCCGGAGAAGCCATGCTGCCAGAAGCAGCGTCCCCACCGCGAGAACCACAGGAAACGTGAAAATCATTGTTTCGACAGGGGTTGCGATCTGCTGTCCTGGATCCGGGTGGTCTGATGCGTGAGGCTAAGTTTAAGGTATGGCATGATCTTAGCCTGGGGTGCTACTTTGCCGGGCCCGCTAGCCCCCGGCAGTTGACCCCGGGGCCCCCACCCCGACCCCGAATCCGAACCCGATTTGCGGCCATCCCACCCCATCCGAGTCCATCCCACCTCCTGCCACGGCACCACCTGCCGGGATGCGGTGGGGATCCCTGTAGTATGCTGCATTGGACTCGGGTCCCTGCGTCATTGGTTGCGGATACCAGCCGTCTAGTCCAGCGCTTGTATGCTACGGTGTACGGAGTATTCGGGGTGATTTTCATGACTCGGTCCTCCAGATCAGGCAATCCAGACCTGAAGGTCCAGGATGGAATATAAAACTCAAATGAACTTCATTGATTTTCCCCTGCAATCTGCATTGGTGTGAACAATCACTACACAACACAATAACAACATCGTGACCAAAGCAAAACGAAATGGCTCCCGGACGCATCGACCCCCCCAATCTACCCACCAGCAAGCTTGAGATCCCCTCCGTGGATATCTCTGCCTTCCTTGCCGACCCAGACTCTCCCGAAGCACAGCGCATTGTGCCCATTGTGAGGCAGGCCTGTCGTACCACTGGATTCTTCCAGGTTACCGGCCACGGCGTTTCCCCGGCTCTTCAAAAGGCTGTGTTTGAAGGGGGCAAGAAGTTCTTTGCCCTGCCCTTTGAGACCAAAAACTCCTTCGACTCCAAGAAGGTCCGCGGCCACCGCGGCTACGACGTGCTAGCCTCGCAGTCATACGAGCCTGGTATCCTGCCCGACCTCAAGGAAGGCTGGTATGTTGGAGAAGATCTTCCCGACGAGGACCCCCGGGTGCAGGCCGGTCGCTTCTTCATGGGCAGCAACGTCTGGCCGGACGAGGCGCAATTGGCCCGCCAGGACTTCCGAAACCCCTGTGAGGAGTACCACCGCACTCTCAGCGCCCTCAGCGTCCGAATCCTGCAGCTCATCGAGCGTACCCTGCCCTACGGCTCGGGTATCTTCGACGACTTTGTCTCCAACAACCCCATCACCCCCATGCGGATCTTGCACTATCCCCCCGCCCGCACGCCGACGGACAAGCCTCAGTTCGGGGCCAGTGCGCATACCGACTTTGGCGCCATCACGCTGTTGCTGCAGGATGAAAGCCCCGGCCTCGAGGTGCTAGACTCTCGCACCGGAACCTGGGTGGGCGTCCCGCCCAACCCGAATGCCTACGTGGTCAACATCGGTGACATGCTCAGCCGCTGGACCAAGAATGAGTACGTCAGCAGCGTGCACCGGGTGATTAACCAGAACCCGTGGGATCGCTACAGTATCGTCTTCTTCTTTGACGGTAATGCCGACACCGAACTGCGGGCATTGGATGGCAGTGAGGCGGAGGATCCAAACCCATTGACCCCGGAGAAACACATGCTGAACCGCATGACTGAGAGTTATGGGAAGAAGAAGACCCAGCCTGAGGTTACCGCTTGAATTGGATGCCACCTGTCTGTCATGAATTTCCCTTCCCTTTTCCTTTTCCTTCCTTGTCAATACTACGTCTGTCCTCATTACTCTGTCTTTTCCATCGTTAATCGTTCCAAAGCCTTGATAATCATAACGATAGCATTGAATTGAATTTTCTACTTAGCAATGATGCTTTCTTCCATCCGCACTTAGCTTGAACACCAAATAATCTTGTAAAAAACTGCCCCAAAACCCAATCAACCACAGGTAAACAGAGCTTTGTACCTGCTACACATAATTCCAGTTTCTTCCATCCATTAAATAAACTAATGCCTAATAAATACCAATCTCTGTAGAATGTAGAACACCGGCAGGCAAGTCGATCTCCTAGACTCTCAACCCTGCTTACTCCCCAACCCGACCCACCCACCTACCTAGTACCTAGTACCTACCCATCGGCTCGTAAAATCAGCACATCAAATTCAAATATTACCTCCTCGGCTTCACAGAAAAACTGGAATATCAATCATCATACCCTCAACACACCCAGTTTCAATACTGACCATTCTCAGTTGTCGCTTTCCGAAATCCTACCTTCTTAAGCAAACCTTAGTAATATTATCGTTATCCCACGACAATAATCAATATCGTGATCCGGTCACCCGCTATATATATATATATATTGTGATGACTGTGGTATCATCATAGTACTAGCCCAAAGATATAGAGAAATCTTCCATCTAGTAGTTGTACTAGTATCATAATGATTTCGCCATGAAAATAGGATGATATGATTATGACTTCGTACCTGAGTCATCCGATTCGCCCGAAGAATAATACTAAGTAGGGAAGGGTCCATCGCTTCAAAAGCCACCGGTCAACAATAGTATCGTTTAAATTATTATCATTCATTGAATGGAGGTGTCACTCATGGCACAGGCTAGTTCAATGCATGCATCCGATCGTTTAGCTGTTGTTATTTACTAGTTTTGGCGATGCAAGGTATGTTAGGTGGAGTCGATGTTGATAGGGTGGTTTGAAGAATTGATATATTTGTAGACTAACTGGACTTCTAAACGTGTATCTGGATATGGATGTGAGTCAAGAATCTCTAAAGACAAAAAGAGAAAAGGAAAGCGCTTAGTATGTACTAGACAAAGTAGCAGACCAAGATGAGAAACTCCAGGCGCCCAAAAATCCGCGCCATCAGTTATCCCACACAGACAAGGAAATAGAGTAGTGAAAGAAAGAGAAAAGAGAGAGAAAGAACGTCAGAACAATCAAGCAGCCTGACTGTATTTCCAAACCAACGCTCCGGTAGCACCCGCCACCGCTTCGACGGCGTCGCGCCAGCTGGTGGCCTCGAGAATGTTCAAGGCTTTGCTCAGCAGGTAGAAAACGGCACCTCGGTCGGCAGCGAAAGAGAACAGGCTCTTAGAGGCCCATGAAGAGGCGGGGAACTGAGCAGCGGTGGAGAAGTTAAAGGGGGCAGGATCAAGACCCGCTCCGTTGTGGATCACCACACCGGCTCCGGTGGGGAAGTTGGTCGGTAGGCAGAACCATGCGCAGACCCAGATCTTACCCAAGAATTGCAAGTAGGCTGAGGGGTAGGAGTAAGTGTCAGTTCGGGAACAGGATTGCTGTGGGGATGGACTTACGAGTGTCCTTGATACCCCAGCGCTTTCCGTAGTGGATCACCAGATCCTCCAGCATGATGATCGCCGCCTGGCCCAACCAGAGAGAATACATACCGCCGGTGTTACGGCCAACAAGATAGGAGCCAGCATGGTGCGTGAGAGCCGAGATGTAGAAGGAGGCAAACAGTTGGGTGTACTTGCGGACAAGGGATCCTTTCGGGAGTTGCAGGAAATCGACGAGAAGCCTGGATGGTTCGACGACCACGCGGCGGAGATGGCCGTGCCAGCATTTACTAGATTGCCACGTTAGCTGTGCAGGTCGTGAAGCAGGCGCCGCGGCTACTCACCCCCAGAATTGACGGACACTCCACATGTGGCTGCTGAAAGATCCCATCAGGTTAGGCCACTGCTCGGGGCGGCAGATACCCAGTGCCGTAGTGAGCGTCGCGAAGAGGTAGAATGGCATCTGCAGGGCATTGTAGGTCTCCAAAGCGCCGAACCAGCTAACCACGCTGCGCGTCAAAAGTCCCTCAGAAAAGAGATCGGGCATCTCGCCTCCCTTGCTCAGGTGATACCAGCGGACGCAAGCGTGAACAAAGTCCAGAGCCAGATAAGAGAAGAGGAATCGATGAATGGTGTGTCGCAGAAACTTCCTGGAAGTATGTCAGATCGATCCTATCGCTCAATGGCTCCTTGCGAACTTACAGACGGGGGTATCCTGGCGCAACCGGCTCCGGAACATTAGAGACCTTGAAATTCCATCCGACACCACGAGTCGTCAACCACAAGCCCACACTCCATCGCAGCCGTTCCAGCCAAGATGCGTGTTCTTTGGGACCGACAGAGATGGTTGCAGTGGTAATCTTGACGTCTTTCGGGGCAGCAACAGTAACAGGGGCGACGGGCGATTCGTTTCCTTTGGCTTTGACGAGGAACAGGTGTTCTGGGGTTTGGCGTGCATTCTGGTTGGCTGAGGAGACCTTGGGATTCACAGTGCTGACAGGCTTGGCTTCGATAACCTTTTGTGCTTCCAGATCGGGGTTGCCAGGCTTATAGCGCGGGCGATTATCGGCCACCCGCCAGAAGGAGCGTTCGGGGTTGTGAAAGATCGCAAAGTCCAGCCATTTGATCACGGCCCCTGACATAAAGACCCCAATGACAAAATCGAGAGACACTTCGCCGGTGGTAAAGCTCGGTGCGTAGAGCAAGAGGCCGGCGAAGATTGGACCGCCGACCGCCAGTCGGACCCATTTGCTTTTCGTGGGAAGGAGACAGGTGATGGAACCGGTAGCGAGAAACGAAGGAAGAAACCAGCCTGGCATGGGTTGCCGGCAGTCCAGTGGGGTGGTCAGCGGAGAAAAGAGCTGGCCGAGCATGGTGATGGATGGAAGAGTGGAATGTGGATCTATCCTGTGATTGTCTGTGGATGAGGCAGGTTGATGAGGAGTGGATAGGCTGGATATCGAACATTATTTTATATCTTCTTGACAATATGAAGTCTCAAAAGAGAGCGCTGGAGCCGACTCGGTCCTCCATTGCTGTACTCTGGCCAAGGCGAAGGATGCCTCCATTTCGACTTGCCACATACGATAGAGAGCGTGTAACCCGAGGTTGACGAAGGGGCTGAATGCTTCGAAGGGCTCGTGGACCCAGAGCTTACTCAGGACTCGGGTCTTGGAATTGGTTGTGCTGGTAGGAAGAGTAGTCCAACGTGATGTGAAGCAGAAAGGGTGGACGAGACGGTGGACGGGTCCCGTACTCGGGTCCCACGACACAAGTCAGCACTCGGGTCACCACTTCGATTGATGGGACGCAAGAAGCTGCATTGCAATTCAAGCAACGTGAGTAGATGCAGAAGGGCTGCATCATACATTATTAGGTCAGTTTTCTATCTGGATTCTATCATGTCAGGCACAGTGTTCTTGACCCACTCATCACCCATACTTTGCTCTTTTCTTCTTTGGTTCGAATTCCAGAGTTCTGAACAACACATGGATGCCACATGAAATAGCTATCTTTAGCGTGACCTTATACCCAGTTTATTGCATTTCCAGAGGGGTATTATTCATGGAAGCTTGGTGCATAACTGCAGGAGTTGGATGAAGATGTGATGGTCGATCCCCACGCTCGCTTAGTCACGGTACTGCCGTCTTTCACCGCCAACACAGCAATTCACTCGCTCAGCTGCACCGGCATGCTCCACAACTCCCAGCTAGCTTGAGCCACCACTATCCCGGATTTCAACGGGGAGCAATCTCTCATGCATGGGCTGGGATACTACTAGTAGTTCAATCTGGGTGCTTCTCCTTTGCTCAAGGCTATTATTTGCTCCTTTTATAGGGAGCCAATTCTTGAACTGGCCTCAGAGAGTTTCCTGCCTACATTAATCCATCTTACTGCCAGTCTTGTGTCACCGCCAGCCTGACCAACCTATGCCGTAGTACTAACCGGACATTTTCCATAACAAGCCAGGAGGTTCAGAAAAGCTTTTGGGAGGATGCATCTAGATTTAAGTCGTCGTGGTGTGCTTGTTTTACTTGAAGATGTGTTACAACCTTGATGAGCTAATCCGTAGACACCCCGCTGACTCAGCGCATTTCGCCATTTTGAGTTCATTGCCTAATCGGGCATCAATGAGGTTATCTCGGCGCGGAGTGGAGCTCGGCATGTTTGTTCCCGACCCCCGGATCGGATGCAGCAGTGCCGCCGGGCCATCCACTCCGGGCTCCCCTCCAGGCTCCCCTCTGAGCTGTAGGGGTCCGACTCTCCGTCATCCGGTGGTTTCATCCGCCTCCCGGGCTAAGAGAAGACTCCCGCTAAGCCAACGCCGTGGCGCTTATCCACTTAGCCCTTTCTGCTATCACCAGCATACTTCGTGTGTTCTTTGATCATTGTCATTCGCTCATCCTTCTCGACGGGTTGTCTGGACATGCCTGCACAAGCGGATGCCCGCCCCCGCCAGCGACGCCGTCGGGTTTGTACCGCCTGCGATGCCTGCCATCGGAGAAAAGTGGGTGGTTCATCCTGCGTATAGTAGCCCCCGTCTAATGCTACTTAGATCCAATGCGATACGGTACAACCTAGATGCAATTGGTGCTCCCATCACGATACCCCGTGTACCTATTCCCGCTACCACCGAGTCAAGACTGCAAAGTGTGTTCTATCATTGTCCTATTCAAGAGTGCGTTCTAATGAGAAATAGGGCTGGGAGTGCGCACCTTGTTAGGCCTAGCGCCGGGTCTCCAACCCAATCTTCAAGAAGTACTGGCCCTTGGTCTGATGATCAAACCGCTACTGATCGTGAAGCTCCAATTTCAGCAGGCAATTCTGCCCAAGGCATTGACTCGTCTTCAGAAACCCCATCATCGGATCTGGGCGGCCACGGACCGCAGGCGTTTCGCCCCGTTTTCAGAATGAACCACATTAGTACCTTCAATGGATTGCCATTTTTCTCACCAGGCGGACAGCAATGGATTGAGAAGCAGACCGGCATAAGGATCAATCTGCAAGAGTATTACGCCTCGGGCCCACCGTGGCAGGTCCAACCCAGGTTTAAAGCACAGCCCAAACAGGGTCAAACGGAGGGACGAAGAACCATGAGCCTACCCACGAGGTCCCTGTTGTATCAATTCTTGCACGCAGCTGCATCCATCAAGTTTGCGCTAGCCACTTCGCTCGTCGACGAGGAATTGTTCGAGTGCACCATCAACGCGGCTTTTGATGGCCAACTCTCGCAGACCTCACCGGCACCGGTGAGTGCGCGAGCATGCATTCTGGCGTTTTCCGCTCTGGTGCTGGGGATGGTCCCGGACATGGTTCTTGCAGCGGATGGCGACAGTGATGACTACGCCCTGGCAGCGCTTGCGCTGTTACCGGAGGTGTTCGCGGAGTCGGTCACTGTGGATGGGCTCCAGGCGCTGTTAATGCTGGTGAGTTTGTGAAACCCATGCTCGACCGGCTCCTGACGGTTTCTTTTATTGCAGGCTATTCACTGCGCAGTGTCGTCGGGAGATCCATATACTCTCAACATGTTACTCTCGAGTGCGGCAAGATTTATCTTCCAGTTGGGAGGGAATCTCCATCCCTCCGCCACTGCGTTTCAATTGCCCTCGCGAGCAGATCTGCACGTGAGGAATCTGTTCTGGACCTGTTTTCTGGTCGACAAAGAATTCTGTCTGCAAACTGGTTCCCCTCCGTGCCTGGTGGATACTCACTGCGATCTGACCGTACCCGATGGGCTGCGTCATGCCGAAAGCCTTGATGAGGGGCCGTTGTGGTTTTCTGCCCTGGTGCGGTTAAGTGTTATACAAGGCCATATCTTCGACCGGCTATATTCCGCACGCGCTCTGCAACAAAACGACGCCGAACTTCTGAGCACTATCCGCACTCTGGATACGCAGTTGGAAGACTGGCGGTCCGCGCTCCCGGCTGCCATCCGGCCCGCTCTGTCCCCGTCCCCGCTCACGGGAAGTTCTTTGGTGGATAAGCACTCGGCGGTGCTCCAGGTGCAGTGGCATTACTGCATGATGGCCATTCACCAGGCCAGTTGTCGGTGTATTACGTGGATGGAAACTCGAGAGACCCATATCGATGGACTCAACTCCAGTTTGACCATCTCGGTGCAGGCTGCCCGTATGTTACTTCGAAAGTTTTGCGGCATGCACCTCCGATTCGAGCAAGATACGATGCGGTGAGTATCCAGCAGCATTTATCGCTTATGGCATTCGAGGACCATTATACTGATAAGGCTAAGGTTCTCCCTCTTTCATATCAGCTCGGCTGTGATCACCCTCTTCTGCAACGTCCTGCTTCGCCCCTTGAACCCGGACAGTCTGGATGATGTGGTGCTCATTGAAGGCCTGCCCCATCACTTTCAAAACTACGATCCCGGAACCACCATGGTGGAGCCATTTATCGAGTACTTGGGACATCTCGCGAGATGCGCCGTGGTGAAAGCCACTGCGTCGACTTGAGTCAGCCCCGCCTCGGGGGAGGAGCCGACGCCTCGCTCTGAATCCCGATAGGCCGGATCTGCCGACTTCGGGCTCCTGGCCCGTAACCCAATCTGGTGCCCGCTGGCCACCGACTATATGACATGACCCCGCCCTCCTGCTTTCATCAACATCATGGCCATGGAGCAAAAGCCTGACCATTCGGTCGCTGAAGCTTGGCGCTCGATGGATTTTCACGGTTTATCAGATGGCTGCCACCTGGACGACTCCCACGGGACACCACGAACATTTACCATCGTTGAACCCCCGGCGCAGCTGTCCACCGACACCAGCACCTTTCACATTCGGGATCCGGCCCTCCATGATGTTTTCCCTGACGGGGGTGCCCGGTCCTGGTTTGTGGTACTGGGGTCATTTTTTCTGTTGATGAGTAGCTACGGCATGATGAACTCGACAGGTGTTTTGCAGAGCTACTTTGCGAGCCACCAGCTCGCGGACTATTCGAGCAGTATCATCGGGTGGATTCCGGGGTTGTTTGTTTTCTGCGGCCTTAGTCTGAGTGCCCAGATCGGACCGTTATTTGATCGATACGGACCAACAGGTATCCTGATCGCAGGGACGGCGTGCTACGTGGCGGGCCTACTACTCATGGCGGAGTGTCGGCTCTACTGGCAATTCATCCTCGCCTTTGGCGTCCTCACAGGGACGGGAGCCGCACTGCTAAGCACGGCCGCCATGGCCGCCGTTCCCCACTGGTTCGACCGGCGTGTCGGTGCCGCCATGGGGACCGCGATGGCCGGTGCCGGACTCGGAGGCGTGGTATTCCCATGGGTACTCCGGACCGGCTTCACGAACCTCGGATTCAAATGGACGATCCGACTGGTGGCATTGATTGTGGCCATCATGTGCGCCCTGGGCATTGCATTTGTCCGATCGCGTCTGCCCCGAGGCCAAAGCAAACCGAGCATCAACCTGCGAGCATTCCAAGATTCTCGATTCACCTGGTTGACCATCGGAACATTCAGTAAATACCTTTCCCCCCCCCCCCCCCGGTACAACCCTACAAGGAATTATCCTAACAACCCAGGCTTGGAACTAGAAGTCTTCGCCTGTCTCGGCCTCTACCCGACCTACGCCGTGATGCAAGGCTTCAGCACCACCACCAGCATCATCCTCCTCTCGATTCTGAATGTGTAAAGCCCCTCCCATCAATCTCACAACCCCATCCCCAACCCACCCTAACAAGCCAAACCAGATTCTCCACCATCGGCCGCCTCATCGCCGGCACCATCGCCGACAAATACGGCCGCATCAACACGCAAGTCGGCCTCATCACTCTCGGCGCCTTTTCCATCTTCGCCATCTGGCTCCCGTTCGGCCATCGTCTCGTGGGATTGTACCTGTTCAGTGGGATCTACGGGATGGCGTCGGGGTCGTTTCTCAGTCTCGCGCCCGCGTGCATCGGACAGATTTCTCGGGCGAGTGAAGTCGGTGGACGGTTTGGGTTGTGTTATTTGGCTGTTAGTTTTGCGTAAGCCTCCCCCCCATCCCTTGCTCCTCCTCTATGCGTATTGTCAAGGAGGTAATTATAGGGGTGATATTTAATGATGGTTATGTCTGCAGGACGTTGATAAGTATCCCCATCGGCGGCGAAATGATCGAGACGGTGGGGACCCACGCCATGGTGGGGTTTCTGGGGGGGGTGTTGGTGGTGGCGATGGGGTTGTTTGGGATGGCACGGTGGTCGTGTTTGGGGTATCGGTGGCGGTGGCATGCTAAGATTTAATTCACATGAAGAGGGGAGGTGATGATGATGAGAGAATCCGAGTGAGAGGGGGAGAGAAGGAAAGGGTATCAGAGAACGACTTTGGCGTACATGAATCGCAAAATACATCGACACTATATATATATATATATATATCTGTCTGTCTGTCTGTCTGCAGTGATGTAATGGTTCAATACTACAAGCATGAAACCCTACTCGCCAAGGAGAGGGTGGGATGACTTAGAGACTACAGACTTTGATTCTCACTACAGACATCGATTCGACCTGGAAAGACCCGACCGAAATGATCTCGCAGCGATGAATGCCTCCAAGGTCTAAATGATATTAGACCCAAGGTAGGTAGAATCATCTCCAAAGAGGATAGGAGGGGGAAACTAAGTGATCTCCGTATATTTCTCGTATAGTCTAGGCATACTTCCACGCTAGTTTTAGGGTCAATCCTTGAAGTTATTCAAGATCTATGTAGATCTCGGGGTTTTGAGGACACTAGTTGCCCTAAATCGGAAGAGATATACTGTCTATACTCTGATATGGGGCTTCCTCGTACTACTAGCATATCTAGTTATAGGTCTCTAGCTACCATCTCTCACTCATGGATCTGTGCTTAGGAGGTGAGAGTCTTAATACTAGATCAGACGCACTACTTATAGCTCTACTACGTAGCCCATGGCTCTATAAGTAGAATAATCAATCAATCGAATCTATAATCACTCTCCCCGATGGTCCTAGACCACCTTGATACGATACATTATCCACAAGAAATTCGATTGTGACAACGAACTGAGATAGAGATTGAGATAGAGATAGGAATAGAGATAGAGGCAAGAAACAAAGAAATATCAACGATGACACGACAACAAGGAAAAAAAGATCAAGGAGCGAATCCAACAATCAAGAGCCGCCACACCTACCAAGAGACCGCTAGTTCCCCTGAATAATATCCTCCGCAATCTTCTCCGCCAACGCATCTACAACCAGTCAGTTACCAATCACATACCAGGGTGTAATGGAAGGGGGGGGGGGGGGGAAAGATAGGAACATACAAATCGTGGACATCGGATGTCCCGGGACCAAAATCGGGAAACTCGACGCATCCACCACCCTCAACCCACTCACCCCATAAACCCTCGCCTTGGAATCAATGACACTCAACGGATTCGTCTCATTGCCCATGGCACACGTACAACTGGCATGGAACACCGTATTCGTAGCCACTCTCAACCACGCGACAATCTCCTCATCGGTCTGCACGCTCGGACCGGGGAAATACTCCTCCCCGATGACGATGGACGAGAGGGCGGTGGTGTTCATGAGTTGGCGCGCGCGCTTGAACGCCGCGATGGAGACTTCCACGTCCGTGGGGTCGGTGAGCCAGTTGGGGTTCACGGCGGGGAGGTCCGCCGTGTCGGCGGAGGTGATTTCCACGGTGCCTCGGGAGAGAGGCGTGATGAGGGCTGAGGCGATGCTCACGTAGTTGTAGCTGTCTTGGGGCGCGTCTTGCACGAAGTTCTCTTGGTTGCCGAAGTAGCCGCCGATGTGGATGTATTCGACTTCGGGCCAGTCGGAGGGGTATTGCGCGAGGGCGGTTTGGGCGGTGCTGCTGAAGTTGGAGCGCAGGGAGGAGGGGATTTTTTCCCATGCTGATTGCAGGGTGGTTAGTGGGTGCGTAGAGAAGGGAATGGGATAGGGGGGATACCGATGATGTCGTTGCCCGGGTTGGTGAGGATGCCGGTGGGAGGTTGGCTGTTGTAGCCTTCAATCGCGGCAGCGAGATATTCGGGGAATTTCACGGACGAGCCGGTGACCAGGTTGACGCGGTACGCGGGGCCGAAGAGGATGTGATCCTGTGCGTGTGAGTGAGTGATTTTCTCCGGAGGGATATGACTTACCTGCATGTTCTGACCGACTCCAGGGCTATCGACCAGAACCGGAATATCATACTTCTCCAACAATGCCGAAGGACCAATACCAGAAACCATCAACAGCTGGGGCGACTGGAAAGCACCCGCAGAGACGACCACCTCGCGGGATGCAGAGAGGAAATATTCCTGGCCTGCCGAGACGACACGCACACCCGTAGCCTTCTTCGAAGAATCAAACAGGACCTGCTTGGCCAGGGTGGACTGGTAGATGATGAGGTTGAGGTTCTCCGCAATCGCCGGCTGCAGGTAGGCCGTCTCGGAGGTCTCACGCTGCTGGTTATCGGCCTGGATGGTGGCCAAACTGTAGGAGTATCCGATCAACCGACCACTGGTGAAGCCATCAATGGCTTTGGCCCCGAGCTCCTTCCAGCCCTTGGCGACCCAGGTAGCGAATGCACCGGCGTAGTTGGGGAAAGTCACGGATACCGGGCCCTCGGTGCCCATGGTATCCAGGTCGTAGGCCGGGGTGGAGTTGGCAAACCGGGTGGCATTATCAGGAGGGGTGAAGTGCATGTGTTTCTGGAAGTAGGGCAAGAAGTTCTCGTACGTGTAGCTGTCGTCGCCAACCATGTCGGCCCACATCTGGTAGGAGGCATTGGTGGCAATCTGATAAGTCATGTAGTTGCGTGCCGTGTTGCCGCCGAGGGTTTTACCGCGCGTGTAGTGCGTGGAGGCGTTGTTCAAACCCTATCTTCTTAGACCATGCTCTTCTATTGTATAAGGGGGGGCATACCGCTTGAGGAGTGGTCATGATATCCCAGTCGATCAGGCTGTTGGTATCGGTGGCTTCTTTGCCACACCAGTAGACATCATCACCGGGGACTTGAGTCAGGTTGCCATTGGAGATTTCACTAGAGAGTCAGCCAGTTCAGAGAGGAAAGCAAGGAAGAGAGATGTACTAGAAACTGCCCGCCTCAACCAGAGCAACCGAGTACCCTGCCTCAGCGAGACGGTAGGACAGACCCGCACCGGCATTACCCGCTCCCACCACGACATAATCATACGTCGCATTAGCGGGATATCCAAAAGACGAGCCAAGAGGCCGTGCGGTAGTCAAAAACGATTGAAGAAGCAGAGCTCCTGCAACCCGAAGAGAAAGAGAGGCCATTTCGATCACAGTTTGTTGCTCGCTTGTTGCTCGATGCTGCTCGATGCTGCTCGACTAATGCTCTTCTACCCCGGTGACTTCCCCCCTATATATACACCCGCCGCGTAAGACTTCAACCTGAAGGATCATGCTTCGGGGTAAGCAATCCTTCCTCTATCCAGACCTCATCCGTAGCCATCTACCATCCTTCTCACTCATCCCGTACCCGTATACTCTCTGTCTGACATGGGGCCAATTACCGACATCGGCACTGTTGGTGTCAATGATGCGCATAACTCCGAACCATGTGGACCATGTGGCCAGCCACGTGGTGCTGCAGTGCCAGTCTGCCAGGTACGGCAGAGCCCCATCGTGGACTAAGCGAGGTGTGTGAAAGTGAAGTGAAGTGAAGGGAGCAGTGGGGCTGTACAGTCATCATCCATCCCACCGGCATCATCCCGGCGGGAGTGGCGGGATGGGTGCCTGGTTGTCGCGGGCTCCCTCCCGGGGCTTCCCCTCCGGATGTCCTCCGTCCCGGGCGCGGGAGGGGAGGGAGGGTAGGCAGCGGATAGCGGACTCGGGTGGGGTGGGAGCATCCATCCCTTGGAACCCTAAGTGATGGTCCCCCATTCAGCTATACATTAGGCGTGTGCCGCCTGATTGGAAATGTGCACCTTTTTGCCTCTTTTCAATTTTCTTGAGGAAATGATTGATTTTCTTACCTCGGGGGAATTCACTCGTCGATACTCTTGATACTGTCCCCTTCTTACCCCATCTATACAAAACTCTTGTGTTTGCACCAAATGGACCTGCGCTCTTGCAGCTTTGAGGATCGGTCGCGAATAAATATGGACATTTCGCTGTCTCTTCCGGGATGACGATGTACACCATTCTTCATCTTTGGCTTGAGGACCAGTGATGCTATTGCCTGAGTCTCCGCTGAATTCATCAGTCTGCTCATTCCAATTGGGGCTGTCATCCATAGCTCGGATACATCAGACACCAAGGTCTGCTATACTGGATCAGTCTGCTCCTGGTCTTGCAGATCAAGGCGGTCAACAACGCGCGTCTCATCAATCTCACTGATCTCTCTCGACACCGTTTACACTCACATCCGAATTGAAGAGCAAACCACACGACAGCGGACAAGATCAATGGAACATACATAAATCGACATTCTTGTCTACAGTCTTATGGACATGATATACACGATAGACATCTCAACCAAAACCAGGACACCAAGGAGACCACACCAAAAAGAAAGAAAAGACAACCACCCAAGTCAAAAACGCCCGCTTCTTTTATCAATCTGAGCAACCCCACCAACACGGCCCTATGCATACCCCCCCAACGACTCCGCACTACTCAACTTCATCTTCACCTGTCTCTGCGACTTGAGCACCACATCCATAATATGACTCAGCGTTTCGGGCTGCACGTCCTCCAGCAGAAGATTATATTTCAGTGCCGCTACAGCATCGGGGCATTGTTGGGGGGTGGATCCACTGCCACTTCCACTGCCACTCACACTTGTACTAGATGAGACCGGTACAGCCTGCATCATCTCACTATCCTCCGGCATTTGCGACAGCGTAGGATCTGGATCTAGCCAGGTGTAATCATCGAGGGCGTAGAACATGGATGCATTCGGATCGGGGAGGCCGGGGGGTGTGGATGGGCTGGTGGTGGTGGTGGTGGATAATTGTGGGTCGAGAGGACCGAATGGGTAGGGGTCGGGCATGGAGGAGATCAGTTCAGGAAGGAGAGTCATGTCGATGTCGAGGTCTAGGTCTAGGTCTGGGTCGTAGTGCATTGTAGGGTCTGTGGGGGGGATTGTAAATGGGTCTGCGGGATGGTTCTGGTGAATGCCTTCGTCGGAGTCGGATTCATAGCCAGAGGTACTCTCCGGAGCGAGATTTCCATCCGGCGACGTAGATGAAGAATGTGGTTTTCCCAGCGCTCGTTTGCGTTGGACGATCATATACCTATCACCCACCGTTAGTTTCATTCACACCCTCTTCTTATATTTCAGCTCATGAAAAATGTTAGGAATCTCACCGATTCTTAAGATCTGTCGCCGACCTCCGCGGAAACTCCTTCTCACTAATGACCCTCCACACGCGTCCATACGTCCCCACCGCGCGAAGTAACCGCTCATCTTCTCCGTCCGTCCATCCATCATGAATGAGATTCGGATCGAGGAAATGATTCCATCGTTTGGCGCATTCTGATTCCCACCTATTAACACCATACCAGAAGTTTAGTAGGAGAGAAGAAAAGAGACTCACGATCCGCATGTCTCGTCTGTACTTCCTGCGCTACGAGCGTCCATCTACCCCCCAGCAATATCAGCACCCATCATCCACCAAGACCATAACAATAACAATAGAAAGGGGAAAATGGAATGGAAATTAGGAAGGGAAGGCATACGCAAACCCAAACTCCCCCACCGCTCTCCTCAACCTCTCATCCTCATCCCCACTCCACACCCCCTTATTCACGTTCCCTTCGAGCTTGCTCCATCGCTTCCGACAGTCTTTGTTCGTGCGCCGCGAGTCGAGCCGTGCGGCGATGGTCGTCCAGTCTTTGACGCTGCCGAGGGTGCTTACTTCATTCCTGTTAGCATTTATCTCGACCATACGAGCTGTTAATGGGGGTCGGAGTTGGAATGGATGAATTGATGAATAAGGGGGGAATGGGATACCCTGCACCATAACCTCCTCCCTGAGAATTTGATCTTCCTCGGCGGTCCAGTAGTTTCGGGTTCGGGAGTGCATGTTCATATTCGTACCCATCTTGACCTTCTGTATATCTTTTGTCTATACGTATGTTTAGTGATTTCTGCTCACTATCTCACGTCCGGTGCGAGATCCCCTTCCTACTCCCGGGTATATAAACAACCACGTCGTCAGCTTACACCCTTTTTCCATGCCATGCCATGTGGCCACCTGGTGATGGATTCATGGATCCTTAGGTCTGGTTCGGAGTCGGGGTTGGATGATCCTTCGTTTGTTTTACTTTGGGTCGTTCGGAGTAAGCTGATCCTGTAGGAGCTGAGGCTTGTGTCGTTCATTGGTGGAGTGAAGATGGGGAGAGGATTGGAGGCGATGGGAGTCGAGAACGTGTGGTCATGTGGTATTCCTGTCTGTGGCAGGATTGTATCGTTGACTTTGGTAGAGGTAGTGGTAGTGGTGATGACGTTGGATCCTTCGGATAGGGCTCGTTTATGGTAGAGAGATGTTCCGAAGCAAGAATCGAAGCGAAGCAGATTATATTAGGCCACTCTGGGCTGCAAGCCATCTAATTGCTATCCATCATCATCATAAGCCGTGAATACATACTCATAAACAACGCCATTACCAGTCTCCAACCAGGGAATAGAACGCACACTGCACAATCTTGTATCTCCACCTCTGCCCTGGCTATCTGTATCTGTCTGAGACCCGACAGATAACCAGGCAACCTATCTACTATTACTCCGTACTGCTCCGGTCTATCTACTACCCTACTCTACCCTTCCACTCCACTGCCTCTCCCTCTGCCAATCACACAGCATCAGTCTCACCCCTGATGCCTGGTATCAAGGGTGCTAGATCCGCTTCCACACCCATCCCACCTGCACCACCCGCGCCAGCAGGAAGAACGTACTCCCCACCAACATGGTAATCCCACAGAAGATCTGCAGATACAGGTAGCCCCCACCATCCCGGGTCACCAGCACACCCGCAATGGGGTTTCCGGTCAAGGCCGCCAAACTAATAATGAAAAAGTTCGACCCATTGCGGACCCCGATGCTGCGGATATCCTTGGTCACCTGGGCCACGATGGCCGGCACCATACTCACAAAGGTTCCACTGGTGAAGCCGAAGAACGCCGCAAACACCAGATTGGGTGCATTGGATTTGCCGGGGATCCACAGCGCCAGCACGAGAATGCTGGTCAGATACGTGGTCACGATCATCACGTTGAATCGGCCGAAGCGGTCGCCCAGCCAGCCGGGGAGAATCCGACCGAATACGCTGTCCGTGGTAAGCCAGGGCAAAAGAAAAAGAAGATGAATGCAAGGAACAGGGGAGGCTCACCTGCCAGCATTCAAAACGGACAGGAGATACTCCGACAACCCATGCGACATGCCGTAATGCTGCGCCTCCAGGATGATAAAGTTGGTCGGCAAAAACACGCCCCAGAAGAAGAAGAAGCTGCCCAGTGCCACACACAGAAACGGAAGTTCCTTGAACGGAAGCAGGAACTGGCTCAGCGCCACCGGCGTCGGCTTCGGGGGCAATCGAGACCGAATCGTCAGATTGCTAATGACCAACAGCCCCAGGAAGAGGAAGGCCACGGCGCGCATGGACCAGCCAAAGCCCACCCGCGGAATGAGACGCGCGATCATGATGCTAGGACGGTCAGCGAGATCGATACGAGGTGGCGCACACTTACGGGAGGATGACACCGGCCAGGGAGGATCCGGCGGCAATGATCCCAAACGCAAAGGCACGTTTCTTGAAGAACCAGGTGCCGATCGGGTTCAAACACCCGTAGAAGAGCGCACTCGCACCCAGGGCACTCAGGATGGCCTGGGCCAGGAAGAATTGGTAGTACTGGGACGCCAGACTCGTCATCATCAGTCCCAGCACGTGGCAGATGGTGCCGGCCAACAGCATGTGTCGCGGGCCATAGTTGTCAAAGAGCTTGCCAAACACCGGCGCTCCCAGGAACATCATGAACGTCTCGGTCGAGCTGATCCACGCCACGGTCGACGGAGAGTAGGACTTGAGCTGATTCTGTTCGTAGTAGTCTTGGAACACACCAATGCAATTGATCCAGCCCATGGAGGCAAACATGCAGCACCACGAGCCTAGCACCACCGTCCAGGCCCGCAACCCCCCATCCGGAAAGTCGGCCGGATTGGGGCCACTGGGCTTGGGGGCCGGAATGTCTTCGGACGACGTTTCATCCGGACGCGCGAGTTCCGAGGGTCCATGCTTCTCCAAATCGATGGTGGAGGAGGACGACGCCGAGGACGAGGCGGCAGCGGCAGCGGCAGCTTGCGGATGGCTGGGGACGGCGGAGTCTGCCATGCTGGAGACAGGCTTAAGAGCAAGCAAAGTTGAGGTTCGTCCCAAACAACGTTGAATCGTTCACAACGAGGCAAGAATTAGATAGCACTGACGGTCGTGGTTTCTTGGCTGTTCCGGGCTGTCGTCGCAGCCTTTATAGAACGGGTGTCACATACCTCGCTGGTCAAGACCCGAGTAGGCGCCCACTCCGGGCCCGACACAAGCATTCGCAATGGATCAACAGGGATCGATAAACTCGCGTGATTTAGTCTTCCCAGCCAATCCTCTGCCAGAGTTTGGGACGGTCCCTTGGGCATCCCACCGGGTTCGGGGCCCATCGTGATTGGTGCCTGGCCCATCTGTTGGCATCCCACCGGAAACCAACCCAACCGTATGGCGCAACCCCGACTCCGAACTGATGGACGCATGCCTTAAGAATGACACTCGGGGTCGGAGACAATCCAAAAGATGGCCTCCTCTCGCCCCCAGCTGCTCACTCAGTCGCTTCTTGTTGCCACCACCGTTGTCATCCTCGTCGTTGCCTTCCTTGGGCATTGGACCCCGCCGAATCCCTCCACTGCGATCACGACCACCATGGCCAGCGGCACGATGCGCGCCATCGTCATGCACGAGATTGGTGGCCCTGGGGTGCTCAAGCTCCAGACGGTCCCCAAACCCACCCCCACCGCCGGAGAAGTGCGCATCCGCGTCAAAGCCTTTGGACTCAACCGATCCGAACTCTACACCCGCCAAGGTCATTCGCCCGGGGTGACCTTCCCGCGGGTGCTCGGGATCGAGGCCGCCGGGCTGGTCGACGATGCCGCTCCGGAGTCCGGTTTCCAACCCGGGGAGGTGGTGGTCACCGCGATGGGCGGCATGGGACGCGCCTTTGATGGCGGATACGCCGAATACACGGTGGTGCCCGCGACGCAGGTGCGACGCGTCAACACCACCGCGGCCTTTGGGGCCGATCAGCCGGTGCCCTGGGACCTCCTGGGGGCGCTGCCCGAGCTCATGCAGACGGCGTGGGGATCGTTAGCCACCAGTCTGCAGCTGGAGGCCCGCGATCGCCTGCTCATTCGCGGCGGCACCACCAGCGTCGGTCTGGCCGCGGCAGCGCTTGCTCGCGCCCAGGGGGTGCCCGTCACGGTGACCACGCGAAACCCCGCGCGCGTCGAGTTTCTCCGGGGACTCGGCATTGACGATGTCATCATTGACGGCGGGGTGATCCTGTCCGAGGTCCAGAAACGGGGCCCGTTCAGCAAGATCCTCGAGCTGGTGGGTGTCACCACGTTGGAGGACTCCCTGCGCTGTGCCGCCCCGGGAGGGACTGTCTGCATGACGGGCATTGCCGGCAACAAATGGACCTTTGACCAATTCACGCCAATGGCCTCGATCCCAACGTCGGTCAAACTGACCACCTACGCCAGTAGTACGGAGGCTCTGCTGAAGACGCCTATCGAGGAGATCGCCCGCGATGTGGCCGCGGGGAAGATGCAGTTGCCCATCCGGACGTTTCCGTTCGAGGAGATTGTGGCGGCGCATCAATTGATGGAGGAGGGGGCCTTGGCCAAGATTGTGATGTTACTCTAGGTGCTCCAATGTGTATCTGCATCGTATGTAGTTGTAATCCTGAATCTTTTCAAGAACCACGTAGGTCAAAAAGGAGTATATCCCTCCTAGCCCCGGGCGTAGAAGGTAGAATATAGCATGTCTCCGCCATCCTCATTGACATGACCGGCTGAGGTCATATTCTGTCATCTTTATTCACGTAGACTAAAAGGACATATCCTTTAGCCACGGGAAAGATAGAATGACTCGGCCGTATGTAGATGCACTAGATAGTAGGTAGTGATGTAGTGATGTAGATGTAGTGATGTAGTGATACCTCTTCCGTGTACCAATATGTTGAAGTCAGACAGAAGGGATGTTCTGTCCTGGGGACTGGTATGGAAGGATCCATGTTCGTCCCCCCACGTGATATCTCGTCACGTGCAGTCACGGGGGAGGCAATGCCCTGCTTACTGTGGGATAAAGGATCGTCGACTGGTCAATCCGAGCCGATCACAGCCAAGGATGACCGTCAGGACCCGAGCCTGGAGTGTGCCCCGAGTGTCAGCAAAATGCCCAGACTCTGCCAAACACATGGCACATGGTGTCAGAAATTAGAATCATGCTCAGCCAGATCCTGCTAGGATCCCACCGGCACTACAGCCAAATGGCCAATGAAAGTCCAATGAATCCCCAGATGCTGCTATCGCCCCAGACAACAACATCAACTGTGGAGGCATCGCATCCTTCCGGACCGTACCCTGTGGGCTGAATACCCCGAGCCGCGCGGCTTATCTGGGATTGATCTTATCTCTTCATGGTTGGGAGTGCTGGCAGTCGCCCCGTTTTCTATAAAGCCGCCCATCATGCAGCAAACCCATGAGCTGGTCCGTCAACTTCAACACCGACCTCCAAGACACTACCTCCTCCCATCATGTCATTCAAGGCCCCATCCATGCTGGTCTTCGGACCCCAGTCCTCAACTCTCTCCCCCGAATGCCTGTCTCAGCTCCGAACCGTCCTGGGGCCCCAATCCACACCCCGCCTGCAGCCCCTCCGCGCCGCCGTCGAGAGTCTCTCCACGGTCTGGCCGGTGTTGGCCGCGTCCGATCGTTCCTTAGCCACCCTCCCGGGGCATGAATACATCCAGCAGCTGCGTGGCCTGCTATCGGCTGATCTCGACACAACGGTCGTTCGTGTGAGCGAACTCCCCAGCACCGTCGTCACGCCCTTGACGGTGCTGTTGCATCTCACCCAATATCTCCTCTACGTCGAATCTGGTTCAACCCACGGCGTCACATCTCACGCCCAAGTGCTCGACCGCGTCCGACAGCAAGGCGGCGTCCAAGGGTTCTGTACCGGTCTGTTGAGTGCGGTGGCGGTTGCTGGCAGCCGCGATGAGCACGAGTTCATCCGCTGGGCCAGCACAGCCCTGCGCCTGGCCATCGCCATTGGCGCCTGTGTCGATGCCGATGCGCAGGGCCACTCCCAGGAGGCCTCGTGCATCGTCGTCAAGTGGTCCACCGAGGAGGGCAAAGCACAGCTGCTCGAGTCTCTAGCCCAGACTGTGGGGGTATGTGCCTGATCCGGTCTGATTGATTCCTGTCTTGATCGACTTGCTAATTGACCCAGGCCTATATCTCCGTCTATCCCGATGGCAATGCGGCCACCGTCACCGTCCCCACCGAGGCCGTGGCCACCCTCACGCAGACCCTCCAGGCCCACAAACTGGTGGCCATTCCCCTCGACATGCGAGGCCGCTTTCACACCACCGAACATGAATCAATTGCGGGTCAATTGAAGCAGTTGTGTGCGACCACGCCGGAATTGCAGCTGCCTCGCGCGTCGGAGCTCCTGGTGTCGGTGCTCGGCAACCATGGACAAGTTCTTCCTTCGGATGCCTCTCTGCATGACCTTCTCATCGACGCCATTCTGGTCCAGACGTGCAACTGGCACAACACCGTGTCGACGGCCGCCGCCAATCTGACCGCCGATTCGGACCCCTCCCACATCATCCAATTCGGCACCATCGATTGCATTCCGCCCTCGGTGCTGCGGACGCATCCCCATGCCTCCGTGTACCGGATGCCCAAATCTCTCCTGGACATCAGCGGGACGGCAGACCCCTCCATCGCCGCGCAACCACCCCCGGCGGCGAACGCGGTGGCCATCGTGGGCATGGCCGGCCGCTTCCCCGGCGCGGACAATCTGGACGACTTCTGGTCGCTGCTCTGCGAGGGGTCCTCGCAATGTCAACAGATGCCCGAGGAGCGGTTCCGCCGACAGGGACTGACTCGCTTGCCGAAAGACAAGCTCGCCTTCTGGGGCAACTTTGTCTCCGACATCGACGCCTTCGACCACCGGTTCTTCCGCAAGTCCTCGCGCGAGGCCGCCAGCATGGACCCCCAGCAGCGGCTGTTCCTGCAGGTGGCGTACGAGGCGCTGGAATCGGCCGAGTACTTTGGCCGGCCCAGCGCGCCCTCGCAGGATGTGGGCTGCTACGTCGGCGTGTGCTCGTCGGATTACAATGACAACGTCGCCACGCATCCCCCCAACGCCTTCTCCAGTCTGGGCACCTTGCGGGCCTTCCTGACGGGCAAGATCAGTCATTACTTTGGCTGGACCGGCCCGTCCATCACCTACGACACGGCCTGCTCCTCCTCCGCCGTGGCCATCCATGCCGCCTGCAAAGCCATCCAGACGGGCGAGTGCTCCATGGCGGTGGCCGGCGGTGCCAGTCTGTACACCAGCCCCTTCTTCTACGAGAATCTCGCGGCCGCCTCGTTCCTGAGTCCCACGGGGCCCACAAAACCCTTCGATGCCAAGGGCGACGGCTACTGCCGGGGGGAAGGGGTGGCCTTGGTGGTGCTGAAGCCCCTCGCGCGGGCACAGGCCGATGGGGACCGGATTTTGGGAGTCATCGCCGCCACGGCCGTCAACCAGAATATCAACGACACCCCCATCACCGTGCCCCATGCCGAGTCGCAGGTGCAGCTATACCAGAAGGTCGCAGCCGAGGCGGGCATCCATCCCCACGATGTCACCTACGTGGAGGCCCACGGCACCGGCACGCCCGTCGGCGATCCCATCGAGATGGCCAGTATCCGCCGGGTGTTTGGCGGCGCCACGCGCACCACCCCCGTGCATGTGGCCTCCGTCAAGGGCAACATCGGCCATCTGGAGGGGGCTTCAGGCGTCGCCGCCTTGATTAAGTCGGTGCTGATGATGCGCCATCAGACGATCCCCGTGCAGGCCAACCACTCCCAGCTGAACCCCAAGATTCCCCCCTTGGAGCCGGACCATCTCGCCATTCCGCGCGCCACGCAGCCCTGGCCGGCCGCGCTGCCCATCGCCTGCATCAACAATTACGGTGCGGCCGGCAGTAACGCGGCCATGATTGTGCGGGCTGCCGGGGCCCCCCAGGGCGCCGAGCAGATCCGGGTGCTGCCCAAGTATCCCATCTATCTGGCGGCCAATTCGGCGGCCAGTCTGCAAGCCTATGGGGCCTCCTTGGGGAAGAGCATCCAGCAGTGGAGCCGGCAATACGGGGAGCGCGACCTCCTGGCCAGTGTGGCCTTCCACCTGGCGCAGCAGCAGAATAAATCCCTGCCCGTGCGCACCGTCGGCGCCGTGTCCTCCCTGGCCGAGTTGACCCAGTTGCTCCACGATCCGCAGCCGCAACCGCGCGCGTCGTCGGGCCCGCCGAAACGCGTGCTGGTCTTTGGCGGCCAAACCAGCCAGCAGGTCGGCCTGAGTCGGGCGGTCTTCGAGGCGTCACGCCCCCTGCGCCGTCATCTGGACGCCTGCGATGCCGCCCTCCGGGCTCTCAATCTCGGCAGCATCTACCCGGCCATCTTCGACCCCCAGCCCATCGCCGACCTGGTCCGGCTGCACGCCTGCTTCTTTGCGATGCAGTACGCCGGGGCGCAGGCCTGGATCGACAGCCATGTGCGTCCCGACGCCGTCCTCGGCCACAGCTTCGGCCAGCTGACGGCGCTCTGCGTCGCCGGGGTCTTGTCCCTGGAAGATGGGCTGCGGCTGGTCACCGGCCGCGCGGCCTTGATGGGCAGTCACTGGGGCCCCGAGGGCGGCTCGATGATCTCCCTGCAAGCGTCCGCGGACGTGGTGGCCGACATCATCGCGGCCGTCGACGCCCCGCTGGAGATCGCCTGCTACAACGGCCCCCAGAGCCATGTCGTGGTGGGCGCCGCGGCCGACATCGACCGCGTGGAGGCGCGGCTGCAGCAAGATGCGTCGCGCATCAAGTACAAGCGCCTGGCCGTCACCCATGGCTTCCACTCGCGCTTCACCGAGTCGCTGCTCCCGGGGCTCACGGAACTGGCGCAGACGCTCACCTTCCGCGCGCCCACGATCCCCCTCGAGACCTGCTCCGAGCACAGCAGCTGGGCCAGCATCACGGCCGCACACATCGCGGAGCACACCCGCACGCCCGTCTACTTTGCCCCCGCGGTGCGTCGCGTGGAAGCCCGGTTGGGCCCCTGCGTCTGGCTGGAAGCCGGCTCGGGCTCGGGGGTCACCGGCATGGTGCGCACGGCGCTGGCGGATGCCTCGCAACATGTCTGCCAGGCCGTCGACCTGCGCGAGGCCGCGGGCCTGTCCAGTCTGGCCGACACCACCCGGACCCTGTGGACCGCCGGACTCGAGGTGGCCTTCTGGCCGTTTGACCGGCACGACCGCCGCCATTATGCCGACCTGCTCCTCCCCCCGTATCAATTCGAGAAGAACCGCCACTGGCTGGACTGGCAGCCCGCCGCGCCCGCCCCGGTGGCCGCCCCGGCGGCCGTGGAGACGGTGCCCGCCGAGCCCGTGCTGCTGTCCCTGGTCCGCCAGCGGGATGCCGAGGCCGAGTTCGCCGTCGACCCGCGCAGCGAGCAGTACCGGTCCCTGGTGGAGGGCCACGCGGTGCTGGCGCAGCCGCTGTGTCCGGCGCCCTTGTACGTCGACCTGGCCGCCCAAGCCGCCCTCGTGCTCGCGGGGGACGCCCGCGGCGAACCCCGGATCGAGAATCTGGAGATCCAGGCGCCCCTGGGGGCCGGCGATCGTCGCATCCAGCTCGAGCTGCGGCGCCTCGACCCGGGCACGCCCGTGTGGAGCTTCGCCGTGTCCAGCCATCGGCCGGCCACCCCGGCCAGCAAGGACCGCCACGCCACGGGCACGGTGCGTCTCCAGCAGGACGCCACCAGCCTGGCGGACGAGTACGCGCGCTTCGAGACCCTGCTGGGCCCGGAGCGCTACGCGCGCATTCCCCAGGACCCGCACGCCGAGGCCCTCCAGGGCGCGCAGGTCTACAAGGCCTTTGGCAAGGTGGTCACCTACCGGGCCTACTACAAGGGCGTGCGCAGCGTCCATGCCCGGGGGCAGGAAGTCGTCGGCCGCGTGCAGCTGCCGCCGCTGGCGCTGCCCGCGCCCGCCCATGCCGCCCCCTTTGCCCTCAACCCGCGCGCGGTGGATAATTTCATCCAGGTCTCCGGCCTGCACGTCAACTGCCTCACCGAGCTGCCCGACAATGAGGTCTACGTCTGCACCAAGGTGGATTGCGTGCAGGCCCGCGGGCCGCTGGCGGCGGACGGCACCTGGCTCGTCTACTCCAGCTATCGCTCGGTGAGTGACAAGCAGCTCGTCAATGATATCTACGTCTGCGACGCGGCCACCCAGTCCCTGGTGCTGTTCGTGCTGGGAGCGCGATTCACCCGGGTGCAGATCTCCAGTCTGGCCCGCGTGCTGTCCCGCGCCAATGATCGTGCGGCCGCGACCGCGTCCGCGCCCTCGCGGCCGGTCTCATCCCCCTCGGCCTCCCTCCCGCCCCCATCCCCCCGGCCGACCGTGCGGAGCCCGCCGCGGCGGAAGCAGCGGACCCCCGCCCCGGCCTTGGCGCGCGATCTGGGCGCGGAGCTGCGGGCCCTGCTGGAACGGGTGGCGGAAGTGCCCGCGGCGGAGATCGCGGACCAGGCGAGTTTCGACGACCTGGGCATCGATTCCCTCATGGTCACCGAGGTGCTGAGTGAGATCAACACCGCCTTTGCCGTGTCCATCTCCATGGACGAGTTCGCCACCATGACGGACATCCGGGCCATCGTGGTCGCGCTGCAGCGGATGCTCGGCGGGTCCGCCTCGGGGTCGGGCTCCGCCACGCCCTCGGACACGGACTCGGAAGACGACATCTTCGATGCCACGCAGTCGTTGACCCCCGCGCCCAGCTCCGGGGCCAGCACGCCCCCGGCCGTGGAGGAATCCCCCAAGGGCGGCAAGGTCATCGCCCAGCTGGGCCGGCTGTTGGCGACCCATCTGGAATGTCCGGAGCCCATTGCCCCGGGGGCCAATCTGGCCAGTCTGGGCTTGGATTCGTTGCTCTGCATGGAACTGGCGGCCGATATCAAGCAGGATCTGGGAGCGGATGTCGACATGGCCCGCCTCGACCAGCAGTCCACCTTCCAGGATCTGATTTTCCTGGTCCACGAGGCGCTGCCGGAGGCTCCCGCCTACTTTGGGTCCGCCCCGGGCCTCCCCCTCCAACCCGTCGCGACGGATCTGCAGGCCCGGCTGGCCCCGGTCGCGGGGGCCAGTGCCGCGGATGTGCCCTTGGTGGGCGCCCAAGCCGCCTTTGAACGCATCCGCGGCGACTACGACCAGCATGCGCAACAGTCCGGGTTCGCCGGCTTCTGGACGAGCGTCTATCCCACCCAGGCGCGACTGGTGCTGGGCTACACCGTCGAGGCCTTTGCCCAGTTAGGGTGCGATCTGGCCCAACTCCCAGTGGGCGCGAGTCTGCCCGCTATCTCCTACCTGCCCAAGCACGAGCCCCTGGTGCAGCAGCTCTACCGCATCCTGCAGGACGGACAGCTCGTGGCCACCGATGGGTCGACGCGGGTGCGCACCGACCGTCCGGTTGATGCCACCCCGTCCACGACCATCCTCGAGCAGCTCCAGCGCCGCGCACCCCAACACGCCATGGAGCATCAACTGCTGCATCTGACCGGCTCGCGGCTCGCGGACTGTCTGACCGGCGCGGCCGATCCCCTGGATATCCTCTTCCGGTCCAAGGAAAACCGCAGCGTGCTGGAGGCCGTCTACGCCAAGGGCCCCATGTACGAGGCCATCTCGGGCCAGCTGTGCAGCTTCATCGATCAGGCCTTCTCCGCCTCCGCCGCGTCCGCCACCCCCGCAACCCCCTTTGAGATCCTCGAACTCGGCGCCGGCACCGGCGGCACAACCCGGTATGTCGTCGAACTGCTCGAACGCCGGGGCATCCCCTTCCGCTACACCTTCAGCGACCTCTCCGGCTCGCTGGTGGCCGCCGCCCGCCGCAAGTTCGGCGCGCAACACCCCGCCATGCAATTCCAAGTCGTCGACATCGAAAAGATCCCCGAGGCCGCCATGCAGGGTCGCTTCCACGCCATCATCTCGACCAACTGCATCCACGCCACGCGCGACCTGGAACTCTCCACCCGCCACATCCGCCAGATGCTCCGGCCCGACGGCTTCGTCTCCCTCGTCGAGTTCACCCGCAACATGTTCTGGTTCGATCTCGTCTTCGGCCTCCTCGAGGGCTGGTGGTTGTTCTCCGATGGTCGGCCCCACGTGCTCGCCTCCGAATGGTTCTGGGACGCCAGTATGCGTCGCGCGGGATACCAGCACGTCACTTGGACGACGGGGGCCTCGCTGGAATCCCGCACCCTCCGGATCATCACGGGCTTTAATGCGCCCCCGGCGGATCCGTCGTACGTGCCTCAGCGCGGCGCCCAGGATGCCGACACCACCCTCGAAGTCGTCCGCTACAAGCACGTCGACGGCCTGTCCCTCTTCGCCGACATTCACTATCCCCCGTCCTTCACCTCCACCCCGCGCCCCATCGGTAGGCCCCATCCCTCCCTCCCGCATCCCCATCCTTGGCTCCCAGCTAACCCATCCAGCCCTCATGATCCACGGCGGCGGCCACGTCATGCTCACCCGACGGGACATCCGCCCCAAACAAACCCCCCTCCTGCACGCCATGGGCTTCCTCCCCATCTCCATCGACTACCGCCTCTGTCCGGAATCCCCCATCCGCACCGGCCCCATGACCGACGTCTGCGACGCCCTGCACTGGACGCGCACGATCCTCCCCCCCCTCCCCCTCCTCTGCCCGACCCTCCCCATCGACCCCACCCGCGTCGCCGTCCTCGGCTGGTCCACGGGCGGCCACCTCGCCATGACCACCGCCTTCACGACCCTCCACCGCGGCCTCACGCCCCCGACCGCCATCGCCGCCTTCTACTGTCCCACCGACTATGAAGATCCCTGCTGGCAGGCCCCGAATTATCCCGAGAATAGTCGCGCGTTGGCGACCGCCGCCCAGACGAACGGGTACGATCTCCTCGAGGGGGTGCAACCCCGTCCGATCACGGGGTATCAAGTGCCCCCCAAGCAACGCGCCGTGGGCGGGTGGATGGCGCCCGAGGATCCCCGCTCGCGCATCGTGCTGCATATGAATTGGACGGGACAATGCCTCCCGGTTCTCCTGCGGGGATTGCCCGCCCCCGGGGCCGCGCTCTCCGCGGAACAGAAACAAGCCCTCCTGGACCAGCCGCAACCCACCGTGCAGGAAATCCAGTCGATTAGTCCGTATGCCCAGATCCGACAGGGACAATATACCACGCCGACGGTGGTGGTGCACGGGACGGAGGATGATTTGATTCCGTGGGGTCAGAGTCAGCGGACGGTGGAGGCGTTGCAGCAGCAAGGGGTGCGGGCGGAGTTGGTGTTGGTGCAGGATAAGATCCATCTGTTTGATTTGTATCCCGATGTCGATGGGGTGGGGGGGGTGGCGGTGCGGAAGGCGTATGAGTTTTTGGGGCGGGAGGTGTTTGGGAGCGTTTAGGGGGGATCCAGTGGGATTGTATGTTGTGTTTATCTTTGCATGGGTTGGTGTTTGGGTATATTTCTGTGGATGTTTATCAATTGAAGAGTTTACTTTTGAGGTACAGTGCAGACAGCGTAGGGATAAACGGTACGAGTCTAATACCTATCAACGACAATTGTGTACTACACTACCTCCACCAGAACCAGATAGATAAGCAGGCTTTGATCAATACGATAATGCAGACTAGTATTTCATGGTTGGTTGATGCAGGTCCGAACCCTACGACATAGTATATATATCGGACCACCACTTAGTCCTCCGGAGTATCTGTGGGAAACACCACCATCAACCAACAAATACCATCATTTATATACATATTGATACCAGGTGAGATCTCGATCCTAAACCCGACCCAACTAACGATGCCACTACATATAGTAGTAACCCTAGCTTGACCAGCCACCCATTCGAATCCGAGTTGATTCCTAGAAACCGACATTCATTACCTACTACGACTGGATCTTCCATACTCCCGACCTAACACATACTTTCCAGAATACACAATTACACATACCCACATCACCTCAATAAACAAACAATGCTATAGACGACTACCTACCCTCACCCCCACCACCAAAAAAGTAAAAAGGTATCTCCCCGACTGGGAGTCGAACCCAGGTCTCCCGCGCTTGTTCCTATACAGGAAATGACAAGCGGAAATCATGACCGTTAGACCATCGAGGATTTATACCTTTTCATTCAAGATTTCGCTACATAGACACAAGACATGGAATCCCGTTTTCATATACCAGTGGGTCTGGGTCGGACCCGATCACTCAGTAAACATGAACATGGTTCCAATTTCAAGTACTCCGCAGGCACTATCGCGATAGCCGAACTCGGTCGAAGGGATCGTTACATTGCTCGTGCTTTGGTTTGGGTTCTTGGTTACATTAGATTCTTGATAAGAGAAAGTAATCTAATTGGTGTGTATAATTCCGTAGAAGGATGATGTAGACTATTGGACGGAGTACACAGTAGTAGTATCTCCTCTGTATCTAGTATCTAGTGGTGTCGTGTTCCTTTACCTGGTAATTGGTAAGGAACTGTTCCTCGGGTTGATCTATTCGGGATCATGTAATCTGATTGCTATATTCAAGTAAGATATGATCGATACCCTCCTATGGTGGTGAGGAAAGATGGTAGGTAGTGATTGGCTTTGGGGAAAGAGTACAGTAGATTTATAAATTTGAATAAGGGGTCAGAAGGTATAATCCTCGATGGTCTAACGGTCATGATTTCCGCTTGTCATATCCTGTATAGGAACAAGCGCGGGAGACCTGGGTTCGACTCCCAGTCGGGGAGATTACTTTTTTTAGTGACTGAGGGTGGTGATGGTAAGGTTGGGTTGAGAATCAGCTGAATTACAGCGAATGGATGATCAAACTATGTTCAAGACAAGCCTCCCAGAGTCTAAAGCATACAAATCATTAGACAGCCAGCTGAACTAATTGTCCGTCTTCTCATTGACCGCCTCTTTCACTTGGGCTTTCTTGGCCTGCAGCAACGAGCTGATATAAGCCAACGACTCCTGCGACAGCACCAAACTCGTCGTGATAATCGCCTTGCCGCTCGCCACCATCCCGTCGCCCCCGCATTTCTTGTACTCGGACCCATACGTATCATACACATGGCCCTTCAGATCATACACAAACCGCACGGGAAACGAGACCCCATCGCGGATCGTTCCTTTCAGCGTGTCCGTATCCTCTTTGATGAAGGGAAACGTCGAATCGACCTTGCTCAGACCCTTGTCTCCAAGGGTGTCCGCCTGCGCGACATACGGCGCCACATAGCCGTACGGCTTGGAGAAGTACGGCAGAAATGGCTTGGCCAAGCGAGTATAGCCTTGATCCGCATATTCCAGCGACTTGGCGCCGTACTTGTTGGTCTTGAAGGAGTGGATGGAGTCGGAGACAATCGGATAGGACGTCAAATGCTAAGAGATCAGCGCCCGTCCAGCGATCGACAGCAAGCATGAACTCACGTCAAGGAATTGAGAGTGGACGGCGTCCCCGTTGACAGAGTTCTCACCCATCGTTCCGTTTTCTGCGTGAGGCATATGTTCAACTAGATGATTAGCCTGGATAGTAAAAGGCGGACGCTAACCTTACTGGATGATGAGGGTGATTGAATCCTAGAAAAAGAGAGCGAGAACTTGGGTGAGACGTCAATAAAATAATGAGCGTGGAACGACACATGAGATGGAGGAATGAGACTTACCGATGCGAGGATCGGAAGGAGCAGTGGATGGACCGGAAGGAGGTGAACCGTAGTTAAATTTAAGGTAGGTTCAGTTGAGAGGGGAACACGCCATCAGTCGATCCATGAGGCTTGAGTGATTTGATTTATCTATTTTATTTTTTCTGGTGTATTTTCTTTATTCTGATTTATCAAGAATTTTCATTTGCCCGCTGCGACTCGCAGGCAGCGGTGACAGCATGTGATAGCGGGCCGACGATGAACAACTCGCTTGGGGCTGGAGGGGCAGCCGTTGGTTCCAGGAGGTATTAGACCTCGTCGTACCGAGTTAGTTGTTGCGTGCTCAATCCGGCGGCTTCATCGTCATTATCATTTCACCCGCAGGGCCTGGAACCGACCCAAGATTGAAGACTAGGATCCTGCGTCGCATTCCGCGCCCTCAGGGATGGCCCGCATCCGAATCGCAGAGCAGGCCAGACCGGACAGGTCGAGTTCAGACCCCTCGGAACGCATTGGTATCGACAAGCCACCCGCACCTTGCCGACAGGAGATCCTTAGTCATGGAGTTACTGGCCATGATGGTATGCTTTTTGTCGTCGATAACGGCGGCAACGGTTGCGTGTCGGGGTGGCAAGAATCCAGTCGACAAACAAATGGCCGGTATTGGACAGGAAATTGCAGCGGACAATGATGGAATCCGGAGTTGCGAACAGGCGCTGAAAGGTTGGATGGGCTGATAGCATGTGATTGCGGGTCGGTCGCCTCGTTCACCTGGCTTTGCTCGGCGGCCGCCGGTCGGATTCGTTCTTTCATTGATAATTAGATGGGTGCATGTGGTATCCCACGATGTGAGCCTAATGCTTTCTACGCCGGAGGACTAATCTCAGGCTCCAATACCTCATGGTGAGCTTGCAGAGTATAATCCCTCGTCCCGATAAGACGGAACTTGGCCGTGGTCGGTCCCGCATCCTTATCAGGCATACTACCATGTACCGTCACAAGCAAGCCTGCCGCAAACAACCCAACGACCGGCTGGAGGATGAACCTCGACCAGACGGACTACATCCTCTTTCTTTGTACCAGACGGGTAACCGCTGTCGTTGATCCCTGCGGAGGGGCAAGCATCGCGCCTGGACCTCATCATTTCCCTCTGACCCGTGCATGCACGATCAATGTCTTAGGCTCTTAATCCATCCAACCTGCTCCGTACATTCTGGGTTAGTGTAGTTTGATCCACCCGTCAGTCTCGGCGCTAATAACGCCAGTGGCAGTCCTGCAGTGCACTCTTCCACGACAACTTCAAGCAAACTACGGAGAATGTACGGAGAATGTCCCCCATGTGGTCATATCCAGGGAAGACCTCCAGCTAGATCCTTTAGTGCTGACTATCTGCGTCGTACTTCTGCTCATCGGCCTGGGCACCATCCAAGTTGTCAGATTGTCCTTGGAATGCAGGTAGTTCAACGCTAGTATACCCGGAGGCATTTCATAATCCCGGATCCTGGTCGACCTTGACATAATTGGAGCGTAATGCGCTGTCGTTGTGCTTACTCCAATTCCAGTTTGGTGAAGTTCCGCGGCGAATGCACGTTTGTCTCTGACGCCCGGACATCAGTTCTGTACTTCCCCTCTTCAACCATTCATCATTCCCAGCGATGAAACACCCATCGCTGGTGGCTGACGGCATGTCTGGCCGCGTATATCAGCACCAGTCAGTCCTTCCAGGATCCCAGCATCCTCCCGTCTGCCCGGATTGCGAACCCACCCGTCATTATCTGAACCGGACCCGAAGGATTATTCAACGCCGGCTACTCCCTCCTCGGGTAAGGAACGACGTGCACAGATCGCAACCTCTAATTGCACCTCCTCATTTGCAAGGTACATGGATCCTGTACCTAGCCAGCGCTACACTTACCGTTCAGGTACCTAGCTCCTGAAGGTCCGAAGCTGGCACAAAGGGGCGACATCCGTGTCCTCCCTGCAGTAGTCCAACTCTACGGCCGTGGATGAATCCAAGGTCGCACTTGGCAAACCGTCTCCAATCTACAGAAAATGACATAATCCCGGAGAGGTCTGGCCTACGTTCCTACAGGTGGGGATATTTCTCCTCAACTCCGCTTTTACCCCAACATTCGGAATAGGCTGGGATTCATGTACGGGGGTATCGGCCGTGCGGGGAGCGCAGCGCAGCGCCGCAGACGCGGTGGACGGAAGGTCGGTTTCCAGAAGGGTTGGGTTAAAATCGGACCCGACAAATTCCCCTGACAAGCTAATCGAAAACGCACTGGATAGGGCTGTTGAATCGATATGATAGGAAGCTGAGGTGCTTGCGGTTGGATAATCGGCTCGTCGGTGCGCTTGGACCGGTACCTTCGGAATTAACCGGCTGTGGAAGACGTAGTTGCGCTGGCCAATCTGAATAAACAAAAAGAAATTGAATTGTTCATATTTTCCATTTCATTTCGAGACGGACGCCAGATCTGAGTGGCCTCCCTCATGATAAGAAAAATTGGCCAAGTCCTGGACCTGTACATCGACACATTCCCATTCTTCTCGCGTGCTATGGTATACTTCACGTGATCCCATGCTCAGGAACCGGATGTCTTCGATGCTTTGCTTTTTCCCTTTGCCTCATCTAAGACCTTGCGCGCTCAAACGACAAAACGCCCCATATTATCCCGTTTAGAAACCTGCACATCGTCAGCACGCGGACACCACATCGCAACGAACGGGTGAACATACGCAGAGGAGTGAAGAACCAACGGTTCTTGCCGCTGGTGTAGCGGTCCTCAAGGGCCTTCTTGACGGTCTTCTTGGCGTCCTCGCGCTGGGAAACCTCCTTGAAGGTCTCGGTGGAGACGGCACCCTTGAGACCCTCGAGCTCGAGGGTGTAGCGAGTGGGCATCAAGTGGTTGTAGTTGACGACCTTGATGAAAGGCTTGATCTTGCTGCGCTTCTCGACCGTCTTCTTACCCATGCGGCGGGTGACCTTGAGGGGGTAGCGCTCGATACCGGCAACGATGGCGTAGGCGAAGGGGTGCGCCTTGGAGCCAGTGTCGTTAGGCTGGACGATGACGACCTGTCATACCGCGAACCCTCGTCAGCACATATCCTGCAAATCCGTCCGTTTTTTCCTCGTAGTCCGTATGTTCATTCTTCGCTCGTTGGTCATATTCCACGCAATCCGAAATCCACCTCTTCCCGTCGCAACAGAATCCCATCCCGTCTCCCGATAAACATGTGTATTCGCCAGAAATGGAGCAATCGATGTCGTACCTTCTTACCGGCGTAACGGCCACGGGTGATGATGGCCACACGGCCCACTTTCATGACTATCGCAACATCCTGTCAGCTGGGATCGACGACGAAAAAACAGAGTCGAGGTGATTCAGCATTTCACTAACACTTCATTGTGAAAGTCCCGGGGAGCGGCAGGTCGATGGGGTGGTTGTCGATGTGCTTCGGTCGAGTAAGTGAGGTTCTCCGCGTTCGACGTTCTATTTTTCTGAGCGAAGAGGGCTCAGGGCTTTGTGTGCCAAAATCTCATTGGTCACCTTACCGACAGAAGGGACCTAGCCATTCTGGGAAGGTTTCTCCAAGGGGCTTAGTGCCCGAGCCTCGGGCAGACCGGACAAACTGACCGCCTAGATCGGGTCTTGGCCTTTTGTTTACCGGACAACCACAAGTGCATCGGTTGCTAGGCCGGGGGCCTTGATGTGTACGCCGCACATTGGATCGGGCTTCCGTTGATGCCCCATGAGCTACCGTTCCTCTCCGCCATCAACTCCACTTGGATGTGTGACTGGCTCTTTATATTAACTCTTCTCCTCTGGAGTCGGCTCCTCCTTCGGTCTTGTGCACCGACTCGTCGCATTGTTTTCTGCCGTCCTAATTCCTCATCCCCTCCTAGCAAGCGCATTTTGTACCAGCATTTGATTTGATTTTGTTTTTCGGTTCCTGCGTTGCCATTCCCCTACTTTCAATTCCCCTCGCCTGCATTTTGAGCTTTGTTTTGACGAATTGATATGCCTTTACGACCCCAACTGCTTTGCTTGTGACGATCCATTCCTCTTGCGCATTCCAGACATCCCCCGATCGACTTGCTTTTAGTTTCAACATCGACAGACATACCCAGTTCACTTGCTTAACGACATTTTGAGTTACAATATGCCCGCGCACACTCGCGACGGTTCCCGCGACAGGGAACTAGTCCTCAGACATCAGTCGGTGCCAATGTACGTGGAAACTCTATCTCCGACGCCTCTCCCCCAGCGGCACACAGAAACCATCCCAGACTGACCGTGCATCGTGGAAACGAAGGTGGGACAGCTCGGACCCCGAACGGGCCCCCCCTCCGCTACCCATGAACCCCGTTGCTACCAGCCCTATCACCAGAGGAAATGTCTCCCCAGGCATCCAAGCCGTGGCGGCGAATTTCCAAGAAAAGATGCGCGAAAACTCCCCGAGTCCGTATACAACCAATCCCATGCCGCCGAAGTCGCCCGAGAAGTCCCTCATCAAGGGCCAATTCCACAGGCGCATGCAATCTTTACAGAATACAGATGCTCGCAGCGAGTTCCTGAATTACCTGGAGAGCCGGTCCCCAGAACGGCCTCTCCGCGCATCGGTTCTGGACCAGAGCCCCAAACAAAACGAATTGACACCGACGAATCCCCCCAGCTCATCAGACTCGAGAGAGAACGAGCAGGAGCCCCCCAACTTACTCATCTCCAACCGGTACCTGTCCAGACCCATCCTCGGCGAAAGCACTCCACCGTCGGCCACCATGTTAGCATTGCAGAATATGCAGCTGCCCATGGAGAGTGAACCAGAACCAAGAAGTCACGATACCGACCCATTCATCGGGCCTCGACGTCCCGACAACCCCAGCTTCGAGTCGCTATCCACCCAGATTCACAGTCTCACCGATATGACGAGCAATCTTCAGCGCGAGATGGCGCAGCTGAGCCGACGAAGCAAAGATAATGCCACCGACCTGGTCAGCCTGAAAGCCGCAACCAATGCCCGAGATGAAGATATCCGCAAGAGCCTTCGTGAATTGTCCTCCAGCCTAGCTGCCAAGTTCCTTGATCCTGATGCTGCCACAAGGTGGGACTTCAGTACTCTCCTGGGTTCTGAGAATGGTATTAACAACAGGGAATCGGATAGTTCTCCGAGTTCGAAGAAAAGCTATTCGGCGCCACGAATGTCAAGTCCTAATCCCTTTGCCGCAGCCATGGAACGTGAACTGTGTGGATCCCCTACGCCGATTTCTGATGGTTCCGCCAGTATCGCATTGCTTGAGAAGGTTCTACGGGAGATGGCTACCAGAGAAGGGCAAGAAAAAATACAGGAATTGGTCGAGGAAATGAAAGCCACGCCTGCCTCTGATCCTCCCAACCGAAATGATGAGGCCATCACGAAGATGCTGGAAGAGATTCTCGACCATGTCAAAGACGACCCTGGGAGCAAGGCTCTGGTACGCTCTCAGGCCGCTGCCAGTGTTCCTCCCCAGGGAAATGCTGATGGTTCCGGAACGAGGTCTCTAGACGACGAGCATATCTATACACCGGACATGGACCTCATGGATGCGGGCAACGCCCGACCGCCGGAGCGCTCGTTGGTGCTGGCAGAAGGTCAAATGGCAGACGAGATGCTTGCAATCATGAAAAGAGTCAAGCAGAGTGTCATTGAAGGAGGTGGCATGACGAACGAAGTCAAAGCCCTCGTACGCGAACTCCGGGGAGAGGTTCTAGGCATGGGACGAAACCTAGCTCGGCAAATCGAAGATGTTGAGGCTTCCCGGGCTATAGAGGACCGGCCGGATAGACCCACCCATGAGGAGCTGGCTGGTATGGTCGAAAACAGCCTCCATGAGCTTAGGGACCAATTAGCTTTTATCGTCGACGAGAGCAAACGCCACTCAACCTCGATCTCAGAATTCAGAGCCGCCATGGATGGTGCCGAACTATACTCCATTGTTAAGAAGGCCTTGGATGAACTCGACCTCTCTTATCTACGCCCTGAGCCGCAGGGTGTGAACATGGAAAAGGAAGAGATCCTGGAGACGGTCCGGGAGGCTTGGGAGACGTACAAGCCCGAAATTGAGTTGCAAAACTTTGGACTGGAACGGGACGAGATCCTGGAATGCCTGACCGAAGGGCTCAAAGAGTACAAGCCGCAGCACGAGGAGGCCGTTACTTACGACCAAGTCCTGGCAGCGGTCCAGGCCGGCATGCATAATTTCGAGCAGCCACCCAGCATTACGAAGGAAGAGATTGTACACACGATTCACGAATGCCTTGACGAATTCGAACCTCCCTCCTTGGAACGCGAACACCTCGATGGCCTGCGGGAGGAGATTCTCCAGGCTGTCACCGAAGCAGTCTCCTCACAGGGTGCTCTCACGAAGGAGGCCCTGAACACTGGACTTAGTCGGGACGAAATTCTGAGCGCACTTTCGGAAGGCCTTGAAGCGCACTTTGCAGCCGCCAAGGAGAGCCAGCATTCACATATCACGAAAGATGATGTTGCCAACGTCATCAATGAAGCTTTCATTGCACAGCAATCCCAACTCAGCACCCATGTTCAGCCAAGCTTTTCCCGCGATGACATTCTGAATGCCATCGCCGAAGGGATGGAAAGCCAGAACTCTGTGACCAGGGAGATTGAACTCAACAGGGATGATCTCATGGAGGCCATCGCCGCCGGGTTGCAGGAGGCCAACGAGGCAAACCAGAGCGTTGGCGAACAGATGCTGGAACGTGTCCAAGAGCAGTTGGATGGCATAAAGGACGAAATGGGCCAGCATTTCTCGGCCACCGAAAGGGATGCGGAACAGCTGCTCAATGCCGTCAAGGATGGCATCGCGGTTGTACGGCAGGAAGTGGAAGGATACGCCGCGACTGCATCCGAAGCTTCTGGGAAGCATGAAATCATGGACACCGTCAAGGAAGGGTTCCGGCTGTTGCAGGCGGACATGGAGAAGACCATCACGGAGACTGCCATGTCGAACGCCCCCCGTGGTAATCCCGATACGCCGGAGCTTCTTGATGCCATGGAGAAGGAGTTTGAGCACTTGCGCCAAACGATGAGCTCCTTGTTGATCCGGAACAATGCTCCAAACGAGAAGGACGAAATCCTCGACGCCATTCGGGACGTGTCAGAGCAGCAAAAGGCCTTGAAGAATGAGGAGGTCCTTGCTGCTATTGCTGAACTGTCAGAGAAGCAAGCTAGTACCCCTAGCGAGGAGATCCTCGCTTCCATTCGTGAGATGCTGGAGCAGCACAAGACAATGGACAACGAGGAAATCCTTGCCGCCATTCGTGACACGCCCGAGCAGCAGAACAGCATGAATAGTGATGAGATTCTGGCTGCTATTCATGAGCTGTCGGAGAAGCAAAGCAACACTCAAAGCGACGAGATCCTTGCCGCTATCCGGGAACTGTCGGAGCAGCACAAGGCTACGAATCATGATGAAGTGCTTGCCGCTGTGCGCGACATGTCTGAACAGAACAAGGGTACAGAAAGTGATGCAATCCTTGGAGCCATTCGCGAACTCTCAGAGCACCACAAGCCCACCAACCTCGACGACATCACCAACATCATCAAGCAAGAATTCGAGGAGCTCCGTCACTCCATGAACGCGACCCTGGTCCGCGCAGAACCGACAGAACCCAAGTCCGACAAGGATGAGATTATTGCTGCGCTTCACGAAAGCCTAGAGGCTTTCAGGGATGAGACTAATCAGCCCAAGGAAGGCGGGGATAGCGCGGCTGTTGCTGGCGAGCTGATGGGAGCCTTGAACGATGGTGTTGGTACCATCCGGGAAGACCTGGCAAAACTTCTGGAGAGACCTGTCGAGATTGACTACTCCGAACTCCTGGACGAGCTCAAAGAAGGGCTCAGCAGTCTCAAGGCAGACCTTGAGATGCTGCGACAAGCCCAGAAAGAAAATGAGGAGCTTGAGACAACGCGCGGAGGAGAACTGGTACTTGCACGGGATTCCAACGCCAGTAACGATATTGAAGGTCTGAAAGCCCTCATCTCTCAGCTTCAAGTCAAAGTCGAGGCAATCGAGTCCGCTCCTCGGGGGGCGGAGGTTCCGGAGGATATGCTGAAAAAGGAGCATCTGGACGAAGTCCTCCTCGGACTGCAGGAACTTCAGAGCTCCGTGACAGGCATTGTTGCCCGCGAGCAACCAGCGGATGAAACGACAGCCAAGAAGGAGGACACGGATGCGATTGAAACGCTGCTTCAGAACACCAAGGCACAGCTGGATGAGATGAAGTTCCCTGCTCCGGATGAGATCGCAAGGGCAGAGCAACTCGAAAGCCTGGAAGGTATCGTCAAGGAGACAAAAGAGGCGATTTCCGAACTTTGCACTCGCTTCGAAGCGGAGGGCCCAACAAAGTCCGAAATCGGTACACTGGAGACCTTGATGAAGGATATGTGGATCGCACTCGATGAAATCAAAGGCAAGGGAACCGAGGAAGAGAATGATGCCGAGAAGCTGGTCAAGGCGGACTTGCAGACCGTGGAGGCCATGATTTTCGAGGTCAAAACGCAAGTCGAAGAGCTCAAGCTTCCCGACGTCGAGACTTTGCCAACCAAGACCGACATCCAGGACCTCACCGCGCTTGTTACCGAATTCCGCGAGAAGGTCGACGCCGATAACGAGATGACAGGACAAGCATTCGACGCCCGGAAAGTTGAACACGCTGGGCTTGCCGAAAAGATCGAGGAGGCGCGAGCCGTCGTCGAAGGACTCGGAGACGAATTGAAGAGCAAGCTAGATGGCAGCAATGAGGGGCTCACGGAGCTCAAGCAGCTCCTCGAAGGCCTGGCCGCATCTGCAGAAAGCTTCACAACTGTCGAGAATGTCAACGAACTCACGGAGCTTATCAACCGGGAGTTTGAGCGTGCCCGGGGCGAACAGGATGCGACCAAACTCGAGAAGGAAGAGCGGGATGCGGCTGCCATGGTCAAGCATGACGAGACTAGAGCCGCTATTATCGTCGAACTGGGTACGAAGATTGACGAAAAGCTTGGTGAAATCGTGGCCAAGTACGACGAGGCTCAGTCCGCTATCGAGACATCCCTTGAGTCTAAATTCTCCGAGAGTGCCGAACGTGATAATGCACACCTCGAAGCAGTCACAAACACCAAGGCTCTAGCTGAAGACATCAAGCTTGTCATTGGGACCATGGGAAACAGTGTCAACGAGGCCTGTGAGCGTATGTGCGCGGATGCGCAAACGTTCTTTGAGAAGGTCGACGTGTCATACAACAAGATGGAAGAGATGCACAATGAGGTCAAGACTCAGCAGGAGCAGGCCCGCTCGGATCTTGAGCGCGCGGCTGCTGCCACTGATCGTGTTGAAAGCCAGCTACACGAGTTCCATCCCCAGGTGCTTGAGTCTATCCACGAGATTCTTGCCATCGTGGGTCAGCACTATGACCACGCCCAGAAATCGGCGCAGGAAATCCGGATGGACCTGTCTACGATTCCCTCGGCTATTACCCCATTGCTCCCTGCTTTACCGCCGCCGGAGCCCGAGAAGTACGATGATACCCAGGTCCAGGAGAAGCTCAACGATATTCTCGACCGTGCGAAGAGCAGCCAGGTTCAAGAGACGCTCAACACCCTCGTCGAACGCGTTACCAATAATCAAGTCCATGAGAAGCTCGACGAACTTTTGAGCCATACTACAAGTACGAATAGCCAGATCTACGAGAAGTTGAGCGAGCTCCTGGACCATGCCACCAATTCCAACGGACCTGTGCATGATAAACTGGATATTCTCATCGACCATGCGACCAACAATGATCAGTCAGTCACGCAGATGATGAAGTTGGACGAGATGCACAAGGATATCATGGACACGTCTCGCCGAATGAACGAGATGTTTGCAGCCCAATCCGCCATGGTGGCCGAAGACAACGAGCGACGTCGCAAGGAGGCTGAAGAAGCGGCCATCGCCTTGGAGAGGCGAAACGCACAGCGGGAGCAGGTGGAAGCCGAGATCGAGACCCTCAAGGAGGAGAAAGATTCTCTGCTGAAGATACTCCAGAGCTTGAAATCCGAGAAGGATGAGCTCGCCAAGCAAAACGCCAAGCTCAACAAGGAAGTCGCTGGGTTGGAGATGGCGCTCGAACTTCGACACGAAGAAATGCAAGTCATGGAAGAACGTGCCGATAGCCTCGAGAAACGGATTCTGGAAGGTGTCCTCGACCACGCCCGCAGTGTTCTCCTGAGCCGGCCGAACAGCGTGAAGAAGGGGCGCGGATCTCGCGCCCGAGGACCCAGTGCTGTCAGCACCGCCAGCACCGCCAAAGAGGCCCGCAACTTGCTCTCGAGCAGCGTTGGGTTGGCGTTGAGGAAGCGCGCGCCAACGGGATCACAGGCGGGATCCGTCGCCCCTTCCACTCCGAGCAAGGAACGACGAATCTACAGTCTGAGCAATGTGACGGGCAATCGCGGGGCTGGTGACCGGCAGGTGAGTTCCACCAGCGGGTTTGCGAGTCTGAAGCGAAGTCATTCTGTCCGGTCCAACGCTTCCCAGCGGAAGGCATCTTGGGGAGGTCGGAGCTCGATAGCCAACAAGGAAAATGAGGTGTTTGCGGAGGAGGACGGGGAGGAGAGCGACGGTAGCACGGAGCGGAGGACCAGCTACACGGGAACGTATGCGGACAGCATGATCTATGGTACCAACAGCATGGTCTCCGCCGATCGACGGGTAAGCGCCGCTAGCTCCACCGCGTTGCGTTCCGTTGCGGATGAAGGAGAGAGCTCCGATGGGGAGGATGCCCAGACGACCAAGGCAGATGAGCCGGACGAGGACGAGTTGGACCTGGATGAGGAGGGCTCGAAGATGGTGCTCTACGGTCAGCACAGTGATAGCGGCATCGGGCCCGAGGTCACGAGTGCTGCGGCATGAATGGCCAGGGGCACGAGGGGCTCTTCGAGTGGAGCAGCATGACCCTTGTTATGGACGATGGAAGCAGCGTGATTGCTGGTGTTCCTTGATATAGACGACCCGCGCATTTGGCTGAGCTGGATGCGGTGTTTGATAGGATCCTCGGTTCGGGCTTGGGGTCCGATGGGTTGGATACGGGTTCCTTTCCTTTGTGTTTCCTATGTTTTACGACTGTTTATGCCTGATGTAACTATTCAATTCAGTGAGGTGACGAATGGACTTGTTCTGATTATGGATTGGTGGGTTGTGTTTCTATAGGACTGTAGCGTAGCCATTTGTATACGATGCGATCGATGCCTGAGGAAAAGGGGCAGGAGGTCACATGGGCATGAAATCATGCCCGTGGCTGAGTCAGCCGAGGCCCCCAACCGATTGCTTTGAGGCTATTCTGGTGGACAGGATGTCCTTGCTGCTGCAACCCGGTCTGGATGCCTGCAGACAACGAACGGGCCCTGTTCTTGGCTGGCTGTGGCGAGAGATAAATAGATCCTCGCGCCTGCCCGTTGACCTCCTCCGTGGGTAATCTCCAGGGCTCCACCATGGCTGGTTTCTAGACCGACTAACAGCCTTAGTCTCCGCCTCCTGCTCCTCCTCGGCTGCTCCTCTCCTGCCTCTCCTGTTCCCTTCTCTTCTGCCATAGTGGATTCCTCTCCGGTTCTTGCATCCTAATTCCTCTCCGCTCAGTCGGAGGAGCGGTCAGCCGGCATGTTGGACCCTTTCCCCCCTCCGCCAGCTTGGCTGCGAGAATTCGTTGAGCCATGGGCGCTTTATCTCAACGTTCCCGCCCTGACCGAACATGCTCACGAGGTCGTCATTGCTTTTGTCGGCTACCTGTTCATCCACTTTATCCTCTCCCCCGTCCTGTCTCCGGTGCTCTTCCCCCGTTACTACCCACAACTCAAACCGCGGACCAAGCTCAACTGGGATGTTCATGTTGTCTCGTTGGTGCAGAGCACCTTCATCAACGGCATGGCCCTATGGGTCATGTTTGCGGATGACGAGCGGAACTCCATGAACACCGGTGAGCGTATCTATGGATATACCGGAGCCTGTGGACTGGTGTCCGCCTTCGCGGCCGGATATTTTGTGTACGATCTGATCGTCAGCACTATCTACGTCAAGCTCTTCGGGATCGGAATGTTGTTCCATGGCATTAGCGCCCTGTGGGTGTTCAGTTTCGGATTTGTAAGTCCGGTTCCCCTGCAGCTCGTACTGCATTGACAACTAACCACCCAACCTTGATTACAGAGGCCATTCGTGAACTTCTACTCTCCCGTCTTCATCCTCTACGAGCTCTCCAGCCCGTTCCTCAATATCCACTGGTTCCTCGACAAGGTCAACTTGACTGGCAGCAAGATTCAATGGTACAACGGCATGCTTCTGCTCTTCACCTTCTTCAGCTGCCGTCTCGTCTGGGGCACCTACCAGTCCCTGGCCGTCTACCGGGACATGTGGTACGCTCTGAAGCAGACCTGGGATGCCACCGAAGCTGCCACGCCCCTCAGCCCTGTCGACATCACCGCACAAGTCTTCCAAGTCCGTGACGGCTCCGCAGCCGGCCTCGAGATGTCCAAGTACGCCCCCTACACCGCTGGTGGCGTTCCCACCTGGCTGGTCCTGACCTACGTGATCTCCAACCTGGTCCTCAACTTCTTGAACTACTTCTGGTTCTCCAAGATGGTCGAGACCGTCCTGAAGCGGTTCCGCGGGCCCGCCGAAAAGGCCGGCAAGGCGTCGAAGGAGGAGAAAATCCACCATCTGCAGGAGGATATCGCGCAGAAGGTCGTCCTCGAAGCCGCCTCCAAATTGGAGCAGGAGGAGGGTAGCCCCTTCCTTGACGGTGTCTCTGAAGAAAAAGTCACCTCGGCGATTGACTCGGGACTTACCGAGGAGCTGAGAAAGAGGAAAGCCAAGTTGTCCTCTTAAACTTTTACCTGGTTCTTAGGACCATCAAGGAGCCACCGCGCTCGTACACAAAGCCGAAGCTGAAGCAACAAAGGAGAAACCCCTTTTGCCATCAAACCCACCATTAGAAATGCACGTTCCCTCACGAGAACACCCCTCCATTCCACTTGCTTGCTTGAATTCTCTGTTCCCCTCCCACTGTCCAACACCGACCAGATTAGCACGCATGCATATCAAGGGTATATTTATATAAACGTGACGTTCCTGATTCTGAACCCCGCATGTTTTGTTTCTGTCCGACGAGGAGTTAATCTGGTCAGGAGACCCGGTTCGTTTTGTTTGGTTTGTTTTTCTTAGTTACTTGCTCATCAGGTTGCTATCTATCTCTCTAGATCTCACCAGTATTAGGAAAATAAACGAGACACGGCAGTTATCAGTTACTAGTTACTACTACATACGGTGTGTATGGTCAAGTAACCATTCCTTACAGTACAGTCTATGTAAAGCTACAAATCAAACCAATCAATCACATTAGAAACACAAGAAAAGAAAAGAAAAGAAAACAAAAGAAACCATCCCGAAACACGAAAAGAAAAACCAAATTAACACCACGCGAGCGCCCACCACGCCCCCTAGCTAGCATATCATACCTAACCTAAACTCAACCAAACCAAACTAAACTAAGTAGTTGATTCTTTCGCTGCCCTGAACACACAAGAACATACACACATGCTTATTGCTATGGAATATAGCAGAGCATAGGAAGCATCTAATCTGGACACAAGTTCCTGGAATCTCACCGCCCCAGCAATGCCTCCGGCTTAGCAAGCATATACCGCACCGCTTCCCGAGCAACAGGGGTATCCCAGACGCCGTCGGTACCGCCCCGACGGAACTCGGGTCCGCTGCCGTCTTCGCCACCGCCGCGGGTAGCTTCACCGAGGATGGTCTCCAGATCGCGGCGCTGGGAGTTGGTCCAACGACGGACGAAGGTGGCGGGGTCTTTGCTCAGCGCGGTGTAGAAGGAGTGTCTGGCGCGGGAGTGGGTCAGGGCTTGCACGATGAGAGCGACCTGGTCGTCGAGAGTGGCGATCTGGCGCATCGAGGCCGTGTATTGGGGGTTTTGGGTGAGAGCGAGCATCTTGGAGCGGAGGGGGTCTTCCAGGGCGACTTGGATGTCGTAGACGGTGGGAGTCGGGTCCTTGTGGTAGTCTTCGTCGACGCGGATGGTGTAGGGCAGGCGGATGGGGTCGATGGGGCTGGTGTGGGGGCCGATGCTTTCGGGGATTTGAGGGAAGAACATTTGGTCGCGGCCGAAGATCTAGATGTTGTTGTTAGTGGGTTGTGGGTGTTGATGGGGATGGGATGGGTGACGTACCGATCGCAGACGATGATCACAGCGCACAAGTCGCTTCTCCTCGTCCTCTTGCAGGCCCATGGCGCGAATGTAGTCCCAGATACCCAGCACGATTCCACTCCGGGTTTCTTCCTCCACGTCCAGCACCTCCGCCAGCTCTTTGCTCAGCTTGAATCGTTCGGGCGACTCATCGCGCACAAGGCTGAGGGTCACGTTGAGATTCTCCTGCGACGCGCGGGCGAACTGTATCGAGTCAAAGTCCGCTGTGGCCGGCAGATTCACGGCGTTGGGAGGTAAGGACGGCTTGGTCCAGGAGATCGGCTGGACTTCCTCGGGATTAGCGGTGGCGGGCTTGTCAAAGTCGACGGTGATGGATTTGAAGAAATGCGAGAAACGCTGCTTGGACCGCTTCGTGGACTTCTTGGCACCAGCATTAGGTCCATCCTCCTCCATCGCGTCGTCGTTGGTCTGCTCGGTAGCTTCGTCGTCACTGTCATCCGGGGTGGTCGGGTCGGTATCGTCGTCCAACAGACGGCCCTCGATGCGCACCTTGTACCGTCCCGAGCCGGGATTGCTTCCCGGGGCGGTGCCATTGGCAGTCTGCCAGGGTTGGTTTTCGACGGTGTTGGAGATCCAGATGCGCATCGTGCGGTACTTCTTGACGGTTTTGCTAATCGAGTCTTGAATATCCAGGCGTTTGCGGACAATGGCCGCGTCGAGACGCTTCTCAAGGTCGCGCAGGCTCTTGTATTGCTGCACGCCTTCGCCGATGACTACTTCCTCGATGCCGTCGGGGATGTTCTTGTCGGTGGGCTTGCGGCTGCGACGGAGGGCGGCGTCGTTAGGGGGCTGCATGTTGCGCGGAGGGGGAATGTATTGAGGGGGAACAGCGTGCTGAGGCATCGGGACCGGCATCGAAGCTGATGGATGAGTTAGGGCCGAGAAAAGATTCGGAGATTGAAGGGGTGAGGTTCACCTGGTCCTGAAGGTCCGCGACGAGGCGTGGCAGGAGAGCGTTGGGGCCCCTGTGGGGGGAACCCACGGGTATAGGTGGGCGGAATCGGAGCATTCATGGTTGGTTGGTGGTCAGACGGTGAGGCCGCAAGGGGACCAGCGAATTGGGAGATGGGGATGCTGAGGCGATGAAACAAACCGCGCTGGGCGGGAGATGCTGTGGTTCTGGCGGAGGTTCGCTGCCAGTCGCGATTCTTTCGCCGCGATCGCGCTATCCCCTTTTCGGACGGTCAACAGCTCTACTCTACGTCGACGTCTACAACCTACATTTGTACATCGGGTCATCTAATGCTGTCTCATTCCAAAGCATAACTCAATACTGTAATACATCACTCCAGCAGCGATGCCTGATTAGTGTACAGCTCTTCCACCACATTGCTCAGCTTCTCAATCGTCTCCAACGCGGCATCGTAGGCCTTGTCCCGCTCCGTCTCGTCGTAGACAATCAGGCAGCCGGCACCCTGGTCTAGCACGCCGATGATCACCTTATCCAGGATCATCTGCGAGAGCTTCCGCTCCACCTGTTGCGTGTCCAGTCCAACCATCTTGGCGATGTGGTCCAGCTCCACCCGGCTGAAGGGCTCGATGACCTTGATGAGGTTCTGTTCCAACATGGCATCGTACAGTCTGCGGAGGTGGTTACGGATGAAGGCATCGCTGCCCAGCTCAAACCGGTAGTCCGAGAGGGCCTTTTCGTACTCCTCGAGGGACCGGTTGGCATGTGCACGTGCCACGGCCTTCATGGCCTCGAGTCGTGGGCTAGCATACTTCTGGGCCTGTTTCGAGCCCAGCAAGCTCGTCACATCGTCCACCAGGTTCAACATGATCTTGCAGAGCAGCATATATTGGAGGGCCGCGGTGGCCTTGTCTCCCTCGTCGAGGGAGCTGTATCCCTCCAACGCCTCAATGAAATAAGAAAACGACGTGTTGAAATCCTTGTCCTCTGCGTGTAGCATACCGCTCTGCATATCGAGACCGGCCTGCAGGTTCGGCGGCGTGTAGACGGAGGCGGCCGACGTGCGGGCCGCCGTCAAAGCAGCACGTGCCTTGGCCTGGTTGCCCAATGCATGGTACACCCGCGACTCTAGCAGCTGTACCTCCACCAGCATAAGCTTGTCATCCAGACGCTTGAGCTCGCGGAGGAGGGAGTTGATGAGGGTGAGAGCGTCGTAGTAGGTCTGTTTCTGCATGTAGATGGCCACAAGGCGGGTCTGGAGGTTCTGGCGAAGGAAGGACCTCCGCTCTGCGATGGCCCAGTCAATGCATGACTTGATGACGGAGACTTGGATATCGAGTGTGTTCGGGATCTCGCTGAACAGGTCCAGCAGCTGGCGGACTATAAAGACAGAGGTCAGTTATCGGTTCAACACCTAACCTGACCGTCCCAACCTACCAAGCTTGGCTGTCTTTGCCTTGGCAAATGAGGAGAAGGAATCACGGCTGGTCTTGATGAGTTCGGCGATCTCGTGGGGCTTCTTCTGGTCCCGGTAGAGCTCCCCCAGCGACACCAGGGCGCTCTCATAATCGCGTGACGATGCCTCGGTCGAGCCGGTACCTTGCGAGAGGAGTTCCTTAAGGATGCTCTCGGCCTTGGAAGGATCACTCTTCGCGAGACCCCGGGCTTCCTCTATCCGCCCAGCGGTCGTCGAAGAGGGTGCCATGACTATCGGCTGTGAGGGGTGGAGAAACAGAGGGATTGCGGGGAATGGTTTTGGCAGCTGATAAACAGTCAATGCGGAGAGCGAGGTCCGACACGATGAGAGATGAGATGAGAGGTATAGTGATGATGGCAGACAGGAAGCTTACAGGTTTGGCCATCGTCACTGGGGTTGGAGCTGCAGCTGCCGCCCTCACCGCCCGCGGCTTGGCGAGCCAACCAGAATCGGCGGTACCCGCCCAAGAAAAAAGCCTGGAATTTTTATGTTCTATAGTTTTCTTCCCAGCTTCTTGCAGAGAACCATCCGGCGCCATGGTAAGCCAACATATGCCTGTCTCTGTGTTTTTAAAGTGATTCTAACGAGTATCCTAGAAAATCAAAGCTCTCTCTCGTCCTACTTCCTCGCAGCAGGCTCCGGGAACCTCTGTCGTTCGACAGCCCCGAAACCTCGACCCGGCGCAGCATCCATTTGAACGGGCTCGTGAATATACCCGCGCTCTCAATGCAACCAAGCTAGAGCGTCTTTTCGCCGCGCCCTTCTTGGGTCAGATGGGCGATGGTCATGTGGACGGTGTGTATACGATGGCCAAGGACCCTGGCTCTCTGCAGCGGTTCGCCAGTGGCAGTGGTGATGGTGTGGTCAAGGTGTGGGATTTGACCACGCAGGGCGAGGTCTGGAACACCCAGGCACACGACAACATTGTCAAAGGAGTTTGCTGGACTCCCGATCGGAAACTTCTTTCTTGCGCGAGCGACAAGACTATCAAGCTTTTCGACCCGTACAACTCGGAGCCGGAAGCGCCGCCGCTAGCGACCTACCTGGGCCAGGGCGCTTTCACCAGTCTCACCCACCACCGGGATCTCCCTTACTTTGCCGCGTCCTCCTCTCAAATCTCTATCTACGACCTTTCTCGTCCCTCCTCTACGCCGTCCCAGACCCTTCACTGGCCTACCAACGTGGACACGATCACCTCCGTCGCTTTCAACCAGACCGAGACGTCCATCCTTGGTTCGACCGGTATTGATCGCTCGATTATCATGTACGACCTCCGGACATCGTCGCCTCTCCACAAGATGACTCTCCGACTGGCGTCGAACTCGATTTGCTGGAATCCGATGGAGGCGTTCAACTTTGCCGTGGCCAACGAAGACCACAACGTCTACCTGTTTGATATGCGCAAGATGGACCGCGCGCTGAACGTGCTCAAGGACCACGTCGCCGCTGTGATGGACGTGGACTTTAGTCCCACCGGCGAGGAGCTTGTGACTGCCTCTTACGATCGGACGATCCGCCTGTGGAACCGGTCGACGGGTCATTCCCGCGATATCTACCACACCAAGCGCATGCAACGGTATGTCTATTCCCTCTTTTGATGAGACATCGTATTGACTTTGATAGTGTCTTCTCCGTCAAATTCACCCCCGACAACAAGTACGTCTTGTCCGGCTCCGACGATGGCAACATCCGACTGTGGCGCTCGAATGCATCCGAGCGCAGCGGAATCAAGAGCGCTCGCCACCGGGCCAAGCTCGAGTACGACCAGGCACTGATCAAGAGATACTCGCACATGCCGGAAATCAAGCGCATCCGCCGCCAGCGTCACGTGCCGAAGCCCATCATGAAGGCGCGCGAGATCAAGCGGGAGGAACTGGGCGCGATCAAGAGACGCGAGGAGAACGTTCGCCGACACACCAAGAAGGAGAACCTGCCCAAGAGACAGAGCGAGCGCGAAAAGATGATCCTGGCGCGGGAGCAATAAACGCTCTGCTCCAGATTGTGGCAAGGCTTGCTAGACCGAATTCATTGTCGCTATATACATGGTGGCATTACAGTTGGGTCAATCCTCTTTCATGTGATCTAGCTCGCTCTGCAATTGCCGGCCCGACGAATCCGCGGCTTGTGCTACGGCGCTGTCGATCCCGCTCAGGTATCGCGCCAACCGTTGGACACTCGCAGGTAACACGGCATACCAGTTGACCAGCGTGGCGAACGCGGGCAATCTAATCACGCCGCCTCTTCCGCTGTCCACCGCCGAGACGATAGCCTGCGCGACCTGGACAGGTTCCAAGACAGGGGCGAAGAACCGGTTAGGCGTTTTGACGGATTCGAACAGCGGCGTTGCAATCTGGCCCGACTCCACCAAGATCATCTTCACTTTGGCATCATCCCCAGCGACACGAAGTTCCGCCTCCAACGAACGATGCAGGGCGCTCAACCCCGCCTTACTCGCCGAGTAATCGGCCAGACCAGCCGCGCACAGCTGTCCGAGCACCGAACTAACCGTGACAATGGTCCCTCCATTGGGGGCGGCCAGCACGCGCGGCAAGAAGAGTTGATAGAGATTCACGGCGGCGAGGAGATTAGTCTGGATAGTTTTCTGGAAGGCGTGGAACGAGAGCTGGCGCAAAGGGAGACCGTTGATGCGCGCAGCAGCGCAATGAATCAACACGGTAGGAGGGCCCAACTAGAATCTCATTAGAATCAATCTCTTCCAACCCATTCCCCCCCACACACAACTGTAGAAAGAACAAAAGTCAAAAAAGACATACCTCCCTCTCCACCCTCCCCAACACCCTCTCCACCTCCCCCCGATCCCCAACATCACACCTATAAACCCCCAACCCCTGATCATCTCCAACCTCCCCCACCTCCCCCCTCAACTCCCGCACCCCATCCCCATCCACACTCAAATCCAAAATCGCGACCCTCACACCCCTCAAACAATAAACCCTCGCAATCAACAATCCCAACCCGCTCGCGCCACCCGTAACGACCACTACTTCTTCCGATAAGTCGACAGATCGGGGCACTCCGTAGCCGAAATGCGTGTTCAGGAGACGGAAGAGGTGGAGGGAGGCGGTGAGGATGCAGTAGATGGTTGTTAGGATGAAGGCGGGGGAGGTGGTGGGGGTTGCTTGGGCGCGGAGACAGAGGAGGAGGAAGGGGGGCGTTAGGGGGTTGAGGAGGGGGGGG